ATATCAACACACCCACCCTAACAAATACTCATATCAAATTTGCCCGCCCCCCACACTAGGTGGTTTATGCCTAAACAAATCAAATTTAAAAACCAAACCCCCCCCCCCCCCCCCCCCCCCCCCCCCCCCTTATTCCGTGATAGGTCTGTTGCCGACACTCGACATTTATTAAAGGCAGACACACGAGGTGCCACATGTTCATCCTCACAACCGATGTCTTGCCAGTTTAAAACGCGGCCATAATATTATTGAGTCTTTGCATGACCGACTTCCATTACGATCTATTGTAACGTCGTAGTACATACCAGAGGATCAAAACGCTCGCTCTGGTGTGATGTCATCGAGATAACGATATCATCCAGGAAGATGACCCCATCAGCATCCGTGCTTCTTCCCCCAAGCCACCACATGACAACGGGCAGGATTGAAGCCGAGGCCCAACCCAGCAGACGTCCGTTAGTAAGATCGGTGTGCATCTGCACGCATCCACTAAACTGGGTAGACTGCAGCTCGAGTTGCCTGTTTAGAACAAAGGCCCGATGCGGGGAAACATGAGTTAACAAGGGGCTTGACCACCCTTTTCTTTCCCCAGATTGCATTCCCCGCGATACGATTGGCCCGGCCCACCAGACGATGGGCGCTGGCCTTGTTTCTTCACGATCTTGTAGTAGGGGATCTCTTGGCTATTGGCGCTTACTCCCTACCCGTCCAAGGAACGCAGGTACAACCATGTTGTCACGGGCAATGGCGACGAAACACAACTGGATGGTGTGAGCTCGTATTCTCGCTCGCCTAACCATGGGTTGCAGATGAAGAGCCGGCAGATGGGACGCTGGCTGGTAACAACTGGGAAGAGGTGGTGGTTCTTGTTGGCACTTACTTATCCCTTCGACTCTTGAATACTGCGTCGTGTGTCGTTGTAAGTCGAAGAACCCGGCGCGTGGGCGAGATGTTGTATCGGCGAAGTAGTCGTAGGAGTAGCGTAGCGTACACTAGATAATCGCATCGATCATCTCATGATACCGAGGCACTGGGCTAACCTCGTATTGCCTCAAGATCTAGCAGGGGGCCCTGGGGTCTACACCACACCAAGGCGATATCTTACTAGGTATGATATATGCAAGGGGAGATTAATTAACAGATGGGCCAAATCCTGGAACAGGGGCGATGGAACCAACAGGGCTGCCTCGGCGCTGCCCCAGCCAGGCCTTATATATATGGGGGCATCCAAGCCCTCGGTCTGAGCCAGCCGCCCATGCATCTTCTCAAGTTGTCCCTCATTATTAGTAGGAACAAGCACCCAAGATGAAGTTCGGCACGCAGATCACCCTCCTCTCCCTGGCCCTGGGCGTCACCGCCCGGCTCCAGCCCCCCTCGCACATCAACCGGTCCCCCCCATCCCTCGTGGAGCGCGACCTCCCCACCGTCACCAGCGTGATCGCCAAGGTCGACTCGGGCATCAAAGCGCTCGACACGGCCGTGCAGGCCTTCTCGGGCAGCGACTCGGACGTCAGCAGCGCGGGCGACGCCCTGGTCAGCACCATCAAGGCGGGCACGACGACGGTCGACGGCAGCGACGACCTCAGCCTCGCCGACGCGCTCGGCCTGCAGGGCGCCGTCACCACCCTCCAGGGCGACGCCAACAGCCTCGTCGACTCCCTGTCGGCCAAGAAGTCCGCCTTCGAGGACGCCGGCCTGTGCGCCTCCATCCGCCAGCAGACGACCGACATCAGCTCCGCCAGCAGCGACCTCATCGACGCCATCGTCTCAAAGGTCCCCGAGGCCGCCCAGGGCATCGCCAAGGACCTCGCCTCCGGCATCCTCAAGGCCCTCGCCCAGGCGCAGTCCGACTTCGCCGAGGGCAGCTGCACCGACAAGGCCGGCTCGGGCGGCGGCGGCGGCTCGACCAGCACCGGAGGTGGAGGCTCGACCAGCGCCGGCAGTGGAGGTAGCGGCTCGACCAGCGCCCCCGGCGGCGGATCTACCAGCGCCCCCGGCGGCGGTGGCTCGACCAGCGGCGGCGGCTCCGGCCCGACGACCAGTGCCGGCGGCGGCGGCGGTGCCACTGAGACCGGGTATCCCACCACCTCTGCGGGCGGCGAGACTGGCGGGAGCTCCACCGGCCAGCCGGCGCCCACCGGCGGCGCTGGCGGAAACGGAACCGCCACGCAGTCCGCCAGCCCGACTCAGACCTCGCCTGTCACTGCCGGCGCGGCAAAGGTCGCTGGTCCCGTTGGCGCTGTCGTGGTTGCCATGGCTGTCGCGGCTCTGTTGTAAGAGAGGACGATTTGTACGAGTGCTTCAAGGCAGGGGGCTAGATATCGTGATTGAAGGGAAAATGGCGACGCAGTCGGATGTTTGGATATTTCGTTCGTGAGCTGCATTCGCAGCGTAATTGAGTAATTAGGTAGCGTGTAAATCCATATATACGTTATCCAATGTCACCGTATCTTCAATAACTACCGTTACAAGAAAACTTATACAATTAACGCTTGCATGGCTTTAACGGAGCTGAACGGGCGGGGTAGATCTCTCCCCTCCTCCCCGAATTAGCGCCGATCGGCGGCGATGTGGGGCCGCAGCTTTACCTCAAAGTTAATCGATACCACCATCTACTCCTGCAACAAAGCCCCATGTTCTCTCCCGTCTGCTACCTGCGCGAAGAAGACATCATGGGTAACGAACCGCCCCTCCGAATCGGCTACGTGCCCGAGAACTTCTCGACGCCCATCTACTTCGCCAAGAAGCACTTCGGGCTCTCGGCAGAGCTCGTCGCATTCCCCTCCGGCACCGGCCACATGATCACCGCGCTGAGGGCCGGCGACATCGACGTCGGCATCGGCTTGACGGAGGGCTGGGTGGCCGGCCTAGGCAAGGAAGACGTCACCGGAGACGGGGGCTACCGGCTGGTTGGGACATACGTCGAGACACCCCTCTGTGAGCAGCTTCTTCCGATCTCCGTACCCGCCCAGCCTGTTCGTCCCGAGGAGATAAATGGGAACCAAATGTAGAGGGGAACCGTTTCACTGACCATGTACCACCGTCTCACAGGCTGGGCAATCTCCACCGGCGCCAAGCGCCCCGAAATAACATCAGTCGAGTCCCTCAAGGGCGGCAAGATCGGCGTCTCGCGCATCGGCTCGGGCAGCTACGTCATGGGTTTCGTCCTCGCCGACAAGCACGGTTGGCTTTCTCCGGATTCGGATTCCTCCCCCTACTCGGACACGGTCGTGCTCAACACGTTTGAGCACCTGCGCGGGGCGGTCAACTCGGGCGAGGCCGACTTCTTCATGTGGGAGCACTTCACGTCCAAGCGGTACTACGACTCGGGCGAGATCCGCAGGGTCGGCGAGATATACACTCCCTGGAGCAGCTGGAAGATCGTCGCCTCGACGGCGCTCGTCGGGGAGTCGGCGCCGGACCCGAGGGTGGCGGACCTGTTTGACAAGCTCGACAGGGGGATAAGGTACTTCAAGGAGAACAAGGAGGAGGCCGTGAAGTACATCAGCACCGAGCTGGACTACTCGGAGGAGGACGCGAGGGAGTGGCTCAAGACGGTCAGGTTCCCCGAGCACACCGCGGGCGTCGATGGCGCCGTCGTGAAGGATACCGTGCAGGTCTTGCGCAAGGCTGGCGTCTTGGTCGAGGGGAAGGGCCTCGAGCCCGGCGCCATGATTGCAAAGACACGCTGATTCGAGAAACTTGGAGTGTTTCCGAGAGGTTGGAGGAGCCTGTTTGACGCCAATCGGATCTTGGCGTGTGACCAAGACACGAGTGAATGCCTTCTCCGCCTGATATTGGACCTAGCATCGCCTGCTAGTCGACTAATTCTTTGTGTATATGGACTTTGATAACCGAGAAGTGAGGAGAAACTGAAACGCAGGTGTACGTATCTTGTGACGCGAAGTCGCGCTGTACTTTGGAGAGCTCCGTCTTCCCTCGTTCACGCCAGAGCAAACGAATTTTTCTGCGCGTAGAGTCGTGCTTCTACCCGGCCTCTGCCCAGCAGCACTTTATCTCAACCACCGTATGACGTCGTAGGCTGTCTTTGAATGGGAGGTATTGAATATGGTAAGCCCGCCGCTCCTCCCTCATCTCCCATGACTTGCCTTGCCTTCTCACCAGTCCACAGGCTTCCACAGGAGCAGGCCCGCCTGAACCAGAACAGCCAGCCCCAGAATCCTCAAACGATCGGACTTCCCCTTCGAACCGGCCGACGAAACTCTGTGCTACTTGTGATAAACCCACAGAACTAGGCTGCAGCAAGTGTGGAAACATCAGTTACTGCTCCGAGCCATGCCAAACGGCCGACTGGCCCATCCACAAACTCGTCTGCTGGCAGTTCCATCTCTTCCAGGAGAGCGACCGTCCCACCCCGTGGCACATCCGCGCCGTCATCTTCCCGGTCTACATTCCTCGACCTCGCTTCATCTGGCTGCGCATGATCAACCAATACCACCGGGACACGAGGCAGTATCTAGGCGACGAAAACTACGTCGAGAAGCAGGGCTGGCACAATTATGCGTGTCGGACCCGACCCGTCAACTCCCAGCCCCTCTACTTCTACAGCATCTCCCCCAGCTGCGACTCCTACAACCAACGGCTCCCGAACGCCGCCATCCCGGCCCTCTCCAGCGTCCCGGGGCTCTCCTTCCTGTGGCGCGGGACCGTCATCGCCACGGGCGAGTACGGAGACCTCAACATGCGCGACTTCCGCGCGGCGGTGGACTTCCTGCAGGCGTTCCCCAAGAACCTGGCGCTGATGGACCCGGCGCGGTACCAGGGCCCCTGCGTCGACGGCGTCAAGCTCAACTGCGACGACGCCGTGGCCGAGCACGGCGTCCGCCACCTGCAGCCCGTGAAGATGACGGAGCACATGCTGGCGCACCACGGCCCGTCGCGCCTGCTCGTGTTCCCGACGCTGCAGCTGGTGGTGCGCTTCGCGCCGCCGATCGGGGCCCGGGCCCGGCGGGGCCGCAACCCGCACTGCGTGCTGGCCCTCGTGCAGGAGAAGGTGTTCAGCCGCATGTCGGCAAAGGTGATGCGCCTCGACGACCTGAAGACGCTGATGCAGGGCACCTACGGGCTGGGGACCATGATCATGCACCGCGCCGACAGGCGGCCGCTGTTGCCGGTGCACGTGCTGGCCCTCGAGGAATTTGTGCGAGAGAAGGCCGAGCTCGTGGCCGACGGCCAGGGGAAGGTCTGGAGGGATAGCATCGCGCTGCATCTGAGGCCCGAGAACTTTGCTGCCTTCTGGCCGGGGTTCTTGGACAGGCACGACATGAGTACTGTCGGCGGGTTGGCCCCGCCGTCGCCTTTCGAGATGTAGCCAAAATACCGAAAGGCCATCTCTGTCGTGGCGCTTTCGGACCCGTCGATAGAAGGCTGATGTAACCGAGGGGGTTCAGGGAGCTTGGTTTGTAAACGTATTGTACGTACACCCGGGAAGGTCACTCATTCCCACAGGGATGAGGTGCTCTTACCATGCAGATAAAACACATTTATTGATCTGTAGCTGGCCTCAACCAGGATTCAGTTATGCGGCCAGTTCTGTAGTTCTGTTGCCCTTGAGAACAGAGTAAGCCTCGGAGTAATGTTCCCACCGCGGCGGTTGCCAAGATTGAAAGATCACCCAAATTAGCGACTCCTTCAATGCGGCTGAGCTGAACTCCCACCACGCTTAATCCAACGACACCTCATTCTACTGACTCACACTCGATCGTTCATGCCAACCACTACAAATCTAGCCCCAGTATCTGCAGCCATAATCGGAAGCATGGCGAGAGTAACCAGACAAACGAGATCAACGCCCAAGGCACCCCCGGAAGGAACCGCCTCACCAGCCATCCTAGACCCAGCCCCAATCAGGAGCAGGACCCGAGTAACCAGACAAACGAAATCAACACCTAAGGCACCACCATCCAAGGCAACAACATCCAAGGCAAAACCACCCAAGCCCAAACCACCCAAGGCAAAACCACCAAAGGCAGCCCCAACACAAGAACCCGCCCCCGCCCCCGCCCCCTCCCCAGCAACCCACCTCTTCCCCTCCGCCCCCGCCTTCGACACCTGGCTGGCAACCCACCACGCCACCACGCCCACCGGCATCTGGCTCCAACTCAGCAAAAAGGGCACCGTGCCCGCGACCCTAACCTACGCCGAGGCCGTCACCACCGCCCTCCGCCACGGCTGGATCGACGGCCAGCGGCGCTCCTGCCCCACCACCAGCACCAGCACCGATGTCCCGACGACGACGCACTTCCTCCAGCGCTTCACCCCGCGCCGCCGCAACAGCCTCTGGTCTCGCCTCAACGTCGACCGCGTCGCCGAGCTGTCCGCGGCGGGCCTCATGCTGCCCGCGGGGCAGGCCGAGGTCGACGCCGCCGTGGCCGACGGCCGGTGGGCGAGGGCGTACGCGCCGGCGAGCGCGGCCGAGGCGCCCCCGGACTTCGCCGAGGCGCTGCGGGGGAATGCGGCCGCCGAGGCGTTCTTCGGGACGCTGGGTAGGTCCAAGAGGTATCCGTTTATCTGGCGGGTCGAGACCGCGAGGAGGGCCGAGACGAGGGAGAGGCGGATTAGGGAGTTTGTTGGACTCCTTGCCGAGGGCAAGACCCTGTAGGCTGTGTATTTGACGTGAATGCTTCTGGCTAATGTCTCTGCGCAATGGCAATGGTGGACTGTGGGGTCGGACCGGGGTTCTAGCAACGGGATGAGAAGCAATGTTGGAGGCACCAATTTACTTTGCCGTTTAATGCTCCAAATTCTCTGGTGCTGTTCAAAGCATCTAAACTACGGGATTGTATAACCAGGGCCGCCAATGAACTATGCTTGCGAAGGAGAGTCGCCCGGCTCAACATTCAGCCCGCCAAAACGTCTCCCAGGCCGCTTCCCACTTCTTCTCCTTCAGATCCTTCAGCCAGTCCGTGAACCTGATCGGCTCCTCGCCATCGATCCTCATGACCCCGTCCTTGATCCCCCTCCAACCTTCCAGCGGGCCCTTGGCGTACCTGTGGTTCGGTCCACAATACGTGCTTCCGACCTCGCACTTGGTCCCGGAGTTGTAGGCCTGCCGCTTCACGTAACACGCCTCGCAGAGGTCGCAGTCGAAGCAGTCGAGGCACAAGTACATTGGGCCGTCTTTCCACAAAGCCCATTTTTTGACCGGCTTGCATTCGCCATCGCAGTAGTAGGAATTGTCGTCCAAGTCGAAGTCATCATCTTTATCCTGCGTATTGTCGCCGCCGGTGTCATGCTTGCAGCCATCGTCTATGTGCTTATCGTCGTCGTCGTCTTCGTCTTCGTCGTCTTCGTCGTCTTCGTCGTCTTATCATCATCATCATAGCTACCTTCATCATCACCTTCATCTTCATCTTCATCGTCGTCGTCATCACTGTCACCATCGTCATCGTCATAGTCATCTTTATCGTCATCAGCATCAACATCAACATTACCATCACCGCCATCTGCACCCCTTTTCTCCTCCGGCTCCCCCACAACCCCCTTCTCACCACCTCCCTCTCCCTTCTCGCCCCCCTCGTCCCGGTCGTCACTTCCCTCCTCCTTGGTCAGCTCATAGAACCCCGCCGAGACGAGGATCCGCGCCTCCCTCTCCATGCCGTCGAGGCTGGAGATGGTCATGGCCAGGTAGTCGAGGTTCATCGAGTCGTTCCAGCCCACGTTGTCCGTCAGCGCGTCGTAGCACACGTTGAATGCCGCCCGCAGCGCGTCCTCAAACTCCTTGGCCGGCCCCATCTTGCGCACCATCCTCGCGATCCACACCATGTACGGCGTCAGCCCCGACCGCGTCGACGACACCGAGTGCGCGAGCCCGCGCCTCGTCAGCCCCTTGGCCTCGTCGAGCAGCCGCGCCTTGAACTCCCGGTCCGCTGTCGCCCGGAACTGCTCGTGGATGATGTTGGTCGCGAGCATCACCGCCCTGACCAGCGTGTACGTCGGGTCCTCGTCGGTGAACCGGTACGGGTTCCCGGTCGAGCTGCTGTCGAGGACCTTGTCCAGCTCCGCCCTGGCCGCCGCCGCGTCTTCGCATACCCGCCACTGCGCCTGGGCGAGCTCGAACCTCATGGGAGGCGCGGCGTCGACGCTCTCGAGGAGTCCAATCACCTCTTCGTACGCCCTGATCATGAAGTCCCGCTCGCCCGCCCACCCCGCCGCCTGCCTGAACGAGTCATGGTAGTCGTCGAAATCGTCGTAATTCCATGTCATCCACGCCAGCCGCTCCAGAGGCTGCCACCCCCTGACCCCCCTGATCAGCTCCGCACCGGCCTCTACCTCCTTGTTCCGGTACACGTCAAACTCCTCCTGTAGTAGGTCTCCGCGCATCGGCTCGTTCGGGTCCGCCCGCCTGGCCTCGTCGTACGACCCCACCGCCTCGTCGAGTTTCTCCAGCGCCACCTGGATCCTACCGCGCGTGACCAGCGCCTTGCGGAGGAGGCTGAGAGAAACCTCGCGGTTCGATAGGCAGTTGGCGATGGTCTCGGCCGCCCCCTCCTTGTCCTCCGTATTCAGCTTCGCGCTGGCGAGCAGGTTCAGGATGCGGAACCGCTCGACCGGGTCAACGCACGCCGAGAGCGCTACCTGGAGCTCCGTATGAGCTGCCTGGTAGTGCTGACAGTCCGCGAGGACTGCGGCTATTGCCCAGTGCGCGTTCGCGTCCTTTTCCACGACTTCGAAGGCGCCGACAATGCCAAGGATTTCTTCTTCCTCGTACTGCGGTCCTTCGTCGTCGCTGTCCGAGCTGCTATCGTCACTGTCGCTGTCGTCGTCCTTAGGTTTTATGAGGTGGCTGAAGGACGTCTGTGGTCGGTTGTGTCAGTGTGACCAACTCTTCATTTCTGGCAAATCAGGGATTGGAAAAACGGGGGGGGGCCGGGGAAACATCCAGGTCTCCTGCACGGGGCCGTACTGACCAGTGGAATGATGCTCCTAATAACCTTATACGACTGTGCTGCCGACTTCAGGTCCTGGGCGCGGAACCAGTTGGAAATGTGCCCCTTGACCAGAGTCACGAAAGCAGCCCCCTTATCGGCTACTACATCCCGCGCCCAAGTCAATGTGGTCTCAATCATCTTGTCGCCGAGAGATGTGGCCATGGTCGCCCCCTCGGCAACCTTAGCCACCAGGTAGTCGTTTGGGAGGTCCCTCAGCACATCCTCGTAGTCCATATCGAGCGACTCGATTGTCGTCGCAAAGTTGCCGTGATTCGTCATGATCGCCCCAAGTGCTTCGAGGCAAGCGACCTTTTCGTCTTCCGCCGGCCCGGGATTCGAATTCAGGCTCAGGTAGCACCAGCAGGCGAAGTGCCAGATCCAGTGCTGCGCCGCGTACTTCCGCAGGCTGCCGTAGATATTGTCCACCTCTACGAATAGAATCTTGGAGCAGAGCGTGAGGATCTTGCCGTGGGCTACTCTCCCCGGGGTCCTCAGCCCCTGCTCGTCCTGCGAAGCACTGCGGAAGTAGTCCCGCATGGAGCGTTCCTGGAACTTCAGTGGCCGATCTCCATCATCATAGACGGCGTCAGGATCACTCTGGCCCAGGAGATCTACATTGGCAAGGTTGGAGTTGTCGCCGTCGTTTTGGGCGCGCTCTTCGACATCGCCGATCTTCAGCAACCTTGCGAGCTGTTGGCCCTGGAGCTCCTCTTCCAGGTCCAGTGAGCTCCCGGGGAAGAGATTCATAAGGGAGAAGCTCTCGGCCAAGGTCAGAGGCCGGGAGGCGAAGGCAAGCCACCACAGCAGGCCTTTAATTGCCTGCTGCTTGTCGTCCGCGGTGCGACGCTGGAGGTCAACGAGAATAGTGCCATACAGCTCCTTTAGGTTTTCCGGCATTGACTGCTCCAACTGCTTCAATATGATGGGTTCTCGCCCAATATTGTTGAACTGGCGGAGCATGTGCTCGGCATACAGAATGCCTTGGGTGGTCAGCATATAACTTGGCTTGTCGGGAAGGAGGTGTGACTTACAATCGGCCTTCTCTTCCAGATTGCTGGAAATCCTAGCTGCTTGATATATCTACTTAACTTGCGCAGTCTGCTGTCGTTGTTCAGGTGATTCCATATGAGCGCCTTCATGTCGGCTAGTTGCTTCTCCTTGGTAACAGCAATCCATCCGGCTGCGAGCCCCGCCAGTTTCGGTACCATGCTAGACCTGGTGGTGCAGAGAATGCTGACATTGAGATCGGCGGTTTCCTTGACGAGTTGGAGGAACTCCAGTGCCTTCTTTGATTCCGAGTCGAGGACAAGCTCATCCATGCCGTCGAGGACGATCTGCAATCGAGCCGTTGACGACCCGTAGAACAAGGGCTTGACGAACTTGCCCCAGATGTCTTCCCACTCAGAGGTATAGAATTCGATATCGTCGCGAGCCATCTCCACGTTAATCCTCTCACACAGCGCGGCATTCTGCTCCGCAATCTGGACGGTGATCCAGTTGATGGCGTTGTGGAACGCATTCAGCCCGTCGGTCGCCTCTCGAAAGTAGAAATGTGCCACGCATGTATTGCTCCCGGCATCTCTCTCGGCCAGTTTGACGAGCTGGTCGTGCGCACACGCGGCGAGGTGACTTTTCCCCGTGCCCGGTGGCCCGGAGAGGACAAGAATCCTAGGGGTGTTCTTTTCCTTCTCCTGTGCTACCCATTCGCCCCAGGTTGGCTCGTCGAAAATCCAGCTGCAGGTCTCCGGGATGAGCGAGTCTTTGATATCCTGGTACTCATGCGCTGGGTTCATGGTATCCACGAAAATGCTCCGCACACGGTTCGATGTTGGAGGCTTGTTCCGGTTGCCGGTCTTGTTTCAGCTCTGCTTGGCCGACTCTTCTTGCCGACGTTCATTGAAGACAACTAGGAGCTTGTGGATACTCATCAGGTCGGTGCGAACGCCGTCCTGGCGCTCAAGGACTGTCTCGAGCATTTGGGTCTGCTGCTCCATCCTCTGTATCTGCACCTCCTGGTTCTTCTGTAGGTCCGCGTTCATTCGTTGGAGCTCCTCCGTGTTTCCGAGAATCGCGTACTCGGTCGCAGCTTGGAGGCGGGTCAGAGAGGTGTCCATCTTCTTTCGGGCGCCTCCAAGATCGCCGTCTTCGCCGCGGACCATGTTCAAGATCCATTTTTCTGCATGCTCATTGATTAGCCTGGATCTCGGACTCGTCAAGCTCACTCCTGCGACGACGCACTGAACCGGCCGAGCTCTATATACTTCGTCGCGAATCCACACATTTCCAATAAGGAAGTCAACACGTCCATGAGACAATTGCGGTACGCAGGGTAGCTTGGCAGTCTCGACTCGAGGATGGTGATCCTTTGGAGGAACGAATTCATGTCCTCGAAAAAGGCCGTGACTACATCATAGTCTGCCGAAACATGCCTACAAGCCTGTTGTGCATTCAAATCAGAGACCGCCCAGGTCGGTAATAGTAGAAGAACACCAAACACACGCTTAACATGTACGTAAAGGCCATCCCGATGGCGGCGGCGGGTGGGAAAACGGGCGCAGCAGCGCTGACCAGCTGCTGGGAGCCCTTCTCTATGTAGTCGAGGTTGTCTCGGAGGAGGCCGCGGAGTTTGTCGACCTTTTTCTGGTCGTGCCGGAACTTGTGGAAGTTGTTCATCTGCTCCGTGCCATACTTGACCATGGCGTCCACGCTGAGCAGTTATTCTTTGGGCTGCAGCTCGACTCCCACAATGCCCTTGTACTTTCGTAAGGCCTCGTTCCAGAGATCAGACACATCTCAGTTGCCTTTCGCCAACTCGTCCTTCATACGGCTGACATCGTTTGTGTCCGACATGATGAGTAGAAGCGAGAATCAAAAGACCAGCTGCCCGGGTAAGCTCGAGCGATGAACGTTAGCATACTGGAACTTATCGTTGGGTGGAACAGCATGGGGTAACTATATATAATTGTTGACCCCTGCCTGTTCAAACCAATGATACCCAACTCGATTTCATTCTAATACGAGCAAATCTGTGCGCAATCGTCTCAATAGGGATAAGCCGTTGATCAACTACAACAACGCTTATTAATACCATGCAGAGCTACAGATGCATGTCAGCCGTGACTCCGTACGCTAAGAACCCTCGGGGCCTATCGCTTACACAATTCAGGGGTCCAGCTGAAGGGCTTGCAGATAGCCTGACTGTTGTTTAGGCCTTAGCAGCAATTCAATCCTGCTTGCTCCCAGGAAGTGTGGCTTCTTTCAGTCAAGACTTCGCGGTCGACCTCGTCCCCAACAACTCTGGCCCGGCAGGGAGTAGTAATAAGTCATCTGTTTGGTTTCGGGCAGTTAGCTCCTGTGTTTGTGAAGGAAAAGCCCCTGCTGAGTGTGCGCTGGTGGGGGGCAACGGGTTGCCTAAGAAAATGGCTGCGCTGTGAAGGCGATGATTCTGGAGTTTGAGCAATGGAGTCCTTGAATTTGTTCGCACGGAACTGCATGTAAAAGTCGACTGCTATCAGTGCATTCTTCCACATGGCCAGCCACAAAACCTGAAGATCGGAGCAACCTATTCAGCAATTTGAGAGATCCCAAGTCTCTGATCAAGCCAATCAGCGATATTTCCGTAGTGGTCGACCGCTTGTATTTCCGCCTTAATGTTGAGCAGAAGCATCAATTGCAGCTCCCGCTGCTGCTCCATGTCGTCTATACTAAGGCTCTCATCGTTGCAAACGCTCTTGAGGATGTTGACTGCTACCCTCCTGTCCCGGGATGTGAGAGGCAGAAGACCACCCCCTGACCCTCTTTGACCAGGCTTCTGTCTTGGGAGTCCATGTCCGGTTTGGGACCCTAGGAAATGTCAGTTGATGGGAGGTGATGGTGTGATGGAGAGAATTGCTACCGTTAGATGAGAAGGCAAGTGACTCTTGACTTGACTGAGTTAGACTGTTCTGGCTGCAGGCACTCTGAGAGCTTTCCTCGGTGACAAGGTCTCCAAGGTGCAATAGATCACCACTGCGGATTCCTAACCATATCAGGTTTGGAACAATGGAACTATCCTCGTGCTCCAGGCCTTGACTTCCATATTTGTAGGTTCGCATTATGGCAATGCCGTCGGGGTCGTAGTCAACTAGACCGTATATTGGCAACTGCGGCCGAATGGTTTGGATTGTATGAAGGAATAATCTCGTTGTCAAATCCGGAAATCCTTTGCCCTTCGGCGTTGAAATTCCTAGTCAATAAGGACACTAATAAGAGGGAGGTGCGATGGGAGACAAGGCGTATATGTGACGTACAGTTATCAGTATTCCTTGTCCGGCCAAGGACTTGTTGTAGTATTCAGAGGCAGCCAAGGTCCGGAATGTTGCCTGCAGAACGGTTATCTATCAGCGTTGATGCCACGAGGAAACATCGCACAATACCTCCTTCTCAATCACCAAGATCCATCGTGTGGAACCGAAGTCAATCCGGTGAATCGATCGAGTGGGAGGTATCAAGTTGCCCTAAGTCAATATCAATAAGCCACCCATGTGACGGCCTTCAGGGGGTTGCAGGGGATTCGAGTACGCAGTCATGAGAGAGCCCACACGGGATTATGGAGCCGTTTTGCATTGTGAGGAAGATTGGCCCGGCGACCAGTCCCTTTGCAGCCGCGACCCACACGGATTGTTAACTGCATGGTTTTGTCTGGATTCAAAGCTGGATACCAACAATATTCAGGGCGTCACGGCTGACTCCCAGCGTGAATGCAATATCGTCGACAAGGCCATCAACAACCCGCTGATCCCGGAAGAGTTCGGTGTTCTGGTAGTAAATGTTTCTGGAAGCGATTAGCAACAGAGCAAGGTGGGAGACGCGCAGAGGAGAGGTTTGGGGATAGAACGCCGGGATGGAAGGCCCAAACCTCTTTGTGACAATTGTGCCGGAAACCAGAGCCTCGTGGGACAATTCCAAAATGCGCAACATGGCCGCTGCAGGCAAAGAGACAGAACTGTTAGCTGAGAGGGACAAGTGCGTGGTTCCGAGACATGTTCTACCCACCGAATTTCTTGCCCTCATACCTAGTTCGACCAGGGAATCTTAATACTTCTCCCCGACGAGTGGTCGAGTCCATTGGGGAAGAGCAGGCGTTCCTTGAGGGGAGACGATTCGATCCTGAACGAGACCGTGCGATCGCTGACCTGCTTCGGTATGGAATAGAAACCGAAACCTCACCTTTCACAAGGTCATCCAGGACGGATCCAAGAATACTCTCAATCTTGGTAATAACCGTGCCTGTCTGGTTACCCTCAGGGTCATGGGCTGGAAGTGTGATGATACTGCCAGCTCGGGTGCTTGCTCTGGTACTTCTTGGCGGATGGACAGTCAGTTGTGAGGACACACTTCTCGGGACATCGGAAGCCAAGATATGAGACCCAGAATGGCCCGAATCAGCCGGAGAGGGCATAGGTCAGGTTCTAGAAATGCAGGGGAAGAATGAACGAGAAGAACTGAAGACTAGGAGACAGGGCGATAAAGTAGGTAGTGGAATGACCGCATAGTCGAATACCTAACAGACGGAAGAGAACCTACGGCTGCAGACCAAGGAGAGACGGAAATGACAAGCCAGATCTCCAGATGAGATCTAAAAAACACCTAGGTACCAAACGAGAGGCATATCAGAAGCAGGTGCGATCTTGGAGATGCCTTCCTATCTGGGTGGTTTTTATTGGTGCCTAGTTAGGTACATCAGGTTATCACAGGGACGCGGGATCGAGGATACCTAGGTAGATGTGCAGTACCATACCCATATACAAAATATGAGACACCTAGGAGATTCAATGCTCAGGTAATTCCATTTAATCCCCTCTTCGTTTCTTCTGTTTTCTTTGCATTTACAAGGGAGTGGGAGGGCTCAAGATGGGTGAACAGAAGCCGTGTCAATTGGCCAATCAGCACTGCGATTGGCACAAGGGTCCAATTTCCCAAAGAGCTCCTTGCTCCACCTGGCAATCGACGACATTGGACGTCAGGATTGAGTCCTGTATCCCTAATCACACTGACGCTGCCGGCCGTCGCATCATAAGATGGCTAAAAAGAAGGCAAAGGCTGCTTCAGGCAGTACCGGAGCTGAAAAGCCCTCGGAGAACGCGGACATCAAGAAGCGCGGTGCCGAGGTAAATGGGGAGGGCGAGGCTCGCGCATCGAAGCGAACCAGGATCGAGGACAGGACCGACTTCTCGCGCTGGCGCATGCGTGATGACAATAGTCGGCACACCTGGCACTACCTCGAGGACGATGAAGCAGCGAAGAAGTGGCCGCAGACCTACGCAGACAAATACTATCTCGGCCTCCCACTGGTAATGAGCTGCCTACAGTTGCCCCAGCAAACGACCCCAGGCCTTCTCAGCTAACCTCTTTACTCCTGGCAGGACCTTCCCGACCTCACACCGGCAAATACCCCTCTCGACTCCGTTCGAAACGGTCTAGGTTTCTTCGAGAAACTCCAGCTGCCGTCGGGGCACTGGGGCTGCGAGTATGGCGGGCCCATGTTCCTGCTGCCAGGAGTTGTGTTCTCCTGGTATGTTACCAAGACACCGATCCCCTGGTATTACGCAACCGAGATCAAGAACTACCTCTTCGCCCGCGCACATCCCGAGGATGGTGGTTGGGGGTTACATATTGAGGGGGAGAGCTCAGTGTTCGGGACGATTATGAATTATACCACCTTGCGGCTGATTGGGGTTGATGCGGACCACCCCAAGATGGTAAAAGCGCGGGCAACTCTGCACAGACTCGGAGGCGCAACCCATGCACCGCACTGGGCCAAGGTCTGGCTATCTATCCTGGGGGTGACCGACTGGGATATCGTCAACCCTGTCCCACCCGAGCTGTGGCTGCTCCCTGACTGGGTCCCCTTCGCGCCTTGGAGATGGTGGATTCACAATCGAATGGTTGTTCTGGCAATAGGCTACATCTGGTCCAAGCGGTGGCAGGCAGAAGAAACTGACACTATCCGGGCGCTCCGGAACGAGCTGTTCGTCGAGCCGTGGGAAGAAATCGACTGGGCGAGCCATCGCAACACAATTGCCCCCGAGGATAACTACCACCCGAAATCGTGGCTGCTCAACACCATCAACACATTTCTTGTCAATGTCTGGAATCCATACCTTCGACCGAAGGCACTGGCCGCAAAAGCCGAGGCTTGGACCATGGAGCTTATCGACATGGAGGACGAGAACACGGACTACGCAGATCTGGCGCCCGTATCCGCGGTCCTGAATCTGGTCTGCTGCTACGTCCGAGATGGCCCCGATTCGTATTCCGTGAGGAGGCACAAAGAACGACTAGAAGAGTTCCTCTGGGTCAATGAGGAAGGTCTGCTCTGCAACGGGACAAACGGAGTGCAGTGCTGGGACACAGCCTTTGCTATACAGGCTGTCATGGATGCCGGGTTGACTGAGGATCCTCGATGGCGCCCCATGTTGGTGAAGGCCCTGAAGTTTCTGGACGACCAGCAGATCCGTGAGAACGTCAAGGATCAAGACAAGTCTTACCGCCAGCAGCGGAAAGGAGGCTGGGCCTTCAGCAACAAGGACCAGGGTTATGCTGTCAGCGACTGTGTGTCGGAGGCTCTGAAATCGGTCATTATTCTGCAAAAGACGCCCGGCTTCCCCACGTTGATCGACGATCGGCGGATATTCGACGCGATCGATACTCTCTTGACGTACCAGAACCCCTCTGGCGGCTGCTCCTCTTACGAGCCTCCACGGGCGGGCACGTGGATGGAGATGCTCAATGGGGCCGAGGTCTTCGGCCGGATCATGATCGAGTACGACTATCCGGAGTGCACCACAGCTGTCGTGACGGCGCTCTCTCTCTTCAAGAAGCACTGGCCAGACTACAAGGCCCAGGAGATCAGCCGATTCATCGACCGAGCCGTCAAGTGGATCAAGACCGCGCAGCTCCCGGATGGGAGCTGGTACGGGAGCTGGGGGATCTGCTTTACGTATGCCACCATGTTTGCCCTCGAGAGCCTGTCCAGCATTGGGGAGACGTACGGGACTAGCCAGAATGCGAAGAAGGGGTGCGACTTCTTGATCTCGAAGCAGAGAGCTGATGGAGGTTGGTCAGAGTGCTACAAGGTAACGTTTCCACCCCCCGCCCCCCCCCACAACTGTTCTTGGAGCATACAGGCATACTAATTGCGGAGCAGTCTTGTGAAGACAGCGAGTATGTCGAGCACGCATCAGGCTCCCAGGTCGTCATGACCTCGTGGGCGCTCATTGGCTTAATGAAGGCGGACTACCCCGACGTGGAACCAATCAAGAAGGGCATCAAACTCATCATGGAGCGACAGCAGCCGAACGGGGAGTGGCTGCAAGAGGCTATTGAGGGTGTCTTCAACAAGAGCTGCATGATCTCGTATCCCAGTTACAAGTTCACCTTCACCATGAAGGCACTGGGAATGTTTGCGAAGAAATATCCGGCCGAGGAGGTGGTTTAACATGGATGCACAATATGGAAATCAAGGATAGAGTTCCCGAGTATCAACCTAATAACCGATCGAGGTAGCTATTGATAATAATACACCAAGGTATCCCAGCTCAAGGTTCCATGAGTTGACATTTGATTGCGTGGCTTTCTGTGTCTTGCAACCTTAGAATCCGCTGTTGAGGCCTCGAAACACAGGCGACGTCTGTTTCTGAATGGGGCAGGCGGTGTGCAGGGGTTGGAGCTTCCTGGCAGAATCTGGAAGATAAGCCCCACCAGCCCTCCGGTCTCTCGGTTTCTCCCACTTTCCACTCCACTGACTACCTTTCAGCTCGAGAATGGTATTCTGATGCCCTGACCCTAGAACTGCCCTCGACAACCATACACTTGGGCCGGGTGTATGATACTTATCCCCAAGTCTACATTAGGCACCGGCGAGTTATTGTCTTCTTGTGGTGCGAAGGTGTGATCCGACGGTACAGTGAACTGCTTCCATTCATTCTTGTCCCACCAATTTCTTTTGTATCAGCGGCAATGAACTTGCTAACCACTCTCTCTGTCACACAGATCAGGTGGCACGAGACAGTAGAAGCAGAAGGACTGGACAAAAAGCCTCGACGATCTAACGAATCCAGCACGTCCTCAAATCTGAAGAACACATCCACCATGGCTCATTTCGCCCAACGCGGTCTCGAATTGCTGGAGAAGAAGCAATATGATGAGGCCATCATCGTACTTGACAAAGCTTTAGCGACCTCCGACTCCCCTGCCTGGCTCCTGACCCGCTCCAAAGTCTGGCTACAAAAAGGCAAGCACGAGCTGGCCCTCGGCGATGCCGAGTTTGCCTACCACGCCGCTGTTGCGCGCGGCTCCGACTCGACGCGTGCGCACATGATTGACGCCCAGTACCGGCGCTCCGTCATCCTCTTCGCCATGGGCCGCTACGCCGACGCTGACTGCTGCGCCCGGTGGAGCCAGCTCCTTTCGGAGGGAAGGCCCGTCGCCGAGGACGACGGTGTCGCCCAGGACGTCGACGCTGATGGCTTCTACGCGGCCACGCGGGAGCAGGCGGAGGAAGAGCTCAAAGTCTGGCACCAACCCATTGACAAGGCGAGTTTGAGCCCGGCCGAGATCCTTTCAACACGGGGCTCGAAAGACTCGAAGATGTGGAACCGAGCGTTTGTGTGGAGATGCCAGACACTGGGCAGGTTGGCAAAGCTGCCCCCCAATGATCCCGCTCGGAGGGTCACCGTGACCAAGGTTCCGCCGAAACGGAAGGAGAACAAGCATTTCCTTGAGAAGGCCCCTAAGGAAATCCCCGAGGTGGCCCCCAAGGTATCCCCCAAGGTGGCCGAGGCCGAGGCCAAAATCCAATCCCCGAAGGCGTCCGAGATGGTAACGTACACTGCATTCCCGTTGCCTGCTGCTGAGACTGACGATGAGAAGCCGGTAGTCGAACGGGGTTCGGTCTCGGAAGACCAGATGAAGCTCAAGACCGACTTCTACCAGACCGCGAGCTCGATCACCGCTACCTTGTTCGTTAAGGGCGTTAATGCGGAGGCGCTCAAGGTTGACTTCCAAGAGAAACAGGTAAGGCATAATGCGTTTTGATATACGTAGCGCGCAACTGACGCACCGACAGGTCATCGTCGGACCCCTTCCTCGCGAAGCTGCTCCTTACGTCCAGCCCGGAGACCCAGAGTCGTATTCCACTTTTCTACTCAATGGCACCATCAAACCGAAAGAATGTCGATACTCAGTGACACCGCGCAAGATTGAACTTGTGCTGCAGAAGAATCTGGGAGCCAGCTGGGCCACTCGGGGAACTACTTGGGCGACGGAGCAAATCGGACGTCTGGATGAGCCTCCCACCGAAGCCGCCGCAGACCTCCAGCTAAGCCAGCAGTTGCCGAGCCACATTGAGTCTGTGGAGGTCGGCACAGCGGCGGCAGCCGCCGCCAATCCCACCGAACCCGCCACCGCACCATCCTATCCCAGCAGCAGCAAGCGGCCCCAGAACTGGGAGGCGCTCGAGGACAGCGACGGGGAGGATGAGGCGAAGAAGGATGCGGACCACTTCTTCAAGTCGCTGTACGCCGGCGCGACGCCCGACCAGCGCCGAGCCATGATGAAGAGCTTCGTCGAGAGCAACGGCACCTCCCTCAGCACCGACTGGGCCGACGTTGGGGCCCGCACGGTGGCTGCCGTCCCGCCCGAGGGAGTGGAGCAAAAGAAGTGGTGAGGTAGTGTGGCGTTCTAAGCCCCCTCCCTTTCCCGTGTCATCCGCTCCGAGATGACTACGTTTTATGATCACGACCTGGCTTATGATGGTAGTCCGGAGGAGACTGTCTTTTCACGGAGTTTTGCTATTTGATCCAGGGTCTGTCCCAAGAAGGAGAAAGCAGGGTGCGAAAAAAGAGAAAACCAAACACATGGAGTCGATGGAACAAGAGGGAGTTTTGGAGATCGGCGTTCACGGAAACGGGGAGCATCTGATATACCCCCGAGAAGAAATAGCCATCGTTAGGTACCCCAGTAGGTAGCCAATAATCGATCGCCAAAGTAGTACTTTTCAGCAAAACGACTCTAAATCAAGTTGGACTGCAAGAACACACTCCATGACTCGAATAAGAGCTGCGGAGGCCTATCTGCCATCCCACCCCCTGGCAATACGTAGGTCGTCAACTGCATCGTCACCCAGAGGGGTTCTGAGCTGAAGATGAAGTCGGTGATGTGATAATCCATAGCTGGAGCAGGGGCCTTGGTGGAGGAGGTTGACTGTGTTGTAGGATGGGATGGCGACAAGTAGCCGAGGAAGCACATGTATACATGTAGAATCAGCCGCCGCTTGCGACTTGCTATATTTGTATCACAAAGCTTTCAAGCATACCCATCCGGACAGAGTCGGAGTGAGATCGCCCTCCTCCCACACGAGAGGCACTACCCCGAGTATCTACGAGCAAAACATTAAAAATTAAGGTGCATATATGCAAATATCTACACGCATATGTACATCCATCCATCCATCCATCCCACCCCCTCAATCCGCATGGTCCTTATCCTTCCTCCTCCCCACCCCAACCACCGCCCCATTCGCCTCCCCCGCGGCAGCGCGGCGGAGGCGACGGCCGCCATCCGGCGGGGAGATCTCGACGACGCCCATATCCATGCGCACGGCGAACCGGCGGCCCCTCCACGACACCGTCGTGCCGAGCAGCACGGCCCACGTCCAGATGGGCAGGGCCAGGGCCTCGCGCCCGAGCCAGGCGCACAGCCAGGGCAGGAATGGCCGCGGCCCGCCGTTGCCGCCCCGGGCGAAGGCGGGCGTGTGCCTGTCCGCCTCGACGGCCTCGCACCTGCGCAGCTTGGACGAGACCCACCTGTCGACGAGCATCCACGCGAAGACGGCCGTGGCCCAGACGAGGGCGCCGGCGGCGGCGGTCGGGGGCACGGCAAGGGCGCGGGAGAGGGCCGGTAGGGAGGTGGCGGCGTGGGCGAGGTAGGCGCAGCAGAGGAAGGGCTCGATCCCGGGCTCGACGAGGGTGGCGGCTATGACGGTCCACTTGCGCACGCGCAGCCAGCGGACGCGGCGGGCGACGTAGTCGGATACGGACATGGCGGCCGTGGGCTGGATGGCCAGGTCCCCAGAGACGAGGCCGTGGTTGGCGAAGCCCGGGAGTTTGGAGCGCCAGAGCAGGTCGCCGATCAGGTGGTCTTCGCATATGTACGACGAGAAGAAGTCGATGCCCCGGCCACGGGAGGCGTCCGAGGCGGTCAGGATGGGGTTCTGGGCTGGGTCGGTGAGGCGGTCGAGGTGGGACTTGCGGAACATGTTGCTCTTGCCGACGATGCATGGGGCGATGCCGACTGTGTTGATGGAGCTGTAGAATTTGGCGTGCGTGGTGGACATGAACATCTCCTCGAGTAGCCCGCCTCCGTACGAGAGAACTGAAGACGAGTCGTGGCTGGGCGACCTTCGTGTGGCATCGTTCGGGGCTGTGGTGTCCTGCGCGTCGTCGCTGCTGGCATGTGTTGTATCCACGACCAGCGGGAGCTGGTGAACGAATTTGAACGGCTTCGTCCGGGCCCCGTTCGGCCGGTAGCCACACAGCTTGTCCACCATTCTCCCCGCGACCCCCTTCGACACCCACACGTTGGCGTCCACCACCCATATTACATCTCCCTTGGCCTCCCGATATGCGCGGCTGATATTGCGGATCTTAGGATTCGGCCCCAAGTTGTCGATCTTCCCCCCAGGCCCGTGTAGCACCGGATCTTGCTCCTCCACCATGATCTTCGCATCCGAGTCCGGGAACTCTTTGACTAGGCGCTGGAGATGCGGGAAGGCCGGATCGTCGGTGGACTCGACGCAGAGGTAGACCGTCAGCTTGTCCCTGGGATATGTCTGCCGGAAGGTGGAGGCCAAGCAGTCATACCACGCAGCCTCCCAGCCCTTGACGGGCCGGATGGCTGTGATATGCGGTACTTCATCCTTTGGTAGCGAGGGAGAGATAGGTTTCGGAGGAGGCGACGAGTAGTATCGGAACCTAAAGAGATATTGTCAGAAACCGAGTCTCGGGGTAGGCAAGGCTGGAATTCTTCTCACAGCTTGTAGATGCCTATGCACTGGACAACAAATACAATGGTGAACCAGACCATACAAACCAAGGCAATGCCCGGCGGTATCAGCGAGACTGGGGCATGATCAAGCCTCATGAGGACGTGCTATCGACACGAAATTGGGGGCGGTTATGGGGGAGTTCGTGATTCGTGACGGCGCATATCAGTATGGAAGCTTGGCGACGTGTTTCTTGGGAGAAAAAAAATTGATCGTCTCGCCCGTCAAGTCAAATCCATGTGGAGCTGTCCTAGGTCATTCGAAGGAAGGGAGATAAGGTAGGTCACAACTAATTGCGTCACTGCTGACTTTGGTATAATCAGGGACCTAAGGAGAGCACCATCGCGAAAGAAAGCACACAGCGATCCAATCTCCAAGGCCAGTGATTGGCCCGATTGTTCTTGAATTGCGCGTGGCATAGGTGTTGAGACAGCCCGTTTTGGATGTCACGGGCACGGGCCGGGGCTTGGCATCGGGGCTCAAGCCGAGTTCCGTGTTGACTAATTGAGTGACACCTTGGATATCAGGCAACAAATCAGGCCCTTTTTAATCAAGTTTTTCTCAGCTTGACCACCGATATTTTCCGACCAGCTCGAAAAAAAATCTTCAGACACCAGATTTTTCGGGGTGCAATTTGCAACCTGGACATCTGCCAGCAATTGAAATCTCTGCAGTGGTCAGAGAGCTGAGTCCTGTCTATATGGCCTGTCTCTCTTACCAGTCGGTAGCCTGGGTGGAATATCCCTCACGAGAGTAAGTAGGTTTTGTCTCCTCCATTCCTCTCATCATGGACATGCCACCTCTCCGTCTTCCCCTCGGCCCCCATGGTCGCTCTGATGACAACCCAATTTTTTTCGGTGCTTAGAGATGAAATACTCTCGATGAATGCCACTCAATAGACTACAACGGTATCTGAGCCAAGCGACGTTACAATTACTCAATTGCTTCTTGTTTCCTTCCATCACGTTTGCTCCGGACCGAGAAGCTAACCTACCTGCCACGCAGGCCAACATGAGACACGAGAGCAATGGCTGAGATCACAATGTCTAAGACTGCCTCGACCCCTGGCGAGGTGATTCCGCAGGCAGGACCTCCAAAGCCCAGGTCTATACCACCCCATCAGCTCCATGTTCTGCCCGCACCAATCCGGACCTTCCCACTGCCGGCATTCTATCCGAGCAACCCCGTCTCGCTCCTCCATCTGGTCTACGCATGGCTGAAACATACCATCTCCCCGCCGCCCGCTGAACCCTCGACGGTGCACAAGGGAACATGGGACCCCAAAACCCGCTCCGTGCATATCACGGATCCTGCTTCCATGAGAGCAATGTGGGAACAGGGTTTTTATGGCAAGGGGAGCCTCAGCCGTAGTGAGCCCAATTGGCTGAAGAGAGAGCAGATCCGCAGAGGTGTTGCCGCGGGTAACGTCAGCGAGGAGTACACTGCTTCTAGGAGAGAACAGCGGAGAGTCGTGAAATGGGAGAGAGCAAGGATCGAACAAGAGGCGATAGAACGAACCCGGTTTGAGGAAGCACTGTCTGCCGCCGAGGATCAGAAACTCATCCCCACTGGGCACCCTCAGAGGAAGCCCCCGCTGAGACTACCACCACCGAAGCCGCCTGTTGGTCCCCTGGAGCTCCTTGCCTTGCCTAATTCCATTGCCGATTTGCATGATGCGCAAGGCAACGCCGGAACGCACTCTATGCATGTCCAGGAACCCGGCGCAACCTCGGTCAATGGCACGCTCTTGCCCCCGCCTGCTTTGGAAAGAGATGCCGTTCCGCACCATGATGAGCCTAGACACTCGAATGGCGTGAACCACTTGGAGACCGATAAATCAGGCGCCCATCCGAACGACCATGCAGGTATGAACGGCCCTGCGAATGGCACGCTCAATGGGTCGCTGTCCCCTTTGTCCCCTTGCGTTGCCAAGGATGGCTCCAAATCCAGTCCGCCTGGGAAAGAGTCGGAGGAGCAGCAGCCACTCAAGCATCGGAAGAGCGTCCGTTTCTCTCCCAGAGTCGAGTCCACCACCTTCCAGCTTTCAGACCCCCCCAACCCCAATCACTCAGCCGCGCTTCCACAGAATAGCACCGCGCGTGATGTCAATGGAGTGGCCTCCGAGTCCACTAACAGCCCCTCGGATGCCGATGAGGTCATCACAAACAAGGAGCACCTCCAGCTGTCTCCAGAAGAGGCGTTCTTCTTGGTGTTTGCGATAGGGGCACTCACTGTTGTGGATGGTGCCACGAACTCGCCCATCCCCCCAGAGCAGCTCTTCACTCTCTTCCGATCATATTCGCACTTCCCTCCCCGGATATCCGGCTCGTCTGTCGGCGATCTCCAGCCACAAGACCCGTTCCTCGTCCACTACGCCGTGTACCATCATTTCCGATCCCTCGGTTTCGTTCCACGACACGGCATCAAGTTCGGTGTCGACTGGCTCCTATACCAACGTGGGCCCGTATTCGACCACGCCGAGTTTGGCCTGATTGTTATCCCAAGCTTCTCAGACCCTTGGTGGAAAGAACATGGACACCACCCCCCGAAGAAGTCGTGGCAGTGGCTCCACGGTGTGAATCGCGTTCTGTCTCACGTTCTCAAGTCACTGGTCATCGTATACGTGGACATTCCCCCTCCACCAGCATTTGACGAGGCTATGGCGAGCCGCGACGGGAATGGAGGAATTGCGGCCGCCTTGAAGAAGTACAGGATTCGGGAGATCATGGTCAGGAGATGGTCAAGCAATCGCAATCGCTGACCGCTCTCGTGATGAACGGAATGTAACCGTGGAAGCACATTTCGAGTACATTATTCATGTAACACTGGTCTTGTTGGCATACCTGGGTCTGTTTCTCTGGCGTTTTCTAGGGACGGGGTCTTCCATCTCAGGGCAACGTCGTCACCGGGAGGCATGTGCGCAGTCAAGTTCCATGTAATGATAACGAAGCAGTTCAAATATTATGCTCTAGGCATTCACACAAAGTGAACATCAGCGATGTCCCCATGCCGGTACTTGTCGCATGGTTGAAGTAGCGTGAAAGGTTATTTGAACATGTGAGAGTGAGAATTGCATGACAGAGCGAGGGAAATGCATCACATCATTGGCATGCTGGGCTTGTGTATTAGGATGCGAGCTTGGGGACGATCTTCAAGAAATGGTCGAGTAACCCTACCTTCCTCCATCTAACCGTCTCGATGCCTGTTCCCTTCGTCTCCTATGTTCTGCTATCTGAACTACCAGCATAGGTACCACCTACTGCTGAGATGCATTTGCTGTTCGCAAGACGTTACACAACTCCCGTCCAAACAGGCGGAGAGACTGTTCCGTCCAATCATTATTAATGGTGCCAAACCACAGGGAGACGCCAGGCATCTCACCTTCCGTTTTGGTAGAAGAACCGGTGTTTGCCAGCAGGCGAGGACCCCGCCTGCTGCGGGCTGCATGCGGCCTCTCCCGAGCTCGCCATGGCCTCCTGCTGGGCCGCAAGACCTGCAGCTGATATGGTAAGCACTTACCAGCATCAATAGTAAGACGGCTCAGATTCATAGTCTGACAATCCTGACGAATAGGTACCTGGACGCGCGTTCTAGGTGTGCTATTTTCAGCCAGCAGCTTGTCGCATGCTCCTGCTATATATATTTGTCTTATCCCATCCCTGTAACCCCAGCAAGCCGAAGTTGCCAGCTTCAAACGGCAGGCATCGAAAGCAATGGTGATCAAAAAAGTGGCACCATACGGCGAGTGGGATAGCGAGCTCATCGCCGAAGCTGTGACCGAGGGCAGCCGCAGCCTGACGTCGCCCAGGGTCGACGTGAGTGCCATTGACCCCGCATCCGCATGATGCATTCGGAAGGACCATTTCACGCTGACAGACTCCACAGCTCAAGTCTGGACGGGCCTTCTTCCTCGAGTCTCGCCCCGACGGCACAAATGGCATCGTGGAAGTCACGGCCGATGGGCCAAAGCACGTCCTCCCGGATTCGTCGAGCGCCACCACCAGCGTATACGAGTACGGCGGGTTGCCTTACGGGCTCGTTCCGGGAAGGAAGCTGCGCATCATCTTCTCCGACGCCAGGGACCAGTCAGTGGGTCTCCTCGACGTCGACTCAGGCCATGTCCAGACCCTGTTCCGCTCGCCCACTTTACGGTATGCCGATTTCGATCCCAGCCCGCTGATCGAGGACGGGAAGGCGCATTCGGCCTGGGTGCTGGCGGTCGAAGAGGACCACGAGAAGCCGAGCCCAGCCGAGGTACGTAACTACGTCGTAGCGATTAATGTGGTCAGCGGGGAGGTGAGGCGGGTGGTCTACGGAGCGGACTTCTACTCGTACCCACGCTTCAGCCCGGATGGCAGGAAGATCGTCTGGAAGGAATGGGACCACCCGACCTTGCCGTTTTGGGGAGCGAGGCTGCTCTGGGCTGACTGGAAGGGTGACGGCGTGGTGGAAAATGCTGAAGTTGTGGCTGGTGATATGAGTGAGTGTCCATCAGAGCCACGCTGGAGCCCCCTTGGGACGCTGTATTTCGCACAGGAGAAGTCCAACTTTCGCCAGCTATTTCGGAAGAAGCCTGGTGACAAGGAGCCGACTCAGGTTGTGTTGGAAGGTTTCGAAGACGCTGAGATTGGAGATGCATCGTTCTTCATCGGATGGTGAGTCCCCTTCTATAATGCGCATGCCCTTGGTCCTTGCCAACCGAGAGACACCGCAGTCAAACTTACGTCTTTCTCACCGAGACATCCGTCATCGCGACGCCCACTTGGTTCGGGGCCTACGACCTGGTCTACATCAACCTCGCAATTTCCACTTGGACCAAGCTCAAGTCCCCATTCACCGACCTCCGCCTAGACTGTCTCGCATCTCTGTCCCAATACTCAGTCCTCGCCATTGGAAGCGGCGCCACCACGCCGCAGGCCGTCTACCGCATCATCATCGCCCCAGACCACACCACCTACCCGACCCTGATCCGGTCCTCGGTCGACAAGCCCCACCCCGAATCCATTTTCTCCACGCCGACACACATCCGCTTCGCGGCCCGGCGCGGCCCGCCCCGCGAGGTACACGCCTTCTACTGGCCGCCGCACAACGGGCGCTTCGTCGCCCCCGAGGGCACCCTGCCGCCGCTCCTGGTGAGCCCGCACGGCGGACCGACGGCGCACTCGACGCCAGGACTACGCCCGGCCGAGCAGTATTTCGTCACGCGCGGGTACGCGCACCTGGCGGTCAACTACGCCGGGTCGTCGGGTCACGGGCGGCGGTACCGCGAGTCGCTGTTCGGGCGGTGGGGGATCATCGACCGCGACGACGTCGCCGAGGCGGTCGCGCGGGTGGTCAAGGGCGGTCTCGCGGACGCCTCGAGGGTCGGCATCGTGGGGGGGAGCGCGGGCGGGTACAACGTGCTGCAGAGCCTGAGCTGGTACCCGGACGTGTTCGCGGGCGGGGTCTGCTACTGCGGGGTCGCCGACTTGGCGGCGCTGGAGGAAGAGACGCACAAGCTCGAGTCGAGGTACGTGGAGGTGTTATTAAACACGACGGGGCTAGGCGAGAGTGAGAAGAAGAGGTTGTTCCAGGAGCGGAGCCCACTGTATCATGCGCAGCAAATTAAGGCTCCCCTTCTTCTGATTCATGGTGAGGACGACACGGTCGTCCCGATCGAGCAGAGCCTGGAGATCCGGAGGCGGATTGAGGAGGCCGGGGGCGATGTCAAGCTGGTCACATTCCGGGGGGAGGGTCACATGTTCAAGAAGGCGGAGAGCTGGCTGGTGGCCCTCGAGGAAGCTGAGAAATGGTGGAAGAAGACTCTGCTGAGGTGATTTATGTTTGAGAAAGCATGCAATAGTAACAAGCAACAACGGCAATGGAAATCAACAGTGACAGCAGTAGTAATCAACAGTGATAGCAATAACAATAGACAGCAACGGCAATAGCGATAGATTAGGATAGAATATAAGACACTGAGCAGGGGAAACACCACCAAGCCAGATCACTTAAACTCAAAAGGAGGTACCTATCTATGCCATCATCAAATCAGACTCTCCCCACGCTTCACCACAGCAGTGTCTGCTTCTCCCTTAGGCCACGGCCACCAGCCTTCCATTGGCATATCGTCGTAGATAGAGTTGAAGTTCTCGCGGGGATCCGAGGATTCGTACCCATACACCAGCCGGCCCTTATTCAACCCCTCCGCGCCGGTAACCAAGTCGGGTGTCAGGTCCTGCACCTTGAACCGGGACAGGACCTCTAGCTTGGAGGCATAGATGGTGAGCCACGCGGCCCACTGGGGTTCTTTGGCCAAATCCGCTAGGAAGTACTTGCGACTGCAGGTCCAGTATTCCTCCTTCGTCCCGTCCGGAACTTGCTCGGCCTCCACGAAGCCCTCCTCCGGATGAATGTTGGCCGCTGTCCAATGGAAGCCTTCTCGCATCAGGCGGGGCAGGTCATCAGCCGTGACCTCGAGAATTGCCTCCCAGGACATGGCTTGCTTGTCTTGGCCACCGTGCTTGCCGTTGTTGTCTATGAGCTTTGGCTCCAGCCACAGGGCCAGATTGCTGTTCTTGCCGTCCGGATCGGCCAGGACAGGGCTTGGGTCCTGGAAAGTGCCGCCGCATTGTGCACAGGCCCTGTTGAAAGGGAGGTATAATGGAGTGTCATGGTTGAGTTGCTCGTGGGGGGTTTGGGGCTGCATCGTTTCGCTGTAATTTGTGACGAGAACTCTGCATGGTTTTGAAAGGGAGACGGGAACTGTGGAGGAGTAGGAGAGGAAATACAACATTTGCATTCTGGGGATGTCTCCAAGTTTAAATACAACCTGGTTCAGAACAGAGTTTGCCTCCTAGAGCTGCCCGAGCATCATTGCAAAACTGCAAACAGCTGGAGGCTAAATACCCTGGAATCTAAATTTTCGTCTCCATGGAAGCCTTGCTACGCTGGGCATTGCGCCCTCGTGAGCCCAAAGGTTGATACCTACCTAGGTTAGTCATTATTAACCCTAGGTACTTTCTAGCCTTGCCTTTGCTTCCAAGCCTACGATAATATCGTCATAGATACAGTTGAAGTTCTCGCGGGGGATGCAAGATATTGTACCCATACACCCGCTGGCCCCCCTTATTCAACCCCTATGCGCTGGTAACCGAGTCTGGCGATAGGTCCTGTAGGTGATAGATGTCTGAGAAAGGATGCGCTTGGATTATTTGTATTGTTTAGTCATGCGCTTGGGTTCAATATGCTGGTCAAGCACGCTGGCTAAAATATATTACCGTCGCTGTCAGCAACCCTGCTGCAAAGGTAATAATATCGACGACCAGGTTTCGTTCAGTCGTTTTAACGGTCTCTGTGATCCTCACCACCCTGCCCGGCGCCACGCCACCCACAGACGGCCCAGTTCCGCCGCCCCGACCCGAGGTCCCCACCTCCGTCTCCACCCGACCTAGATCCGCGAGGATTCCCTGGTAACGCCTGCATCACCAAATCAATTTAATATTCAGGCCATAGTATCTCCAGCCGTTGATGCCAGCAAAGCTAAGGGTCTGGGACAACTTACGCGTATGGGGAGGTCGGAAGGGGGGAGATGGTGCTCTCGGGGCTTGATCGGGGTGGCGGGATGTTGACATGCCGCCGGGGTGGTGATCTTTGGCTCGAGCCCCAGGCCCAGATTAGTACCTATTCTTGTCGTTCAGGTTCGGCAAGGACATGACGAGGCATGGGTTCTGGAGAGTACCGCCGGATTGGGCGCAGGGCCTTGTGGAAAGGGACGTATGATGGAGAGGCATGCTTGGGTTGCTTGTGGTGCAGCTTGTGGTGCAGCTTGGGGCTGCATTGTGTTGCTGGGAAAATGCTGTGGTTGTAAAGGGGGACTTTGCAGCGGGAGAGGAATCTGGATATTTATAAGCTGGGGATGTCTCCAGGTTTACCTACGGGGTTGTCTTCGCGGGCAGGGGCATTTAACTGTTAGGGCAGGGGCATTTGGCTAGCCGTCGCTGTCGCTATTGCTAAAGCTCTCTTGCTGTCACGAGTCCACCTGTCAAAGAAGAATTGGCAGCCCGGAACCCCTGTCAGCAGAGACAAGCTCTTAACTAGGTACACGCACGCTGGTAACATCTGACGGTTCAGAGCAGAGGTCGCCACTTCCAAGCTGAGTAGAGGTCCCTATCATTGCTTGGAAACCGTAAACAGGCCAAGTACATAGGTACCTACCTCTGGTCTGGAATATACGGAAAGCTGGGTCGACCCGAGGCAATGACTAGGTGCTCTTTCCGGAGACGGGACATTGGTACATGCCATCCCCCATGGAAAGAGCGTCCAATCCTCACCACCTGAAGGTTTTATTGGCAGACAGCTGCTACCTTGAATACCATCGAGCCTGCCTTATGGCGAAGGGTTCGTGACACACATTCGCCCTCCGTTAGGAAGGCTGTTTTCAAGAGTGAGACGGCTGCGAAAGCTGGAATGCCGAAGAACCCCATCGTTCCTTACGGTATGTACATGAGGTCGAAGTCGACGCTGGGGAATAGCATCTGGCTCGGTTGCGATCACTGTGGATAGGTAGCCATTGCCGTCACTGTAGATAGGTAATTGGTTATTGCCATTGCCGAAGGTTACTGCTGTTGAAATCACCCCCTGCCCATGCCTGTGGATCACTTCTCGAGAAAAGAGGGGAGGGCTTGGGATATCCGTCCGTCGCCATGTGTCCACATCTTCACAAGACGATGCTACCTCCTCAACAGCACTGGTTCTCAGGTCACCTTGTGAGTTGCTGATCTGGGATAAGAACTTGGTGGAACTGCTCTGTCCGTTGTTCCTGCACAATTGATCGTAGCCGGCGGGTCTGCCGGGCGTGACGAGCCGCAAGACGCGCCTCGGGGGGAGGGCAAGGGAGGGAAGGCTTGGAGGCCCAATTGGGCGTTACACAGGACGTGCGCGTGTTCCCGCATCCCCCTCAACGCCACTCACGGGTTCCGTTGCTTCAGCTGACCGATTCCATGCACCATGTGGCTGGTTTTGACTGGTTGCTTTCAGCCTCCCTTCCAGCCGACCAATTGGTCGTTTCTCTTCCTCTCTTCCTCAGTATTCCTCCCTCCCTTTTTCTCATCCTCCCCTTTCTCCTTCCTCTCCCCATTGCTCCGCACAATTACCCGTCTACCAGTTCTCAAAATGACCCAAGTCTGGTGTGCCCAAAGGATCGCCAGCCTCGAGGGTGGGAGGGCTATTGCTCTTCCCTCGGACCTGTCGGAGATATCCCTGGAGAGCCTCGATACTCGCCTGCGTCGGCTTGAGCACCTTGCCTTGCTCACGTCACCCCCTCCCATGCTAGAGCCGACGTGGGAGTCGCTCGAGTACCGCCTTCGCCAGCTAATCCGCAAAGAGATCTTGCTCCCTAGGGTACTACAAGTCCCGCCGCTGCATCAGAATGCCGACGGGGAGAAGTCAGAGACCAACATGCGGACGTTGGAGGTCATCCTGCACGAGATCTCCGGGCGCCAGGGGGGCGGGAAAAAGGACAACGTGGCCAACACGTTCGGGGACAAAGGCAGCCCGGTCTCGTTCGTCGCCATCTCGCAGCAGTTCTGCCATGCGGCAGGGCGGAAGGGTATCAAGTCCCCCGACTCCATCCGAGATTTTGACGAGCTGTACGCCTTCGCCGTCGAGCTCTCTCTCGAGGTCCAGGCCCGGCCGCAGGCCACCGTCCCACCCCCAATGGCCCGGTGTGGCCCCGGCGTTGGCCACGGCGTCCGCCCCGGAGGCATGAACAATAACAACAACACCCGCGCGGCCAAGGCATGCTGCGGGTGCTGCTCCTGCGCGTGCCACGGGGGCAACCTCCGGCAATTCCACGTTACTCATGCGCCGAGCCGGAAGCGGAGATATCAGCGGTTCGCGTGGCTGAAGAGGCTCTGGTGCTTCGGGTCGAAGAAAAAGGATGATGATAGCAGCAGCACCAGCAGCTCGACCATCCATGATTGAATGCGGGCTTCAACATGTTAGGAGGGCAGGGGAATCCGGCAGGATCGAGAGAGGGGGTGTTTCAACGGCGCTGATGTATCTGGCAATAGGTAGTCACTAGATTAGGAATCGGAATCTTTTTACTGAACAGTGTTCTAGAACATAATCTCGCCCAGTGCCGGGGTGACATGACGGTGAAGTCGAAATTGGGGTTTGGTTGTTGGAAGTGAAATCCGGCCTGAAGGAGACAGCGTCGAGTTGGGCTCTGGGTATTAGCTTTATACCAACATTTATAAGCGGATCTGATTGCCTTTACAGTAGGAAATGTCTCCATTTGTCGACAATTACCTGGACAGAAAGACGCTTCAGTTCGGCGGAGAGCTCGTCGTCGCGCTCCGTGTCTCGGCGAGTAGGGGCCACAGTGGGAAGATGCCCGCCGGGTGGCGGCTCAGGACCGGGGTCCGGTGGGGACTCCGCCTAGAAATTGAGCAATGCGGGAATCATTATGCTCCCTCGTCGATTGCCAACGCTGTTTATTTGGGTAGTAATTGTTACAACTGATGTCCGTGCGAATTCTCATGCAAACCTCATCTAGTTGATTACCCCTTATTATCCCCACTCTCCCCACAGCCATCTGGGCCTCCTCGACAATGTTTTTGCGACAATTCCAAACATATGAGAATCGCTAGGTAGGTTTTGATGAACTCCATTGGTTTGCACTAAATCCGCCATCTTACGGTTGCTCAGAACCAACTATTCCTTGGCCTCGTCAATGGCTTCACTCTGGGGTGTGCATTCCCATCTAGAGTTTTCAGCTTGGAGGTAGGGAAAATCTTCGTTTCCCCACGAATCACACTTTATGCATGCCGCCTATGTATTATAAGTCAAGTCTCGGTGGCGCTCATCGAATTACTCGTACACTCGGCCAGTAGAAGTCCTATCGCCCTGCACTTTTCGGCGACCTTGGCCGCCTGCCGCGAACTTTATTTGACCTTTCCATCATAGTTTCAACCGGTATGGCTGCCTCAATGTTGGACGAGCGTTATAATTAGACGGGGCAAACACCATTAACCTCGGAGTCAACGAACAGCATTAGCTCTCCCTTAAGATATAGTTTCAACCTCAATAAAAATCTAGTTTCTTATGACATTTAAACCTGCTCTGCCCATACCTTTCCAAGCTCGATCTTACCCATGGCAAATAAAATAGCCAAAATGTCGACCAAAATGTCGCTGCGACAGCTCTTCCGAGTAGCACGAGATCGAATATTTCGAAGGAAGGCGCAGGAGGTGAGGCCAAGTTTCGCACGCCCAGTCTTAAAAGCTGGATAGGACTAACCGCAAGCAGGTCCAATCCGATAAGCCCGAATTAAAAGTCCTCGAGACAGACGAGAAGGGCGACCCAAGTTGCACCGGAAATGCCTCGCTTCCAAAGCAGACGGATATGGACCCTCTAGTGGCATCGGCCTACAAGAATTTCACTTCTAGCCCGCTCTGCCGACTCCCCGACGAACTGCTGCTGGAGATCATGAAATCTCTCGATCCAGTGGAGCTTTGTTGCTTGCGACGAGTTTCACGCATTTTCTTACGCTTATTCGGCTCATGGGAATTCCGATCACACCAGCTTGACAAGCTCGGTCCATGGGTTAGGGAGGGGGCTTTGGCGGCCGATCAACATAAACGACTACGCCGTCTTCTCCGACGAGATAAACAGGGGAGGTACTGTTCTGCTTGCCTACGAAGACGCTGGTTTAGAGACAAAGACCGGATATTCGAATACCTGGTGGGCCACCAACTCTACTGCTCTGGCTGCAAAACAAAACATGCAGCTGGGTTGTTCTCAGGCTCCCAGAGAAACCTGACCGAAGACAATACCCGCCTCTGTATTGCCCAACAGGGTCATCTCCGTGTCTGTCGGCACAGGGTAATCCGCTGGACAGATATCCAGAGATGGGTCGCGCAAACCAGCGAAACTTCCCCCAAGCCCTATACCGAAACTCTTTGCCAGGAGCGCAGCCATCTCTACTGCTGTCGAAAAAGAGATGATACGCCATTACGGCCCGATGGGATTCAGCTATGCGTTACAAGATTGAGTACTTTGACACAACTCCACCTAACCTGGTACGCTCATACCCCTTCACCACGCGGGAGGAAATCACGGCCGCTGCCTTCGGCCAATGACCTGCGCCAGACTTGGGAGTGCCTTCAAGTGGACGGAGGAAAACTTATCCCCCTGGATACGTATATGGCCTGCTTCGACCCAAACGTCTGTTCTTGTCTGCTTTACGATGGCCAGCATAAGGCCAGGTGGCGATTGGCGCCCCCTCCCTTCCTCAGCTGCAGGGCTCGTTCGGACCGCAGATCTTTGTTCTCTGGGTCTGGTCCTGTCGCTCTCCACACAGCCTCATCCGGCCTGAGGAGCGGTCCCGTTCGAAGAGGAAGTGTGTTCCTGTCGATTAAGCAATGTCCAAATTACCCAAAAGGCAAAGAGATGTGCATCTACCACGACTACCACCTTGTGCTAAGGGGCGTGGATAGCAAGAGGCCCTGGAGAGTGGATCCAGCGTGGTACAGGATGGTTGACCCGGAGTCATATGGCTTGGAAAGGGACGACTACAGCCTTCATCTACTATGGTGCCTAGATGAGGACTGCAGGAATTACCATGGGCGAACCGATGTCGATCGATTCCGGGATTTTTTCAAGGGTGGCATCTAGTCGGCGTTGGAGCCTAGATCTAGATTCCCGGCAGCTCGTAACTATTCAACAGTACTTCGGATTCTATTATGGAAGAGACCTACATTGGATAGAACTATGTACTGTAGAAGGGAATGAAGAATAAAATCCCATTTTCGACTCTAGTCTATCAGGGGAGGGGGTATCCAACAAGAAGATCCAACACCTGGGGTATGGGGTATGACAACAATGACTTTCCCGGCTGCGGGTATCCGGAGTCCTCTCCGCCGGAAGTTAAATAATCTCTCCTAGATCGAAGCCCTCTGATCATCCTCACCACTTTTCCCGCCCGCGTCGGTGCCGGTGCCGGGGCTGCTGCCCTCCTCCTTGTCCCCATCGACCTTCTCCCCCATCACCACGCCGGCGCCGGCGGTCTGGCGCATGTGCTGGCGGTGCTCGGCCGTGTTCTCGTAGTCGATGAGCAGCTCGCCGTTCTTGCCGTACCAGCGGGGCTCGACGCGGGCCTGGTGAACGACGGTGAAGGCGCCGCGCCAGCCGTGGACCTTGTGGAAGATGGTGTCCATCTCCTCGAGGGACCGGTAGGCCGTCTCCGGGTAGAAGAAGTAGACGCACGGGACCATGAAGGCGTTGATGACGGCGAAGATGATGTACGTCTGGTAGCCGATGGTGTTGAACGCCACGGGCGTGATCATGACGACGAGGAAGTTGAAGATCCAGTTGCCCGACGTCGAGAGCGCGTTGGCGGGCGCGCGGATGCGCAGGGGCACGATCTCGGCCGGGTACAGCCACGTCATGCCGAGCCAGCCGATGGCGAAGAAGGTGTTGAAGACGAAGAGGAACACCACCGCCGCCACCTGCGCGCCCTTGTTGTCCTCGTCCGAGTTGACGCCCGCCAGGATCGCCATCGTCCCGGCCTGGCCAGCCGCGCCGAAGAGCATGAGCTTGCGCCGCCCCACACGCTCGACCAGGAAGACGGCGGGCCACGACGCGATGAAGTACTCGGTGCCGTTGAGCGCCGCCAGCAGGCGGGACATGAAGTCGGTCATGCCGAGGTTCCTGTAGATGACGGCGGCGTAGTAGGTGATGAGGTTGATGCCGGAGATCTGCTGGAACATTTGGTTGGTGTAGGCGAGGAGCGTGCGGTGGAGGTTGCGGTCCTTGTCCATGGTGAAGAGGTCCGAGAACTTGCCCTTGGACATCTCCTCGACGGTCTCCTTGATGGCAATGACATCATTGTCCACGGAGTGGTGGGTCAGCTCGACGTCGGACAGTGCCGCGAGGATCTCCCTCGCCTCCTCCTCCCGGTTCTTCAGGATCAACCAGCGCGGGGACTCCGGGAGGAAGGGGATGAAGATGAGAATGAAGATACAGAAGACGATCTGGAAGGCCAAGGGGAATCGCCATGCCACGGAGCCCGGGGCGAAGCTGAATCCAAGATCGACCCAATAACTGATCATGATGCCGCAGGTGATGAGGGCACCCTCTATCATGACGAGTTGTCCACGCTTATGCGCCTTCGAGGTTTCAGACTGCCACGTAGGGACCTGAAGAGAGCAAAGGTTAGCAAAGACATATTGTCTCAAAAGAAGGCAAGAACCATAGGGGTCACTAACCGTCGACGTGTTGCCGCCGTTCCCAAGCCCGGTGATGATTCTGCCAATAATGAAATGCTCCAGGGTGGTTGCACTGGCCATGAGTATGGCCCCGACAATCATGATCGAAGTACCCAGCATGATCATGCGCTTGCGGCCAAGGGGGTTCCCGATAAAGATGCTAATGACGGCACCGAAGAAGCATCCCAAGTTGTATGAAGCGACAGAAATACCTAGATGCCCGCTATTAGCATTGCCACAGGGAATCAGCAGAGGCGTGTCGTCAAGGAAACCAACCTTGATATGTCGCCCGATTCGACGACTCGTGCGGCGTGAGTCCTTCAAGGTCTGGGTTGATGTCGGGGAACTGGCTCAGGAAGATGGGCAGAGTAAGGATACCCCCCATGACGCCCTGGTCTATGAGGCGAGGTCAGCTGGGCAAGCCAAAACTATGGTATACGATGAGATGTAAGATGACTTACCATATCCAAAGAGAAGAAAGTCACACCCGGCTATCATGCCAACAGCCCAGTTAAGGGCCTGGCCCCTCAGGCCAAGAAACTTCTTCATGATTGATGGGCCAAGGGGATGATTCCAGCGGGAAAGTCTAGATGGTGGACGGGTAGGTTTGAGAAGAGTGGCTCTCCGCTCTCGACTAAGATGACGAGCACAGTACAAAACGACCTGGAGAAGGAGGAGAAGGCTGGGGGAATGCACAGATCACCGGGTCGGGGAATTATCCTTTATAAAAGGGAGAAGTTTAAAAAACCCTTCGGGTCCCCCGAAAGTTCGGCTGTGGCATCAGCGACGGCCAAGGAGACATTGTCGGTACCATCTCGGGCAAGCAAACAGGATTGCCACTGGCCTGTCGAGTCGTGGAGGATGCCTGTGTGGAGAAGGACGTCATAGGAGGATCCCTGAAATGAGCCCCTGGGGAGGCACCGATGTTTATCGGCTCACCTTGTGGGGAAGAGCCCCAACGTTATTCGGCAATCAGAATCGACGGTCTCGAGATCGGCAAACGGAAGATCCACCGAAAGATCCATTGGGGCCCACCGCCGCCTTCCTGCTTCGTAGGTGCCACCGTCGACGATACCCGCCGTCCGCTTCGGGTTTCCCAAACGGGCAACCCGGGCAGGACCACTTTCCACACCTCGTCGGCGCCGTTCCCAATTCCCTTCGGTGTCGTCAACTGCGGGTGCACGTGACTTGTGAGCCGATGGTGAACCCTCGTCGGGACTTACATCATTTTTACGTTTCAGCTACGCCCCGTTGCAGCCGTTAGTGTCGTTGGCACGCGACCGGCACGCAACCGCAAGATTCGAATCTGCAACAAAACAAATGTGCCCCATTGGTCCGTCAATCACATAGCCAACAATCCCTGACAAGGGATTTTCAATCACATAGCCAACAATCCCTGACAAGGGATTTTTTGGGTTAATCGACAAGTATCTGGCTCTGGATCACGCTCGCCATACGAGAGTGGGCAGATCTAGGGAAGTGATCTTCAGGTTGGAAATCTCGGATGTAACGTGAGCATATCCGAATTGAGTGTGAGATATCAGATCTGTGCTTCAAAGTCGAGCGAGGCACGAGAACCTCCCTGATTTGGGACTAAAATTTTCGCGGGAATAGCACCTGGATTGAACAGCCAACCGACCATACCCGACCCCAGGTTTCCACTTAACTTTCCAATTGGACGGTGAGACCACCGTTCGTGGCGACAGAGGCAAGATGTTTTAAATTTTCGACCAAGTCATGTGAGGTTGTCAACCCTCGCACCAACGGATGAGTAAAGTTCGGGTCAAACCGTACCCCAACAGCCCAAGAGGAGCTCCAGGTCATGTGATATATATATGTTGGTTTGACCCGACGATTGGCCAGCAGCCAGCATTCCACAAAATTGCATCGCCAATTGGGCGTGCAAACGTGGACCTCTTCCGAACCAATAATCACCCCAAAGATCCGTCGGGGGAGCAAATAGTTCTATGCAGAAAATACAGTGAGGCTTACTGCTGCCGGCAGCGGCGTTTGCCTGGTTCACGTTGTTTCGCACTCTAAACCGAGCTCACCGCATCTTCTCAAGCGAAAATGACCCCCCTCACGATGCTTTCTTGACTAGGATCATAGTGCCAAATTTCATCACATTCCTGTCGCAGCTTCTTACCACCTTTTTGCAACACCCTCCATATGGTTTAGATTCGCGCCCGCTCCTCCCAGCCTGAGAGGGGCAGGGGCAGAGCAATTCACAATGTGGCTCATCAACGTGCGAAACATGGCCCTGAAGGAGGTCGTCAATCCGGAAGAGTACCGGTACGCCATCCTGTCCCACCGGTGGCTCCGGGACATGAATGATGAGGTCAGCTTCCAGGACATGGCCGATCTCCAGGCCGCGCGGCGCAAACCAGGATTCTCCAAGATCCAGATGACCTGCCGGAAAGCAGATGAGAAAGGTTTGGACTACGCCTGGGTCGACACCTGTTGCATTGACAAAACGAGTAGCGCCTCCCTTCAGGAGGCAGTCAACTCCATGTTTCGCTGGTACAAGGTGTCGTCGTATTGCTTCGCATATCTGCACGACGTGGAAACAGAGACTTCTGGTTCGGAGGAGGCAGAGGATAGAACCCCTGGAGCAGTGAACGACGTTTCCGAATCCGAGTGGTTCACGCGTGGTTGGACGTTACAGGAGCTGATCGCTCCGGAGGTCGTCGAGTTCTACGACAGGGCGTGGCGCTTCCGGGGAGACAAGAGCCTCCTACGGCAGAAGATCGCTGACAGAACCGGCATTGACGTCGCCGTGCTCGAGGACGACGAACTCCTGCCGACTATACCGCTGGGTCGAAGAATGTCCTGGGCCTCGGAGCGTGAGACGACCAGGGTCGAGGATCGGGCGTACTGCCTCCTCGGGATCTTCGACGTAAATATGTCGATAATCTACGGCGAAGGGGCCAATTCCTTCTTCCGTTTGCAGGAAGAGATTGTTAAGAAATCTAATGATCTATCGCTGTTCGCCTGGACCTCCCAGCTCGGGGCACAGAGGGACCAGCGGGCGCCCATGCATCGGCAACAGGAGTTTCGAGGCATTCTAGCACGGTCACCGGCTGAATTCGTTAACTGCAGAAACATCAGGACGGCAACCGAGCAGATCGCACCAATGAGGGAATTTGCAATGACCAATAACGGATGCTTGCGGATCGAGACTTACCTTGCACGGGCGCCCAACAGCGACGGCGTCTTCGCCCTCGACTGCACGGATGGGACGTTCAACAAGGAGAACCGCGAGAGGAGGCTCGGAATATACCTGATGAAAACCAAGCACGGATATGTTAGGTGCCAGACGTCGAAGATATGCTCGACATATCGCCAGAATTTCTGGGCCGGACCTCTTGAGATCGCCTACATCCGCAAGGACTTGACCCCGAGCGAGTCTGACAGGCTTAGGGCGGAAATGCCGGGCTCTATCATCTTCCACTTCCACCTGCCGAACTCGTACAGGGTCCAGCAATTCTCGGCCCTGCCAGCCGGCCGGTGGGACGCGGACGGAAAATATTTCAATACCGATAACGACAAGAACTTCACGGGCTATGTCCAGTTCCACATCCGCCCCCGATACTGGCGATTTGTGATCGTGTGCGGCCTCATCGACCTATCAACCAATGACCCGGAGGTGGCCGGCCCGCGCATGCACGGTCACGGGAGCCACGGGGGCACCGTACTCTGGGCGACCATCTTCACGGACGAGGACCCGGTGGCGGTGAGCCAACTCGCCACGATCGACAAAATGAGGAAGGACGGCGACGAGCAGGGCGGCGTTGCGAGGCTGTGCGGGAAGGTGCTGACCTGGCACCTGGACAAGCAGGGCCGGCTGCCCCTGAAGGCGATGCTCGAGCAGAAGAAATTGGCCTCGGACGACGACGGCGAGGTCACCTACTGGCTGGCGGTCCGCCCGGACTTCCGCGACGGGATACCCATCTTCAGCGTCAACGTGTTCATCCAGGACATGAACCGGCTCGCCGGCGAAGCCGAGCAGGCCGAGATGGATGAGGAGGAGTACGACTCGATGACGGGATACGCGCCCAGACAAGAAGCCCCCGATCCACCCCGGGCGGCAGCGGACTACGCGCACGACAACCCGGGCTACACGTATCCGTCTCCGGGCAGCGGTTATGCCGAACCCCGCCCCCCGCCGTTCAGGGGGAACTACCGAGCGCCGGAGGCGCCGCAACACTTTGGCAACCCCTTTGGCGGGCCATCATACCCACGACCACCACCACCACACTTTGCCGGCGGCTACAGGGCTCCGGGGCCAAACCCGGACATGGGATTTCCCACCGCGCCGCCCGCTTTTGGTCCCGCTTTTGGCCCCGTCTTTGGGCCGCCGCCGGCGGCGCCGTACGGGAACCCGTTTGCTGGGGGGAATGGGTATGGGAATACGGGGCCTTGGCGATGATACCTAGTTGGAGCAGCCCCGCTTTGTCCCTTCTGTTATTGTTTGAGTTTAGTATTTCAGCTAGGCGTTGACGACAATTTGGTACGCTAGAAGCCTCATGGTACAGGCTGGTTTTCGGGAGGACGACTGTGTAGTTCTTTCCATTCGTTTTATGTTAACGTCACAACAGGATGCTAATCTTTCAGCCAGGAGAGGGGGGGGGAAAAGGGGGGAAATCTTTGGTTATCCTAGCTAGTCCTTCCTCTTTATTGAAAAGTTGTAATTTGACAGTCTCGAGTCCTCTTGGGCCCCAGCGTCTAGTAGCAGCATCGGACTGTGTTCCCAGGCCGCCTTCACCGCCCCATCGTAGCGAAACCATGGCAGCGGCTTTGACACCTAAATCAGATTGAGCCCGCTCGCCGTTCTCAAACAACACAAGCGCCCACCCCCCTTTCGGCCCTCACGACGAACTAATAAAATCCAGCACCGAAAACAGCACCCCGTTCTCGACGCGGCACCCACCCCCGGGGACGGCCTCCCGCCGGAACCCGGGCCGCAGGCACCGGCTGATGGCTGAGACCTCCAGCCCGCCGTAGTTGAGCTGCGCGATCATGGCAAACGCCTCGCCGCAGAGCGACGTCGACTCGCCCGGCACCGGGGGCGGTAGGTCGTCGTCGTCGCCGTCGCCGGCGCACTGGCAGTTGTCCCGGCCGCCGATCTCGGGGGCGGCGGCGGCGGGGACGAGGCCGGGAGGGGCCGATAGCAGGGGGGGGGGAGAGGGGGGACAAGATGAAGGGGGTGAAGAAGAGGGGTTGGTTGGGTCCTTCGCGGGTGGCTCTTGCGGGATGGGGAAGCCGACGGCACCGCTCCGGTCTGCGGGGGGGCTGTCGGCGGTTTGGGGCGGGCTACTAGAACGAGTGGACGCTTCTGGATATCCGGGCTTGTCTCCCCCGGGCCCCCCAATGGCCTTGCCCGACAGCCCCTGGCCATCGAGGTGCACGGAGCGGGCACCCCCCCGCACGGCGGGGCGGCGACACTCGGTCGTCGCGAGGCGCAGCTCCTCCGACAGGTCGGCGATCCGCGCCAGGGCCGCCTCGAGCCGCAGCTGGGTCTCCTCCAGGCGGGCCTCCAGCTCGGCGACGCGGCACCGGGCCCGCTCGCGGTGGCGCCGCTGGTTGTTGCGGAGGCGCTCGGCCTTGTGGGTAGCCGGCTTGGAGGACCACCTCGTAGTCATCCTGGAGATGGGGGGTTGGGCGTGCATTGGGATGGATGTGTCAGGTAAGCATGCAAGAAATTTGAGTCCCGCTGTTGAGAGCGGATTCCGGTCGGTTCTGGCGCTTGGTTCCGTCGATCTGTGTGGAATCATCGATTTTGCTGGTCATGAGCGATGACAAACTGAAAATTTTCCCTTTTGGGTCTAGTGCTACCGTCCCGCGCTGCAAGCCCCCCATGCCAGCTCCACTCCGGTCCCAGAATGGAAACAAATCGGTGACCAACTGTCATGGACAACATCAATGTTAGCAAAGGAGAGTGGATAAGTTTGACAGTAAATTACCAGTCGTCTAAACTGATATAAAGGTCAGGCCCTTCGCAACCCTCCCGACAGAGTTGGGCAAAGAGCAGTAACCCTACAAATCCCATCTCAACCATCGTTCCAAATTCCAACATGGACAACAAGGAGACCTACGAGCAAGTCAGCAAGCACTATAGTGCCGCATCCCAGGGCAAAAGTGAAAAGTATGGCGCGGCTGTGGCCAAGTCCTTTGGATATTCCGAGGAGGAGCTTGCGGCTATTCCTGAGGGCTCCAATCTCGGCCTGAGCTGTGGGAATCCCTTGGCTATTTCTAGTATACGTGAGGTAAGTCCGATCGATACTGGCTCCTCGGGAGCGATATGACTTTGGAGGCATAAGTCTGCTTACTGATTAATGTTAGGGCGAGACGGTCATTGACTTGGGAAGCGGTGCCGGCTTCGATGTATTTCTCGCCGCCAGCAGAGTCGGTGCGACGGGCCGTGTCATCGGCGTCGATATGAACAAGGCATGTTGTTGTCACCACTTACCACTCTACCTCTAAGTGGTCAAATCTACCAAATTAAACGGCTCTGACCGAGTGACCATCCGCAGGACATGCTCGCCCGCGCCAACAAAATCAAAGCACAGACGGGCAGGACCAACGTCGAGTTCGTGGAATCGGGCATCACCGACATGGCGGCCCTCGATGCCGGCATCGCCGACTGCATCATCTCCAACTGCGTGATCAATCTCGTGCCCGAGACGGACAAGCCCCTCGTTTTCGCCGAGATGTCCCGCCTCCTCAAGCCGGGCGGCCGCATCGCCGTGTCGGACATCCTGGCGAAGAAGGAGCTGCCACAGAAGCTCAAGTCCGACTTGGCCATGTATGTCGGCTGCATCGCCGGCGCGAGCATGGTCGCTGATTATGAGCGGTATCTGAGTGATGCTGGGTTTGGAGGTCGGTCGAGTTTCATGCTCTAAACTCAATCGGTATAACAATTGTCGACTGACAAGGGCATTTCCTCTAGATGTCTTGATCGCCAACACAAACAGCAATCTTAACGTGTACGTCCAGACGGACGAAGATGGCTCCACGAAGGCAAATTCTTGCAACGCCGAGACGCAGCCCAAGTCGACCTCTGCCTCCGGGGCGGCGGGCTGCTGCGGTGTGCAAGAGGGCAAGACACCTGGAAATATTGCAGACACTGATTTGAATGAATGGGTTGGTGAGTAATTTAACATCCTGTGCGGCCATCATCAGGATGAGCACTAACCGTGAGTGAAGGGTCGTTCAAAATCTATGCCGTCAAGAACTGAATGATAGGGGGAAATTAATGTCCTTCAGACTTGGTAATTGTTGAGGCTTATTCCCGATACAATTAAATTAGTTGATGCTCTACATATGAAACTGGATGATCTCATCTCGCATGGTCTTTTTCCATTGCCCGCCATTGATTTCAAGCGGGCGACGATCTCTCCTCTCACGTCAGCAAACTTGACTCAGTTTAAACTCTCGTCAGCAACAGTTATTTCCCTTCCCGCATTACAGGATGTAGGACGGAGATGTTGAGCAGTCGGAAAGTTACGCCATCTCAACCAGGGACGCACCTAGCCGGCCCATCCGAGCGGCCATTTGGACCCTCCCGTTCTCCCACGTCCCGTTCTGCATGATCCAATGCGGGAGTGATCAGAGCTGTTGGGCCGAGGTATTTCCTTTTTCAGTTGACCGGTGAAGGCCAACAAACAGAGGAATTGATTCCGCTCCGGGTTGAGCTCGATAATACTGTTTCCAGGGGGGCAAACTGGTGAGCACGGCACTAAATTATTACATGATATCAGACACCGTGACGTAATTCAAGTTGTACATAATTATTATATATGATCCGCGTCGTTCCCGGTCTTGGAGATTGCGCTGAATCGCATAGTAATCTTTCCTCCCACTCAAACATGTGTGGTATCACAGTAAGCATCGCTCTCGGTCAAGGCAGCCCGTCTCAGAGCACCGGCCAAGCCAATGGCCACACAGGCGACGCTCAGGGGGTCCACCCCGGATGTGAAGCTACATCCCTCGAGGACCAGTTACACAAGAGCCTCGACCTCATCGCCCATCGCGGGCCCGACGCAAAGGGCGTCTGGATCAGCGACGACGGTCGTGTCGGTGAGAACATCATGCCTCCCTCCCAGGGGGAAAAAAACCGAAAGGCCTCTCTAACAAACCCCCCCAGGTCTCGGCCACTGCCGCCTCTCAATAAACGACCTAACCCCCGACGGCGATCAGCCACTGCACAGCCCCGACGGGCGCGTGCACGCCGTGGTGAACGGCGAGATCTACGACCACGACCGGATCCGGGAGTCTCTCGCCCGCAACGGCGGCTACGACTTCCGCGGCCGCAGCGACAGCGAGGTGGCCGTTGCACTGTACGCGGCGCACGGTGCTCCGGCGTTCCTGGACCACCTGCGCGGCGAGTTCGCGATCGTGCTGCGGGACGAGGGCGAGGGTGGGAAGGTCGTCGTGGCGAGGGATAGGTTTGGGGTCAAACCGCTGTTCTGGACGGTCGTGGGCGGCGGCGGCGGGGGGGATAGGAGGTTGCTGGTCGCGGCGGAGGCGAAGGCGTTCTTGGCGTTGGGGTGGGAGCCTGAGTGGGATGTCGCGGCTATCGTGGATGGGGGCTGGGCGGTGGATGATCGGACGGTTTTCAAGGGGGTTCGGAAGGTGATGCCTGGGTGCTGGATGGAGATTTCGGCCGAGGGGGAGATCAGCCATCATCAGTATTGGGATATTGATTACAAGGATAAGGTAAGGTTCCTACAATCCGATGCGATCCCCCAAGGTCCAAACTGCGAGAGTCGCTCACAGTTGCTTGCCAGCGAGAGCCTGAGACGCGGTCTGTGGAGGAAATGATTCTCGGCGTCCGGGAGAGGCTCATCGAGGCGACCAGGCTACGGCTGCGCGCCGACGTGCCTGTCGGAATCTATCTGTCAGGGGGCATTGACTCGTCCCTTCTCGCCGGCATTGCCACGCAGCTGGTCCACGAGCAGGGGGTTAAGATGGGGAACGTAGACGGGACCAAGCGAATCTGCTGCTTCAGCGTGGAGTTCCCGCAAGAATCAGGATGCAACGAGTCCGGTTCGTCGACGCAGAAAAACCCCCGGCTGTGCACAAGAACCCTCCCCCCAAAGCTAACTCACCATTCGCACCCCAGACATAGCCGAACGCACGGCCGACTGGCTCGGGGTGCAGATCCACAAGAAGCGGATGGACGAGGCCGAGATAGCCCGGCACTTCGCCGACGCGGCCTACCACTGCGAGCACCACAACTTCGACCTCAACAGCGTGGGCAAGTACGCGCTGTCGACGGTCCCGCGCGAGCGCGGCTTCAAGGTCGTACTGACAGGCGAGGGCTCCGACGAGCACTTTGGCGGCTACCCCTTCTTCATCGCCGACCACCTGCGCGAGCCCGACCTCGCCCTTCCCGTGTCCCCGCCCGCCGCCGACCCGCGCCTCAGAGAGGCCCTGCACCGCGGCGCCGAGTCCGACATGAGGGCCGTGTTTGAGCGGGCCGGCTCGTTCAACCGGGACTGGCGCGAGACGGACTCGGTGCGCGCCGTCGGCGGCAGCATGATGCTGTCGTGCATCGCGGCGGTGATGCCGGAGACGACGCTGTTTGCGCCGTGGGTGCGCCGCGACCTGGCCGGCGCGGACTGCCGCGACACCATAGTCGGCGGGCTCACCCCCGAGGCGAGGCGCAAGATTGCGGAGAAGTGGCACCCGCTGCACACGGCCGAGTACCTGTGGTCCCGGACGATGCTGCTCAACAACTTGCTGTCGTGCCTCGGCGACCGCACCGAGATGGCACACAGCATCGAGGCCCGGCCGCCGTTCCTGGACCACGTCGTGTCAGAGTACATCAACGGGCTGCCGCCGAGCGTCAAGATCGCGTACGAGCCCGGCCGGGCGGCGCGGAATGTCAAGGAGGGCGGGCAGGTCGGGATGTGGTGGCGGGCCGGGAGCGAAGGGGCCACCGGTGGGGGCGGGAGCGCGTTCGAGGCGTTCACGGAGAAGTGGATCCTGCGCGAGGCGGGGAAGCCCTTCATCACGCAGGAGCTGTATGAGCGGAGGAAGCACCCCTACACGGCGCCGCTGAGATGGCCGCGCGGCGGGCCGCTGGAGAGCATGTTCGCCGGGTTGCTCACGAGGGAGGCCGTCGGGAAGCTTGGGTTCGTCGACTACGAGGTCGTGGCGGATGCACTGGGGAGGGGATTTGGGGACGAGTCGGATCCGAAGGCGTTCAGGACGCTCATCTTTGTTGCGTCTTGGGTGGTCATTGGGGAGAGGTTTGGCGTTAAGACAGCTGGGAGGGAGGAGAGCTGGGCAGCCAGCGGGAAAGGCTCGATGGGGAAATAGGAACGTCAGACACGCGTCACATTCATTCTACAGCTTCGTTCAATTTGCACAGCAAGGTTGGTGCACAATCTGAGTTATTTCCTCCCCACCGATGGCAACAATGTAGCCCGGTTTCTGTGAGATGGAGCACAGGAGGAGCAAATATAGAGATACTCATCAACGTATTTCAATTCAAGGACAAGACGGGGGCTAAAATCCCTCCAACTATTTATATTTCACCACGTCAGTCACTTTTGCTGAGCAGCCATCTTCCCATGCTTCTGATGCGCGCCGGGGACCGTCTTGATAGCAACCTTGAAGTTCTCCCCCTTGGACCCGACCGCATGCACAACGACGTCCTCGCCAAACGGCCAGTCGTTGGCCGTTGACCTGTCAAAGGTCTCGCGCTCGTCGTACTGGCCGAACTGCGACTTCTTTAGCGTGCCGCTGGCCAGCAGAGCCTCCTTGGCGGCATCCAAGGCGTCGATGCGGTGGTAGTAGCAACCCTGGATGGCGGTCTTGGTGCTCTCATTGCGGTAGTCTGTCTCGGTGACCAGCACGTAGCTCAGGTGGTCCGAGCCTGTCGGAAAATGGACCTCCGGGGACTCGTCGGTGCGCACGGCGATGTGCTCCTTGTTCGCCCTATCCTCGACTCGGACAATGAACTCCTGCCCTGCTGGCGTCCGCGCGTACACCAGCGCGTCCTCGCCGTGCGCCCACTTGCCGCCGCCGGGCAGCGACGACTTGGTCTCGTAGACCTCGAAGTCGTCAGGCTCGTAGCCCAGCCCGCGCAGGGCCTGCTCCTCGGCGAACCGCATCGCCGCCTCGCGCGTGGCGAGCGTGCCCAGCGGGAAGGTCGAGCGCTCCACCGCCGAGCCGGCTGGGTCGGTGTGGACCGTGTGCGGGTCCACCACCGTCAGGGTCGTGTGGTAGAGGCGCTTTGGAACGTTCGGGGCCTCCTGGGCCACACGCGGATTGATGCCCGGCTCGATGCCCTGCGCGTATTGGGTTTCGGGGTGGTGTGACGTGAATGCCTCTTTGACGGAATGGATAAGTGACGCCATGTTAGATGTTTTGTGGTTGGTTTGAAACTTGTTATGATCTGTTGGTCAAGATATTGGGGTGAGAGCTTAAGCTTGGGTTGGTTGGGGCGGAGGAGGGGCATGGCGAATGGCTATATAGTAGCATGGGAAGGCCTGGAACACGATCGAATGGGGAGAACAGCATGCCGATGTGCGCTGAAATCATGATGAAGCGTGGTGTCATAAGCACCAGATTCTTGTGACCTTTTATTGTCGGGGTCATGTGCGACCCGCCCAATATCATCACGCCATGTCGAGTTTAGGCTTCGGCTGTGACATCACCCCCCGTGGCGAACGAATATGGCGGATAGTCCCATTCGAGTTCCTTTTCAACTGCCGAATGGCCATCCAGGACAAGCCAGACATAAGAGACTACTGGATGATCAGCCCGATACGAGTGGTACAGATGGGGGCATGGTGTCCCGTCGAAGTGATTGCTCCAAATATCCTCACCCGGTCCAGCTTTTTTTTCTCTTTTTTTGAGGCGTAACCATTCCCGTCCCACAACCCTCACTATCCAACATCAATCATGGCGTCAAAATCAGCTTCAGCATCTGCGTCTACACTGACTGCGCCTTCATCTACATCGACCCCAGCTCCAGTTGACGATCAGACAATCCGGTTCGAAACAGTCAAGGAGCTGCACGAAGAACTCGATTGCGTTTCAGGAGACATTCTCATTGTCACGCGTATGTGGAGTCACATTGTTTCAGGCAATAGCGATGGCTAGAAACGGCAATAGCGGCAAGAGCGACAGGAGTGAGACCAAGAGCGATAGACAGAAACAGGAAGAGCGATAGATAGTAACGGCAAGAGCGATAGACAGCAACAGCAATAGGCAACAGCAACAAAAGCAACTGCCACCTGTAATGCACTAATTGCCTGTCTGTGGAGTAAATTAGGTAGGTAGCGCATGCCCCTTGAGAAATCCCCGTTGCAAAATTCTCCTTCTCCCAGCCTCGGATCTCTCAAGAAAAACAGCTGAAAGCTCAATTGGGAGAGACATGTAAGTTGAGAAGAATGTAGGGGGGGAGTCTCAAGTACAATATAATTGCCGGGTTGAATGCTGTCTGGTTCTGTAGGGCCAATTCAACCGAGCAGCATAAACTATTTGGGCACCCCATGTGGATGTGGACATCTAAACTCAGCGGGCGTATCTCTCTTGCTGTGACAATCTCTATTTTTGTCCCACCAGATCTATCATATCTCTCCTCCATCATGCGTAATTTTAACAGACCCTTTTCAGAAGACGGCCCGGAAAACAAGGAAATCTAATCTCTGGTTGTATCTACACGGAAGACGATTCCTCGTCGGCACTAGAGACTTCAGAAGCCTGCAGACGACTCATCAGGACAGCAGCCTCCTGCGCATACTTGCACCTCATCCTCAGCGCAGCGCCATATTTATACACGACAAAGGGGAACGGCAGACATGCAACGGTGAGGAACGCCGGCACCGAGCTGGCCCAGTGGACCCCGAGCCTCTCGTACATCTGCGCCACAAACAGCGGGAACGCCGCGCCGAAGAAGGCCCTGAGCATCGCGCCGGCCGCGAGCACTGACGCCGCGTAGATGGTGTAGGCGTCGAGCAGAAAGTTGAGGCACGACAGGAAGACCAGCACGCACCCGAACCCAAAGGGCGCCGAGAGGATGATGCTGGCGGACCAGTGTATGCTGGGGGAGTTGGTCCACGCAAAGGCGAACATGCCGACCGGCAAGGCGACGGCGCCGATCATTCCGGGAGGTAGGCGGGCTTCTGGGGGCGCGCCTTTGCCCAGCTTCTTGTAGCGCCCGTTGTCCAGAATGGTATATAGCAGCCCGAAAAGCATGCCGATCGTGAGGCCCAGGAAGGCGAGCCCTCCGATGCCCGCATTCCAGCCCCTCGACTTTTCGTAGACAATCGGAAATGCGCCCATGAACATGTAGATTGTGCCGTATAATATGGCCAGGTAGACCGATGCGATCAGTACGATCGGCTCGCAGAAGAGAAGCACCCAGGGCCGCTTGATAGCTTTACCAAAGACTTCGGACAGCTCGACTCCGCCGGTGTTCCTCTCGAGCACGCTGATATACACCTTCCCCGTCTCCTGAGATAGACGCTTCGCCCTCCTTTGCAGCAAAACCGGCGGGTATGTTTCGGGTAGCAGGGCGCTGCCAACAATCCATACCACTCCAACAAAGATGCAGCAGACCCCCTGGACCCATCTCCAGCCGACCGTAATGGTGATGAAGCCACCAACGACCGGGCCAAGCATCGGCCCCATGAACGGCGCGGCAGCGAAAACCGACATTGCGAGACCGCGCTGGGCGGACGGGAAGAGATCGGCAATCACGCCGCCCGAGTTGGTCAGGGGCGACGCGGCGAATGTGCCGGCCAGGAACCGGAAGACCAGCAGCTGCGCCATCGACCGGCAGCCGGCCGAGGCGGCGACGAAGGCCACGACGAAGGCGTGCGTGGTGACGAACAGGATCTGGCGCCCGTACAGCTCTGACAGGGGGGCCCACAGGGCCGGCCCGACGGCGAAGCCCAGTACGTAGAGGGATACGCCGAGGGCGAAGAGTTCCCTGCTTGCGCCGAACTCGGCTGTGATCTGTTCGGATGAGGCCGAGTAGGCCGACGAGGTGAGGGTGACGGCGAAGACGGATATGGTGACGACGGAGGTGATCAGCCACTTCCGCGTGGCGGAGAAGTTCATGGGGTTGCGAGGGTCGCCCCGCCGGAACTCGACCACGAAGGGGTCTGAAAGCGTGCCTTGGCCATGCCGTGGGAGATGCTCGCTTTCCGTGGGTTTTCGGCGACCTGACTTGTCTTTATCTTCCTTGCCTACCAGCTCAGGATACTCTACCATATTGGGCCAGCAGATAATTAGCACTATATTGTCGGCACACAGCAAAGGCAAAGTGGAGTGTCTCTTGGCGCAGCAGCGACAACGGTATGCACCTATATATCTACATGTCTACCTAGCGTTACATGGTAGGATTCGATCTAATAGGGGGGGACCGGATCCCGGCAGTTATAGAGTACGGGACGGAACCGCAGATTATTGGCTAAAGACAAAGCCCCTGGGCCTGAAGCGGAAGTTTGTGGAACCTCTAGGCGGAACCACACATCATTGGCTCAGAGCATGACGACGTTGATTCCTCCACGCCTACCATTCCGCTCCTTCCACGAGATGTACGACACTGCGGAATGAGCAGCTTCGGGTGCCATAAAAAACATGTGTCTCTGTTCCAAGCCATCAAATACAAATGCCTAGCCCGTTGCAGTCGAGGAGGCTGAAAATCAGCGTTGCCTGCGAGCACTGTCGCTCCAGGAAGATAAAATGTGATGGCGTTCGTCCAGGTATGTGCAGTACATGTACAACACACACTCGCTGAGAAATCGGGCTGCGCTTCCGAGACTGACATTTTGGGATTCGCACCAGCATGCAATAATTGCCGGCGGAAGGTCGGAAGATGTACGTATAGGCGCGGGGTCGTCGCTGATCGCAGTAGCCGACCCCTTCCGCCGTCTTCGAGTCCGCTCCCGTTTCCGCATCCGCATCCGCATCCGAGCTCGGAACGACCCGATGGACAGGAATTACCGAGGATCCCCTCCGGCACTGTCCACGGGTTGTTTGCTGGCGAGGTTACAGCTGCCGTAGATGCCAGGCTTGGTCTCGCTTCGAGCGGAAGGCCGAGCTTGACCCCCATGACGGATGCTCCCCTGTTCGGCTTGCTCCCCCGCCGCCAAGTTGCCGATGGTACCGCCCATCGCGTGGAAAACGTGCTGCCTCAGCGCAAGCACGCCGACTACCTGATGGATATCTACTGGCGGCATATCCAGCCCTTAGAGCCCTTTCTCGAACAAGAGCGCTTCTGTCGTTCGTACCAGGCGCTGTTTGCCGGCGGCTCGCTCGAGGCCGACGAGCGCATCTTCGTCAGCACCCTCAATATAGTCTTTGCCCTGGCCACTCAGCTGCAGGAATGCATGCCACCCGAAGACAGAGAGGAAGCAAGTAACACATACTTCCATCGCGCGTGGGCGCTGCTTCGGCCCGAGACCATTATATGGGAGCCTGGGTCGCTCGAGCTTGTCCAGTGCCTGCTCCTCATGACCCGGTATTTGCAGTGCACCAATAACCCGCACCAGACCTGGATGGCCGTGGGATTTGCAGTGCGCATAGCCCAGAGCCTTGGTCTCCATCTCCCCGAGTCGCTACCCTCATCCGGTGCCCCCAAACGTGATAGCCGCCTGAGGCGGCAGGTATGGCAATGCTGTGTTTATATGGATAGGTGCGCAGAAAAGACTCTCCAACCTTGATATCCGATCGCTAATTAATTCATCTCCGACACAGAATCGTTTCATGGGTGCTTGGACGGACTTCAATGATACCCCTCGCTGTCTCGTCCGCTACGATCAGCGATGATCCAGGCTGCCAAAATAGCGAGGCATCAGCCAGTTATCTCACAAAGACTCTGGAGTTATATGAGATATGCAACCACATTATGCTCTCTCAGGTGTCCGCCGGCAGCAGCGTCGCAGATAAGCTGGGTCTGCCGGGTCTGTACCAGCACGACGAACCTTTCAGCAACGCATCACGGCTCGACGCATGTCTCAACCAGTGGGAGAAGAACCTTCCCCAGTCCCTCAGATTTGACGACTCCTTGGACGATGATGCCGACAATATTTCGCAGGCAGTTCATCTTCACCTCAGGCTCCTGCATGGCCGGATCTCCCTCTTCCGGCCAATGCTAGCACGCTACTGCCTCTCCCGACCCCAAACAGCAACAGGCGCCGCCCCCACCCCCGACCGCGGCCGCCTGTCCGACCGCATCCTCCAAGACTGCGCCTCGCTCTGCGTCGACAACGCGCAGAAGATGATCTCCGTGGTCGACGACAGGTGCCGCCGCCGCCGGCTGGCGGCAGACGGGGCCGTTGGCGTCGTGCCCTGGTGGTACCGCGTCTTCTACCTGCACGTGGCGGGGACGGTGCTGGTCGCCGCCACGCTGCGCGCCGACCTGTACACGCCGGCCCTGACGCGGTCCTGGTACACCGCCATGGCCGGCCTGCGCGCCCACGAGCACCTGAGCCCCTTCGTCCGGCAGTGCGTCGCCGCATTCCAGGCGCTGTCGGTTAGGATCTCGCCCGAGTCGATGCACCAGCAGCAGCACCAGCAGCCGGGAGGCGAGCGCGAGCGACACTCCGCATCGCCGGCAGAAGCGGCTTCGAATAATGCTACGTATTTTCAAGATGTGTTTCAGGAAATGGGGCTTGCGAACCCGGATAACTTGCTATTTGGCATGGAAGATATGTCTTGGCTGGGTAATTTCGAATTCCCTCTCCCTCCAGAGTCATGATCATGTCCAGCTGGGATCGCGATCCACCAGGGTAGTTGACCGCCGAGTGTGAGGGGCTTTTGAAATTTATTCAGGTGGTCCACAAGCCATCTAGAGGGTTGGGGGAGATGAGAGAGTAGATATCTGCCGAATGTATCATGTCTTATCGCAGGTATGTAGAGGCTATTTATCACCATCCACAAGTCTCTTGAAACTTGCAATTATGTGATCCCCGAGATTGAAAAGTATGTCCAGGAGGTGGAGCCTAACACTGGTTGGATGGGTTCATGAGGAGGGCGTGCTTATGGCAGATTCAGGGTCTCAGGGGAGAGGAATTCGGGATCCTCGTGCCGTGATCCTCGAACCCTATCAGAAAGGACACGACTGGGCCTAGTCTGGGGGAGCAGGAGATGATCATGTCCCTGGCCCCCTGGCAAGGAGGCAACTTCCCACCTAAATGTCATGGGAATGACATGGAGCGATGCTCCGGCATTGTGTCTAGCTTAGCGCATATAACTACATAAAAAACATCTCACCTCCTTCTCAACAATGTCAGTAGATACCTAGATCAAATGACCAAATGATTGAGATAAAAAGAAAAGAAAGAAACATGCCTAAAGAAAAATACGGAGACCAAAAAAAGATATTCGGAGTGAAAAGTACCAAAAAACGTACGTACAACACCAGGGATTCGCTGGTCGTCACCGACCCAACTACTAGTCTGGCCCTCACTGGCTTATCTATGGGAGAGCGGACGGGATCCCGAGTTCTCCAGTGGGTATGGTCGTACGTGGAAGAATACTATCTTTGTCTAGTATATATGTGCAGTTCCCAGAGGAGTGCGACCAGGTCTTCCAGGGGGCGGGGGTTTTTTTCCATTGTGTTTTTTTTTTTTTTAAAAAAAAAAAACCAGACAAAGGTTATCAAGTCGATAAGATTCAAACTATCCTAGGGATTCGAGAATTCTCTCGGTTTACATCATGTTGTGATAACCTTATTTCGTCCCCTTTTCCAGACCCGGGACTTTATTTTGAAAGCGTGAGATTCTCCGCTGGAGGAAAAGCTTCATAGACCTAGATGTGCTTTTGCTTCTGGGATAGGATGCCCGCCTATGACCAGCACCGCCATCGTCAAGATGACCGTCAAGACTCACTGGAAGACCTTCATCGAGCAGACCTAGACTTACGAGCCTTTCTAGAGCTATGTATGTCTGTTCCACATGATGCAGGGTTGGCCGCTGGGGGGTGGCAGGCCCAACATGTCGACGAGGCGGTCAGTTATCAGGGCCAGCTCCCACCGGAATTGGATGGTGGCAACGATTTCTACATTGGATGCGGTAGGGTTGCTAGTAGTACGATTATATTAGGGAGTTTCTCTGCAGGCATGCGCCATTTGCTCTGCAGGCAGGTGGCAAGTTGGCAACAGCTGTATTGCTGTTACTATTGTTATTTCCAGAAACGGCAATAGCGATGGACAGCAACAGCAGGAGTGATAGACAGCAACAGCAAGAATGATAGACAGCAACAGCAAGAGCGATAGACAGAAATAGCAAGGGGGATAGACAGAAATGGCAAGAGCGATAGACAGCAATGGCAAGAGCAATAGAAGACAGCAATGGTAAGAGCATAGCGACAGCAATAGGCAACAGTAAAGGCAACTGCCACCGGTGATGCACTAACCACCTGCCCGCGGAGCAAATAGCGCATGCCCCTAGAGAAATTCTCTTATGTTAAGGAGAGCTATCCAATGTAGCTATAACATCAATGCAATACACTCTTAGAAGGCAAAATCGCCACCACCGATCAAGCCGAAACCATAATTCTAGACCAGAATTCCCTCGCGGAAGCCTCTAATATCGATCTAGCGCTAGTGAACAGTCTATCTCAATCAGGTCTTGTCCCTCCCTGTCATATCTGATCTGCAAGGGCCCCTAGGGTTCGTGGTAAGAGATGCTGAACACTCCTCAGTGCTCGAGGACTGTACCATACCCGCCAAGGAAACAAACCCGAGCATAATCCCACCCACCCAACTGGCTTGACTCAGGCCATCAGCTGCAGCAGGCCAAGCCCAAGGCTCGCACTTATCGCCGCGCCCAGCGGGGATGACCTGCGCCTCGCGGCCGATGGCTCCTTCCCGGCCGCCGGGAACCACGGCACTACGACAATCGTCTCAGGCGTGGTAGGCTGCGGCGTAGTCGGCTTTAGCTTAGTCGGCACCAGCGTAGTCGGCTCCGGGGCGATCATCTTCCGCGTGGGCAGTTCAGGGGCGGTGGTGGTGGCGGCGGCAGGGGCGGCGTAGCCCGTCTCGGCGGTGCGCGTGGCGGTAGCGACCAAGCTGCGCTGTGCGACGCTCTCGACCGCGCCGGGGACGAGCGGCGGGCCGGGGATCGGGTACGTGCTGAAGGGGTCGTAGATGTCGAAGTGGATGCCCTCGTCATCGGGGGTGTAGAGCTCCGTGGCGGGGATGCCCTCCGGGCGGAGGGACCCGGAGCCGGTGATGCGCAGGTTGAGGCACTGCGGGTAGGCCTGGGCCTCACCGTGGATGGGGGCCTCGTGCAGGGCGATTATCTCGTGGCGCAGGACGTAGTCGCCCGGGGCCAGGTCGGCAGGGATGCGGACCAGCCAGGTGTCGTGGTTGGCGATCAGGGTGTCGGACGCCCAGCCGTTGGTGCCGCTGCTGGGCGAGTAGCCGGCGCCGTCGATCTTGAAGAACTCGAGCTGCGTCTTGTCGACCTCCTCGCAGGGGCCGTGGCAGTTGGCGAGGTAGTCGAGGACGGGGCCGTGGTGGCTTCGCGGCCACGGCTCCTCCCACTGAAGGCTGATCTCGGAGCCTGCGGCCACGACGGCGTGGCCTCCCCCGGGAGTGGCAGACCGGTGGCAGATTATATCCGGGTGGGAGAATTCCGAGGACGCGATGAAGCCGTTGTCCTCGCCATCATATGTCCAGCCGATGACGGTGGGCGGAGGGTGGAAGTAGATGAAGGTCGTGGGGTCATAGCCCTCCCACGACTCACCGTTCACGACGATGTTCGCGACGTGGCCATGCGCATTAACTCTGGAAACATATGCCAGTGCCGCGGCGAGGGTTGGAGTGGTGTGTCTCATGGTGACTTAATTACTTCTTGTTTTTTATACTCAGGGGCAAAAAGGTCCAGGAAGATCAAATAGTTTGATGTTTGGGATAGGAGAGGAAGGGGGGGAGACGGTCAATTTATACCACTACGGGGCATGGAATCGCCCGCGTATTTTCAGACAGATGCTCCTAGAGTTTCCATTAGACTCAACAGGGTGAACTGGGTTGAATGTAGTTAAAATAAACGTTGTGCTAGATCGAACTCTCTAATCGCTGCCCGCTGCTTACACTGCTTAAAACCCCCGAAATGCGGGTTCTTGGAAGTTTATTTTGATAGGCATCATGGGGAGAAAGCAGCAAGACTATTTATTGTGATTCCGAGGGCTCCAAGTGCTGGCATGGGCGAAAGAGGAGCTCCATCTTGACCATGGGGTGATGACAGCCAGGATAGTGACTCGGCGCTTTTCTGGCGACGAGGGACAGAATTGGGAAACACCAATGTTCAGCGTTCCCAGGTGACTTCAGTGGTTCATTCTTGGTGTTAGGATGCTCAAAGTCTGGATCTGTAGGTTTATTTAATTGTCCCTACCTAAAACCTTTTGTATCTCCGACCCTCAGGATCATTGCCGCAGGTGCTCCGCACGAAAAGCATCCCGATTTACAGTTCGGGAAGGTTACAAAGGTGCAGTGTGTCGGCTAGCTCAAAGTTTCATTGGGATCAAGGACAGGGAGTTCGTCTCGTAGTTAACCCTGACTCCATATATTCTAGACATGAGGTGCAAAGCTTAATAGCTGAATGACAGACAATTCTCTATATTACCACCAATCTAACAAAGTCAACGTCGATATTTTGGTACAGAAAAGCTTCAGTAGAGTGCCAACCTGGGGATATCATAACCATCGTGAGCGGGGAATCAGAAGCAACCCTAACGCCGAAGAACCGGCCCGGAAAACCCGGAAATCATATCACAAGCGCACCGACACACGGTCGCGCAAAGGGGGCGGGGTTTAGAACTCCCCGTCCCCACCGCCTCCGAGGACGCCTGCCGTCCACAGCCCGACAATGCCCCACCAGCTGACCTTCCACCCCCTCCACAGCCCCTCGAGCCCCTGACCGCGCCGGTACACCGTCTCGGCCACCCTCGTCTTGCCCTTCGCGCCGCCCTTCGGGGCCACAGCCTTTCCGCGTGCCGGCCTGGACCCCTCCTGCACGACGATGGCGCGCATCGTGCCGAAGACGCCGTCGAACCCACCGGGCGGCACAACTGTCTCGAGCCTCTCGCCGCCGCCCAGGCGCCTGCCCCTGGTGGCAGCACTTGGATCGGCGAGAAGGGCATAGGGAGCCGAACCGAGGACGGCAACCTGGCCGCGCCGGAGGACGGTCTCGAGCGGGAGCTTGACGAAGAGGGCGGCGGAGGAGGAGCAGAACTTGGCAATGGAGAAGGTCATGGGCGAGAGCTCGCGGTCGATCATGAAGCGAGTGCGGAGGACTAGGGGGGTCGAGAACGTGAGGATGGGGTGTATGAGAGAGTGCAGGACCGTCGGGAGGAAGAGGGCCGAGGGACAGAAGTAGGATGGAAGGCTGCGGAGAGTGGAGAACAAGCGTCGTGACGGGCGGGAGGTTGGGGTCACGATCAGACTGGGGGGGTTGTTAGCACGCGACTAGCCAAGAGGTTTGTTTGGGAGGGGTGAGGGGAGTGAATTGAACGTACCGAGTGCGGACGAGATCCAGCGGGGAGAGGATTAAGCCCGTTGCGACTGCTGCAGCCGCAGCGACGAAGAGCGATGCCCAGGGGTAGGGCGACGCGATGTCGATGAGCCGATCCAGATCATCCTTAACTCCCAGATCGGGCACATTGAACAGGGCGCTGAGGAGGCTACGCGACCAGTTCTCAAGCAGCGACTGCAGCACGTTGTAGATAAACGTGGCATTTGAGCCCTTCCACACCCCCCATCCACCCTCCTTCTGCCAGAGCTGCGATACGACTTCGAGGATCGAATCCGGCCTGCGAAGCACAAGCTGATGGGCCGGTATCACTTGGTTTGCCGCCGCCCGTGGCGACGGCAATGGGCTCGCCTGCCCTTGCCTCTGCGATCGGGGGTAAGACGGTGTGGGGGTGGCAGGAAGGTTCGAGGTGAAGTAGGCCGGCTCATCCGGGTCGGAATCCGAGTCGGGGAGCTTGAACCGGAGTTAGCAACTATGGAATAGAGGAATGGATGGGAAATGGCTTGAAATTCTATGCACATACATCGTCGTATATGGATGTCCTCCGACCTAGCTGTCTCTGCTTCGCGTCCTCGAATGGTGTCACTCCATCGAGGGTTCCCAAGTCATGCTGACTCCGGACTTGGAGAATTGTCTTGGCGACTTCGAAAGGTTGGGCTAGCAGGGCTGATGTGTACTTCCAGAGCAGCTCGTCGATCAGGTCTCTCACCGTCTGGATGGCCGAGGGGGACGGCTCGGAAAGATAGTCCTTGTAGTCCATGTCGGAGAAGATGTCGCGCGCCTTGGACGCGTACTTCCCTGTCGCATTGCCCCGAACCTGGGCAAAAGCATGTGGTCCTGGTTGTGCTGGAACCGGCTCTTCGCCAATGCTGGGAGGAATGTAGTACGGTCTTAGGGGATTGACCCCTTCTTTCTGATGCGACATGATCGTGTTGGAATCAACGATGAGCAGCCCATCCCCTTCCAGAATGTTGCCCGTCACCAGCTTTATTTTTCATGCATGATGAAATGAGATCACTCGGCGTCGTGTTAGATAAGCTTGTGGGGCCCGGATTAACTCATGGGTCAAGCTTAGGCCGAGGACAAGCCCATAGGGAAATTTTTCAATTCGAATTGATTTTATTGGCTTCTTATCGGAGCTTTCTCGCTGTCGCATTCACCGTGAGCTCCGAGATCTGACTCCGGGGCGAGCATTCACCAACACCAACCGACCAACATGCATTGGATTGCTTGCTACATTTGTCGACTCGCAGCAGTAGCCGTCCTTGTATAAAAACCCTCTCAGCCTTCGTCTTCCCTCGTTTTTTTCCCATGCTCATTTTCTTCCTTGCCGCATTCGACCGAGCTTGCTGGCTCTAATCCGAGCTCCGAAGAGCTCCCCCGATACCAAAAAAATGGCAACGCCTGCCAGGACGCTCTGTCAAGCCTTCCTCCGAGCTGGGTCGGTTGCCCGGCGACGGACTAACGGTATACCTCAACAGGTCCGCTGCCTCAGCAGACAGTCTTACCGCCCCAGTACCCCCCCAGCCTTCCGACAATGCACCAGCCCATCGCAACAATGCGCTGCGCTCCTTCGCCGGCCGCAGTTCAGGGCGATCTCGACTTCGAGGGCATTGTTGCACGGGCATATCGATCCACCGAAGCCAGGTGAAGAGTGAGTCAGCACAAAGCGCCCTCGTGCTACCCCCCAAGAAGCCCGCCGCTAACACTCTACCCGCCAGGCTCTACGTCACGTTTATCGACAAGGAGGGCGACGAACACAAGTTTGCCGTATCGGAGGGCGACAACCTTCTGGACATAGCCCAGGCAAACGACCTGGAAATGGAGGGTGCTTGCGGCGGTTCCTGCGCATGTTCCACATGCCATGTTATTGTTTCCGACCAGGATTACTACGACAAGCTGCCCGAGCCCGATGACGACGAGAACGACATGTTGGACCTGGCATTCGGCCTGACTGAGACCAGCCGCCTGGGATGCCAAGTCATCATGAAGAAGGAGCTGGACGGGTTGAAGGTGAAGCTGCCGTCCATGACGAGGAATCTGCAAGCTAGTGACTTCCAGTGAGGACTCATCATGGCTGGTATGGGCGCAGGTCCGAGAAAGGCGGTCTTGGGAAAACGCCGCGGCCAGGTCTAGGTGGCGTATAGACCCTAATTGATTTGGGCTGGGGCATCTTCATTTACCCGCATGTTCTGGGGTGTTCGGGAAGCTCGGTTGGGCGGAGATGGGACGCTGAACGGCCGGATGCGCTCAACACTGAGCAGACTTGTACTTATATACCGGGTATCGGCGCATGAGAGACTCTTCTAAAACGGTCGAAGCTGCCATCACAACTCCTACCCTGCTCCCTTCCAATGAATAGTGAAAATTCAAGCCCAAGGGTGATAAAGCAAAGGGCACGTCTCTGTAGGCATGTGCCATTTGCTCCGCAAGCAAGCGGCCCGTGCGTCACCGGTGTCAGGGGGCTGAAAGCATGGAAAAGAGATCGAGTAGCAAAACCGAACGAAAAACATCCAACTCATTCGCAAAGAGTGCCGTATCAACCATCCTTCTTGCTGAAAGTGATATAAGGACACGGAAACGGAAGTTCAAGGTTAAATTTAACCAGAAAAGACAGAGTGAGAACATATATGCTCAATCAAGCCTCCTCCAATGCACCCTTCTTCAACCCCCCTCCACCGCTCGCAATCAGATCCAGGAAGCCCTTCCTACTCATCTCTGTAACCTTCTCCTCCCTGCTCTTCACGCCCGTGATCCCCCCACTCCTCGCCGCCCTCTCCGCCTCGGCCGCCTTGACCTGCGCCGCCCTCACCGCATTAAACAACTTGACGACACCCCTCTGCGCGACCCTCCGCAGTCTCCGCTCCGCCTCCATGATCTGCCCCGTGGTCGCCCCCTCCCCCTCTTCCACCTCATTCTCCCCGCCACCGCCACCACCGACGGCATTGCTCGCGACGAGCACGTCGCGCACGCGCCCCTTGTCCATGGCGACGCGCTTCTGCTCGCGCAGGCGGCGGCGGGCCTTGCTCTCGAGCGACGCGTCGAGGGCCTGGCGCGAGGCCTCGTGCGCGGCGGAGCTGCGGGCCAGGACCGGGTCGGCGCGCCGCGAGGCCGAGAGCTTGGTCGACAGGATCTTGGTCAGCGACGTGGCGAAGGCGGCCGGGTCGTTGCGCTTTGACTTGGACATGCGCGTGGTGTTGGGGTTGCCGCCGCCGTCGCCGGAGCCGTCGTCGGAGCCGTCGAGGTTGTCGTACTCGTCGTCGTCGTATTCGTAGTCGGACACGTCGGAGCCTGCTTCTTCCTCCAGGCCTGGTGCGGCGGCGTTGGCCGTGTTCTTTGAGCGGAGCTTGGGCTTTTTGACACGCGCAGGGTCTTCCTCGCTGTCCGAGCCTGACCCCGAGTCGGATCCCGATCTTGTTGAGCCCACATCGTCTACTTGTGCGTTTTCAATGTCCTCGTTGTCCGAGTCGAGAAGATTGACGGCTTGGAAGTCATCTGCATTGTCCTCGACCTCGTCCGAATCGCTGTGGTACGCGAGCTGCTTCCTCTGCTTCTTCGACGGACGGGCAGTCTTTGATTTTGCCGCATCATCATGTGATCTCTTTTTGAATGCTTGCCCGGCCATTTTATGATGTGCGAGGCGGTTCTGCGTGAAGGTGGACTTGAAATACTGGGAAGTTTTGGGGTTCGGAAGAGCAGGTGAGGTCGAGTGTCCTGGTTTTTCCTTCCCCAGAAATTTTTGGCGGTGAGACCTGGCAGGCAGAGCTACCCCACCTTCCCCCTTGGGGCGACCACTCACACTCACAGAACAGATCCCTCAACATGATGGTGGCCGGTCCATTGTACGCCAAATTTTGTCGCCTGTATCATGGGAGACAGGAGTGACTTATCGTCAAATTGGTCAATTACCTGTGACTAATCTGAGCTTCTGGAGAGCATCCTGCCCCTGGATGACCCAGAGTGGCGCCTGAGCAGTGAAGCCAGATCGAAAATGCTTTCTGGATACCTACCGCTTGTCGTCCCCACTGAACGCGCACGAGCCCCCAACACCTTAAATGAGGCAAAAATGCAGCCAAGATGATACCATTCATTTGGATGCCGTATTTCGACAAGGCCAGAGTCGCCCGGACAGCTGATCGGCCGTGCTACCGGTTGAGGGCGGGAACTATACTAGATTCGCTTGTTAGCTTCTAGTTTGGTTATTTTTGGGTTTGATTATTGGTGTTAATTATTCTTCGACCCTGGCAATAGGGGTCTCACGAGCTAGCGTCTCGTACATGGGAGCCGCAGCCTGGAAAACTCATCTCGTATCCTCACTCACGACCAATCAAGACGGAGGTGCCGGCCTAGCAGGCTCTTGGCGCATTTGGTCCCCAACCCAACGGTCGACGAACTTTTCGACTCTACGAGATGTTCACCATCTCTTTCCATTTTCGTTGATATTCCAATCCTGTTCCGACTGACCATGCGACTTTCGTTATCGTAGCACCTTTTGCGTTGTTTGTTTTTGAATAATACCCCGTCTTCGATCATGAAGACATCCACTCGCTTGAATTTTTGGTTCGCGTTGGCCTGCTTCGGTCTTGCGCATGCACATGTGCAGTTCGAGTTCTCCCGTCGGGCTGGAAGCGCGGCGGGGCTGACCGGGCGCGACACGGCGTCGGCGTCGCTCTCCCGGGTCGGCTTTGCCTATGTCGTCAATGTCACCGTCGGCACGCCGGGACAGGAGGTGGCCCTGCTAATCTCGCCGTCTGCGGCTGATACCTGGGTCCCAGACGCCACCTCGTTGAGTTGTGACCCTATATACTACAACAACGAAGACTTTTATTATGGGGAATACGCGCTGGACGAGAATCTCTGTCACTGGGGGAGCTGTATGTTGATCTTGCGCGGGCTCCTCTGTTTTCTGCAGCCGCCTTGAGACTGACACTTGACAGTCAACATGTCCGAGTCGTCGACATACCTAGACGCCAGCCAGAAGTACACGTCTTTCGACGCCAGCTATGCCGACGGCACCTACGCCAGCGGGGTCAACGGCACAGATACCTTGAATGTCGGCGGCGTCGAGTTGGAGAACTTCCCGATCGGTGTCGTCTCCGTTTCAAGCCAGTACATCGGCGTCTTGGGCTTGGGCCCGAACACTTCGACGTCGTCCTACACCTACAACTACAACCAGTACAGCAACTTCCCCGACCGTCTTCTCCGGGCTGGCCAGATCAACACGAAGGCATACAGCATCTGGCTGGACGATGCGGCAGGGTCATCGGGCAGCGTCCTCTTCGGCGCCATCGACACCTCCAAGTACGAGGGCGAGCTGGTCCGCATCGATGGATACGCATCCTATGCCTACTCGTCCACCTTCGGCGTCGAGGTCAACGGCTTCAACGGGTCTAGCGACGCTACGGCTCCGTCTGAGGAGTTGGCGTGGAATGAGCTCCCCTTCGACGCCACCTTCGGGCCGGCCGAGATCATCTCGGACCTCCCGCAGTCCATTGCCGCCAAGATGTGGAGCCTCACCGGTGCGACCTACAACTACTCGATGGGCGTCGCAGTCATCCCCTGCGATGCCGCCAGCGGCGGCGACGACGGCGCGCGCTTCAGCATCCAGCTCATGGGCCCCGACGGGCCCGTCCTCGACGTGCACGCCAGCGACCTGATCGTGCCGAGGGACACGTCGCAGGGCACGGTGTACTGGTACTACCTGCAGCAGACGCCGAACCTGTGCCTCTGCGGCGTGCAGAACCGCACCAGCTCGTACGGCTCGTACACTTACTACAACCTCGGCAGCTCCCTCCTGCGGCGCACGTACATGGTCTTCGACCTCGTCAACGACGAGATCGCCCTCGCGCCCGCGAGGTTCGCCGACCGCCCCGACCCAACCGTCGTCGAGTTCGACAGCTACGGCGCGCCCGCGCCCTCAGCCACCCGGTACTGTGGTTCGGTGCCGTCGGGCTACTCGTACTCGTGCGACCCCCACTCGACGAGCTCGTCGGGAGGCGGGAGCGGCCGCGGCAGCGGCGGTTCGGGACCCGACCGGTCAGGTTCGAGGGGGTGGCGTGGCAACGGCAATGGCGTCGCCATCGGGCTGGGTGTCGCCTTCGGCATCATCGCCCTGGTCGCATCCGTGGCGGCCATTATTATCTGGAAACGCCTGTGCTGCGGACCGCGGGACAAGTCGGCCAAGGACCCGGAGGCGGAGACCGGGGCCGGGAACACACCCGTCGCCGCCGCGGCCGCGTTGGCGGCTGCTGCTGCGCTGGAGCAGGGACAGGGGCAGGGACAGCGCGGGTCCGTCGTGGGAGGCCGGCAGCCCCTGTCGACGATCCCGGAGTCGGACATGTCTGAGGTGCCCGAGTACCGTCAACCCGCGCTCCCCCCGAGGATACCAGTCTCGCCTGTCTCGGATCCGATCGATATGTCTTCCGAGGACGCTGTGGCGCAGGAGCCTCGAGCGGTTTCCCCCGAGCAGGAGAGGGCGTTGGGAGCGCACCAAGCGAAGAATGAATTAACCCAGGATAATGAGCATGACGAAGCGTAAGCGGCGGCGAAAGACAAGGGGAAGGGGAAGGCGGTCGAATGAACAAATATCTAAATACCCTGTCATCTATATAGTGGCATTCCCACGCGGGCAGCCGCCTGTAGTCCTAGCGTTACCGTGTGGACCGGAGGGGCTGAGATGGATCTGTGTGCCTCGGATTGGATAATCTACCTATATTCCACTAGCTTCCGCGGTATAATGGGTTAAGTTTGCCCAGTGGGTCAGGTATCCCTGGTCGATTTAGTGCGCTTTTCGATACCTGACAGGGGGTAAAACTTTTGCACGATACTGTAGCCCCGGCCCAACGGCCCGGTCAGCGAAGCGCGGGGTCCGTCTGCCTAACCTCGCTGACCGTCCAAAGTCACCGAACAATTATCCCAAATGATCTAGACGGTTACCTGACGAACCCGGCCCCAGTTGATTGATCATGGCACCAGAGGTCAGCAGCGCCTCTGATCCTTTAATTATAGCCGCACGCACTGGCCGCGTACAAGTCGCGAGACGTCTGCTTGCTGCCGGCACGCACCCCGACATACACTCTGCAGCAGGATGGACTCCTCTGCACTCGGCGTCGTGGAATGACAACCCAGAAGTCGTCTTGCTGCTCATACAGCACCAGGCCTCTCTCGAGGCCCAGTACCAACAACCAAATATATCACCCCCAGTCAGACGCACAGCATTACAAACAGCCGCACAACGAGGCCATGTTAAAATAGCCGAGATCTTGCTAGATGCCGGAGCCAATATCGAGGCCGGAGCCCCAGGATTCGCCACGCCGCTTGTTCTTGCTGCGAAAGGGGGTCACACGGCATTTGCAGAGTTGCTGCTCGACCGCGGCGCCAACGTCAATGCTCAATATGCCGACAACTGCACGGCCCTCCACGCGGCTGCATACACCGGGCACGCAGCCGTTGTGGACCTCCTGGTCCGGCGCGGCGCTGAGATCGAGGCTCTGTTCCGCAGCCGGTCGCCCCTGCACAAGGCAGCGGAGAGGGGCCATGTCGAGGCAGCAAAGGTACTACTCAATCACAATGCCAGTATAAATGCAAGGTCCGATTTCGGTTGGACGCCACTCCACATAGCTGCGAAAGAGGGCTATCCTGCTATGGTGATCCTGTTACTTGACCGCGGAGCGGAGGTCAACTGTCGATCTCCCTCGGGATGGAGCCCCTTGAACTTGGCTGCTGACAATGGGCACGGAGATATCGTCCGCCTGCTGCTCCATAATGGCGCGTCGCGGGAGACAATGATCGACAGACTTGGCTTGACGGCGCTACACCAAGCGGCAGCGGGAGGATATACCGACATCGTGGTCCTCTTGCTGAACCACGGCGCTGATATCGAGGCTAGAAGCCGGGATGATTCAACCCCGCTGCATCTGGCGGCATCTAGTGGACATATCGCAGTGGTTGCAACGCTGCTGGAGCGAAATGCGAATGCAAAGGCCAAGACCAAGGCTGGAAAGACGCCTCATGACCTAGCAAACGACAAACAACATCACCAGGTGTCTAGCCTGTTGCCAGCTCCCCCCGCAATATCTGACTTGCGTTTCGCTGCGATCAACCTGAACATGGAGAACCAGCATGACGGTGCAAGCTTTCTTGCCGCCGGAAAGTGAGCACCCACGATCAGTCCTGAGCCCAGTTCTGAGGAGCCCGCACTAACGGTATTTTTGATATCTTTCCAGGAGTGGCGCAGGCGCTTGGCTCAGCAGACTCGATGGCTACAATAGGCTTATCCAAGCTGCCACCGCTTCGGGAAAAGGGGCAGTGCCCCCGGTCAGAATTGCCGTGTTGGATACTGGATGCGATAGCAATGCCAGGTACTTTGGGATGTATCCGGACCAGCTGGATCGCATCCAGGGAGACCATTGGCATGATTTCGCGGGGTCCGAACCAACCCCAGTCGATGAAGACACGAATAAGCATGGCACAATGGTCTCGCTCCTGCTCATGAGAGTGGCTAGAAATGCCGAGATATTCGTTGCCCGGATCGCGAGAACGGGATCCGAGCTCCAGGCATCGGCGGACAACGTAGCAAGAGTAAGGGGTCAGCATCGACGAGATCAACGGGTTTTCCGAACTGACGGAAGCACACACAGGCCATCCATCACGCTCAAGATCCCACAAAATGGAATGTAGACATTGTCTGCATGTCGTTTGGATTTAGGCAAGAATCGCCACCGATCAGGGAGGCCATAGGAAGGGCCTTCCTCGACAGGAATAGCTCCATCGTGTTTTTCGCCGCCGCCGCCAACAACGGCGCCAACGAACGGGAGCTGTTCCCGGCATATCTGCATCCCGTCATCTCGGTGCGCGGTACGGACAACCAGGGAGCCTTTGTCAACGCCTACGATCCTCCCCCCGTGCCCATGAACGAGGGCCTTCCGCTCTATGGGACGCTGGGAGAAAACGTTCCGTACACGTCCACGGAGACCAGCTCGGGATGTTCGGTCGCCACGCCCATCATGGCCGGCATGGTCGCCATGGTCATGCAGTGGGTCGCTTGCAATGCGGCTAGCAAGCGCGCCCAGGAGAAGCTTCGGACGCCGGCCGGCGTGCTGGAGCTGCTCAAGAGCAGCGCGGTCAACAAGGGAAACAATCGTTACTACGCTCACATCTGGGACCTGTTTGAGAACGAGGGGAGAAACTGTGTTCAACTGGTGGAAGCGGCAATGCTACGGCTGCCTTGACCGAGCATGGAGAGAGACCTTAATCCCCGAGGTTGTCTCCGCGGGCAGGGGCATTTAGCTATTTGGGCAGGGGATTCAACTTTCCAGGCAGGGGCATTTAGCTATCCAGGCAGGGATATTTAAATGTTAGGGTAGGAGCATTTGGCTAGCCGTCGCTGTCACTATTGCTAAAGCACTCTTGCCGTCGCCGTCTCTGCTGCTGTTGCCATCGCCATCGCCGTCGCCGTCGCTTTGTTTCGTGCTGGCAGCTGGTCTTTTTCATGCTCCAACTGTCCAAATATTTTTGGCGGCCCGGAACCCCTGCCTGAATAGCCAAATGCCCCTACCCGCGAGACAAGCTCTAATGCCCGTCTTGCCCGAATGCGATACATATACATTCTGTCTGTCCATCCGCGACCGTCGTGTCCGTGATAGACGAGTTGATGGTCTTGAAATCTTGCACTTCAGGCAAGTCTAATTCCACCTCCGGCTCAGGATCCTCCTCGTCCTCATCATCGCCAAGGAACGCAGCCGAGGAGTGGTACTCGGCCAGCTTGAATGTCTTGTTCTTCCAGCCCTTGGGTTTGATGACCATCAGTTGGTATGCGAACACGATGTCGCCCTTGGAGTCAAATCCAAAATTGTGTCCCTTGCTAAACGCCACGCCAACGGTGCCTCCAACCGTAGCCGGAGAGCCAGCCGGACCCTCGGCTCCTAAAGTGCCGCCGTCCGCGGATGACCCGCCAGCAGAGAGAGAGAAGCCTCTCGCGATCTTGATCCCGGTGATCATGAACACGGGCTTGGAGAAGGGATTGTCGAGGCGCATGAGTTCCTTTACGTCCGGGTCTCTGACCCGCTCCTTGACCTGCGTCATGGTGGGCATGTCTGTGTAGTAGACAGTCTCGAGGGCTGTCATGTTGTAGGCCGTGCTCAGCCGCCTCCTGTGCGCCAATCCCAGCTTGACGCCAACCAGATCCACGAACTTGACCCACAGGCCAACAGTCACGTCGGATCCCGAGGCTAGGTGCAGTTGCCAGTTCTCATCCACGTGTCGCTGGATGGACGGCGAGGCTTCGGGATCCGGTCTCGTGAGCACCATGTGAGGCCGGAAGGGATCTGCTACGATGTTGCCGAGATCGATTGGACCTCCAGGGACGAAGGTCCAGTTCGGTGCGAGGATGTATGTCGGGTTGCTTACGAATGGAGGCTGCATTTTTTCGGTCGATCCTCAAGATCAGGTCAACCAACAGAGCGATGACGAGGCCCAACCTAGGTAGTTCTTGTGAAAGAAGTTCGGAATGCCGAAAACGGGGCATTGCCGACAAATGAGCAGAGCGAGGAGATGACTCCTTTGAGCCCCTTACCCTGGGACACTAACATCTGACATGCAGTACGACTAGCTAGGCGTAGCCAATCATGTTACCATTCCGACTTACCAGCCCTTTGGAGGCCTAGCAACTAGGCGGACGTGTCGAGGTTTCATTGGTCGTAAGGATGTAACCCTGCAGCAAGGGAATCCTGCGTAAGCTGCATTTTTGATTATTGATGTCTGGTGAGTCCACCACCCAGCCCTGTCCCCGGTTCTCCCCAGCAGAGTACACCTCGAGTGATTCAAAACGGCATCAAGTACACTAGGCTCGAGAAACGAGCATGGGCCTAAGCAGGCACTGGGGGTCTGGTCTGCACACTGCACACTGCACACTGCCTAGATACTCGGGAACGTTCATGAAGCGTCGGCGGCGGCGAAAGACAACGGGAAGGGGAAGGCGATTGAATGAACAAATATCTAATACCCTGTCGTCTAATATAGTGGGATTTCCACGCGGACAGCCTGTAGTCCCAGCGTTACCTGTCTGCTTCGGCTTGCAGCATTATTTATACCCTTATTTATACCATCATGAGGGTGTCGGGGCGTCATTGTTCTATTAATGTTCGTTTGTATAACAATCATTCAGAGTATTAATTCTGCCAGTGACAAGAGTAACGAATCGAGCCAAACCTCTCCAAATTGAGAGCGAGCTTGCTGGTCTGCAGTCATGCTCCAGGAGGATTGCTGGCCACCCAGAGTAGATATAATCGCATCCATGGATAGACCACATAGAGATTGGCGGCATGACCTTATCTCCCTTTTTCGCTTCCTTCTAGACTCGCTCCCCCCTCTCCAACTCTCAACACAGCATCATTTACCCATGCACCATGTCTTCTCAACCACCAACACCCCCGCCGCGAGATCCTACATCCGAGAGAACCTTTAGGTTCCACGAACTAGGCACGCCATGCGAATGGGCCGAGTCTTACCACCCCGGTGGATTCCATCCTGTTCATTTCGGTGATGTCTTTAATGACCGTTACGAGGTCATTCGGAAGCTTGGGCACGGATCTTTTGGCACCGTCTGGCTGGCTTGGGATTATTCGTGAGCCTTCGCCCCGTTCGCACCACCTGTCATCCAAGGCTGTGCTAACACTCAGACGCATCATGATAGCCTCTCTCGTTACGTCGCTCTGAAAGTCGAGGTTGCTAAACTGTATGGATCTGGGGAGCTTTCAATCCAAAATTTTATCTCAGAGAAAGCACCGCAAGACCACGATTCGCAGTTTATTGTTCAGCTGCTTGACTCATTTGTTCACGAGGGCCCGAACGGGAAGCATCAATGTCTGGTCCTGGAGCCCATGGGACCGAGTCTGTCGTCAGTTCTGAACGCTCCCGTGGAAATTTACGATCCTCTGAATCCTTCGTGGCCACGGTTTCCAAAGCACCAAACCAGAGCAATCCTCCGAAATGTTCTATGCGGCCTCCAGTTCCTCCACGCAAACGGTGTAGTGCATGGTGACCTCCAGTCTGGAAATATCTTGTTCGCTCTGCAGGACCTCGGAACCATTGGCCGCGAGCAACTACAACAAGATAAAAGCAACTCTCAAATCGACTCTCTGCACCGACTGGACGGTAAACCCGATAAATGGGCTCCCAGCTATCTTGCCGTGGCCAAACCACTTTCCGACTACACTCTCCCGGAAGAGGAGCAAGTAGTGAAAATAGCAGATATGGGCGGTGGTGCGTATCATGTCGCACAATCTACTTCTTGATGGTCTGTTGCAGCTAACTCTCATCCTTCTACTGAAGCTTTTCTGGCCAATAATCCGCCCAACTCTGTCGTCACGCCTGCAGGTCTTCGGGCACCAGAATTGATCCTCAATTGCCACCCCACTGGTTTCGGCATTGATATCTGGAGTCTTGGGTGCCTTCTCTTCGAGTTCCTAACCGGCCAACCACTCTTCCAAATACCTCCAATTGGGGTCTCCCGCGAGGGTGTCGATGATGGCCACCTGATACAACTCACCGACATCATTCATCCCTTGCCAGAAGATATGATCAAACAGTGGCCCAGGGCGTCTAAATACTACGGGCCGAGTGGCGAACGCCTCGATTCCAAGCCGTGGCATTATTCTTTGGGCGACGGGTCGGACGATGATACGGCTGACTGGCCCGATGGGGAGGGCGAAGCGCAAGATTCCGTGGGCGAGGATGAGGATCTGGATGAGTGCGAGGATGAATATGGCGAGGAGGAGGCTGCCTCAAAGCCCTACGACTCACTCGAGAAGTTCTTCAAGGACAGTAAGCCTGATGACATTGGTGAGGAGGAGGAAAGAGAAATTGTGGCGTTGCTGAGATGGATCTTCGAAATCGACCCGCTGAAACGCCCTTCGGCTCGTGGGTTGCTCGAGCACCCTTGGATTAAAGGGGACAACTTTTGATTCTAGTTACCTTCCCTAAGTACCTTGTGGTAGAAATGGGAATGTTGGAGCATGAGGACCACGAGAAGATCCAAACCATTTCAATAGAACCTCTCCGTTATATTTGGAAATAACAGCTTAGATGCTTGAAAAAATGCCGAAAATGCCTGGGCGCTGACGCGACACGAAAACATGGCTGATTGGTCACAGTTTCTGCATATTGTGCAGACATCACTGGCAGCGGCGACCATGGTTGGTCCTGATCGCCTTGGAACCCAACCCTCCTTCAATCGTCGTTCCTGACTGCGAATTTCCGACCCAGCAACCGTGCTTGTGCTTCTCCAAAAGAGACGCGTCGTGAAACATGTCGGCCAGGAGCTTCCTTCAACTGCTGGCTGGAGCTTGCTTCATCGCAGGCGCGGCCGGGGAGGGCGCTGGAGATGACTTCTCCAATAATCTGTTTTCGGACCTAGCACCGTACGTGTCACATTTTGCGTATCTTGCGGGGAAAGCTCTTTTGCTAACGATGGCCCCCAAATAGCATCCTTTCGTTGTTTGGCGAGAGGGTCACGATGCAGTTTATGAGCCAGAGCATGGGGTGGGCCGACAACGTCATCCTGGCAATGGTGCCCTTGGGCATCATCACGGCCATCGTCAGCGCTATTAGAGTCGGAGGTCCTACATGGCTCAAGGCCATCATCGGGAGGGCGAGGGAGAGTCGCGCTATTGTTGAATCCGAGTTGATGTCGTCCACCTCGAACGAAGTGTGCGAGCTCTGGAATGGTCAGCAGATTGTCAGAGTCATGGGCGAGGGTGAAATTCGGGAGTTCGTCATCCTCGTCTCTGATGAGTCGGACGAAACTACTCTTGACGAAAGGAGACCTGACACCCCAGCCTCAACGGCAGTCACAGTCGTGACGGATGCAACCCCGACTGTAGGGTCGGAGAGCCAGGACACCACCCATAGTTCAGCTGAGGGCAGTGAGCATTTAGACGGCACACAAAGTGCTAGTGAAAGCACTGAGGGTTCCGACGACGCGCAAAGTACCAGCGAAAACGCCGAGCATTCTAATAGCACGCAAAGTGTCAGTGAGACCACTGAGAATTCTGATGGCACACGGAGTGCGAGTGAAAAGCCTGGGGATTCGGACAACGACACAGCGGTAAATCTCGAGTTTATGGAACTGAGAGATGACGAGAAGAAAAAGCACCTCGCTGAGTACCGTAAGCGACCACTGACCATGGCAATCTGTTTCTGAAACCCGCAAGCTTACCTTACCGTTCCTCGCCCCATCGTCGCGGTTCCGTCACCAAATACCGTGTCCCCGCCGTCTTCCAGTTTCGTAACGAACTCAGCCGCCAGATATTGAAAAGGTTACGCCAGCCGGGGAATCGCACGCAAGCTTTGAACAGTCGCAAAACAAGGCCCACGATTCGAAATCCTCAAAACGTCCAGTTGCGGTCGTCCGTGACACAGTTGTCCACACCCCAAATATCTCACTAAACATTCGCAATAGAGCAACTAGCCGAGAGACCTACGTGGTTGCCGCATGTGGGACGATTCTTCAGATTTCCCTGCTCCTCGACAGCGGACTGACGGCAACATATCTCAGCGACAGCAACCTACTCCAAGAGAGCGCGCCGGCCAGTTACGCCTTTCCTTGCATCGCAGCGGGTACCTTGATGCTGGTATGCGGTATGTTGATTTGCGGCCATGTTGTGGAAGCAGCACATCAGAAAGGAGATACCGTCCAGCAGCTGGGAAAGAGGCTCGAGTTGCCTGGCTGCAAAGATCAGGGACTGTCAACGATCAGTCTTTTGAGTCGTTTGCAGTTTTCCCAACCAAGGCTCAACTTGTGATAACAACGTCGCAGAGGGTAATACAGGGGCGAAGCTCGACGTCTTTTGGGATCAGGAGATTGGCATTCTTCCGAGAACCAACCATGGAGATGGCAACTCTGGTTGCTACGGTAACCAGTCTTTGTGGCTTCGTCGTCCAGTTTGTGGGACTACGTGGGATGAACTGGACTGTGTCTGTTGCTCAACTTGCTGCGACTATTCTCATGGCGGTCCTCAGATCCTTGGTTCGTCGCAACCTCGCAGAAAGCCCGAACTCCCAACCACTTCCCCTTGGCCACGAACTGGACTGGTTGGCAATGACTCTTGGCAACCCTTCGAATGCTCCCTGGCTTCATCCTGACAAGTACGGCGGGGATGAGGAGAAGCGTGATAAATACAGCAGACCCTGGGCGGACCACGACGGCTGGGATTATGGTATCAAACCTCTCGAGAACCCCAGGAAACCCGCACCGGATTACAAGACTGCCGCTCGCCACTCAAGGGCCCACCGGGCGATGTTGATAAGACGAGATCTTGGTGCACTGGCAAGGTGGCGAGGGCATACGTCCGCAGAGGCCGTTGCTCTGGCCCGTGCGATCGAGATAGTCATGGACTCCCTGGTAGGCCCTGATCGTGGCACCGGTATCCTTACTTGGCATCTTACCTCGATGAGTTGTGATGTTCAAGAACCCATCGTGTTCCGTGTGGTCCGGGAATCCCGGTCGCGGGGATTATGGAAGGCTTCCCCTGACGAGATCGAAGCTGCCCTTTCGCTGTGGTTATACTCTGTTTGCCAAAGGGAGAACCGCCAAGAAGAGAATGCGTACAACCCGAGAATACGGCTCAGAGATACTACTCGGTCACGAAACCAGGGAGCACCGGGCAAAAGAAACCTCAGAATTATGGGCTCGATCGATGCGAGAAGCCTGGAACGAGACCTCGGCTGGTGGTTGCCTGACGACAGCTATACCAACGTACTTGAGCTCTCTCCCGAGCAAAGAAAATCGCGGGATATTGACTATGTTGTCGATGATGCCCCCCTGAGGTCGAGACGCATCGCCTAGCTGGTTTTGCACAGAACGCTATCGACAATCCGCCCACGGACATGGACATATGACTGTTCTGGACCCGGCGCCAGGTAGGTTACATAAAACACGACATAGACAAGGAATCAACTCTGGCGGTGGTTTCACAGGGTGACTTGAAGACATTGTATCTTCACCACATGTTCTCCGCCTTCATGTGGGCAGCGGCAGCGGTAATAGCCGAGAGTATAGTTGTATCGGGGGCTATCTTCGGAGAAGCAGAAATACGGACATTCCTTGAGCGCAAGGGGCCACACCCACATGCTTCCTGGGAAACGGATACATTTCGCAACGAAAAGCTCTCGACCTTGGTCCGAGACATTGAAGGTGCTGGACTTGGTTGCGTTACCGACATCTATTTTGGGATCATCCCGCCGTTGAGCGCGTGGAATCTGCAGCCGCCTGTTCACGCCATTCTCAAACGCGGGCAGGAACTTGGGCATCAGTTTGAGCAGCAAGGCAATTGGAAGAAGGCCGGCTCTACTTTCGTGCGGTTATTGAGGAGGACCGCCTTGTTTCCACGGGACAACAGCTCCGACATCGCATCCGAGGCCACGTCGCTCGTGATGGAATTCCAAAGGGCGCTTACTGCGACAGCCGTGTTGTGGGAGGGCCAGCTCTTCGACGACATGGAAATATCGGAGCTTATCATGTTTAAAAAATGGGTCACGGCTGGGGCGTCAAGGTACAATGACCCTGCCATCTTCCCCCGTCTGATGGGCTTGTACGAACGGCAAGGTCGCGCCTGGAAATGCGATCTGGTGGCACACGCTGAGAGCTACCCTGGTGTAAACCCTCCCGAATTCGGCTTTAGCGCGCTTCACGAGGCTGCTTGTAATGACGACATTGATGAGGACGAAACTCGGCGCATGTCATACCCTAGCCCCAAGGAGGGCATCGATGCGCAGGACTTTCTAGGCTGGACGGCGTTACACTACGCAGTTGCTCGAGGTTCCCACGACGCGTTCCACTCCTTGCTTAAACTCCGAGCCGATGTCAACACCCAAGACGTCCGGAGGCGAACACCGCTACACGACGCACACCGCCAGGACGACGAGCAGGCTGTCCGAGAGCTCCTACGAGCCGGAGCAGACATCAACGCCAGGGATACGGACGGCATGACGCCGCTCCACGATGCGGCCATGCACGGCTCGAGAAAAGTGGTGGCCGCGCTCATCGAAGCCGGCGCCGACATGAATATCACGGACAACGGAGGGAGGACTCCCTTGGCCTGGGCTGTATACAAGGGACATGGCGACCTCGCCAGGGAGTACTTCTGGGACGCCACCAACAAAAAACAGCGGGACAAGAACGGCAGGACGCCGCTGCATCTGGCTGCCATGGCAGAAGGCGTGATCCAAGACTTTGGGGCGCTCTTTAGCTTTCTCACGCCCGCCATCGACAAGGAGGTGAAAGACAGGAGAGGTTTCACGCCGCTCCATCTTGCCGCTGCCAAAGGGCATCTGGCAGCCGTCCAGTGGCTCCTATGGAAAGGGGCTAACATGGAGGCGAGGGATGAGGATGGGCATACGCCACTGGACCTCGCTGAGTTGAGGAAGGAGAGGAGTGAAGAAGAGGGGAAGGGGACGGCTGATGATGAAAGCGACGAAGAATGGGAATGGGAGCCGGGAACTGAGGAAGAGTGGCTGGACGAAAGTAGCGAGGAAGGAGAGGACGCCAGCTTCTACAAGATGCAGCTAGACCCTGCTACGATCAGGGGACTCGAAGGTGTCATCCAGGCGCTGATGGCGATCTAATGCTTGGTACAATGAAATCCAATTTTCTCAATCGGTGGCAACCCTTGATAATAATGGGGATCGTTGACGTCAGGCTGTCGCTCACATATTCCAGGTGCATCCAAACACCCAAAGCCCTGATTCTAAGACCATAAATAATCTTTACGAAACCTGAATTAATCAAATAAATCCAATGGCATCATTCATCGCTAAACACTTCTAGACATCATTGTACTGACCCTGTCCCCCCATCCCAGCTGTCAATACCTCCTTATCCAACCACCACCCCTTTCGAACAATCACCATCAACATGGGGCTCGATCTCACCGGCCGCTGCGTTTGCAATAAATTGCAGTACTCTGCCCACCTAGAATCCACCGACGACGCTCGAACCAGTATATGCCACTGTTCCAGCTGTCGAAGGGCATTCGGGACCAATTACGGCTTGACCACGAAGGTATGCGAGAGCTCTAGCACATTACAGGTGACAATGACAGTAGCCAGATAGGAAAGAATCTCGCGACCTTTCCCCCCGTTTGCCCTGCTATTAGATGCTAGTATTGAGCTTGCCGACTACGCTAACCTCGGCCTCTAGGTTCCTCTCAGCGGATTTAAGTACGAGAAGGGGGATCCCAAGCTATTCACGCAGGCGAATGGCGTCATCCGGGAATTCTGCGACACCTGTGGAACATTCATCTGCGAATATGGGGTCCGTGAACTCGAGATCTAGAGGGATTACTACCTCTCTATCCATTGGCCTCGACTAACGCGTGTCATTCCAGGAAGCTGCAGCCGACAAGGCCCGCTATATTCTCTGGGGCACCTTCAATGAGCCCGACAAGGTCCCTCCCAAGGGAGAGTTCTTCTGCGTGAACAGGGCGGAGTGGATGCCGGAAATCCCGGGTAGGATGAGCCTCGGTGGTCATGGTGTTATGGGTTATTTTGCGCTAATTAACTCGGCCAGATCTATTCCATAAACAACTGATCATGGAGTAGCAACACTCGGGCGCCGTAGTTGCTCGCAAATGCCATCGGTAATGGATGCTGAAGCTGAAGCTGTATGAATTGATGGTTCAACTATTAATTACCGATCCTCCCTGTTTCCACTCAATCCTGAGCCGGGTGTGCTCGATTGAGGATGATCTTTACTCGTTTTTTAAGTCAAGGGCAACGCTCTCACGCTCCTTTCATCTCAAATGATGTCTCGGATGGTAAGATCCCACGTAGAACTGAACCCAAGACTAACCCTAACCCTATCTGGACAAGCTAAGCTTTATTGAAACCCCCACGCCAAGCATTGTGGAGATTTCGGCGTGGGGGCTTAGCTGCCAACGGGCGGCTCCATCGTCTCACCCACATCCCAGTTGACGACCCCACACATCTCGCTTTCCCGCAGCCCTTCTCGACACTGGATTGCGCATAGTGCCGCTGCTGTGTTGCTGTCGGAGACATCGCGCATCTCATCTCTCTTCTTGGCGCCCATGGCCTGAGCGCTTGAGCTGTGGCTCCTTGATTACGCCCCGCCCTCTATCGCGCTCATTCCTGCTAGGGAGGATGAGCGCGTTCTTCTATGGCCACCCAACAGTCACCGAACGGCGGCAGCAGTAGCGGCGGCGCATACAAACGTGCGAGTCGCAAGGGCGCGCCACGAAAGTTTAGCTGCGAGTATCCCGGCTGCGACAAGATCTATTCGCGAGCTGAGCATCTCCAACGACACCAGCTGAATCGTAGGGAACCGGCAGCTTCAATGCATTGCCCCAGACGCCGTGCGGTCGCGCTGACATGTTCCTCTAGACACTCCCAAGGAAATATTCAAATGCGATGTGCCTGGTTGTGAACTGAAGTTTGTGCGCGCTGACCTTCTCGCGCGCCACAAGAAACGTCACTCTTCCTCATACATGCCGAGGAACCGACTTCCCAGCTTCGGCTCTTCCAAGGACGGTTGCGACCCTGGACTGCGGAGCGCGGCGCCCGTCTCCTCCCCCGATGGGGTTGAGCCGCGGGTGCCCCTGCCTGTTCCTCGTGATGCTGCTATCCTTCTGACACCAGACTCCACCACCAATCCCGTGGCCTCTCTCCCAGGCTCAGGCCCCTCGAGGATTCCTCTGCCATCGGGCTGGCCGGCTGCCCTCCCTGACCTGGCAGCCGTCAACATGATTGCGCCGGCAAAGGCCAGTTACTATCACCGCGAGCCACACACATTATCGGGCCCGCCCCCCGTCATCGCGTTTGGTGGCAGTCCTTACCCAACTAACCAATCCAACTTCGCCACCTGGCTGTTCGACCCCCAGGGTCTCTACAGGGACTTCAGTGCAACTCACATGCCCTTCCTCGAGGGCGGCCTCGAGTCGACGCTCAACAGCAACATCCACTATGACTACGAGTCGCTGACCAGTGGCCGGTCTCAGCTGGAGACGCCGCCCCGGCTGGCCGAGAGCGACGAGCTCATTAGCGAATTCCGCCGCAAGGAGATCATCCGGTGGTTCCAGACCTTCCGCCGGAGGCAGCCGAAGTGGGAGCCCCTCATCGCCAACCTGACCCACGAGAGCGGCGACGACCTGCCGGCCCTGCACCTGGAAATGATGCACGATTGCCTGCACGAGTTCTGGGAGTCTGTGTCACCGCGCCTGCCAATTGTCCACCAGCCCACCTTCCCGTGCAATCGGTGCTCCGTCTTCCTGCTCATGATCATGCTCGCCCTCGGCGCCGCCTCACTCCGAGGCCGAGACTCGACCCGCAACCTCTCCGACTACGGCAACTTTGCCGATTTCATCATCGACTGCGTCCGGTGGGAGATACTGGTCCAGGAGGAGGCCTCCCCGCCCGTCAGCCTCTGGGTTGCCCAGTCCCTGCTCCTCCTCGAGTTCTACGAGAAGATGTACTCGTCTCGACGACTGCACGAGCGGGCACACATCTACCACACGCCGACGCTCACGCTCCTTCGCCGGGGCAGCCCGCTCATCGGCCGGTCCGGGAGCGAGTCGCCGCCCGAGGAGCACGCCTCGACCGACAGCCTCAACGCCGTCGGGGTCGATTCGCGGACGGCCTGGACCCGCTGGGCGGACACGGAGGCGATGCACCGCGTCGTGTTTGCCGCCTTCATGATGGATATCCTGCACGCCGCCATGTTCGGGCACGCCGCCGACATGGCCCCCCACGAGATCCGCCTCCCTCTGCCCTGCGACGACAACCTCTGGACCGCGCAGACGCCCGAGGCCGCCAGGCAGCTCGAGTCGAACCTGCGCATGTACGGCATCAGATCCGTGTCCTTCCTCGACGGGCTTAAGAAAGCGCTGCACGGGAAGGAGGTATCGACGCTTTCCTTTGGCCGCATGATCATCATGTCGGGACTCCTCAGCGTGGGCTGGCACCTCAGCCACCGGGAGACACACCTTAGGTGGCTCAACCTGACGACGCCGTCGACAGAAACCCGGGACAACTGGAAACAGCTCCTCCTCCGGGCCTTTGACAACTGGAAGGAGAGCTTCGACGCCGCCCAGGGCAGCACAGGTAGCCCCAGCCACGGCGCGGCGGCAGGCACCGCCGACGACGGGCGAGCGGCCTCGTCGTCGCCGTCGTTCAACGGGCCGATCCAGAGCGCCGCGGTGTTATACCACCTCGCGCACATCAGCCTACACGTCGACATCGTCGACTGCCAGGTCTACGCGGGCGCCAAGCGGCTCCTCGGGCGGCGCGTCTCGACGCGGGACCTCGCCAACGTCGCGTCGCGCATGGAGGCGTGGGCTCGCCTGCCCTCGACCCGCCACGCCGTCCTGCATGCCTTCAAGCTCCTCCACCGCGTGCTCGTCGACCCGCGCCGGAACCAGCTGCTTGTCCAACACCAGCAGCACCTGCATCAGCACCAGCACCAACACCAGTACCACCACCCCCACCAACATCAACACCATCACGGCCACCACCTGCATCACCAGCACCAGCACCAGCAGCAACACCACCCGTGGCCCACCGAGCCAGACCCCCACCGCCCCTGGATCGTCTACTACGCAGCCCTCTGCATCTGGTCCTTCGTCATGGCCCTCCGGAAGTCCCCCCCTCCCCACGTCACCGGTGCCCGCGGTGCAGCAGCCCACCACCCGTCCACCGCCGCCGCCGGAGGAGGAGGTGTCGCGGCGTACCTGTCGGCGGTGGCCGGGCTGTCGGAGCTGGGCGAGCCCGTCGCGGCCACGCTGGCGGACGGCCTGGCGGAGCTGCTGGACGCGCTGCGCGGGGTGCTCGCGGGCGCGCACTGGGAGCTGCTGCAGGAGGCGAGGGAGCGGTTGGGGGTGTGTAGGGATATGCTTGTGGGAGGGGAGGGTTGATGGGGGGGAACAGGAAATGGGTGGTTTTGCCGAAGACTATGATGTTAGCAACGCCAGCCTAAATGTCGGGCTTGACTGGATGATTAGAGTCCATGCCAGTCCGTTTAGCTAAGCTTCAAGGCACCTACATCGATTTGACATTAAAGGTGTTGGGGTGGCGTTCTGGAGGACTTGGAGATCTTTAGTCATGAAGGTTCCCAATATTTAAGCATATTCACCTCTCTGCTTGGGGCATTAGGGGCTACGTAAACTAGCGACAGAACGGTACCGCGCTCGCATTACTGGCCTGGTCCACTGGCAGCCGCTGCGGTGACCTTTTTCGGGGCTTCAAGTTTGATGACTCGCCCCATCTTGACATAATGGGCCATGATGCTGCGCAGCAAAACCGCCTTAGCAAAGTGGACCTGCCCCTCATCATCCACGACTTGGATGCGCTTATTAGCCTCCTTCTCCAGCTTAGCCGCATCCTTCCCCTCTATCTTCCCGGTGACGTCGAGGTCGCCGAACACCTAGCGAGAAGACGGGAGTTATTAGTAAAGCGTCATTATTTCAGGAAGTTGAACTGCAAATTTCCCGACTTACCAGAAGTGAACTTCGCTGCCGAGTCATCATCACGGTGAGCCGCTCATTGTCTGTCGTAAACCCGGGCCCCGATTTCTGGGTGGTGCCCATGACCACCACAGCGATCTGGCCCTCCCGTCCCTGGAAAGAGTCGACAGTGGCCGCCAGCTGCATCGTGTGCAGGATCGGGTATTCTTTCCGAACCATGGTATTGATGCATTCGACGTTCATCTTGTACGGTGAGATGGACACGACGACTTTGCTGGGGTCCACGCCCGACTTCTCGACGAAGTCGCTGATGAAGTCTAGGGCCAGGCGGGCTTGATCGGGGTTCTTCTTGGACCGGGTGACAGGGTCAACAAGGGTATATGTACCTTTGCAGTTGACGAAGACTGGTGCGAGGGTATCAGGCGGAGACGGCTTCAGGCTGGGGTACCTCTCGGTCAGGTACGCCTCCAGTCTAACCCCATTTGCATGGTGGTGGCGACTAATATCGCACTCCGGACCGTATCTCAGTGGGAGATTGCTGTAGATGAGGCGGTGGATCATGTCAAACTGACCCTTCGCCATGCGAAGCTGGGTCCGGAGCCGGTAGACTGGAAAGCCGCTTTCCTTTAAGAACCCTAGGACTGACTTTTTGGCGTCCAGTCCATTGCGGTTCAGCGAGTTATTATGCTCGTCCATGTCAAGGAGGGCCATTACGGCCGGCTGAAGTTGCTTCTAATCGCCAGCCTGGAGAATTGGGAGAAGGGTATTGCCCCAGACCGCATAAGCATCCGGACGCCCCATATTTCCAGCCTCGTCGATGGCAATTCCCTGCGCGGTCTCTCTGTGCCAGCGAAAGTATGGCTGGTCCTCTTGGCTAACGGCGGCCGGGACAGTGAAGAGCCCATCCGCTTCAGCAACAATGTCTTCTAGCAGCGCGCGGATCTTGTTGTCGTGCACGCCCTTGGTGCTCACGTACTCTGCCCAGTCAATCTTGCCTGTGGCAACGTCACAGAGGGGAGCCAACTCCTCAGCGTTGTCTATCTTTTCACGCAGCGAAAGGAGGGATGGCTTGTCGCCTGGACCGAGACTGGTCTCGATACCCTTGTGGCGGAGCACGACCAACAGCCAGAACGTAGGCGAGAAGGGCAGCTTCCAATGCGACTTCTTCCACCGTCCATGAGGGGCCGCGTTGTTGGGGTTGTCAGGGAACTGGAGTAAGTGCTTGAAAGCCGCGATCTCGTGCTCGATCCTGTATCCCCGGACAATGAGGCGGCGATGGAGAGGGACGTGGGTGGGGTCGACCTGCTGCATAGTCTCGTTATAACGACTTGTGACCCGTGCATCGACCTCAGCGACGCGCGCGGCGAAGTTGTCGACGGCGCCGTGGCTGGGTGCCGATCCGAAGACCTTGCCGATCCTTGGGTTGGCCATCATGCCGACGACGCCGGCCGGATGGCGGTCGTCTTGCCATAGTTGCAGTGGAGTCAGATTAGTTCTAATATCGAGTCAAGCCGGAGGTGTTTGCACTTACCCGGCAGGCACTGTGATGAGCCCAACCCCAAGTGGTCTCTCGCTCATATACGCCTTGAACCGGGCGCGGTCATCCACGAGGGCCTCCTCCAATAGGGATTCGAGATAGGCCGCGTTTTTGGTGTCAAAGAGACTGACTGAAGGAATTGGTCTCGTCTTGCGGACTTCTTTCACCTGCTCGCCGCCGTCGTCGATATTGACAGCGTTAAGGGCGGTAGTGATCTCGATGACGGCCTCACGGTGGGGTCTGCAGCTCGGCCAGAAGCCCGTGCCTCTCATCAGGTCACGCTGGAGCCGCATCATGTGTTCGACGTCCGCGCGAAGGTCGACCGGGGTGAGAGCAGCATCCTGTCGGTCACGGCAGCCGACAGGGTTGAACGGCTCTGCGCCAGGCAGAAGCAGGCAGGTGGCCTTGACTTTGCGTTCAGCCTCGTGGAGTCCCGCGTCGAAGTCTAGGGCCGCGTAGTTCTAATACTCGTCTGCTGACTTCTTGGCTTGGAGGGCGGCGCTACGGCTGTCGTGTCTTGACGTCGAAGACGCTACCGAGGGGTCGTCGCACAAAGAGGACTAGTTCATTGTCGGCGACGGGATGCTCAGCGAGGGCTGGCACACCCTTCGGATTGTCCACGAGCTTAGCCTGCCAATTTACCGGCGACGGGTCCTCTTTATCCTTGAAGAGGCGGAGGAAGAGCGAGTCACACTTGCTTAGGCGGCGCCAGGAGATTTCGAACTCCGAATAGAATGTCGGATTCAGAGACACGATGGTGTAGAAAGTGGACATCTGGTCCACGGCGCCGTGGCCCGTCGTAACAAAATATGCGGAGAAGTTCCTGTTACGGATTGTCTCGGCGTCCTGTTCCAACCAGAAGGTATCTTGGACGACTAGAAAGGTCAGTGTCGCGGTCAGTGTCGCAGGGCGTTTAAGCAGGAGGATGTCACATACCAGACTGCGTCAGGCAGGCAACATGCTCGTTGTCATTGATAAAACGAGAAGCAGGTGCAAATTGGTGGCCCTTAGTTTTCAACAGCATGGTCTTGTATCGCGCCATGTCCCAGGAATGCTCGGTCCCATAGGGATAGGAGAACGGGTCGCCAAGCGCCATGGGGTCCCATGCAAAATCGACGCTGTCAGCCGTTAAGCCAACCACAAAAGCAAAATGCCGCTGCTGCAAGATATCCAACAGGGTAACTTTGTCGATGATGGCCTCGTCTTTGTTGATCCACCCCTCGCTAGGGTGGCCCGGATTGGTGAACGGCATGCCAAACCCCTCGACAGTCACCTCCGCGTCGGCGTGGACATCAACAATCAGGATAGTGAGGTTCTTGCTAGCCTGAACGGCAGAAGGGAGGTAGTTCCTGACTGTCATATCCGCGGATGAGCGGCTGAACTGGCCGCGGGGGAACTTGACCGTAATCCGGTAGAGGTCGGTTGGGACCATCCTCTGATTTCTCCGGTCGAACGTGTGGCAGACTCCAAAGCCTCTCTTCAAGGTCAAGCTGGTCGCCAAGAGGGAAGTCCAGCGTGAAACCCAGCCAAGGATCACTAGACGTAACGTCAGCAAACGATACTTACACTAGATGCCAAGATGTGCAACTAACGTGTCGGGCGACAGGGACGTAACGAGAGACACGACGATCTGGTTGGTGATCTCGTTTGGGACTGTAACAAGAGTTAGCAAATGCTACATTTGGGCACCAAAGGAGATGTGAGGCGTGACTTAGGAGCTAACACTCATTCTTATTGCTCCCGTGCATCATCTCACGGCTTCCAACGGAGGAAAAACAACTCACATCCAAGTTTCTTGCCGCCGATAGCTGGACCTTGGCGACCGCCATGCAGCAAGACGCATTCTTTTGACCAGATGCTCCGTTGGGTAAACTTGCCTGCGGGAGCCCCGTCGTTGGGTTGCTTACCGGGCTCGCTGGGTTGCTTTCCAGCGCCTTTCTTAGGTCCAGGCTGAGGCATGGCGAGTGACGGAATCTGGATGCAAGTCAGAATACATGAGGGTCGCGATAGGATACTGTACATACAATGGTATGGCACGGAGCTAAGATACCAGTCGTTGTTGAGAGGGGTAAAGGTGCTCGACGAGCAAAAAACCGGGCGCTACACAAACCGGGTCAATGACAAAGAAGATGGCAGAAGCCAAGACGACGCCGAGAGAAGTCTTCGGTATCGGGAGATACGCTCGTTTAGGACGAGCAAAAACCGGGCGCGTTAGCGAACCGGTTCGATCCCGAAGACAACAACAGCAGGACGATAGGCCGTATCTAATAACTAAAGTGAGAGGCAGTGTCTAAGATACAAGCTCTTAGGCTGCCTTACCCACGCAAGAATGGGGATAAACACCTAAAAGTCGGAGGGGATCGGAACTGCAAGCAGTTACCTATCGCACGAAGTTTGGTGTTGTTGAGGATGAAGCGATTCTCGCGAGCAGGAGGCAAAATAAAGTTTTGACCAAAGGCATCAATTTGTGTGCGTCACGTGGATCCGTGGCAGGGCTTTCGTTGCAAGTTACCTACCTAGGTACCTAGGTACCTAGCAACATCCTGGATGGCACCTCCCGGCCCGGCGCCCTGTTTCTAATGATGAGCATACCCTGCCCCTACTCTTCCGCTATTCCAGCTAACTTGCCACCTTCCAAAGCTAGGTCTTGCGTGGGTGTTCCTCCTTGACAAAGCAAGTTGCATGTCAGCCTCATTCTCGTCGGCCTCGGAAGATGCATCGCAATGGTGTGTAACCCCCCAACCTAGCCCCGAGAACAATAACTAAAGAACTGATACTGACCTTGACAATCCAGGTCCTAATCTAGACCAACTTAGCTAGCGGCGACGGCAAGTACTATGCCATCGTTAGGGCCATCAACTTGCTCCTGCAGATAGTCTTCTTTGCACCCCTCGCAGTCGTCTTCATTTGCATTATCAGCCACAACACCAACCCTAGCAACCCCGCCAACGCCGCCTCCTACACCCTTGTCGCCACCAGCATGGCTGCCTTCCTCAGCATCCCCCTTGGCACCGCTGCCATTACACGCTTCTCCCTCCACGCACTCGCCGGCCTAGCCTGGTATTACCGCGTCTTCCTCCCCGCGACGACCCTCTGGTTGCTCGTAGGCCTGCTCTACACACCCTTGAGGATTTGGTTCCTGTTGCCTCTCCCCCGGGGATGGACGAGCTTCCTCCTCTCTGCGGCCGATGATACCCAGGCATACCACGGCCACCAGCGAATTTTTGCTCGACTACAGATCCTCGCCTTCACAGTGTTTGCGCTCCCGGCCTCGCATATATATATATATATGCGTCGAGCATCCGGCAAGGGTGCGGTCGGAGGATGCAGTATTGTTCCACCCCTCTCCCAGGGGAAGATATCCGGACTACGACGACGATTATAATGAGGGACGACGATTCGAGTCACAACGGGGGCAACTTGTGGCCATGGTCGACAGGGTCGTGGGAACGGGTCGTGGGATTTATTGCGTTTTTGGGGGGGCGAGGGCCTGTAGCGCCTGAAAAGGGAGGATTGGATATGGGATGGATATGGGATGGATATGGGATGGATAAAAAGAGGTAAGCCACTTTCTGTTAGCGAGGTTGTATTAACGAGCATAAGGCTAGGAACATGAACCAGGTAGCATTGTCTTTTGGTAATAGAGTCTCGTTTTGAAATAGGGTTACCCGATAATTGCTGCACAAAGGAGATCAACTTCTTTCTCACCAGAACCAATGCCTTGCTAGGCAACTAACTTGTAACTGACCCTGCCATTGCGTCTAGGCTTTTGTCTGTATCTCCACTCCAGCTTCACCATCTTGTTGGCTTCTGCTAAGCGTCTCTGTCCATCTCTCCCCTACAGCCGGGACTTACGTGCCCGACGAAATATTAGCTTTAGCACCAATCCCTGGCCTGTCCCCTGACGATCAGATACCTCCATATCGCCCGGAACATCTCGGCTAGGCTGCGGCGTCAGCGCACTTGTTCATAGGCGCGAGCAAGCACGCACGTATAACCCGCCCGTCTCGCTACATGTCGTTGCCTGGGGCCGGTCATGCTAATCCTCGGAGCAGTCTAGGACAAGCGTCACGCTTCCCGTAGCGTTGAAGGTGATGCTGCCAAGCCCCTCTTTATCAGGGAAACTTTATATGCCAGCGGCTTCACACGGTCGAGACCTACGGGTGGGCAGCGTCGGTGTCGTGCCAGGTCCAGGTCTGGTTGACGACGAGGAGATCGGTGGTGTTGCCATAACTGCAGGGGGTCTCCACCGCCTCGTCGGATCCCGGACTCCCTGGACCACTGTCGACCCAAAAGCACTGGGCGGTGCCCCAGCTGAAACATAGCATCGTGTATCGGTTTGCGTTGTTTCGCAGCCGGAAGTTGAGGCTGTCGGCGTTGTCGGGATCCGAGAGGTTGGAAACTAGCCTGAGAGGGACCAAGACGAGTTAAGGGACGCATCAGTGCAGGGAGGGTCGGTTGATCCTGATCCTTGGCCACGGCAAGAGTCAAGAACCAGAAAACAAATACGGCTAGCATGAATCGACATTCATCTAGTTTGCGATGGCTTTTCTTCCCTGCTAGCCACTCTCCCTTCCAAGAAGGCAACATGACGGATTCCTCCCTCGCGTCTCCTCACCTCCCCGCAACCAATTTAGTCGGGGCTAATAACGCTGCCGGATATACAGGTTGAACAAACTAGATATTAGGAAGTATTGTATACTAATACGTATTATTATCTCGTCTAAAGAAACGAAAGCGCCTTGTTTAGTCGCCCTGACGACATACTCGAGCCAGTGTGGACTGTCCTACACGTGGGAATGGACATCACACACCAAAACGGATCATTTGTAGAATGGACAGGGTGTGCGCCAAGCGCCCATTAACTTCATAAGTCTATCATCTCCAGCCATCCACTCACACAGCCTCAACTCCGGTCAGCATCCCCAGCAGCATCAGCATCCCCAGCAACATGCTCCTCCCCGTCCTCCAAACTAACCTCCGCCGCCGCCTCACCCAGCCCTTCCTCGTTCCCGCCCTCGATCATGCCCGACTGCTCCAGAAAGTAGTCCACGATGTCGAACTTCTCGCCGAAGCTGGCCAGGTCCAGGGGCACGTAGTTCTTGTCGTTGGCGAGGGCGGGCGACGCGCCGTCCCCCATCAGCAGCTTCACTGTCTCCAGGTGGCCGCCGAGCGCGGCCCAGTGCAGGCCCGTGTTGCCGTACTCGTTCGGCGCGTCCAGGAACGCCTGTTTCTCCTCCTTTGGCCGGGAGGCGAATTGTTCGAGGAGCAGTTTGACAATGTCTGGGGTCTCGGGGTTAGCTTTTTTGTCCCCACCACGACATCTCATCCCCCCCACCCATGGAAGCACGGAATGTGAGAGAGCAGAGTAAACCCCTCCACCACCCCTCAAGGCTTCCTTCCATCTCCCCGTCTACAACATGAGATCTCATACCTAGATGCCCGTTCCCAGTCGCCATATGCAAGCAGGTGGATTTCCCTCCGTCCTTGGCGGCCACGATGATCTCCGCCGCCGACACCTTCTCCCGCTCCGCGAGAGCCGAGACGAAGGTCTGCAGCTCGTCCTTCTCGCCCGCCCGCGCAAGATAGATCAGGTCGTCGACCTCATCCTCGCTCATCTGCGGCAGAGCCATTGTGTTGCTTCTTTTTTTGACAGGTGTCTACTATCAAAGACTTAGGTAAGTTCGTCCCGCGAGCCGGTAAAATTTTCGTTCAAAAGGCCCAAACAGTGTGTATGTGAATGCCGTACTGTGTTATGTTCGACGACTACTTCGGCTTGGGAACTTGCGATATGTGAGACAAAAGATGCCAGGCCAGTCCAGTGCCTGCACTCAAAGTCCTACAATACCCTCCGCCTTTTTGTGGGCGACTCTTCCAAGCTAAATTCGGCTTCCTCCTCCTCCTCCTCCTCCTCCTCCTTGGCCGCCTCCTCCTCCTCCTTGGCTTCCTCCGCATCATTCTTGGCTTCCCCCTGATTCTCCCGCTCGGCAGGCGGGACTATTTCCCAGCCAGCGTCAATAAGAGGGTCGAACGCATCGGCATAGATAAGGAAGTCGTTGGCTTTCTTGGCAGTCTTCGACTGTAAGTCTGCAAAGTGCATCATGGCGCAGACTTCACCACGCTCCAAGACTTGTTTTTGAGTATCTTTCTGCCTCTTTCCATCTTTGCACCTCAGAAGAACAGTACCGCAGACGCTATCTCGGATGTGTGGTTCTTTGGTCATTACCGGAGCGTTCGTAGTAAATACCCCTTGCTTAGCTCTGATGTAGGCGACAGTATGGGGGGGTGCTAGGTGCTCCGCACCTGCCGGACTGTAGAGGTGGGGGTGTGGCCTGCCGGCCCTTCGTTCGAACACCGCTCGCTGTCCAAATCCTTTCAGGAATTGCTGGCCTGTGACAAAAGAATCGATCACATAGACGTCTCGCATACTCTGGAATTTGCTGTGGACCAATGTCTTGGCTATTGCGTTTGTTTCCATGAACGTATTCTCGAAAACAATGCCATTGTCCAACTGTGCCAGAGCAATATCAGTGTCGCCGACTCGCTCCGTCACGATGCCAACGGGTGTACCAGGGTTGCCGTTCACCATGCCTTGTACAACTTGGAAGAGTCTTCGGGACTCAGCGTCTCTTCCGCCGAATATTCCTGGATATGTCTTCGCATGATCTTCCCAGTTGTGAAAGGAGCAGGTAAGCCGTTGTTGTTGACCCTTACTGACAAGTACGCCGGCCGAAATTGAAGAGTAAACTTGACCGTTTTTCGCAATGGAGTTTATCATGGCACCCGGATAGAACTTGCCTGTAATTAAAGAGAAGATATTGTCAGCATTATGGAAAAGGGTAAGGACTATGTTTGGCTAGCTTGAACTTACCATCTGCTTGTACATAGTCGGTCTCATCAGCTACAAGGGTGTCCAACCTTGCTGGTTTTGGCTTCACAGCCAGAGCTCGTCTTGGGGTATTTGGCAGTGGACCGTTATGGAATGTCAGATGGACTGCGGCTCTTTCGATGTCCATGGGAAGGGTTTGAATCCGTTTCGCGAAGTCCTCATCGCTTGTCTTTGGTAGTTCCACAACCAGTCCGTCCCACATCATAGATATGGCTTCGCAGTCGGGAAACACATAGTTGGCCAGATAAAGTAGAACCTCATCAGGCACGGCTTGATGTTGATGAAGTTTGTCGCGTATGGCTGGGTCAATTTGGATAGGTTCTCCCCAGCCCAACTCGCCGATATGCGGATCGAATCGCACTTCATCCTCTGTTTTCCAAATGGCAATACAGCCGGCGATAGAAAAGGGACGTTTATCATCGGGAGGGAGCTCCCCCTCGCATCCAAGAACGAGGAAATGATCACAGTACAGAATCTCCACAACATTGTAGTGATGATTCAAGTATCTCTTCAGGGCGTTGTTGTATTCAGTCGAGATATTGGCCGTTGATAGGGATCCGTCAGGACCCCAGAAAGAGAATTCTTCGAAGTCAAGGGCCGCATTGGAGAGAATAGACTCCTGAATAGGAGTCACAGGATTGTCGAGCGTCATGGACTTGCGGCGTGCAGGGAGGACAACAGCCTTGGGAGTCTTGACTGGCGAATAGGAAACCCTAGTTCGTCTTCTCTTAACAGGAGTGAGAAGAGAGTCTCTGGCAACAGATTGGGTCGCAATGCAAGTTGGACCGGAAGTGGAGGCCATGGTGTAATGTTTGGGGGGACCCTACGCAATATATAGGTGAGCAAATTGTCAATGCTCCACAAGGTTTGGGCCCAACAAACTTAAGATGGGCCGGTGGCAAAGTTAATCCTCTTTCCTGCGATGACGAGCAGTAGTACCGCGCACTATTGTGAGACGGCAGAGGGGACTTTGCTTGGACTCGTCGTTCGGTCGACGTGGAGGGACAGTAAGGCAGCGGCGAGCAACCAATCACCCAGCCACAGGGTCCTCCGAGATCACTGGGTTACTACCCACAACTACGTCCGAAGACGAGTGTAGGTGAAGTACCGGGCGCGATTGCGGACCGGCCCAGAGACCTCAGATTTCCACTAAAGTAGGGGATGGTGCAGCAAGCGGCGGCACACGAACTGTAGACGGTAGAGAGCACGGCGAAACGTCGATCTTGAGGAGACGGGCGGAAAATCAAGACTCGGGAGGCAGTGGAGGGCAGTAAAAAAAGACGGCAAACGAGGGGATAGACGCTTGCTGGTGACAGCTTTGATGAAGCTGTTGGAAGTTCTAGGATAAATTCTCCGTATCTTGGTACCTTGTAGGATACCTAGGTACCTAGGTACCTACCTAAATCTAGGTACCTACCTACCTAACCTACCCGTACCTAGGTACCTAATAAGGTACACAACTACCTAAGGTCGGGTTACCTACACCTAGGTACCCAGGGACAGTGGGTGGCAAAAGTTTGAATCCAACTCAATGTAGGTAGCTAAGCCCCAAGCTAGCCGTCGCTTAGTAACCCACTTAGTATCTTGTATGAGCTCTGCTAGGTATACAAAGTTTTCCGTTAAATATACAAACATTTGTATATCTACAACTCAATTTGGCCTAGCGCGGTACATTGAGTTGGATTCAGACTGGCCATTCACTGTGAGTATATGTTTATCTCGGCACGACCCCGCAACGTGCCGCAAGGATTACAGTGGAGACCGCCGTCAGGACCCGCCCTGGAGTAGGGAGTCAGGGGGTGAAGCGCTTTCTGCAGAGAGCACAGTTATCCATCTGGCCTGGAAGCTTGAAGCAGGACCAGAGGCAGTGGTAGCAGGGATCTTCCAGTTCGCGACAAGGCTAAAAGCAATCTGTTTCCACATGCTGCAGTGCAAGAAGACCTTGTAGAGAGATTTGTAGCAGACTTTACACAAAATCGGATATACTAGAATGAGCTATCTGACAGCTAAGGAAGGGAAGGATGCGAGTAAGAGCTTGAGTTATTGGGAGGCTGGGCTTGATCGGGGGTGAGAAACCTGGGCGAGGACATACCAATAGGCACAACCAACACACTAGCGAACTTCCCTTTTTGCAGGGCCGGGCCAGTCCGTGGGACAAAGTTGTCCAGCAGGGCGCCAATGATCATGTCCAGCAGGATCCAGACGGCGGGGAAGCGGTCCAACCAGCCCGGGGATTTGAGCGCGGGTATATTCTTCTCTTGGGAGGGTCTGTCTGTCAAATTTTGTTCCTCGATGGCCGTGACAAGGAGCTACCAGCTCAGCATTCTGGTTAAGGCTGGATGACATGACTAGGGCCTCTGTTTAAAAAGGGAACTCTGAGAACTAGAAGGAGGGGCGACGGCGTAACTCGACCAGCCACGGAGAGAGTGCGAGGGCGAACTCCCCGGCAGCAGTTTGCCAGCCATGGGTATAGAATATATACAACTTCAAGTGATAGAACACCTCAAACAGAGCGATTTCTTGGCCACGCCGGAAAAGGCAAGTGGACTGTGCTGATGGCCGACTGTGTTTTTGGCTATGACAGGTTCCCTGCTTTGGCTTCCACGTGGACGAAAGCTGATCCAATTCAGAAAAATGGAAGGAAAAAAGAAAAAAAGAGGACACTCTTGATGCATCAGCATCATTCTGCCAAAGGCGCTAATTGCCACAAATATGATTGGTATCTGAAACCGTCCTGCCAAGTAGGTTGCCCAGGATAGCACACTCGACCTTAATTTAACCCTAAGCCACCCCGACGGAGCCGATTTCCCACCCGCCAAGGCAGCCCGCTCCGTTTCCTACCACGCTTTGCGGCCCGGTCGCATGCTCATCCAGCGGGAAGACTGCGTGTCCAACTCCGACACCAAAACCTGCGAGAAGCCCGCCTCGTCCTCGCACCTCACGCTCGCAACTGTCGCCGGCCTCATGTGAGTATATACATTTCCTCCCTCCTTCTCTCTATCCCTCCTCCATCCCCATCACCCCATCTGCTAACAGTCACCAAAATAGCGCCGTCATCGTCGTCTCAACAGTCCCCCTCCTCTAGCTGCACCTCCGTCGCCGCCGCCTCGACCGCCGAAGACTCCCGCCACGCCCACGAGCTAGCCGACCACGAGGCGACGACGACGTCCTCATGTCGAGCCCCCCGCTGAAGCGGCCCGACGGCGCCGTGATCTCCGACCACGGCCGAGGAGTTGGGGGGAGGTAGCCGGCGCCCGGACGGAACGGCGTCGACCAGTTTGCCTCGTTGGCCGAGTCTGTCACTACTGGCGGGGCGACGCCCACAAAGGATCCGTTCGCGGACGGCAGTCGGAGGTAGGTGAGGCGTTAGTGCAGTTCGGATTTACATGTCGTGAGGAGAGCCCGGGGGCGGCGTGTCGTTGAGGTATGGGTTCGAGGTCTCCCACCAGTCGGCTAAGGGCTTTAGGGGCTGGTTGGACGCCCGTTGGAGCGAGCGTATTGTGCGTGGGTGTACCTGTGGAGCAATGCGGCAGGCTCTCGGGCGCTGCATGGTGTCCTGTCTCGGAGACGGGCTGATCAGAGGGATGGAGTACCTGGAGCGGAGTGGCAGGGCCGCCGCTGACCTGACCTGTGAGAGCTTGTCACGTCCCAACTGCGGGTTACACCCACATGGCGGGGCCGGATCTTGGCGAGGGCCGCCTTAATGAAAACAACAGGAGCATCGGTGTTTGTCTAGGGTGGCTTGGGATGTATTTCCACCTGCCTGAAGAGCAACTGGTTGGCATGAAGATGTACTACAGCGACACAAACATAGCGTTACCGGAGTGGACATCTCTGAGCTAGGCTTTGGCCGTGACGGTATCAAGGGAGGTGTGGGATATATCCTCTAGGTTGGTGTATCAGGTTCAGATACGCATGTAACGGAATAATAATCGGAAGTCTATCCCCATGGCGGGGTTCGTCATCGCTCGTGCTCTTAAGTCTAAGTTTTCTGCATCGTGAAGCCGGCTATCCCGGAGTCTAGTGGGATTCCATTCATCTCCCGCCATGTCCGACCATCCCTCCCCCATCCGTGGAATCTACAGGCGATCACGACTCCACAGGCCTGCCTCCAAGCTCCCCCAGCGCCTGTAACCTTTCAGCCCCAAGCTCAGACACCCCAAGCTCCCTCTCCCCTTAACCGGCGGTGGCGGCAAGAACCCCACAGCGACGAGGTACGCTAGGTGCTTCCCGATCGTCTCCACCGTGACCGCACTCTCGGTTATCGGGTCGTGACTAACATCGGTCTGTCCGCAGTAAGCGCGTGGCGCCGCCGCGGTGTTCGCGTCGTCGAGCTCAGGCGCCACCGTGCCGGCGGGTAAGTCGCTCGTGACGAAGTGGAACGGCGGCAGCTTACCAGCGGCCGCGCCTCCGTCATCGTTAGAAACATACGCCGCCAGCCTCGCCGACCACTCTGCGTAGGGGACGCGGGGCGCGACGTATCCGTACGCCTCGAGCGCGCCCGCCCACTGGTCCATGGTGAGGCGCGGGTGGCTCGTCACTTGCGCGACCCCGATCGCGTACGCGCCCGCTGGCGGCGGCGGTGGGTGCAGCGCTGAGACCACGACGATGCGGCTGACCCGCGTGACGGGCACCTGGTTGGCCATGTTGGCGAGGGCCGGGCCGGCCGCCACCTGCAGGCAGCCCTTCCAGAGGCAGACGAGGAAGTCGTCCGTGACGGAGATGCTGGACTCTGGGTTGCCTGTGACGTAGCCTGGCCGGGTGATGGCGCCGGTCAGGCCGCGTTTGCCGGCCTCGCGGACGATGTACTCGCTGGCCCACTTGGATTGCCTGTAACCGGTGGCGAGGCCCTCGCGGCTGCCTTCGAGGTCGTCCGTCTCGGGCACGCCAGTGCCGCTGGGGGCCACGATCTCCTAGGAGACCTGGACGTAGTGGTCGATGTCGAGGGCCGAGGTGGAGCTCACGAAAGCGAGCCGCTTGGGCTTCCCGCTGGTGAACATCGCGACGCAGTCCATTATGCTGAGTACCTTGGCAGCCTACCTGACCCATCGCATTACTCAGGAACTCATCAATATTGTTGTCAAGCTAGGCGACTTAATCACGCCGAATCGGAATCAGTCAGGCAGATTGCCCAAGTCGAAGCATTGGGGGAACCTACCTGGCAGACGCGATGACGATGAAGCAAGAGTTAGTCACCAATACCTCAACGACGACTAGGCGCACGGCAAGGTGCCCAACCTGCCTCATCCTCCACACGTACGTATACAAAAGCTCATTGTTAGAATTATACAAACAGAGAACAGAGGCACACAATTTGAGCAGATATTTATCTTCTCCTAGAACAAGCTGCGTGAGTTTTACACAGCCACATGTCAATTTAGCAAGGTCATGTCTACCTATGCTTCCCAACCTCAAGGATTTTGCCAGCAGCTTCCATCCCACCAATCATAAGACAAGTGTTAAAATTGTCGAACTTGAAAAAGGAATTGCAGAGTCCTATAAGGATCTAGGCCAGTTCTTTGGCTGCGGTACAACGGCGGAGGAGCTAGAGTCCGGTAAGATTTGATTTTCTTAATAAGTATCCTCAAATGATACCGTAGGAGCCAGGTTCAGTGTTCGTGTGGCAACGAGCGTAGCAGAAGCGGAGGCCCACATCGTCCCCGTACAAGACATTGCGGAGAAGAGTGGTCAAGCTATGGACAGACATCCACACCCTGCCTGAGACAAACCCACTTCCATCATAACGCTACATCTCAAAGGCTATCTCTCAGAGACGCTCTCCGGATTCAAATCTGGCGGTGCGACAAAATGTGTCCTATACAATAGCTGTGAAAACAGCAAGGTCCTCAGCGGCCCAAATACATGGATCTTGATACACGCTGTCCAAACTCCGAGGCGGAAACCCTAGGCGATGCTACAAGCAGCAAGATGTCTCACCTCCGGGAAGCCAGCCAGATCGAGCTTCTCCCGGCGTATCCCTCCAGTACCACCCCAAGAAAGACGAGATCCGAGCTACCCGGTCGCGTGGGGCCGTAGCTCCGTGCCAGCTAATAGGCATCCACCATCGGCTATACAAGGGAAAGGCCTTTGACATCGACAACGAAAGGGAGATCGTGGCTTGCCAGGTACAAGGCAGATTATGGCGGATGCAGCCTACTTCCAAGAAAACAAGCCCAACTACCCGTGCCTTCGCGTCCAGAACGCTGCTTAGGTATACCGTCCAGAGACGCAAGCCACTCAAGCTTACTAACATCGATCTAATACAGCTACCTAGATAATAGCGGTTTTCTTATTGTAGTCCAATAGTGTTAAGCTTTAGTCTGGAAAGCAGGCATTCGCAAGTAGCTTCTAGCCCTTGACAGTGCTTCTTGCTAACAAATCTTGGTCGAGTTTTCGGTAATCACTATCAGCAAGATAATTGCTATGCAAGCCTGGGCAGTCTGGTACTCAAAGCCTAGGGTCTGTGCGACACAGCTGGTGACAGGCTGGCGGAATCTCTAGCAGGTGCCACTATCCTCTCGCTATCGCCGTCCTGTCGCTGTCGCCGCCATTGGTGTCGCCATTGTGTTGCCAATGGTGTTGCCATTGGTGTTAAATCGGTTTGCCCTCGCCATCGCCTGCCAATGTTCCGAGAACAGCTGTCGAAAGATCTACCAGGCTGTCACCAGCTGTGGCGCACAGACCCCAGGCTTGAATACCAAACTGCCTAGGCTTGCGCAGCAATGGCCATCAGCAGAGTCAAATAAAGCCCGTATTCATTTGACAATGCCAAAATCCTAGCCGTGCAGATGACAGCCATCTATACACTCATTGAGATGTCTCTAAACAGGAAGCAGGCGAAGCAGGCTATGGCATCCATGATCTCATCCAAGGCAAGGGACACGGAATCAATTTGTCAAGTTTTTGCCTCCCTTCCTTCGAGAGTGCACAGCTTGTGTCCTATAGCAAGCCACCTGGAGTTGGCAAAGGCTTAATAGCAGAGACAAGCCAAGACGTTCACAGATCCTCTCCTTAGTCATTATCAGCGCCTGTGTCACGAACCCCCCGGGCCCAAAGTGTGACTGGCTCTAGGCATGCACCAATGCTGATTCTTCCTATCTGCACGACAAGGCGCATGCCATGCTTGAGCATTTGATCTAACTGCAGAGGATGGTTCATAAAACCCTCTTCTTCTGTCAGGCGGCAATCAAGCCACCTGCTACAACAGAAGAGCGGGCATTATGGGTCGAACACTTCCATGCCTCCACCTACCGGCTGCTGAGAAATGGGCTCTCTTGTACTAGCTTACAGACCTTAAACCTGGTCAACCATATATCAGACGCCTGACGCCTTGGGGGATTCATCGTTCCTCACGCGGTTCAGAGTTGGGAATCGACTATTTTCAAATTGCGGAGCGGCAAGGTGTCTTTATTATCTTGATGGATTGGATATGATCGTCGGGGATGTTCGCGAGGAGGGCCTGGCTCCTAGCTAGACCTTATGTTTACGCAACTTGCTCCAGCCCCTCACATGCCGGCGTAGTGGGCGGCGTGTTGCGTTGTGTGTCTGAAACTTGAGTGCGGCATTTTCCCCATTGGCTAGGATACATGCGGTTGAAGTGGGAGAGGTGGAAAGGCAGAATCGAGGTTTGGTGCAAGGGCATGGAAAGTATTTATCGTGAACGAGCAGTCGACCTTGCGGTGGACCAACCCGGCCCGAGGGACAAAAGTCGGGCCCGGGCCCTAAGCTCTGATGAGGCCGGCCACTCAGAAAATAGAAGCGTCGACAGCAACACGTCTTCTAGCATGAGTGTATGTTTTGCGGATCTGGGTGTCAATTTTGCATAACCTGTTTTTAGCACTACTGACCACCCTCTAAAATTATCGCAGAAGCACGGCTCACATATCACCTCTGTTACGGTAGATCTGCCGCCGCTACTCTTGCTTTTTGGCTAATCAAAGGCAGCCGAATATGTTGTGTGTGTCGCTTGCCGCACACCAACTGCACGGTTAAAGCGGGAGCAGCACCAGCCCACTCACGAAGATGGAAATGGCCAAGGCCAAGATTCGGGGAGCATTTTAATCTGTAATTGCTGAATCTAGATTGTCATGAACGAGAATCAAATCTCCGCCTACCTTAGCTATATAGACAAGCTCTGTCCAGAACCCAAGAATATTCTGGGGTTTTCGATACAACCCAGACTGACCGACTGACCCCCTTACTTTTACCAGCCATGACACGACTTTCCATCATAGGCTCGCTGCTGCTCCTGGCGGGAGCTGCGACGGCTCAGACACCAGCCGGGTTCACTCCCGAGGTCGCCGAACACCTTGACGTTATTTTCGGGACCAAGGCCGCATCTCCCCCCGGCACGAGCTTTGCGAAAGCAGGTGCGTTTTGTTGGCCTGGTCCAGCTTTCTTTGTCTCATTTTAACAGCGACGCACAGATGTCCAGAAACAACCGACCATTGGGACCAGTGATGTAGCCCTGAAAGGCACTTATCTGTGGATGATGATCGGTAAGTGATGCCGCTACCATGACAAAGAGCTTCACATATTAATCATCCATGCCTCAGATATCGACGTGTAAGCACCCTCCCCTCCTTCCACCCATTACCACGAACCACCCTACCACCAAACACTAACCACAACACCCCCCCTCCCCCAAACAGCCCAGCCTCCTTCACAGCCCCAACCTCGGGCCCCCGCAAGACGAACCTCCACGCCATGATCAGCGGCTTCAAAGCCGGCGCCGACCAGGCCTCCGACGGCGTCAACGTCCTGACCTCCACCGCGACCGGCCCCGTCAAGTACGTGGGGCCCGCGCCTCCGGCCGAGAACCCGCCTTACGCCCACCGATACGTCGAGCTGCTGTTCGAGACGGACGACTCCTTCGCCGTCACCACGGCCGACGTGGGGCAGACCTTCGGGTTCGACGTCAATGCGTTTATCGCAAAGGTCAAGTTGGATCCGCCGATTCGGGCGAACTACTTTAATGTTACGGGGTAGGGTGGTCGTTGGTTGTTGGGGTGGGGCGAAGGGGGTGAGACCGGAGAGGGCGATGGGGGATTGAAGGAGATATGTTGGGGGTGACATGGTTGTGGGCAGTCAAACTGCGATAGGAATTGCAAATTCTCAGGGCCCACGAGGCTCCCCTAAACGTACCACTGTTTGTTTTGTGCATTCATTTCTAAATTTTGGAGAAATCTTTCCAAAATTTTATTTCTGAGCCCAGACACCTTTCCCAAGTAAAACTTCAGGCCCAAGACCAAGTGCTTCTCACCCCTTGCTCTGGTCACCCTAGGCCGACTGGACAGGATGAGAGTCATTTCAGTGAAGCGTCACAGAAGACAAATCGGGGTTGGCGGAAAGGTCCTCAGGGGTGGCGGCGGTCCGGGATACAGGGTTGCGGGCCCCAGAGGTGGGGATGGCGGGTATGAAGGAAGTTGGGCATCTGTGGGAAGATTGACTTGTCGCCGAACGACCAAAGGCCCTGCTGTAATTAGTGCTAAACTAGGCGGTCCGGGGCGTGTTTTGTGCGAATACAGATACTAGTATGGAAGATAATTACTACCTAATATCTGATTTGTATGTCGCTGCCAGATCGAGGTTCGCTCTTGGGAAAAGAAGAAGGAAAGAAAGAGGACATCGCTGTAACCTTAGTAGCCCTCCTCGAGAGAAAAGTCTCGAGGTCCACCACCTCAAGATCCTCGGCCCTGACTTCCTGCTCCGGATTGGCGAGGATGTGCGTCCTGGCCCGTATCAAGGCGATCCTGAAGGAGGATACTGCGGGGACAGGCGTAGAGGTAGGCTTATGGCGATAAGTGAGGACAGCAGTCCACTCATCTTTGTCCAAACTTTTCATATCATCGCAGTATCCCAAGTCGGGCCTGGGGAAATGGCTTACCCAAGCAAACGTGCTTGCCCTGGCCGGAAGAGCGCTCACCTCGATCGAAAACGCCGATCTGAGCGATGGCGGGGCCGAGGAAAGAGCATGGCAAAGGTCAAAACAGCAGCCGCGCTGGTCTACTGAGACAAATCGAACAGGATTGACGAAGGCGTCGCCGATATAGTACACAGCTCGTCAATGTCATGGTTGAGAGCACCTAGCGTTGCAGAGATCTCCGCTCCCGGGTATCGGAGAGATTGAGCAGCCGCACCTTGTTCAGAGCATTGCTTCCGAGGACAGATTGTACAGTCCCGGGGCTTAACTGTCGGAACGGCGAGAAGACGGCGTATTCTTCTCCGTCAAATGCTCTCTGCAAGACTTCCGCTGCGGCCGGGGGTTTTACCAGCTCGTGGGCATGCTCGTAGATATATTCCCGGAATTCTATTGGGAATTGGTAGGTCAACATCACATATTCGAGCAATCTCAGATCATGGTCACCTGAAATCATCGCGTCAAGAAACTTCAGTTGGGCCATGCCTTCAAGGGACTTTCCACGGGTCGCCTCGTGCCCGGCGGAGCCTGATTCCTAGGACGGGGCCCCCTCGGCCAAACCCCACACGCCTTTCGGCCAGCAATCTCGCAAAAGTCAGATTATTGTAGTCTGCACCTACCTAAAGTAACTGGGCATATCCCGACCCAGGCCCCAGGGTGGGTGGCTGGGTGACCAATTGTCAGGGGGGCAAATGGGACTCTGGGGAGCTTAACCAGAAGACTCGTGATTCTCCATGGAGTTGATGGGATATGATGTCCTGTGGGATCTGACAAGGATTGTTCCAACCTTAAGAGCTAGTAGATTGGATGCCCCTGAGCCTCGCCAGGCTGGACAAGTCCGTGCCATTGGGGCTGACTGGATGCCTGCCAGGATCTCTCCGTTGACGCCAAGCTCCTAGACTTGCTAAAGCGGCTAGCTTCGTGGACTATTGGGCTGACCCCTGAGCGCTAGGCCACATTGACTGCGATCCAGACGATCCAGGCTGTTGGAAATGGTGCATGTCTTCTCCAAAGTTTCCCCCATCTTGTTCGCTTCTTCTCGTCCCGTTCATTTTCCGCTTCCCGAGCTCAATCGGTGTCACTCGTTTGCAAACGCATCATACAGCGTTTGAGTTATTTTACAATGCATCTGATTTTTTCTTTCCTGCTTGCAGGCGCCATCAGCGTAGCGGCCAAGCCATGTAGCTCTGTTTACCCCTCGGCAACCGCGACAGGATCCTACAGCTCCGTCCACTGCAACTTTGCGAGGCCACTGAAACGGTGACAACCTACCAGCAAACAGTCTTCCCGGCGTCGTACCAGATCTAACAGCGGCATCTCTAGATCACCCAGTGGAACACTGTTGAAACATGCACCGAGACGCCAACGACCACGACTGTCACTGTGCCGGAGACCGTGACGATTCCCGGAGAGGGCGAGATTACGACGGTCACGGTGCCGACTACGGTGACGCTGCCAGGAGTGGGTGAGCCTTTCCTCGGATGACGCAGAATCAATGCTGATCAACCATCTAGGAGGACGAAATCATCACCGTCACGGTACCCACCACTGTCGTCTCGGTCACCACGACGACAACGTCAACAACCGAAACGACTACCGTCGCCGGCGGCGCTGCCTGCCCTACAGCCTCCCAAATCCTGCTCAACCCGTCCTTCGAAACGGACGACGCTTGGATCCGCCAGAGCAACCCCAGCATACCAAGCGGCTTCGTCCGTAGGACGGTGGGCTCGGAGGCGGCCGACGGTTCCGCGATCATGCAGACGGCCATTGACCGAGTCGTAAACGCCCACGAAGGCAACCAGCTCCTGCAGGCGGTCCGCGTGTGCCCCGGCGAGAAGTACCAGTTCAGCATGATACTGCGGACCATCTCGGCGAGCGCCCCCGACCGGCCGACGCTCGTCTCTGTCCTCGCCGACGGCGCTGTCTTCTTGCAGAGCGGCGCGCTCACCGTGGAAAATGGCTGGGTGCCGTTTACCGGGACCTTCACTGCGAAGGCGGATACCGTCCTGATCCAGATCCGGTTCTGGAATTCTTCTCCCGAGACGTCGCCAAATGCCATTTGGAGTTACTTGTGGATTGATGCTGTTACCGCGACGAGGATAGCGTAGTTGGGACGAGTGCATGTGTGAACGGCTGCACTGAGGTTGCCTGCGCTTAGCTGTGCATATTAATGTAATCAAATTTAATGCTGATATAAAATCATGAAAAAATACAAAATAAAAACTCGCTTCTCTGGGGTAAGTGAATAACTGTTCTTTCCTATATCTTGATACAATAGCAGTCAGCAGCCTTGGGTGGCGCCTAGAGGACAGCATTCGCACCCACCAACGTCCTCCCCCCTTACTCTCTTTTGAGTCTCTTTTCAAGGCTTTCTCATTTTTATTCAACCCTTTTCCTCATTGCCGACCGTCCAATTCCTGACCATTTGCATGCCAGTATTCGCCCCGACTCTCGTCCTTTGACACTGCTAAATATGCGACTGTTGGGGCGCTGGGTAATTGCTTTGATGCCACTCATCCAGTGCTAGTTACTTCGTGGCTTTGCACACCTCCACATATACTTCCGTACGTTGGACTGCTTTTGAATCCCTAACCCACAACACGGTCTTGTCCACTTTTGTCGACAGTTCGCCATAATTCCTTGGCACACCACCCCCTCCTAACTACCATGCAAAGCTTGATTCAACCTCAACCGACAAACGACAGTCCAGATGCCAACATCTTTGCATGACTAGGTTCCAGGAAAACACTAACATTGAATTCCATGTTCGCATCGCAGAACTATTCTGCCAATGGCAACTCATCCTCTCGAGGCCTACGACCGTACACCACGTATCTAGGTATGAAAATCATTAGCAATGACGACGGTCGAACGGCAGAATCCAGGCGCGCATACGTGAGCCAGTAAAAATGGATGCCCGTGTCCTTGATAGCCTTCCGGCAGTCGACAAGCAACAGCTCCACCTCCTCGGGAGTCATGCCCAGGCCCCTGGTGAACAGCGTCATGGACGCGGCGTGCAGGCCGTCGAGGAAGTTGCTCATCTGCAGGCTGCCCAGGCGCTTGTTCTCGCGGCCCTTGGCCCAGGGGTTCCCGGGGACGGCGAGGCGGCGCTCGACGACGTCGACGAAGCCCGCGCCGGACATCCACCCCTTGTACTTGTGCGGCGCCAGCATGTCGCGCCCCAGGCGCCCGCCCGCCTCCACGTACAGGCGCGACCACCGCTCCAGCGCCGTGCCGCTCATCGTCCCGTCGGCGCACCGCAGCACGCACGACCAGTCCTGCCACTCCATGTAGCCGCCCGGCCGGAGGTGCGCCAGCGCCGACCGCATGACGCGCCTGTGGTCGCTGAAGCAGTGGAACATCATGCGCAGGTGGACGTAGTCGAACCGGCCGCCCCCGCCGTCGCCGGTGCCGCCGCCGTACACCCACTCGTCCTCGGCGTCGTCGACCTCGAAGCTGCAGTTGGGCGGCACGTACTCGGGCTGGATGGGGCTGAGGTCGGTGCCGACGACGCGGGCAGAGGGGTACTTGAGGGCGCACTCGATGGCCCAGATGCCCGTGCCCGTGCCGAGGTCCAGCACCGACTGCGGGTCCGAGATGGGCGCGAGCCCGAGCTCGCCGCCGAGCCGCATCGTGAACACGGCGTGCTGCAGGTCCAGGCGCTCCTGCTCGACCGCGTCGTTGGGCATCCAGTACCGCCCTTGCTTGTACCTGTGGAAGGTCCGCCCGTGCTCCTCGACGTACTCGTAGATGCTTGATCTTAGCGATTGCGTCGATGGTCTGCGCTCCTTCGCATTTAGTTTGTGTCATTATTGTCGAATTGGCATGTTCCGTTTTAACTCACGGGGCGTCCACGTCTCCGAGAGCAGAATCGGCATCGTCATCAACCTTGCGATCCGAGTCAGCGGCGCGATCGGGTCTCGGCAACAGTTTGGGTTAGAGGATGGGGATCATTACGCTCAGACCGGTGGAGAAGTCGCTCTGATCGCTCAATGACGCCGTTGTTTGATCTCGAGTCGAGATTTCCGGCACAGCCGCCGGGGTGTTGTCCGCCATCGCGGGCTCGGAGCGGAGAGATGCGGCGCGCGCGATTGCATTGAGAGAGGGGGGAGAGGGGCTTCTGGAGAATGCGCGACGTTATGGACCGGAGATTCTGTGGGGGTTGCAAGGTGAGCTCGTGGGGGTGTTGGCCGGGGTGGGGGCAGAGAGGTGAAGACACCGTGATCTCTCATCCAATTACATAACGTCATATAATTACCCTGCGTTCACTTTGGTTTTTCTTTTCTTTTGTCCATCCTCTACCCGCCACCTCGCCACCTTGAAAAAGCGGCACTTGCAGCCGATCTTGAAGTCCGCGATAAGGAGGCTGTGGGACTTCTCCGATCGCCATCCTTGCTTCTTGGCCTGTGCCTGGCGTCGTTTACAGAACTTGGCCGCCTGGGGACGCCATTGAGAATCCGTGGAAGTCGTTCTCGGGGACGTACTCCAAGAGCAGCGCAGCGATTCCATTGTGATCTCGGGTCAGGGGTATATTGGTGAGTAGAATTCTGTCCAAATAGGAAACAGTAGGAAGCAAAGAGAGTTAGGATTCATAGTCTCAGGAGACGGAAAGAAACGATCAGTGCCAGCCGTCTTTATATCCTGCGAAACATCCTTCTACTACGAAACCACAATCGCTATTACTCATGGTCCACTCGCAAGAATGGGGAGAAGAGCAGAAAAAACGACGTTCATCGGTCCCCCTCCCGCTTTCTAAACCGTGCCCTAACTCCTAGGTAGCCACTTTGCCCTCTCTTCTCGCCGCGGCCAATTCCTCCAGGCCTACTGTTACCCTGAGATACACAGACCTTGGAATCAATGGACATGTGTGACCCGGCACGGGCCAGACCGGTGGTGCCAGACTGACATCTGCACCGCCGTCGAGGAGCAATTGCACTACCTCGGAATGCCCCAGCTCCTTTGCTAACTGTACGGCCCTTCCGCAGGAGAATTGGATCGGCGCCATCGGCTCTTCCCAGGGCATGCGCCAATCGGGAATGTCAAGGACGTGGTAAGCGGCGTTGACATTAGCGCCATTTTCAAGCAGTAACTGTACTAGACTCGCATTGCCTAGTCGAGCTGCCCGGACGAGAGGAGGTGTGAAGTCTTCTGCCTTGAGACGTGGTCCTTGATTGAGCGGCAGGTGGATACAGCCGCCGCCGCCGTAAGTCAGGATGGGGGGCCGGGGTCGGTCTGATTCTTCAAAGTCAGGGAGGACGCCATTTGTTAGTAGGGTAGTCGTAATTGCATTGTCCTGCTGTTCCACCGCGTGGCAAAGCGCCCTTGTCGAGTTGACTCGGTTGGATCTCGGCAGGAGCATCTCGATGAGCTTTTGGTTCCTTTTCTTGACTGCCTTGATTAGAGCAGGTCCTTCTCTCGGGAAGGTGGAAAAGTTTGCGTCCACGCCCTTTTCCAGGAACAACTCGACGAGCTCGGCATTGCCATTGTCCACGACCCATTCCAGTGGTGTTAGCCAGATAACGTGGAAGTTACTAAGACCTGTCGGAAGGTACCATGGCCCACCACCACCTTCAACGCGTTCAAGAATCGCGTCGTCCAAGTCAACATCATATTCGAGAATTTGCAATACTACACGGTTGCCATATCCAGCTTTCAATGCAGCCTTGAGTGCGTCCTTCTTCTGGCTTTGACTGGGACGCGGGCTCTGGATCGCTAGATCGTAATCATCGTGGACAGTAGGAGTGTATTCATCTGCGAATGGCGTGTACGCAGGCCGACAGTCTGTACCGATTGGGCGTTGCTCGCTGATGAGGCAATTGTTGAAATGGAATTCTTGAGATGTCGGCTCCCATACCAATTCCCATTCATCGTCCTCGAGTCTCGATGAAGTCTCGTCTGGAGCGTTTTCGTCATCTTTGTCTTTAACCGGGTACCAGAATTTGACTCGAAATGCATCCCAGTATATTTGCTTTTCCACGACTCCTTCAGACACTCGTTGCACTCCTGTCTCGTGGTACAACCTTGAGTCCCGGGGTTCGTCCGGTTCAACTCTAAAGACTGTTACAGCCTGGCTGGGCTCGAAGAGGGCTTCACGCCTCGGCTGCGTGAGGTCGAGCCAATTCACATCGTGGAAGAATTTGTGGGCTTTGAGCTCCGAGGCTCCATTTGTCCCCAAGCGTCTTGCGGGGTCTTTGTCAAGAAGCTTGATTAAGATATCCCTAGCGGCAGTCGGGAGTCCCTCAGGGAGCTGAAGGGCTTGGTCGATGATCCGCCGCCGTTGCTCCTTGACGTCCTCGTGGTAGAACGGAGGTATCCCGGTCAGCATCTCGTAGAGAAGAACCCCCAAGCTCCACCAGTCCACCGCCTCAGACGCCTCCTGGCCAAGAAGGAGTTCGGGGGCAGGGATCTCCGTCTTGCCAGGCACAACTCGATCCCCGTCCTTCTTCTCTAGTCCGAAAAGACCAGGGTTGCAGAGACTGACGCGGCCCAATGAATCCAAGGCAATATTCTCTGGCTTCAGACAGGCCAGAATAATATGCCTGCCATGGAGGTATTCTAATGCGCAAGTGAGCTCCGCAGAGTGAATTCTGGCCCTGTCGACTTCAAAACGTCGCTTTCTTTGAAGGTGAGAAAAAAGGTGTCCGCCACTGGCTAGTGGTGAAAGGAGGCTTAGCCCCTTAGGCGACTTGAAGACAAATTCGAGCGGCGCGATGAAGGGGTGTTTGATCGGGAATGCGGAGCAGAGGTGGTGGACTGTCTCAGAACTAGGCATGGTATCAGGCGTGCGTATGGTCTTCATAGCAAAGGCTCGATCGGTGTCGCTCTTTTCGACGCGGACGAGGTCACCGAAACGAACCTCTCGGCAGACCCTCCACACATCCGAGTCCTCCAGAGGCAGTACCTTCTTCTCCAGGTAGGAAACCTCGAGATTCACTCTCCCGGTACCGTCTTGGACATCTACCCACTGCTCACCCTGAACCCAGGTTTCCAGAAAAGGGTTCAACTTGATCAACCCAAGGGATGTGACTTGGGGTCCCGTCAGAGCATCAAACTTCCTGTCAAACAGGTACACTGTCAGCTCAGAAGGCGCAGAGACGTCAAATTTGAACGTTGAGCTCCTCTCCGCCCATGGCATGTTTGTGGCTCCTGGCCAAAAAACGCTTGTTTTCCCCCTTATGCACGAATAGGACATGGCCTCGGAGGAGACTTGGGCCCTTTCACATTCCAAGATCGCGTAAATCAGCCAACGCTTGCGCACATCCGGTTCGTGAAAACGTATCAGCTCAGGTGTCTCGTCTATGCTCAGGCCACGAGCGAAAGAGAGCGTAACGGTCAAAATTCCGGGTCCGGGCGGACTGGGCGGCCGCAAGGAAATGATCTCAGATGAAACTGGGGAAGTTAGTGAGCGCAGGAGCTCTCGTGTCCGGCGGGGGGCATTCTACTCGTACCAATTGCATCGTCGTCTGGCGGAGGCAAGGAGGACTCCGTTGCAGGAGGAGGCGATGCCTGACCGCTCGGACTGGGCGTATCCGCCGCAGGGTTGAGGCGAGTTTCCTCGAGTTCTGTCACGGAATTTTAGTTGGGGCCTAGACATGAGAGGTATATCGGCACGAAAAGTAAGGGCTGTATTTACTTTTCTCTAGATTCTCGGACATTGGGTGAGTTTGCGGTGACACTCTCCTGGATGGTGTGTGGCGGAGCGGGTGCATGTTCTCGTGTTGCAAGCTGGGCTTCCAACCCATATTTAATTAAGTACCTACCTACCTACCCCAAGCACTGCCGAGAAATGATTGGTCGCTTCATTGAGTGAAATGCCACCTCAGGCTCGCAACCCAGGTGCCACCACCTGGCTTGTGGTTCCACGTTTTGGGCCCGCGCGTTTTACAAGGAGATACATTGGCGCATTCCTGGTGTGGGACAAAACTTCGGTTCTCGGCTTTGCGGTCTGCCTCAGCAACTCTGGCTTCAAATTGCACGCCACATGAATGACCACGTAGAAAGCTATTTACAACACTTGGTCTCGCTTGCATCCTAGCCCTTTTCACCATAGATGAGTCGTTGCGATATTATCCCAACCTCGATATCCACCAGACAGAGTCTACAGGCATCATCCGGGGACAGAGAACTTTGAAGCTTAGAGGTTGAAGCTCTTGAAATTGGGGCCGGTCACCTTTTGGGCCATGATGTAGTTATCATAGCTCGTGGCGTCGCCGAGGGTGACGTTCCACAGCCAGCTGTGGATGGTGACCGAGTTCAGGACGCCGAACTCGCCCCAAATCATGGCGTGAACGCCGACCTTGTGGCCTACGTTGCCATTGATGGTCAGGCCCGTGACGTTGCCCTTGCCATTCTGGGCGGTGGCGAGGTAGTCTGGGATGGAGGTCAGCAACCGTAAATCGGCGTCTGGCGGAGCGCTAGTGATGGCTAAACTCGGGGGAAGAGGGAAAGGGGGTATTACGGACCGGGGAAGTAGACCGTCGCGATGGGCATGCCGACGGTGTTGTGCTGGGGCATGTAGCCGGGTGTGGTGGTGTCATCGTAGGGGGTGTAGCCCCAGACCATTGTGTACTGCGCGGGCTGCTGGATGGCGTTCTGGAAGCTGGCGCTGAAGGGCTGACCGGGTTGGATGATGGCGGGGACGCCAAAGACGCTGATGTCGGCGAGCACCGGGATGCTGGCGAGATAGAGGACGGCAAGGAGGGAGGAGGTGAGAGGGCGCATTTTCGATGGTGTTTGTGGAGGGGGTTTGAGAGGGGGTTGTGGAACACTTCAAAGAGATACTATGAGTGTTGGATGTTCCTTATCAGAAGAGAAAGCGAGGTAGGACAGGATAATGTCGGGTTTATATATATCCAGCCGGCTCAAATTCTGGCCTCCATAGAGCCTGCGAACTCGGATGCCTGAGCCCTTTGTCGCCAGGGCGAAGTCGGTCGACTATTGCGAATTGAAAACCCACGACAAGGGCAGGAAGGGCCAATCAAGGATCGCGCAGCACAAGCATGAAGGGTGGCATTGCATGACTACACCGCTTGAACTCAAGAAAGAAACTGGGAAGAAGAAGGACGCCGCAGGAGATATTTTTCAGACTATTGAACCAACCTCCGGCCCCCCCACGCTCGCTTACACGGGCCATTCTGCACAACCCGCCGTCCCCATCCCCCCCTCTCACGACAGCCAGTCTCTCTCTTCTGAATAGGTCTGTCCTGCTGTCTCATCCAACTCTTCTTGCGCCACGACTGTCTCTATACTCAGAGCGTTGGGATGGTTCCACGGATCACAGTTCGGCAGACGGCGCCAGGAAGGCCAAAGCAGCGCTACATATGCGGCCGGTAGGGAAAGAGACTTGATAGACCCGTCATTTCTAAACAGGCACCGACTCTGTGATACCGGCGGGCATGCTGACGTTCTCTTGTATGTAGATGACTACCTTCCGTAAAGTAAAGTCTCCTATAATGACATAATTGCACCAGCTCCCCAGCATTAGGAACACTGAATCCATTGACCCAGAGGACACTTCGCACCCGAATCACTCGGTGTATTTCTTTCAAAGCCAACATATCGATGTATGTCTACAGGAGACTAATGCAGACGTAGTAACCAGCCCATAAAGAAGCACAGGTATTTCCCACCGCAGAATTCCAAGCGTAGAAGTTGGCCAGCGAGATTCCGGCTGCGGCGGCAATGCTGGAGCAAATGTCTCCGCTCACTACGAGGTGGAAGCCATCGCAGTTGGTCGCCATGCCCGCCTGGGTCGGTGTTGGAGTGACAACCCCATTACCACCCTGGGTAGTAGTAGGCGGAGGCGTCGTCGTGGCGGAGCCGGTGATGCCCACGCAGACGTAGTAACCGGCCCATAAAGAAGCACAGGTATTCCCTACGGCAGGGTTCCAAGCGTAGAAGTTGGTGAGAGAGATGCCCTGAGCGGTGGCGATGTTGGAGCAGGTGTCTCCGCTGCCGACCAGATAGAACTTGTTGCAGTTGCTGATCATGCCGTCCTGGGTCGGCGTTGGAGTCGTGACTTCAGAGGTCTGCGTGGTGGTGGGAAGCGTTGTGGGGGTGCTGCTGCTACCAGAGATCACGCCGACGCAGACATAATAGCTGGCCCAGAGGCTCGCGCAGGTATTCCCTACGGCAGGGTTCCAAGCGTAGAAGTTGGTGAGAGAGATGCCCTGAGCGGTGGCGATGTTGGAGCAGGTATCTCCGCTGCTGACCAGATAGAACTTGTTACAGCTGCTGGCCATGCCAGCCTGCGTGGGAGTTGGCGTGGTTACGCCATTCCCGGTCGTGGTCGTCGATGTCGAGGTTGTCGTGGGAGTTGTCAGAGTGGTGAGTGTGACAAAATCAACTTCAACACAATAGTAGAGACCCTCGATCATGTTGCAGCCTTCGCCCAACTCGGTGACAGAGGGGTTCTGTTCGAGAGTCAACATGTGGACACTACACGAGCGGTTGGGTTGCTGCTCACCCATGCCTCGAACTGGGCCAGGGACATGCCGAAGAACCGTTCGACAATGTCGCATGTCAGGCTGTATGAGTTCTGGACCCAAGCGCTGCAATCCGCGGCTGCCCCTGGCGCAGGAGTTCCTGGAGGAGACACCAGATAGCCTTCCGCCAGGTGAAGAGCAAACACAGAGGAAAGTAAGCGGAGGGGCTTCATTGCTTTGGTCTGGTGTATGGTATAGCGGGAGATTGTCGCGGTTCGGAGAGAGTGAGACACACAGTCGGGTAGTCAAGAAAAGGATAACTTCTTGTGCTTGCTGGCTTGCTCGAGCGGACTCCTCCCTCCAAGTCTGCATCTCTGAAATCACTTATTGGCATCCAGTTGGTGGGCAGGCTTTCTCCGGCGATGCAACGAGATTGTGCTGTCGACGGCGGCAAAAGAAGCATCCGGCCCGACGCACCGCCAGACCTTGTTGTAATTACCTCAACCCTGCATCTGGTCGCACCTCGTGAATGCATCTATTCCCTCGAGTCACATTCAGAAAGTCCCACGCATGTAATATAACGGGTATCGATTCCTCTTTTCAGGCATCATATCCACCCACAGGATTCACGACGTGGGAGCAAACAATATTATTGCGTAAGCAAGACGTGTGATGGAAAGAATCGTATGATTCTTTGAGGTAAATCCCTGAAGAAATGAATGAAGGTGGGCAGCTTAACAACTTTTGGCACACGGCGGCGTGGATGGAGCTGTGCCTCACAGGGACAACCCTATGTTCCACTCGGACCTGCCGAATGAGTCCCTGCAGAGCAACGCTGAAGATCACATCCTACAAGGCATGGAATAGGTAGTCTATCAAGGAGACAGCCAGCACTCCTTCCTGATTGGGTGCCCAGTTGATTGCGCTTCCTGGCGTCACTGAGCCAAGATATCCTGCGCGGCAGAGAAGCTTAGTTACGCCGCAAGCGGACCATGTAGAAGCTTAGCTACGCCGCACGCTATTTGCATGCACGGCACGGTCCGTTGGACGCTAGAGGGAGAAAGAGGTGCAGGGGTCCCCCTGGTGTTGGAAGCAATAGAATGCAGCGTAAACGGTACGGAAGTGATCCGTAAGATGTTAGAATCCCACCAAAACCAGGGCCCTGCAGATGGCTGCGTCGTCTGGCCAATCGGGGTGACAACTTCCTGTGAAAGTGGGCACTTATACGCCGCCACTTCTGACACCTGGCTTTCCCTAGGGATTCATTTATGGTATGTAAGATTCCCGCATAAGCGCATATGTAACAGTCGGGTCTGTGTCGGCCTCTGAGCGGATCCGCGGGTGCCAGTCAACCACTTTGGCGGAGTACATACGGGTATGGGATGACCTAGGCCGCGAGCGGCCGAGCTAACTTCTCGTCCGTCGTGGTATGTGGTCTTCACTGTGGCCTTTCAAATGGCCAAGGAGATAAAAAAAAAAAACCAGACATATCGGTCAACACTCCGATTAATATCCAAGGTCTTCCAACCTCTTTCGATTCTCCATCCCCGTGAAGCCCATCTACAAACCTCCTGTGCTCCTCGACTCAACATGCGGTGGTCTCTGGTAGCCTTGTGGCCCTTGCCGTCTCTCTGTCTTTTCCTCCTCGTCGGGGCCTGCCCGCAGGAAAGACATGCCGCCTATGATGTCGATCCAGGCAACTCTACCAAAGCCCTCTTCCGCAGGGTTCGAACCGGCCCAGGTGGTGGCACTGATGGCAGTACGGTAACGACTTCACAAGTCTTCTTGATAGACTCCGGCGACGGAGGCTGCGCCAGCCAAGAGGCACTGCTCGACGGATGGCTAAACGAGGCAACGGAGCTCCATGATGCGATCACGACAGCGTACGCAGACTACCAAACCAATCTCGGAGCGAGGATTCTCTGGTTCACCTTCTTCGGAATCATGCCCGGGCCCGACAACTCGGTGGACCTGAATCGTCAAGATACCGCCAATGCATGGGCGAATATTGGAGGTAGCCACCTTGCTCTTCCGTCCCTCACGCTGCAGTGCTCTCAGTTGACCATGGTTAATAGACCACCTCTCGCGCGTCACCCAGTTCCTCTCCGGAAGTGGCCTGAGAGACCCCCAGATATCGGGAGAAAATCCTCGCTTGTTCTGCTCGGGCGACGCGGGCATTCCTCAGGACTGGGGTCAGCCCATCAAGGACAAGAATGGAAACGAAGTCGTCAGCGAAAAAGACCCCGATACTGGGCTACCGGTCGCGTACCTGACGCTCAATGAGGCATTCCTGGCAATCAAGAGGCAGTGGGCAGATTCGTATCCCTTTTGGATGCCCGCGTTCAACGGCTATGCGTTTGACAACATGGACCCAACCACGATGTGCCCCGACAAGGTGATTGATGCGGACGGCAAACAGGGAGTCCGCGCCGCCTCAACCACGAAGCCATGGCCGTTGAAACACGTGGACAAGGACGATATAGAATTCGACTTGGGCCAAAGCAACAGGATCGTCATACTTTGCCCACGGGCGTTCTCCCCGCAGGTCTTGCATTCCGCTCCATCCCTTGCACAGGCCGTCTCGGCAGACAGGTACCCCGCGGCCGGCTCGTCAGATGAATCCATATATCTCGACAGACTAGTGCCTCAGAGCGCTACCTTGTACCACGAGATCTACCATCTGACCGACAACTCTAACACACCTGATACTGCTTGTATGTATTGGACTCCTCCCCCCTCCCCCCTCCCCCACTTTTTCCGTCACCATAACCTCCCCTCACCTCCAGGAGGCCGGCTACTTGCTCACGGCTTCACCGGTCCGTAGACTCCCTAGATAAGATCATTGCAGCCGGCTGCGCCGCAGGAGCTGCACTAGCGACCACCTCCCACAACCCGGAGTCATTCATTTACATGGCGATGGCGGCGTATATGCTTCTGAATGCACCCGAGGGCAAAACCCCCGTCATGTACAATGGTGCGGCCCCAATGGCTGCTCCTCCCAGGTAAAGTCAGAACATCGCGCTTCAGGTTTGGGGCTATGTTGGGGGCCTTGGTTGTCAGTCAGTTGGTGCATCTTTATTTAGGGGGCCTTCCAAGTTTTCAATTCGGACAATCGTTTCTCCGGGTGGCTTGGAGACCTGAAACATGGATAAATGTGGTTAGGTAGTGTGAATGGAGCACGTTGATGGGGTCAGAGTCTCCCACGGGTGCGAAATGCTCTCATTCTGGTGTTTGCCCGATTCCAAACCATCATTGGAAGAGCGACGTCCACGCCAAGATGAAAACTGAAGTTGACGAAGGTTGGTGGATTCTTAGGTAAGCTTGTACCCTCGACGACAGCACTAACTGATGAGTCGCGAATTTACATTGGTCGGTTTCATTGCATATCGTCTAGCTCCCGCCCCTTGTTCAGAGCGCGGGACGGACCGAGCTCTATAATAAAGCTACAACTCAAACACCACAGGCCACAGGCCACCACAAACCACAAACCACAACTCGCGGTCCTCACAGGCAGGCCGGTCCAGGACGTGCCGACGAGCTCGTGTTGGTAAACGTTCCTGGGTGGCTCGACGTGAGTGACGCTTGAGCTCTGGTCAGTGCCCGGCGCGGCAGTCCAGCGGCGCGGGTGACGCAGGCCACTTCCGGTGGATGTGACGAGCCGACTTGACTTGACTGACTGTCATGTCTGTCATGTTAGCAAGTGGGGTGACACGGGTATGACGGCAACTCCAATGGGCGCTAAACGGCCAGCAACGGCCAACAAAATGAGGGCATTTCACACTGATGGTGGTAATCGGAGCATGCGGGGAAAGCAATAGTTCGTTAGGTTTACATGGGTATTGTCGAATACGCTGCAAATGTGGGGACTCCTCTCTAGTAGGCAAAGTATCACAGATTATATCTGACAGGTATCAAGCGCCACTCGATATTGCGCTAAGTAAGGTATGGATGTGAGTCTATTTTTAACCCCACGGTGCCTAGGTGAGAAAACTGCTCGCAAGGCGCGAGTCCAACCCTCGCCTAGGTTGCAATAGACAACATTCTCCCGAGTCTTGACACCTCGACTCTGTTCTGGACTGCTCTCCGATGGCGGCGCTGCGCCTCAGGGAGTTGGCTGTGTGCCCGGTTGGTCAATCTGCCGATTACGAATGTGCGATCCTCGGTAAGGGTGCGTTTTCGGACCATCTTTCAGGTTGTGTTGCAGTACATCACTGCATCAGTCGAGTGCATCGGTGGACTACTTCCGCCTTCCCCTGCCCCTTTGAGTCAATGTTTAAGCAGGGATGAGGATCGAGCATCCAGGCTGCTGCATATGCGATTACAAAGTATATATTCCAGAGACGGGGGGGGTCCGTTGGGAGCGGTGCCCTGCTCGGTGCAGATCGGTCCTTGCGTCCTCATTGATGTCGGCTTGACTCCAACGTGGCGATCGAGTCAGTCAGTTGCTAGTCTCGATACTACCCTGCCCCCACACGGAGCACATCGGCGAACCGCCATTCCCGCATCGAAGGCCGACTTTGCTGCGAGCATCTTTTGATCGTTGGCGTCTGGGCAACAGGGCGTTCTGTCCCCCGGCCCAACCAACTGCAACTCGTGGGCGTAGTATCAGTTGCAGTACTTGGTATAAGCTGATGTGTCCATACCATCTGGCGGACGGGCATCCCGGGGAGGACTCGAGCTACAACTTGTCTAGTAACATTATCAATTCTCCTCCCTAGGTCTTCCTTCAACCTCGGGGTCAATGACAGTTCTCTTCTCTCTCATCTGTCTTCTCTGCAACCCCTTACACCCCCCTTCGCCGTCAATTTGTCTCCTCAAGCGGCCTCAGTTGTGCTGTATCATTATGGGACTACCTTCGTTGGCAGCTGCCATCTCCCTGGCAGTTGCCTGGGCTCCCCCGGGTGCTCTGGCAAGCAGCAATCAGGCCAATGGCGCGGCAAGTGCCATCATGGCCTCCATCTCGGTCAGCACCGCCTCTGGACCTATCTCAGGCATGCCGACAGACCTAGTGGGCGCCCGAGACGCTGTACTGGCTGGAAACTACACATCGCGGCTGCATCATCAGGGCAGAGACCGCTGCCCTTCTAGCTGTAGCAGCGCCGGCGTCGACACCACCGCCTGGTACGTCTATGGCAGCCTCAACCGTCTCCGAAGGGCCTGCAGCAAGACCATGCTCCTCGACTTCGCCTTGTTCAACCAGATCGACGGCACGAAGGCGCATGTCGCCATTTCTGCGTGCACGGCAGACTTGGGATCGACCACTAGCGGTACAGGCTCGTCGATTTCCGGCTCTGCTGCGACTTGTGTTGCTGAAGAGGTGCAGCAGGCCACGGCGACATCCTCTGTGCAGCTGGCGTCCTCGGGCGTTGCGTCCTCGGCGCACGCAGCGGACGTTGCGGCCGCACTGGACCAGCTGCGGGCTTATTCATCCCTAGGGGATGCAGCTTGCAACGAGACGATCAAGTATGCGTACACGGGAAACATCGCCGTAGGCGTCTACGCTGGGTCAGGGCTTGCCAACCAGGGTGTTCTCAGCTCGGTCCTCGAGAAGCTCAGCAGCCAAGTCAAGAGTGACGGGAGCGTTGCGGAGAGCCTCGTGGTCCAGATGTGTAGCAACTCGTCGGCCCGATACTCATTGGGGATCCTCGCCAACACCAAAGGCGATCTTGGCGCTGTCCAGCGCGGACTGCAGTCGTGGAAGAACGGCAGCTGCGTTGCCATGGACACAAGCGTCCCCACGTGGCAGATCGTAGCCTATCTCGCTCCAGCCCTGTTGCAAAGCGGCCTCAACTCTTCGGCCACCAACGCCACGAACAGCAGTTCGATCAACCCGGCCGCCCGGCCCAGGTGGAGCCCCGTCAAGCGAGTTGTTTCGAGTCGCGACACCACTTGCAGAACCATCCAGGTAGCAGCTGGGGACGAGTGTGCCTCGCTCGCGGCCGAATGTGGTATCACTCCAGCACAGTTCACCACGTACAACCCATCCCCGAACTTATGCTCTAGCCTGATCCCGGGCCAGCACGTCTGTTGCAGCGCCGGAACGCTCCCGGACTTCTTGCCCAAACCCGAGGCGGACGGCTACTGCTACGCCTACCTGGTCCAGACGGGCGACACATGCTCGTTCCTTGCGGCGTCCTACGATCTCACCACGGACAAAATCGAGCAGTACAACAGCAACACCTGGGGTTGGAATGGCTGCGCAAAGCTGTTCGCCGACTACTACATTTGTCTCAGCAGTGGCTATCCGCCAATGCCTGCCACAGTGCCAAACGCCGTCTGTGGACCGCAGGTCAACAACACGGCGAAGGCACCGCCAGGAGCGGACCTGAGCACATTGAACGAGTGCCCACTCAACGCATGCTGCGATGTCTGGGGCCAGTGTGGCACAACGACCGAGTTCTGCACCACCTCGCAGTCTGCCACGGGGGCTCCAGGAACGGCTGCCGATGGCGCGAATGGGTGCATCTCCAACTGCGGTACCAACATCATCGGGTCCAGCGCTCCGAGCCAGACGTACAGAATTGCTTACTTCGAGGCCTTCGACTGGCAACGCTCTTGTCTGCGCATGAGCGTCACTAGCATCGACACGTCAGCCTATACCCACATCCACTTCTCCTTCATCACGTTGAACCCTGACTTCTCTATCAATACTAACGACGTTGCCAATCAGCTCCCGCTCTTCAGGGGCATGGCTGGCGTCAAGAAGATTGTGTCCGTCGGCGGCTGGACTTTCTCTACAGATCCCGGCACCTACACCATCTTCCGCAATGCCGTCGCGTCCAACGCGAATCGCCAAACACTGGTCACAAACGTCATTAATTTTTTGAACGAGTACAACCTCGACGGCATCGACTGGGACTGGGAGTATCCCGACGAGCCCGACATCCCAGGTATTCCAGCGGGCACCGCGGCGGAGAGTATTGGCTTCTTTCTGCTGCTGGACCAACTAAAGCTGCAGATGCCAGCTGGCAAGACGGTCTCCATTACCGCACCTGCCTCATTCTGGTACCTGCAGTACTTCCCCATTCAAGCCTTAAGTCTCGTTGTCGACTACGTGGTGCTCATGACCTACGACCTACACGGGCAGTGGGATTATATCAACAAGTACGCGGATCCGGGTTGCCCTTCCTACGACCAAGGCCTTGGGAACTGTCTGCGCTCCCATGTCAACATCAGTGAGACCATCAATGCGCTGTCCATGATCACCAAGGCAGGCGTGCCGTCCAATATGATCGCCGTGGGCGTCAGCAGCTACGGCCGTTCGTTCCAGATGACCACCCCGGGCTGCTGGACCGAGCAGTGCACCTTCACTGGACCCGAGTCGGGGGCATACCCAGGACCCTGTACCAACACCGCTGGCTACATCTCCGACTACGAGATCGGCCTGATTCTTAAACAGAATCCCTCGTCGCAGGACCTCTTCGATTCCACATCCTACTCCAACGTCCTCGTCTTCAACAATACGCAGTGGGTCGCTTACATGGACGACGACAACAAGGTATTTCGCGAAGGTCTCTACCAGGGAATCGGGTTCCTCGGCACGGCGGACTGGGCCGTGGACCTTCAGTCCGATAGTGGCACTGGGGACGGTTCAGGCGACAGCGATTCATCATCCACCATCTACGTAGATCCCGGCATTTGGAACTCACCGACACCGCTAGTGACTGCCCTTCCATGTGCGACGCTCGTTTGGCCGCCCCTGCCACTGCACAGTACAACGACCATCGCTTTTGATCCCTGGACTACGACTATCTCGTACTCCAGTCTTACGACGCTCACAAGCACCTTAGCTGGTGGCGCTTTAACGACGTATCCGGACTACGTCTACGTGTCGTGGCTCACGGTGCTGACGATTCCTCCTGGTGCGTCCTAATGCCCCTGTCCCACCGCTCCGAGAATGGGTAGTGTACTGACGCTAACGCAATGCAATGCAACCAGTGGTAACTACAGAGATTGCTGTCTGGGGTATCTCCCTCGCTTGTGGCGCCACAGGCGGTTCCATCGTCTTGAGTAGTTCCGTACAGCCACCGCCTTTCACTGTTGTCATCACCCCGTAAGTAGACTTGCAGAGTGGCACCCTTCCGTGCTACCCCCGGGATGAGCGGGCGGCTCACTTAACTAAATCTGCTCTGCTTCCTCCAGGGTGATCAGTGGCACCACTTCCATCATCGGGGCCACCAAGACAACGACAAGCTCGGCGGCCCCTGTTATCTGGGGCTCCATCACCTACACCCCGCCCGTAGAAACAGAGACTCTCGGTGGACTCACCACCATCATCGGCGGGCGCACCCAGCCCCCTACAGTCGTAACCGTCACGCCCAATCCACATCCCACAACGACACCCAGCACGACAGACCCTGTCCTCAACCCCAAGAAGACTTCCTGGACATCTGGGAAACCGGCTAGTCCCACCAACACAGGGGGCTGCCCTGGGTGTGGCAAGACTTGTAGGCACTGCCGTTGCTCCTCCTATACGGACTGCCCAGCGCTAACCCAGCCCTCGCCATCTAGGTCACTTGTTCTGCGATCCCGGCTGCCCCGGGTGCCCCCCTGGAGTATTCGGCTCCGATGGCGGCGGTGAAGACGGCGATAATGACGACGATCGCGACGAGGATCCAACAGCCACGTACACGGGCATATACAACATCCTGACCGACGACGTGTACCCGACGGTCCTGATCGCGGCGAACATTGCCAGCTCGCTGGACTCCGTAATCAATTCCTTAGTCCAGTCCGTCTTCACCACCAGCACCCCGCCGCCCCCGCCACCTCCCACCTCGACGCAAGGGCCTCCGCCTCCGCCTACGCCGACGGCCGACTGCATATTCCTCGACGCGTACTTCTTCCTCGTCTTCGACGTCTTCAACATTGCAGGGTGGGGCGGCGACGACGGCGCCGCCCTGAAAACCCAGGAGTCAGGGTGCGGCGGCTTGTCGGGCTGGACCGAGAAATCCCCCACCGAATTCATCTTCGACCTGACCTATTTCATCAAGGCCGGGTGCGTAGAGCGCGCCATCGTCTCGGCGGGCGGGCCGAAGATCCAGTGCCAGTTCGAGGGCACCGTCGACAGCAAGAAGGCCCGGGAAGCGGGCAGCACGTCGCTGCGGGCGAGGCTGGACGTCCCGCGCGGCTTGAACGGCACGAAGCTCCCGCCCGACTTCCCGCCGTACACGAACGAGGAGCTCCAGGAGATTGCCGAGTTCTACAGGAGTACTCAGCCTACTACGGCGCCACACACGGGTTATGTGCCCATGACCTGGGAGGCGACTAGTCCGACGCCACAGCCCACGGAAACTCTTCCACGGCTGTTCAGGCGTGGCTTGTAGATGGTCCTTTCATATGACATGTAGTGGAGCTGGGTTTCGCTTGCATGAGGTCACTTTTCTGGGGCTTCATGACTGAGGGAATTGGTGGTCTTGGGGGGGGGGGGAGAGGGGGAAGGGGTTTCATCGACAGATGGAGGGAACAAGGTGGAGGGCCGGCTGATACCTAGCTTTTCCCCCTCCTTGTGTAGATTTTCCCGGGAGTCTTTCCGTCTTCCGAGGCCACTCCTTCCAAGTAGTATTTGAATAGGGTCGTTGGCCGAAGAAGAGTCTGTAGGTGTTGTTTGCGAATGGTCACAAGTCCAACTCCAAGTTCCCATCTCTTCTGTCACCATATCTAGTCAGGAGCTGTGAGCAATTCTAGGTGATCCCAAGCTGCGGCCGCAATTAGCTATGACGTGGTTTAATCCTACTGTAGTATTATGGTTGGAATTTGATCGGGAAGTTTTCACAAAGGGGTACATCTACCCGCTCGGGGTCTGCTGGAGAATATGAGTTTCGGGCAGCCTGCGATTACGATGTGCGGTCTCGACATACCCGTGGACTGCGTGAGCGTCTACGCCGATGAGGCTGTACCAAGATCTCCCAAATCGTTCTTTCGCCTCTTTAGCTAACTTCAAAGGTTTTCGCAGGTATGGCTTCAATTTTACACCTGGTATCGGCCAGCGAAAAATCCTGTAAGAGCCAGGCACTGCAAAAGTAGGTAGAGACTTATTAGCAAGGCTGACTGCTTTTTGCTTAATCACTGACTTTTACAAGCAACTTGATTAGCATTTTTCACTGCATGTTAATAAGAGGCATACTTCCTTGCTTATATAGAGGAGTATAGAGGTTGCTCGTATTATGCAGCGTTGGCGTTGCGATGCAAGGCACGCAGCGCATGTGTAGTGGCATTTAAATGGCAGTGGTCAATTCTTCTGAGACCTCTGTAGTAAGCGCTGAAAGGTAGTTGGTTTTAGCGGTAGTATAAGTCTATATATGCTGAAAATTAGTGAGCTTTAGTGAGTTCGTTGCGGTAAATTCTGCCAGCTGTAAATGCCCAGGATTTGAAAAGGGGTCATACTAGTTCAAAGTCACGTGGATTGGTGCAGATGGATGCCCAAAACAATGCCCCCATTGCTCAGCGTAGCTCAGGTTAAGGCGGCAACTGCTTAGTTCCGAAGAAGTAAAGGGAAATTCTTAGTGACGAGATTAGGTAGGGTCATGTTCTAGCTGATATAGTGAGCCCCTCAATGCGTAAATCCTGCTAAACTTGGTGGTACTTTCATGGCAACTCCTCATCAGGACCACCGAGTGTAGCTATTTCTAAAAACAACAGGCTACAGCAACAACCCCTGGGACCTGAGATGCGAAGCAGAGACCCAAGCCTATGTGCATGGTGAGATTGCAAAGCTGGACGAGGAGACTAGAAGACGAATCTACGTTCCGCGAGTTTTCAGCTTCATCGAAGCCGAGTTTGACGGGTTCACCTATGGGATGATAGTGATGGAATACGTGGCAGGGGTGCCTGTGAGTCGTATCGTGAGGGCACTCGAGCGTTCGGATGATGAAGCAGGGAAGGAGGAGAAGGTTTCTTTGTTCAAGGGCAGGGTCGTCGATGCTATCTGCTTCTTACTTTCACTTCAACCATCGCCTGAAACCACTCCAGGACCTGTTGGCGGTGGCCGAATCTTGCATTTCATATTCGGACGGGACAACCCTGAAGCCCCCCGGGAGTTTGACGATGTAGAGGATCTCCAGACTTACATCAATGAGGAGAACAAGAAGGTATATACATGCCCCACCGCGGAGTGTGAAGAGTGCTGACAATGTCAACAAACAGACCAACCCAGGGCTACCACCGGCCAATTTTATCCCCGAGGGCCTCAAACTCTGCTATTGCGACCTCAATTTCGACAACTTCATAATGGAGGACGGGAGTGACCACTCAAGTGGGATCATTGTTATAGACTTTGAGCACACCAGCTGGCTTCCTTATAGCTTCTTAATATGGGAGTTGTGGGTTAAGAGGCAATTTCATCTGGAAGAGCGCATCAGCTCTCGAAGTCAGTTGCAGGTTAATCGGGAGAATATTTATGCACTTCATGAGGTACGTATGCGGAATCGTTATAATTAGGTGAGGCAGAGAGTATAGATCAAAATGTTCTGTCTTTCAAAGGGGTGGGTAGTGGCCTCAACACATTGGTGTATTCCCAAAATACAGGTTGACATAGGTAATATTGATATATTCCACCTTTCGCGATCCCAAAGTAATAATCGAGTGTATTTATGTAGTGGTTGTAGAGCCCCGGCACCTCGTAGTCCCCGATAACTCATTGACGGCCAACCCCGTTTACAAACACAGCACATTGCCGGTCTAGAATCTTCAAGGGGGTGTGGGGATGGTACCACATGCAGGTTCGAAAAAAAGGGTACCCCACCAACGCATAGGTATCAAAGGACGGTCCTACGCGACTCTGATAACGAAAGAAGGAAACACGAATCCTCGAAGCCGGACTTGCTTGGCGATATTCAGCGGATCTACTCTGGATACCCGCATTCCAATGAGTCGAGTCTCGACTGACCGACGATCTGCAGCCAGGCCATGGCTGACGCCAAAGAAACAATCGTCATCATAGGTTCGGGCTCCCCCCCCCACCTCCCCTTCCTCCTTGGTCTTCCGATTTTCGAGCAAACCACAAACTAACCCCTCGACCACAGGCGGCGGCGTCATTGGATGCTGTACAGCATATTACCTGACCCGACACCCGTCCTACGACCCCACGCGACACTCCATCACCCTCATCGAGGCCACGCGCCTCGCCTCGGGCGCCTCAGGCAAGGCCGGCGGCCTCCTCGCCCAGTGGGCCTACCCCGCCAGCCTGGTGCCGCTCAGCTTCGACCTCCACCGCGAGCTGGCCGCCGACCACGATGGCGCGACCGCCTGGGGATACCGGCCGATCCGGTGCGGGAAGCTGACCGCCCACGACCGCAGCCTGCCCAACCCCGCCGACGCACGGGGCGATGACAAGCCCGCCGGCGGCCTGGCGGCGTGGGCGGTCCGGCAGCTGAATGCGTGGAACCCGCTAGGGAAGCAGCGCGAGGTGCAGAAGGTCGAGAAATACCTCGCCCCGGTGGAGAATCTGCCGGAAGATCTGGACTGGTTCAGGAAGGAATGCGTGACCAAGTACGAGGACATCGCGCCGGCGGCCGCCAGTGAGACGGCGCAGGTGAACCCGTACCAGTTTACAAACGCCATGGCGCGCCTGGCGGAGGAGCGTGGCGTGAAGATACTAGTCAACAGCCCCGTGGAGGAGCTGATATACGACGACGACGACGACGATAACGACGACAACTCGATGGGTAGCGGGGCAACCCCGCACGGAGGAGCCGGTAGGATACGCAGGGTCAAAGCCGTGTCCTACGTCGACAAGGCAACCGCGCAAGCGGTAACAATCCCCGCAACGACCATCATCCTCGCCGCGGGGCCGTGGACCCCGGTCCTGTTTCCCATGCTGCCCATGTCCGCCATCCGCGCCCACAGCGTGACGATCCGCCCGCGCCGACCCCTGGCAGCCTACTGCCTCTTCACCGAGCTCACCGTCCCCCACAACCCCGACCCGTCGCCGGACGAGCGCCGCGACCCCGACCCCGCCCGGCAGCAACAACAGCGGCCCCGCCAGACCAACGGCAACCACCACGCCCGCCCGGCAGCCGGCACGCGCCTCATCTCCCCGGAGGTATACACGCGGCCCAACAACGAAGTCTACATCGCCGGCGAGGGCGACAGCCGGGCGCCCCTGCCGGCGACGACGGACGAGGTGGAGGTCGACCGGGCGGCGTGCCAGACGCTGGTCGACGCGCTGTCGTCCATCTCGGACGAGCTGCGCGACGCCGTCGTCACGGGCCGCCGCGCCTGCTACCTGCCCACCGTCGACCTGCCCAGCGGCGGGCCGCTCGTGGGGCCGTCGTGGGTCGCGGGCCTGCTGCTCGCCACGGGCCACAGCTGCTGGGGGATCCATAACGCGCCGGCCACGGGGAAGCTGGTTGCCGAGATGGTCTTTGATGGGCGGGCGCTGAGCGCTGATATTGATGCGTTGGATCCGCAGCTTGCGGTTTAGGGGTTTGGCTTCTGGGTTTAGGGTCGGTCCCCTCGTCTGCTTTGAGAGGGGCCCGAGAGCGGTTGGGTGGGAAAAGCGGGGGGTGGATAGGGAGGGGGGGAGGACGTGGGGAGGAAAGTCTAGAGGATACGGGGTAGGATGACTCTTTCCAGCGCAATGTTAATGCCATTAATGTAAGGTAGGCAGGTACCTAGGTAGGTAGGTAGGTTGGTAGGCAGGGAGGTATACAGATTACAAAAACCCCCAGCCCACCAACAAAAGAACAACGCCGAGTTAGTTTGCTTGGATCCATGCAGTATAGAGCTTTACGCCCGCCCAGTTAAAATAACTTTCCCTCTCCACCGTGTTGCTTTTCCCTTTTCCCTGTTATCTTCTTTTCCGTTCTTTTGTTTATATAGATTTCTCCTCTCCACCCCCCCGCCAAAAAGAAAATTGCTCACGTCCCAAACCTCCGACTCCCCTGCCTCGACAGCCTCCCGTGCGCCGGCAAGCCCGCGCCCCCGCCCGCGCCCTCGAGGTCGTCGTTGTCCAGCAGCTGGGGCCCGAACTGGACCAGCACAACCACGTCGGCGAGGCCCACGGCGACGGCGTTGCGGGCGACGCGGCACGCCGGGCCGGGCTTGCTGGCCAGCAGGCCCGTCGTCAGGCTGTGCCTGCTCCGCACCCCCCGCGCCGTCATCGTCCAGGCCTCCCACCTATCGCCCTGTTCGGCGGCTGTCTGGGAGGAGTGGGAGGGGGAGGATGAGTGTCGCGCCGCCTTCCTATGGGCCAGCCTGCCGCCATTCTCGCCCGTGTGGACGGGTAGCCTAAACGCCGTCCCGCCCGTAGTTGCGGTGGTAGAACTCGCGCAACCCGACGACGACGCCGTCGCCGCCTCGCGCCTGCGCACGCCGGCGACGCCGTTGGCGCCCGTGGCCTCCCAGACGCCCGGGTCGGGCACGACGTGCACGGCTTCGGCCGCCCTGACGAAGCCGTGGCAGCGGCGCTCGCGGACGTCGCGCTCCGAGCGCAGGCAGATGAGGCCTGTCCTGTACGGCTCCGGGTTGTGCTCCGCGCTGACCGTCGTCATCACCAGGTCGCCGTCGCCGCCGTCGCCCTTCTCCGTGTAGGCGATGGAGAAGGAGGCCACGGCCGTCGAGCCGCAGTAGACGCAGGACTGGGGCGGCGAGTGGAAGGCGCGCAGGGTCGAGAACTTTAGGGGGCGGGGGTGGAAGGAGTAGATCTGGACGCCTGTGATACGCGTTAGCATCTTTGTCTATGGGGTCTCCTTTTGACGGCCCATGGACAAACTTACCTGTGAACAGATCCAGAAGATGCAGGTCCGACTTCTCTTCGTTGTACGCCATCCCCACTCCCTTGAGCGATGGGATTACCGAGAAGCGCAACCCCTGACCCGAGGTCGGCGATGTAAGGTTTAGAGAGGCCAGGGGGAGAGGTCGTGTCGACCACCAGCCGTCCCGGTTGACCGAGATGAAGATGCCGTCTTGCTCCGTCAAGATGATCAGGCGGGCCGGCATGCGTGGGCTGGAACCAATGTGCGCGGAGAGGACCTTGCTGTTGCAGAGCTTTGCCTGGATTACCTGCGCAGTGTCGATATTGATGTCGACCAAGGCGCCGTTCTCCAGCACGATGAGAAGGTGGGTTGTTATGGTGGAGAACTTGCCGACCGTTGGAACCCTGGCAAAGACGCAGGATGCTATGCGCGAGTCGGTGGTTGTCGCGAGTGCGAAAGACTGGTTTTGTCGGTTCCACACGGCAACGTGGTGGTCCTGGGAACATATCGCTATCCACTCGGCCCTGCTGTCTATCGACACCATGGTGATGGGCCAGTGCACGCCTAGCGAGGGCGTATACGGTATGATTGTGCTACTGGGCGTGACGAATTCCAGGTCCCAAAGTCGGACCTCCCGATCGAAGCCGACCGACACGAGAAAACGCCTCGAGTCTGACGCAAGTAAAAAGACATCGAGCGTGTGCGCTTGGGAGAGACATCTGACGGATGAGATATCTGTCGACTCCCCAGACATGTCCAGCTCGTCGCCGCCATCCGGGGAGAGGAAGGCCTCCCAGAGCGCGAGGGCCGTGACTAATACAATAGAGAATATGGCCGTCGGAATCCACAGCCATCTATCTGAAAGGACCGCCGTGATCTGTCGGGTCCAGATATCGTCGACTGTTGATGCGTTGACGCCCGTAGCTTCGAGCACGATAGCCAGCGGATCGTGGATTTGAGCTACGACTATCGACGACTGCAAGCCTGCAAGCCTCATAATCGCTCCGAGTGTGTCTACATCTTGCATACGGAGCCAACTCAAGGTGTCGGCCACAGGCCAAAGGCGGTCAGCATTGCGCAATGGAAACCCGGGAAAAGCTTCCCGGTTCAATCTCAGAAGTCGACCAAACTTCAGTGTGCTTCTGAGGTCAATAAAGTGGGCGGCCAGGATGCACACAAATAGGCCGATTATCACCAAACCAGCCGTGAGTCTCGAAACGGCGGTTTCTGGCGACGACCGGTGAGATAACGCAGTTTTCGTGTTTCCGTTCTGAAGGCTCTGTGCCACATTCGACTTCTCTGTGCCGGAAAAGGTTTCCTCGAGGCTGATACTGCGGACGTTGAGTGATGAAACGGCAACGAACAGGGTGGAAAAGACAAGAAGGTCGAATGTGACTACAACGATGGCGTAGTAACCAAACGAGGCAAGCCCCAGGGGGGTGACTGAGGACAAGACCAAGAAGATGACGGCGTTTCGAGCGGCGTTGATGAAGGGTGTAGTCCCCAGGCGTTTATGCGCATTGGAAATCAGCATCACTCTGGAGTTGCCAGAGGACTTCTCGATTTCGTCGATGAACTGAAGACTATCCAAGTTTAGCAAAATATCTAACATGGGGCGTAGTCTGGGGAGTATTCACCTATTCCCAAAGCACTGCGCGAAGGCAATGAGCGGGTATGCCTTCCATGGTACTGTCAAGAGGTCAATTCCAACCACGGACGCCACAGCGAAGGCCAGGGTTGTCGACGCGAAGACCTATAACACAGATGGTTAGATCCAAGATAGAAAACTTGAACGGCGCAACCCCCGCAAGTTGGTACCCTGTATGGACTCACCTGCGCAACGACGGCAACCAACTGGGCCAGTTTGCTCCTGAATCTCGCCACGCCCCGCAATGCCCGTGTAACATATACCGCCGCCGCAGTATAGAGGGCATAGAAGGCGATATCGTCCCAAGCCGTGGCCTTGCGAGCCAGTATCATAACGATGCGACTTGTCGTCCCGTCGCTCGGTTGGCGGACGACAACATCAAGGTCCTCCGCCAGTCCCGCGACATTCCTACTCCACACCTCCCCGGCACTCGATCCCGGCGTATAAAACAAGCTGACCACAATCCCACCAGCCCCAACGACCCTCCGGCCAACCACGACGGGCGCCGCCAGGGTAGCCAGCGGGCGCAGGGCCAGGTCCGCCGGCGACCGCGCATGCACCGCCTGGCAGGCATCCACCCCGTCAGCCGAGGCGTTCAAGCCCGACAATATCGACAGCACGAACGAGGCCGGGCCATCATCATCACCACCGTCACCCGGCGTCGCCGTCGTCATCGTGGCGGTTGTGGTTGTGAGGATATCCCTAAGCAGCCGCTCCTGCACCCCCTCGGCGCCACTCAGCGCGCCCCTCCCCAGCGCGTCCGCGCCGCCGTCGGCGTATATCCACGCCTGCCTGACCTCGACGTCGATCTCGGGGGCATGATGATGATGATCCGGGGCATCAACCACATCGACGGACCTCCATGTGTCGTCGTCGGCCGCCCATCCGCCGCCGCCGCCGCCTCCTCGAAGGGCCCTGGAGGTTCCGTGCCGGGCGACGAGGACGGGGAGGGACAGCGCCGTCAGCGCGAGGGCGAGGGCCGCCGTGGCGAGGGGGTGGCGGGCCGCGAGCGGGAGGCCGTGGGATGATGATGTCTTGCGAAGCTTCTGATTTTTGGGGGGCACGGGTCCTGTTAGCTAGCTACGGGGGATGAGCTTTAGGGGGGAGGGGAAAGCTAGGAATGGGGGGCCAGCAGGATGGGAGGGAGGGAAGTGGGAATCGTTGCGTACATGCCTTGCGTGCCCGCATCTCGCCTCGATAGAAGGATGACGATATTCCATAGTACACGCGGGAGCTGAATCGCGCGAGGCGCGCGCAAGATCGTGCAGATCCCCTTTCTCAGCTTCCAGGTTCTTGTGACGGGGACGCTAAAATAGTGGGCGGCCAAGGCAGGGCGGAGCTAGTTATCTAAATTCCGGCATTTCGCCTGAAGGTGGCTGGCTGTGATTGGACAATTCGGTGCTCTTCAACCACCATGCCCCGCTTTATGAATTACATACTATGCCACGATCCTGAGCAAGCTTTGTGAAAGTCGCGTGCGTCGCGTGCGTCGCGCAAAGCGAGTGTTTCGTCTAGCACCCGTTTCCATGGTATGTACCCGTACTTACCTGTATCCGTAGTTGTATCTGCATCCGTAGCCGTGTAAACATCAATATCGTCATTCTCAGCCATCATCCCTGTCCTCCCGTATGCCAACAAGCCACTCGAACACGTCCACACACAAGCCTGACACATTCTCAACGGCCGTCTCGTCCAAACCAAGAACATCTCCCTCACCATCCCCGCGCATGGATATCCGCAGCAGACCGCCCACCTTCTCGCACAGTCCCCTATACCCGCCACGCAGCTCCTTCTCCCCGAATAGCACACGGAGGAACTGGTACAGCGCCACGACCTCGAGCGTCCCCAGCAGCCCGTCCCTGGCGTCCGGCAACGCCTCCACCTGAACGGCCAGCGCCTGCACGGCCCTGTCTCCCTCTTGTCCATCTAGCCTGTCGATCGCGATAGCGCACCGAAGGGCCAGAGCCAGGTCCCTGGGTATGGCCGGCAGGCCCCTCGGCTTCGACGGCGCCTGCTCGGAATCGGCCGAGACGAACGGCTGAGACAACGACGACGCAAGCAGGGCCTGGAAGGCGACCGAGATGTTCCGCCGCTGGTCCTTCTCGGGCAAGATAAGGGCACGAGCCACGAGTGTCCGGGCCCATCCGGCGGAGCCGGGCGGCGCTAGTCTGAGGGCGGCATCGAGGTCCGGCTTGATCTCATCCGCGCTTTCCACTGCCGGGAACAAGGCGAGAGCATTGCACAGAAGTGCCGACGAGCGCCACGCGGCGAGCAGGTCAAGCGGCGACACGACGGCGTTGTCGCGGACGATGGCATCCACCCAGTCCTCGGGAGAGGCTGCATTCTTTGGGTCGCAAGGAGGACCGACAGCAGCAAGCTCGGATGCCCTTTGGACCACCTCGTCAACGAAGACGTCGTCAGCATCGTGATCCAGCATCTCCGCCAGGTATGACGGTAGCGGCTGGTCGCCGTCGCTTTTTGACGACTCCGCTGACGCCTTTCTCAGGGCTCTCGCTCGTTCCCACAGGCTCCGAGAGGACCCTGCCAGCAGCCCTTTGAGCGGCTTGGACCACCACTCCTCGGCCAATTCCGAAAGTACCCGGGCATGCATCGCACGGAGCATCAGCCGGTACGGTGTCTCAGGGAGCGACCCGGCCCCCAGGAACGTCAGTAGCGTGCGGCCGAACGTGGCATTGTCATCGCCGCCCGTGAGCTGAGCATCCACCACCGTGTCCCACGCCCTCGCACTCCCTTCGGCGGCATCCTCGTCTGTCACCCCCCTATGTCTGGAGAAGATGACGTCCATGTTCCAGCTGTGCAGTGCTAAATTCAGCACCTGCCGCAGAACCGCAGCGCAGAGTTCAAGTCTGCGGGAGGGGACCCAGATCGTCTGGGTTGCAGTGAGGAATGCGTCCCTCCGGACCTCCTGGATGTTGGCGAGGCTCGACGGGGCCGCTTCCGTTTGAGCCTCGCGTACCTCGGTTACCTTGGGTGGCGGAGGTTTTGGCGCAAGAGCATCGAAAACCCAGGGTAAAAAGATGTAGACAACGGCACTGACGAGGAGAACCCCTCGCAATACCGACAAGCCGGCCTCCATATGCGCGGAATTTGTAAGCAAGGACAGGTGGTGGCTGTGAAAGGAGCGCGTGATATATGCGAGGAGGTCTGCCGGGAGCGCAAACAGGCCCCTCCCCGAGGGCATATCGTTGCTCTGCTCGGGGGTGTTGAATCCCTGCGTCGCCAGCATGCCGGCCAGGCCACCGACCATCACCTTACTGACTGCACCTCCCGTGGAACGGCGGCTGTCTGCTGTCTTCACCGTAAGCTGCACGTTGAGCTTCCCCAGCACCATGACCTGTTTCTTCAGGGTGCTGTTCTCCTCGGTGAGCCTCTTGTTACACGCCTGGAGTTCGATGATGTAATCTTTCGCCTTAGATAAGACTATTCCTTTGGTGACTGACTGGCCGGCCGCCCCTCTCTCGCCGCCGTTCTTGTCCAGATTTTGTAGAGATGGGATATGGTCGCGCAGAGTGGCGATCATGTCCTTGAGTCTGTTGCGGTAGCGTTTCTCGACGGTATTGTGTGCTAACCCCCTCTGTGGTAGTGGGGGTTGTGGGGAGCCCTCCTCGTCGAAGGGATCGAGCTTTCGTTTCTTGGAAGGTAGTGCCACATTCTTGGCCCGCGACGCAGGGGGTTCGGATTCTGGGCTTGAGCTATGGCCGAAACTCGAAGGGGTCTGCGCTGTGGGCTGAGGCGCTTCCGGGATGGTTTGGAGCTGGGCAAAGCCAGCCGAGCCATTCTCGCTGGGAGTCATCAAAAACTCCGTGGCGGCAAATGGGAAGCCACCGAGGTCTCTTGTAGACAAAGTTGAGAATAGGGGAGGCTCCGATAGCCCATCCGTTTCTGGGGTATCGGACGATCCGAAGGGGAACGGGCCATATAGCTGGGGATCTGCATGCCGTTAGCGATCTGATGTGACGAGGCGTACACTAGGGTGGCCAGGGTATTCTTTTAGCAGTGTAAGTAATGTGTATGATTATGTAAATACCTAACTGGGGGAACAGGGTAAGCGGCTCGGCAGCCGGGTTTTGAGCCTCGTCCATGTCGATCCAGTCCTTCCACTCGTCCCAACCATTGATGTTGGTGAAGCCATTGTCTATCGAGCTGGGAGTTTGCGCCGCAGAAGTGCCTCCGGTGACGGGAGACACGGTGGAGAAGGTGCTGTCTGGGTTTCGGCTATGCGTAGACGTCGAAGTGCTGAGTGTAGGGTGCCCGCGAAATTGGTAGTCAGGATCTACCGCGGCGCTGAAATCGTTTAAGAATTCCTGTTGGGGATGGGGATGGTGTTAACATTTGAGTGTCGTAGCCAATGCATGAATGCTTGCATTGCACCAACCTGACTGTCGGGGAAGCTCTCGTCCATTCCCGAAGAGTTCCTGGACCCCTGTAGATGGTCCGCGTCGTAAGAGAGGGTTTTGCTGGACTGCGGCCTCACGAGCCAACGGATCCTGGGAGTTTATATCAACACGTATTGTGACGCAAGAGTGGGCCGATGATCAAGATTCACGCCCAGAAAAAAGGCGATGGCCCCACCCTTCCGGGACTTGGCGCTAGCGGGCGGAATAGCCCCGCTTGGTGGAAGTCTGGTTGCCGACATGCAACAAACGGGGCATTGGGGGACGAGATGAATTGACCAATGTCATGAAATGATCAAAAATATAATTTGAGGGGAGAGTAGCCTTGCATTATCCAAAAACAACTGTGGCGGGAGGAGAGCCATCCAATTGATTAAACTAAGCCGGTCACCTACAAGACCGTCTTGAAAGGTAAATACGCTCCCGCTCACTGACGAATACGCGAATCTGAAACCAGGAAACAGTAATTACTTCATAAAAATGGTCTTCATGGCAGGTACACAGAGATCTGGAGACCGCCCGAATACGGCAGGGTCGAGGTCTTGAACCCGTTCTCAGGATTTCGGATGTAGTCGAGAAACTCCTTGTACAACGCCTTCGCCATGACGGTGTTGTCAGCGATGACGATGGAGCCGCGCCTGAGCCGGGGCCGAATGATCTCGAGCGTGGGCAAGGCCAAGGGAGTCCAGACTGAGGAAAGCCGTTAGCAACTTCGGGATCTCTGGTGGGAAAGGAATGTGGATCAATGCATACTATCGAGGAGCAGGAGATCAATTGTCTCGGGCATGCCCTCCTCAACCTGAAGTGTCTCCAGCAGGTTGCCCTCGCGCAGCTCAATCCAGGGCTCGACCTCGTCCCCGGCCTCCTTCCAGTGCGCCCTGGCCCTGGCCGCCTTGGTGGGCTCCTTCTCCGTCGCGATGACCTTGCCGGTTCCGGGCCGGGCCCCCGGGGCAAGCTCACGGTTGGCGTCGGTGACGTTCTGTCCCACAGCCAGGGCGAGGTAGATGGTCGAGACGCCGAAACTGGTGCCGGCCTCGACGATATTCCTGGCGCCGATGCTCCGGGCGAGCAGGTACATGAGCTGGCACTTGTCGGCCTCGAGGCTGACGAACTTGTCACGCATGTGGTCGTCGCTGGCGGCGGACCATGTCTCGTTGAAGAGGTAGAAGCGGGCGAGGCGGGTGATGTAGAAGAAGATCTGCGAGATGGATTTCTCCTGGGCTTCGGACTCCTGGTGCAGCTTCTGGAGGAGGTTGTGCACACGATCGCTCGCGACGACGCTTCGGGTTGACTCTTCCATTTCGAGTTTTGGGCCTGTGTGGCTAACAATACTAAACTGGAGAAAATAATAGGATTCGAATCTCGATGGGGGTCCAGGAACCCCAAACTTATACCAGTACCGAGCGTTGAGTCACACCGGTCGTCGTGACAGAATCGGAGGAAGTATAGCCCGCCTGAGCTGAAATGGCGGGCGCGGAATTGCGGGCGGGGACCCCGGCTCGGAGTCGGCTTTACCCCGGTTTTACGAGGTAATTGACTTCTGGGGGTGTTTGTTTCCAACGCTAAACCATTTACACCATGGCATAGGTAAGTAGCACAGATATATCCAGATACGTACTTACGTTTTCACGATTGTTGCCATTCATACATCGGTATCTTGTACACAAGACCTTCTGGGGGTGATACGTCCGGTTTTTGTTGAAGCTTGGAGGTAGGATACCGGCAAGCTTGCATGATATAGGTGCCTATGAAGAGCAAACACTCAACACAACTTTGAAATCATTTAAAAGTTTTCATGATAGAACTCAAGGGACGCATTCCTAATTCTGCCATTGTCATTATTCGGAATTTACTGCAGCTACAATGGACCTCAAGCCCCATTCTAACAAGCTGATCGATAGAATAGACGCCGTACTGGAGGAGTTACGTGTTAATTATCCACGCGAATCAGGGGCTCAAAAGTTGTAGAAACACCCCCCTCCTTTTTTTTCGAATATTTTTTCCTCTCTTCCTTTTGTTTTCATTTGGGGATCATCACACACAATCCTGTTTTAATTTTCCCGCTGATCTCCTCGCCCTTCCTTTCATTGCGCCTGCTTTGTTTGCGAGTAGGTTAGTCGACCAAAACTGAGATATGTAAGCAGAATCCGGTTCGGCTCAGCTTCGGCACTAAATGTATTTACTTCATGACGCCAGACTTGAGTCACACCATCCAACGCATCAACGTCTCTCACAAATTTTACCAGAGGTTGAACAAGTTTAAGATTTTCAGAGTCAGCGCGGACAGCCATGTCCGAAGCCAGCCCCCTGACGCCCGCGGCATCCGTCGCAGCCGCAATCCACGACGGCCGGCGGCATCTACTCTTGGCGGCGAGCGGATCCGTGGCGACGATCAAGCTTCCGCTCATAATCTCGGCCCTGCGGCACCACGCCAACCTGTCGATCCGCGTCGTCCTCACCAAGGCCGCGGCCAGGTTCCTCGCCGGCCAGTCGCCGGAGCAGCCCACCGTGGCCGCCCTGGCCGCGCTCCCAAACGTCGACGGCGTCTACCAGGACGACGACGAGTGGGTCGGCGGCTGGACGAGGGGCGCCGAGATACTGCACATCAGCCTCCGGCGGTGGGCTGATATCCTGGTTGTGGTGCCGCTGAGCGCAAATACGCTGGCCAAAATCGTCAATGGGATGTCTGATACCCTACTCACAAGCGTGATCAGGGCGTGGGATACCACGGGGCTAATTGATGGGAAGAAGGCGAGGATTCTTGTGGCTTTGGCAATGAATACGGCGATGTGGACCCACCCTATTACTGCATCTCAGATAAGGGTGCTTGAGGAGGATTGGGGGGTTAAAGATGGTAGCAGGGATGGAGAGGAGGAGAAGGGCGATCCCGCAAGGCAGGGTTGGTTTGAGGTCTTGAGGCCCATTTCTAAGACCTTAGCCTGTAACGATGTCGGGCTAGGCGCCATGATGGAGTGGACAGCTATTGTGAAGATTATCGAGGAGCGTATGGGGCTCTCCTCATAGATCCACACAAGCCAGATATATCGTCCAAGGACGGGGTAATCCATGACATGAATATCACCAGTGCTGAACGAGCCTCTGTCACCTGTCACCGAGCCGCCGATCCCGGGTGTCCAGCCAGCGAAGACCTCGGACACCGAACCAGTGGCGACCTCTGCCAACTCGACTACAGACCAACACGGTTTCCACGACACAGGACGCTAGGATCACAATCATCCCACCTATTACCTGCGCCGCAATGGAGGCCGCTGCACAGCCGTCGCCGGCTACGTCTCCCAATCTGGTGGCTTCCGATATTACGGTCGCACCTTGCCATCCCCAGGTCATGGTCACTATAAGAGTAGTTAATTCTAGGCCCTTTACAATCGTGTCAAGTAGCTGAGTGGACTCTTGAAGACGCTTGAACTCTGAAGAACGTGACCGGAAGCAAGACATTTACCCATTTGGGCGATGTGTGGGCACTTGAGACGCAGGAAGCTTGAGGGGAGTCGCTACTCTTGCAATGGGGGTATAATTTGAAGAATAGGCTACCTTCAGACCAACCTCACCAGCTAAAGCTCTCCACAACCAGCCTGACCAAAACACCAGATTGCCTAGACAGACCGGAGACAACACACCGGACCTCATCAGCCATCCCAGCAGGCCCACACACAACCACGGTCGTGCCCCCGGGCCTAGACCGCAACTCCGACTCCAGCACATACCGCAAGTCCAACCTCTCCCCCACAGCCACAACAACATCAACATACCCCCACCGCCTCTCCCCCCCGGCGTCCCCCCCGCACGCATAACCAAGCATGTCCTCCACAGCTCCTACCAGCGCCCCCGACCGGACCCCCCAGAACACCTTGACCTCGCCGCCGAGGCCGCCCCCCAGACAGGATAGGCGGCGCAGGACCGGCAGCACGGCGGTGATCCCGACGCCGCCGGCGACGCAGAGCACGTGCGGGAAGTCCGGGGTCGGGAACGCGTCGCCGTGCCCGGTGGTGGCGCCGTAGTGGCCCTCGACCAGGACGGGGATGCCGGCTGCCGTCGTCGCTCCGTTCCCCGCGGTGGCGAGGGCGGAGGTGATGCCGGCGTGTTTGCGGATCAGGAATGTTGTGGTGGGGACGCTGGCTCTGGCGGTTGTCGGCGGTGCCGGCTGGGGGAGCGAGTCGGAGGAGCGCGAGGAGGCGCCGGGGGTGGATGGCTCAGCGGCCTTCTCGTCGGGCACGATGTTAACCTCCTCAACGGCGGGGCGGCCTGACGGCTGCTGCTTCTGCTGCTGCTGGGCGGGCACCCGGCCGGCGGTGATGGCGGCGACGGAGAAGGGGTGGTTCTCCCAGACGCGCCAGCCGCTGAGGGTGGGGAAGTGCAGGTATGCATGGCCGGCGATGGCGACGCCCGGGACGTCGACGCGGTAGTAGTCGTCGTCGATCGGGGTGACGAAGGCGCGCCTGATTCCTCGTCCACCCAGGACGGTGCGGGTCAGGCGGGCGGTGCGGTCAAAGGCCCAGACGGCGGCGGCGACGTACAGCCACGTCTCGTAGCCCCATTGGCGGTTGAAACGGTACCAGATGTGCAGGAAGCAGCCGAGGAGGGAGAGGATGGCGAGCGTGATGTGGCCGGCGAGAAACACCTCGTAGAGGCGCTGGCGCAGTGGTAGGATTGATGCTGGGATTGCGATGGATAGCGCGAGGGTCGCGATGATGCCCCAGACCCAGTATGGTAGCCGGCTCTCGGACGCGTAGCCCCAGCCGGGCAGCTGCGTGTACATGTACAGGTAGATAATGCTGTGCAGAACGGCTTGGAGCGTGCAGATGAAGGCGATCCAGCGGTGTAGGAGCAGGAAGGTCGAGTGCGACCAGTCCGTCACCCAGAGGAGGATGTTGTTCCGGCCTGAGTACAGGAAGACCAGGGGGAAATTTGCAAAGCTGAGGATGCCCGTCCGGTTGGCTACGAAGGCCATGACTTCGATCGAGGTGCTCTCGTACCAAGTATTGGGCCAGATGATGACGTACCCCACTGCTGACAGGACCACATTGATGATCCACAGGTAGGCGATGAAGAGGGCTTGTCCCCGGGTCGGCATGATGCCCAGTCCCCACACCGGAGATGCATGCCTCGAGCCGAACAGAGGCGGGTCGATGAGGTACCCATTGATACGGGATACCCAGGACGCAGGCCAGGGGAGGAACCGTAGAAGGGAAAGGCCGATGGGGATGATGGCGCCGGTCAGCAATATAACCAGGCCGTAACGCACGTGCGTCGTCTCCGTGTCCTCGAAGTTGGCATTGGTGCCGTATATGGGACTCCACTGGTCGTCGGTGACCACAGCTATGTAATTGAGGGGGACGCTGTTGTTCAGCTCGCGTGTCGGTGGCGTGACGATGGCGTTCAGGGTGTCCGAGTAGCTCTCCTTGGGAACGGGCTGGTGTGGCTTGCTTCCTGCCACGTTGTCGACCCAGAATGACTCCAATTTGCTGATGGCGACATCCGGGCAGCGCTTCTTCATACAATACGCAAGAGTCTGGAGGAAGAAGTCGTTGCTGACTTTGCACTCCGGGGTGGGAGCCATGACCATCCAGCCGTCTCCTGAAGGCCAATCTTCGCCATCTCCATCTCCCCCCATGCCACCCATCCGCTTCATGATCATGCCGTCGGAGTGCTCATGACCCCCTCCCATGTCTGCATCTGTGCAGTTGAGCGGCGCGGTGATGGAATCTCTGCACGCATATGCACACGTCGGTTTGTACATCTCGATCCCATACCCGATGAATCCGTAGCCGGGCCGGCCAAGTGTTTGGCCGGCATCAACACCGGGGACAAGATGGGCGGCGAGCCCGGCAAGGGCGAGTTTCCGGGGGTTCATGGTTGTCTCGAGAACCCCTTCGAAATATGGTGGCAATAACTGTCCCTGTGCTGCTTGCTGGCCCCAGAATGGCTCGATGCATCATCACTTTATAATACCTGTCATTTTACTGGCGGGCGCCCTACCCAGAGAGTCCCGACTCCCACGCACCTGATGGCGGCAGTTTGAGCAAGTTTTAAGTTGTTGATTAAACCGAGTCTTGGCAGCCAGCCAGGTTCTTCATCCTGCCACTAACCTTTGCGCCGTGCACCAATATCTCGGCCGTGATTTGTCATGTTACCCAATACCTATTTACTCTTCAGATTCAGCTAAAACCTAGGGTCGAGCGAGATAGTGACACTACTAACTTAAATGCTGTCCTAGGATCCCAACAGGTTCAGACGGTTCTGCATGAGCTGTAAGGCCCAAGGGCGAAGCTAAGATTCCAAGTCGCTACAAAGACTCTTCGCCTTATATTCTCTCGGAAGGCACCTTCCGCACCGACATTATCGGCCCCAATGGCACGGTACAATGGCCAGCAATGCTGCTTCCCCAGATCTGGGCCACAACAGCGAGGTACGGATCGTATGCCCCGACACTTGATTGGATGCCAGCTACCGGGTCTAAAACTAGGTAGAACGCTACCCTACCTTCACCGGCATGGGTAAGGGTAGAAATCAGTGGGCTGACATGGCAGGAAAAAGGGCGCAGACCCTGAGCTTTGCCGAATGGTCTCGATCCCAGTAGTAAGCCGAGACGCGCGCGTTCTTGAATCAGCTTCGACTATTTCCTGCAGGTAACTGTGGGGGTACCCTCGACCCTGATGCAAGGGTCAAAGAGTTCTTGCTCGCGTGGTAGAAACGTGCTCAATTATTCTCTAGGGAAGCAGCTGTCCGCCCCCACGGCCATCAACCGCACCATTGAAATGGCCCGCATCGATCTAGCCATGCCGCCTGGCTGGGCTTGACCCATTCACCTCCTCTCGAGCACCAATTCCCACTCAAAGCAGCTAGCCCGCCCTCGCGCACCCCAAGAACACTATCAGCCATCCCGCATCTCACTAGTCCGCCCCCCCAGGAGGCGCATTGGCGCTCAAATCTCCCTTCGAAAGACCAGACCAGCCCAGCCATGTCCTCACACAGGGACCGCTTCTCAACCGCGGCTCCGACCCCAAGCAACTCCAGGGCCAACTCCCCCGCCCGCAGTCCCGCCTTCGCAGACGAGCTGGACGCAGTGCTGACCTGGTTCTCGGCGCTGAGCGGCCCCGAGCGCGCCGCGGCGCTCGCCTCCATAGCTCGGCTACCGTCGTCGTCGTCGTCGTCCCACCCGGTGCATGGGGTTGTTGTAGTAGCACCACCGCCGCTGCGCAGCCGTGATCGGGCAAGCATCGCGGCTCGGGCGCTGCCGCTGCCGGTGTTCCCGCGCGACGCCGGGGACCCGCGGTGGCTGTCCCGGTGGCTGAGGTCGCTCCGGCTGCACAAGTACGAGAGGTGCCTCGGCGGGATGCGGCCGGCGGAGCTGTTGGAGTTGGCTGATGAGGACTTGAGGAGGCTTGGGGTGGATACGGTGGGCGCGAGGAATAAGCTGCTTCGGGTGAGTGTCGGTGTGCCGTGTCTGAAGTGAGGAGAAGGCGTGGCTGACAGGGGATGATAGGCTATCAGTGTTGCAAGAGCTGAGCATGGGAGGGTTACCCCTGAATATGGGGTATGGACTATTTGAGGAGTGTCAACCCTGAACGCTCCTTATCCTGTTGGCCCAGGCAGATCAGATCAGTTGGTCAAGAGCCGACAGCGTAGCTCTCTGCACAGAGCAGGAGGATTGGATAATATTATAGGCCTGGGTGGGTTGAATTCAAGTGGATGAAGCCGGTCCTCAGTCACTTGACTCTTCAGCGGCTCCGACGTAGCCCAAGAGTACTCCTTGGCATCTGATTATGCGCTTGCTTGCAAGACTGGTCGGAAGTGACTTCTGTGTCGACAAGGGTGGGAGATACCAGGCACGGGGAAATAACAGTTCTGGTTGATCTCCTAGATTCTGCTGATAACTCGCATTCTGTCTTCGAAGCTGATCCTCGGTGTTTGCAGGAAGGAAAATGTCACCTCTGGTGGCACACCGCGAAGCAATGACCTACCGACTCCCACCTCTAACCCGATGAGGCTCGGAGCATGGTGTAAAACGATAAATAGCAACTTCAGGAGAAGCCTAGGAAACCGGCCGGCTGTGTTGAATAGTTTATATTCTCACGTGCGACTGTGATAGCAGCAATTTTCTTAAATCGAGATCACGCCCCACTTCCGCTATGATTGGTCCCCGGTTATAATATACCCCGTGACTTAGCGAGCATCTGTCGCTTACTTTATATACTTTTCTCTCAGGTCAGTTGATAACTTGGTCTAGTGGCCCAATGGCAAGGCGTTTGACTACGACAGCGTTGTTATCAAAAGATTGCAGGTTCGATCCCTGCCTAGATCAACTACTATTTCTTTTTTCTTTCTTTTTTTTTTTCAGTCTTTCTTACGTGGAAAATTAACTTTTCGTAGCCGGGACGTCATCACATCAGCTTCCCCGAGGCCTTCGCTATTACTGAATTGGCCCTCTCAGTTACTCTATTGGTTGTACTGCTATGCCTGTGACCTTTCACTTCCTCCGTTTGTCCCACCAATCCCTAGGATTAAAGCAGATTGTCGTCTTGCTTACACTTATATCTTCCTCGGCGTTTTCCACACTACAAGTAAATCTTCCTATGCAATCAATCAATGTGAATGCAAGTCTTTATATCCTCAACCCTAGATTCAATCGCTTGCTAAATAGTGGAATCTCTTGTTTGCCAACATAGTCACTGCCTGTTTGATTGTTGGTTTTCATGACACTTGTTAAGGCCGCTTCCAATTTTCTTCAGCTATAATGGTGGAGACCTTTCTAGACATCCTTTCTAGAGTTAGGGCTTGGGCGTGATATTGCTTTGTCGGGTTGGGGTGCTGGGACCACTGATTCCGCATCAGTAATGGCTTATAGAATAACCTGACCGGCCCTTCCTGCTTTTTGTAGGTTATGTCGCCCATCTTGGCCTCCACGACGACGCTCATGTCCTTAGGATGCCCCTTGGCGGAGTCGATGGCTTGGGAGTGCCTGGCCATGGGGTCCCAACCAAATCCGGGAGCCGATGTAATTCTCTGAATCCATATGCGGATCGATATAGTGATAGATACTTCATCTGCGCGTCCAGTCTTCTCCCTGAGCTTGTTACCTCCATCTACAACAGTGAACTCGCCACCAACGCTCCAAATCACTCTCACCCCTGATTCTGCCCATGCTCCGAACGCTACACCAAGTACTTGAGGAAGAGGAGCATTCGAGTCTCTGTTGTTTCAACCTTGAGGCGAAAAGGCTGCCCCTCGAGTTCCCTCCAAGTTACAGTGGATATCGGCCCCGTGGAGTCGGCTCCGGTACGCACGCCAACAACTTGTCAGATCTTGGTCAGCGGGTTAAAGAAATGTCTCGCTAGGTAGCTTGTGGCTATCAATCTTATCGCATGGAAGATAATTTGGAATTGCCAACATCTCCGCCTACAAGTGTCAAAACGGGCCATGCGCAGGGTTAGGCGAGTTGGCGTGACACACCCATTTGCCGTCGGCTGGGAGCTGGGTCGGTCGAAGCCGGTCGGATGGCTTGCCTTGTCTTGACACGACCTTTCTTTTTGTGAGAGTTTTGGTAGTGGGACGCGAGTCTCAGAAAGTCTTTGATCCGTTTCTGCCCCCCTTCGAGAGGAGGGCGGAGAGGCAGGCAGTCTGTGTTGGAAGCCCTAGTAAACAGCCATCAGCAACCACCCACCTGATATTGAATTTGCATCAAAGTCATAGGGCGCATACCGGAAGCTTCGACCAGTTCAAAACCAGTCTCCGCACGCGCACTGCGAAGTTTCTCTCAAATTCAGTAAATATTACACACAGAAGCCAACAGGGCGCCGAAGCGCGACGCGGAGACACACCACACTCAAGCCAGCCGAAGCTAGCGAGCGCGTTGAGGAGCACTTGATCATATCAAAGCCAGTGCATGCGATATGCAAGGCCTTTCATTTGTCGGCAGCAGAGAGGCGCAGCCGATCCCAATGACACGCAGCTGCTGTATGTCCAACCACTGGCATTTTAGAGTCCATATGATACAATAATCGCAGTCGCTTTTGCCTCTCTATAACGGGGGCGTCCAACGTCGAACGTACTCTCCCAAGCCCACCTCTCCTAGAGTCTCCTGGCACATGATCTAAGAGACTAAAGCGATCAACTGGCGCGGCATGGCTATGCTGACTAGGTCCTTTCAAGTGTAGCATCGTCAAGGATGATACGCGATGCGTTAGATCTGGACGTCAGGTAGACAACTCTAGTTCGCCTTTGATGCAGGCACGTAGGCTAGGCAAAAGGGTCCACAGGGACACTAGGCATCTACCTTCCCCGCACACTGAGTTGCGTGAAGATGGGGGCCAGGTTCAGGCAGCAATCCCACAGCGAACAGTCACCCGCATTTCGTGACTTGTACCTGACAAGTACTTGGCCAAATACAGAATCTGTAAACCCGTCGGGCAACGCTACCCTACCTGCATAGACGGCCAACAGTCGTCGTGTGTCGTGGACATGCAGCTTGGCTGCATCGTATTCTTGATCAGTAGCATCCACCGAATCGACGTCTGTGCCTTATTGGAGGTTTAGGCAGAGACAATTTAATGTATTGTCAATCGAATCCAGCCACCCAGGTCTAGATATATCGGGTGGGCAGGCTCGACAGCCTTGGACGGCATTTCAGTAAGGATCCTTGCATCTCGGATCGTCGCTAGCACAATCAATCCCACAGCTTACACCATGTGCAAGTACGCCAAACAGATGCGCAAGTTTAAGGAGTGCAAGAACAGAAGTAACCCCACGTTCTGACCACGAGGGTCATCACCGCCCCATGCGAGACCAAGAAAGAACTGCAATGTGAGAAGCTAGAGCTGGACACAAAGACGGTATTTGGCTCGGTTTCTGTGACGGGTGCTTGCCCATTGTGCCCAGCACAGTGAAGCGTGAGGTTCCCTATTCGATCTATCAAGACGTCTGTTGCTGACAGTAGCACGCCTGCAGTGTCGATGTCACTTTATTCCTGATGGAGCCCCTGGATGAGGCTGTGGAGAGTAGCTTCGTCGCGTCATATTGATGTCAGGCTGGGATCGTACACAGCATAGTGGTTCCCTGTCTTTCGCTCCCTTCAATACAGACTTCTGCTTGCAGCTGGTCGTCGTCAGTCTTGAACTCTAGAGCACCCATAAATGCGACCAGTTGTGCCAACGCCTCCAGGACCTCCTTAGCACTGTCAAACTCTTCGTCCCAGCACTTCCTTATTATCGTACCGGCCATGTTACCCACTAGAGAAGGGAACTCCTCCCGCGCGTACCTCGCTTCCACCTCTTCATCTGGAATTCCTTGGAAAGGCCTCTTCCACATTGTGATCTCGTAGATTGCTGACCCCAACGCAAAGAGTTCTCGTTTGATTGGCGGCCGAGCCTTGAATTCTCTTCCGCGTAGTGGCAGTTCGTATTGAATCTCTTCGCAAAATGTCGGCTTAAATTCGTAGCCCTCGAGAAGCGAAGCACCAAAGTCGCCAAGTTTGACACGGTATCTGTCGAAGAGGAATAAATTTCGACAGCTCATGTCGCAGTACTGCACACCCTTTGAGTGGAGGTAATCGACTCCTGTCACGACATCCAGTGTCATCCTGAGCCGGGTATGCAATGGAAGAGGCTCGTCTGCATGCTCCTCAATAAACTGCCGGACGCAGCCCAGAGCAGCCAGCTCTAGCCGGAGCGAGTGAACGCCAGGACAGTGTTGTTCGAGGCCGAAGCATCTGAGAATCTGCGGGTGGTCGCCGAGATGTTTGTAGATAGTGGCCTCCCTGGCAAGGTCGTCCTCACAGTCATCTCGACCAAAGTAGTACTCTCCATCCTTCCAGACCTGGTGGCCCTTCAAGACTGTCTTGTTGTCGGTTGTCGTAACGTAGCTTGTGGCCCCAAGCCCCAGCAATTCATAAGGCATTCTGAATCCTGGCGTTTCGAAAGCGGGTTTGGCAATAAATGTGAGGTCGTCGAGACACGGAAAAGTGGATGCCTCCATAGGTGCCCGCCGCCTCAGTTCGGCGCCGGAGCCAGGTTTATCCGACGCGAACAGCCACATGGACACGGTGGACCTGACCTTAGGTAGTTCTCCACTTTAGACTCGGCGCCTCTCGGCGGAATAAATTCTCATTCGCTTCGAAGGCAATGACCCTGGAGTGTCTCATGTTTTTCTGCGCGGCCGAATTTCATCACCTGCCTGATCGAGGCGCCATGTCTAGTTGAAGGCCGTCAGCGGGGCTGGGAGAGGCCTTACCGTTGACCTTGATGAGGGTCTCACAGCGAATGGCATGTATGGCCAAGTTGAATTAGATGAAGACTGCCCGCTTTGCCCACTGCGAGACCTGCTTGCCCCGGACGTGGAGCAAGAAAGAACCAAGCCTAAACAAATTGAAAAACCTCAGCAGACAACAACTGTTTCGAGACACAACTTACAACAACAGGATCTCAAGGAATTCAACTCGGTGGACTCAAGCTGCGGATCGAGTCAAACCCCTCAAACCTACAGTCAAGAACAAGTTCGGGAGAAGAGCAAGGGAGGCTATTTCAGGCAACCCTGTCAATGTGGTCTCTGTTGGTGATAAGGGCGGCAGCATTACATGCGTAGAGCGAGTTGGGAGGATTATAGCCAATGGTGACTGACTGTACGTGGTCACGACTTGTTGTCTGGCCGAGCGGTTGCAGCCTCATGTTGGGTTTCTGTCTTGTCGGGCGAAGAAAAGGAGCAAATAGTAGCGTGCCAAATGCGTGTAGTGTATCGTCACCCGCGATAGTTTGAAACAAACGGAACCGCGCGGCTCGATCGGATCATAGGGCGTAGTCACTGAGAATCTGTATACTAGTAGATATATTTATAAGATTCCAAATGTGTTTATGCTCCCTTCAGCGTAGAATTTTGTACCTGACAGGAGGGGGAAACTTTGGCACCAAACCATAGAATGTACCCTATGCACTGCCTAGGTACCTACTACACTGGGCATTCACAGCGATACTGTGCGGCCTATTCTGCAGCCTTCTCCTTCTCTCGTAAACAACTGGTTCTAAACATAGGCAGATGACCAAGGTCAGACACGAAAGGGGTTCCCCTGATCTATTTACCAATGAAATATCCGTTTCCCGTTTCTACCGCCTTATCTGTGATACCCAGGCATTCTCACTATTTATACTGTGTGCTGGAAACGCAGCCCCTTTGCCGTTCCCCAGATTCTCCCCTCTCTGCGCTTGTTCTCCAAAATATTCCAAATCCATCCCAACTCCCCTTCCTGACCAAGAAAGCATTCCTATTTTTACGCTGCTTCGATTCCAGAATGACTTCCACCCGGCAAAACAAGAGGATGGCCAGCCTGGATGTCCTCGACAAAGAACGCGCCTAGACTGTGCGACGGGCCTTGATGAACATTCTCACGACCGAGCTTGCCGAGTTTACCTATGCACAGATCCTCGATGGACTCCCCACTCAACAAGCCATTTTCGACTCCTGCCAGTGGATTCACGACCACCCCACTTGCCAACTAAAACATGAGAAGCTATGCGACGGTTTCCTCGAAAAAGCCCGCGAATTCCGATCTCACTTCGACCCTTCAACCTTGGTCTTTGGTAAAGATGTGAGCACCCCACCCCCATCCCCCTATAGCTGTAGCTTGGGAAACTGTCTATGCTGACCGTCTGATATTCTATAACACATCCAGGTACTGGCTGCATTCCAGAAATCCCAGCCTGGCTCCAAGGAGTTCAATCTGCGACTTATTGAGCTTGTCGTTGTTGCTTGCCATCAGATTGGTGCTTCTCTCTTTAAGCTGGATGGTGGAGGACATCGGCATGAGGTGCACAACTCATGGCTGGCAAAAGCCCGCCAAGAGGAAGAGACCGGCACCAAGCGGCGCTTATATCACCCTCCCCCGGCTGCTTTTTTCCATAGGTTTTACGAGAGGCATGAGCAGTACCCGATGGGTGTCGCTGATGTCGTTGGGTACTGGAGCGAGGGGAGAATCTTTGGGGGCGTTGTTGTCTTTGATCGCGGAGAGAGTGAGCAAGAGGTTAGTTGGCATCCCATATTTCGACAGTTTATTATTTCTAACCTTCGTCGTTTCATTCCTTCCTCTGCAGTGTAAAGATATGTGGATCCACGGCATTCTTGCCAAAGGCCCGCGGACCTTGTACCCGCCCACGAAAGAGCAGTTTGAAGCGTTGGTGGCCTTCCTTTTGGCAGACCTGTCGTCTGGTCTCCACGTCGATTGCCCCCTCCCCATTCACGGGACCCGACTGAACCGGCCTCGCTGGGATCCATGGCTCTCGATGCGTTTCCACATATTCAGAGACCGATACGAGCGGGTCATCCCGGCTCGGCCGCCGCCGCACCGCGTGACCCACACCTTTACCCACTGGCCCGAACTTGAGGACCAGTGGGTCATAACGGAGATGGATATGAGGAGAGAATCAGGACAGCCTGTGGACAAAGAGGTATTGAAGAGGGCTTACGAAGGCCTGACTCTCTTGACGCCGTCGTCGCTTCTATGGCGGCCACGCATACCCGAATATACTCATGAAGGCTGCTGAGATGGGATGTAGACGAATATGTTTTTTTATGTAATTCTACAGTCAACTTTGGAACCGATTAACAGTTCCTTCAAACAGCCCTCATATGCCGAGAAAGTTGCTGCGCAGGATAAGCTCAGCAATGTTATTGATGAGCGGTTTAGGCAGGCCGGGCCGAATGGGGCTACTTATGTTAATGAGGTGAGATATGGTTTTCCTGGGGCGGGTTGTTGTCCGGAAGAGATTGCTAACGGGAAGACAGGCCGACCCGTTCCAGCCGGACTGGCAGGATCATTTCTGGAGCACCAACTATGCGAGGTTAGCGGAGCTCAAGAAGAAGTGGGATCCCGAGGGCATATCCTATGCCATCTCGACGCCAGGGACCGAGGATTGGGTCCAGATCGAGACTTTCGCCCGGCTGTGCAAGAAGCTGCGAGGAGTCGGCAGAGATCTCTCAAACTGGCATTTGTTCCCCCCATCTAGAGTACATAGTGCAGAGATCGATCGTTACCTGACTTTCAAGAACCTTTCTTCATTTGCTGCTCCTGTTTGCTGAATGACCAAAAATATAAGAAAATATGGGGAAGAAGGGGACATTGAGGTAGAAGCTGGATCCCGGCCATACGATAATATCATGTACAAAACAGCATCTTCGTGTATGGGGTGATTTTACCCCTTGATCAAGCCCGTCGTAATGCCTTGACTCCCGTACTATTGCTGGCTAGAGTCGCCTTCTGCGTTTATGCTTGGTTCGTTCCAGCTGTGCCACAGCAATTGACCTCACCATCCTCCAGCCCGATTTAAAGGTATCATTACTCGTTTGCTTCAAACCATTTCATCCCCGCGCCGCATCCCCGACGCCACAGGCTTACGGTGAGGATAACCCAACCCCCCGGTGCCATTGCCAGCAACACCACCGACGGGAGCGACACCGTTGCCACCCAGTCCGGTCTCGGCAGCCGCCGCGCCGCCGATGCCCCACCCAGCCCTTCTCGTAAACGTCGCGCCCGCCAGCTCGTGGTCGCCGGCGAACGAGATCGGCGCGACGCGGCTCAGGGGCACGTGGTTGATGCGCCAGTCCCAGATGGCGGCGTAGCACATGCGGTATGCGGAGAAGGCCATGACGGTGCCGATGACGGCGCCGGCGACGATGTCGTACCAGTTGTGGAACTCGTCGATGGTGAGGGCGCCGCCGATGAGGCAGGCGCCGAGCAGGGGCGCGTAGATGGCCACGAGCTTCCACATGGCCGGGTGGTAGTTTGCGAAGACCTTGAGCTTGGCGTTGAGGTACAGGTACAAGTAGACGAAGCCCGCGAACGCCGCCGTCGCGTGCCCGCTCGGCATCGACTCGAGGCTGTCGTCGATCTCGTCGCGGTCGCCCGTGCAGATCTCCCGCGTGTAGTAGATCTGGTTGAACCCCTTGGCGTTGTACCCGCCGTCCGTGATGCCCGGGTCCGCGCTGGCCAGGCTGACGTCGGGCCGGCACACGGTCAGGAAGTGCGGCCGCAGCCCGCCGATCAGCCACTTGATGAAGACCTGGAACACGGCCGCCGCGATGACACCGTAAAAGAGCCCCACGATGGCGTTGTTGGCGTCCCAAAAGGACCGGATCCGCACCTGCATGGCCAGGATGACCACGATGGGGATCACCGTCGCAAGGAAGGCCGCCAGCCAGATGGGCACAATCTCCTTGCGCATCGGGTAGGCGAACTCTGGATACACCACCTCGCCGTCCGAGAAGGTCACGGCGAAGGACCGGCTCGGGGCTGGGTGAGCCATGTAGACCTGCAGGGCGAGAAAAAAGATAAGGGGTCAGTATAACTGGGCGGCTTTGCTTGAACGACCATGCGTCACTTACACCGAGGCCGACGGCTCCCATGATGATCATGGTGAGGATGTCCAACCAGGTAACTTTCAGCCAGTGCCCAAACGTCGGACGCGTTGCCATCGAGTACGGCTCGTGGTGGTGGTGATGACGGGCAGATCGGCGGCGGTCATGAATGGCAGGGCCATCTCGAGCTCGGCGGCTGAAGATGCCCATTGTGAACGAGATCTGACAAGGGCTTCAAGAATGAAAAGAGAGATGTTGACCCAGGAGCAGCCAGCTTCTCAAGGGGGCAGACGGCATTTTTATCATTGATACGATCTGTACCTGCTTGTGTGCAGGTTTGATGGGTACTTTGGCTGACGTCATGTTTGAGGTTGATCAACAACGGTGCCAGCCGCCTGTAATTACAGAGTACGGGTCATCCCTTCTACACGTCAAACGTATAATTGGCCAATTATTGAAGTCAATCAAAACTTGGAAACAAAAGTCTATTGCGCCATCAAATAAACTCTGACCGACCTAGGTACTGTAGCCATGGTTGAGATGGCATAATCGTGAGTACCTACCTAGGTAATGTAATGCGCCTGATTCTATGTCTATTGCTCAAGTTGGTTGGCACTAACTACATTACGAAATATAAAAAAATACAAAAAATATACCGACATGAGCCGGATTTGAACCGACGCCTCCGAAGAGACAAGATTTCTAGTCTTGCGCTTTAGACCACTCAGCCATCATGCCTCATTGGTGAAAATTGCTGCCAAATCATAGCTCATAAAGGGGAATACCACTATGCCCCCTGCGTTTCTTACCAGGGCAGGGATACGTTAGCGTGGTTTAAGAAAAATCGGCGTTTTCCCGTTGTTCATCCCCAAGGAACGTTGACTCTCTCTTAGGAGTCGGTCATTGCTCCCAAGTCTTTGTTGACCTAGAAGGGGAGATTGAAAGTTATTTCAATCTGAGCGGCTGCTCGAGCGTAATCGTTTTCGGATTCGGAATACTGCCGAGATGGATTACGACCAGCAAATAGGCCTCGTTCAGATTTATTGCCATGCAGTGGTGACAGTGGCAGGGTCGTGCGGACTCCACCTTGCTGCTGGACTGGTCCTAAATACAGGGTATGAAGTCTAGAGATCAGTCACGCGGCCCTCTCGTATGGCCTTTGTAGCCTAATTGCTCCGGATCAAGCGTATTAGCCACCGATGCGCCATACGGCTACTGAGCAGCACGTAGTCACGACGGTGGCGTTGAAGAGATGGAAGAAAGAGGGAAATCACAGTCACCACCTCCAGTATGGTTGTTGCACGACGGGGGAAATTCATTTCTTCAATTCATGTTACCAGCATCCAGCATCCATGGATGGGTCTGTCTGTCTGTGCACTTGGCGATCTTCTCTGGATACCTGCTGAGGTCCGAAGACCAGACCGGTGAGAGCCGACCTATGAGGCTTTGCGAAGCGCAAACTAAGGGGAAATGCAAATAAGCAACCAGGAATTGTCCAGTTCCAAGGCGGAGGGTCCTCGGAAGGAATGTCGGGATCGGGTGTGTATCCGTTGCTTTCCCTGGCCAACACCGATCATATCTTGATCACTTTGCGGTCATCGACTCAAGCGTGCTCGCCAGGCGGAGGTAGGGTCCGCACTCCGGTTCGTGCCCCGGCATAGCGCCGTCGATAGCAGCCCGCACCTTAGCCATATCCTGCTCGATGCCCTAAAGAAGTTTGTTAGGTTGTTGATTCACGGCCAAGCATTCCATACCTACCTACAGTGGAAACAAGTATGTTGATCGTCATCAGGCGACGGATAGAGGCTAACTCGTCAAAGGTAGCTTGCTGTAAATGGATGGTCCTCTGCCTCAGGGACTCTTCTTCAGCTTCGAGGACTAATCCCAGCTGTTTGCAGAGCTCCTCGAGGAGCTCAATACGAGGACCGAATTTTCCGATGACAGGGCCATCACTGATTTTAGTCTTTTGACCGAAATCGCTGTTTATGGCCTTGCGAATCTCGAAGCTGGAGTTCCAAACTCTCTGGGCAAAACCGAGGCAGCGGGCAGGAATCTATTGCCGGACAAGCGGTGTCAGAACAGCACGGGAAAATACAAAGGAGGTTACACTCACCACAGTACACTCATCGTATTCCATAAGTCCATCGCATCGGGTACACTCGAGTTCACCTCCGCTCCAGCACTCAGATTCCATATATCCCTCGTGACAGTGTGTAACACAGGGACCACAGGGCCAGTTGGTTAGGTACGCGCCCTATCGCCGACTGTTAGTGGAGCTATTGGTGCCTAGGAAATGAACGCACCGTTCGACCAGCGAAGCCGACCTTCTCGTCATACGGGAACTTGGCGCAGATATCATCTATCGACGCCATGATGGGTGGCGAGAGAAGGGTGAGCAGAAGTAAATGGTAAAAGGTTGTCGAGTTCAATTAGGTTTGCTGAGCCAACGATGACTTGGAATAGACTGACTTAAGTACTCCCATCCCTTCCTGTCAGGTTGGCGAGGAAAGCAATGGAATTACCAACTTACGTGGGCCTGGACGGTGCGGTAGGCTACCTGAGCTTCAAACCAAAGAGTATTTACCTACGCTACAGTAGCTCAAACCCAGAGTGTCCGGTTGGAAGAATGGATGACAGACTGAGGATACACCGGTTGCCTGCCCGCCTGCCTGCCCGCCTGCCAGCAGAACAACCTACACAAAGGGAAGGATACCACGATATCCAGTACCTACTGCATTTGATAATACTTCAAAAGGGCTGACACACGATAAATTGCTTTCTTTCTCTATGCTCAGCGTTCCATCTTCATGGGGGGCTCTCTTTGATGCCTGGTAAACTTCAATTGTTCCCCTGAAGAGGCCAAACTGCACGAAAGAGATATTGGAACAATGAAGCAATGGTACTCTGAGGAAGGCCCATGGCCCGGGAAATGATCACTACGAACTATGACAGCTGAATGGGGGAGCCACCTGTCAGCAAAGAGACAACAGCGCATGCAAGGAGAGTATACCCAGCAGAACAACAGGGCTGATTAGCTGTAAGGGCAGCCCATTCCAGAAATGTTTGCCAGGTTCAATATGGTCTATCTAGGCTGTAGCAGCGTCTGAGCTGCATTGATACCTTCAGAGTAGTACATTTAAAAGAAACCATCGATGCTACCACTCGAAAAATGTGGCCTTTTCCTCCAAATTCTGGATGCGTCTCTCCAAGGAACCCACTCGCTCCTCCTTCTTGGTGATGGAGCCCTCCTCCAATTTTCGAGCCGCGTCCTTGTCCTCTCATGAGGCAGTACCGTAACTTTCTCTGACCTTCGTCTCTGGGACATCCGATGACACAAATACTGAGGCGAAGAAAAGGGGGATGTCGGCAGCATTGCCTCGAGGTCCTTGCACTAACCTTTTGATCGCTCATATTCCTCCCACCGTTCCTGATAATCCGAAATGAGATCCAAAATGTTCTTGCGGAGTTTCAGGTGACGAATTGTATTGGCATAAGTCTTCACCAGCTTGCGCTTTACTGGGATCCCCCGAACCGTAGTTGTAAGATTGCCCTGAACATGTTGACTATGATTCGGCACATTTTCCCAACAGTTGATCACGTCGTAACCGAACTGCACCGTGGTGCCCCAATTTCGTGCCCAGGTAATCTGACGGTTTCCAGCATTGTTGTTGTATCGGAATAAACACAAATGCCCTTCGCCACCGTTCCATATCTCCATGACCTCAAGTTTGGGCATGAAAGCAGCCGCACGGCCTGCAGCCATCAGCAACCTCTTGATCTTTCCGGGCCCCATCTTTTGATGTAGCACATGTGATGTCAGGGCCAGTTCTCGAAGATTCTCCCAGGGAATTACGGTTGGATTTTGTGGCTGGGTCGGATAGAAGTCTGCAAAGAAATCCTCGGCATCCACAAGGAATGCCGCAGACAAACTCTCGAGGAAACGGCTGGACATTGAGAGGGCTCTGCCCAAAGGTCGGCTTGCTCGCTTGGAGGATCGTTCGGGGTGTAGAAGTTTGTCGAAGTCCTCAAATATATAGAGTTCCCGGAGAGTACTCGGTAAGCACCTCCAAACTAGGCTGAAGTAGCCTGCAACAGTAAGTTAGCCAAAGTGCTGCGGCAAGGAATACGACTTTCAACATACCCCTCTCAAATACTAACTGCCGCCGTGGGCTGACATCATGCCATCCTTCATGGCGGAACCACCGGAGGCATGTGAAGGCCTCACGGAGGAGCTTTGCTAAGGGATTTGGCGGTGATTTTCCGATAGAACTGTCGACGGATAAGCAGGCCGGTCACAATCTCCACCTTTGGAAACGTCTGGGAGAAGGCGGAGAATTCGGGAAGGCTGAGGTTGATAGCCAACATTCCCATAATTCTCTGTTTTGATCCCAAGCATACAGCATCCCGATGGCCGTCAACCCACCCATGAGATGGGTCATTCAGGGGGTTGAGTTTAAGTCTGGCGGCTCGTCGCCTGTACGCCCCCGTAATCTCTCTCCAAGTCTTTTTTTTCTTGGTACGGATAGTCGTGCTCGAGGCGAAAGTCCCTGAATGTGTGCTTGGAATCACTCGGGGAGTAGACACCAAATTCCAATGTTAGCCCTTGGTAGCGGCGGCCACAGCCGCAACCACAGGAGAATCCGGTCCAATTCGATAGGATAATCAGCAAATTCCAGACAGCTCGGCTAAAGATATCGTCGTTCCTGTTAGAGTCAGCGATAGGAAAATGGTGTTGGCAAACGAATGGTGCCACAGTAAACCAAACCACGGATCAAGCAAGGTCTTACTTACTTCCTGGTTGTTTCAAGGTCCTCTCTTGATTGGCAGACTGTGCAATCGTACTCGTCAAGCCTGACTCGAAGAAACAGGTGCTCGAGGTAATCTCGTCTGTGTCTGGTAGCCTCCGTGCCCATAAATTGTTCAAGGCCAGATATGCGGTCTTGGTCCAGGACAAGTCGCTGGAAGTTCCTCCGTTCAAAGACCCGTTGCCACTCCCGACAGACGCTGGCATATCCGGCGCGGGCGTACGGTTCGGATTTGAACCTGTAATCCTCTCCTACTATTTCGAGGATCATCGACCGAATCTCGGCCGGCAATCGCCTCCAGCACCCCATAGTGGGAGGACGTTCGCAGGGATTTAAGAGAGACTGTTGAGGGGAAGTCGAAAATCAAGACCGAAATTTATTTGTTGTACTACTTAAGCTTTTTGGCCTCTGAGTCACTTTGCCTGGCCAAGGAGAGCTTGCACAAAGGTAAAGACAAACCTTATATCCTTGCATACGCTGAGTAGCTTCTAGGAATTGCACCTCTCGTGTACTGCCTAGGTTTGTGCCAATGATACCTACCCAAAGATGCCGCTGCTGACAGCTGACTGAACCAAGCTCGCATGAATCGGTGGACTTTTATGGGAGCCGTGGTTTTCAGACTTGCCAGGGCTGTCTCGTCCAGGAAATCAGGCAACTCCAAATAAGAGCTTGTCTTTGCGGGTAGGGGCATTTGGCAATTCAGGCAGGGGGGTCTATGCCAGCGACAGCGACGGTGACGGCGATGGCGATGGCAACAGCAACAGAGACAGCGACAACAAGAGTACCCGACTTTGGCAATAGCGACAGCAACGGCTAGCCAAATGCCCCTACCTAACACTTAAATACCTCTCTGCCTGAATAGCTGAATGCCCTGCCCGAATACCTAACCACCCCTACCCGAATAGCGAAATGCCCCCTGCTCGCGGAGACAACCTCCCAAAAAATGGTCGACGAAACCTACCTAGATACGACCAGTGTTCCGGGTAGGGTCGTGATTATGTACCTCTTGATCTATACCGTCATCTCCGGAGAAATTCTCGGAGAAAGGCCCTCCTGTTGATGGTCTTAGGAGCCGACTTCGTCAAAATGGGAGACGACAGTGGAGGTATCCTCTCCCTTGACCAAGTTTGGGCTACGCTGAATTATTGCAGAGCGGCCTCCTTGAATTCTGCGTCATCCTCTTCCACAAGAAATACACTTTATACACCACACGTCTCAAAAAGACCTGGAAGATGTGGTTAAAGACCTCGAGAGCGGGCTGGACGTGCCCAAGCACAGGACCGATGGGTTGAGATGCAAGAGTTCAACCGTAATCTGTGACATTGCTCTCGGACCCAGGAATCTTTCACGACGGCGGCATACCCTACGAGTCTCTCTCCAACATCCACGGCGCCCCCGACCGTCCTGCCGACCCCCTCCATGCCAACGACGGCGGCCAGGGCTTTGACGGCCGACCTGAGGAGGACGCGGAGCGCGAGGCGAGTCCAGACCAGCAGGGCGCGCGACGGCCAGCTGAGGGCGTGGACGAGGACGATATGGATGAGGTTGAGGACGGCGAGGACGGAGAAGGCGAGGACGAGGAAGGTGAAGAGGTCACGGCTACCTTCCCACCTATCCGTGGGATGTGCGATACGGTTGAATGTGGGGCTGATGAAGTGCATGGGCACGGCCCTGCGGGAGTTCCATTGGATGCTGCGAGGCTGGGTTGGGACTTCCGATGTTTCGCCGAGATAGCGTAAATTGAACATAGTAGCCTTGTTTGTTAGGCAAATCAATATCGACTTTTTCGGGAGCTGACTGGGTGGTTTATCACCGTGAACAAGGCCACACATCCTTAGGGGGTTCCAGACACGCACAGCCCCCAATGGCTTCTGCAACCCAATGTCTTGCCTCACTGGCAAGGCTCAGCTTGACGTCAGCGGCCCGGCCCTCCACAGCTTCGATACCGCGGTTTCTCGTGCCATCAGTAGGCACATCTCAAGCTCGGTACGCGTCCGGCGGTGCAGGCGGCTTTCGGAAACGGGAGAAGAAGAAGAAGGTGTACAAGGCATTCCGGTCGTACGATCTGACTGACCTGGAACAATACTCTCTCTGCGATGCCATCAGGTAAGGCGCATGCTCCAAACCCCGAAGGACACAACCCACCCAACAGCAACCTAACATTAGCCCGCCTCTCCCCCAATAGATACCTCCGCGCCTACGAAGTTGGCCGCCCGCCCACATCGGTCAAGTACGCCCTCGCCCTCAAGCTCAAGACCGTCAAGAGCGGGCCCGTCGTCCGCAACCGGATCCGCCTTCCGCACCCCGTCAAGACGGACACGCGCATCGCCGTCGTCTGCCCGGACGACAGCCCATTGGCCGCCGAGGCACGCCAACTGGGCGCCGTCGTCGCCGGCGAGGAGTCGCTCTTCGCCAGCATCCGCGAGGGCAACGTCCCGTTCAACCGACTCATCTGCCACACGGACAGCGAGCCGGCGCTGAAGAAGGCGAACCTGGGCAAGATCCTCGGGCCCAAGGGGCTCATGCCGAGCATCAAGACCAAGACCATCACCGCCAATGTGCGCGGCCTGATGAGGGAGCTGGTCGGCGCCGACGAATACAGGGAGCGCGGCGGCGTGCTGCGGCTGGCTATCGGGCAGCTGGGATTCACCCCGGAGATGCTGGGGGAGAATGTCAAGGCGTTTATGGGACAGGTCAAGTCGGACGTCTCTAGCTTGGAGGAACAGGTCGACAAGAAGATCGAGGAGGTGGTTATCAGCTCGACCAACGGCCCCGGCTTCAGTCTGAACGGTACCTTCAACTCAACCGACAACAAGATCCAGCCTGCGCACCTGGAGGGTCCTATGTAAATTCCTGGGAGGGAGCAAGGAAGGCTGCTGTTTTGTAAAAATACCATGTATCACTTGTAGAGCAAGGAAATCTTGAGAATCTGTCTATCTTCTGGGTATCTTAAAGTCGTTTCGTCTGCCCTTGACTCTAATGTCTCGCGCTAGACTGGTTTGAAACTCGGGTGTCTATTTCCCCTTGAGGACGCGCACCGCCTCGACATCTGCGTCGAGAACCCTGTATATCCCAAGCAACTTCACGAGGCGGGTGTGACCCTTCGCCCCTGCTTTGCGGGCTTCCCTCAATGCCGTGCCCAGGTCTAGAAGAATCGTGCTCCGGCATTTCGTCGTCCTCTCATCCATCTTCTTGACGAACGGCATATCTCTCCCGATGGCGTCGGCAAGCTCCTCCGCGGCAAGATAGTCCATCACCAGGGCAGTCAACTTGGCCGGGCTGCTGCCGCCGAACCCCTCACCGTCGTCCTCGTCCTCGTCCTCGTCATCTTCCTCGTCATCTTCCTCATCACTGCTCTCAACTTCGCCCCACACGCCGTCGTCATGCTCCCCGCCACCGCCAACCACCCCCGCCTTCCTCGTTGCAGCCCCATACCCCCCCACAGCCAACCGATCCTCTAGCACAGCAACCCGATCATCCAGCTCGACCATCCGCCTCCCCAGCTCGACGGCGGCCCTCACGCGCGCCAGCTCGCCCGCCAGGGCGGCGACGCCCTTCCTCCGCTCGGCGACGCGCGCCAGCAGCTCGGCGACGGCCCTGCGGAAGCCGAGCAGGGCGACGCGCAGGCCCTCGACGCGGTCCTCGCCGCCGCGCAGGCCGTCGCCGAGGCCCAGGAAGGCGGCGTAGTTTGCGTTGACGAGCGACAGCAGCTCGGCGCTGGCGGCGGCGCTGCGCTCGCGTAGCTCCGTGCGCAGGTCCCCGAGCGTCTGGTGCCGCGCCGCGGGGCCGCCCGAGTGTAGGGCCGACAGGTAGGCTGCGGCGTCGAAGTCGGCGGAGAGGAAGTCGCGGCGGGGGAGAGCTGTTGGGAAGGGGAGGGGTGAGGAGTCGGAGTCGGAGTCGGAGTCGGAGTCGGAGCCGGAGCCGGAGGATGAGAAGGGGGGATATCGCCGTGACCGTCGATCTGTGTGGTCTGGTGGTGAGGATGGCGTTGATGCGATATTGATGCCGCTGTAGGAGGAGCCCGGGCGGGATGTTGGTGAGGGAAGGGATGGCGCTGTGAGGTGAGCCATGGTGACGGGTCGGCCGGGACGGGCGAGATGAGGCTTGGGCAAGATGGCACGCAAGTACAGTTGCTATGTGTCAGAGGTGGGATGCATGTGTGGAGGTGCGAAAAAGTACGTGCTCCTCCTGGTAGTCAGTGGTCGACTGTTGGATGAGGTTACGAGAGCATTCAGTGGACAGGTGCCATTTTTGGATGTCTGGACTTTGCCAGGTGTCACTATGGTGACGGCTAGTAGAGCGCCACAGGCTCTATGCTTAGCCACAACCCTCGTCTGACCCCTGTCATGATCAACATTGTGTCGATTGATAAATTTCGTGAGCCGAGTGGGGGTTCGATGTGTCATTGGGGGGCCGGCAGATATTACGTACGTGTATTCCGGAGAATCTAGACTCCAGCGCGTATAACCGGGGACGGGGTGTCGTACACCCATACCGTTCGTGCACTCATCCACACAAAGCTGAGGTCAATTGCCCCACTGCTCGAACCGTTGGAGAACGATGAACGAACTGAATGTCAATTGAGGAGGACGCATCTCCTTACACCGGAAGGATAAAGTAAATAATGTTACCTCCCTGGGATCACCAACAAAATGAGGGCTTCTACTGTGTAACCACGCGGATATTGGTCGAGCAGTGTCAGTGCCGCCTCCGGTTCTTGTTTGCCGAATGATCCCGATTCAGGTACCCCATTGGCTACAGTAGGGTAGCTGATGGAGCACGCCAAGATTAGTTATCTGATCATCGCGATGGGAATCAAGGTACTTGGGAGCGGTAGCGGGATCTTTTGATATGTTCGTAGAGTGTGAAACCCACAGATCTGTCCACCTGTTGGGACTTTGAGATGAAATTTTGACCGCTCCGAAGTCGCTCGTGGCACAAGGGAACCCTGCGAACCCTGCCAAGGCGCCTCGAGTTTGAGCAATTTTGAGCCATCGGAAACCGACGTACTTTGCAATTCGGCTGACACGCTTTTTGGTCATTCAAAATTCGAAGCCCCCCAAGTGGTCCTCTGTCAGCCAATCTCAGCTCATATTTCATGTGTGATGCTCGGAAGCCGTGCCATTCTAGCCTGCAAGAGTGGCCCGATTATGGATACGCTAGCTCATTTGGCACTAGCGTGCGGTCATAATCTTATCAATCAATCAGTGGGGCCCTTGCAGCATCAGGGAGCCATTAGCCTCGGGACCAGTTGCGTCGATTTTCGGAAGCGTCAAAGCCTGTTCGTCGGTTGATGAAAAGGCCCACGAAGCCCAGTCTTTGGGATGTCCGAGATCGCTCTCGCTTCGTCGTGTTTTTCACTTTCTGTCTTCATATGTATTATGTCACGGCCCGCCATTGCCAGAGAAGGAGGAGGGCAGTAGATTTGAATGCGAGTAGACGCAAACAGTCACGACATCCGCCGACGTTTCTCTGCTGTTTTGCAGCGAGTAGGGGATAACATCGATTTATCAAACCAATATATCTCCCTTCATTGATCGATTCTGCGTCTCGACCTGCAGTGGCTCTAGAATCTGGAAAGCGCTGTCTGCACCTGCGTCAGAAAAAGAGGACCTTCCTGCAAAGCCCCAGCGAATCCCCGTCGGCTAGCGAAATCCTCGGGGTATTTCACTCCCCCGCCCACCCACGGAAAAATGGCAACATCAGCTGGTGCTGGTTCACCCACCCCGCCAACACGGCCAAATCTCTCCTTGTCATTGACTTCCGCCACTTCCACTTCCACCTCTACCACCTCCACCGCCATCTCCTCCCCAACAACACAATCTGCAGCGTCGACTCCGACCCCGACCACGCCATCAAACACATCTTCATCATCAGCTCCTCGCATTGTTTCTATCCGTCCCGTAGCGGCTGCTAGGCCCGCGTCAATTAAAACCACTGGACCAATCAACAAAATGGCCATGGCGTCGGTTATCTCGCCCAACCCGACAACTCAACTGACCATGACCAGCAAGGAATGGGTCATACCACCGCGCCCCAAACCCGGCCGCAAGCCCGCCACCGACACCCCACCAACAAAGCGGAAGGCCCAGAACCGAGCCGCCCAGAGGGCGTTCCGCGAGAGAAGGGCGGCGAGGGTCGGCGAATTGGAGGAGCAGTTGGAAGAGATTCGGGAAGAGCATGAGCGGAAGGAAAGGGAATCCCAGGAGCGCATCCACCAGCTCGAGGTCGAGAGCCAGGCCCTGCAGGCAAAATGCCAGTGGTTAGAGAGCACACTGGAGAAGGAGAGGCTGGAACGGGCCCGAACAAGCAGCATACCCTCTACGCCAACGCAGCACAATGGGACCAACAATCTTTCCCGTCTCGCTTCCCGCCAACCTCCACAAGATACCGGACGACGCAGCCTTCCGAGCTCGGGCTCGGCTTCAATCGTTGGTCCCAGGCCAATCCCGCAGCCATTCTCTATATCGCAGATCATCTCTCCCCTGGACCAGATTGATGATACCACAGATTTGACTTGCGGCTCGTGCGAGCCCAACGGACGCTGCGCATGTGCAGAGGAGGTGATGTCAAAGGCAACACTAGGCTGTGGAAAGTGCGCACTGGGGACCACCTGCACCTGCTTGGACGAGTCCCTCGAGAGCACAGGGGGTGCTCCCGACCTGAAGCGGCCGCATCCACCCGCATCGCCCTCCTCGATGTCGCACGAGGAGAAGCGCCAGCGCCCAGCAGACGTCGAGTCGCCTTTGGAGACCGACTTCACGGCCATGTTCTCCCAGAAAAAGCTTACCCGCCCAGGATCCCCATATGCGCAGCCTCAACCCCAGCACCGGCAGCGAGTCACCATCGACCCGAAGGACCAATGCGGCTTCTGCAAGGATGGGACATACTGTGTGTGTGCGGATTCAATGCCCTTGACCGCCGAGAACGCCGAGGCTGCTCTTTCACTACCTACCCCCCAGTCCACCTCCCACCAGACACAGACGCCGCCTCCCGAGGATGTCGGCCCTATCCCAATGGAAATCACCTCGACCGGAGCTATCAAGCTCCCAAGCTTCCAGTCGCTGTCGCAAGGGCGCAATCCTCGCGGCCTGGCCACCGCCGCACCGCCGGCGAGAGGGAGAACCTGCGGCCCTGGCGGGCCGGGTACCTGCGCGCAGTGTCTCTCCGACCCGAAGTCGGGTCTCTTCTGCCGCTCCCTGGCGGCCAACTTCGAACGCACGCGCCCGGCGTGGTCGCAGTTGCGGCCCATCGCCGGCGCCGACGGCGGTTGCTGCGGCAGCGGGGGTCCTGGAGGATGCTGCAAGCTAGACCCAAACAGGGCCGGCCAAGAAAAGCCGGCGGCCGGCAGGGGAACCACTGACAGGAAGGATGTCCGCCGCGTTGGGGCGTCGGGGCTCGGCCTCAGCCTGTCGTGCGCGGACGCGTACAAGACCCTGTCCAGTCACCGCCACTTCGGCGAGGCGGCCAACGACATCGGCGAGTGGCTGCCCAAGCTGAGGGCCGCGCCCGCGCCGAGGGCACATGCGGGCGTTCGTGGGAGCGTCGAGGGCCTGGCACCGATTGAGGTCGAGGCTGCGAGTATCATGAGCGTGCTGAAGGGGTTTGACGTTCGGTTCGGGCACTAGAGGGGCAGCTGTAATGGCGCAGCCACTCTCTTAATCTCATCACTCTTGGACTGGCCAGTCTAAGTTGCAATGACGACTCAAAGCAGTAAGTATTCTATCAAGCTTTCCCCGAGTCGAGCCAAATCTAAATGTGAGACAGACACACGAAGTTCGCACCCGCCGCCTCGACTTCGCTGACACGCGGCAACCTGAGTGGAGGCCACAAGACGTGACGCCCCGCATAACTCCTGCATCAGGCGCAGGATATTCTGGACCGCAACACGAATGACGTAACCGTGGCTCGACAACCACGAAGTTTGTGATCCAACGTGTGTGTAGTAGATAACGTGAAGAGCGGACCCCATCGACTAGCCGACAGGAGTGGAGAGCGCAGTCGTTGAAGATATTCGGGGGGGGGACCCACCATGCAAGGGGTTTTCGCACCGGTCTTCCCAAATCAAGGGGATTTCCGATGCCTGATGCATAGTCCTCGCCACTCACTCTAGCCAGAAGCCTATGATATGACATCAAGTTATACTTCATGGGGCCACGCAGGCTTACGAGTCGGGGAACAATGAGAAGGATCTCGGGGTGTCTAGTTGCAGAACATAACTACATGCTGACAACACGTCAACATAAATTGATAGTTGTAAATACATATATCCTATCTCTTCCAATTAGCAACCTCGACGTAGTATTACTTCCGTCCAGTATTAGAGAGATCCGAATGAAGTGACCGGAGAAACACTGGGGACTTGGCACTGGCCGATTCGACCGGCCTGGCCGTCGCCGCCGTTGTGCTCGCTTATAGGTGCCGACATAAGGTCGCTTGAATGCAACTACCATGTACGGCGTAGGGTGTCTTCCTTGGAGTGCTGGGGGCAGAGATACTCTTGGCATTGTTGAGCCCCGCCTCAGCAAAAGGAATTTGCTGACGTGCAGGGGAGGTTGATCAGATCCCTATCCGTACAGATTACAAATGGCTGCTCCGCGTCAAGGTATAAGTAAATACCACTGTTCTATTCCCTAGTATACTTGCAGCTGGGGCTGCATAAATAGGTGGTAGGTAGGTGCGGATATCCCAGCTTGCTGGATCGCCGGGGGAGGCGCTATTCAACATCCCCTTCTTGGGGACCAATCGAGGCGCCGGGACTGCAAAAAGGGGGGAAGCGAATGGCCCGCATCCAGGTGGCCGGACGGGAGCGCCGATTTCCAATGCAAGGAAGGGAAGAAAGAAGCGTGGCAGCAAAGGAGGGGCACGCCTGACTGTGGTCGTGCGCACAGGTTTTTTTCTGGTTGGAGGGGCCGGACGGGAGGGTAGAGAGAGCGGGTGGCAATGATTGATTGGCGGTTGATGAGCTGGCAACTGAATTGGAAGAAAGGGAGTACTCGCAGCCGACGCTACCTTCCTTGCCATCTTGCCATCTGCGGAGGGTTGGGATCGTGGAGGCTAGGGATTGGATGGAGTCGATGGACCCATGGCGAGGTGGTGGCGCGCTGCCACAGGGCCAGAGGACAAACTACCAAGTAGGTAGGTACTGTCCATACCTACCTGCCACGCGGTACATGGAGAGGACTAGGAAAAGCGCGCAAGCACGAATGGCACGGATTGGTTCTGATGAGCTGGCATATCGCAATCGATCCTCCGTACTGGTCTTCTTGTGCAAAATCGCTCAGCTCATTGCACCTGGCCAGTGCCTGTTGGACCCTGGCATAACCCTTTCCTACTGGGGCAGAGTGCTGAGTAGGCAACCAAACAACCCCGCTAGAGGAGTTGTCGCGCTGCAACAGGAGGACCAGGAGACACGAGTTAACACGAGTTAAGATGACTCTTTTTGGCTCGCTGGTTGAACGGCTGCTATTTGATCACGTCCAGGAAGGCAGGTTCAGGCGGGCAAAAATCCGCTCGAGGTTGTTGGCCTGCACACTACCGTTAGCGACAGGGGTTCCGTCCCACTCCCCGCCTTGACCGTGTGTGGAAAAGCGCGTGTCCACATGCGGCCGGCGGAGTAGCGGCTTAAAAGTTTAGGTTGGGTTCGGTTGGTAAGGCAGGGAGCTAGGTTACCCCACGCTGCTGTGCTGTGCTGCTTATGCCGCTGGTTCTCGTACGACAGTAGTAGTAGATGCTGCTTCTGCATCACGAGCTAGAAACTCGACTCACCGCATTACCTTCGCTCCCCCCTTCGCTCGCTCCCAACCACCCCATGTGGTTGCTTTGAAGTTACATCGTCGGCCGCGAACTGTGAAGATCTCCTGGGGGAGATCGAGTGCTGACTAGGTCGCCCTGAGCTACAGTGCGGCCTTCCCCCTAATCAAGCGCAAGCCCGACCCGGAGAAGCCAACCCCGTCGAGTCAAGCGGTCCGTCCCGTCGCTATCAGCACCCAGCTGGTAGTGCTTGGGTGATCGCAGTCGAGCCGCCTCCACGCCCATGGGCTCAACATGATCTCTATGCAACGCTCCCTCTCGTCGCCCGTCGCCATTCACTCGTGTAGGTTGGAGAGAAGAGAGCTAGCTACAAGCTCTGTTCTGGGTGGTGGTGGACCTTTGCCAGTGTGCTGATCCTTATGCCCTTGAAATGCAGCTATACCTCCCTCCACGACACGCCCTTCGCGATCTCCGACGCCGTCCCCCGATGACCATGTCGATCTCGCCCTTCCCCGCCGGTTCACATCGAGAAGTCCCACCCGAACCGCCGAGCCCGCCATGTCTCACTCTCGGCGCAGTGAGGACCTCCCGAGGCGCTCTTCGACCCAGCTGATCCCGGGCTCTACCGCAAGCCGAAAACCTGTCATCGCCCAGGCCACGATCCCCTCTTCCGACGCGCCAGGCCCCGGTCCACGGGATTCCTCCGATAGCCTAGAGACTGTCGCCAGCCCGCCTTCTCGCCCCGTGGGCCAGTCACAGGATATTAATTTTCCTTGTCCCCTCCTCCCGGATCCCTCGCTGTATACGAACCACATCGGTGATCAGGAACCCGACGGCACAACGCTGGAGGAGCTGGCACACCTGGTCCGCCTGTCCAAGTACCAAGAGCGCAAGCGCGCCAACACCCGGATACGGTTGCAGCGGAGCCTGATATCCACTGCCCTGTCGGCACGACTGGTGCGATGCGGCGAGTTGGCCCACCGGAATCTCGTCGACTGTTTCCGTGGGGATGACAAGAAAATCTTTGCTTCTCTATATAATGCCGTGATTGATGTCCGCAGGAGTTGCGAGGAGACCCGCCGCTATGCGCTTCTTGAGCCGGATATGGAGTTGCTGCACTCTCCCAGTGTTAGCTCGACGGATGGCATGGATACGCCGACAGCATCTATTGCCGGAGGCGGTGCTGCCGTTGGATCTATCACGCCCTTCCTTAATGATATTTCCGCCTCGGCCCGGGAGACCTTCTTGAACCTCCTCACGCAAATTAGGACTAATCCCGACTATCTAGCTACCCGCATTGCGTCCCTGGATCTCCCCGAGCTGACCGCCCTCACCAGCTTCCACCAAGGCCTCGAGGCTATCGAGTCGGTGCTTCCATACCACAACCGTCCGTCCGCACGGGGGACCGGGCCGTCTGCCAACCGCAACCTGGTGCAGGAACGTAGCGCCATTGAGCGGCTCCTTTCGTTCCAGAGACATGATCCGCTATCGGCCCTCATCCATACTTGCTTTGCTAACTCTGCGGGCCCTGACAGCGCAGAGGACAAGAGGAGAAGCAATATTTGGGCCACTACGTGCGCAAAGCTGATCTCGGAGCAGAAGCCAGGCATCGAGAACATCCTCATCGCGGTCATTGACGCCTGGGTGGCCATGCGTGACTGGTCCGGGAAGTCCAATATGGAATGGTACCTGATGAAGATCCTGGAAGACGGCGCGTTTCTCCTTGACCGTGCAGAGGACCAACATGGTACGCGCTTCAACCTATCCGACTGGACATCCAAGGACCAGATCGCGGCCGAGGAGTTCTATGAACGTGCCACGGATGAGCTGTTCGACGTCATCGACGACGAGGACGCCACAGGAATCCCGGAGGGCCTGATCGAGCTTGGGAACGAGATACTTAAGAAACTGGATAGCAAATACGTGGATAGCACCCGCAAGTGGTTCGTCTACAAATGGCTGTTTTCCGTCTGGCTCCTCGGAGTGGTTATCCATCCCGAGAGCTACGGAATGATGGCCGACTACCACATCACCGAGTACGGACGACAGAAAATCCTAAAGCAGGTCGCTCTGCGTGCCCAGCGAGATGTGGTCGAGATGCTGTGGACCAAATCCCCCGTCTCCACGCCACCAAAGGTGAAGGCTCATGTTGACAGCATAATCGGTCGTTTCAAGCACTCCAACTCCCGGAAGTCCAAGCCGAGGCTCCTCCCGGCGAGGTCGATCACGTCTCTGCGCGAGACGGTCGAGGTCCATCCGTACCTGGTCATCAGCCCTGCTGACCTGGCCACCCTTGTCAACGCCCTGTTTCCTGAAAAGAGGCCTCAGTCTGCACAATCCAGCAGCTTGCGCTCGGGAGCACCGTCCATCTCCGCTTTCTCCATCGTTTCTCAGCCCATGTCACGGGCCTTTGACACGGCTTCGGTTCTCAGTACCAGTGCCGGGTCGATGGTCAGCGAGGCTACCACTTCCAGGGAGCCACTCATTGATGAGCCACGGCATGGAAGCCCGCATCGCTACTCACCGCCTATTCTAGACCAGGGAAGCCAGAACCGCCCGAGCAGCTACGAAGATGACGGGTATCGTCTTCGGCTTGCGATGCACGAGATGACCCAGATCCTTGGTCAGGATGTCGTCTATGGTTCGTGCCACCCCTGTGCCGAGCGTTGGGCCGTTTTGTTTATCTCTTCCGACGGAAATACCTTGTCGACCCACATGACATATGATCCGGACGAGGATGTGGAAGAGGAGGAGAACTCGTCGACCAGCGATACCGAGGACGAGGATACCGAGGATGACAGGCCAGAACTGGACAAGAGCTACCATCAGCTCCGGGACTCAATCCTGAAACTAGTCGAGGACTTCGAGATCCCCCAGACCCCGGGTGACGGTGACACAAAGACCAAGACATTCAGTAATCGAGCCTCGAGTCTCAAAAAGTACAGGTCCAAAAACAGGATTATTACCGCTGGGAGAACCATGGGCAGCAGAAACCCGTACCGTAAACGGCTGGAGAGTATCGCAAGCAGCCAAGCGGGGAGCCCTCCTAGGAGTAGCAAAGGGAAGGAAGGGCTTGGGGATGAAGAGAAGCTGGAATCGTCCCCTGTCCTCGTTGATATGCTGAAAGCGGCGTCTTCCCAATCGCGGGCCCAGTCCGACTTCGTCGCCGCCCACCTATACTGGAGGACCCTCCAACAGTTGAACATGCTGTCATCCGACTCCTTACGCCGCAATGGATTTGCGACGCTCTTGAACATTTTCTCCCGTGGTCCGAGGGACTCACTCCGGCGGTCAGCCTCCGCGATCGAGGAGTACGACGCTTGGCTCATATGGCTCAAGCAAAGCCAGGAGCGGGCAGAAGGCTTGATCGACACCATGATGCGGCGGTTCCGTGCCCTGCGCGATAAGATGTGGTACGTCACCGACGTTCGCAACTCTGCGCCGTACGAGCATAGCCGGAATATCGCCGTCGCGCTGAAGACCATGGGAATGCCTCGGAAGTGGGACTCATTCCAACGAACGCGGAACCACACGCACCGCGGCCCCACGGCCAACTATCTGTTCCGCACCGAGTCGCAGATCATGGATCTCCTCGCCGCGTCGGAGGACCAGGGTGGACCAAATAAGCTCTCTGACGACCAGGCCGAGAAGACGTCGCGGTGGCTCCTTCAGTACAGCGTCGAGAACTTTTGCCGTGGGGAAGAAAGGATACATCGGTTCTGCTGCGAGGTCGATAACTGCATCAACAAGCTGGTCGGCGACAGCATCGTCGATACGCCGGTCCTGTGGTCGAGCGAGCTGTATCTCAGAGACAGGCGAGCCATGGAAGGCGGGCGAGGCGGGCGTGATAGAGAAAGCCATGGCTGGGACGATGCAGCCAGCAGTGTCATCAGCGACCCCGAACGCCGCTTCGGATCCGTGGGCAGACCGCCCATCACCATACCCAGGGATATGAGGAACATGTCGGCGCACAATGTCAGCCAGCTTTCGTTCGACTCGGGGCGATTCAGCTTCTCAAGGGCCAGCACTGTGTTATCCGACATCACAGATAGCCAGGACTACTTTGGCGTCTCATCTCCGGTCCATACCATCGACTCGTCGACGACATTCTGGTCGCCCTTCCAGGCCGCGATAGCCCCGAGCTCGGCGGCTTCCAGGGCGCAGTCACCGACCACGAGTGTCACAAATCTCTCTGCCGTCTTCTCGCAGCCAAACCATCAACACCTTCCCTCTCAGTCCCATCATTCCGCCGGCCGGCCCGGGACATCGGCGTCGTCCAACGAAACTGTCTATCAGCAACGCATCTCGGAAGAAAAGGCGCGCTTCCTCACCGAGCTTCGACAAACTCTCACAAGTCTGCTACTATCAGATCTTGGTAATCTGGTCTTTGCTCGGGGGTCGGAGACAGACGGCTGGTTCGAAGGTCTCGGTCAGGAATGTATCGATCGCCGAGAGGCGCTCAGGCGGCGGGCACCGAAGCCGGCGCGGAAGTCATCCAAGGCGCCCCTGAAACAACGGGCCATGGAGAAAAGGAGGAGCCTCGGGAAACTGCGTGGGGCTGCTAGCGCCGAGACCTCCAGCGATAAGGCCGGCTCTGATATCCAGAGCCCGTGCCTGGCTCCCGAGTCGGCCGGCAGCCATGGCAATGACAGCTCTGCCACGAGCGACACCGTCTCTGCGCGTACAAACTCCCAGAAGCCGCACAAGGACACGATGCCCGAGTTTCCGTTTACAAAGGCCTACCAACGACTCCTGCGCATGTTCTGTGTTCATCCGAACCCTTACACGAAGCTGAATGCGTTATTCGAATTGGAGAATCTCATTGTCGCATCCCTGACATCGGGCTCACGGAAGTCGAGGTTGGCGTGGGCTCGATTGGAGGTCGGCTCTCCATCCTCGGCGTCGGATGATCACACCGTCAATTCCAGCACGGGCCGTGCGAAGCCCCTCGAAGAAGCCATTGATAACGTTAAAGAGAGGCGCTCGCACACGCTACAACAGCACCCGGTCTTCTCCGCTCCGGGCCACGCGGGACGTCTCAGCGGTGGTGCCGGCAACTTCGACACACGCTCAGTCGGCACGACGAACCCCGCCAACACGGACGCGATTGCGAATATCCTGCAGTCCCTATTTCGTGACCCGTCATTGCGTCCCAAAACGCTCTTCCGCGACCTGCAGTTCATCTCGGCCTTTGTGCCCGCCTCTATCCTGGACAAGACGGAGCGTGGTAAGGCTTTCTGGGACGCCGGCCTCGCGGCTCTGAATCTCAAGCACGATGTTTGCAAAACCATGGTCGAGGTCGCAGACGAGGTCGTCAAGGTGTACACGCAGACGCGAAGCGGTGGCTTGGATCCGTCTCCCAGCCCGAACAACAACAGGCCCGGCAGCACGGCTTCGTCGTCGACGGCCGCTGAGGGGCCTAGAATCAGCCACAGCTCACCCGGACAAGGGGATGCTGCTTCAAACCCCCCAACTCCTCCTCCTTTGCCGCTCATGACGTACTCGCTGGCCGACGCAGCCCGGATGGTGACCATAACGGCCAAAGAGGGGGATCCCACGGCCCAACGCGAACTGGCTATTTTCTACCTCGGTAACTCGGAACTCGTCGAGAGGACCACGCTTCCGCTAAGCAAGCCCCGCGAGGTCTTCAAGCAGGCCGTGATGGAGAAGTACGGCGGGGCGTCTCGGTCCGGCCTTGGCTCTTCGGGGAACAACAGGTACCATTCTGGCGCGGCCAGCGGACGCGGGCTCGGTCAGGGCCAGGCCGGCGGCGGCATCGGGCTGGGAATGGGCGGCGGCGTGGGCGGTGCTGGGACGGGGCCCGGCAGCGACGGGCCCGGGGTCGGCGACGTCAGGAGCGATCCGGCCCTCATGTGCCTCGCCATCCATTGGATGAAGGCCGCCGAGCACGGCGGCGATGATCTGGCCAGGACGTTCTTGGGCCAGAACGAGATCGTCGGGCTGTGAGACTTGGACCGGGATGGGCCCGGTTTTGTTTTCGTTGGTTGCTTGCTGTGCAGCTCCATCTTTTGCCATCTTGTCTGTTTGCATTACTGCTGTTCATAATCATCTGCTTTTCAATCTTTTGCATCATTTTCTTAGACAAATATCCTGTGGGGTCGCGGGTCGGCGTCGGTTCCTCGTATCATCATTATCGCTCATCATTATCATCATTATCATCATCATCATCAGCATCATCATTCTCGAATCTTTTCCCGCCATACCCTGTGCCTTGCCTTCCGTTTTCGTCAACTATTTTACTTGGGAGGTCGGTTTGTCTGTCTAAACGGAATTACTACCCCTTACAAGCATTTTTTTGGGTTGATATCACATAGCATGAGATAGGTTCAGAGCTTCCTCAGGGCTCACTGGGTGATCAGGGTAAGCCAGGGCGATCTAGACAGGCTTCCAACATGCTGTCACATGCAGTGCCCTGGTTGAATTGGAATGTGTGTTGTGTCAATCTGAAGTCCCAAAGCATGATGGCGCACACTCAGCTCGCATCGTCCACGGATACATTAATCCTGGTCCCCAGGCTATGCCCCTTGTCGATGTCCACTACCCTTCTGTCTCTATGTGAACCTATTATGCGTGCACTGCTGCTCTCTAGCACAAGCAGCTCAACACCCTCTATTTTATGGATTTGTGAACGAACACTACATATGCTTGGCATGGACGTGGTCGTGATGGGAGCAACAAAACGACCTCGGCGAACACAGCTGGATCCCCCTGACTGGCGTTTTTAGGGAGTGAAAATAAGCTGACGTCAGGGGTCAGTGACCTTAAGGTTGGTCGTAGGGCCTCACAGCCAACCCATCACACGGTCACGAGATGAGCTGTTCCAAAATGATCTAAACAGGGCGTAATAGGAGATGATTTCATGTCGGCCGCTTTTTGAGGATGTTGGTCACAGGAAGTAAGCAGCTCACCCACCACACCGGTCCTTGGCGCGTCAGCTTGAACCCCACCCGACCCCTCAACCAGCTGAAAACCTCTCGAACGCAACAATAGTTTCGTACAGCAATAATAGTGTTTTCTTCTTCTCTTTGAATAAGAATTGAAGGCAGTGTAGTGCGGTGTTTAACTCAAACCTTGCAACTGCCATTAGAACCCCCGGAAACGCAGACCCGGAGCAGTCCTTCGCCATGCCCGACCTCACGGCCCGCCTGGCGGAGCTGAACCCCTTCAAGCGGGAGGCAGACTTGGACGTCTCGGACTCGGACGAGTTCGGCGAGGAGATCGACTCGGACACGATCGCGGGCGGCGGCCACGGCGCCCGCGAGTCAGACATCACCCGGAACCAGCTTCGCGTGAGCCACGCGCTAAGGACGTTCCTCGTGCGCGAGGGCGTCCTGTCGGAGCGGGGTGCCGGCCTGGCTGACGACGATGACGATGATGATGACGATAATTTCGACCCCGGGCGGCTCACGGCCCCTCTGCGCGCCCTCGTGGACAGGCCCCATGCAAGCGTCCCTCCTGCCCTGACGGACAGGTCGCACACGCTGCCCGAGTACTTTGTCAGCTCGAGCCACAACACGTACCTGTGCGCGCACCAGCTGTACGGCAAGTCGTCGGCGGCGGCGTACGGGGCCGCCCTCGGCGCGGGGTCGCGGTGCATCGAGATCGACGCGTGGGACCATGAGGACGACGTGGACGAGCCGAGGGTGACGCACGGGTACACGCTCGTCTCGAGCGTGCCGTTCCGCGAGGTGTGCGGGGCCATTCGCGATGTTGCGGATCGGGAGGCCGCCGAGGCGGAGGCCGCGGGGAGGGGCTACCGGCCGGCGCCGATACTGGTGTCGTTGGAGAATCACTGCGGGGCGCATGGGCAGCTGCGGCTCGTGCAGATCATGAAGGAGGTGCTGGGCGACCGGCTGCTGAGCAAGGAGGTCAGGGAGAAGGGCCATCGCGAGCAGGAGGCGGGGTCTGGTGAGCATGTCCGGCTTGAGGAGCTGGGGTCCAAGGTCGTGGTTATCGTTGAGTATCATCTCCCGAAAGACGAGGGGGACCACGAGGAATCTAGCAGTCCCGTGCCATCCGAGGACGAAGAGGAGGAGGAGGAGGATGAGGAACGGAAGCGCGCCCGCAAGGCCTACAAGGAGAAAGCGAAGAAGGCGGCGTCGAATGCGGTGATCGTGCCGGAGCTCGCGGCGCTGGGCATCTACGCGCAGTCTGTGAAGCCGTGCAACAACACGTGGTTCGACCCGGGCGAGCTTCGGAACGGCCCGCACCACCACCTCATCAACGTGTCCGAGTCCGGGCTGGCGGCGCACCTTCCCGCCCGGGCCGCCGACATCGCGCGCCACAACGCGCACCACCTCATGCGCGTCTTTCCCAAGGGCACGCGCATCTCGTCGCGCAACCTGCGGCCCGTCCCCTTCTGGGCCGTCGGCGCACAGGTCTGCGCCCTCAACTGGCAGACCTTCGAGTCCGGGATGCAGCTCAACGAGGCCCTCTTCGCAGGCACCGACGGCTACGTGCTCAAGCCCGCGTCCCTGCGGCCCGGCGGCGCCGACCTGGGTTCTCTAAGCCGACGCCCACGCCGCCGCCGCCGCTTGAGGCTGCGCGTTGCCGGCGCTACAGACGTGCCCGTCCCCGCCGCCCGCGCCGACGAGGCGAGACCGTACCTGACATGCTCGCTCGTGCAGGCCGCCCCCGCCGCCGGGCGATTGAAGCGCAAGACGGCGCCGTACAAGCACCACCACTCTCGGCTGGGGGGTTTCCTGCGGCGGGGTGAGAACCCGCGGGCGGCGGACCCGGTGTGGGACGACGCGCTGGAGTGGGAGTTTGATGCCGATGATGAGCTTGTCTTCCTGCGCATGATGGTCAAGGATGATGTTAGTTTCGCGCGGAACCCCGTGCTTGCGGTCGCGGCTGTGAGGGTCCTGTATGTGGTTGATGGTTGGTGCTTCATTCGCATGCTGGATCTCAAGGGGAGAGAGACGAGGTGTAGCTTGCTTGTGAAGTTCGAGGTCGAGGATGTGGATGGGTGATCCGCACAAGTTCTCGCGGTTTGCAGTTTCGGGTCACCTAATGATGCCGCCCGAATGAATGCCTACCTACCACCTAATCATTCGAAGTCCAATGCTAATCGGTACCTACTTGCTATTCATCCACTTCAGAGACCCCTTCCAGCTCTGCCATTTGAAAACTTACCAGGTCTACTCGTAATCTCTTCATGCCGGCTTTTGCATACCCTGTACGCCGTAGAAGAGCCGATCTGAGGCCATTCACAAGAGACAGATCGATCGGGAAAGCCAACCCGGAGATTGTTGTGGGGCTAATATCGACGCTAGGGAAGACCCTTGGCTCGTTTTGGCGTAGCTGCCGTGTCGATCAATCACATTACATCATACATTGGTTGCAAGCTTCCACACACATTCCTCGGCCAAGCTGCCAAGCAACTGCGACTAGAAAACCTCTTACCCCGTTCTCCCTTGCCTTGCCCACTTCCACGAAAGCAAGCATCTTTGTTACAGAAGAAGCCTTTGACATTATCATCGAAGGGCGCTCGCGCATCAAAAGGTGCGTACGGCCTGCATTGCCTTGCTTCCCCGCTGGAGAAACCGAGACCCCAGATATCGGTAAACACCGGAAATTGACGGATCTCAACGACAGTGCCCAATAGCCAGACAATCGAACGATCCGTCACAGACATCGATCATGGCGAGTGGCCCGCCTTACGATCAGTATGGCGGCGGGTATTATCAGCAGCCGCCCCCTCAGGGCCAGCAGGGAGGGTACTACAATAACTACAACAACAATAACGACCCTTACTACTCGCAGCAGCCGCCAAACGCGCCACCCCCGCCGCCCCAGTATGGAAACCAGAACCAGAGCGTGCCGTACGCCAACGGAATGGGCGAGAAACCCAGCTTTGACCAGGCGTTTGCGGTACAGAAGCCCAAGTGGAACGATCTCTGGGCCGGGATACTGGTATGGATTCTCCTCAGGGGCTCGGGCTCGGGATGGTATGTTGTTCACTGGCTGACTTGGTTCTCCAAAAGTTCTTATTAGTCTTTGCCGGCTTCGTTGTGGTATCGGCGTTTTCGCTCCAAGGCTACGGTACGACGCCTTGGTAACTAGTGGCAGTAAATGCGAATGGGGAGGTTTCAGTTCGCTAACAATAATGTGTTCGCAGCGGCTACGAGGAATCAGAACACTGGTGGGCTCGGTAACCAACTCAATACCTTCACCCTCACGACACACACCATCATCCTATTCGCCTGGGTCCTCGTGACGGCCCTCGTCCTCAGCTACGGCTACATGTGGCTAGCTCGTAGATTCACGAAGCAGTTCATCTGGATTACGGGGATCCTCAACATCCTCTTCGGGCTGGTGACGGCCATCTACATGCTGTCCCGGCGCTATTGGTCCGGCGGGATCGTGTTCCTCCTCTTCTCCGCCTTCATGGTCATCTGCTTCATCACCTGGATCAAGCGCATCCCCTTCAGCGTCCTGATGCTCCAGACGGCCATCGACGTCGCCAAGCAGCACGGCCACGTCTACCTCGTCAGCGCCGTGGGTGGCCTCCTGGCCACGGTCTTCGCGGCCTGGTACTCTGTCACCCTCGTCGCCGTGTACGTCAAATATGACCCGAACCAGAACAATGAGGCCTGTCGGGAGGGCGTCGGCAGCTGCAGCCAGGCCAAGGTGATCGGCCTCGTGGTGTTCGTCACTTTCGCGGCCTACTGGATCTCGGAGGTGCTTAAGAACACCATGCATGTGGTCATCTCGGGCGTGTACGGGTCGTGGTACTTCAACTCGCGCAGCTACCCAACAAAGGTGACGCGCGGCGCCCTGAAGCGGGCGCTAACCTACAGCTTCGGCAGCATCAGCCTCGGCAGCCTGATCGTGGCCATCATCAACTTCCTCCGCCAGGTGTGCTCCGTCGCCCAGCAGCAGTCGGCCGCCGACGGCAACATCGTCAGCACCATTCTTTTCTGCGTCCTCCGCTGCTTCATATCCATTCTCGACTGGGCCGTGCAGTTCCTCAACCGCTACGCCTTCTCCCACATCGCCCTCTACGGCAAGTCATACTTTGCCGCCGCTAAGGACACCTGGAAGTGGGTTTTCTCTTCCTTCTCTTCCCATCTGCACACTCAGACGCACACACACACATATATATATATATATACTGACATTGGGCCCCCAGGATGATCAAAGACCGCGGCATCGACGCCCTCATAAACGACTGCCTCGTCGGCCCCGTCCTGAGCATGGGCGCCACCTTTGTCGCCTACGCCTGCGCCCTCCTGGCCTACCTGTACCTGGTCTACACGAAACCGGCCTACAACATCGACGGCGGCTACACCCCCGTCATCGTCGCCTTCGCCTTCCTCATCGGCCTGCAGATCTGCAACGTCTTCACCACCCCGATCAGCAGCGGCGTCGACACAATCTTCGTCGCCGCCGCGTGGGACCCCGAGGTCATGATCCGAGACCACCCAGACCTGTACCATCGCATGGTGCAGGTTTATCCGCGCGTGCAGCAGGCTATTCACGCGTGAGGGGTTGGGGCTGCTTGTGGGGGGTAATGATGGTGTCGGATGGAGAAGGTTTGACTAATACCAATGGTGACGAGCACATATGTTTGCGGTCCCCAAAGATTACCGGGGCTAGTTAAAACCGTGCTAGGAAAGCATAATAAATTCTTACAACTTTAGAAACAATATCCCATGCCTTCCAAGGTCCATCTATTGCTCCCCAAGCCATCCATGCTGAGTTATCCAAATGCGTGAAATATTCCGCCATGTGACTCAATGTCACATCGAGCCCATGAAGCCGACTGAGACATCGCCTCACCACTATCAGTCAGTCAGCCCGTCCGGCAGCTTGCAGGATGCCAGCCAGCCAGACACCAATTACCGAGAGCCTATGATCAGGGGCTCAACGCCACAAACTCCTCCTGTTCCCGCCATGTATGCGACAAGCCGAAAACGCCAACCACCTTCCCGATCCCATGCTCTGGATCGACATGGAACATCCCTCTACCTGTTGTAACGGTTCTTCGGCTACTGTGCGCGAAGTTAGTTTCGTAGTCCTGGAAAGGTAGAGGAGGACACGCGCTGGAAAAGTTCTAACCCGGTTGGATCGTCTTCTGCGCTCGTTTGTCTGAGGACCCCTCACAAACGCACTGATGATACCCCCCTTATTGATATATCCCAGTACTGTAGGGTGTTCTCGTTGAGCAGGTCGCCGGGGTTGAGACGTGGCCTCCCGACGACACAAGTCCAGCCCGAATTGGCATCCCATCCTGGGCAAGAGGGCCACGCGCCCCCGCCCCCCCGAGCGGCACTCACAATTCGTTCCAGCATGAGATGGAAAAGATGTGATCGTTTCTACGAACAGAGAAATCATGGTTGTCAACGGGAGCCGAACCCTTTGGAGAGCCAGTCTCGGTCCTGCCATTCCAATGTGACGTAAGGAGAATACGGCGAGATCTGGCTATCACTCCCTTCCGACAAGACGCTGTCTGGCGGTGTCCGGCTCGCCACCGTGACGCCGGGTGGTTGCTGCCTCTTGGGGAAGTCGGGTCTTGGCGAGTTTACCACGGGTGTAGAGCCTAGGCCAGGATTGCCGGCCTCCACCGTCCTTGGGTATGGCCCGACCGGCGTGTCGTCGTCGTCCCCGTCCGAAAAATCGGCTTGGCGGAGTAGGCTGTGAATCGCGAGTCGCTGGCGAGCTTTAGCGGCCGCTGAAAGCTGCTGCTGCGGGGGCCTTTCCAGTCGTCTCCCGGGCTTGGGTTCGGGGTCAGGCAGCTGTTCTGGCTCGTCGCTACTCGGAGATGGGAAAGCGGCAATGGCGCGGCCCATCTCTTCGATAATCGGTTTCACGACTATTGAGCCCGGGAAGAAGCGCTTCAGCGCCGCCAGGCACAGCTCGGCCCGGCTGAGGGCGAACTCCTCGGTTGCGCGCACGATTCCGCTCTTTCCGGTCCGCGAGAGGAATAGCACCAGTCGGGTAGCCTGGTAGGCGCAGATTGCCGTGTCGAACTCGAGGAGTCTGGGCTGTGTGCTCTGCTGGTTGAGATTCGATAGGATCTGGATGATGGAAGTGGCGTGGTGGAAGCACAATGACTCGGCATGAGAGAAGTAGGAAGGGTCCAGCGCGTCAAGCACCACCCTTGGGGCTGCCTCTCGGTAATCGACGAGGAACAGGCGATATATATCGCAGTGGCATTGGTGCCAGGAGAGGTGCATTAGCATGTGCCGAGGGAGCCACTGGCTATGGAGGATGCAGGACAGCTTCTCCATCGTAAGGGTCGGGCCACCTTCCATCTGCTCCCCTATCGCCGTGAGTTCGGCCTCAAAATCCTGCACGAGGCTGGGCATCGATGGGAAGGGCTGTTCGCACAAGGCAAGCGATCTGGTCAGCCTCATGATATCGCGGCGCAGTCGTTCCAGTCTGATGCAGAGGGGATATGCTCCAGGCCCGTCCTTGTCAACCCCGGCGCTTCCCTCCGCAAAGTCGCGCTCACAACTGGGCATCCTCAGGTAGATATTCTCCAGTGGACAAAGCTCGAATTCGGGCAGGCCGATGCAGAAGTATCTCTCCGCCAGCTTCATGCACCACATGATGCGGCGCCGCACCTCCAGAGTCGCCGAGTGCTGGTCGGACCGCTCGTGGTTCAGTCGCATGGCTGCTGCGGCCCTCGCAGCAAGCGACAGCAACATGAACGCTCTCTGAAACTGGCCACTGTCGATTTGGTAGAGAATGACGAGTAGGAGGGCCTGCAGGCGCGATACTGTCGGCGACTCTAGCCTGTCCCACACCATGCGCTCCGCTCTTCGAATCCACTGCGAAGCCAAGAAATGCTCCCTGGTACCAGCCTTGCGCCCTGCATCCTGATGGGATAAGGCTACTCCGGAGATGGCGAGTCGCAATGCCTCGTCTAGGGTGCCGTTTATCCACCGTTGCCTCGTCCTGGGTCTATACAGGAATGCGTAAGAAGGCAGGGCGTACACAACGTCGAAGAAGTAATCGACCAAGATAGGTGATGTTGGCGCCGGGGGGTCAGGGTCGCTCCTAGCCGTCAGCACACCAATCATTGCCGGTCAGCAGCGGGGGGGGAGATCCACTCACAAGGAAGAACCGACCTCGCCGTGTTCGCCGGACTCGGTGGGCTCACTGTGGTCTGGGTGGTGGTCAGGGTGGTGGTCTGACCCACCTTCCTCGGGTTCCCCGGTGCTTGGGCGGGGAGAGATGGGTGTTGCCAGGTGGGCCGGACTTGACGCGGCGGGACTTCCGGAGGCCTCTGCGTCTTTCTCACCCAGCTCCCGGTCCCGTGCCCTCCTCCGCGTGGACGACGGGTAGGTGCATTGCACTCGGCGTCGTTTGCAGTTCAAACACTGCGGTACGTCGCTGGAACAGCGGACCTTCTGTTCTCGGCAGGCGTCACACGCTTTGCTTGCCCTGCGTCTCTCGGGACGGACTTCGACGGGAGATGACCCCAGGGCATCTGCATCTTGGTGGCCTTCCGAGGCTGCCTGGGAGAAGGAGCAGGCGAAAGAAAGGCGTTCGCAGTTGCTACAGATTCCTGCTCTTCCGTCGCATCGAACCTTGAATTACAGGAAATGGTTAGTGCACAGTCTGGTGGAATGCTTGACTCGCGTGCTTGCCTTGCGGTATCTGCACTGCCTGCAAGTCTCTTTCGGCTTTGAGTTGGTCGACCTGAACGTCGTCACATAGCTCTCCATTTCGGCGATGCGCATAGCTGCAGTAGATTGGAGTGGTTTACCAGAAGATCAAGACATGTCTATCCGCTGCGGAACTGTTTTGATAAAGAGAAACGGCTGCCAACTGGGATTCCCTACATTTTCCTCCAAGACAGCGTTCCCGCCCCCCGTCCGTAACATCAGACGTGGGAAGCGGGGCACAGACCAGACGTTGTGCATGGAGAGTCAAGACGAGCTTTGGAGCTAAAATGAGGCGATCGATGAACAGATATCGCTACCGAATTACGAACGATAAGCCGCGAACGGCAACCAATGTACACGGTGTACACAGTGTGTCACCATCTACTACTCTAAATGCACCTTACTGCGTGTCTTACTCGGAATTTAGGTCCTGCCAATGGAATCTGGAAATGATCAGAAGAAGATGGAAAATAGAAGAGGAAGGATTAAAAGAGAAAACCCCCTGAGGTCCCTTCTTCAATTAGGTACCGAGGCACTGCACAGTAAACTCGCTTCAGCATGGAACCTAGGTTGTGTTTCCGTCCAACACAACCGCAATTCATCCCTTCCCAATATGCATTGGAAGTGCCCGTTGCAGCCGCCGCCTAATGCCATGGCCGGATCCACAGTCTCTCTGCCTGCCAAAAACGGCGTCTCCTCAAACTGCTTGCTGAAAAGTACCTATTCAAATGGCTTACTTGGTCGAGGAATCCAGACAGAATGGGTACCTGACAAAGAAATGAAAGCCAGAAACCTGCTTACCTTTTGAGACTTTTCCGTTGGGGGGACTCATCTTGGACAAATCCTGCCAAAGACGTGTGTCCCAGTGTGCTCAAAATAGGGGCATAGACGTCCTTCCCACGATAGACAATGCCCCTATTTGGGAAGACCTAAGGGGCACATTCCCAATGACAATGCACTTCTACGGTCATGTCATGCAAGGCAGGGTAAGGCAAATACAGACCATGTCTTGTCTATATCTCAATCATGGGTTCAAGATCCATTGTTTGATATCCATTGTCCGAGGCAGTTCGTCGAGATGTATGTCGTGTATTGGTCGCTCTTGCCACGACCTTCCTCGAGGTATGCCAATAGACTCTCCCCTTCGCCTATGGAACCTTCCATTCCCGCCCTTCACTTGCTAGAGGTACCTTACACCGAATAACTTCCCTTGGGTACCTTGGTACGCCTTTTGCGATCAAGGCAGCAAAATCTCTTTCCTGCAGCACCTCATTTCTCCTCCGGCCAGCTATCAAATCCAACACTCTCAAGATTCAGTCGCAAATTCTCTCGAGAAGCCTGCATCGCTTCCGTTCAGCATCTATCCAGTCTAACCCGAGGGTGAGTCTGAGCTCTTCATTCGCATTTCTCCCACGCGGATAAACATCGACTGACTCGGTCGCCGCAGCCAAGCCCCCATACCCGCCCGACATCACGTACCCGCCGGTACGCAGGTATTCAACATGGGCCAGCAATTTAGCAAGGCCGTCGACTTCATCAAGCGCAAGAAGCCCAGCAAGAACAAGAGCAATGCCGGTGGGAGGGCCTCGCGCTTCATCGAGCACTTCGACTACAACGACAACGACAACCCCGTATTGCCGGAGGAGTCAACCGATCCAGCTCCACGAATGGGCGACCAGCCGCCCGCCCAGGGCCAGCCATTTGTTCAAGCCCAGCCATCCGACCCATCGGCCCGAGAAGACAACCCGATGGTGCCGGCACAGATGAGCCCCGAGCAAGAGGTCGTCTTCCTAATGCAGTTCGTTGACAAGACTTAGTCGCTAACGATGGATTTTTTCCTTTTTGCAGGCCCAACCAAAATGGCGGCGAGGCCTTGCGAAACGATTCGGGGGAAAATAGATGTGAGCTGATGGATGCCTCTTTTCGGTTGGGGGGTTCGCTTTATTCTCACATTGCCCTCTACGTATCTTACCTTTTAGCAGATATCATTGGGGGTTCGGTATTTTTCTGGCATGCTCGAGGTCCGATTGTTAGCAGTGGAGGGATTGTTGCGCGTTCATCTCATAACTCTGGACATTGCCATTGATTGACTCAGAATTGATACCTCGTTCAATTCTCAAGGACTTTCAGACCAAATGCTGCGTGTCAAGTCTGTTGAGCCTGCCATGGGGTCCACACACCTGCAGACTTCCGGCTTTACTAATAATTAATATTAGAGAACGAGATTCGAGAACTTTGGTAAACTTGATCTTAGGTTACCTATCCATCACAACTCAAACCCCCAACTGCGCGACTACGAAATCGCCCAAGGGCTATGCAACAACGCCCTCACGCACAACTTTCATCCATTTGTTTCATCTCATCGTGTTGTCCCCCCCAAATCTCTCCACTCCATCGCAAAAATGTCTTCCACTAGCGACAGTGCTAGTCTAGACTCTGCATTGTCTCCGTTTCCGAGATCTGTCGTTTTTGCTAGCAAGCCGTTTGTTATGCTTCTCGGCCCATTCCGGTCTTAATATCCGGCCCGCATGTGCGACGACTACAAATCACCAATAGGTTAGGTAGGTACCTAGTTAGCCAAGAAGAGATGCCCCCCGAAGGAATGGAAATGTGGAGAAATATAACAAAATAGGAGATTTGAGCAAGCCAGGGGGAATGGGGGAACGGTGGTATAAGACTGGTTTACACTGACCTCGGGTTGCATATCTGTTGATCAAGTCCTGCACATTCTCAAAAGGGAGGCGGCATTCCTTGAAATGGTCCGTTGCCTGGTCGGACTTATACGGGTCTTCGTCGATGCATGTATCGCAGGTTGGACATTTTAGCACGAGTGGCTCGCGGTCATTCTTGTTTCCGAATACCCAAAGCGTGGGATAATGTCTCGCCACGGCGGTGTTTGGAATTGGGCGTTTATCTTCGTAAGGATACCCGTGCGATTTGCTGGTGATGTTTTCGGGGCTGGATCCCCGTGACGGAGACCTCGACAGCGATGATAGCTCCGATGATAGCTCCGATGATGCCTCACCCTGTGAGTCGGTGATCTCGACGGGGGCCTGGCGGGTTTCTATGGTCGGCTCCTCGACCCTCGTCGCCATCTCAGCAGGCGGAGGCACTGCGTTGCTGGCTGGTTGGCTTGGCGGAGCTCTGTCAGCCTCCGGAAGGGCAACTGATTGAGCGACTGGTTGAGTGACTGGTTGAGCGGCATCCTGTGCACCGGCAGCCTAGTAGAAACGTCAGACAAGTACTTGAGAAGATGGACCAAAGTAACGTGCCTCGGGCTTTACCTGTGGGGCATTTCGCACAACCACGATAGTCGGTGGGGAGCCTGCGCCTTTATTCGTCGGCCTGGCGGGCGAGAAGGAGAAACGAGTGCTGGCCCGGACATCGATCACACTGCTCGCCGGAATCATGCGCCAGGGTTCTTTCTCGATTTCATGCGCAGCGCCCGGGAACTGACTTCCCAACCGCAAAATGCTTGCCGAGCGCCTCTCAGACAGTCCCTCGCAGTCGGTCTTGTATTTGTGAATGGCTGCAAAGACCTAGTCGCTCATTTTGAGGTAGCATGATTTCCAATCTTTCAGGATTGTATCGAGTTCAGCTGCCGTAGCTTCCTTCGCATCGTCCTCTGAGAGCCGGGGGTCGGACAGATCGGCGCCTGATAGTGATGCCATGTCCTTAGAAGGCTACCAGCTGTGGATTGTTGGTTTGGATAGATCCGCAGGGAATCCTTGGGTTGGCAGAGTGGAAGGAGAGGAGGGAGAAAAATCTACGTTGAGTCTGATAACCAAACTGACTTCCAAGGTAAGGTCGGGTACCTTGGTAGGTACCAGCTTGGAGGGCTATGTCAGTGAGCTTGTCTCCGCGGCAGGGTCATTTGGCTATTCAGCTGCGCAGGCCAGGTGGTTCCGGGCCGCCAGAAATATTTGGACAGTTGGAGCATGAAAAAGACCAGCTGCCAGCACGAAACAAAGCGACGGCGACGGCAATGGCGATGGCAACAGCAGCAGAGACGGCGACGGCAAGAGTGCTTTAGCAATAGTGACAGCTATTGCTAGCCAAATGCTCCTACCTTAACAGTTAAATGCCCCTGCCTGGATAGTTGAATGCTCCTGCCTGGATAGCTGAATGCCCCTGCCCCCGGAGACAACCTCCTACCCTAACCGGCAAGACTGACCAGTTGCTATAGGGCGGTGTCGCGATAAACATGATTGATGGCAAAGCATTCTACCGGCTTGACAATGCCTTTGGTGAGCACCCTGTTTTCCCCACAATCCCACAGACTCATCCGCGTTGTCGGCCTCTGACGGTTTAATTGCATTTAGGTGCTTATGGCGGCAGCGAGTACTGGGAGTTCTTGGTCCGCCAGGAGTGTGAACGCCAGCTCAAGGACGAATATGGAGTGGAGGAGATCTCACCAAACATCACCCAGCAACTTCTGGACAACTTCAACGTGAAGAAGAAGATGCTAGGTCCGGAGCAGCCCCAAGACGTCAGCCTTCCCTACATCCACGCCGACGACCACATCTCCCTAGTCAGACTCGGAGAAGACACGGTGAACCATCGGTTCGAAAAAGCGTTTCGAGCGCCGTTGGAAGTCTCTAGTGCCAAAATGGTCGGGTTCGCCAAATTGGGGGGAGGCGGCAGAGTCATGGTCAGTGGGGGCAGTGTCGAAATCTGTCTCTCAAGAAGCGCGTTATCAAACACTGCACCGAGGCCGGACTCCCAGAGCCCCTCTCCATCGACGATTTCCCGGTGGACACATTGCGGAGCTGGTAGGATTCCATATGGTCACTCGGCCACTCATTTCCATTGCAACGATAGTTAACCTGGTTAGGACTCTCAATGTGGCCAAAGGCGCCACTTACGCGACCGCAAACCAGCTCACAGTTACCGAGTTTCTGAAGCGCGGAGCTATATTCGCGGTGCAGTGTTTACAGCAGCCAACCAGTGGCAACAGGAGGAATTTGGGCCGAGTCTGGGACGACACTGCTTTCTTTCTCATGAATCAGGCAGGTCATGATCCAGTTCCCTTGACTTTTTTGCCAGATCAACGCTGACATTCAGAGGGCTCAAACAGCACGGCAACAAGTCGGTAGAGATATACTTCAACGGCAAGGACGAGGTCAAGATCATATGTGATCCGTTTCGAGCCCCCGAAGACAACAACCAGGGCGCAATGCCTCTGAAACATCGCTGCTACGAGTTCCTGCTCTTCGAGGGCTGCTTGAAGAGGGGCTATTGGACCTTTGAATTGTCGCTGGTTGATGGTGGAGAGGCCGGGTCTCTGCAACTTACGCGGAAATATCGACAACCCAAGCGCCAATCCAAGCGGACAACAGTGGATTCCACCATCTTCCCCGTCTTCTTCCACGGTGGATCGAACTGTTTGTACATCGGCTCCAGGCTCGGCCGGTGGGGCGTGAGCCCAGGAGGAGGCGTCAAAAACGCGCTCGATATGCGCATAGAGGACGGCGTAGCCATCGCCCACGGGGAAGGCATCATGGCCTCGAGCCGTCCCGCCTCAGTCTCGGCGGCATCAACTCCTGAACCTAAGAGCCCACGAGGCCAGCCCGACAGTGGAGTCGACGAGGAGACACAGGCCACCGAGCACCGGGAGGAGCAGATGGACCCAGCCACGCCGCCTCGAGCAGAGGGCTCGGGCGGTTCGGTCGGAGCGCGGGCCATCCATAGCTCGAAGAAACGTGTGTTCCGACCAATCTCGGACGCGGAATCGCGCCCGGCCAAAACGCTGAAGCGCCATCTGATGACCCAGCGTGAGAGCGAGCGCGAGCGCGAACTGGACATGCTGTACGATATCGAGAACGTCGACATGTGGACTGATGACTTGGTGAAATGATAGACTCGCAAGCCGCGATGCAGATGTTGCTTCCTTCAAATTGTTTCGTAATGTCAGATCACCCCGTTTCCAAACCAAATGTATAATACACAGTAGCATGAGCTTGGAGGATTTGTAACCTGTTAGTAATTATAGCTGTGTATTAAATTATGAGCTTGTCTTCGCAGGCAGGGGCATTTGGCTAGGTCTATGCTGGGCAAGGGTTCCGGGCCGCCAAAAATCTTGGGACAGTTGGAGCATGCTACAGACCAGCTGCTACAGAACAAGCGACAGCGACAGCAACAGCAACGGCGACAACAACAGCAACGGCGACAGCAACAGCAACGGCGACAACAACGGCGACCTTGGTTTGGCGACAGCGGCGGCACCGGCGACGGCGATGGCGACGGCGACGGCGAAAGCAGCTGTTGGCCATCTGGCAGGATTTGTGATATCAGCTTATCTTTGACCCACTAAAATGGTGGGGTGGACCAGACTTGCGTTGGTTTTCTTCTATTCTGCCCACAACCGCCGCCATAATTTTCGCAAGCCTCAAATGCCCAACGCACCAAATTTATCTTAACATAACAGAACTGAAGCGGTTTATGCCCAGAGATAGTGTATTTACATTTCGGTTATTCTCTCCCAGGAATATTTCGTAGCACAAACCATGGCGACAGTCCAACCCGAAGGCGCCGCCCCGGCGCCGGACTCGTCCGAATCGGCTACTGCCCCTAACCCCACGACGACCACGCCGATGCCGACTGCCGTGGCAGAGACGACCGCAACGCCTAAGCCGATCCACAGCCTGGTCGTTGATACGGGTCCACTGATCAAGAACGAGGTGGCCATATCTACTCTGCTCGCACAGGCAGAAGTCATCTACACCATTCCCGCCGTCATCTCCGAGATCCGCGACGAAGCGACCCGCTCCCGCCTCCAGACATCCCTAGTCCCGTTCCTCCAACTTCGGAACCCTCGACCTGAGAGCATCAAGTTTGTATCTGAGTTTGCTCGCAAGACTGGCGACCTCCAGGTCCTCAGCCGGCCAGATCTCCACCTGATAGCCCTGACATACGAGCTAGAGTGCGAGCGGAATCATGGCGACTGGAGATTGAGGCGGGAGCCCGGGCAGAAGACCGTCAACGGCAAGCCACCTGCCAAGGAAGGGGTTGAGAGTACAGTCGAGAAGGCGGAAGGGGATAATACAGATCCATCCGCGTCCCAGGTCGAAGGCGACAAGGTGGCGGCGGAAGCGGAGACGGCGGTCGCGGGCGGGCCGGAGATCGCGGACGGTGATGACACTGCACCCTCTGCCCCTTCCGCCCCCTCGGACACCCCAAAACATGCCGATGAGGAGATTGAGGAAATACAATCACAAGTCCAGGACCTCGTCCTCGGGACCTCGCCAGCCGAGAATGACGCCGCCGTAGCAGAAGACGCGGCTGCCCCCGAAGTGGCCGAAGACGACGACTCCGACAGCGACGGCTGGATCACGCCATCCAATATCAAGAAGCACCAAGCACGCGAGGGCCTCGCGCCGGCCGGCCGGGAGCCGGCCGTTCAGAAGACGCTGCAGGCCTGCCTCCTGACGTCGGACTTTGCGATGCAGAACGTGTCGCTGCGGATGAACCTCAACTGCGCCGGGAGCGGGGGCGGCACGGGCGCGGCGCTGCGGCGCATCACCCACCTCAAGACGTGGGTGCTCCGGTGCCACGGCTGCTTCACAGTCACGCGCCAGCAGGACAAGCAGTTCTGCCCGAAGTGCGGCCAGCCGACGCTGACGCGGACGTCGTGCTCGACGCGCGCCGATGGGACGGTCCAGCTGCACCTGCGTCGGAACTTCCAGTATAACAAGCGTGGCAACGTCTACAGCATCCCGAAGCCGGTGCATGGGTCCGCTAGCGGGAAGAATTCAGCCGTCACTGGCGGCGGGAGGAGTGGATGGGGGAAGGAGCTTCTCCTTGCTGAAGACCAGAAGGAGTATACCAAGAGAGTGCAGGAGGATAGCAGGACTAAGTATAGGGATCTGATGGATGAGGATTACTTGCCCAACCTGCTGAGCGGGCACCGGAGTGGTGGGAACGGGAGGCTCAGAGTTGGTGCGGGGAGGGATGTCAACGCGAAGAAGCGGAGGTAGGCGTGAGCTGGGCACCTCAGTGGGGTTGCCAAGGGCATGGTGGTCCGGGAAAATCAGGTCTATATGCATGTCGGGCAGGAATGGCAAAAGTCCACATAGAAATGATACCACGATAGATGAGGAGCTGTCAGTCGACATGTGTCTTGTTTTCCTTCCCTTGCGTTCCGCCGTATTCCTCTATGCAAAACACCGTTTGATACCGGAACGCCGTCGAACAAATACTCGTGGACATGCCCTGGCCCTGGCCTGGCACATAGCCCGGTTCGCCTCCAGGGTATCGATCGCGACCCCTCTCCGCCACCCATCAATCTAGCTCGCCTCATAAAGTCGAGTCCGCTCCGGCTGGTTTCGAAAACGGGCAGTCGCCCAAAGCCATCAGCCATTCCGCATATCCCAGTCCCGAGTCTCCCCCTCTAAGCGTGCGTCAGCTTCCCCACCACCACCATCACCCAAATCGTGTTCACTGGGGCCCAAGCACAATCTTCGACTCTTCTACATCACCCCCCAAAAACCGTCAGCAAACGCGCAAGCCAGGAGGGAAAGGAAGAAGAGAAGGAAATCCGAGACTCACTCTCCTTGTGCGCCGCGAGCAGCACGCCGAAGCGCTTGCGCATCGTGATCCGGTGGCGCGACCACTTGTCGTCGGGCGAGAAGCGGGCCGGGTGCGCCGACTTGGTGACCTGGCCGTCCATGACCTTCTTGAGCGTGTAGATCCGCTTCCCTGACGGGTCGTGGTTGTACATGAGATGCATCTTGGCTTGTCTGTGTGTGTATGTATGTGTGTGTGTAGTGTGTCCGATCGGTTGTCGACGAATGGCGGTTGTAATGAGGTTTGAATTTGATGATGTTGGAGTTTGTCGAATCGCTATTTTTTTTTCTTCCCGTCGTTGGCCGATGGGGTGGAGCCGCACAGACCGTATGGCGAATCCTCGCTGTGATTGGCTCCCCTTACCAGGCACAGAATAACCACCTGCACCACAACCTCATAATCATCCAAGGCGTCTTCAATGTTTCATTCAATTTATCCCTAACAAATACAGAACAAAATTCAGGAAATTCTGAGTCAAGAGGGTCTTTCCCACCGCCGTCTTTCCCAGGCCCATTACTGCGGTACATCCATCTCGTCTTCTTGAATTCCCGAAAAGGAGAGTCATCATAAATTAAGCGGTAATACCCAAGGAGATAATTCATAAGACATTTCAAACCACGTTCCAGGAGCTTCCTCTCTTATCCCTCATGCCAATCCTCAACTAACCGCAATCTCAGTATTTATCATCGCCTCTGGTTAGAGCCCAGAATCTTTATTTATCCGCAACTTCTTCTTTCTCAACCGGCACAGGTGAATTGACAAGATTCCCAGCGTCTCCACCCGAGAACCGGCGGAGGTCGGGTGCAGACTGCCATCTTGGGTAGAGTCCCAAGGGCGAGGGAACACCGCGGCCCGGCGGTGGTGGCGACGGCTGCGCTGAGCAGGATTCCGGTGCTGGAGGCAGCGACGGGGGCCGGGCGGGGTCGGTGCCGTGGTTCGTGGGATTACGGTGCCTGCATATGGCACAGCTGATACCGGAGCACTCGGCGTGATCTACGCCCGCTGGTGGTTGGGAGTCCGTGATTTGGAACCCGCTGGTGTGCCTCACATCCGAGAATGGTACCGGTCGTGTAGGCGGCGGCTGTGAGACGGCGGGTGTCATCGAAAAGGTTGGAACAGGGGGTGGCTGAAACGAGTATCGTTCGGGGGTGTACATGGGACGTGGGTTGAAATATGTCGGGGCCCGATAGTTATAGAACGTATGACCTGTTGGTGGATGACCAAAACGGGGGTCCTGCGTAAGGCCTGCCGAGTAATATGTGACGGAAGGCCTTGTAGGCGGTAGTCGAGAAGCTGTTGGCTGTTGTTGGTGTTGGTATGGATATACAGTCGGATGTGGAACACCCCCAGCACCCGGCGCGCCAGGAGGGGGTGGATAGCTGACGGGAGGCGTCGGAGCCGCAGGTGGGCAGAAATATCCAGGGGCCGGTGAGTAGGCTGGAGGGCGGTGCGACGAGCCAGGGACCATGAATTGTGGTCGAGGAGGCGGGGGTGCATACAAATGAGACTCTCTAGGCGATCTTGGAGATGGCTCCCCCCACGGCCGTGGAGTACCTGGCGGGTTGGGTTTCATGCGGTCGACAGTCCGCTTGATCTTGCCTTGCCGAGCTTTCTCCCGACACTCGGCTTTATCAGCATCTTTCCACGGATTCCCGAACCTCTTGAATGCTCTCACGCCCTTCTCGTCGTTGACGGGTCGGCCTTCAGTGCCGCGGATGATGATAAAATAGTCTCGACAAGTGCCCTTGCCCGGATTCTTCCAGAAGCGCACCTTGTGCTTCTTGACCGCTGTGGGGTTGGCGTCGGCAAACCGATAGTGCAGCTGTTCCTGCATCAGCACGACCGTCCAGGCACGGTTGTGATAACGATTGCTCGAGGCGTTCTCCCGGTCAGCCAAGAGCTGGTTAATCTCGGATTGAACCGGTCCGGGAAGTTTGCGAATACGGCGGTCGATGTCGTCCTCGTAGCTTCTGGCGGGTCCGCGGATGAGGCGAGAAGCCCAGGTACGCTCATTCTTGGCATGGTATTCGCTCAGAGTATCGAGGTGCATCTGCGACAGCTCTCCCTGATCATATAACTCCGACGTGGTGCTGATCGATCCGCGGAATTGACGATATCGCTGAAAGGCGCTAATGCCACAGACCTTGACGCCAGAGACGATTTTCTTGAGGTCCGCCGACAGATAGACGTTCCAGGCTTCATAAACAGCTGGCTTGTCTCCATCCACCCCAGCTAGACGGCTGCATTCAAGTCAGTTTGGGGTATTAGAACATATGATTTCAGAGCTTACAAGGTCGGCAGTGTGTCGATGGCGCTGTAAGACTCAGACGAGTTGGCAGAAACATCTGAGACAGAGTACATGCTGTCAACATCGCTGTACAGTGTACAATCATCGTCATCCGATGTGAAACTCAAGGGTTTCGGTAGACAGGTCGAGGACATGAAAGGTTTCGCGGCCATTGTGACCGAGATAATTGACCTCTGACGAAGAACCTCGAGTAATCAGCAGTAGATGAGGTAAAAAGGGCTTTCAGAGAGAGCAAGCCAGGGGCTGAGATAGTGGGAGTAGAACAGAGGCTGAGGAGAGGGGGGGAAGATCATTGGGAGGGTGAGCCTTCTTTATATGACGCTGGTGTGTGACCATGCAGGAGGAATGAGGCCCATTATGTGGGATATCAAGTGCGAGGCTGCATTGGAGGTGCCAATTCCCGGCCGGGACTGGCGGCCTCCTCCTCCTGTTCGTCCGGGGTCATGCAGTCACCTATGCACCTTGCTTTTCAGCCAACGGCATCGAGTTATCCCGGAGCCTCGCCGGGTGCAAAGGACTAGCCCACTTGGTTGTTGCTGATCCGAGCCGCAGTTACTGCCTGGCCAATGGCTTAGTATTGGTCGTATTGCTAGCATGACCTGCAGCTACGGAGTTGCTGATTGGGAGCAGACTTTGCAGGGAGGACGCCCGTCTGGCTTCAGTCGATTGAGGGGGCCCTGCCGTTCTCGACACTAATAGGCTGCCCACACACCGTATCCAACAAAAAGGCCTCAAACTCAGGTTGTGATCGGCCGCCACGTGACGACATAACGGCAATAGACTTTGATTATTTAATCACCTCAACTGAGGTACGGATGGGACAGACCAGCTCGCGACCTGGGTCAGCAGATAGCAAATTAACAGTACGGGCCGTTGGGCCATTTTGAGGCCCAGAAAACGGGCATAGGTTCACCCTCTAGGGGCATTTCAGCTCCCACCGTAGCAAGACTCGACTTCACATCGAATGGCGAGCAGGTATCCGATTACCTCTAGGGTGAATTTCATTTATGTTGTATCTTGCCGAAGGTTGAGCCTAACACTCCATGCAGAATGTACAGCCTACACGAAGAACTACTTACCTAGGTACCTACCGATAGCCGCCCCCGCCTCGCCATAAGTCCAGGTACCCGTTTCTATCTTTACCTGAGTCTCATCTAACATGGGAATCCGAGTGTGGAAGCCATTGGAACTGGTAGGTTAGGTAGGTTGGATACGGTAGGTGTCAGGCACGGCACCCTCTTCCTCGTACCTACCCAATGAAGTAAATGACGGGACTCGTAGAATTCGAGAGAACCTTGCTTATCAAGAGCTCCATAGAGGCTGATATCCGGGCGACATCGGGAATTCCAGGGAGGTAGGTAGGTACCTACCTCGTTACATCCATCGTAAAGTCGGGCGGTTTCACTCGGCTCCAAGGCACAGGGCACGCTCTCACGACGTCAAAATCTAAATCGGCTCCGCCTGGTAGCAGGAGGCGTGCGGCAAACTCTAATACCTAAGGTACCTGCAGGCGGATGTCAGATGGTTCTGAAATTCGGTTTAAATACCCAGTCCAAAGGGCCGTCGGATGTTGATCAACGACACTCCCGTCCCATCTTGACCCGGCGAGGCAGTACGACTCTCAAGCTGAGAGCCCGAACATAACATAGGCCAATTGACGTATGTAATCTTGAACGCAACTACCTATAGTGAGCACCTTGTGGTTCTTAGAGACTTGAAAGTTCCTTGCAGACGCTTCTCGTCTAACGGCAGAGGCAGAACAGTACCGTCTCGGAACTCGGTAGTCTTAATAAAGAAAGTTAATACTAGCTACATGGGGTAGAACTTAATCAGGCTCCCTTGCATGAGAGAAAGCTCTAGACAATGCCGCCTTGCGGTGGAAAGCTATTTGTACGACGGGAGTACATTTTCAGTATGTACTTGCGTCCGGGTGCTCGGAGGATCTCGCTACCTGATATATACAGGGGGATGTCAATGTCGAGTTTTAGACGCAGTCAAGGTCGAGTCGCGCTGAGCAGAACTCGGGTCACCGCATTGTGCCTTCCGTCAATATTCCGGGATAGTGGCAGGGTTGAAGTAGGTAGCCTAGGTAACCGAACCTAGGATCCGACGCTGGGTTCAGTTAGGCCACCCGAAGAGTTGCCCCGTTTGGGCATATCTGGGAACATGGAAGGCGTGGGGCCAGGTTCGGCTACCATCGTCCCGTCTTCCTGACCGGGCTCTTTTCGAAGGTACCTTGGTATCCATCAGGCCACGGCTCGGATCCACAGAGATATCTCCAGGGGACTCTTTCCTTCCGTCTGCCTCAGCTGCGACCTGAGATGGGGAACGGCCCCACTGTCTGCCTAAGTCATCTTCCATTCCGTCCATGAATTCGACATGCGTGCCTGCCTCAGCAGTGAGGGCCGGAGATTAGTGCAGTTTGACCCATTCCCGTCCCTACCACCCGAACTCGAGCCACCCGTGCGGGTCCAACGGTCCAGCCTCACCTAGCAGGTTCCATGCCAATGTACTGACAAATGCTTAAAAAGCGTCACTTCCTACTGGAGAGGATTCGGCACTTGGGTCGAGGAAACTCGAAGCTTCCTCCCGTTTAGGAGATGAGAATGGGGTTGCCGAGGGGAATGCGGCAACACGAAAATGACAAGCCGACTTTCACCGCGCCTAGATATATTTCGAGGTCAAGAAGAGGGGCAGAAGTCAAAGCTCTGAGCGGCTTGGGGGGGCAGTTTATGTGGACATCAAGAGAACTTCGGAACAGCCCAAATGGTACGGTCTATATGGCGAGTTCCCGTCCAGTATTCTGCATCCCGCCGATGACCATACTCGGTACCTGGTGGACCTAGCTTAGGTAGGTAAGATACCTACCTACCTACCTACCCATTGCCCTTCCATTGTTCACGAAGGGGCCTGGGCCAGACCCGGAGATGCTAACAAGATTGGAAAGTGAGACCCTCTTCGGGATTTCTCACTTCAGCTCCCGAAGGTACCTAGCTCTGGACTTTTCCAACTTCTCGACCACCGGCTCTGATTGATCAGCGTTCTTGCCGTATATGGTTTCCGGACGGTATCTATTCAACAGGATATCATTGATCCCCTTCCGGGGCCCTCCCCTTTCCGTATCCAAGCTCGAACTGTAAGGGGGTAGAATGTGTATAAAGAGCTCCTCTCCCTCCCGGATATTCGACCTTCTCTTCCTCCCAACACCATCCCCCAACGATCCCAGATCTCTCGAGCACACACAGCATATCTCAGCATCGCCTATCAACATCCTTACTTTGCCCACCTCTCATTTTGTCGTTTCGATCAACTCTCTGTCGCTTCTCGGTCTTTGCTCCTCGATATTACCACGACGATGAAGGCCACCACTGCTCTCGTCACCTTTCCCGCCGTCGCCCTGGCGGTCCTGTCTGGCGCCGGCTCCGCAGTCGCTGCAGCATCCAATGTCGAGCGTCGAGCTGACGACCTTGAGTACGGCGAGCCGGCTGGCTACTACGGCAACGAGGGATACGGGTACGGCGACGACTACGGCTATGGAGATGATTCCTACGGCTACGACGAGGGCTACGGCCACGACGGGTACGAGCGGCGGGACGCAAGCAAAACCGCAACTGTCACCAAGACGGTGATTGTCACCCACCCCTCGCAGTGGTCCGACTTGTTCAAGCCCTCGGGGACCTCTGGAGCTACGGCTCGGGATGTCGCCCAGACTGTCACGATCATGGGCCCTGACGCCAAGACGACTGTGATCTTGCCAAGCCAGGTTTCCGTCGACTCGACTCACGTTGTCTGGGCACCAGCACCTACATCCACAGGCTCGTCTGCCAGCCAAGAGAGCTCCAAGGGCGGTGCTTCGGAGCAGCACCAGCAAAACTCGGGTTCGGGATCTCACGGCTACGACTCTGGGCATGGTCAGCCATGGACTCACAACGCAAATACTGCTGGCTTTGGTCATGGTGGCGGCGGGGGTTGGGGCTCGGGTGCGTCGTCGGTGGCGAGAGATGTTGCTTGGGCTGGGCTTGCACTGGCTGGTCTGGGAGCCGCGGTTGTGGCGTTGTGATGTGGTTGGAGGGGGAGCCCATGAGGACCTGTGGATGACTTCAGGGGTCTTTGGCAAGGAGAAAAATCTTCTTCTCGGCGGTGTACTCATCGCGTGTACCTAGAACTCAAACCTCCCTCACCTGAGAGCAATTGAACGGCACTATTGCCCACCGTGACGTGTCTCTTGCTCGTGCCGGCCTCTCAAGGGTCTAGACTTTGAGCCTGCTGCTCGCCAGCATGGTGGCTGTCCTCATCATCCAATGAAGCTCGCACGAACACAGACCCCTGAACTCAGCCGCATTTGCCAGGTATCCCATGGGTTCCAGCTGAGGCTCTGGCTGGTACCCGACCATTTCCCACCTTCACTTCCATGTCCATGTCTGTTTCAACTTGTTGCCAAGGCAGAAACAACAACGTCTTTTTGGGTCAACCTCGTAGACTTGTCGCCACGTAAAAGTCGCGTATCTTAACATGGCATACTCTGGCCAGCAAAAATTTGGTCAGTCCTACCCAGCCCAGCCGGGACAAGATTTTGGACAGACGTCTTGGGTTCAACGACCTCCTGCGGGGGGTGGTCTCTCAGTCGCCATGGCAAACATAAGCATCACAGACAGGCCTCCTGCTGCACATGGCCAAGCACCTCAAGCAGCTCCTCCATCGACGGCGGTATATCCCTCTCACCTACCAACAACGCAAGGATACAGTGCATCTTCACATAGCATCCAAACTCCATTGTCTGGTGCTCCTCAAAACCTAACCGTTGTAAGGAATGATCTTCAACCTTGTTCTCTGCACAAAAGTTCAATCCAGCCCAGGGCTAACAGGATCCCAGCACTCAGAATATTCTCCCGGGACTTACTTGCCCCAGACAGGAACGCAGTTCCAGACAGGGATGCGCAACGGATACGTCTCGCTGGAAGTGCAGAAACCAGTGCAGCCTACGTTTGAACCGCCGCCCAATCAACAGACCAGCTCTTTCAACTCCATGCCCAGCAACCCCAATCAAGGGCTGCGACCAGCACACGACCAGGGGCAGTATCCAGGTCCACCGCAACAAAACCCTGCGCAGAATTCGGTCACGAAGCCAGCCGAACCATCGAAGAAGCAGGGGTGGGTGGCGAAATTCTCGGCCGGGCAGAAGATTGCCTTGGGTGCGGCCGGCGACTTGACCTCGGCGCTACTCACGAAGGAGAAGAAAGAGAATCTGGGCAACCAGCTCAAGGAACAGGCGTCGAGGCTGGGGCTTTCCAACTTTGCTTCTCCTCGCCAGCAAGCTGGTCCAGCGCCCCCGCAGGCTGGCCCGCATCTGCCGGCATCGACGGCGTGCTATTCATACCCGCAAGCTGCTCCGGGCTACCCTGCCACTGTGGTGCAGTATCCTGCACCTTCCGCGAATAACCAAGGGCGGCCCCTTCCCGCCGCGACACGAGCGGGCGGGCCTGTTTTTGTGGCCAAACCCATGCAGCCCGGGGCCCCTTTCCAAGCTGGAAGGCCGACCGCTGGACCGGTGCCGATGGCTGCCAGGCCTATGCCTGCTGGTGGTCCACCCACGGCCTCGAGACCGGTGCAAAGGCCTGCTGCCGCCGGCGGTCCGTTGGGGGCTCCTCCTGCCAGGCGCGGGCCCGTGGGTGGTGGGCCAAGGCCAATGGGCCAGCCGGTGGCGAGCGGTCCGGGAGGAGGAGGCGGTATCGCTGCGTGGGGCGGATGGGTCAATGATAGGGACTTGTATGAGGGACGTGAAACCGAAGGGAGCGATTCGGCTAGCCGGGAGGCGGGCGGAGGTGGCTATGCGGAGTATGCTAATGAACGCGGTGTCTGTGAAGAAGCAGGTGGTACTCTCGGGGCCAACGGCGAGGGTTCCAATGCAGTCGCCGTCGGCTCCGGCGAGTTTCGAAGCGCGAATGGGGGTACTTCGTTGGAGGTCGTCGACGGTTTCGGGAATGCTGGGACTCGGGATGTACAAGACACGACCGCGGTGGAGAATACAGCCGTGGCTGGGAATAACTTGATGATCCAGAACTCGGCCGTTGCAGACAACAACACCTGGGCTTCCAGCACGGCGATGGCGGAGAGCAACGTTAATCCCAGTATGTCGATCTCGGCTTACACCGAGGTCAAAATGGCGGCTGGGGCTTCTGGCGGGGCGGATATGCAGCTTGGTGGAGCCGGATACTACCAGGACAGCAGCACCGGGACGACGGTGGAGGCGGGGATGCAGACATACGCAGGGGGATCTGTGGAGACGGGCGGTGTCGCGGACCTGCCCACCCCGCAGCAGACGTACGCCGGAACCGAAAATGCCGACGTTCAGGGTTCCTTTGCGGGGGCAGGGACGTTTCCAGCATCGGAGAATTACGCAAGCATGCAGGCTGCGAGCGGGCAGGAGATGTACACGGGCCAGGAGACAGCTCCCATGCAGGGAGCCTACACAGGCCAGGAAATGTACCCCGGGCAGGACGCGTATACCGGCCAAGAGGGCTGTTCCGCACAGCCGACGTACGCAGATCAGCAGGCTTACGTCGGCCAAGACTCCTACACTGCGCAGGACCTGTCTGCTCAGGGGGCCTACTACGATGGCGCCGACTGGGGGGCATGCGCGGACTCGACAGCCTACGCTGGGGTAGACGCATATGCTGGGGTAGACGCGTACGCTGGGGCAGACGCCTACGGGGGATACGACTACAACGCGCAGATGGACGCATACCAGGAGGCGGATGCGAATGTCGAGGCTGAGGTACTCGCTGAGGCGCAGGCATACGAGGAGTATGCCATTGAAAGCAGTGACGCTGGGTTATTTTAGGAAGGATACCATGGCCACAACAATGAGGGGCGGCAGCGATGGGATTATGATGACAGCGACTGAATCTACATGGATTAAATTGATGTTTATGTCATGTGGAGGAAGCAGACAGGAGGAAATAAGCTCGTACATCTAGTCTGTGTATACCTCCTGCATGGCGGCGGCCTCACCATGTTATCGTCCCTAAAATAGCCCGTCATCACCGGCCCCATCGCCGCCCCATCGCCGTGGCCATATTATCCTTCCTAAAATAGCCTGTCGTTGCTGCCATTATCCTTCTCAAAATAGCCCGGCGTTGCTTCTTTTAATAGCGTATTCCTCGCACGCCGCGGCCTCAACGTTCACATCCGCCTCCTGGTACGCATCTGCTCCAGCATACGCCATCTCGAGCAGATCAACGTCCTCAACAAGCTCGTCAAGCTAAACCCGTCGCCGTCAAGCCTGGCCGGGGCAGTCGCGCAAGCAATGACGTTGGACAAGAGGGCCTCTCGTTACAAAACCGTCCAGATCTCGATATCCAACGGCGCATAGGGGAATGCAGTGGCTAGCGCGTTCGCTCGTACAGCCTTTCACTTCCCCCCAAGTCACTCGCTTTTATCGCCTCCTCGCTCAACACCGTTGAGTCCTCACTGGCGTCAATCGCGTCAATCGCGTCTTCCCTGGCCGTCCTCGCAGACGGCCAGTCCTCAGCCAGCTCGGCCAGGACCTCCTAGGCCTCCTTCTAGCTGGCAGTCCTTGCCGCCTTCTCTCTCGCCGGGGGGTTTATTGTGTGCGTAGAACCTAGGCTGGGGACGGGGGCGTGGGTGGAGCGGCAGCTACGGCGATGGAGGGCGGTGACGATGGCCTATTTTAGGGAGGATAACATAGCAACGGCGATGGGGGCGCGACGACGGCTTTATGATGACGGCGGCCGAATCTACATGGAGTAAATTGATGTCTATGTCATGCAGAAGAAGCAGGCAGGCGAGAATAGGCTCAATGCAACGCAACGCAGTATCTCATGGAATATGTCTGTTTTTGTTGTAGCCTCCTCCATCCTTGCCAGTCCAGTCGCATAATCCCGAGAACGCATCTTATTCCCAACGCCGAACAATGCATCGTGACGTCGCCCCTGGCCCCCCGATGTCCAGATATGGTAAATCAAACGTGGAGCTCCTACCGCCTACCGCCTGCCCCCGCCCCTCCCTCCTCCTCTCCCGCCCATCATCCCACCCATGCCCATCTGCCTCATCATGGCCTGCATGTCCATGCCGCCGGGCATACCGCCGCCGGCGCCACCGAGCATCTTCATCAGGTTCCCCATGTCGCCCATCCCGCCCCCCGCGGCGCCGGCCCCGCCCATGCTCTGCAGGCGCTTCTGCATGGCTGCGAGCTGCTGGGCCTTGTTGCCGCCGGCCATGGCACTCTGGGCGCGCTGCATGTTCTTCATGTTGCCGCCCATCTGCTTGGCAACGCCGGCCATGAGGCGCTGCTGGGTGAGCAGGTCCTCGACCTCGCGGACCGTGGTGCCCGAGCCACGGGCGATGCGGGTCATGCGGGTGGGCTGGTCGATGAGGAGGCGGCCGTCGCTGTCGAGCTCCTTGTCGGTCATGCTGTCGCAGATGTAGATCATGCGCTTGAGCTTGGAGCCGCCCTCGTCGTCGTCCATGCCCTGCATCATGTTGCTCATGCCGGGGATCATCCCGGCAACCTTGCTGAGGGGCCCCATCTTCATGATGTTTTGCAGCTGGTCGCGCAGGTCGCGGATCGTGAAGATGCCCTCGGTGATGTGCTTGATGGTATCCTTCTGGTCCAGCTTCAGGCTCTGCACGTGCTCCACCAGCCCGGCCATGTCGCCCATGCCGAGCAACTTGTTGATGAACTGCTGGGGCGCGAACCGCTCCAGGTCGAGCATGTGCTCGCCCGTGCCGATGAAGACGATGGGCGTGTGCGTCGCTGCCACCGCCGAGATGGCGCCACCCCCGCTGGCGTGGCCGTCCGTCTTGGTAATGATGATGGCCCCGAAGTCGGCCGCCTCCTTGAACGCCTTGGCCTGCGCCTCGGCCTGCTGTCCGATGGATGCGTCAAGCACCATGATGGTCTCGTCCGGCCGGATCGCCGACTGGATGTCTACCATCTCCTGGAAAAGCGCGCTCTCCTGCCTGTGCCGCCCGGACGTGTCCACAATGATCACCTCGAACCGCTCCTTCTTGAACTTGTCCACGCCCTCGCGCGCGACCACCGCCGGATCCGTCTCCGTCAGACTGCCATAGTAGGGGATCTTGGCCTTGGTCGCGTTCTGCTTCAGCTGGTCGAAGGCGCCAGCTCGGAAGGTGTCGGCGCAGACCAGGCACGCCCTGAACCCGCGGCTCTGGTAGTGCCTCGCCAGCTTCGTGCACGTGGTCGTCTTGCCGGCGCCCTGCAGGCCGACGAACATGATGACGTTGGACTTGCCCTTCCGGGGCTTGAATGGCTCGGCGTGCGGGTCGACGAGGCGCACGAGCTCGTCGAAGACGGCCTTCTGGATGAGCCGCTTCTTGTTGACTGCCGGCGGCAGCTCCTTGAAGTTGACCGTCGACCGGATGGATTTGCGCAGCTGGCCGACCAGGCGCACGTTGACGTCCGCTTCGAGGAGGGCCGCGCATATTTCCTTCAGCATGCCATCGAAGGCCTGGGAGAAGTTCTGTTAGCCAGGGTCTTCCGCAACCCGGGGGAGGGGAAGGTGGGGGCTAGGAAGTCACCTTCTCATCGAGATTTGGCGCCCGTGTCAGGTCTGACACGGCCGTATTTATGCGGCGCCCAAGATCTTGAAGAACCATGGCTGCTAGCGAGATAACACAGCCAGTTGATTGTACCCGAGTTGCAAAGAGAGCTGCATAGAATGGCCCCCTTGCAATTGACAAAGTGTTGGTGGGGCACGGGCGGGGAGGACAGTTAGGTCCTTAGTGCCCCGCAAATTAGCATCGGATATACGATTTTGCGATCCGATTTTACTGGACGCTGCCCGGGGCCCGCATGACAGGAACTCGATCAAAAATATATTCAATTGGAACTTCGATACGAGAGTAAAGTCAATAAACTGAGTGTCATAAGCCAAGAGCACATGACATTAACTCAGTAGAGCGAGTTTTTTTATCAACTACCACATCATCTCAATTTAAGTGAATCTGTGTGAGGATATCGACATCTGGATTAATGAATTGGTGAATATACCTACTGCCTCTAATAAGAGTCAATATCTCCGGGTACCTAGGTAGTTTACCACCGAAAATCTCTACACGCTACTTCGTACATAAGGCCTCCATGTGACCCAACGACAGCTTCAACATCCTATTACCATACTATCACTCTCAACTTGGTCCACGGTGGACGGATACCTTACAAATTGAGGAGAAACTGGACTCCATGAGGCCATTTTGCCCGGACTTTTAGTTGCGCCGCGACAGATCCCCGCCCTTCCGCCCGGTTTTAGGTAATTTAAGCCGACATTTTCCCTACCAGTCGGTCGCTTTTATATAACGCATCATCACCCGAGGTCCCCGACAGCCGACCAAAAATAACAAGACGAGAAAAGAAACACACAAATTACGTGGAGCGGGCTTTCTGAGCACGTAGAAGCTTCAGGCCTTGCGACGTCACTTGCGTGTGGCATTTATTCACAGCATCACCTTGACTCAATCCCACCCGAGTTCTCCACCGGTGCGCCCTCGATGGCGTCGTCAAGATCAGGCAACGCGCCGAGCGCGAGCCTCGATTCTCTAGCGGAGGACCAGTATTTCAGTGCGCACCCGACACCGGTGGACCTGGAAAAGCATGTCGCCCAGGCCCAGGACTTCATCAACCATCAATTGACGGCTGGCCGGCGGGTGGTTCTGGTCACGTCTGGAGGGACGATAGCACCTTTGGAGAAGCAGATGGTTCGATTCATTGATAATTTCAGTGCCGGTACGCGCGGAGCAGTATGTACCCCTGAGTGGCCCCGAATCCCCGAGTGGCCCTGGATAGATGATTGACTTAATTGCCATAGAGGAGTGCGGAGCATTTCCTCGAAGCCGGCTATTCCGTGATCTTCATGCATCGCCAATTCAGTCTGCAGCCGTTCAGTTGTCGTTACAGCCATACCACCGACTGCTTCTTGGACTACCTTGTCGAAGGCCCGAATGGCAGCGTGGTTGTACGGAAGGACGACAGTGACAAGATGCTGCAAGTCTTGAAGAAGTATCGCGAGGTCAGGGAGAAGAACATGCTGCTCTTCCTCCCTTTCGTCACCGTCAACGATTATCTGCACCTGTTGCGGGCAGTCGGCCGTGCGATGCAGCCCCTGGGTACGGACGGGCTGCTATATCTCGCGGCCGCTGTTTCCGACTTCTTTGTGCCGGTACGCTCCCCCCGATGGTTGGTCATTTCCAAGGAACGTGAATTAAAACAAAGTCTTTGCAGCCAAGCCAGATGTCAGAACACAAAATCCAGAGTACAGACCACGCCAAACCCTCAGGGGCTACCACGACTGAAAACGAAGAAAAGAAGGGGATCCCAGATTACTTCACCTCGTAAGTTTCCCCCCTTTGCCATGTTCACCATTGATGCTTTCGGGCGACTAAGCGGCGGGATAGCCCCGAAAACATCACATCCAACAAGCAACTCACCATATTCCTGGACGCGGTACCCAAATTTCTTGCGAACCTCGTCCACACCTGGGCTCCGAGATGCATGATAGTATCATTCAAACTGGAGACCGACCCGGATCTGCTTCTAGAGAAGTCCAAGACGGCACTCTCTCGGTACCAGCATGACCTGGTCATTGGGAACCTCCTCACAACACGCAAATGGGAGGTCGTCTTTATTACCCCCGACGGGCAAGAAAAATGGATCCGTGCCCCCGCACATAAAGAAGGCGAGACAGAGGATCGGTCCCTGGACCGGAGCAAGCTCCCGGACGAACCGGCGGTGGAACTGGAGAGCTTGGTCGTCCCTGCTGTGATCGAGCTGCATACTCGGCATATCCAGCAGCACAGCACCTAGCGAAGTATGTGCGATGATTCTAGCAATGCTGGAGGTATCGTCTGCCGGGTAATTGTCATGCTTATGTACTGTAAAATACACTTGGCTCGTAACTTTGTACTATCTAATGCTCCTCTAGTAATTAGTAGTTTACCAGTTTCTAATCTGTTTGTTTGACACTTGATGTGTCTTATCCTCCAATTATATGAAGGAGAAACCTAGCAGCCGCTTCGTGGAATTATTATCAATTATGATTGGCGGCATAAACGTATAATCAGATTCAGGGGCAGCTGTCTTGCTTAGTGGGGGCCGGCTTTCTCGGCCACTCCTCCAGGAATGGGGCGACGGGTTTCCCGGAAAGGTTTAGCCCGCCCGAACCGTCCGGCGCCCGCTTCGTCTAGGTGGGTTCCCCCTGAACCGCCCAGTCCAGTACTGCGAGCCATCGTGTTCGCGGTCGGGAGCTAGCCTGCGAAAGGGAGGATGATCGCCAGCAAGCATTGCCGGTGTCCGATATCCGATTGGAGAAGTGTACTAGGGACTGCCGTTGAGACCTGCCGTGATATGACTGGAGCAGACGAGGAGGAGCCCTCGGGTATACGGATCTTCGTTGACCGGCACGGCAGCCCTGGCAGTACACTTGCAGTTCGATGAACACAATAAAATACCTGGCCTGGTACGACATTTCACGAGACGTCACAGTATTACGGGCAAGCGGGGCATAAGGCTTAGAGTGGTCGAGGGATACGGGGAAGTGGAGAAGTTGGTCCACCGTCCCCTGGTTGCTCGGGATTAGGAGCGGCCTCCCCGCGAGGGAGGTTTCGTCGACTTGATCTGCTTTATGGTTCCGCGGTTGCGTTTGAGGATGTCATGATACTTACGGCCCACAGAAGCTGGGGGAGGGGGTATTCATAGACTGGGTCTTGACTCTATTCTGTATTGTTTCATTTTGCCACGTCTTTTCTTCTGTCCCGAACGGAAATCGGGAATTCACATGACGGAAAGAGAATTTCTTGGCCGTGCCGCAGTCATACACACGTGCACTCGTTCACCGAATCATCCGGCTAAAGCAGGAGACAGGAGGAGATTATGGAAGTCAAGATTCGTCTCGAGATAATGGGCTGATATATGACAACGTCAAAGGCGGGGAAAGCGAACATCCAATCAGCCGTTTTAGATATGCAAGGCCGCATCCGGGTTCTAGAGTGTGGAAGATCGGAAGCTATTGATTCGATAGAAGTTGGAGTTGGCTTGGCTTGGGGTCCAGAGGATTCCCCCATCTGATATGCGGCAGAGCATCCTGGGCCAAGCAAGAATTCAAGATACGGGCTTCCTGCCCCCACCACCATAGAATACGAGAAGTGGGATTGGTATCTCCAAGAACTCTTCATATTTGCAATAGCAGGCGCGTAGGTGCGAACGGTAGACTTCAAAATTTGCTATTTCCGGCAACCGACGTCGTCCCAAGTCTCTCCAAGTTCTAGGCAAGGGTTATTGGATTTGGGGCTAAGTTATAGCGCTAGTTACAGCGCTAGTTTGTTAGCTGCAGGCGGTCCACATTGGCACATGGCCGCCACCTGCTCCACAACAACAGCTTCATCCCTGGGCCTATTAAACGTCACCGAGAAGAAGGCCAAGGTTTGGACAAGCTTGGAATTAGCACACCGAGCGGAGCAGTTCATCACAACGGCATTCCCAAATTACCACCTCCTGCCTATTTGCATTTGCATACCCCGCGCCAGCCGAGGTCGTTAACGAAGCCTAGGGCTGTGCCAATGCTGGATTCACCATCTTGCCTCTGTCGAGCGTGGCTGCAAGTAGGAAGATGGGGGAGAGGGGTTGGCAGCAAGAGCGGGAAGCAGCGACATACCATTGGACCGGGAACTGGCCGGACATTACTCGAGTGTGCCACCCCCCTCACTTATATGCAGAGCCTCCTCATTTCGAAGATCCTGCAGGACGCGCAAGATATGCGCAACGTCTCCATGTTCTACACTTCAACCTCCTCGGTAGTTCCTTGGCTGAACTCTGACATCTAACCTTGAACTGCCTCTCATTGCGAGCTTACAGTGCAGTCTAGAACTTCCTTGGCGCCGCCCCTTGGCCCCGCGATGCCCAGCCTTTCCCCCCATACTTCCCCGGATCGACGAGACCCCCATTCTTGGCTAATGTTACGCGGACGTGGACATCTGTTTCTATTCGCTGTACTCCGGAGATATCTCGTTCATGAGCATGTTACCTTTTGCTTTCTGCTCCTGTTAGCTAAGCCATAATGACACGTCGCAATACCTTCCTTCCTTCCAAGACGTGATCGTGGCTTGTCTGCAAACAGTGGCAGCGGCGTCCGGCAGGATGGATCACATCACGTGGGTTAAACACCCCCCATATTGGATGATGCCGGTTAACCAAGACATGAGTGAGCTATCGAGGGGGGCAGACGACACAGTCTTGGCCAATCCGGTAGTCAGGTAGGGCTAGTGAAGGCAGTGAAGGTTTCAATAGCTCGAAGGAGCAGGACTCACGCGGGAGCGGCCCCCTATTGACCCCCGCCTTGATCTACAGATCTCTCTGTTGCACAACATGAACAACGTTGCTAATATCACGAAACGAACCTAGCCCAAGCCACCACTGATGACTTCGGGATGCATGTCTCATTGGTGCCCTCAACCCTTTTGAGAGGGGCCCCCACCATTGCAACAATGGCACAACATCGGTAATGCTTACGAGACAACCATCTTGTCTTCCTTTGCCATGCCATTCGACCGGCGAACTCTCGGCTTCTTGGACGTCGTCTCCAAAAAGGCTATGTTGGTGCCAAGGCATGGTTTGAGACGAGCAATAGATGCCAATGATGGCCGGGATACGTCAACCCCTGATGGATCATCCTTCGCAAGGAGCGGTACCCCTCAAGTTGGGATGGGCTAAAAGGAGTGAGGGGGGTTTTATGGGAAGGGGGACAGTGACCTGGGCATATAACTGACTCCCCCCCTCCTGTCTTTCCGGCATCGTGAGGTGCAAGTCTAAAGACATTGTATCGTTATCCAGAGAACAACCAGAGAGAATAATCATCCACCATGAGTCTCCCAGACGAGTTCGACATCATCGTGTGCGGCGGCGGAAGCTGCGGCTGTGTGGTTGCTGGCAGGTAAATTACATCCCTCACCTCACCGTGTTCTATTAGGAGATTTGGAGATCCATGCTGAACCTCTTCAGGTTGGCCAACCTTGACCACAATCTCAAGGTGCTCCTCATCGAAGCTGGTGAGAGCAACCTCAACAATCCGTGGGTCTTCCGTCCGGGCATCTACCCCCGGAACATGAAACTGGACTCCAAGACCGCATCGTTCTACGAGTCTCGGAAATCCGAATGGCTCGGCGGGCGGAAGGCAGTCGTGCCATGTGCCCACATCCTTGGTGGCGGTTCGTCCATCAACTTTATGATGTACACCCGAGCGTCTGCCTCAGACTACGATGACTTCCAGGCCAAGGGCTGGACCACCAAGGAGCTGCTCCCGCTCATGAAGAAACATGAGACATACCAGAGGCCCTGCCATGACAAGGACGTCCACGGCTTCGAGGGTCCGATCAAGGTCTCGTTCGGCAACTACACCTATCCGATCAAGGACGACTTCCTGCGCGCAACCGAGTCCCAGGGAATCCCCACCGTCGACGACCTGCAGGACCTCAAGACTGCCCACGGGGGTGAGCAGTGGCTCAAGTGGATCAACCGCGACACTGGACGGCGCAGCGACAGCGCCCACGCATACATCCACTCCACCCGGGCCGTCCACTCCAACCTCTACCTGGCCTGCAACACCAAGGTCGAGAAGATCATCATTGAGAACGGCCGAGCGGTCGGGGTACAGACGGTCCCGACCAAGCCGCTGCACCCCAACCAGAAGGGGACCCGCATCTTCAAGGCCAGGAAGCAGATCGTCGTGTCCGGCGGCACCATGTCGTCACCCCTGATCCTCCAGCGCTCTGGAATCGGTGACCCCAAGAAGCTTGAGGCCGTCGGAGTGAAGCCCATCATTGACCTCCCCGGCGTGGGTCTGAATTTCCAGGACCACTACTTGACCTTCTCCGTCTATCGCGCCAAGCCCGAGACCGAGAGCTTTGACGAGTTCGTCCGGGGCAATCCCGAAGTACAGAAGCGTGAGTCTCACACAGCCATCCATCCATCTGCCGCGTTGTGGTTTTGAGAATAGATTCTAATACTAGGAGCAGAGGTCTTTGACGAGTGGGCTCTGAAGGGCACCGGGCCCCTGGCGACCAACGGCATTGAGGCCGGCGTGAAGATCCGGCCGACTCCCGAGGAGCTCAAGGAGTTCGAGTCCTGGCCGACACCGCATTTCAACAGCGGATGGGAATCGTATTTCAAGAACAAGCCGGACAAGCCAGTCATGCACTACAGCATCATCGCCGGGTGGTTCGGAGACCACATGCTGATGTAGGGTTTCCTCCCCACAAACACCCCCCTAACATCTTTCATTCTCTTCCTCGAAATTTCGAAATCGCTAATAAACCCCCGCAGGCCGCCTGGCAAGTTCTTCACCATGTTCCACTTCCTCGAGTATCCCTTCTCCCGAGGAAGCACCCACATCAAGAGCGCCGACCCGTACGAGACCCCCGACTTCGACTGTGGTTTCATGAACGACGAGCGCGACATGGCGCCCATGGTGTGGGGCTACATCAAGTCCCGAGAGACGGCGCGAAGGATGGACGCATATGCCGGCGAGGTGGAGAACATGGTGAGATTTACGAGCCGCCACTCTCCCCCCCCCTCCGTCCCTACCTGTCATCTAACCACTCCCCTCTCAACAGCACCCCTTCTTCGACTACGACTCCCCCGCCCGGGCCCACGACATGGACCTCGCAACAACCAAGGCCTACGCCCTGCCAGGCAACCTAACGGCGGGCATCACGCACGGCAGCTGGTCGCGACACCTGCCGGAGCCGGAACGGCAGGCGGGCCCGCAGATCCTGAGCTCGAACCGCGTGGGTGTGCGCGAGGAAGTCAAGTACGGCAAGCGCGACATCGAGGCCGTCGAGGACTGGGTCAAGCGGCACGTCGAGAGCACCTGGCACAGCCTGGGCACGTGCTCGATGGCGCCGCGGGAGGGCAACAGCATCGTCAAGCACGGCGTGCTGGACGAGCGCCTCAACGTGCATGGCGTGGAGGGACTCAAGGTTGCGGATTTGAGCATCTGCCCGGATAATGTGGGGTGTAATACGTGAGTTTCCCCCTCTCCCCCCCCCCAATGGGCCGGCTCCGGCAAGTCTGTGTCGGATGTGTATCTGATGAGATTGAATAGATATTCCACGGCCCTGCTCATCGGAGAGAAGGCCGCTATGCTGGTCGCTGAGGACCTGGGCTACTCGGGAGAGGCATTGGAGATGAAGGTGCCGACGTACAATGCTCCGGGCGAGCTTAAACTTCCGTATCGGCTCTAGGGCCGGAACGGGAATGACTGGTAACGGGATGACTGATGACGCGGAGGGCAGCTTGAATCTATGCTGGTTCATGGGGTTTGTGTAGCAATGGGGTGTTACTTTTCCAGTTGGGAGCACTAAGACACTCGTTATAGTCTACAATACTGAGCCTTGGATTAAGTAAAAGTGATCGAGTTCGATGTATCATTTGACATCAATCGATGCCAATTGCTTCTCCAACCTAATTCTAAATTCCCATCTCAGCCGTCTAGATCCGCGCTGGATTAATGTACAGGCATGTACAGGCAACCTCTCACAAGCAACCTCTCGGGACGCATGGGCAGAAGTACCTTACCTACTTGTCAGTGTGTATGGCTTAGAGTAGCTCCTGCATTCTAGGCCGGCATGATTTCTATCAGGTGGCAGTATCTTCTCGTCACTGGGTCGCCATCACTATCCCTGCTATCCTGGCCATCGCTGTGGCCGTCGCTGTCTATTGCTGTTACTTCTGCTGCTTCTGCTGGCGCGTGGACAAGGAGTCAATTCCATGGTTAAGATATTTCCCGAGACGTCTGCCCCTACTTCCTTCCTCGCTTCCTTGCGCTCGTGCCTTCCCACGACGTTTATGGAGGGTGTCATCGGAAGGAAGCCGCACGTGTCCTGCCCTCCCCCTTTGAACGTTCGATCGAGCATCAGAGTACATGATGAAAGCGGTTCGTATAAGAGAGCCCATAATAGTTTTTACAGCTCGTGTCTGGACACCATAATACGTGGCGGCTGTCGTAATCCGTGGCCAAACCGTAGGATTCGGGCTCTATTGCCTGGTACCATCCAATGCCTGGCCTATGTGGTGTTGCTTGGTCAAACCCGATGTCAACAGTGCGACGGTGGAGAATCTCGATAGCCGTACACTCGCATGAACTGATAAGCCCGAAGAAATTCTGACGATGGCAGAAGTCACCTTCGACATAGGGTGCGTAGATACTAACGTGATGATAAGGAATCCAGCGGTATCTCCTAGTCTGCGAGAATAAGTTTAATTCCGGATCCGTACGGCAACTATCTTCTTCATCCTCAAGAGGCGATAGTTGCCAGTCGAGCTTGTCATGGCCGGCGTATTGTAGACAAGAACACCTATTAGGACCGACGGCAGCCATGAGTGGTGAGCAACCGCCATATGATAGTTGGGGGACCGGGAATTGTCCTGCGTCCTGGTGAGTGCTTTCGACGATTTGGCGCATCGTCTCGGCCGTTGGCACTGCCGATGTCCTTGACGGAGTTGCGACGTGGGCGATCCAGGCGATTTCTAACCATATACGACCTCTTTGTATCTTCGTAACACTCAGGTCAGTTCCGCTGTACGACGTGCTTTTATCACACTGAAGGCCGTGACAACGTTCTTGGCAGATACTAGTCCACGGAATGAGAAATTGCGCCTCTCCCGTATCGTGGAGTCCATTTTGGGCCCCCCAGCTTTCGATATCGCTCCAGCGGATCATGACATGCTGGCACGCTCGAATGTAGCCTTCGTGCGCGATGCAGACACGGGTGCTGCCCTTCCACCAACTCCAGTTCATACGCCTCTGAGTCGCCGAGAACAGCCCCGCCGGGTGCTTGGTCTTGCAGCCGTCGCAGTAGAGCTTCTTGTCTACCAGAGAACGGAACTGCTTGTGCTTCCGTTTAAGCTGGCTCACTCGTAGACATCGAGAACAGAATCGGTCTTTGCGGAGAAGCGCCAAGAGCCCCATCGCGTCCGGGGAGCGGCAGTGCATTCCCGGATTAGTTTCCGCCCAAGGAATCCTAGTAGGTTCAAGGCCGCCGCGGACTGTCAAGTGTGCTGATTTGAACTTGGAAAATTCGCGATGTCCGTCGCAGACATTCGAGTCCTTTGGGGTCGAGAAGCTCCATGATATCCAGTAGTAGTTCGTCGGGCAGTCGACAGAGCGGACTCGAGGTGAAATTGTAGTATGAAGCGGCTACTAGAGAATCCATTCCTTGCGCGATCAAATCGGCTTCGGGACGGATGGGCTTGACGCTTGACTTGTCTGTGGGCGCCTGCCAGGCGAGTTTCGTGACCTGGATGCGGCATGTGTCTCCAACAACGGCTGTTTCGCCGGCTTCGGCATGAGGTCTGCTGGGTCTTCCAACGGTTAGAGATTCGAGCAGTCCATTGTACATAAAGGTACTTACTTTAGAAGGGCCTCACGGCACCACCTCCAAAGGCAGGTTACTAAGACACAGAAGCACGATAGCATATCGAGATGTTGATGCTAGAACGAGTTACAAGAAATGTAAAGAGAGAAAGAAGAAAGGGAGCTGCATTGTATTTGTAGTATCGATGCTTGAAGGCAGTGGGCTCATCGGCCTCCGAAGACTAACCTTGTTGGCGCCCTACGAGACATGATAGTTTGAGCGTAGGTTTGAGGTTGAACCTTAATGAGACAGGCCCGAGCGCTGCTGAGGGTGCCAGTCAAGGTCAAGTCGTCAAACCTTACAGCGCAGTAACTAGGATAAGTCACGAAGCTGTATCCCGTCTCCTTTCTCCCAAGGCTTAATCTTCGTAATAAACGATACTGGGAATCTGCATTGTCGCTCCGGCCTTTGTATGTGCACTGAGGGTCTGGGCGCACCCTTTCACCTCTGGGGATTTCCCTTCCCCTAGCTCTCATAGGATGTTTCGTCCACATGTGGCGATGCCATTACTTGTTCTGAGCGAAGCCTTGGAAGCAAATGTCGCAGATGACAGGCTGGTCGTGGTTACGCTGATGCCTTCTGCATTTTATTAGTGTCAGCTTCTGCTTTTTGATGAGACGAGGGGGGGAAGTTGCCTCCTACCGCAGGTCGCCAGGGCGCGTGTATACAATGTTTATGGAACATTTACTGCATTTGCGTAGCGTAAAGGTGCTTGCATTGAAATTGATGCTGTCGCTGTGGTCGCCGCCGTATTCGCCGCGGTCTTCTTCTTGCCCCTTATGACCAGGCAGAAGGGAGTTAAGGTGATGAGAACCATCTGGGGGAAGAGGCCAGGCGAGGCCCCCAAAGGAATATCGAGATACCCCGCCTCTCAGAGGGCGACTTCCACAGGCTCCTGGATGGCTAGGGCGACGTACATGGAACGATGGAAGGCAACGCTACCGCAGCAGTGCCACGACTTCGTCGACTACTGCTTCACCAACCTGGTGAGTGTCAGCAGTCTCACGGAGGACGACGCCCAGAAATCGTTGAAAAGGAGGACTGCGAGCCCCTTACGCTAAACAGATCCTTACGCTAAACAGATCCTTACGCTAAAACAGATCCTTACGCTAAAACAGATCTGAGTGCGGCTTCCCCGAGAGTATCACGACCCTCTACACGTGGTGCTGCCGAATGAAGCAGACACCTACCAATGATTGACCAGTGCACGTCAGTAATATATCCCCCTCTCCCTCCGCCAGCTCAACCACTCCGCCATCCTCATCGGGCCCCTCAACGCAACAAGAAACTTGATATTATTTCTCTCCTGCCTAGTCATCGCCTCTCGCCGTGCAACCCGCCGCAGCCTCTCATTCTGCGCCTTGCTCAGCTTTGGACAGCTCACTTCAGGCTCATTATCATCTACTTGACAGATAAACTTCGTCACGTTATCTTGCGGCCAGTACGCCTCATCACTGGGAAATCCTTGTATGGGTCGCGGTGGGAAACCAGAATGTGCATGCAACCGTCGCAGTCTTGAAGCGCCGTGGTGACGTAGGTGTGTCAAGATCCCGCCAGTGGATGATACCGTGAGATACGGCTCGTGCGGCGCGTCTGGCGGACCGATGTCGAACCAGACTGTGAGAGATCGGAGACTTGGGAAACCGGCCAGCATAGAGAGAGCATCATATAGCCACGTACCAGTGCCACGAGTGCAGACGACCGTGAGGGTGTCGAGGTGGGGAAGTGCGTCTACGAAACAGGGTGCGGAAAAAGACTTGGGATTTGGAGCCATGGCTAACTGCTGGCAGTGGTGGTGGCAGTGATGGTGGTGGTGGCGGTGGTGGTGGGGGGGAAGGAAGGAGGAGCTGGGGAGGAAGGAAGGAGGAGCTGGGGAGGAGCAAGGCGGGACTCCATCAGGTAACAACCACCACAAAATGGACCACCGCTTCTGGTGCCATTTCCAGCCGTCACGACCACAACTTCTGCGAGATGCCTTGCGATCGGGACACTCAGTATCGAGATAGACTTCCTCAGTCCACCGTTTGTCGATGGCGATCGGGGTTGTGGTTGCATGGGTCGGCGCTGTTATTCAGGAGCGGGCTGCGAGAGTTGGTTGGGAGAATCGTATCCGAAAATAACAACATTGTGTGGTCGAAACATTTAGCCGCGGGACCTGGACCAGCAAATCTTTAATATAAGGATATTAACAGTGCTCTTGAGTTGACGCCTCTTGAGTCTTGGCGTTTTTGACTTCCTGGTAACGTTTCCTCCCACGAACAAGAAAAGAATGACAAGCCTCAGAGTTGGACATGTTTATAACACGAGTAACCCAAAAGAACCTTCTATATAACTACTGTAAGGGAATTGCAGGATTAGAATTGTCTTCGGCCTAATTAGCCATCTTCCTTCCCGTCTTTACCTATTCCGCGTTTTCAGATCCAATGATGCTGTTCTCCAGCCATATCCTCCCACTCCTCAGCATCACCTCCCTAGCCGCAGGGGCGGCTCTTCTCAAATCCCGAGATCCGGACGCGCTCAAACTCTGGGAGATCTTGAGGCTATCCACCTTCTCGCCGTCCGGACGACCCGGCAGCTCGCCCTGGAGCCTGATCAACATCACGATCACAGACCCGAACACCATCCCCGCGGGGCCCACCCCGACGGGCACGGCGGTCTTCGAGCCGTCGACGGTGAACTGCAGCACGGCGTGGGACGCCGGCAGCCTGCCGTACAACCAGGTCGTCAACTGCACCGAGGCGGAGCACGGCTACTGGACGTTTGAGATGCTCGAGGCTGACGACAGCGACTATCACTCTCCGACGGAGAACTTCAACATCAGGTTCACGCAGGTGAGGAGCCTTGAGGTTCCGGGCAACACGTACGCCCAGACATTTGTCGGGACGGGTTCCTTCAGGGTGGGTGACAACTTGTCCGGTGTCTGCGGGGCGAGCGGAGTCTGCTCGTTCGGCCTCAAGGACGAGGCGAAGCCGGTTTTGGTCAATCAGACTCGCACCGAGTGCAGTGGGGTTTGTGATGAGTAGGAGGGGAAGATAGCTGCAGTTTGTATGGGCGGAGCACCGTTCGAGGAATAGGAGCAATTCAACCTTAGGAAAGGGGGAATGAATGAATGTCCTCGGCAATGGCATAATTAAGTCCTGGCGATGCATCACACATTCAAACGTTTCCAATGAGTAACGGGAATACTCTGGCTGCAACCATGCCCTGAAGACGTTAAGAGCAACCTGGTTATTGTGATGGAACCTGACCCTGGTGTCAATAAGGTGGGAGTTGGGATGCACTGTGGTTGGCTTACAGGGGGATTTGCTCGCTAAAAACGGCGTACCGAATTAGCGGGTTCAGGACGTGACTTTTTCGTCATCCTCGCTCCAGCGCACCACAAGTCGCACCGTTGATGTCAATACTCGGATCTCATCCCCTCCCAATGTCGTACGCACATTCTACAAATATTCGCATAGCCAGAACTCGCATAGCCGGAGCTCGACCGACCCCCAAATGGCAACCCCCACCTTCGCAACCCCCCTCCCGCAGTCCCCCCGCTCCGAGATCCTCGAGTGGCGCTTCCCGCCACCGCACCACCGGCACGTGCTGACGGGCCGGTCGCGGGCGGCCTGGCACACCTCCTTCGTGGTGCCGCAGCTGAACCTGCTCCTGGACGCGGGCCTGTGCGTCAACCGCCTGCGGCCGAGGCACGTCTTCCTCACCCACGGCCACAACGACCACGTCCTCCTAGCCCCGGCCTTCGTCGTCGGCCGCGACCCCGACGACCCCCCGGACGTCTTCTGCCCCACCGAGATGGCCCCGGCCTTCGACGCCTTCGTCCGCGCAAACGCGCTGCTCAACCAAGGCGGATTGCTCGGGCCCGAGGATGCGGAGCTGAGTCGGCTCGACACGCACGTCACGCACGGCCTGCGGCCAGGCGACGAGGTGGCGCTCCGCCGAGCAAAGGACGTGGTGGCGCGGGCGTTTGCGTGCGACCACACGGTTCCCTGCCTGGGGTACGTGTTTGGGACGTCGACGCGGCGCCTGCGGGCCGAGTTCGCGGGGAGGCCGGGGGGCGAGCTGCGGGATCTGAGGCGCGCCGGGGTGGAGGTCACGGCGCCGCATTGGGAGCCGATGTTTGCGTTCCTCGGCGACACGACGGCGGCGACGCTGGCGGCGGGACCGGAGTGGTTGGTGGGGGGCATCCCTGTTGTTGTTACGGAGTGTAGTTTTTTGTATCAGGAGCATAGGGCTGTGGCGGAGAGGACGAAACATACACTCTGGTCGGACCTGGAGGTCGTGGTGAGGAGGTGGCCTGCTACGACGTTTGTGCTGATGCATTTTAGCCTGAGGTATAGTGAGGAAGAGATACGGAGGTTCTTCAAGGAGATGGTGGACCCGCCTGGGAATATTGTCGTTTGGGTGGATGGGGAAGATGAGGGGGGAACTGATTAGACCTTGTAATTGGATTTGTTATTTACGTTGCAATGAATCTACATTAGTAAACACTGAGAATCAATCATATTGTCTAGTACCACCAGCACTCAATTACACACGGATGAACAGCCGGCTCTGATCACATTCCTTGCCTTCGTTTTGTTGTTTTGTTCATACTAGGCGAAGTCCAGAACTTCGGCCCGTTTCAACGCGAGCCAGGACTGGAAAGTTGTCCTGCCTGTCTTTGCTGGGCATCCCAGGGCCGCTCCCTGCTTGGAATTGCGCAGTATTTCTGTCCAGCACAAGTTCCCGACAGCACCGGTGGCTTGCACAGCCCAAGGCTGCGACACATCGGGTCATCCATGATGTTGGCTGGGGCTACCCGACCATGTTCAGCGTCTCGAATTGCAAGATGTCGTCGACGGCGCCGCCAGCTCGCGCCCACTCGTGCCGCTGCTGCGATACGGGAACGCCAGGTAGTCCACGACGGCTCTGAACCTTGTAAAGCGGTAGACAATACCAGGAAGAGGCCAGATCCAGGTTTGAGCGTTTGCCAAGTTCCACAGTGGCTATGCGGAGTCAGGTAAAACACGCCCGAGGCCCGCCATATAATATTGTTATTGGAAAAGGAATAATAATATATAGGATCACCTCCTTGTCTTTATCCTCCTCATCGTCTTCGTCCTCATCCTCGCCCTCGTCCTCATCTCGCCCTCGTCCTCGCCATCCTTGTCCTTATAATCCTCCTAAGCCTGCCCAAGGCCACACGGGACTGCAGCCTGGTATTCCTCGTCGGGAGTTCGGAGAAGCCAAGTAGGCGGCTCTCCGCCGCCTCGTCCAAATCCCTCACCCGCCTCTGCAGGCTGTCTCAGCAACCGGCTGGTTGCCAAGCTCCCCAAGCTCTAGAACCACGGCCGGCCCAATGAGCGGTGGAGCCTTCACCACACCTATGCCCCGGTCCCCAGCCTAGGCTCGGCCCACACGAGGAACCCCCAGAGGAGGGAGGCGATGGCAATGACGATGACAATGGCTAGCCAGAAGGAGGCTTAGGATCCTGGACAATGTGGCGGAGGATTGGTCAGTGGCCAGGCTAGCGAGGGACTCGGTGAGGCCGGCGAGGGACTCGGTGAGGCCGGCGAGGGACTCGGTGAGGCCGGCGAGGGACTCGGCGACTGCGGCCGGCCGGCCCTCGACTGTAAGGGTCTCTGAGGCGGGAGTAGGCATCGCTGCTGTTGTTGTTATTGCTGCTTCTGCTGCTTCTGCTGCTTCTGCTGTTTCTGCTGGTGGTGCTTCTGCTGGTAGTGCTTCTGCTGCTTCTGCTGGTGGTGCTGGTGCGGGTGCTGGTGGGTGCTCCTGATGGTATTGCTTGCATCAGGGGCTGGAATTTGGTCTCGGCATTTATGGCATCGCCAGTTCCTTGACCCTACAAGAGTGATGATATCATGAACCCTGCTCAGGCAGGAGTGTCAAAATATGTTGGGGCTATTCGAGTTATTGAGTTGTAAATTGGAGAACCTGACGGCAATGGAAATGGGAACGGCCATCGTGACAGCAACGACAACGGCAACGGCAACAGCAACAGCAACAGCAACAGCAACGGCAACGGCAAGAGCGATAGACAGCCACGACAACAGAGACTGACTGTGACAGCAGCAGCGATTGACTGCGACAGCGACGGCAATAGCAATGACGACAGCAATGGTGATGGCGACAGCAATGGTGATGGCAGTGGCGAGAGGATACTTCTACCAGCTAGAATCACTTCCTTCCCAAGCACTTGTTGCCATGAGACGAAGTATTTAGTCCGTGAATACATAGGTACCTACCTACCTATTCTAGCTGGGCAATACAAGCACCACGTTCTACCAGAGTCGCCGCCGACAAGGTTCTTGGCGGGACGATCGATCTCACTTGACTGCTTACCCGCAGCACCCTGGCTACCCGGAATAGTATCCACTCAGGAACACTGACGTTGGGTCCGGCAGCATCACATGTGTCGGGTAACAAGTAGGCTCAATCCAGCGGGTGAAGTGCGTGCGCATGGGTAAATCGGTCACTTGTGGACGGCTCGGATAGTCAGGTAGGTATGCAAAATATAGAAACGTACAGGAAATTGGCGGGAAATATAAGCGCTTACTCCGACTACAAGAACAACATGTGTCGTCCCGGGCGCCTGAACACGATTCGGACCCCGGAGTTACATGTGATGGCATGCTATTGACGATCTCTTGTTGTCGTGTCCCTATTCCGGATAGTTTGCATGAAAGAAAATGCTTTTAATGCTCCGTTCCCCGGTGACTCGGATCAGGATAGATCTCTATAGTACCAACTACACAAACATAGGTACCAATGCTGTCGATCCAGGAGACATGCTGGGCTCGGTTAGAATGGCCCAGAGGCACTTTGATGTCCAAGTATTGGAGATATCACTTGAACAATGGCTCCAGATTGCCCTGCGTCAGAACGTTACCCTGTGTCGATATCGTCAACCCAAAGTATTCATTACAGATCTCTTGGCCTGTCTACAACATGCCATTTAGCCGTAGCTTAACAGCCGACGACGATCGCAATCGTCCTTTGCTGGACCAGAACTGGGCACTCAGGGAGAAGCTCCCCATTCGATGACATCAGAAATTATATTGTTTTGCAATGAAGATCCAATGGCAAGAACCGGGTTTCCCCCGTTCCCAAAGCGTTTGCTCAGCCGCCCTGTTCTATCCCTGGTGCGACCCTTCTCTTGAGAATCAAAACTCGATGGTAATGCACAGCCCAAAGTGGAATTGTCTCACCTTTAGGCGTGATCAGTCGTCATTGAGCCCCTCAATTTGCAGGCCCACCCTCCCTGTAAGAGCCGGCATCCTGGATACGTCTCCACCCCCCTTTCACCCCCTGGAGGCCGGGTATTTCCCTTTCGGGAAGTCGTGGAGCATCGGTCCCCTTTCTCCCAGGGCCCCTCAGGCACTCATAGTAGGTAAACTAACTACATTCCACAATGCGACTTTGACATCAGCCACCGGCAAAATTCAATATAGTCCGGCCCCCCATATTGCCGTAAACCCATCCGAGCCGCCCCTGAAATCTTCCAGAAGACGTGCCCTAGGGCCGCCGCGTCGTCACTGGCGCAGTGCCCAGACACAAGGAAAATGGACGCTGGCTACCAAAAAGCTTGTATGCTTGGGGAATCAGGACACAAATGGAACGCAAGAAAAATCACCACTTTTGGACATGTTCTCCACGGCTTATGGATGGAGAGGCTCTCTAGCGTGTGTTCCCTTGAAATGCGATTGGCCTTATGTCGTCCACGACGTACACCAGGTGCGACCCCCAAAGAATCCCCAGCTTAGGTATGTACTGTACCTAGGTAGTTACCTACCTAGGTACCTAATTGAGGTCAATATCGAGGATGGTGGCGCTGTGGGGTACCCCCCCCCCTTCGTCCCCCTATGCTGAGGAGTCCCCGCCGGGAGTAACCACGGGTTGCCGCTCGGCGGCAGTTCAGGATTGATTGACCTGGAAACCCTTCAAATTACTGGAAAAAAGGAGAATTAATCTATGAGTAGTCGTTGTGAGCCAGCCAAGGTAGCCAAGGAGTCCGTATAAAAGCCCAGGCGGTTCCCCGTAGTGGCCAAGCCAGGCCAAGCACGCAGCCAAGCTAGAAGCCAAGTAAAAGCAGCCAAATCAAGCTCACGATCAATCGTCTCGTCTATTCCACCATGGTGACCTTCACATCTCTCCTCGCCGGCGTCTCTGCCGTGGCTGGCGTCTCCGCCGTCGCGCTCCCGGACATCCCCAGCCTGCACGAGAAGCTGGTCGAGGGGCGGTCGACCGCGACCTCGCCCGGCACCGGCACTAACAACGGCTACTTCTACTCCTTCTGGACCGACGGGCAGGGCTCGGTCAATTACAACAACGGCGCGGGCGGCTCGTACGACGTGACCTGGAACAACGTAGGCAACTTCGTGGCCGGCAAGGGCTGGAACCCGGGGAGCCCCCACACCGTTGTGTACAACGGCACGTGGAACGGTGCCAACGTCAACAGCTACCTCTCGCTCTACGGCTGGACCAAGAACCCGCTCATCGAGTACTACATCGTCGAGTCGTTTGGCACGTACAACCCGTCCAGCGGCACGTCCAAGAAGGGCTCCGTGACCACCGACGACGGCACCTACGACATCTACCAGACCCAGCGCGTCAACCAGCCGTCCATCGAGGGCACCTCCACCTTCAACCAGTTCTGGTCTGTCCGCCAGCAGAAGCGCGTCGGCGGCACCATCAACATCCAGAACCACTTTGACGCGTGGGCCAAGGCCGGCATGAAGCTCGGCAGCCACGACTACCAAATCCTCGCCACGGAGGGTTACCAGAGCAGTGGCTCCGCCAAGATCACCGTCGGCGCGGCCTAGACCACTCGCTACCCGCTTCCAGCAGCATGCTGCCGGGGAACCATGCAGCTAGCATCAGCTTGGCAATGGCAATAGCAATGGCAAGGGGAAGGCAATGGCAAGGGCAAGGGGTGTGCGGCGAGTGACAGCCGGGCTGGCTGGGCACTTTCGGGGCAATCTCGAACTTCTTCATGCAAGATGAGCTTGATTTCTACGCTAGCCCCCACGAAGCACGGGGGTTGTAAATACGCATGTAGTGTACAGATTAGTACAGGTAGTCGCTACCAGCGACTTATCCAACAAGCAAGCATTCAAGCATTCCGTCACATTTCCGTGACCTGGAGTACCACCAAAACACTGGACATACATTTCAAGTTGATGTGGTCGGGAAACAACATGCCAGAAGTCATACAAGCTGCATGTCTATTACTATTGCTATTGCTATTGCTATTGCTGTCCATTGCTATCGCTATTGCTCTCCATTGCTATTGCTATTGCTGTCTATTGCTATTGCTGTTTCTATCTATCGCTCTTGCTGTCACTCCTATCACTCTTGCCGTTTCTTTCCATCACTCTTGCTATTACTGTCTATTTCTACTGCTATTTTTGTCCATTGCTATTGCCGTTTCAGTCCATCGCTATTGCCGTCGCTAAGAATAGCAATAGTAACAACGATGACAATAGTGACAGCGATGCAGCTGCTGCCAACTTAGGTACCAACTGCCCGCAGAGCAAATGGCGCATGCCCGCAGAGAAATTCCCTAAGCCCATAAGATAGGTATTCTAAGTGGTTCCCTAGCAGCTTGGTATGAACAAAATAAGAAGACAAACACAAGGAATGTGATCAGGGCCAGCTAATCAGCTGTCTGTAAAAGAGTGATCACGCTTGTACCATCTGCTCTCTGAGCATTTCTCTGGCCAACAGTGTCACAGAACATTTCATGTAACAAAACAAGCAACTAGGAATCTGGCATTCAATCCACAGCTTGAGTCATTGGGTCCAAGGTATTTTATCACACCTCCCGGACTGCAGGGTCCACGAAATCACCACTCTTGCAGGGCCACGAAACTGACGTGCCAGAAATGCCTAGAGCAAGTCTGATGCATTTCTTCTCTAGCAACCATCGTCAAACAACAAGAACAACAGAAAGAAAGGTGCTGTGGGCTAAAAATTATCTCTTATGTGCCTTCCATGCTTCGTAAAAAACTCAACAACTCTTCCAATCACAACACGCGCCACCCTGCTGTGTCACAGAACTTGAGATGGGAAGGCTCTCTGTCGCATTTTTTACTTTCTTTTTTTACTTCTTTACGGTTTTTTTTTTTTTTTTTTTTTTAGGGGGGGATATGGGGGGGGTTTCGGCCGACGAGTCAATCTTAGGTTCTTCTTGTGCACGCCCTCTTTCAGGATAGGTTATCACCACCCAGAACGGCCCGTCCTCGGCCGTGGCCGGGAAGATATACCCCCGGTGCGAAGCGACTAGAGAACCACACAATGGGCATCTCCCTGCCATGCTAACTGAGCATAAAGATTCACCAGGCCATTCTCGACCAGGCCTACGACGGGATAACCGTAGTCAGCGTGTAACAGCCCCCCCTCGACCATATTCCAGGGCGAGAAGCGCGACAAGCCCTTCAACTGGCAGCGCCCGATGGCGCGGGTCGACGAAAACATCAGCAACAACAACAACCTATACGTCCAGTGCTTCCCGGGGTACGACCACGTCGATCATCAACAAACTCCCTCGGCATCCGGCGCCGGCCGAGAGAGCCACCCCCGACCGCCACAGGGACGACCTGACAAACAGCTGCTGTTTGTTGACAGTTGGACGGAACAGAGCCGATGGTCGAAAATATTATTGAACCCGAGAAGAGGGGACGTCCCCGAGGTAACGCGCCCCGAAACCATGACGGCGCCCGCTACCCCCTATCCCCCCCATCCTCGGTCAAAGTTGGCAGTTCCTCGGCGAATGCAGTGAATGTGAGGTGGTGAGCAGGCACGGGGAGCCTGCCAGAGTAAATATAGGAGTGAGATCAGGCCGACTTAAGCTTGAGTTATGTGAAGCCTAACGCTGTCAAGCTTATTATTCATCTTACACTGCTGTGCCCCTTTCCCAAGATTGCAGTCCTGCCACTGATCCCATACAAAAAAAAGTTCCCTTTGAACAACCGCTAAAGACCCTCGATCCTTCTCTTCTGTATCGTTCTCCGAACCGCCTCACTTCCTTAGCCTATCTGTCTTCGGTTTGTGATGGCCCCTGCAACTGGTCCAACGCACCCGAAGTTACTGGAGCCAACTGCAGAGGATCAGGTTGAGTAGAAGCCTCAGTCGGAGCGGCGGGTTGCGATCGGCGAGGCTGCGATCGCCGGGGGTTCGATCGGCGAGGCTGTGATGGCCGGGGGTTCGATGGCCGGGGGTTCGATCGTCGGGGCTGTGATCTACGGGGCTGTGATCCACGGGGCTGTGAGCCACGGGCCTGCGATCCACGGGCCTGCGCTCGGCTGGGCTGCGATTGACTCGAGGATGCCGTGGTTTGATCACGACTGGAGGATGCCGCGGTAATATTGACATTGAGAAATGTCGCTGCGGTTGGAGGTTGACTGAAAGAGGAATTGAGAACTGGCATGCTTCCACTGTGACTGGACAACACTGAGTTGGCATTGAGGAAGGGGTAGGGATTGGGCGCGGGCATGTTTCCAGTGTGACTAGATTGATTAGAGAACACGGTAGTGCGATGGGGACCGTCCAAGGGGTTGTGGAGCGGCGGCATATAACGTGGTTCCACGGGGCCTCGAGGAAGAATGGGAGCAAGGGGCGGCCCACTCGTCGTATTCGCCGACGACGAAGCTTCAGAAGGCGGATCCATCGCCGAATATATTGGTCAAAAGTGCGTGCAAAAGCAGGTAAATGGGAGTATGTTGGTGTAAGAAGGGAAAATAAACACGCGTAGGGCAGGTAGGGCAGGTAGGATGCGTAGGATGCCAACCTAGGTAGGGCAGGTACGTAGGAGGATTAAAAGCAACAGCTTCCACGTGGTAGACTCGATAGATGTTCATTGACTCACGATACTAGACAACTTGGTAGAAGATACATTGCTTCGTCGAAAACATAAACATGCGTAAAAGGAGGTATCATCCAGCCGTGGTGAACCCAATCGCCCCCTGCCGCCGCCCAGCGAGCCGCGCCTTGAACTCCTCGGGCTCGACCTTCCCAACCATGTTCCCCTTCCCATCGCTTTGCTTCTCCAGCATCCTCATCGCATGCCCTGCCCTCGCATCACCGCGCGCCCTCGCCTCCACCCCGGCCGCAACCCGGTCCCGCACCCGCAGATCCGCCCACTCGTCGCGGAGCCGCAAGCCCCTGGCGCCGTGCTCCTCCGCGCCCAGCTCCCTCGTCAGCGCCACCTTGGCCGCATATCCGTGCTCCAGCCGCCTCACATCCACGCCGTTCATGGCCGCCGCATGGTCCGCCGCCAGCCTGTTCATCCGCGCCTCCATCCGCGCCTTGTCCTCGCCCTCCTCGGCATGGCGGCGCGCCCGCTGCTGACCCCGTGCCTCCTCGTGCACCAGCTCTTGCGCCACCGACACGTCCCGCACCTGCAGCGCCAGTGCCTCCAGCTCGCTCCGCTCCTCTATCAGCAGCCCGTGCAGGCGGCGGCGGTGCCCGACCTCGCCCTCACGCGTCTCGACTGTCATGCCCTCGCGGTCCCGGTGGTGGCTCCAGTTGATCCGCGACTGCGTCCCGGCCTCGCTGAGCAGCACGTGCGCGCGGTGGTGGTGCTTCTCCGCGTCCAGACGCACCTCCTGCGTGTGCTCCTGCCCGCGGTACCGAAGCGCCGTCGAGTGCTGCGCCTCGGCCAGCCGCGCCCGGTGGTCCGCCTGCTCGGCCTCGCGGCGGAGCGCCGCCTGATGCAGCTCCTCCTCGAGCTGTAGCTGGAGGTGTCGGGCCCGTCGCTCGCGCTCCATGTCCTGGATCTGCGGGGGGAGGCCGACCGCATCGGCGGGCTGGAATTGGTCGCCCGTCGTGTAATACTTATCTGCCGCTCCGTGGTTGCGAAGCAGCTCGAGGAGCGCCGTGGAGTCGGGGCCCTGGTCCATCTTCTTTGAGATGTACATGGTTGGCGAGTAGTGGTATGACGCTTCCTGGAAGACGTTCGCCTCGTCGTTGATGGTCTTCCAGAGTATCTTCTCGAGGAGCAGCGCGGTGATTGGCCTCGGGTCAGGATTCTCCAGTGCCAGGAAGATTATGGACTTGCCGTAGACTTGGCTGAGTGGGTCAGCCCCGGCATCCTTGAGGGCGTCCAACGCGTCTTCTGCCGTGGAAATGTCGCCGGGAAAGCGTCCTTTCAGCGCCATCTCGGCAAGGGCAGTACGACCCCCGTGCTTGGTCGACCTGTAGTTAGGTTCGTGACCAGCCTCGATCAGCGACTCCACCACCGCCACGTGGAATCCTCGAGAGGCCTCATGGAGGCTCCCGTCGTTCGCCTTGGGTTTGCTTCCCAGGAGAAGCCGTACAATCTCGATGTCTCCAGACCTGGACGCGTAGAACAGAGGAGATCTCCCGAGAACATCCTTCGCCGAAGGCTTTGCTCCAGAATTGAGCAACACTTCGACGACATCTGTTCGACCGTACTTGGCGGCAAGAGTGAGGGGCGTCACTCGTGTCTGAGGTGTCGCATACGTGATGTTTGCTGACAAAAATTAGCAGAGGACAAGAGGTTTCTCCGCGGGCAGGGGCAATTGGGTATTCGGGCAGGGGTATTCAGCTATTCGGGCAGGGGAATTCAACTGTTAGGGCAGGGCATTTTGCAAGCCGTCGCTATCATTATTGCTAAAGCACTCTTGCTGTCGCCGTCTCCGTTGCTGTTGCCACTGCCATTGCCGTCGCTGTCTTTTGTTGGCCCGGAACCCCTGCCTGAATAGCCAAATGCCCCTTGCCCGCAGAGACAAGCTCGAGAACAATAGCATAAATCGTAGCTGCACCCACCTCGGTTCGCAATTAATGCGGTCACAACATTGGAACTGATCTTGTCGTCCGGTTGAAGCAGTGCCCACATGAGCACCGAGACTGGCTCCTCCTTGAAGTCCGTCGCCGCCATCGACCCTGTATCGGTTTTGCCCTCGTCTGCGTAAACCCGGCGCGTAACAGTAGTCTCCAGATCACAGCCGATCGCCACAAGGCGCTCGACAAGATCCGTCGAGTCGTAGTAGCTGTTGAGGCAGAGAAAGACAGGGGCTGGCATTCCGGGAAGGGGAGTGTTGACGTCTGGAACGGTCGTGCCGTCTTCCATGAAGACGTCGATAAGCTCGAGGAGGCAGTGCTCCTTATGGTGCGCCAGAATGGCCGCCGAGAAGGCGAATGATGCCGTCTCCACCGTGGCTGCCTGTCCGAGCAAGCGTCGGAGCATTTGCGTATCGCCTCTGCCAGCAGCAAGTCCGGCCGATTTGCCATTTTCCGAGTTGACGTCTGCGCCAGCTGCAAGAAGAATGTCCAGGAACTGTCCGGAAAACTGGGCCTGCGGATTGTTTCCTGCAAGGTGGCTGACGACTTCGACCAATGCCCTGTCGACCACGTCGCCGGAAGCGCCGTGGCTGACGAGCAGGTGTATCAGGTCGAGGTGCTCGGCCGAGATCCACCCTGTCCCGTCGTTGAGGACATCGGCGAACGCGGCAGTGTAGATGCTTTCGTCAAAACCCGAAAAGTCGGAAAGGACCAAGATCGCGTCGATGTCGAGGTTGCGAGCGACGTGCCTTATGCAGATGCCCTCTTCAAAAGTGACATTCGCACCAGCATGTAGGAGAGACTTGACCAATTCCAGGTCCGGATGCGACTCCGTGCAAACTTCCTTGAATGCCCAGTTGAGATGGTCCATATCAAGGTATCGAAGCAGCGCAGCCACTACAGGCGGTCTGTCTGGCTTGGGAAGACGCAGTGCCTCGGCGACTGCTGTTCCGAGGGTCTTGTAGTTCGGATTTCGGGCGAGAAAGAGCTCCAAAGTCTTGAGGTCCTGGCTCCGTATCGCACATGCCAACGCTTCACCAGCATTGTAGTCGACTGATGCCCGACCGAGCAACAGCCCCACGAGATGGCCGTTCTTGGGACCCTCTCTCACCGCCTCGACTAGGCTCCGGTTGACAGCATCATCTGGGACCTTGTTGCGCAGGAGCATTTGCACAAAGGCCTGTTTCTCTTGCTGATCTTGCAGAGACATTGCCAGCGGTAGTGCCGCTCCAACCGAGTCCGGAGACGGGCTCTTGGAGATGATTTGCCAGGCCAGGTCCATGGACGATGCCCTCACCGCATGCTGTAGAGCTTCTCCGCGGCCGTAGTCGACGTCAGCCTTGCCTTCGTTGAGGAGTAGATTGAAGAGTTGCTTATCCACCTCTTGTGTCTGCTCAGTCGGGCGGTGCTGGTCTCGAGTGATCATCTGAACCGTAACAACGAACGCGCTTGCCACCGCGTCACCCTTTGCGCCGTTTGATATCAAGACCCTGACGGTTTCGTAGCGAGAGGTGCTCTCATCCAACTTCATTGCTTGCGTGACTGCCGCGGCCAGGCTTAACGGCGACGGGTTGAGCTTGACGAGCTTGTTGAGGACGTTGGTCTGCTTGGTTTTGATCGCCTCCAGTATCGCCAGGGTCTCGAACTCATGCGAAGGTTTTGAAAATTTGAGGATGGTGTCCAGAAGCTGCACCTGCCACCTCCTCACAACTTCTACCAATCCCTTGGTAAATAGCCGCGTGGTCTCCTGTCCCCGAGCACCAGCCGACAGGCACATCTCGATCATCTCTTTCCCCTCCTTTGTATCCTTCCCTCCCATCCCCATGTACGCCTTGCCAACAGCGGCATCCAGGGAGTGCGTCGATGCGGGGACGGGCCCGGAGATGAGCAGGGCCACAAAGTCGGGTCGAGGCGCCTCCACGGCCTTCAACAGGGCGATGGCGTGGTCGTGGTTGACGTCGGCGCCGCTATTCAGAAGCATTCTCATGGCGTCTAAAGATTGGTTCTTGACGGCGAGTCGCAGCCCGGAGGACCGGCAAGCCAGAGCAGGCTGCTTCGGCCCGGCAAGTAGGACTTCCATAAGATTCAGCTCGTTGCGGAAGACAAGGTTCTCGAAATCGTCGCCGAGTTCGGTCGGGTCTGCGCCACGCACCAGCAGAGCCCTCAAGACGGCCGGGTCGGCCTTGACTATGGCGTGGTGGAGCACCCCGTCCAGGTTGGCCTGGTCTGCATGCTTGGCAAGTGCTTGGACGACGTCCGCAGGACAGTGTATAACGGCTCGAAGGAGAAGGTCGTTCCGTTTGGGCTGTTGATCCTTTCGGCGGATGACCTTCCAGACGTTGGAGCTCTTCTGGCGGGAGAAGTTGACGTCGGGCCCAAAGCTGAGGAGGGCGCTCACCAAGCCGGCGGGCCCACCTCGGTCGACGACCTGGCTCAAACAATGGTTGACTTCCTTGTATGCAAACACTCCTTCGGTGGGCTTGCGAGAAAGGCGGGATGATGTCCTCTCTCCTGCCTGGGCGTCCCTGTGTTCCTGCAAGAGACGTATGGCTTGGTCTTTGTAGTAGTCCATTTCACCTGTTGGGATAAATAGCTATGGTACTGGACACCGGAAGGTTGACCAGCGCAAATGGCAGCAGCTGGCGCTCATGGGGTATTTGACAGCTCCTGGGGCTGCCAACAAAGCGCACCAGAGTCTACTCTTGCCATCATCCTCGGATATGCATCTGTGACACCCCAATGGGAGCACCGCCTGTCTTCCCAGCTGCAGGAAGCATCGATCGCTTCATCGGCGGCGGCATCGCAGGACTGGAAGTGGAAGCACAGCAGAGGTCAGGGGTTTGGCTGAGACGGCGAAATGATCCATTGTGCCAACCTGCTACCAACGTGCATTTCAGCAGGGCGAGTGGCTGACCAATGCTGGTCGCTGGCCCCGTGAGGAAACTCCTTCAGACCCGACAGTCTGGGCCGACAGAGCCAGATTCAGGGTGGGCGCTGTCTCAGTGTGGGGATAAACCCCGCCAAGGTGCTTGCTAGTCAAATCATTTGCCGCCGGGCTGAACAGAGAGGTAACATCTAAGCGCCGCCGCCAGAAAATATACCAGGGGTTTCCTTCCAGTAGTCTAATCCATACAACCCATGCCTTAGATCCCATTCTTCTCTGAACTTTGTTCCTGAGACATGGAGCCCTGCTGGGATTTCCTGATCTGCACACACGCTGGTCCCACCCTGGACTAACCGTGGCATGCTCACCTGCCATGATCTGTCAAGTGGAATTGCCAAAAAATAGATGGGTGTTCTTGGGATAAATACCTAAGAATCTAATGTATTACTTTTTGTGCAGGGGTACTGTGCTTCTGACAACACAGGTATCTCTGCCTGCCTCTGATCCACCAACCCCAAACCTCTCGCCAGTGTGAACCACTGGCAACATCGCAAAACCCGGCATCTTCTCACGCTCCAATTTTGAATCCAACGTCGAACTTGAACCACACCGTCTTCCAGTCGGCACCAAGGCCGCGTGCTTTTGGAAGAGTCTTGAAGGGGGACATCCCAGGATTAGTGTCAAGGCTTCGTTCCCTGATCCTTGGATTCCTTCTCTCCGGATACTCTCCAAACGGCATATCTGACAGTTGTCGTCAGGCCAATCTCCATTTTGGAGTCTTAGCTTGTGCTACGCAGGCCCCTCCCAGTAGCAAAAAGCGACGCCACGACGGCCACGACGGCCACGGCGGTCGACGCGGCGAACGAGTACCGTAGCCCGTCGAAGTACACGAGGCGGGCCTTGAGCTGGAGCTCGGGGTCTAGATCCTTGAGGGCGGAGACCGAGTGTCGGATCTCGTCGATCACCTAGCATGGTCAGATGCGGTCAGTTCGTTTCTCCTGTAGGCACACCCGGATAGAATGGCCAACCAACCAACCGCGTTACGAAAACAAAAGACGGCAAGAAAAGGGGCGTACTCTCCATTTATCAGGTATCTCACCCAGGGCGTCCGGAAGACGGACGCTCAATGTAGTCTGCACAATAGCCGAAGTGGCTGCAACCCCCCACACGGTTCCTAGAGATCTAATCAGATAGACGGTTGAGGCGCATACGGCGTGATCTTTACGGTAGAAACGAGTTAGTCACGGATTCACCAGTAGCCATTAAGTAAAGCCCCCTGAAGATAAAGTGAAACTGACCCGCATGCTCAAATGTAGCCAGAGAAGTGAACAGAATCCCTGGGTACACGATACCCTGTCCCAGGTTCGCGGGGAAGATGTAGACGAAGTACTTCCAATTGGAGTCGACGAAGCCCAACGAGGTGACGAGGAGATTCCCGACAACCATCAGGAGGGCCCCCGCGCGCACTAAGGGGATAAGTCTTCCCCAGCGGGACATCACGATGCCCGCCACCAGGCCTCCCAAGGGCGTGGCAAGAGACGGGATCGCGAGCCGTGCTCCGGCTTTCGTTGCCGAGTCCATCAGCACCACCTGGAAGAATAGCGGGAGGTTGAAAAGATACTGTGTGCAGCGCATATCAGCATGGTGCCTTGCTAAGAAAAAGAATGTGGCCACTGTCACGTCTCGGTTCGCTTCTTACCGCGTATGCCGATAATCCCACACACACATTGGCCATCTGGACCGAGATAGGCAGTCTCCCCCGCAGCATGCGCAGCGGAATGACGGGAATGGCCTTAGTCCTTGCCTCCACGCGCAGGAAGAGCGCCAGGAGCAGGACACTCCCGACCAGCGAACCGACGACCCAGGGACTACCCCACGGCAGCTCGTTGCCGCCAAGACTCAGCCCAACGAGCTGGATGGAGATGGCCACAACGAGAAGGAATGCGCCGGTGAAGTCGACCTTGGACCAGGCCGACTTGAGGTCGCGGCCAGACCCAGCGATGATGCCTTGGGGATCCTTGATCACGAGGGCCCCGGTGAGCAGCGCGAGGACGGAGATGGGGACCTGCAGGAGGAAGCACCACCGCCAGCCGATGGTGTCGGCGACGGAGCCCCCGAACGAGGCCCCGCAGATGGCGCCGAAGCCGAACATGCCGTTCTGCAGCGCCTGGTACATGCCGCGCTTGCGGAACGGGATCATGTCCGAGTTGACGACCGTGGCTTTGCAAAGCGGATACGAGTCAGCCTAAGACGGTGCAGGTTGGGGGGGCATAAATAACATACCCATGGTCATCAGTCCGCCCCCGCCAAAGCCGGTCAGGGCGCGCATGCAGTTCAGCAGGATGATATCCCTTGCGAGGGCGCAGCCCAGGCAGCCGAGCGCAAAGGTGATGGTCGATATAAAGAAGCAGACGCGCCTGCCGAAGATGTCGGAGACGCGGCCGTACAGCGGCTGGAAGGCGGTGCTGGTGACGAGGTACGACGTCGTCAGCCACGAGGCCGTGTTGGCAGCGTCGAACTCGGAGCTGATGACCGCATACGTCGCCGCCGTCACCGTCCCGTCGAACCCGTACAGGAAGACATTGGACATGATGGCCAGCTGGATCCAGATGAAGCCGCGGGGCGGCGTCCATGTCTCCTCGTCGGGAGCCCGCAGGAGGGGCTGGTCTTCCCTGGACTGCCCTTCGTCATGGCGGTCCCTTATATGCCCGTTCTGGATACTTGGAGGGCTCGTGCTACCTTCTACGTCGGTAGCCATCGGCGCTAGAGTCTCGAACCTCTCTGTTGGGTCGTTGCTGTGCCCTGCTGTACCTTGCTGTGACTCTTGCTTGGAACTTATCCTCGAGCAGTTGCAAAGTTGTGGCAGCAGACTCTCGATCCCCTCGCGTCTATTTGTCCAAATGAGTAATTCAGGTGTTGATTCGTGCTCCTTGCTCGTTGCTATCTTGAAAGGGTGGGTTTCAGTGAAGCTATTCATGCCGTGAAAATTCTGATCCACCTACCAAGCTAAAGTCCAACCCTAACCCCTGACACAAAATACCAACCAAGTTCGTCCACAACAATTCCACCAGCAGGATTCTGTATCACGCAAGCCTGGATCTCTGGAGATGATTGATCCGTTCTGACTCATTCGGCAACTAGGGCTTTAGCGTGGCCCTATCCGTGCCTATCGGAGCCAAGTCGGAGGCAGCGGTAACCCTTCTCCACCGCATCTCCCACCCCGAGACCCTTGGCAATGCATGATGACGAACGGGATCTCCAGCGGCATGGGGCCGGTCGCGGCCAATATTGTGCGGAGAGGGCGTTACGTGCTTTTGGATCGATATCACGAAGTTTCCATAGACTATAAATATCATTGCGCTTGGTGAAGCCTGGAACGACCCCCCTGAATTCCTTGTCACTCACATCAACGAGAAGCATTTCAAACGCACACAATTGGGTCAAACTCGGCAATACTAGGTGGAATCATTACAGAAAGGCCTCTCTTCAAGGGTGATTGCTTAACCAAAGGTGAATGTACCTATCGGAAAAAACGATGGGGAAGCTATTCTCTGACGCACCTAGCTCATTATTCCCGCCATGAAGGGTCTGATCTGGAAGATCATTGCGGCCTCCTCGCTACTCCATATCGGAGCTGCGGATTGGCAATTCAAGTCGCGGCCCGACCTCGCCCCGCCACGTCTCAACATTACCATTCCCGCCACCGGGGACGTGGAAAAGGGGTTTCTGTTCTTGGCCCCCTTTGCTGGACTGGTCGATACGCCGACCGAGCAGCACGGGCCCCGCCAGGCTGGTCCCTACATATTCAGGGACAACGGCGATCTCGTCTGGTCGGGATACGGCATCTACAGTATCTGGTCCACCAATTTCCAGGCCGGCCGCTGGAAGGGCAAGGATGTGCTCTTCAGTTTCGAGGGCGACCATAATCCCGGCTATGGCCACGGCCATGGGCACATCACCTTCATGGACCAGCATTACGAGACGATTCGCGAGCTCCGGGCTGGCAACCACAAGTTGGTGGACAAGCACGAGTTCCACATTGTCAATGAGGAGACCGGCTTGATCCAGATTTATCAGCCCGTCCCGCGCAATCTGACTGCCTGGGGGGCAAGCGAAGAACAGCAGTGGATCGTCAATGCTATTATTCAAGGTGGGAGACTGATCTGTTTCGACGGTTAGCCACTCTTCTCGCTGACAGGGATTTTTGACAGAGCTCGACATTGAAACCGGTAAGGTGCTTTTCGAATGGGCCAGTCTTGATCATGTCGATCCTGATGGTAAGTTGGGCACCTCTACCCTCCCCCAAACGGACTGAGGAGTCTGACATCCCCCAGAATCCGTCCTCCCCATCAACCCTGGCCAGGCCGGGTCCGGGTACAACAGCTCCGACGCGTGGGACTACTTCCACATCAACAGCGTCGACAAGGACGGTGAGGGCAACTACCTGATCTCGGCGCGGGACGCCTGCGCGGTGCACAAGATCAACGGCACCGACGGCAGCATCATCTGGCGGCTGAACGGCAAGCGGAGCGACTTCCAGCTGGGCGACGGCGCCGCCTTCTGCTTCCAGCACCACGCCCGCTGGTTGCCGCACGCCGAGGGTCCCGACGTCGAGCTGATCAGTCTGTACGACAACTCGGCCCACGGCACCGAGCATGGTGGCGGCCACGAGGTGCACACCGCCCCCGCCAGCAGCGGCAAGGTGCTGCGCCTCAACGCGACCGCTGGCACCGCCGAGCTGGTGCAGGCCTACCGCCCGCCCGACGGTCTTCTGTCCAAGAGCCAGGGATCCACGCAGGTCCTTCCCGGCGGCAACGTCGTCGTCGGCTGGGGTTCTGAGGGCGCCGTCACCGAGTTCGCGCCGGACGGCACGGCCATCTTTCACGCCTACATGGACTCGGGCGCCCTCGGCGTCGGCGTGCAGAACTACCGTGCCTTCAAGTACAACTGGACGGGGCTGCCGAACGAGGACCCCGCCATCGTAGCGCTCGCCGGCGAAGAGGGTACGACTGTCTACGTCAGCTGGAACGGCGACACCGAGACCACGGCGTGGAGGTTCTACCGCGTCGTCGACGGGTTCGGCTCGCGGGAGTTCCTGGGCGAGGTGGAGCGCGTCAGCTTCGAGACGTCGCTCTTCGTCGCCGGGAAGTCAGTCGCAAAGGTATCTGCGGACGCCGTTGACGGCCGCGGCAGGACTCTCCGTACCACTGCGTCTGTCGAGGTTGAGCCAGAGGTGCTACCTGCACGGAAGGGTAAATCCGGGGGTGGCCAGTTCGAGTACGGGAATGCCGAGAAAGTCCTCGAAAAGCCCGCCAGCCGCTGGGAGGAATACGGTATCTTCAAGCTCATGCGTGTTCCCCCGCAGGACCTTTGAAGGCACAGTTCAGCACCGGACGACTCCACCACGGAGGGCATTGATGCGAGAAAGGTTGAAGTATTCGAAAATTTGGGTTGGGAGCTGCCGTTGCATCCCCGTCCACTCGTTTATCTGTCGCTTCTTCCCCTCCCCGTTTGGGTTCCCTTCCAATTCATGTCAGCCTCATCTACCAGTCATTACCTACATATAAAAAAAAAAGTAAAGAGCCAAAAGGAGAGAAGTCAAAGTTAGGTAGCTACATAGCTAGGGTTATATTCTCATCCAGAGCTCAAATTTGGCCAGTGTTAGTTAGCACTCTAAATAGTTCAATCAAGAATCGAGGCAAATCCATGGTATCACGGATTAGTCACCATCCAACCCATGTCCAGCGCACGGTCCATGCTCCTCACTCCCAGCCTGCCTGCCACTCCCAAGGCCAATCTTTCCCCACTCACCGATAAGATAAAAAAATTTGAGGGACCACCACTTTCTCATTGCTCGCAGTTCTCCCAAGATCAATCCTGCCCGCGATTTGGTAACAGCCGCAGCAATGGATTCCAGCCTCAGCAAAAAGCGTAAGCTCAAGGACGTCGACGTCGGCGACGCCACGGCACCGGTCGTATCCAAGAAACCCAAAGACGACGAAACCCAACCGCTTTCCGACGATGACGGTGAAGGCGACTCGGACCTTGAAACCGGCAATGTTGCAGCCCAGGATGCCCCCATCCTGCCTCCCGCGGCCGAGTCGCAAGCGTTTGAACATCTCAATCTCTCGGAGAAGACCATGAAGGCAATCAAGGACATGGAGTTTACGCAGATGACGGAGATCCAACGCAGGGTTCGTCTAGATGACTCCAAGGCAGACCTGACTGTGAGGCCACTGCTAACTCCCGACATCACAGGCCATACCGCCACTTCTGGCGGGGAAGGATGTGCTGGGCAAAGCAAAGACAGGCTCGGGGAAAACATTAGCATTTCTTATTCCGGGTACGTACAAACGACTCCTTGTTGGAGACCAGCGAGGGCCAAGGCTTGCGACCCGTCGACTCTAGTTCCCTTCATACTGCTCATTGCAAGCGTTGGCTGACTTGCCGGATTCAATAGCAATCGAGACGCTCAGCTCGTTGCGCTTCAAGCCCAGGAATGGCACTGGAGTCATTGTCGTCTGCCCAACCCGTGAGCTGGCCCTCCAGCTTTTCAGCGTGGCTCGCGACTTGATGAAGTACCATTCGCAAACAAGCGGTATCGTGATGGGTGGGGCGAACAGGAGGGCCGAGGTGGAAAAGTTGACCAAGGGCGTCAATTTGTTGGTCGCGACACCCGGCAGGCTACTCGATCATCTGCAGAATACCCCCCAGTTTGTCTTCAAGAACCTCAGATCCTTGATCATCGATGAGGCGGATCGGATATTGGAGATTGGTTTCGAGGACGAAATAAGGCAGATTGTCAAGGTTCTTCCGACGGAAAGGCAGACGATGCTTTTCTCTGCGACACAGACGACGAAGGTCGAAGATCTCGCAAGGATCTCCTTGCAACCAAACCCTCTCTTCATAGCCGTCGACGATACGGCGCAGTACAGCACGGTGGAGGGGCTCGAGCAAGGATACGTCATCTGCGAAGCAGACAAGCGGTTCCTCCTGCTCTTCTCCTTCCTGAAGAAGATGCGGCAAAAGAAAAAGGTCATTGTCTTCTTCAGCAGCTGCAACTCGGTCAAGTACTACGCCGAGCTGCTCAACTACATCGATCTCCAGGTCCTGGATCTTCACGGCAAGCAGAAGCAACAGAAGAGAACAAACACCTTCTTCGAGTTCTGCAATGCTGAAAAGGGCACTTTGATCTGCACTGATGTTGCCGCCCGTGGCCTAGATGTAAGTCACCCAGACGACTGTCAGCTGGCTGGTTGCCTTGTACTGACCAGCCTCGATTCAGATCCCAACTGTTGATTTCATCGTGCAATTTGATCCCCCCGATGACCCTCGTGACTACCTCCACCGTGTCGGTCGGACAGCAAGGGGTAGCAATGGCAAAGGTCGGAGTTTGATGTTCCTTCAGGTATGTGATTCTCGGTTACAGTCCGTGTCGTGGGACGACCCCTAGAGATCTCGAGAGAGATGCTAACGTTGGAATTCAACAGCCCAGTGAAGTTGGCTTCCTCGGCCATCTCAAATCTGCCCGCGTACCCATCGTCGAGTACGACTTCCCCTCGAACAAGGTCATGAACGTACAGTCTCAGCTTGAGAAGCTCATCAAGAGCAATTACTACCTCGCACAAAGCGCCAAGGATGCGTACAGATCGTATCTCCATGCGTACGCCAGCCACAGCCTGCGATCCGTCTTCGACGTGCACAAGCTCGACCTGGCCAAGGTCGCAAAGAGCTTCGGCTTCACCACGCCGCCGCGCGTCGACATCACCCTGGCTGCCGGGCTGAGCCGGGACAAGGTCCAGGGCAGGCGACCATACGGAAGCCAGAACCCCAATAGGGGCGGGAAGCGAGGGAAATTCTAGATGCTTTCTTTGGTTGGCGGCGTGTGGATCAAGGGGAAAATTGCGGCTAGCTTCACGAATTATGCGAGACAAGCTGCCGGAACTGTTGACGCCGTTTGATGGCAACGAGTCCAATCGCTGGACTTCCCCTCTTGTTCCCTCTGGGTCTCATTTAACTTTGTCCCTTATTATACCGGGCTGTTTACTCTGAAGATCATGGTCCACGCCCTGTTTGTCGTATTGAATCGTTCACTGCTGTCTTCAAATCCACACTCGGAGATTCGGGATCTGGCTTACAACTATTATTGCTCGGAATTCACATGGCATTTCAAATATTTGGTCTGACGCAAAGGTAAATTCTATTCGGGAGTCTTGATCAGATTTGCTGTGTAGATGGTGAATTTTACCTACCGCCGGCTTCCAAGGCGGCACTTCTTGTCTCAGTCTCACTCACTCTCACTCTCACCCCCTTTCACACTGATACAGACCTCTCCATTCTGTGCACAGTTATTCAGTCCGGGCTATGCAATCAAAGTTCAGCAGGCCTGCCTTAGAGAGTGAGCATCATCAGATGGACCAGAATCATAGTTACGACAACGATCCCGGCCGCCCGGTGGCGACCGGCAAGCGAGAACCCTTCAGGCCAGTGATTGCCGGGCACGAACGTGTCGGAGCCCGAACCGCCCCCGCTGCTCTCGGAGGGGTCTGACCCGGGGCTGAGGGAGCCCCCTACACTTGCAGAGCTCCCGGGGCCGGCGGAGAAGGTGTCACCAGATGAGCTTCCGGGCGAGTCGGCCGTGGTGCCGGAGCTGCCGGAGCTTCCAGAGCTGGTGGTCTCGCATGAGCCAATCGCAGGCACTGCACCAGGGTCGTTCACGTCGACGTCAGGACCAGGATTGGGGTACAGCAAGTTAGCGGACTGCGGCGTCTGGCAGCCGTTCCCGATGTTGACCTCGAAGATGCCCGGGCGGCTCCCGAAGGGTACCCCGCCGGTGGGGACGGCGCCGGAGCCGCGGGCCAGCTTGACGACGGCGCAGTTCATGTACATCTCCCTGTTGCCGACCTTGTTCTGCCACGTCCAGGCGAACAGGGCCGAGTCGGAGGGGGGCGCGTCGGCGGGGACGCGGAAGGAGAAGCTGGACTCGGAGCCCGACGGACAACCGCCGATGTAGCTGTGCATCACGGTGAAGGTCTTGCCGTTGTCGTGGGAGAGGGACGCCTGGCAGGAGCCGCCGTTGTGCGGGGCCCCGCCCGTGATGGTCATGTTGTAAGTCTCTCCGGCTATCCAAGAGGCTACGGGGGTGGCCTTGGACGTCCTCAGGAGATCCAAACTTCCATGGCAGGGGAAGTCGGAACCGGAGCTTGAGAGTGGATTCGTCAGGGAGTAGTCGACGTCATCCCCCGAGTAAGGGTTGCTCTTATAACGGAGAGCTGGTGGGTAGGACATCTGCATGTGTCCGGAGGAATTGGCGATGATGAGAAACAGGACGAGATTCTGGAGGGATAGCATGATGGATGAGATGGCTACACCTTAGTTAGGGTGTTGAGGTTATGAAGACATGAGAAACTCTATTCCACAGAGGCAAGGACGGTAGGTATTTATGCGTTTCCTATAGACCCTTTCCCCAAACCCAATCAGTTCACAATAGCATTGCCTCTGAACAAGATGGAGATCCAGCTTGAAGCATTTTGTATAAACTGGTTGAGCTGAGATATAATCAGTTGTTGTCGCCCGAGAACAAAGCATAAATGCACACAAAGGATGATACATCCGTTTCTATCAAATTGAACCACTACATTGTCTTCCCTATAAGCTTGAACAATATCACTGTTATAGCAACAAAGCAGAGTGGCAGCAATGCTTCTGCCGCCAGGAACAGTCTCGAATCCAGGGGCATCGCCAAGTAGTCTCACCTCTGGAGTTGCGCAATAGTCAAATTGAGTTGCTCCTGCCAATCAACTTGAGTAAGAGCAAGGGCAATACTCAACAAACCAGAATCCTTCTCCTCACTTGTAGAACATTCTCTCACGTACAACTCTCAGGTCTAACGAGACCAGTCTCCAATTCTCGAACTTGCGAGAGATGTTATTGACGGCTTGCAAAAAAAGGAAGCAGCCCCTTTATATTACGATTGTCTCCTTAATCATGCGGTGCTTTATTGGCCTCATTTCCATGTTAGTGGTTGGACATGTCGGTATTTTAAGCTTTGGGCCCCTGCTACTTTATGTGCTATTAAGTCTAAACGAGACCAACGACTTTCCGTATGAAGTTGAAGCATCAATTTGTTTGCATACGAATCACACTGATTTCCAGTTTTTTTCTAGGGTTAGCTTAGCTGACTCTCTTTTAAGTTCCCCCCCCTTATTCTTAGTATTGAAGAGGAGGAGAGTTCAATTTGGTATCAGATGTTTACCATATATTTAGCAAAATAGAATCCTCACAACTCTCCTCTTACTTCAGTCACTTTCATCTCCCAAAAGAATTTGAAAAGAGAAGGTGAGAAGAGGGATACCTTATATGATAAAGAAAATAATTTGTTCAGTTCTCAATTCAGTGGGCGACATCAAATTCATAGGACAAACCAAGATCAACACAGCACAGACCATCTGTTCGCCAAGGATGAAGATTTGTGCCACACCCGTGGCCCACTTCGCTTTCTTCAAGCATGTGACAAAGCATGTGACAAAAGAAAATCATTTGGACCAACCAAACGTAACAAAGCACATAATTACCACCCAGAGACAAATATTTAACGCCACATTTTGCTGCGCCACACTTCTCCTCCACGCAACACGTGACAAACACGGGACCAAACGCACTGCTCTCCCCCGGCACGTGACCTCCAAAGAACCAGACGCACGGACCATCCCCCCCTTTGCTTTGTTGCAGCCATGGATAACCCATCTCAATATGTCCCACAAGGACGGCATACTGATCTTCTGCCCTTCATTGCTCCAGAGGAACGTGCCCAAACTGAGGCCCGTCAGCTAGAGGAGAAAGGATCCTCCTCCAGTGGCGATTACGATTGGCAGGTCATATGCGATACTAACGGAAGTTCTGACTCTGCTGTCACTCAAGCCACGGGCACTCTAGTCGACATTGCTAGCAGTTACAACAGTGAGGTTGCTCCTGATAGCCTGACTTCGTCGTTCATCACCGATTTTGCAGGACTAAGCGTCTCGGACGACCTTGTTGCTCCATCTGAGGCTGAGTTTATTGCTCAGTCCGAAGACGGCCTCGCTACTCCTCAATCTGAGTTGGACGTCGTTGCTGCTCCTACTGAATCTGAGTCGGACATCTTCGCCGGGTTTACTCAAGTTGAGTTAGACCTCATTGCCATTTATGCTCAACCCACTCCGGACCTCATTTTTACGTTCGACGACATTCCCGAGATTCCCCGTCAGCTTTGCTCTCGGTTCAAGGTTGAGGAGCCAGCCAGTACCCCTCTCAAGCGCAAGGTCAAGGAGACAGCTGAGACAGCCGACGCAATGTCCGACATCGATGCCACCAGCGCCACCTCGGCTGCCGGCGATCAGGCCAATCCCGCCGCTGCTTTGGGTGACAAGAACACCGTTGGCCTTAAGAAGGTCAAGAAGCAGAAAGTCCTCCTCATGGGCAAGAGTGGCTCTGGAAAGTCCAGTATGCGAAGCATCATCTTCAGCAACTATCTAGCTAGAGACACCCGCCGACTGTGAGTTCGATCCCCCCTTTTCGCTTCGTTTCGTTAGAACCTTTCCCATACCTCGTTCTTCTTTCCCTCAGCTTCGATACACGTCTTCTTGGCTTCCGTCGAGGACCGTTTCGGGATGGAAACTGACCTACTCTAGGGGCGCGACCATTGACATTGACCTCTCTCACGTCAAGTTCCTGGGCAATCTGACGCTCAACCTCTGGGACTGCGGTGGCCAGGAGGCCTTCATGGAGAACTATCTCTCCCAGCAGCGTGCGCACGTCTTCTCCAATGTCGGCGTGCTCATCTACGTCTTTGACATTGAGAGCCGCGACGTGGACCGCGACCTCGCCACCTACGTTAACATCGCCAGCGCGCTGTTCCAGTATTCGCGGGAGGCCAAGGTCTTTGTCCTCCTCCACAAGATGGATCTCATCCAGCCAAGCACCCGCGAGGCCGTCTTCGACAACCGGGTCACTGTCATCCGCAAGAAGACGGCCGAGGCCATAGCGATCGTGCGCAAACAGAAGCCCGACATGGCGGCCGGGGCTTCGGCCCTCGCGGCCGTCGACCTCGAGATGCAGGCCTTCGCCACCAGCATCTGGGACCAGTCCCTGTACAAGGCCTGGGCCTCCATCATCCACGACCTGGTCCCGAACCTCTCGCTCATTGAGCAGCAGCTCGCTAGCCTCGGCGTGGCCATCGACGCCGAGGAGATCCTCCTATTCGAACGCACATCGTTCCTCGTCGTCTCCAAGTGGTCCTCCACCGAGGGGGAGCGCAACCCCTTCGGCGACCGCTTCGAGCGCCTCTCCAACATCCTCAAGTCGTGGAAGCACACGTGCTCAAAGTTCACCGGCACCCCGCGCAACGCCGAGCAGTTCACCGACTTTGAGTACAAGGCCGGCGCCAACTTCGCCCTCTTCATCACAAAGTTCACCACAAACACCTACATCCTCGTCTGCATGCCCCCCGGCGAGGCCCGCTTCAACAGTGCGAAGCTCAACGTCTCCATCGCCCGCTCCTGGTTCCGCTTCCTCGACGGGCCACCCACCGCCACTGTCGCCGCGAGTCCCGCCTCCTCCGGCAATTCGCAGCAAATTGCTGCTGGTGCTGCTGCCGGCGCTTCAGGCGCTGCTGCTGACTACAACGCCGCCGGCCCGTCCTCGGAAGCTTGATTTGACTTGATCCCCTTATCCGCGGCCGCCCGGCCCCCAGTCCGACGATCTTGTCTTTCTAAGATCGCGGTTACGACGTTGATGACTTCTGGGTTCCATAGTTCTTTTTTTAACAACCAAATAAGGGCATCATGCGGGGAAAAAAAATCGGGATCGGGTTTGCATCGTTTGGGAGGTTTTCCATCACCGGGTCATGATACCTAAACATGGAGCAAGGCGTTTTTTTCTTTTTTTTTTGCTAATATCATAGGTAGTTCACCATGGGTCTTCAGTTAGGATGGCCCCAAATGGGTCTCGGGCCAAATAAAGGGACATCTGCATAATTCTACTCTTTTAATTCATTCGTCCATGGACGGATCGTAATAGCTCCTTCGTTGCCAGTAAGCCAATGCTCCTGTTTCCCGGAAACCCCTAGGAAACCCAAAAACAGACAAATATCTGAATGCCATGGCTTACATGTGTTGGGGAAATACCGAAGGCGGCTCATGTCGTCAGTTAAGGAAGCTCACGCAACATCTCCTCCCTATACTGAGCCCATGCCGATCCCAGGGGATCCTAAGCCCACTTAACCACGGCCGTCCCGCCCTTCTTAAACTCGGGCATCTCCCCGAGCACAAGGCTTTTGTCAGTGTGTTCCTTGTTGGGGAAGGTAGTAGCCAGGACCCAGGGTCGCGATTTCGTAGCGGAGGAGGTACGCTGGACGTATTGATACACATCGTCAACGGTGTTTGTCGTGTTGAACCGTGCCGGCAGTCTCGTGCCATCGGGCATCTGGATTCGGAGCATGAGGGTGGGCTGCGACTCATCAACGCCCGTCCAAGGTTGTTCGTTTGATCCGCTAGCAGGTGCCGCTGCTGAAGTTGGGGCGGGGGCGGGTGCGGTGTTTCCATCACCAGGCACCGGGCTCCCAAGTCGGCGTCCCTCACCACCGAAGGGACGATACACCCGAGGCAAACGGCGGTAGTCCTCTTGATGTTGTTGAAGCTTGACGTCAACTGGCTGATCATAACTGACATTCATGAGGTGGAGTGGAGCCCGCCCCTGCCGAATCAGTTCCAAGTCGGCCGCATTCTCAGGATCGTCAAATCGGTGGAGCTCGCCATCGTCGATGCTGAAGCCGTCGGCCCAAAGATGTAGAACCCGCTCCTGAGGCGCGGCATCGTTACGCGCTGTGGGGATTGGGTTGCCAAAGGGATCGGGGATTATCTGGCTCTCGACGCCATCGCCTCCGAGAGTCTGGCCCGATCCGCGGAAGCGAGAACTCGAAGGGCCGGCAGGGGCGGCGGGCTCGTTACCGGGTCGCTTGACGTTGGCGTTGCTAGTATGATATCTGCAATTAGCGCTTGCTGGAGGGTAAGGCTTCACTGGAGGACATACGCCTTCGCCTTGGAAATGATGTCGTCGATCAGCTTCTTCGGGTCAGAAGATCCCCGGGCTGGATCCTGCACTGCCAAACCCGACTTCTCGCCTCCTGCAAAAAGATCACGAGGGCGACGCCCCTCATCATCGTCGTCGTCGTCGTCTTCGTCTTCATCGTGATCATGACTGCTTCCCAGCGAACTCAAAGTAGCAAGGCCCGTTTTCTTCTTCGGCCTCTTCGGGGCGGAGCTGGAGGAGGAAGAAGCATATTGGGGTGCTGGTCGGCCGTCAAGAGTTCGGGGTCCGGTATATGCAGGCTCGACGGTGGGTTGGGAAGTAGGCACTGAGGAGGCGGCCCCTGCCCCTTCCGCCTCGTCCTGATCGGCGAAGAGTGCGGCAGCAGCATTGTCGATATTCCATCCACTGGCGGCCAGATACTCTTCTGCCTGCATCCGAGATAGCCAGTCAGCACGGCAAGATCATTGACATAAGCAGTAAAGGTATTGTGCTGCAGCGGTGGCTCACCTGCTGTGCCGAAACACCGGTTAAGTCGCAGAGACTGCTGACGAGATAGTCATGGTCATCCTGATCAGACATCTTGTAAGGCTATTGTGGTGTGGAGGAGAGGAATAGGTGAGGGTAAGTGAAGAAATAAGAGGATAATCCCTCTCCGTGATGAAAAAGACAGGGCGACGTGACTAAAATCCAGATCTGTTGACCCAAAATTCAATGATAAGTTGTGGTCTCGCTGGTGTTCGGGCAGCTTCACAGCTAGCTTGTTGGTGTGACGTTTGCTGGGAGCAACCTGGAATGGCCCCGCCACCAAGCAACCTACTTAGGTACCTGGCTGGCAGCTGCCCCTCCAATTACGTAAGCAGCTCTTCTACCAAGGAGCAGGTCCGTAGGGTAGTTTCCCCACAATTTCCAAGGCTCAGAAGCCCGCGGATTTTCCGACCCTCTTTTTGATGGAGCCTACGTCCCGTGTTCGGAAGCTGTGCCTCACTGCCAACCTCAGCTTCAACAATAACACAGGGAGGCCCGGACTTTCCACTTTGTCAACCTACACAATGTCGGAGGAGGAGCAAGCAAACCCCATGGCCGAGTCCGGCGTCACAATTCCGTCCGACAGCGAGCAGTACTCTGGGGCCGAAGACCTGTCGATGTCACCCCCTTCCTCCTCTTCCCCGCCACTCATTCTCTACCAACCGCCGACTATCTGGGGCCTACTCCGAGGTGCCGCCATAAACCTCTTCCTCCCATTTATCAACGGCATGATGCTCGGTTTTGGCGAGCTTTTTGCTCACGAGGCGGCGTACAGGCTTGGATGGGGAGGCACGAGGGTACGTTCAACCCAAGTGACACAGTCGTCTCTGGAACACTGCTCAGACAAACGCGCTCTCCCACGCGAACACACTACGTTTTCAACATGCGGTAAACAAGTGACACTGCTGACTTGGAACTAGGTATTCCCGGCGTCGAGGCGCCGAGCACATGCTATCGGTCCTGGAATCGAAGTTGTGGAGAAGTCAAGTCAAAGGTCAGAGCTGGAACATCTGACAAGCTTGGAGTGATGGGAATAACAGGGATACACACCTACCAGAAGTGATGGACTCCTGTTAGGGGTTCTGTATTAGCCGGCGTTTTCGCATGGATTGTGTTTCCATCACCAACCTTCCACCGAGTATGTGAGGGAGATCCGAGCTAGACTTGCCGGGACATGTCTGCAGTGATCAGAGCCGCATATGTCCCAAACGTACTGAGCTGCCGAATCTGTGCCGAATCTGCAGAAATGATGGCTCAGATAAAGGCGAAATACGACTTCTTAGACTGGGCGGGGACTTGGATATAGGCTACTGAGGTTATGCGCGTCAAGTGCGACAATCGAGCATGTACTGTACAAAAGTGCCATGGAGTCATCTGTCTGTTTCAAGGGCTTTATTCCGTAGTGAGCTCGCATATGTTTCCTCTCTGTGTTCTTCCCCAGTCTCCCTGTCTTCTTGGCTCCAGCCTCGATCATGGGGAGGGGACCCGACTCTTGCCGGACCGGAACCAGCTGGCAGCCTTCTAAACCTGATTCGCTGGGCACCAGGACCCACCTGGAGACGGGCAAAAAATCACCTACAATCTAATCGCCAGAAAAAGTCTCGACTTCTTTTTGCGAGACAGTGATCGGCTGCCAAAACGATCATGCTTCCCAGCAGAGGCCTTCTACGGGCGGTGCCTGCCCCAGGGCTTGCCAAAAGGGTAAAGCATACTCAACAGCAGTGATTGATGACTTGGTTAACCCGGGTTACAGGCATTCCCAAGCACGAGGACAGGCTTCTATGCCCTGCAAGGGGGACGAGTCAACGCGCCGAGACAATTCGGAACGAGCCTCCAGAGGACTGGGATTGTGCCCAGGAGCACGGGAGGATATGACTCACTAAAAACCAGGCGCATAGGTGGATCTATAGCCGTCACCGGGGTCCTGTCTTCCCGTCAACCCTTTTTCCGGCCCCAACAAGCACGATATGCCTCGACCGAGCCCTCCCCGGCGGCGGATGTCGCCGCCGCCGCGGCTAGTGACGGCACCACGATAGACCTGGTCTCTACCCCGATTAGCATCACTGGCAGCGACCTTTTGGACATGCCCGAACAGATCGGCTACCTCCAAGCCATTGGCCTCGACTTCGGCTGGGGTCCAACCGCGGTGATGCAATGGCTTCTCGAGCACGTCTATATCTACAGCGGCATGCCCTGGTGGGCATCTATTACCGCGGTGGCGGTTCTCATCCGTCTCGCCATCTTCAAGCCCTCGCTGACGGCGGCGAACCATTCGCACAAGATGCAGGAGCTGCGCAAGAACCCCCGGTTCGCCGACGCTATGCGCCGGATGCAGGAGGCGGCAATGTCGACGGGGGACAAGACCGAAATGATGGCCGCGCGGACGGAGACGAGAAATATGCAGCTCGCAGCCGGCGTACAGACATGGCGGGCATTTGTCCCCATGGTCAATATCCCGATTGCGATCGGCATGTTGAGGCTGCTTCGCGCCATGGCAGCGCTCCCAGTACCGAGCTTGGAGACCGGCGGAGTGTTGTGGTTCTCTGACTTGACGGTCCCGGATCCATTTTTCATCTTGCCTATTGCCAGCAGCTCCTTGCTGTATTTTGTCATGAAGGTAAACCAGCGTCCCCTGCCACGGCTCTCGCGACGAGGAATATCCTGCTGACCACCCCGTGCTCCGTTCGCCCATGACAGATGAGCACCCCATATATGGCGCCGCAACAAGCGAAGATCATGAACATGGTAGCAATCGTCTTTGCTCCTTTGTCCCTGTTCGTCACCATTTATTTCCCAGCTGGCCTGCAGTGGTTCTTCCTCATGACTGGCGGGCTTCAATACCTTCAGACATGGGTGTTCTACCAGCCCTGGCTTCGTCGTTGGGCGAAACTGCCCGTCCTGGAGCTCAAGGGGGCCGCCACGCCCGTCGCACCGCAGACCAGCCCGTTCTCGGCAAAGAGCGCGAACTGGCAGGCACCGAGGACCATCACAACCACGGCCAGCCCGGCCAAGCCGGAGAGCAACATCATGTCCAGCCTGAAGGGTGGTATGGAGACCTTCCGCGAGAAGCTCGATAACCACCAAGCGAAAACGAGGAAGAAGAGCGAGAATACGCAGGCGGAGATGTACGAGAAAAGGCGAAGACTGGAGGAGGAGGCAAAGTTATCGGCCCGGCGAGAGGAGGCGATAAGGAAGAGGCAGTCGCGCCCTTGAGTGACAAGCGTCCATCTTCCATCCGATGCTTGATACCCATGTACTGCCTGGAAGCTAGATGCCCAGAGACGGGTGCAAGCCGATTGGCAGTCCAGACTCCAGAACCTGGAAACTGAGGTGTATGTACCATACTTGTAAGAGATATATACTGATCAGTGTAGGTAGTCCTTGTAGCATAGACTTGAAAAAGATATGAACTCTCCAATGGAGCGCTGCCCAGCTATGCCCAGCAATGCCCAGTCGCGATCGATTAATTGGCCTGGATTTCCTAAACCTCGCGTGTCCTCTGTCTATCACTAAGCATATCCATCATTGCTGCAGATTGTTGCAAGAACGCTACAGACCTCGAAGCACCTTTCAACACCAGAGGGGCTTGGCATTGTGGAAAGAATCAAGAGCTGGGTAAGGCCGAGGCTGAGAGTCTTAACACTAACAAAAGGAGATACATCGATTATATACTTGGGTCTGGATCACCACGTACGGGGGGGAAGCTACGATATTCACTTCGAATTGAAGCTTCATCATCAACATCAAGAAGACATATCAGCACCAAGTTCTGACCAGACCACATTCTCGGCCACGCATCCTCAGATGAGCACAGGCGAAGAGACCGAGGTCTTGTTGGATCTGCCCGTTTACGGCTTCTTAATTGCCAGCGCCTTGTTTCTTTCCCTGGCCGGCAACTACCTCTTGACATTCTGGCTGGTTGGCAGATCCCACATCAAGCTGGTGATGGACAGCAAAAGGGAGGACTAAGAAATGAAAGGTTGTTCTTGCTCCAGAAACGGAAAGGAATGGTCTGTCGATCGATCGTGGCGCAGCGCAGCATAAGCTTCTTCTTATCCATCCCCGCCTTTTTAAACGTCATGTTGTCTCAACTGTAGCTGCAAATGCGCGCGGCACAGCAGTTGTCCATCGATCCCACAATACTCCTCTCGAATTACACCTGCACATCTTACCTGTGAACCAGCCAACTCTTATCCATCTAGAACTCATCTTCCTCGACTGTCAATTGCACTTGGACTTGACCAGTGCCATCGCCCATCTAGCCAAGGACGAACGACATTCACCAGATTGTCCCGTGGCCAGAAAGGTCACACCCAGCCGTGCCATGGCGTCCAGCGAGAACCAGTACGCTGCCAGCATCCAAGGTGGTGACCGCACGGCCAGGCGGTTCTTCGCCCACTCCGACGCCCAGCGGGTGTCCACAGACGCCGTCATCGCCAAGTCCCTGACGCGGCAGTACCCGGACCTCGAGCTCGTCATCGCGCCGCAGTACTCCAGCAACCTGCTCGGGTACGCCGCCGCCGGCCACGCCAGCTACACGCTGCTCGGCGACGACTGCCGTAGCGGCAGCCACGGCGGCGGCCCCGGCCCCGGCCCCGGCGGCAGCGATCTCCCGTCGTCGCTGCGGTGGACGTCCTACGTGCCGCCGGCGCGGCGCATCGACGGCGACGCCGGGTACCTGGCGGAGACGGTCGTGTTCGGCCGGTTCCTGTACCGGTGGCGGTCGCGCGAGTTCGTCGTGTACCTGGTCGACGGGCGGGACGGGGCGATGGCGGTCCCGCGCGTCGACAACTTCTACGTGCTCGCGCCCGAGAGGGCGCAGGCCGAAGCTCTGGTCGCGGCGGCGGGGCGGTGGTCGGCCGAGCTGCACGGCGAGGTCTGGGTGTTTGATAGTGGGATGTGGCAGAAGAGCGCGGAGCTGTACCGGAGCATCCAGGGCGCCGAGTGGGAGAATGTAATCCTGGATGAGGAGATGAAGAAGGCCATTATCGAGGATCATCTGTCCTTCTTTGGCTCCAGGGATAGGTATACCCGCCTCAAGGTGCCGTGGAAGCGGGGCGTCATCTATTACGGCCCGCCGGGGAATGGGAAGACCATCTCGATCAAGGCCATGATGCATATGCTGTATTCCCGCAAGCCGGAGATCCCGACCTTGTATGTCCGGACGTTGACATCGGTGGGTTTCCCTTGTTCGGACGCTGCTCCCTTTTTCTGAGCGACATATACTGATGAGTACAACAGTTCTTCGGCCCAGAGTATTCCATCCAGCAGATCTTTGCCAAGGCGAGGCAATTCGCGCCTTGCTACCTCGTCTTTGAAGACCTCGACACCGTCGTATCCGACAATGTGAGGAGCTACTTCCTCAATGAGGTTGACGGGCTCAAGAGTAACGACGGCATCTTCATGATCGGGAGCACCAACCACCTGGACCGACTAGACCCTGGGATCTCGGTGAGTCTTCGCCCCTGCTATTGCTAGATAGACACAAGTTCCAAACCCACTCGCCCTCAAATCACCCATGCCTCCCCACCCTCAGATCGTCCCTGCCTCCCCACCCTTCCAAGCAGGCAATCAAAGCCTCCTAACAAACCACAGAAACGCCCCTCCCGCTTCGACAGGAAGTACTACTTCCCAGACCCAGACCGGCCCCAGCGCGAGGCGTACTGCCGCTTCTGGCAGCGCAAGCTGGCCGGCAGTGGCGGCGGCGACGGCGGCGAAGACGGGGTCGAGTTCCCGGACGAGCTGATCCCCGCCGTCGCGGGGATCACGCACGGCTTCAGCTTCGCGTACATGCAGGAGGCCTTCGTCGCGGCCCTGCTGGCCATTGCGCGCCGGACACCGCGCGAGGAAGAGGGGGGGGAGGGGGAGGAGGACCTCTGCGATGGCTGGGTTGGCGTGCGGGCTGATGGGGGCGGTGATTTGGAGGGGCTGGTGTTGTGGGTGGAGATCAAGAAGCAGGTCGCGATTCTTCGTGAGGGGATGGAGGAGGGTAAATGAGTGGGATGGCCTTTTGTTTGCGAACCTTTAAAGGGTCTCTGATGGTATGTGTCTCGATTATCTAGGCTCTGGTTGCTGGCTCCGGCGTTTCTATGTATCTCGGCCGGGAGGCCATCCGGCACGTTTGTATGCTTGGAATCTCAACAAGAGGACGGCCAATCCCGCTTCAGTCACTGATAACCAAAGGTTACAACAGTCATTTTCTACGGAAGTCATAATTTTTGCTTGGAGAGAAACAACAGTGGTTCTCCCCGTGGTTCGAATAACTACCCAACTGCCCATCGTAGACTGTTATACAGTGGCTACCATGGATGTTACTCCTCGACACGCAGGCATTTGCGGATAGATTCGGCCTCCACCAACACCGATGCATCATGCCATGCAGCTCAACACCAGTTTTCTCCATCCTCTGACTCTAGGGACTACAACCCGATCGAACAGTCCACGCTCCTTTCACGTCCCAGCCTAAGCGCGAACCGAAACCTCCCCACCATTAACGGTCGCCAGGCCGGACCACTGAAGCTCCTTGGGAATGTGCGGCACGATGGTCGGGATCCAGACGGTGTCGTACAGGCTTGGCCCGCCGTCATCGGCCTTGCTGCCGGGCTCGAAGCTGCCGAGCTTGTTCGAGTCGGTGCAGCACGGGCTTGCGGATCCCCAGAAAGGTCCTGCGAGAAAGTTAGCTTACCCAGGGAACAGGGGTAGATAATCAGGGGAAGGTGGAGGGTAAGGGGGGGTGACTCACCGGCAGCCCAGGCAGTCCAGCCGAGGTATTCCGGGTTGTCCTCCATGTAGGTCAGCATGGTGTTGAGCATGTCGTGGCAACCGGTAGTGTTTGAGCCGCCAAACTCAGTGATGAAGGCCTTGAGGTTGTTTTCCTTAAGCCAAGCGGTCAGGGCCTGTAGGTTCTTGACTGGGTCCTGTGTGCAGGCCGTGTGCCCGCCGCTAAAGTCTTCGTCCAGGTACTCGTGGATGTCGATGGCGGTGTTCTTGAGCGGGTCAACCAGCTTCTGGAGCCAGTTGCTGCTCGCCTCGGCGCCGCCCTCAGTCCACGCGTGCCCGCCCGTCCAGCTGTTGCCGGGCGCGATGATCAAGTTCTTGGCCCCCGCGGCGCGGATCGCGTCCACGGCCGCCTGGTTGTTGGCCATCATGAGCGAGCTGGGCATGTCGTGCGGCTCGTTCATCAGCCCGAAGATGGTCTTCTCGTTGTCCGCGAACCGCTTCGCAAGCTCGCCCCAGAACTCGCCGAACTGCGCCGTCGTCGCCGCCGTCGGGTCGGACGTATCCCCGATCACGCTGCCCGACATGGGCTGCGACGAGGGGTCGTTGTATCGCATGTAGTTGTGCGGGTCGAGGATCACGTCTGGCAGGCAGGGGATGCCGAGTTAATACAATGACCGAGAGGCAAAAACAGTAGAGCAAGCTCAAAGCAGGCTCGAAGCCATGATGATGACTTACAAGCTCCCTTGGTCACCGAGATGTAATCCACGGCTTCCTTGAACTTGTCAAAGTGCGTCTCGTTGAACTTGCTGCCCAATCCATCGGCGAGGGGGCACATCCGCTCCAGCAAGAAGGCGACGCGGAATAGGTTGGCCTGGCGAAGCATGGATCAATATCTGGAACCCACGCCCATGTCAAGGGGAGCCCCTTTCTTTCAAGCCACTCACTTTGTGCTGGTCAACCATTACGTCGATGGCCTTCTCGTCGATGAACGCGTAGTCCTTGCCGAACGCGCCTGGCAGGCCCGTTCCTTTCACTCCATAGGCACCAAACTCGCCACTGGACTCGGCTACACCAGCATAGTAGATGGTGGCAGAAGCCCCCTGGAGGAGGGCAGCACAGAGTGCGGTGATGGAGAGCTTCATGACGGCAGAGGCGGAATGAGCTGGGAATCTAACGATTGGGTAGAAGGCGATCGGGATGGCCCTGGGGCACCGGCATCCAGGTCCTTGTCCATTCTTAAGTACCAGTCACGGCACTCACAACGCTCAAATCACGGAAACATGGCCCACTGAAAAGCTTGATTGGGACGGGAACCACGGGTTCGGCCTCATTGCCATCGTGGGCCAGGGGGCAGCTTGCCCCATGCTGCTATCTTAAACAGCCGTCGAATTGACGAGAAGGTACTCTGAGGAGGCGGCTCTGGCAAACGCCGACCCTTGCGTGGTGCAGTGCGTAAGCCATAGCCGTAATCTCTGGATATTGAGGCTGAAGAATGGCGGCTTTTGTGCAATGGATAGGGAAATAGATTGGCGCCTGTCGGCGGGATTTTCGGTGGGCGGAAGGGGGATCTCCGCCAAGCCGTTGAAGCCGTTGATTGTTTCAGTTTTGGTAAACAAATCTACCAAGGAGCATCTAGTCAGATCCCTCCGAGTCCGAGCTCTACTAAGATTATTTGTCCGATGGACATGGTCCTTGTATGTCAAGTGTTAAGGGTAAAGGTGGGCCACAGCGGTTCCGCCTTGCATCTTCCAGTGGTTGGTGATTGACAAGTCGGGCCGTATCATAAGTTTGCGTGCGGAATGGGTGGATTTCAGAGCTGCCGTGACGGTTGAAATGGCTATAGTTGCCCCCCTACCAGCTGGACAATCCACATCGCAATCCGAACCTTCAGTCCGACCCTTCTCTCGGTCCTGGCGAAGTCGTCACGAGTAACAGCCGTGGCGTGGTCCTGCAGCCAGCACTGCTCGTCACCCAGACGCTTCTTCAATCCCTCGTTCTCCGTCACTATCAACGCGTTCGCCTCGAGGTCGAGCGAATAGCTTCGCTTGGTGTAGTTCGAGCTCCCAACGAGACTGATGGCTGGGTTTGAAGCTCCTGGTAGCGTTACCCAGAGTCCCTTAGCGTGATACGTCCAGCCTCCGGGCTCACCCACTGTCCCCTTCCGCCATTCCTTGAGAACTGTGGACGTCTGATGCTTACTCCTATGCACTGCCTGCACGAAGCGTCGGGCCAGAAGAGTGTATGCATCCGGTAGGAGGCCAGAGACGCCCGGCGACTTGTAGAAGCCATTGGCAAATGGCGAAGCTGTGATGACGGTATTATTATGCGAAGCTGTTGACAAAAGGAGTTTGGTAAGAGACGGGTCTGGGTTGAAGTAGCCCGCGGTGAATATCCAGGACGAGTCGGCGTATTGGGGTAAGGAGAGGGTCTTGAGGACGTGTGTAATGGCGGGCAACTCTGTCGAGGTGTCTGGAGACAGCAGTTGCGAGAGCTGAGCAAGCATGTACACCGATGTGTCCGGCGCGTCTGATTTGTCTGTTACAGGAGGAGCACTTGATGCATGGTTTGTGGACAGAATCTTCCTGAGGAGAGTTGTCGACTTCGACACAAACTTCTTGGGGCTCTCCAGGGGTGATGGCGCCGCATTGGTTCCTGGCCACAACATGTCGAACCCACAAGGATCGTCCGACGGCCTGACGAGGAAGCTTAGTGAAGATACCGCGCCGTGGAGTCTCGCAAAGTAGTCCGTGATGTCCTTGGAAGAAAAGACATGGTACCGATCCTGCCTGTTCGTGAAATAATCGGTCGAGAGGTTTGCCCTGCACAGCTCTCTGTCAGATAAATTATCCGCAAGAAGACGTCTGTTACCCACCCAGAGAGTATTATTTCGTCATCAATGCCGTAGAGCTTCATGTGCTGCAACCCCCATCCCTCGTTTATCCTCTTGGGTACGTGTTTCTTCCTCAGCCCCGTCAGGTTAGGCGTATGGTACATTCGAATCTCGACGCGGTCGGGGCCAAACTCGGCGACCAATGGAGCCAGCAGCGACGCGCATGACGGCTCAGGGGCTTCTCGGGTGCCGCGCAGCGCATCTGTGAGGATGCTGAGCCTGAGTTCCGGCTTGCGACGTAGCGCATCTTGTAGGGTAGATATCTACAAGTTCTGTTAACACCCGAGTATCAACCCAGGCCACCGGGACACCGCTCACCAACTCCTTCTCGGTCTTTCCTATGTACAAGGTCGACAAGAAGATCCGCTTCTCTGCATGTCGTATCTTGTCCTTGAGGGTCTCGTAGAACTCCGCGGGGGTGCGAAGGATATTTATCTGTGACCCGTTGACCTTGAACGACGGCGCAATCTTGTCCAGCTCACCAAAAAAGGGCGCAAGCATGCCGGCGCTACTCAGCGAGCTAGATGGCGCGCCCTGAGCCGGCATCGAATAGGGTCGGCATTGTGGTCTCGCATATCGAAGACTGGCGCGAGATGTTGGGAGCCTGAGCTTGGTGGCGCATCTTGGGGCGCTCCGGACGAGCATAGCAGCCGACTACCAATGCCCGCAAATAACCCCAGGGCCTCCTACTAACACAATTGAAGAATTACAGAATTTATAGATCGAGTACAGATTACTGCGAGGATGCAAGGCTGAAAGATGAAGCTGCAGGGAAGCTAAAAAAATTAGAGCTCTCCTATTGGCTCCGGCATATCCCGGCTTCCACTCGCAGGGTGGATTCCTTGGACTTCACCCCACGACGACAAAGAGACGATTGACTGGATCTTCGAGCATCGTCGACACATCCTCGCGGCCAATTGGCACTCCTGCATTATGTCGTACATTTCAAGAACACTAGGCAATCTGCGGAAGATTGGCCTGAAGGTATGTCAACCCATTGCGCGTATTGTGGGAGGCGCGGACAGACTAACCAGAATAATCTTAGGAATACTGGCACCAAATCAACGTACGTCTCACGAACCCTGACAGGCCCCTGGTGGCGCAATAACAACGACTAACCACCGGCTGGATCTTCACAGTACATCGGTATGGGATGGTCGCACTCAATTGCTACGGTACAGCGGGTTATTAACGATACTCAGGCGATACCAAGGCCGGAACCCTGGTCGGCGTCGACAAGTTCGGCAACAAGTTCTACGAGAACAACGATGAGCTACCGCGTACGTCCCAACAACCCTCCCGACCACGACGGACACTCGCCCGACACTTCCCCTTCCTCTGACAATGCTGACCTCCGATGGATAGTCCGCACCCGATGGGTCGACTATGTGAAGCACGACTTCGATGCGTACGTCCAGTCCACACACCCCCCCAGCCCGAGCGCACCTCGCAGCGGCTGTTCCGTCTCCTATCCTTTCGGCTGACAGCAGACCAACACCCCTCCCCCCAAAACAGTTCGCACATAGAGCCCATGTGGCACATGTGGATCTCCTACGGCGTCGACCAGCCGCCGACGCAGGACCCGCTGACGGCGACGAACCGCTCGTGGGCCTCCCCGCGCCACATCCCGAACCCCACCTTCTCGCGCGGCGCCTTCAAGACGTACAGCACGTAAGTTTCCGGCGCCTCCTTTGTCCCCGGTTTCCCCCTCCGACCCCGTGAAACGGAAAAGGGGCGGGGGAGGGGGGAATGTCGGACGGCATATGCTGACTTCACGATCCACACAAACTAGGACCAAGCCCAAGATTTCGTCGTGGGAGCCGGTCGCGGCCCCGAGGCAATGAGTTTGCGTGTCAAGGGGGGAGGGAGGAGGAGCACCATGTATATAGGCTGATGGCGATTAATAGACTGCGCATTGGAGAGGAAGGCCACTTGCCGTCTAGTTCCAAGCTTGCCTGGGATTTCGTGAACCTGATTACAGGCCAAACTTTGGGTGATAATACTCAACAATTGTCTACGATACCAGTTGGCCTAGCCGAAACGTGCTACAAATATCCGTGGCTCAGGACTCTCCTGGCTAGGTTTGTGCAGAGTTGATGAATAGTCTATCGGCACTTTCATATGTAATCTGCTTTCCTGGTCTTGTAAGTCATTCTGTGGTTCGCGCAGGGGAAAATAGTAGAGGACTACAATGTGCTAATGTGCTAATTTGCTGTGCGAACATGCAGGAATGCCGTCGAGTTGGTAGACTCTTCCGGCGTTCTTGCCGAAGATAGGTATGTATTGAGCTATAGACATACTGCGCAGGTCGGTGGGTTTAAACAGAAAAACACAGAACACAGCAACTTCAACCAAACGCGATCGGTCCATCCTTCGTCTTCCTTTCGCATCAAGATATCAGGGCCAACAGAAATCGATATAACGAGACATAAATGCAGTGTACTAGAAATACTCTAGACAATGAACATATAAGAAAAAGTTAGGGATGCGAGGCCCGTGAGGTGGCCGGTCGTATCTAGAAGAACAAGGGGGCCAGAAAAGGAGAATCCGCCAGCAAATGCATGCAACAATGTTCTGCCGTCTAGATAAGCTGGATGGAATGCCGGAAGCCAGATCGAACATATATGTACTAGACACAGCTTTATGTATCCGCCGGAGACACCTCTAGTTCTAGACTCTAGACTCGATCGAGGCTTTGATTGCTATTAATGAGCCAGTTAGTCTCCGTAATCGGGAGGAGGGGAAGAAATTCCTGCAAAAGGGGTTCTCACCTTCAGTCGTCACCTTGGCATCTCCAAAGAGCATCCTCGTTCCAGGCATGTAGAACATGGGATTAGGCACGTCGGCTAGAGTCGTAGTCAGCTTAAGGTGCCCCATTCTCCAGCCAGTTAAAGGATAAACCCACCGTAGCCGCTGGCCAAGCCTCGCTTCATCACGATCACCTGTTTGCTCTTCCAAGCATGGAGAACCGGCATACCGGCGATGGCGCTGCCGGGTTCCAGGGCGATCGGATTGACGGTATCGTTTGCGCCAATGACCAGTGTGACATCTGTGTCGCCGAAGTCGTCGTTGATCTCGTCCATCTCCAGGACGATATCGTAGGGCACACTAGCCTCGGCCAACAGTACGTTGCATTGGCCGGGCATGCGGCCGGCGACGGGGTGGATCGCGAAGCGGACCTTGACCCCCTTGGAACGCAGCATCTGCGTGATCTCAGAGATGGCATACTGCGCTTTGGCAACCGCCATGCCGTAGCCAACAACGATGATGACAGATTCGGCGTTGGTGAGCGCTTCAGCCGTTTCGTCCACCGTAGTCTGTGTCACGCTGCCTTCTATCTTGTAGTCCGACGTTACTGGGCCAGCTATACCGCCGAAGAGGACGTTGACCAGGGAGCGGTTCATCGCGACACACATGATGTACGACAGGATGGAACCCGACACGCCGATGAGGGCTCCGACGGTCGTGAGCAGTGGATTGTCGAGCATGAGGCCTTCAGCCACCAACGCAAACCCGCTATAGGCGTTTAAGACCGTGATGACAACCGGCATATCAGCACCACCAATCGCGGCAGTTGTGGTATAGCCCTTGACAAACGAGAGGAACGCGTTAGCAGCGAGTGCGCCAGCAGCAATCATAGGTGAGGAGGGTGCCAAGGTCACGAAGGCTCCCATGGTAGCCACGTTTGTGGCCAGAAGCCCCGAGTTCAGGAGGTGGCGACCCGGGAGCATGAGAGGCTTCGATGACATCCTCCCAGCAAGCTTGAGGAAGGCCACAATGGAACCAGTGAATGTAATACCACCTGGGATCGAGTCAGCTTTCTGATTGAAGGAGTCACCAAGGGAGAAACATACCGATGAGTACGCCGAGATAGGCAGTAACAAGATGCAGGGTCGACACGTCGGGGAGGTCGGCCATCACACTGCCGATACTGGTCAAAACCGCAGCCAGACCGACGACAGAGTGCAGAGCAGCGACGGTCTGCGGCAGGTCCGTGGGGGTGATCCGCTTTCCAATCAAGAAACCAGCCAAACTGCCTAGAGCAGCCAGTCCACCAAATTGTACCGTCACTTCGGGAGAGAACCCGACGGCCAGCAAGGACGCCATGACGCCCGAGCTAACGCCAAGCATGCCCAACGTGTTGCCCATGCGAGCAGTGGCTTGGGAGGCCAAACTAGAGATAGAACTGATACAGAGCACCGAACTGACAAGGTAACCGGCTTGCACAAGGCCTGCCGCATCGCCCGACGCGGAGGCGAGGAAGCCTCCGCCAAAGAGAACAGCGGGAACCCCGTAGAGCCAGGGGTACTCGGGAGGATCGGTGGGTCGCCTGAACATATCCAGCATCCGCTTGGTGATGACGAATCCGCCAGTAATGTTGACAAAGGCCAGCAGGACCGAGGCCGCACCAAAGAGCTGTGGGATAGTCCCTGGCAGATATCCGCCGCCTAGGATGAAGAGGCCGCCGACACCGACCATTCCCGAGATGGCGTTGGTGACACTCATCAGGGGCGAGTGTAGGGCCGGCTGGACACCCCAGACGACACGATATCCAATAAGGGATGCAAGTGTGAAGGTAAAAGCGTTGCCCATGAAGAGGGGTCCGGTCATTTTGCCTAGAATCAGAGCGGTTCCCATACCTCCAGTCACAAGCGCGACTTCACGGGATGTCTTTTGGAACGGAGTCAGGGCGACCTCTGCCTCCTTCGCAGTCGGAGTAGCGGCAGCCGGGGCTGGCGGGGGTGCGGGACGGGGGGCAGGTGGGAGGATATTGCCATTGAGAGTCACAATTGAGCCTCGGACAACCTCGTCAGTCAGGTCGACGCCGAATTCCTTGTCCTTTGGCGTCAAGGAGAGCAAGAATTTGGTGATATTGTTCGAGTAGAGCGTCGAAGACTGCGTGGGAAGCCTCGATGGAAGGTCGGTATAGCCTGTGTTTGTTTACATTAACACACATGACGATGCTGAGCTTTCCTGCTAGTCTTCGCCGAACTCACCAATGATTTTGACATCTTTGTACGTGATCATCTTCCCTGGCTCGGTTTTCTCGCAATTGCCTCCGGCTTCAGCAGCAAGATCAACAATGACGGAGCCTGGCTTCATGATCTCGATCATGGATTTGGTTATGAGTTTCGGGGCCGGCTTTCCGGGGATCAGGGCGGTGGTGACAATGATGTCGACGTCGCGGGCTTGCTCAGTGAAGAGCTTCATTTCGGCTTCGATGAATTCCTTGGACATCTCCTTGGCATACCCGCCGACCCCTGAGCCGTCTTCTTTCAAGTCAACTTCGATAAACTCTGCGCCGAGAGACTGGACCTGCTCCCTGGCAGCGGGGCGAGTGTCAAAGCCCCTGACAATGGCGCCAAGCCTTCTAGCTGTGGCAATGGCGCTCAAGCCGGCGACACCAGCGCCGATAACCAAGACCTTACAAGGGGGGATCTTTCCGGCAGCGGTAACCTGGCCGGTGAAGAAACGGCCAAAGGTATTGGACGCCTCCAGGACGGCCTTGTAGCCAGCAATGTTGGCCATGCTGCTCAGAGCGTCGAAGACTTGGGCCCTCGAGATTCTGGGAACCATATCCATTGCGAACGAAGTCACCTTCCTTCCGGCGAGCTTCTCGACCAGGGGACGGTTCTGCGCCGGCTGCAGGAAACTGATGATGGTCTGCCCCTCCTTTGCGGCGTCCACTTCTGTGGCGCTGGGACCGCGCACCTTGAGGACGATGTCCGACTCGGCCCAGATGCTGCTGGCAGAGTCCACCAACGTTGCGCCGGCTTTCTCGTACCCCTCATCGGGAAAATCAGCCAGGGCACCGGCGCCGCGCTCCACCAACACGCGAGAGTAGCCCTTCTTGAGCAGCAGAGCGACGTTCTGGGGTGTCAGGGACACACGCCGTTCATCGGGGTAGGTCTCGCGGGGGGCGCCCACGGTCAGGTTCACGTATGGCGTCGTGGGCGGGACGGCAACGGTTGAATACGTCGCCGAGGCCGGCCGGCCAGCTGGCTGGGGCGGGATGGTGGACAGTACAGACGCATGGCGGACGAGCTGCAGCGATTGGGTCTTGGGGGGCGTAGGGGTGAGGGGGGACGAAGTCGCCGTGTGTGATTGCTTCTGGTGCCCGAGGGTGCTATGCCACGTGCGCGAGGAGCTTACGACAGGCCCGGGAGGAACACAAGTGTTACCTATGAGCGAAGGTTAGATTTCAACGACCTTGATTGGGGGGGCCACGGGCTCTGGAAGCAGCAGCAGCACCAGCAGCACCAGCAACAACAACAATAACAAATGGAAGTTCCCTACCGAGAAGGAGGGCTAACGACCGGCGGGAAAGCCGCTCGGCCGGACGGGAAGACGAGGCATGATGAGCCAGGGACGGGCGAAGTAGAGTCCATGCCATTATGGCAAGTTCAGGGCGCCGGCACTGTCAAGACAGTCAGACCAGCTGTGGTCACTTGTTCACATGCGAAGAGGTCGCTACTGAGGAGCAGGCGTTGAGGGTTTTGGAGAAGGAAAAAGAAAGTTCGCTATTCGGTCTGCTACTTCTCCATGACCTGCAACTGGATTGGCCTCGTGCGTGTTACAGAGGAGGGGGATCCTCTCTGCATGTACTGCGTAAGGGGGGGTAGGTGGCTGGTGGAAGGTGGGATGGGCGGCACGGGAAGGAGTTGGCAGTTCCATTTTTGTTTAACCCCGCCCTCGGCTTACCAGGTTCCTCCCCAAGACATGGTCAAAGCCACGGCTTTTCACGGCAGGGCAGTGTGAGTGTGGGGAGCAAGTGCGGAGTAATTCCAGGTTCTTTCACAGCTCAACGACAAAACAATGGAATCCTTCTCTTCTGGTTTTAATGCTCTTCTGGGTGTCGAATTGCCAATCTGAAGTCCTTTCTGACAAATTCCGACAGCGATCTCCTGCTCAAGATATGGAAGTTACAAGCTTTCTGGGAACGCATTGTAGGGGCTACTGCGTACCTGTAAGGCACCGGGCTATTATGTATGCATGTGTACTATAGGGGTACCGACCAACTACGTACAGTACTTACAGGGACCCCTTTTTATCCATCCATGGATACCGGATGGGACGAACGGATGGGCCTGGGAGCGTGAACAGCATTATACTCCGTTCGTGCAACAGAACAAACACACGTTCCGGAATTGCCGATCTAAAGACTTACAGCAAGGTTGACCAAACCCCTGTAGCTTCTATTCCCTACTCCCTAGCCGTATAATATCGAGAAGAGGCTTAGCCAGATTTGTATGGGGTATATCGTCGTGGCAGTTGTGGAGCCCTGAGGTTCTTCAAGCGCTGTTAAGGTTCAATCCCATATCTAAGGGTCTCTACGGCGGGTTCGGTGACGAGGATGAAGGAGCTCTAGGGTGAGGGGCATTTCCCACCAGAACTGCTCTGCGAGAATTGCTCCACAGTGGGCTGTGTACACGCGCCAGTTGTCACCATCGCTGTGCCGTTACTGTTAATAGTCTTCTGATGCTGACAATACCAGCGAAGGTTGCTATCGTAGTTGGTAGCTATTTCTGTTTTTCTTACAGTTGCTGTTACTATTGCTATTGTATTAATAACTGCTGTTGCAATTGCGGATCCGTACTGTCCTCAGAAGCGCCAGTACGATACCGTTAGCACCTGGCCCCGCACAGACCCCCTGCTTTTGGGGCAGAATCGCCTCTTTCCGCACCGCGATTCCCCTTCCTACTACTACATTTTCTACCCCACCATTGAACCCTTCATCGTCAACCAAGGGTACCTTATCTCTCCAATTCCGGTCCCATCTTCGTCCGCAACAATGGCTCCCGACTCACAGACCATCCACATCGGGACGCGGCGCTCCGCCCTAGCCCTCAAGCAGACCGAGCTTGTCGTCTCAGCCCTGCAGGCCGCTCACCCGCACATCAGCTGTGAGATCCACGCCATGGCCACGATGGGCGACAAGGACACGACCACGCCGCTCCCCAGCATGGGCAAGGGCCTCTGGACGTCGGAGCTCGAGGCGAAGCTGATGTCCCGCGAGGTCGATCTCGTCGTCCACAGCCTCAAGGACATGCCCACCACCCTACCGGAGGGCTGCGTCCTGGGTTGCGTGACGGTGCGCGAGGACCCGAGGGACGTGGTCGTATTCCGGGACGGCTCCGAATACAAGACGCTGGCTGATCTCCCCGCCGGGAGCGTGGTCGGCACGAGCAGCCTGCGGAGATCTGCGCAGCTGAAGAGGAGGTATCCCGCGCTCAAGTTCCAGGATGTCAGGGGAAACCTCGACACCAGGTTGGGCAAGTTGAATGCAGACACTAGCCCGTTTTCGTGCATCATTCTGGCGGCGGCCGGGCTGCTGCGGTTGGACTATGGGGCGCGCATTTCTCAGTACCTGGAGTCGAGCACCGAGGGCGGTGGTCTGTTGCACGCGGTCGGCCAGGGTGCGCTGGGACTCGAGGTGAGGGAGGGCGACCAGCGCGTACTGGGACTCTTGAAGACAATCGAGGACGCCTCCACCATGGTGGCATGTTTTGCGGAGCGTAGTCTTCTAAGAACCCTCGAGGGTGGCTGCAGTGTGCCAATTGGCGTTGAGACATCGTGGGTTGGCGAGGGTGACTCGAAGAAGCTGAGACTGAAGGCTACAGTCGTGAGTCTAGACGGAACCGAGGCCGTGGACGGGGAACGGGAGGAGGCCATCTCTACGCTTGAGCAGGCCGATAGCTTTGGCCAGAGAGTGGCTCAGGAGCTCGTAGAAAGGGGGGCCAGGAAGATTCTGGATGTCATCAACCAAGGCCGAGCAACGACGCCAGCACCGGCAGGCACCGGGGCATCATGAATCAAGTATTGTTGTACCATTGAGCATCGATTTACCATGATCGCCTGAATTGCCGGAGATAGCCGATACCCTTCCTGTATGATGAATCAAGAAACTCCCCTGAGCCAAAAGGAGGAATACGCTATGTACAATACAAATGCTTGGCCCATCTCTGTTTCCACGTCCCACGTTTCCCCGTCAAGCCTCCAGGTTGAACTGTTCCAGGTTGAATTGTCGGCCATTGGTCAAATTTTACGCCATTCCTAATAACAAAACTTGTCCTGTCTATGGCAAGATTTACTGCTCCGACGATTCGCCAGCGGTAAACTCCTTGTACTCCTCCGCGTTCATCAGCCCCTCCAGGTTCTTCACGCCCTCCTCGTCTATGGCCACCTTGGCAATCCAGCCGCCACCATGCGAATCATCCTCGGGAACCTGGTTGATGGTCGAGGGCTTCTCTTCCAAGAGGAGATTGACGTGCGTGACCTTGCAGGAGACCGGGGAGTTGATATCGGCAGCGCTCTTGACCGACTCGACGGCTCCAATGGCGTCGCCAGCCTTGAGGACCTTCCCTTCCTCGGGCAGCTCCACATAGACGACATCGCCGAGGGCCTCTGCGGCGTACTCGCTGATGCCAATGACGCCCGTCTTGTTGTCTGCAGAGAGGTCGATCCACTCGTGGTCTTTGGTGTACTTCCTTATCGGGTCTAGGTTGTGATGGTTAGCTATCAGGCCGCGTCTGTCGGGATGCAGCTGGAAGCCTCACTTCTTGCGGTCACCGAAAATGCCCGAATTGGGTTTGCCCTGAAGATGGGCCTCGCTACAGGCGTCTTAGCGAGAGTCGAGAAGGACTTCGGTCCTGTAGACCTCAAGCATCGTGCAATTGAAGCCATCTTGGGTGGGTTTTTTGAGGGACGTGAGTGTTGGCAGTCGATCGTGAGTCGTGAGTCCAGTGCCGAGGAGAATCAGTTCATGACGAGCATTCTTGAATCTTTGACTTCCAAACCCGGCTATCTCAACTGCCTTGCCAGTTGCCGGCGACTGGCAGGGCCCGATGCTAAGCAGGATACGTACCGAAAAATGAGCCGAATAAATTATGTAATCCATTGCCTGCAAGGGAGCCTCGCACCCCACCTAGTCGGGAAAAGCGAAAACACTGAGAGCCAATCAAAGCCTCGAGGTTGAGCCCCGCGTCCACGTCTAGGCTTCACGACAACGCGACCGATCGTCGGGAATCTGGGAAATTTGATAGCGGTGCCCTATATTAACATCCAGGCAAGGGAATGGTGCGCCATAGGCTGCCGACTCTGATGAGCCACGGACCTGTAACTGTGAACAAATAATAGCTGCGGGCTGAGATAATATTTCGCCGTGATCATAATAGTAAATAAACATTGACCCTAGATGTACTACTTGAGACCTATTTTATCACTGCCCTGAACGTGGAAGATAACGAGTAAGCAGCATATGACCTCACCTCGCGTCGTCGCGTCTTTTTCGTGTGCTGCTTAACGGGGCTGTTAAAGCGTTTTACGCAGGGCAGTTAGTGCTCAATCTCTGGCTCCACGTTGCAGGAAACTCGATCGGAAGAATCACCGAATCATTTTACTGGGAACTCGCCTGTCAGCTGCACCCAAACTGCCCCAGTGCCAGTGCTCATTTCGCACCCCTCAGTGGATGAGCCTGCCGTAAGCGCCCAAAAACCTCACCTCATTCTTGAAACTGGCCTTCCCTAGGTCGTGCCGGCCAGCCATTCTCTTCCCGTGTTCGCAAGTCGACTGCATTTCCCCCCCTTGGCCCACATCATTGGGACTTGTTTGGTAAAACCTTCCCACACGACTTCGAAAAGGTACGGACAAAGTTAACTACCATCTCTGCCACAATAAAACTCTCATCCGACTTGAACACTGACTCTGGCACTAACAGCCTGTGACGTTGGCACCGGCACTAGCCCTGTCCTCATTCATCCCTCTTCAGGCTTATCTACCGGCACCGCTCCGGGTGCATCCATGCAGGGACGCCGAATCCCTCATTGACGTCGATCAGGACACTCCGAATTCTCGGTTGTTCGATTGTATGCTGTATGTGCAAGGAGGGAACCGAAATAATTGAAAGCCCACCAGCTAAATCTCGACTCTCAGCTTGCATGTTCCATGAAGGCGTCATCGGGTTAACTACTTTCGAGTCCGTTCGCGCTCTGTCCCCCTCGAGGTCCTCTCGTGTCGACCTACAATCTACCTTCATTTCACCCCTGTCGACCACATCCCCGACCCGAGCGATTCCCGTCCGTCGATCCTCACCCTCCCTTGCTCTCCGTGAAGCGCCCTTCACCCTGGATTCCTCAACTTTTTCTGGGGGCTCACCGGCCCAGTTCCACGACGCCCTCGACACCATGGACCACGAACCCACCCCGCTCGACGCCCACGAGGACACCCTCGGAGGGCTAGACGGTTCTCCTAACATGGCGGCCGGTTCATCGCAGAGCAACGGCTTCCGCGAACGGAGGCACACCCAGACGCAGTCCCTCGACCAGGGTCTGTCCCTCTCGCCCCGCCAACAACATCACCACTACCAGCAACAGCAGCCGCAAGAGGCCATGGACATGGATCCCACCGCCCGGTACACCACCCCGCCCGTCCCGCAGCCAGCCGCCCCCTCGATATCCAGACCCCCGTCCGGCCTGTCGGGCCACGGCAGCTACGGTGCCGACCACGCCTCGCGGGCCGGTAGTAACCCTGCCGCCGGGGACGGGCAGGCCAACGGGCGCAACCATGTGGTGATCAAGGTTGGCATGGTGGGCGACGCACAGATCGGCAAGACGAGCCTCATGGTCAAATACGTAGAGGGCAGCTGGGACGAGGACTACATCCAGACGCTCGGGGTCAACTTCATGGAGAAGACCATCAGCATAAGGAACACGGAGATCACCTTCAGCATCTGGGATCTAGGCGGCCAGCGCGAGTTCGTCAACATGCTGCCGCTTGTGTGCAACGACGCCGTCGCCATCCTCTTCATGTTCGACCTGACCAGGAAGAGCACCCTCAACAGTATCAAGGAGTGGTATCGTCAGGGACGGGGATTCAACAAGACGGCGATCCCGATCCTGGTCGGCACAAAATACGATCATTTCGTCAACTTCCCCAGGGAGGACCAGGAAGAGATATCGAATCAGGTACGCCTCCCGGCCCCGATCGGCGGGTGGCTTCCGATTGGGTTTGCTGACGACGATCCATAGGCTCGACGGTTCGCCAAGGCGATGCGTGCTGCACTGATTTTCAGCAGCACTAGCCACAGCATCAACGTTCAGAAGGTAAGTCCCCCCCACTTACTCTCCAATTGCTCTCCCGGGCTAAATTGGGTTGCGTCTCAGATCTTCAAGATTGTGCTTTCCAAGGCATTCGACCTCAAATGCACGATCCCCGAGATCGAGAACGTCGGGGAACCTCTTCTCCTCTATCAGTCTTGCTGAGGACCGATGGCCATGGGCGTCACGGCCGTCCAGAAGCGTCTCACCCCTCCTCGTAATCTGCAGTTGGGGGGGCCTGTCTCATTCAGGGCAGGCGAGGTTCTCGACACAGTCGAAAGCGGGTTTCTAGCCATATAGATGCCAGCGCTTTGCTTCTGAGACTGGGAGTCCAGGTGCAGGACTCGAAACTTTCAGATGAAAGCTCTGAAGGTTCGCAGGTATGCGTGATACTGGAAAGAAGCCCCTGACAGAGCTCTTCCTTGCTCTAGTCAGAGACGAGATTACAATACGAAGAGCCAGCCTCTCTTCCCCCTACTTTGTGTGCTTTCTCTCCTTTGTCCTACGGGGAGGGAAGACATCGGGACAGGCAAAAATTCTCGAGACACCCAAACTCCCCTCCCTTTTTTGCATGATTTCTACAACTGTCTACCTTTTTTTTTTTTTTTTTTTGTTTTTTTGCTATGCCAGAAAAGGCAAGCAGGAACGGAGAAAAAAGGACAAGGGGATAAACGAACGGAAAGAAGAAGAGGGGGGGGTTGAGGAGAACTGCTGCATTTCGCAAGGGATACAACATTCCGGGGTTGGCAGAATAGGGAGGGAGGCCGTGGCTACCTAGTAGGCAGCTAGCTGCCTAATTAGGCTTGGGACATTACCGGGAAGGGGCAAATGGGGTTGATATGCGTTGATTCTTTTTCTTTTCCCTTTGTTGATTTGGTCGTTCAGGCGTGCATCCCTTGGAAGCAAAGGGGGGGTCGATGTCATTTTCCGTCTTTTCTTTTTTTAACATCTGTTTTCTCCTTCTCCAGATCAAATCATGATGCCATGTAATGGAGACGGCGCAGACCCATGAGCTTATGGCTGCGGAGTGTGACCCCTTGTGTAGGCCTGGTGTGTGGAAGATTCCGGTTTGGGACGTATGATGCCTCTTCGGTGAAATGGAGGCAAAGGCTAGAGATGATGGCTTGTGAGGGATACTATTAATGACGTGTTGCTAGGGCTATTTAGGTAGGCTACTTGTCGTCCTGAAAAACCATCATGCCAGTCCGATGGACCAGTCTTGCCACCGGCGACTCTCCTCTAGGAATGCCTCAGCCTCCTCTCAGGAGTCCTGACCAGGTCTCTCACTCATCCCAATACCCAGTTCCTTGTCTATATCGGTAGGGTGCAGCTCCGTCTTGGAAGGTGGAATTGTGGGTGGGATGACTCCACCAGCAGGCATGTCGTCTTCGAGTGAAGCTTGTGTTCCCGCGTCAGGTGCCGGCTTGGCGTCCTCTTCCGTAGGGCAGGTTACGGGCAAGACGGTGGCTGGTGTTGGCGCGGACTCACCCTCGTCCTCATCAGTATTAGGAGCCTGCTCCATAAGGTCTGCTGTCTCTTGTGGTCGGTCCTCCGCCACAACCTTCTGGGGGGCAATTGGGGGCACATTCTCATCGCGAATATCACAAATGGGCGACCTCCGAGCTTTCCCACCCTCAGCATTGGTACTTATCTAGGGAGGGTGGGCATAAACACTTACGAAAAACAGGAGTAGGGGCCATCAGACCTGGGTCAATGTAACGACAGTGCTCAAGCCCAGCACCGTCAAAGCTAGAGCTTGGGACGCAACGCTCCAAGAGGCCCTCTTCCCGTATTGAGCTGAAAGATGATCGAGGCGATGCATGTTGGGACGTGAACTCGGGGCTCGTTTGCAGCGTCGCTCGGATATTTCGAAAGGGGCTGTTCTCTACGAAACGGGGGGTACCGGCGCGTGTTGTGTCTTCGGGCTCTCCCTCATTGATTGGACTTAGCATCCTCCTCCGCCAGTAGAACCAATCAGCTCGGGGTTCAAAGAGGTCTCGCCGGCCACTGGTGTTGCTCCCGCGCAACTTGGCCTTTGATAGGGGCGCAACTCGCTCAAGGCTAGCACCCAAGCTTCCCGGATCAGACACCTAGTCGTCTGGCCAAATCGGAGTCGGCGGGGCATGTTGCATTTCAGCTCCGGTGGAGGTCGCCGACATTGGTTGCTCCCGGCGGTATGGTTCGTCGACGACAGCCAGAGCATGACAGATCTGCTTTTCCTCTTCCCGCCTACGAACCTCGAGCTCGTTCCGGATGAGAGAGCATGTGGGGCAACAGATGCCCTTGATGATATCACCGGTATACGTGCCCTCTATCCCATACAGCTCTCGAATCCGCCGGGTCTCCTTGCCTGTGTAGACCCCGCTACCAATGGCTAGGAGTTGATATTGTCAGTCTCCGAGGCTTGAAGCAAATTATGGCAAAAGGCAAACCCGTACCGAACCCAGACGCTGCGAGGAAGAACCAATCCTAGCAGTCTATGTTGCAGACATTGTATTCGCTGAGATCGAGCGGATCCCGATGGAGGTCCAGCTGTCGGAGACGGTACCGAGTGCGGCCAAACATGCAACAGCTGAGAAAGAAAGCGCTAGGACAGTCGCTCCCTCGGCCATGGTCAGCGAGCGAGGTCTTCCAGCGCGACATCGTGGCAGGCTGGCCGGACGTGGGGCCTAGTAACAATACTCGGCGTGAAGAAGCCCCTATCGCCTTCGAAGTGAACAAGAACCCGTCCCCAACACATCAACGAGATATTAAAATAGCAAGCCTCCATTTGGTTTTGATTTGCCCAGAGATATGTGCTACCTCCACAGTCGGGCGCCACTTCCTCGTACAGCTTGATTCTCTCCGGGGGAAGGCGCTGATGACTGCGACATCTAACCTTCATCTATCGCACTGTAGGTGACTAGGTAGGTCCCTGCCCTTTCAGTGGTTCTGTCAGCTGTGCAGGGATCTCGTCACTTCCCGTTTCGTCCCTGGGGACCTTCCGTTGAACAGCACTCTTGGTTTCCAGTAAACAGACCTGTGCGTGCCTAGGCACCTAGGTAGAGGTGGCGGCACCTGTGGAAACATGGGATCGGTATGACCCTGAGGTGGTTCCCGTACAGAAAATGGAGTGTCTTAGCTGATCGGTCTCATTGAATTAAGTACCTGGGTACTTCGATATATTATTGCCTATTATAAATGCGAAATGATTTTCCTCGCAGCTTCTGTGGGCTTATACAGGTGGCTTTCCACTGTCTCAGGTCCCCGCCATTGGAAATTGTCAGCCACTGACCAGGGATTCGCTGTGGGAGTGTAGGACTCATACGCTCAAGCGCTGCCAGCCTTTTTACTGGCGACCTTGTCGCCCTCCTCATCGCTGGAATTATCGGGCGTTGCAGAACCTTCGCCATCGGTGCTTGACCCATTCGATTGGCCCTCATCCTTTGGGGCGTCGGGCTTATCATCCTTGTTCTGAGCCTCGTCCTCGGCTGATTCCTGCTTAGCATTCGTTTCCGGGGCCGATTCTTCCTTAGACTCCGCGTTCGAGGGCTCCTCCTTCGACTCTTCCTTGGTCTCCTCCTTCGACTCTTCCTTGGTCTCCTCCTTCGACTCTTCCTTGGTCTCCTCCTTTGGTGGTTCCGCCGCCGGCTCCTCGTGTTTTGCGTCCTTCACTCCATGGTCGGCGTGGGAATCATGGGAATCATGGCCTGACTTCGATGGCCCGCTGAAGAGCAGGTATGCAGCCAGAGGCGCTGTGATGCCAACAGAGCCGATGAGCCTAGTTTCTCGCCCAAGTTAGTGACTAGGACGTAAATGAGGATTTGGCCGTTAGCAGCAAATGGGGAGGGGCCACAGGCAGGAACAAGAAACAATTGGTTGGCGAGACCGAAGAGGGCGAGAGAAGCAGTTCAGTCGTACCATGGCATGTCGCTCGACTTCGCGGCATGTTCATGTCCGCTGGCATAGCCTCTCCGGCCAATGATACCATTCAATTGGATCCGAGCAGGCCGGCAACAAGCTGCCCTCAAGCTTGATCGAAGCGCAATTGCTCTCCCTATAGACATGGACATCTTTGAAGAGGCTTTTGGTTGGGGACTTTCAATGGCTTTCTTTGGCTATGTCGGCCAATTGGTTAGAGTATGAAAAGAAGGGTGTTGGCCTTGTTGTCTGGACGAGCGTTGATTCCTTACATAAGAGGATCGGATGATGCAAATGAAGAGGTTGGTGAAGGCACGGGAGATGTACTCCGAGAACGGCCCGGAAATCGTCTAAAAGGTTCACAGGGCCAAGGCCTTTTGGGACGGGAAAATGCACACCAGAGATTCATCCCATAGCCTACAAAGCTAAGATTGTATCAATTGTAGTTTTGCAAGTCATAATATTCTCTATCTCTGTCTCACCATCTACCTACGACACGCAAGTGAAGCTCCAGAACTTTCGTTGGTGCTGTCAGTTGGCGGGGGACCTAGCTAGGTAGGTTCGAACATACAGGTATTGCGTCAGACGGCCCGAGCTCCCATCCTTTCCTTCGGCCAATTCTGCCACGGGCGGTGAGTTGAGGCTCAGTACACCATTCCAGTAGAAATGGAAGTCTTGGGTGGGGACGGGGACCTTAGTGACAAGGAAGTAACCCCACACCGGCACCCCCACCAGCTGCTTTGGCCTTTTGCCTTCACCATTTCAACAACAATCAGCCAACATCCCAGTGGCCCGACTCTGGACGGACGGGGAACATCGATCTTGATTGTTACATTACTTGCAACAAAAGAATCTGCAGCCAGCCTCTTATCCTGGTTTTGCAGTTCTTTCCCGTCTCCGGTAGCCCCGGCGTTGCCTACCGGAACCTCAGCGACGAAGGTAATGATCCCTCCTTTGCCTGTCGATTAGCTTCATCAAGCTCACCCTGATTGTTACGACTATCAAAACTGACACAGAACTGTAGGGAACCTTCTACCTGCAGACTATCTATACCCCACCGGAATTATTTCACATTTCCAGATACACCTGCCAAGATGGCCGCCCGAATGGCAAACGGCACAGTCAATGTGACCGCCCATATGATCACGGCGCTCTTTCCCAAGATGAACGACCCCGACCCTGACTTTCGGTTCATGGCCTTGAGTGATGTTCTCACGTACCTTAATATTGGACGGCCGGATCTTCTAAACCATGACTACAACGCAGCGTCTCGCACCGTGGACCATGTCGTGAAGGCGCTGGATGACCAGAATGGCGAGGTCCAAAACCAGGCCATCAAATGGTAAGTAGACGCGGCGGCAATCCAAGACACATCGGGATTTGGTTCCTCGCTGACAAGTTGCAGCCTCGGTCCGTTGGTCAAAAAGCTCCCCTCCAGCCTCATCGGGCCGCTCATAGAAAAGCTTGTGGCTCTGAGACTCGAGAACTCGGTCGATAATGCTATCCGAGCTATAGCCGTGCGTACAGTTGTCGAGGCCCTTCCCCGGCCTATCCCTGGCACGCAGCCCCCGCCCGAGGTTTTCGAGGCCTATGCTAGCATCGCCCGCGTGCTCCTTCCACGATTCCTTCGACGCACTACTACTGGGCAAGGGATGTTGGAGAAAGACCAAGGTCAAACCTCGGATGTAATCGATGTCCTGATTGAGGTTGTTCGTTGCTTTGGCCCAGTGCTTGAGTCGGCCGAGATAGAGGCTTTGCAAGCCGGCTACATAGCTCTCTTGGACAAGGACAACTGCACCTCCGCCGTCAAGAAACGCACCGTTGTGGCCATCTCTATGCTTGCAAAATATCTACCGGACGGTCCTTTCCTGGCGTTTTTGGACCGTGCAGTCGCGATTCTTAAGAAGCCGAACCTCAGCCCCGTTACCCGGCGTATCTACCTCACCATTCTTGGGTCCATGGCTCGATCAATCCCTCGACGCTTTAGCCCACATATTCCATCTCTCGTTCCTTTTGTTCTGCAGGCTCTAGGTGAAGAGGAGTTACAGGCACAGCTTGACGAGATCAGTGAGGGCGGTGGTGACTCTGGCTTGGAGTTCAACGACGTCAGAGAGGCGGCCCTTGTGGCTCTGGATGCCTTCTTATCGTCCTGCCCGACACAGATGCGCCCCTTCACCGAGGAGGCGATCGCCTCCTGTCTTCGATATCTCAAGTACGACCCGAACTATGCCGTAAACGAGGATGAGGAAATGGAGGAGGACCAGGATGACGATATCGACGATTTCGAGGATGATGACGAGTTTGAGGCCGACGCTGGCTTCGACGATGATGACGACGCCAGCTGGAAGGTGCGGAGATGTTCGGCCAAGGCCCTCTACACCATCGTTTCCACTAGAAGTAGTGGCGACCTGCTCGATAACGGGGTCCTCTACAACCTGGCTGCTCCAACCCTCGTTAAGAGGTTCGATGAACGCGAAGAGAACGTTCGGCTGGAGATCCTATCGACATTGTCCCTTTTGATTCGAAAGACTGGGGAGGGCATCATTCCGGAATTCTCCATCAACGACTCCGAGGCCGAACTCCTGAATCAGTTGCCCCAGAGCCGCAAGCGCAGACGCCAGAACAGTGGCGGCGGGGCGTCGGCCTTCGCCATTACCATCTCCTCTGGCATGTCCGGGACCGGCCTCACTTCGCCCACGATGGAGAAAATACCTGCCAGTGGACCTCGTGCCGACCTTGCGCGGCTTACCCCCGCCATTGTCAGGGGTGCGACCAAGTTGCTGAGGGGTAACCTCATTCCAACCAAGCAGGCTACCATCAGCCTCCTGCACGATATGATTGCCGTTCAGCGTGGCGGCTTGGCCGAGTACTTCGACCAGATGATCGATCCAATCATCGGGGCAATCCAGTCATCCGGCGCCTCTTCCACTTCGGCGCCGTTGTCAGTCGCAGGAGGGAATTCTTCTGCAACACCGAGCACTCTGAGAATTGCTGCGCTACGTCTGACTGGCGACATTGCTAAGAACCACTCGTCGACCGTTTTGCAGCCCCATCTCACAAAGATCGTGGAGGCAGTCGTCGCTGTTGTCTATGACCGTTTCTACAAGATCTCTGCCGAGGCAATCCAGACGGTCGAAGAAGTCGTGAAAACGATCACGCCCCCACGGTCACGCAAAACGGCCCAGAAATACAAGTCGGAACTCCAGAAGCTCTACGATGTCATTGTCGACAGGGCAACAGCAAATGATGCCGATGTCGAAGTCCGAAACAAGGCGATTCATGCCCTGGGGACACTCCTTTCCCGGACGTCAGGGGCCGAAGGCTTAGCGCTGTTGCCCGCCGATAAACGGAGCGCCGGGCTTGCCCATCTCGCACAGCGTCTCAAGAGCGAGACAACAAGGCTCGCCGCTGTCAGGGCTGTCGACACTGTCGCTGCATTGTCTTCCAGCGCTGACCAGTTTCCCCCACAATGGGTCCAGCAGGTTGCCTCGGAGCTAGCTGCCCAGCTACGCAAGGCAAACCGGTCCCTCAGGGGTTCCAGTGTGCAAGCTCTCAAGCATCTCGCTCTCTCTCCCGCCACCAAGGGCACAATGGACGAAGCGTCAATCCAAGCCATCGTCACTGGGCTCATTCCCGCAATCATCCAAAACGATGCTCAGCTTCTGGGACCTGGTCTACTCGTGCTTGCGCATCTTGTTCGAGAAAAGCCGAAGGTGGTTGTGACTCCGCAGCTTATCAACGCCTTGTGTGAGCTGCTGAAATCGACCTTCCCTGTCTCTGTCCTCGACTCGCTGCAGACTCTTGTCACGAACATTGGCGAGGCTGGCGAAGGGCGGCAGCTGATGGCCGGTTTCCTCAAGGACGTTGGGATCAATGGAGATCCATCGGTTGTCGGGAAGGTCACGGGAACACTTCTCGTCGCGAGTGGCGATTCGGCCGGAGTTACTATGGATAGCTTCGTCCAAGAGCTCCAGGCGAATTCCCAAGACCAATCCAGGGCCAGCCTCGCCCTGGCAGTACTTGGAGAAACAGGCTTGAGACTCGGGACTAAGTCTCCGCTCGACCCCAGTATTTTCCTTGCCCGATTTAACGCCGACTTGGACAAGGTGGCCCTCACCGCGGCTGTTGCGCTTGGTCGTGCAGGGGCAGGAAACATTTCTGCATATCTTCCTGTCATTCTCCAGCGACTGGAGAAGCCGGGGGGCAGCCAATACCTGCTCCTCCAATCAGTCAAGGAGATCCTGCAGCAGGCGGCGGTCTCTGCTGCAGACATCAGCGAGTTCTCTGACGGCATTTGGAATCAACTCCTTGCTGCCGCCAAAGCCGAGGACAACAAGGCTGTCTGTGCCGAATGCCTGGGGCGCATAGTCATCATTGATCCCAGCACCTACATGCCCAAGCTGGAGGTACGTCTGATCCGCCATTATCCTTCAAATACCGAGTATTAACCTTGTCTTCCAGCTACTCCTCCGGAACGAGTCTCGGGCTCTGAGGGCCATAGCGGTGCAGGCGCTCCGATACACACTCCCAGATGAGAATGAGGCGTTCGACACGGTTCTGAGGTCCCATTTGGTTGATATGCTCAAGATCATGCTGGATGATCCCGACATGGAAATCCGGCGTCACGCAATGTCGACGCTGAATTCTGCAGCCCACAACAAGCCTGGCCTGATCCTCGGCCATCTCGGTCAACTGGTGCCATATGTCATGAACGAGTCAATTATCAAGCCAGAGCTCGTTCGCGAAGTCCAAATGGGCCCGTTCAAGCACCTGGTCGACGACGGGCTCGAGGTCCGCAAGGCAAGTCGCCCTATCATTTATTCCCCTGCCCTGCCAGTTCGTCCCACTAATACGTTTAAATTCGCACAACAGGCCGCCTACGAGACACTCTATGCGCTCATGGAGACGGCCTTCTCGCGCATTAGCATCATCGACCTGTATGACCGAGTCATCGCCGGTCTCAAAGACGATAATGATATCCGCGGTCTCTGCAACTTGATGGTGTCGAAGCTCGCCTTCATTGACCCCGACGAGACCAATCGCCGTCTCGACTCTATTGCCGAAGCCTACCGTGTGACGCTGTCCACAACCCTCAAGGAGAGCGCGGTCAAGCAGGAGCTTGAGAAGCAGGAGGAAGCCAACAAGAGTGTCCTGCGGGTAAGCCTGCTGCTTGGTGACCGGTTCAAGCCGGGGTCCAATCTCGCCAGCGGAGGAGCAGCGAGTGGTTCGACGTGGGACATGTACTGGGCTTGGGTCAACAAAGACTTCTCTAGCCAGCTCAAGAGCCTACGCGAAGAGAGCAAGGAAATTGCCGCTGGTGGTTCTGATGGGGCGTAGATAGACAGGGGCATCGGTATCATGCTTAACCTCGATTCATACTACGTAGCAAGTCATTCCAAACTTGAACTTAAGTTTATCCTGGCAACCTTCCCATGTCTTCGATACCTTGATATACCTTGGTACTTAGGTTCCTTCCTACCCCGCCCGGCAAACATACCGGAGTTTCGTCCGTCAAGCCACACCTGCGGGATGGCCTTACTAAATTAGGCATAGCGTCTCTCGAGGTCCACCTCAGTCAGCCTCATTCTTCACAGTGACACAGGGTGCGCCAAACACCTCGACTTACAGGCTTGAGCTCTGAATTGTTGGCGATACAGCAACTTGACGTACTTCGTACAGATAATACGGCAAGCCGACCATGGCGAACCTTCCGTCCAACAAGTCACCCGGCAAAGACCAGTCAGGACTGCGCTATCCTACAAATGGCAAAACCATCTACCATCGACCGTTAAATCGCACAAAGACGTCAGAGCTGAGCCAGGCCAGCTTCGCATACCTCTTCTCGGAAATGGTCAGCTATGCACAACGGCGAGTGACGGGAATTCAGGATCTAGAAAAGCGGTTGGTTGCCCCCCCTTCCCCAACCTCTACCCACCCCCCACGCACAAGCATAACTTCTCTAACGTCTCATGTCTTTGCGCCCCCCCGGCCCTCCAGCCTCAACCTCCAGGGCCACCCGATCGGGCTCAAGCTCCTCGACCTCCTCCTCCACCGCGAGCCGGCGCGGACGCAGGCGCGGCCGCTCAACGTGATTGCGCTGCTGCACCTGATCAAGATCGGCGTGTGGACGCACCTGTTCGGGCGGCAGGCGGACCGGCTGGAGCGCAGCTCCAACCCGGAGACGCCCGACGAGTACATGATCATCGACAACGAGCCGCTCGTCAACGCCTTCGTCAGCGTGCCCCGCGAGATGAGCCAGCTCAACTGCGCCGCCTTCGTGGCGGGCGTCGTCGAGGGCGCGTGCGATGGGGCCGGGTTCCCGGCTAGGGTTACGGCGCATAGCGTAGGGGGAAAGGAGGAGGGGGAGATGTGGCCGGGGAAGACGGTCTTCTTGGTCAAGTTTGCGCCTGAGGTGCTGGAGAGGGAGGCGCTGATTGGGAAGAGTTGAAGGAGGTTGGAGGGAGATATGAGATCGGAGCCGGTGATTCGAGAGTTCCCCCGTGGAGATAACCTTGGGAGAATCTACTCCTTTACAATTGGGCAGCATTTGGCAAGGCGTTATGTTTTAATTCCCCGGGTGGATCTATTTGTCTGGGGCTGGACGATGGGGGATTTATGTATCAAGTTTGACGGCATGGAATGATACTCTGAAGGGTATTCTGAATATCCACTTCGGTGGATCCGGTTAGATAGACAAGTGCTCGCGCAGTAAAAGCGAGGACACTTCCTTCCATACTGTTCTAATTATCCCGAAGTGTCAGGCGAGCTCGTTGGTCCTGCCATACCTACACATCCGGCATACAAAAGAAGGCCCTTCCGGTCAAAAGGGGTTCGTCCAAAAACGCCTCGCAATGCTATGTAGCCCTCCCGGTTACTAGAAATAACCTTTACTTCCCAAGTACGGCATTCCGAAACAGCTCGACTATCACCGAGGCATCCCCTTATAGGCCATCCCGCGCCTCCTGGCACCGAGGCCGGCCACCTTCCCCCCGCCGTTGGTAGTCGGAGGGCCCCTGCGGGTCAGCTCGGCGAGGCCGAGGTCCTTCCAGGCGGGGTCGCGGACCTTCTGAGTGGCCTTCTGGATGCCGAAGGCGGCGTGCTGGTCGGGCACCACGTCATCCTCGTCCTCGGGGTTGATGGGCTGCAGATGGTGCGGCACGTAGATCTCGTCGGCGGGGAGCTTGTCCTTGCAGAAGTCCTCGAAAAGGTCGGCGTCGCGCGGCCGCTGCATGTGCACGTACGTGTAGCACGAGTCTTTGTTCTGCAAGACGGAGGAGGGACGAGAGGTTAGTTGCTTTGCAAAGCGGAAGATGGGCGACTAGGGGGGGAGGAAAGGGAACTGTGGGAGCTCACCATTGTGCCTGGGCCGACACGCTCGATGGTTACATGGTTTGTCTCCGCCATGATGGATACGCGCTTTTTGTTGGTGTTGATAATGGTGGAGAATGGTGGGGCGGGACGGGTGCTCCACTTAATATATGATGTGGCTGAGGTTCCATGCCTGGGGTTTAGAGTACGTACCCTCTTCCACGGCCAAGGGGATGACAGCTTCGCTTCCAAGCCTGTTCAGCAAGAACAGTACCATCACACTCGAGTCCATATCCCTGCCTTCAGGAAAGGATTATCGACTCATGCAACGTTGGTCCAGACTGGCGGCTTCTCTCCTTCTGCCACCATCCTTGACGATGCACCGACTCGGTCAAACCCTACCGACCTAATCTAGGTACCTACCTACCTAGCAAGCCGGTCGAAAAAATAACTGTATTAGAGGTTACCCTGCTCACTAATATTTGAAAAGTATTTACTAACAGCTAAGCTTCACTTTATCTTGCTGACCGTGTTAAGGAGTAATCTAGGGTAGTTAGTACGTGGGATAAATCGTACTACAGTTTTTTTTTCCCACCGCTTTCCTACGTAGGTAATCCGTACTGTACTAATGGATGTATATTTGCCACCGGTCTCGTGTATGACCGAGGGAAACAACTCCCCTTGCTTTTCGCGGGCGGTTGCTGGCATCCTGTTCAGACTTGGAAGTCTGAAAAGGATCCCAGTTCCGAGAGACAGGTGATGCACCAGGTAACACCCAATGAAACCCGTTCTAGATGCAGGTTTCATTCCAGTGAGGAGTCGCAGTACGGATCCGTAATCTACATTGTCTATCCCAGTCCTGTTGGGGATCAGCAGTGTAGCACAGCACGTCATCCAATAGTTAGCATTCGTTGGACCCCTTGACGATCTCGACAACCAGGCTCGCCACTAGCGAACTTGCTTTTCCCGCGAATCGCAATTGTATCCGCAGGCATGTTTCCCAGGTTATCGTTCAGGCTCCCAGTACACTTAAAGGGTCACTGTAGTTCCTGACGTTACTCCGTCCGGGAAGAGGATAGTTCTCCCAAGTTGTGAGCTCAGCCTGTTAAATCCAGCCACAAATACGGATTTCTGGTGATACGGACGCAAAGTGTTCTGTGGCCTGTGCAATTGAAGGTGGTTGGCAAGCCACTCAATTTTCTCTCTCAGCGCGGGAGTCAGGCCATTCTGCTTGGACGGGCATTCTATTCAAGCAGTAACACTAAAACATAAGCTTGTATGATATCGACAGACAGGACAAAGAAATATGAAATATGGGCAATAACAAAAGTTAACTATCATGCTAAGCTTTTCAAGTTGTCGGCCGTCATTTATCCTTTACGCTTGCCGTTTTTACATGGGGATCTGCGGAGACGGGAAACAAAGATCCATGATTGGAAGTGGGCATCGAGGGTGGCTCAACACAGGAGACGACACCCGCCGGCAAAGCGGTGGGGTTCTTTCCCCCAAACGAAAGCGAAATTCAGCAATCTCGCACGGCCAAGCTCCGCTACCCGCATCTTTATGTCTGAGCACATTGTGACGGCTCATTGAACAGAACCCGTGCTACCATGACTTGAAAGAGTGTGTCCCAAGCTGCAGACATAGCAATTGATCATTCGGGAGAAAGGACCTCAGCTGCTCAGTAGTCTAGACCTCCTTCCCCTCTGGAGTACCCGACATCTAGATGGGAGTTAGGTGCGTCTACCGAAACTTTAGCTCTTAGCTAATGAAGGTTGGGAGCTTGTCAAGTGCTTGCATCCTGGGAACTCTTAGCATCATCGCCTGGCCAGCCAATCAGCCGAGGCGCTTGTACCTGCTGTGCTCCAAATGAGGCAACTCATCCTAGCGACCATTTCGCGCCACCCCTGCCATGAAAGGCGGCGCGGTGCATCTCTACATTTACCTTTTGCGCTAAACCAAATTCAGGTTAGATAAGGCACCTAGGCCTCCTGCCAAGCCAAGGTACGTACACTCCCCCAGTCCAGGGTCAGTTCATTTCCCATTGATATTCTCCCCCCGCCCTTCTCTCCAATCTCATTCCTGCTGCTTCGTGGTTCTCTCGAATTGAGCGATCCATCGACTAACGGTAGCTTATTATTGTTCGCCGTCCCTACGATCTCGTCGTCTTCTTCTCTAAACCCTATGCTGGATTGTTAGTCGCGAGCCCTGTCTCCCAATCTCTCCCGACTGGGCAGGCGAAAAGGGGTTCTTTGTTTCTTACCGCCCTCTCCCCGTTGGCTGGTCCCGTGTGCCGTATCGAGCACTCGATTTCAGGTCAGTAACCCGCAGCCGCTGCAACTGCAACCTGGCTCTCCTTCCTTTTCACGGGCTGGCCAGTCCATCCTACGGCCCTCTTGCCGTCTTGCCGGCCGAGACATGTTGGGCAATTCACCCCGTTTTCGCATGGGTAAACTAACACACCTACCAGTCAGGCCACACGAGGAACATCCCACGTCATTTCATACATCTCCACCACCGCCAGCCTTCTTGAACATCGTACCGGCTTTGATCGACCGTATTTTTTACGCTTCTTTTACCAACACGACATCTCCTAGATAAATAACTTGGACCTTACTCCCGACATGGCCACTGTTGTTGTCGATGAGAAAATGGGTGCAACCCACCCTACCGACGACGGGGTCGCTCCCCAGACTTGGTCATTCGACGAACAGAACCGTCCCAACGAGAAGACCTTGACCAGGACGTCGGAGATTTCGACTCCCTCGACGGTTCATCAGACCAATCCCTTCGACAACGACATCGAGGCAATGGTTTCCTCTGGCGAACCGATGATTAGAAAATCCACCCAGTGTATAAGAGGAGGCGCTGATTGCCAAGTCTGGCCCGGCCAAGATCACTGGAAGCGGAAGGCCAAAGCAGCCAAACGGGAACGCCGCGCCTGCAACTGCCTAGCACACCTCAGCAGACGGAACCGTATCATCGTCAAGATCCTTATCGGCCTTCTCATCGTTGGCATCGCCGTCGGCGTCGGTTTCGGAGTGAGCAAGCCCCTCGGGGCAGGCATTTGGCACGACAATAAATAGACGGGCTCGGACAACTGATGGAAGACACCAATCGGCCACACACCATCAAACCCTTGTCAGAAGGCATCCGTGCGAATGAAGGAATACAGGGCTGGCATTCGCATCCGCCCAACATGACGCACTCAGCATGCTTGGATTCGGGCTTCTCCATCGACCATTCACCAACGACGGCCGTACAGCATCCGTCAGGTTCATACGACAAACCCCCACATTGGCACTTCGATTCTCTGTGTATATATCTACAGCTTGCATTGCAGTTTCCAAGGCAGCGGCGTTTTTTCCGCATCCAGGTGCGAGCCCACCGAACCAGGGTCGGCGTCGGGAGTTACCTATTTTATTTGTCTTGGTGTTATCCATCGGCTTGCGCATCCATGGGACGGTTACGTTCTGTTACAAGGGGGAACTTTCTAAGCATCAAGAATATTCTTTCTCGCGCGAGGCGAGGATGGTTAGTAGTGAGTGGATTGAAGAGGTCTGGGAAGTTTCTGGTGGTACCTGGACCACGGCATGGATTAGGAAGGCTTGAGAAGCTAGACCCGGTCATCATAGAAGGGATATGAATCAAAGGTCACCGAAGATCTCGGCTCGCCAGAGTACAGGGATCACCCACTACCTTGTCCCTCCTTTTTTGCTCCTTTTCCGTTCATTCGGTGATATCAAGTTGTTTGGCTATCAGAAGACTACTAACCTGGTTTCCAGGAGGCCAGAGCCAGCCGGCCATCCTTCCAATACAATGATTCTACAAGCGTACATTTGAATAATGTGGTGTAGACCACTACATCACCCCTGTGGATTCGAGGCCGGCTCCAAAAAGAAGTCGAGGGATTGTACTACAGTAGTCCCGGCATAAACACGATGACTACTTTTGGGCTAAAGATATGATGCAACATTGGATCTCAATGTCCCAATGTTTCACATGCATTGGCTTCGAGCACAAGGTTGACTATCGCCCTGCCATGCTAACTTGCTATGCAACTTAGCCGACTCAAGTGTGGCAAGCCGCTCCTCTTGTTCTCCTTCCAACTCGGACTGAACCACTTTTGTATCGGCTTGCTGCATGTGCAACTCGTGCGAAGTCTCAGGGTGGCTAACGATCGCCAGTCAGTGTCACTTCAAAGATGGGACTAAAGTTGCAGTTTGATAGCACAACAATGCTGCCAGACAAGGAAAGACTGCTTACCTAGTTCCAGCCCTCCTTCCCGCCCATCGCCTCACCCGCAACCATGTACCTCCAATCACAACCCAATACATGGGAGGTATTTCGCAAGGCCGCGCCTCGGGGTCCGCTCCGGGGTCTGCCCCTTTGTGGTGTTATGTTGCCCACGGAGCACGATATCGTCGTCACGGGTCAATCCCCTGATTCGCTCCTTCCACACCTCCCGCTCCCTCTCCCGCTCCTGCTTCTCCCTCTCCTCCGGCGAGACGCGGTGCCCCAAGTCCACCTCCTCCATCCCCTCGGCGTCGCTCCACTCCGTCCTGGTGTCGCTCGCCCTACGCGCGCCGTACCCGTGGCAGAACGGCCCGGGCGACACCGCTCTCGGCTTCGGCGGGCTCGGCTTCGGCGGCGCAAACGGGTTGCCCACCCTGCGCTGGCCCTGCCCGCCTTCTGTCCCGGATACCGCGCTGCTCCCTCCGGCTCCGGTTGTGGCTCCTGCAGCGGCTCCGGCTCCGCGACCTCGGCTCCCTCCCGCCAATGTACTCCCTAGCTTCCTTCCATGCCGCGTCGTCCCGAAAACCCTACTCGGCGCCGCGACCGCCGGCGGCGCTGAGGGCCGCGGGGGGGTGATGGCGGCAGTACCACCATCCGCCCCCGGCACGGCAGCAGCGGCAGCGGTCTCGTTCGCAGGGGGGGGTGGGAACAGCTCCTCGGTCTGGGCAACGGCCTCGCGCCAGGGGAACCAGACGCGCTCGTGGCGGCGCAGGTGGGCCAGCTCGACGTCGCCCCCCTGCTGGCCGTTCTGCTGCTGCTGCTGCTGCTGGAGTTGCTGGAGCCGCCTCCTCCGCCGCCGCTTCGTCAGCAGGACCGAGGCCGTGGCGACGGCGGCGAAGACGAGGGGGACGAGGCCGACGATCACGTATGCTGGGGTCCAGTTCTCGCTGGTTGGGGGGTGGTCGGGACTGTCGGGTGCGGTTTGCATGGTCTCCTCTGCCTGGGTGTTTTGTTGGATGTGGTTGTGGTGGGGTGTGGGGAGGCAGGTTGTGAGATGAGGTGAGGTGAGGTGAAGTGAGGCGAGTGTTTTGTTGATATGGTGTGAGAGATGTCAGTGGCTCGTCCTCGGTGGAGATTTGCAACCACTAGGTGTTGAACGTGAGATCTGCTTTTCTTCTTCTTTTTGTATGGGTGAGAACGTGTTGGCTTACGACGGTATCTCGTGGAGTTGTATGGGTTGTTTGCAAGTCTGGCTTGCCCGCGAAAAGAGTCACTTTCCCTCCGCGAGTCGGCCGTAGGAAAGGTCTGTAAGTTACACGTGCCCTACTCCTAGTCTTGTCTTCTCGGGGTGTTCGAGAATCTGGGCCAAATTTCCACGAGTATCTCTGATGAAGTGGGCCGTTTATTGTTATAAGTGCCTCGTTGCCACTTTCCATGGTGGTAAATAATCCTTCTTTTCCATCACGAGCTGTCTACTCTCTAACAATGCCCTTGTATGATGAGTTGTGTTTGTACAGAGCATGTCTGAGGGCGCGACAAGGGCATTGTTCCCCAGACAAAAACTCGATCAGTCAGTCAATGTGACGGGAACAAGGCATCTGAGAGCTAGGTTAAGCGGGTAGTTTGACAAAGAAGGCAAACAAGTCAAGGTAGATACCTCGCTGGATTTCTACCTAATCAAACCGCCTGCCATATCTCGTGTAATATCACAAGCGGGAGGTTACATAGGAGTCGAGGTTCGCTATCACAGTTGGGCAGCTCGAAATCAATTAGTAAACCCTCTTCCTATTCATCGTTGAGTCACTATTAATCAAGATCACCAAGTCACTCATGTACCCTTACGAAATCTCCTCCATCACTCAGTTCATTTCCAACTACTTTACTTGCCTATGCTTTTCAGGATAAATCCTAGGCGTATCTTCTCTTCTCAGACTTGATCAGCCGCGTCCCCTCCCGGATTCCCGCCCCTATTCTCCTCCTTGCTCAGAGTTCGGTAGAATAAGCATTGGATACCTGCGAAGACAATCACCAGGAGGACGAGAAGGATTATTGGGACGCCGACTGCGACTACTGTCTTCATCTCGAGGTTTGTGATGCTTCTTAATGCCACGCAAGGGTCCTGCAATTACCTGGAGCACACGCTCGCCCTCCTTCCTAGGTTTGATAGCAAGACTAAGGAGATGACTTGCTTGACGTCCTTCGGTGGGCCAAATAAGAACCTGATATCCAGTACCTCGAGCTTTATATATCTGACATGTCGCTTGCCAGAAAGCTGTCGTGTGCGCTGACCCGTGTTGTGGAGAGACAGGGCAACAAAGAAGAGTTTCGCGCACAATGCAGAATCGCGGTAACAGGTTGCTCTGTTTTGTGTTAGTTCTCCTCAACACATCTGCCCGTATCTGCACATCAAAACTGAAGACATTTGTTACTGTATCCTGGAAGCAGGAGATATGCCATCGTTTGGACAACCACACAGGAACTACCTAAAATAGAAACTGCCCGGGACGAGTTATAAAGGAAACTTGAAAGTGCCACACCTGAGATACAGTAGAAAGTAAAGTTGAGATACTCTGAGGCTGGTTATTAGATATCAGATTTGCCGATGCTTGAAAAGCGATGCCCTTCACCTCCGTCACTGGCGTGTATTGCTTTGCTTGTAGATGCTGTCTTTTGGTGACATATGCAAATCCAACTGAGGATATCGGTCTCTCTTCCAGTACACAAGAATGACCGCTCTCGCACCATTATCGATGTTCCACGGCATTCTTAAGACGATCAACGACAAGGTATCAATTGCCAAGTTCGAAATACGGGAATCCCCCACGTCAACTCGCCCACGCGCCACCTACCTACACGCCAACCGCCTACACCCCGACTCACCACCAGAACTCCACACCAGATGCGCAACTCCTCACAGATCAGACAACCCTTCTAGTCTTCCCAGTCTCCACCTCGTAGACCCAACCGCTAAGGGTGACGCTCTCCGGCACTAGCTTGGTCGACTTGAGGAAGTCAACGTCCTTCCTGACCGCCTCCTCGAGATCCGGGAACGGCAAGAAATCCAAGTTCTGAGACTTGAGTTCAGCCTCCGCGTCGGGGCTGCGAATGTCTTCTTTCAGTTCTGCATCCTAGCTTCGAACAGGGAGGAAAGCTCCATCCACCCATCCATCCATACGCACGAACAAGAAAAAAAAAGGGGTGAGGGACGGGAAAAGTGAGGGAAGACTCACCCGAGATTCTTCCCCACAAGGCCATAAGCGTCCTCGTTATTGAAGGTTAGCATCCCGCACCCGGTATGCTTGACGAGTACAATCTCCTCCGTGCCGAGGAGCTGTTCCGAGATGATGATGCTGCGGAGGGCGTCGACGGCGGACGCGCCGGCCTGAAGCGGGTCGTTGTAAAGTCAGCCCCTCCCTTTCTTCTTCTTCTGTTCTTCTTCTCTCTGTCTCTCTCTCACCCCATCTCCCCCTATTTGCTTCTCATACCACACAACTGCATGTTTTTCAACTTCTTTTTCACTTGACCCCACATACGTTGCGGATGACGTGCGCGTCGCCCAGCTCGATCCCGAACGCGGACGCGGGATCGATGCGCGCGTCCATGCAGGTCAGGACTAGGTACTTTCTGGCCGGTGGCAGGGCCAGGTGGCCCTTGGTGAAGCCGGAGCTGTACTTCTCCGAGGCGGCCTCGACATTCGTCTGGATGACAGACATGTTTGGAGGGTGTGTGGTTTCAACGATATGGGTTGGTTGGGTATGGATGGGGATGTAGATGGGTAAGGGCTACTTTATATCTTCGGCAAAAAAGGGGCGAGGGAGACGTAGTGTGCGTTAGTGATAGATTGGAGTCTACAAGACTGCCGGCTGCTCATCGAAGCTGGGGATGGGCTTGTTAGATATACATTTCCGACAGATGGGAATCCGCTCTCATCTTGATGGGCAATTGCCCTCGTCAATGACAATGGGAATCCCCCATCTCCAACCCCGCACGACGAGTCGGGCAGCCCCTGATCTAGAGTAGTAGCTGAGATGGCGTGCTCGACCCCAAGCAGCCCTCCTAGCTAATGAAAGCCGATTCCGATGGCAACAAACAGCCACCATGTCCCATCATGAGAAGATCGGCTGCAGCTGCAGGGCGTCCTGCATGTCTGTGCGGGTTGGGGGAAAAGCGCCAAGACGTTGCCCAATGCCGGGAATGGGAGGATCCGAGAGAAAGCCGGCTAGTCCTAGCTGAATCGAGCTCCAAGAGGCAGCCTTGCCTTTAAGTATATTGGGATTGTGTGTCGAACCCGGCAATGGCGGCCGGTCTGCTTGCGCCGATTGTGACGAATCAATCTTGCAACTTGAGTGAGCTTACCTGCAACATGCGGTATCCTGGCTCGGAGCACCTGCCTAGACGCCGGCGATATCACAGCGGTTGCCGTCCGCGATGATGACGCGATGGAACTGCAGAACCAACCACAAACCAACGTGCTGATCACAAGGCGACGATCTCAGGAGAGGGCAGGAAGCCACGAGCACGGGCACGAGCACGACCAAGAAGCACTTTTGTATCCCTACTGCCCATTGCTAGGGCGGTGCACCAAGGCAGGCAAAGTGAAGGCGCAATGACACAAGTGCACCCTTGAGTGGTGCTGTCCATCGAATGAAATTGCACGAAGACCACTCCCAATCCGGTCGGGAAGCAGCCATTTGATACCTCGTAGCATCGTGAGTTGAGCAGGCGCTGGTGGTGGCGATCCAGCCCTCTTGAAGAAAATGGGGTCCCTACCCACAGGCCCCAGGATGAATATAACTTGCCGTAAACCAAAACCACTCATCTTTTCGACGCAGAACCTTCACCCCTCCCTCCCTCCCTCCCTCGCCAGCTCAGAAGACGGTCCCGTCACTGTCGATCAGAATCGGCGGTTCCTTGGTATTCGGTCGGCTGACCTCGGCGATTTCCCGGCCACTCTGAGAAACGTACGTTAGCCATCTAGCTCTCACCACAATACCGAGGGGGAATGGGGAGGCGGGGATCTCACCTTCCAGCTCCCGGCCTCAAGGACCTGTGCCAAGCTCAACTCGTTACCGGCAAGTTCAGTCCGCAGCACGCTGTTCAGCTCGGAGCAGAGCCGGTCCAAGAAGCCGACGGTGACGCCCCTCCACTCGACGATGACATCGTCGCCCGGCTCGAACATGGGCGCGACCTCGACGGCCCTGACTCCCGTCCGCTGGCAGTACTCGTTGTAGTGCCGCAGGCCTCTCTCCTCATCCGCCTTCTTCAGCGTCAGCACGCCCAGGTCGATGAACAGGCCGCCGTTGCGGTACTCGGGCAGGCCCGTGAGCAGCTCCTGGCCTGCGAAGTGGATCTTCATGATGCTCTGCATGGGCTGCATGAGCGAATAGGTGAGCCACTGGGTGAGCTTGTGGAAGGGCAGGATGCTCTCCCACGGCGCAACGCCGTTTGACTGTCCGGACGTATTCGGGAAGGGGGCGAAGGTAGGGCTCGACTGGGAGTGGGCCACTTGTGGCATGGAGTTGCACGGCCATGCGTCCCCTAGGGAAACGCCGTTGATAGCCGTCCGGGAAGCCGGCCAGATTGGTCCGAGACCATCCATGAGGACGCTCCAGAGGACGGTAATCGGAACTATCAACATGCTTGACGCTTGTGTTGAGGGATGAGAGAGAATGTGGTCTGGAAACCGTAAGCATTATAACAGTCTTTCGAGAATAGCTCCAAGGAAATCATACCGAGCATGTTTCCGGGTCTGCCGTCCTCGCCGAAGAGGTCCTTCTTCTCATCCAAGGCCTTGCTCAATCGCACGAGGAGCTGACAGCGGCCGTCCAGGCCGGCCATTTCGCTGCCCGGTTTTGACTGGAACCCTTGTGCGAGCTTCTCGACGGTAAGCTGGCTTAAACCTTCCTTGTCGACCTGAAGTCGGTTGCTCTTATTTCCCGAGAAAAGGCCCTGGGTTTATGGGTCAGCATATAGGCCACACTCCGAGCCGGTATGAGCCCGCCTTGATGCAAGGCCACTTACAGTCTTGAACATCTCCAAGCTCGCAACAGCGATGCCCTCGGAGCGTCTGTAGATCCTGCCGTTTTCCGTGCTCTTATAGCTCCAGTGCGTACCGGCCCCGGCGTCAAGCAGGACGCTGACGAGAAACAAATCGATCATACGCTTGCACTTCTCCGTATTGTCCACGTTCTCGGGGAAGGTGGATAGGAGGTGAGCGATACGATCCCGACCGCCGACTGCGAAGTGTTGATGCCGGCCATGAGGGGGAATGCTGGCAAACGGGGCATCGTAATCTCTCTACTTTGGTCAGTATGGATTTTCGCTGTCCCATGTTCCCTCCCATAGCCACAGGGGGGGATTGGATATCACGCCCTGCCACCGCCCTACCTTTATGATATTGGCGACGAAGGTGATCACATCGCCGAACTTCTCCATGTCCACATCAAAGTGTTTCAGATCGTTCCGCAGGGCCTTGTCGGTCACGATCTTGCATCGTTCCCGCACGGCTGGCAGGCTGCGGAGGTAACTGGCCGGGTCCAGCTGCGGATCGGGGGGCTTGGGGAGGTCCATCTTGGGCATGTGGTGGGCGGGGGAGAAAGGGGTGAGCGGTGTGCCTGGGCCGCTGGTGCCGCCCGAGGTTCGGTTTAGGATCTGGAGGTGGGTTGTCGTCGCCGCGGGGGACTGGAGGGAGGAGGTGCCCGATTTTAGGGATGCGTTGGACTGTGATGTTGATAACGACGGTTTGGTGGCCCTGGCGGCCTTATCTTTCCGAGAGAACAGACCCATTGCAGCTTAGGTAGTGCCAATTGGCAGCGGACGCGGTTGACAGCGGTAACCAGCGGCTGAGAGGAGCCGAGTCGAACCAAGGCTGTTTGTTAACAGCTGCTAATGAACGAATGAACGAACGGCAAGAGAGAGCAAACAAGGCACTGGGATGGAGAAGGGGGAAAGAAAGGATAGTCAATGGCATCGAGGATGAACGGACGATACCACAAAGTTAGGCAGGTAGTAAGTACTAGGTAGGTACAGACGTACATACAAACAAATAATAAAGGAGGGCCAACGGGTACTCTCCCGTTCCCCGGATCTACTTCATAATATACCTAGAATCCGACCTAGACAAATCAAATCATATGCAGGGCCGCCTGTTTCTCCTGTCTCCTCAAAGGGGGGCAAGTTATTAAGGCCTTGCATAGGTTTGGTGGGTGCCACTTGTGGCCCCTGCCATTGAGCGATATGTAACTACACTGCCCTCGCCGGGCCGCTATTGCTTGGGACTGATCCTTGGGTTACTGAGGAGATCGATGGACTACGGCACGTTTCCTGGCCTTCTGGCCCGCTGCGAAACAAAAACTCCAAAAATCCAGCTTTCCAAGGGCCACGCTTCTGGGAAACTGGGTCCCCCCGTCAGCGGAAAGGATCCCAGTTGGTTCCCAGGAGAGCTCAAGTACGTGCACATGGGTACGCTACTATAGGATATGCAAGGTACAGCCGGCTAGTGCACAATTGGTTCCCAAGAGGAGAGAGGATCCTCCCGATGGAACGCTGTTGCGACTGCGACTTGCGAGAGCACCCGAACATCCTTCCTGAACTAGTGTCGAGTAGCCGAGGGAGTGGACCTGATTGCTACCGTCAAGAATCTTTTTTGCTTTTGGGCGCCCGAGAGAAGGGAGGTTACGGGTCGGGTCTTGACAGATTGCTTGAGCCTTCCATGTCGGCACGCCGCCACCATGACCAACCAGCTTGAGTAAGGCGGAAGCGAACCAGAAGACGAAGGGCCATCAGACGAGGAGGGCCCATCAGCCGGACCATGGGCGCTAACAAGACCTTAGCTTGCGGGCTATTCACTTCCATGTTCACCATCGTGCTTTGACTTCTTCAATCCGCCATCATCCTCGCTCCCCCCCCCTTCCCAGGCGTCTTTTAGTCTTTCCCAGACGCCTGGTTGACCACCCCATCCATGTCTCGCTTCTCTCGCCCCGCCCCGAATCACGCGAGCCGCCGCCCGCCGAACCATCCCCCTCCACTCGTGGGAGACTACACTAGACCCAAATCGCTTCCACCACCGAGACCAGGACCAATATCTCTCCGTCGCGGTTACGTGCTACCACGGGCGCAAGTGGATGGGCAGTGGCTATTTCTGGGCCGTTTCTCGACGGCGCCATGCGTGCAGCATGCATGCGTCATGGGGGGTGCGGAATGTTTTTCGCATCGTACTATGGCACAGACGTATATAAGGGTAACTACCTACCTATGGAACATGTATGCATCTCCAGCTGCCATCGTACGTGGGTTGGGCTGTGTACAGGTACCTAGTGGTTGGTCAAAACAGTCCGTCGACGCCACAGATACTCGCCAGAATGTCGTCGAAGGTATGTCAACTAAACTCCGAACAGTGCAAGACTAGGTATCTTGCGCGCATCTCGGAGAGTCACGCTACTAGGAGATGGCCATCGTACTCCGTACAATGGGATCTCTTGCTTTTTTTTAGGTTTCTCTCCCACCCACTACAAGTACCAGCATGATGCTGGCAAGTTGTCAGAACCTTCCTGATAACAGGGATTCCCCTGCTCCAGCTCGAAAGCCCCTCATGCCGGGGGAAAGACTCTCCTAATAAAGCTGCAAGGAACGAACCCAGCCGAAAGAGATAGATGGCCGGGCAATGATCAATGATGAGAGCAACCGCCCCCTCCCCCCCCCCCTCCCCTTTTTTTCTTTTCCGTAAGTCTTTCGTTTCATTGTTTGCATTGCCAATGTTGCGGACCCAAGACGAATAGAAGCCATCTCGTCAAGAACCATTCTTGTTCCCGATTGTTCAAAATCCCCACGGCGCGTCGTCGTTGCGAGCTACGCCATAAACGAACCACCCTCCCACGCCTAGACCGCAAACCGGCAGCTTGGCAAACGAGTTTCCCCCTGACGGCCGCCGCTGCGGCGGGGCTGCCCGGCAATCTTTCCAAGTTCTGTCATGTCGTCCTGTCTGTGCCCCAAACTCAACCTTGGTTCAACAGCAAACATACATACCTTGCAAAACATTCGGCGTGCGAATCTCTGGTGAACCTTGCACCTTAAAGTGGGAGATGGTATATAGAAGTTGCCGGAAAGGTACCGAAAGGGCGGTTGAGACTGCCCAAGGGTGTGATTGTTCAGGTTGTCTGTGGCTGGAAGGAAAGGACTCGTCCGACATCCCAAATACGTGTAATAACAATCTCACCAAATATATCAAATCAAAATCTGGAGACTTAAGCAAAGCCCTGGGCTTTACAGGAGCCTGTGTACTCCTCCTCCCTTCCATCTTGAAACTCCCACCCTCTAAATACAATGCGCGTTCCCTTTCCGAGCCAAGCCGTTCGTTAGGTACGTCAGATGCGTTAAGTACAGAATAGTGTACATCTTGGGAGTTTGATGCGGAATGGTGATCCAGTTGATCACCAGATTCGAGAGCACCTTGACACCCCTTCTTTTATCCCTCGCTCCACCCCCCAGCGCGAGAGGTTTCGTGCCGCTCCCATGCGGATGAACAGAATATGAGTGAGCTCTTGGCCCCGTCATTGAAAGTCCGACCCGCCCACACAAACTCCGTGTCTCTCGACCAAAAACAACCCCAGCCCAAAGGGGTATTATTTTATGTTCCTCTACTCCCCGTCAAGCAATGCGTCCATCCCATTGCGCTCGCTCTCCAGGCTGTCCGCTGTGGGGTTATCTCCCCCCTTTCGTCCGCTAGTACTGCTGTGGTCGTCTTCGTCATCGTCGTCATCGTCCTCGTCCTCGTTGACAAGATCGACAAACATGCGATCTACGTCACCGTCGCCCTCGGTCCCTACACCGATGCCGATGGGGTCGTCGTCACGAGAGCCTCCGCCGCCATTGCCACCCCAGACACCTCTACCAAAGATTTCCTCTGCCCTTCCGCGACCCTCCTCTGTTCGACAGAGAATTTCCAACGCCTTGGTCTTGACGAGCCCGGAGTTCACGTCCAGTCCATCCTCGCCCCCGGGGTAGCCGCGCAGGAGCCGCTCTTCCAGACCGACGCTCGAGTTGCTGTCTCCCACGAGATACTGTCGTGCGTTGGCCGCTTCGTCTTGCATGAAGAAGGAGGGATGGATCGAGCCAGAGTCCAGAGCCATGGCATCCGTCTTTAGCATGGATGTCGAGCCGGAGCCGCCGTGGCCTTTCTGGCCTCGAGAAGATGCCGAGTCGTCCTGTCCGTGGGACGGGTGGGCGTGGGAGCTGCTGGCGATCGACAAGCCTGGGGTCTGCGGTTGGGCGGAGGAATGCCGCGAGAAGAAAGTATGGCCGCTCGTTCCGTAGGGGTGAGACCCGGTGGGACTCGCCGAGTGAGCACCGCCAGATGAGGCGGCAGAAGCGGCCTGCGCGGCAGCCTCGGCATTCATGGCCTTCCGTTTCAGACTGTTCGCCTTCCCCTTGACGTTCTCGGGCAAGTCGTCCGGATCGTCCACGCCGTACTGGGCCAGCATCTTCTGCAGCTTCGTCGGACGCGGCTTGCGGGTGCTCTTGGAAGACTCGAGCACCGGAGGCGGCACCGGGGCAACAGGACTCCACTTGTGGAGCTCCTGGCGGAAGAAGTTTGTCTCGTACACCAGCAGAACCTCTGCCCCCTCGATCTTGCGCAGGTAGAACCGCTGCGTCTCAGCTTCGGACGCCGTTGCCAGAACTGGATTACAGTAGGCAGCTATGTGCGAGCGGAATGCCTGCGCATTGTCAATCATCTTCTTGAGCAGCTCTTCCTCCTCGGGCTGGAAAGGGAGGTTCTGGATCTCGTCCTGCCAGTTCAGCAGCTCCTCCAGCTTGGGCCGGGCTGCGTCGCGGGGGATTTTGACTCGCCAGTCACAGATGGGACACGTGTATTTGTCGTCTTCCTTGACCTTGCCGCGCGCGATCTTGAGGCACTTGCCGTGATACCATTCGTGACAAAGTTCGCATTCGATCATCATGCCAGCCTCCGTCCGACGGCAGATACAGAATACTTCTCGGAAGCGTGGATCTTCCCAGCGATGGACTTTGCCCGAGGCGTCCGGACTGGGCTCCCTCGAGGCCGGTTCGGCCGGCAGCCGTGGCTTATCGTGGGTGATGTCGAAGCAGTCCACATTGCGATCCAACACATACTCCATGTGGCTCTTGAGGATGTGGAGAGGCGCGTTGGTCTTGCCGAAGAGCTTCTTTCCCTTCCGCATCCAGTCTTCGTGACGCTTCTGCTCCTTCTCCAGGTCCAGCGTGCCGGGCGGCTTAGCTTGAAGTTCCTCTATCTTCTTCATGATCTCGGCGACCTCGGTGTATTTCGGTCTCTTCCGATAGTCGGGATTTCGCGATCGCTCGTTGAGATCCACGATGTGGCGATGGGCCTCACGCTGCTTGTGCAAGATCTGATCCACGGCTGCCAGGGTCGCCTGCGAGACAGGCAGGGCCTGGTCTTGGGCTTGCTGGGAGAGTGCGGCCAGCTGGGGATAGTGAACAGCGTCGGCGTTGATCAACTCTTGGGCCTTCTTCTCCCACAGCTGTCCCTGGGCCAGCTGGTCATTGTAGTGGGAGAAGTGGTCGTTGTAGATGGGTATGTCGAGCCGCTTGCCCTCTTCAATCAGGTCCCTGACCTCGCCAAGCGTCATGAAGATGCCGCGGTTGGCGGCGGCTTTCTCGTTCCACTTGAGCTGGTCCAGCATACGCGAAAGCTTCTCGACCTCGGGCATGTCCACGTTGAAGCTCTGGCCCTCCTCCAAGAGTTCCTCGACGGTCTCGATGGTCTGGGCCTGGCGGTGGTCGAGCGCCTGTTTGGCGTTCTCCTGGAAGGTCTTGACGGCCTCGGCGCGTTCCTGTAGCTGGACTATCTCGGAGCAATCAAACCCGATCTGGTCCGCCTCGTCAAGGAGCCGATAGATGTTGGAAACGTTGCGCATGTCCCTTTCCTTCTGCTCCTGGCATGAGTTACCAATTGATTTGCGCACGCCGCTCTGCCAAGCCTTCTCGTTCTTGCGGCGATTCTGTTGCTTGCGGATGGTGTAGTTCGTCGCCTCCTCAACCCAATGGTTGCACCGTTCGACAAAATCCCGCAAAAGTGGCAGTGAAGGGAGCTCATACGGTATCTTCTCACCTTCGTTGAGGAGATTCCGCAGCGTCTTCAACGACGGAGTGGCCTCCTCGTCAAGTGTCCTCTCGTACTTCTCCTCCCAAGCCTCCGGCAAGTGCGCCTTATCGGCCACCTTCTTGAAGGCCGACTCCATGTCCTCCTCTGTCTTTCGATAGTAGAGGACGTGGTCTGATCCGAAGTATCGAGTTGACTCCTTAAGCTCACAGCAGGCGTAGTTTCCAGCATGGAGGAGACAATAGAACTTGCCAGTCTTGATGCACTTGAACCTGGACAGGTATGCGAATCCCTTGCAGTGGGCACACGCGTACTCCTCCTCAGGAACATCAACATCCTCGAGCCGGAATTCGAGGGGGCACTGTCCATCCCCACCTCCGCCAGTCAATTGGCATCGATGTGGAGTCTCGCCGACGTGTTTGGCAACGAACGCCTCCCTCTGGGCAAGCTCACGCCGGTGGATGCGTTCCAATGCAGGGGCCAGCCACTTTGCGGTCTGGATGGACAGGCTACCCGAGAGAACCCCTTCAACAGCCGTCCAAAGAAGCTCGTCATGTGCAAAGCACGGTTGGCGTCGGAAAAGCTGGAGTCTCTCTACCCCGGAGAGACCAAAGGGCTCCCAGTCGGAGGGGGCAAAGTTGACGGCCTCGTTGAAGTTGAACCCATGATTGAAGCCTGCATGGTAGGCTTGAGGGTAGGTGATGACGAACTGGCCCGCCCGCTGGTCCAGTGCATAGACCCGCACGCCAGCCTTCTTCAGCTGTTCCGGGGTCAGCAGTGTGACGAGCTGGAACAGGAGGTCTGGTTGCGTCTCGAAGAGTTCCGGGACCGCGTCGCGCATGGCGTTCTCGAACTTCTCGGCGTCTTCGCCAGGAATACCGTACCACGTCTTCGTGGCACCGAAATGCTGATAGTTAGCCGAGTATGAATAGTGGTCTTCATTATGCCAGCAGAAGGTGGAGAACATCATGCCAACGTAGACCCACGGGACCGTCATGCCGGATATGTCGGACTTGATGTGTCTGAACAGGCTGTCAGGGTGCAGTGGAAGCAGGTTGAGGTTCCAGGGGTCCGTCGAATACGGGTTATCGGGGTTCCTTTCCACGGTTGGGAAGCCTGAGCCATGGGTTGTGCAGTGGATGTCTGCACCATATTCCACCTCGACGGTCTCTTCCAAGTCGGCGACCAGCCTCCAGAACTCATTCTCAACGTCATCCTCGGTGACGGGTCGGTGGCAGTTCAGAACAGAGTCGACGGGCATCTTGTTCTCAAAGTATGCCTGTTTGAAGTCGGCAGCCTTTTGCTGGAATTGCTTGAGGGAGTATAGCCCGCCCTCCTGGAAGCCAAACTGGCCATCGCCGACAAGGCATCGCGCGCAATTCCATCCCGATTCGGGTCTGGATCTCAATGGCGCATCCAAACAGGAGCCATGATAGGCGTAATCACATGATTCGCAGACAAGGAACAAACCACCGCGCTCCTTGCCCTTGCCACACTCCTCACATTTCTTTTGTAGCACGTTAGCATTTGGATTTGGACCACTACCAGCAACGGCATCAAAATCACTCACCTCTCCGGGTACTACCGATTCGTCTCGGGGAACCCTTGGAGCTGATGGTCGGAAGACCGACATATGCGAACCAGCCACAATCGGGATGGCATCTGCAAGTCAATTGCATTAGCGAGTGTCTTGTAACCAATAAGCAGTGGCGGCCTGCAGAAACGCCAGGCTGGGATGCTGCCTGAACGGTGCAGGCGTATGGGTCCATCCCAGGAGCGGAATTTCGAGTGCCAAATTGCAGTTTCCCTGGTGCTATCAATCGCAAGGTGTGAAGAAATATGACTAACCTTTCTTTAATCGCTTACTCCTGCGACTGCCGCCCTCGGTCTCGTCCTTCTCGACGCAGTTCTCTTTTTTGGCAGAGTCGAGGCTGTCGCAGCTGAGCTGTCGCTTCAGAGAGGTGGCCGGTCCCAATCCCGAGGGTCGATACTCGGGCGTATTTTTTGCAGAGGTTAAGGGTGTGCCGATCTGTTTTGGAGGAGTGCCACCCTTGACCTCAGCAGCGGCAAGTGGGCGATTCACGCTCGTAAACCCAGAGTTAACCGCAGTGAAGCCTCCAGAGTTGATAGCTGTGAACCCCGAAGAAGCCTGGGGAGGGGGGGGCGGTGTATCTGCTACTGGCGTGTCCTGTTCAAGGTCTTTGACATGGCCGTTTATACCTGCTTGTAGGGCGTCTGTGGCATGTCTTGCGGGCGAATCAGCGCGCAGGCTGGACGGCGTATTGACGCTAGATCGCTTCATGGGGCTCGGCGCAGGGCTGGGAGTGAAGGGGCCTCCATATTCCAACTCTAGCTGCTGATGTACGCTGGGTTTGGCGACTCGCAGGTATTCCTCGTAGGGGCAGAGCCACTTCTGGTATGAGTTCTTCAGTGAGGTTGACAAGGAAGACATGATCTTCCCGCTGTAGCCCAAGTCTCTCCCGATCTCGGCCCATTTCTTGAGCTTGCAGACCTTCTCGAAACCGCCCCTGGCTTCGACAGCTTTCTTCAGGCGGTACAGGTCAAGCGGCTTCTTGTCAACATAGGGCCATCTCGTGAGGTTCGTGCCTTGCTGCTTGTGGAACCTCGCGAGGGCATCGAGATATGTAAGGTTTGCACGGGTGCCTAGACAGCCAGGGTCAACAATCATCAACAGGGCTGGGGGAGGAGTTGTAGTTCGAGGACGGGGAGGGGGGGGCTTACTGCCTTCAACAGAATTCAATTCTTGTTTTCGTGTTCGGAAATGGAATTTCTGTACCGACACAGCGGATTAGCAAGCAAGTTCTCGCCTGAAGTAGCCCACCCGATTGAACGAGGCAAACGCCCGGGTCGACCGAGTGCTTATGGCTCTGCAATGAGAAGGTGTGGCGAAGAGAACCGACTCACCTCTGTGTTTATCGCGAAATCAGGATTCCACGAGTCAGGCGGAATGATCTTGCAGAGACCATATTGGCTTGCTTCGGGCGAAATCTTGCGAATGTATTCCATGGGATTCTTCCACTCTTCTTCTGTCGGTTGGTATGTAGGCGCTTCTTGCAGCCCATGCAGCCTATCCTTCTTCACCACCGGCTCTCTGCACGCTGTGGGCTGGCCTCGTCTCTCAACCGAGGACAGATCGAGAGGCGGGCTCGTCATGGAGCTGAGGGGGTTCTGGGGGTTTGTCGGGTGGTAGCCGTTGGAATTGACCTGGGCAGTCTTGGGTTTGCCGGCTTGATTGGCAGAGGAGGCGACGGCCGGAGAGGCTCGTGAGCTGGCGTTCGCACTGCCAGCTCCTCCTCCGGCAGCGGCGATTCCGCCTACCGCGGGGGCCGACACCATCTCGTTGGGATTGGAGCAGTACGGCAATCGAGATTGTGAGTGGGGTTTCGGCTATCGTTGTGGAGAGTTGAAGAGGCGCGGGAGTCGTTCGAGATGTGTGGGATGCGATTCGCGGGGAGAGATATGTCTAAGGGCCGTCACCGGAAATGCCGGCGCATTATGAGGATTGAGATCGTGAAAGTCCAGGGGCTGGAGGGTTAAATGCAAACAGTTGGATCCTCGGGGAATTTTGGGCGATGGGGGTTTTCTGAGGGTGGGATGACGGGGGAGAAAAAGAGGCAGATGGGGAAGCCCAGGCGGGAGTGGTAAAAGTATAAAAGGGACGCCGTTCCGGCCCAGACAGTACAACACCCTGGCTTTTACTACCAAATGCAGATGCAGGTATTACTGCAATAATCATGGGATTTGGGCTCCGGAAGTAATTATTTCTCTAACTTGTGCTTCAAACAACCGCGCAGATGTGAAGGGGTAGGAAAACAAGGTAGGTAGATGGTGGCAGAAAAAAGAGGGAAGACTGTGGAGGTTCTCTCTTCGCAAAGGGAGAACTGAGGTGCTGAACATCCCGAGGCGGGCGAGGCGGCAGGAGCAGACAACCCACTGGGCGGCTCCAGAAAAATGAGTGGGATTCACAAAGTGGGTCGGGGACTCATTCTACACAGACGGCAAAAGCTCCAGGCAGGATCTGGGAGATATGGCACAGAGAATACGACAGCCAAGGTACGGGGCAGAAGAGTGTATTACGCATTAGTACCAAGGTAGGCAAGGTACCTCGAGGTACCGTAGCTCCTAGAACACCCCGGGCCAGCTCCAGTGAGTTATACTCTACCTGCTTAATTCTTAATCCTACGAGACTTATTAACCAACTACCTACCTGACCTTGCCTCCATGTCCACGATGCAAGGAAGACCGACCCAGCTTTGGGGGGAGTGGGGCTGAAAGTAACCAAGAACTTGCCTTTAAAGGGCAGTCGGCGGCATCCGATGGTTCATGACACTACCAACCCACAAAACCTCATCACTCTTCTACATTTAAAGCCCACTAGTAGTACGATTACTACAGCCGGATTTGGAAACTGAGACAGAGGCAGTTACATCATATTTGCAGTACCCCAGGCCTGAATTGAATCAGTAAATTCGTCGTCTACTGCACAATAGAACCAGCCGAGGGACAAACGAGAGGAGAGCTGGATAGGTATGTACCTCGTAGGTATGCAAGGGCTCGTGCAGTGTGCCGGTAGTGTTTAACAGTAAATAAAAAGGGAAAAAAAACTTTTAAATAGAAAACGCCCAATGAGCCCTGCGCTGCCAGGCAGCTGATTCGATGCTTGAAGCGGCGGTACATACATGTATAGAGTAAGCTCTTGGCACACACTCCCTCCCCCTCTATACTGCATGCAGAAGATGGGGATCTGATCTGATATTGTCCCAGGCGTTGCAGGGGGCCAGTCCAATGATGTCGCTTATTTCTCCAATCACAAGCGACTGACGTTCGAAAAGGGAGGTGAGGTGCTTCGAGAAACCAACCCACACAGCCTAACTCAGCTTGACACGCACGTGCAGTGATAAATTGATTCAAAGCCCCACCTGCTTACGCACAGACCCTGCTTGGTCAAAATAGGTACACAAATACTTATTGGGATGCTGAACCTGAGTCTTCCAATTTCCATCCATGATACCTACGGCAATGTGTGTACCATAGCAAGTCCAAATTGTTGATATCGGGGTGTTCGGTAGGCTAGGCTCGTATCTTTATACAAGCATCCCTTCTTTAGGCAATGTCTGGAAATCCCGCTGGTTCCTGAAACGATACCGTGCTTTTTATCCCATGGGGTATATCTTATCCGAAAATGCTATTCCTCTTTGAGTGATCTGGTTATCCCAACGCCAGACTATAACGCCATGCTCATCCCCGATAACGCCGTTCTGAGCGGCGCTCATGACTTCGCTCTGCGCTTCTTCCCCAAGAGTTTGTCCCTCTCCTTCGTGCCCCTGAGCCTTATCGTCAGCTCCTTCATCATGTCTCCCCAACGGACATGCCCTTGGCACTTTGGGCACTCTCCCTCGACCGGTATTATGCTCCCCTCCTGTTCGCTGACAGGGAGCATATGCCGGCTCCAGCACGACAGATGCCCGACTCCCTCACAACCACTGTTGGTGCATAAGGCGTAGATGCCCTCGCTGGGAGACATCGGGTCACTGCACACAACGCAGCTCCCCTCGCGCTCGAAATCGAACACATCCTTCCCCTTTGCAACGTAGTCCTTGATAGGCTCGTAGTCCAGTGGCAGGGCGTGGATCCCCCAAGGGCTCGCCGGCCCCGCCTCCGATCCATCCTCTACGCTGCTCTGCTCCGCGGGCCCAAAGTCCGTGACGACGGGGAAGCCGCGTGGCATCGGCTCGTTGGCCGTGGCGCACCACTTCACCCACGCGGCGTGGGCGTCGCGCGAGAAGAAGTGCAGCTTGAGCGGCCAGCGCGCGAAGCTCGGCACCCGGACGAGGAGGTGGATGTTCGACACGACCGACGCGAGGCTGGGCCGCGGTCTGCGGGGCTGCCCGTTGCGCTTCGTCTGCGTCGACACTGTCAGCCGGGACGACGCCGGTATGTGCAGCGACAGATGCGGGTTTGCGAGGGCCCATCTGTTTGCTCAGCGGTCAGATATATGTGCCGCCCCGTGGCCCCTTTTCCTCCCCCAGCCCAGGCTCCCTGAGCTGCGTGGGCACTTACTCGAATTTCAGAGCCGCGATCTGGCTCGGGAAGCCAGACACGAGCGCTAGCATCTCCCACGGACGGAGACTGCTTCGCGATGTCCGAGCAGCCCCGCCGCGAGCGTCGCCATTGTGCTGTTTTAACCTCCTGGGCGGATTTGGGGTTGAGCCTATATATAGGGAGGCATGTGTTACGGTAGATCGGAGGACGTAGACGGTATACAGAGGAGGGATAGGTTTAGTGAGAATGGCCATGCTGGGTTGCGAGATTCGAGATGTGGGGTTCTCAGCCAGGAGGTTGCAGGCAGGTGTGAATGTGGACAGTTGCCGACAATGGCATCTGTATGTCGGTCATCTGCTCAATATCCGTTGGTTTCTCAGGGCATTCATCGGTGGGTATGATTCCTGGATTCCTAGAGGATACTGTAGATGATAAGAGTTGTGGTTGAGGACTTTGTTTACGAAGTATTACGTCGGGCAGGCAACCTACCAAGGTGGGGTGGAGGCGCACGAACCAATTGGGGGAAGGACCCCCATGCCAACACAAAATGCTTGGTGCTGCTTGGTTTTCAAGCGCACATAAGGGGTTGAGGCCAATTGTATGAGCTATGTTTACATCCTGGATCTATGTTTACATCCTGGATCCATGGATCCCCTCATGATAAGCCCTGGGTAGAAGGAGACTTTCTATAAGCCCCAATATATAAGATCCACTCCTGCCACTCTGCTCCAAGAATCGACCATCGCAGATCCAACAAAGTGATCCAGCAGAGTGGCAGTTTAGTGTTTAGAAACTGTATGCGAATCCCAAAGAAGTCAGGGCAAAGGCATGGCAAGCAGTTTGTGCAGCGAAGAGTCTAGCTTGGTGGTCGGTCGGTCAGTCCTATGGCTGGGACACCATCTGCAGGAAAATGCAAGCTCATCCGGCTGCTTCACAGGGAAAGACTCGAAGGGAACCATTGGGAATTTCAAGTCCTTGTCACATCTAACGTAAAGACATGCGACAATCGCAAATTCAGCCTCAGAAGAAACCCCTAGGATACAGTGATAACTAAGTATCCCCCTTATGTTGGCAATCTAGCTGTGCTTGAGGGATGAGTTAGCCATAGTTTCTTTCTAACGAGAGATGATGCCAACTCACCATTTGGAAACATGCCCTTTCCTCCCACACAACCTTTGGACAGACTGTCCTTGAACGCCAGATAACCCCGGCAATATTGAGAGATTTCAGCAGGTGGATGCATCATCGCAATAGAAACGAGCCTAAGCAATAAGATCGGCCACATTCATCGGCATCTCATCGATCTGAGTTGAGTAATACACTGTGAAGCTAGTTAGCATAGCACCAGGTGGTAGAGTGTAGAGTCAGAGAGGGGTACTTACACTCAATGTCCCGCAAGATGCGCACATCCTCGCTGGTAACAAAATTGATCGCAACACCCTTGCGCCCGAAACGTCCAGACCGACCAATGCGATGGATATAGTTCTCTCGGTTGCTCGGCAGGTCGTAGTTGATCACCAAGCTGACCTGCTGGACATCGATTCCTCTGGCCCACACGTCGGTCGAGATCAAGACTCTGCTGTTGCCCTGTCGGAAATCCTGCATGATGCTGTCTCGCTCCTTCTGAGGCATGTCTCCATGCATGCTGCTCACAGTGAAGTTGGCCTCTCGCATCTTGTCGGTCAGCCAGTCCACCTTGCGCCGAGTGTTGCAGAAGATGACGGCCTGGGTAATAGTCAGGGTGTCGTAGAGATCACAGAGAGTGTCAAACTTCCAGTCCTCCTTCTCCACAGCAATGAAGTACTGCTTCAGGCCCTCAAGAGTCAACTCGTCACGCTTGACTAGGATGCGAACAGGGTCGGTCATGAACTTGGTCGTCATGTCCAGGACATCGTAAGGAAGAGTGGCTGATACCACCACAACCTGGGTAGCGGGAGGGAGATATCGGTAGACGTCATAAATCTGCTCCCGGAACCCTTGGTTGAGAAGCTCGTCGGCCTCATCGAGGACCAGCATCTTGATATGCCGGGTGCGGAGGTGGCGGCGGCGAATCATGTCAGCCACCCGCCCCGGGGTACCAGACACAATATGCTGTCCGTAGTCGAGCTTCCGAATGTCCTCTCCAACGTTGGTGCCACCAATGCAGGCATGGCATTGCACATTCAAGTAGTCGCCCAGCGCCATGACCACACTCTGAATCTGGGTGGCCAACTCGCGGGTGGGAGATAGCACCAGGGCCTGTGTCTCACGGACCGCCGTATCGATGACCTGCAGCATGCTGATCGAGAAGGTCGCAGTTTTACCGGTTCCTGACTGCGCCTGGGCAATGGTGTCGCGGCCCTTGCAGATTTGGACTATGGCTCGGGACTGGACTGCAGATGGCGACTCATATCCATAGGCATAGATACCTCGAAGGAGACTCTCTGCATGTCATCCAATGTCAGCCCCAGCTCGAACACGTCTTCTTTCTCAGCCTTACCTTTCAGGGACATCGCCTCGAAAGTGGGGTGAACGGTGACCTCCTTTGAGGTTGAGAATTCAATTTTCTCATCCGCTTTGCGGTCGATACCTCCGCCGTCCGCCATGTTGATGTTTGGACAATGAGGTCACAGTCTTGTGCAAATTGTTGATGGCAAGAGGAGAGCAGGCTGGGATTGTTGATGCTTGATGAGGCTCAAGGTTTTGTCAAAAGTACCTGGTAACCTCTAAAATTTTGGCGGGTAATTATCGGCATAGAATTTGCCGCCCGGTGATTTGCCAGAACCAAATTGACAATGGCCTCCCGCCTTTTTTTCTGCCAGCCTTGCGCCGATAAGCTTTGCTGCTTTTCGGCCGCGACTTGCCAATACTACCACCACCGTTAATATCGTTGAAATATCGAGCACCTCTACGACAAAATGTTGGTTGAGGACCAGCGATATATCCATGAGGACCTCGAGCGCCTCGAGCAAGGCATCGCTGATCGTGTCAGTGAAGAGCCGAAGCATGTACGTTCATGACCCTCACCTTCTCCCTCTACCGATACCCATGGATTCTGCTAACCCACCGCGCTTCAGATTCGTGCCCGCCTAAATCGCGATCATGAAGTCTCCCAGCTCCTGGACCAGATCCAGAAGCAATCGGCCGAAATCCTCTCCATCTACGAAGACGCGTCGGGAGTGCGATCCAAGGAAATCCTCCAGATTGGCAGCGGCGACCCCTTCGAGGAATTCTACCGCCAGGTGAACGAGGTCAAGGAACATCATTCACGATACGCAAATGAGCAGGCCGAAAACTCCGAGATCCGGTACCGCCCTCGCAAGGCTGGCGAGGACCAGGTCCCGTACATCGTTGAGAGCATGTTCTCGGGCGAGGAGGCATACGGCCGCTACTTCGATCTGCACGCCTGCCACGAGTCGTATCTCAATCTACCCAATGTTAAACGCCTCGCCTACCTGCAATACCTGGAAGTCTTTGACAATTTCGCCGCCGTGGCGGGCGGATTGAAGCGATCCGACAAGTTGACCGACCAGTACTTCAAGTACGTGGGCGAGTTGATGGAATATCTCGAGTCATTCATGCGAAGAACACGACCATTGGAGAATATCGAAAAGGTGTTTGCGAGCTGGGACAAGGAGTTTGAGGACTCTTGGCAGAAGGACGAGATCCAGGGCTGGCAGCTGGAAACAGCTGCAATCCCAAGTGGAACAAACAGAACATTGAGCACGCCGGACGCAGTCTGGTGCGACGCATGTGAGAAGGACTTCAAGAACGAAAACGTCTACAAGGGACATCTTAACGGTCGCAAGCACGTCAAGGCTGCAGAGGAACTGAAGAAGAGGCGGGAAGCCTCCGCTGCGTCGGCGGACGGCACACCTGAATCCTCTGCACACCGTCTCAAGGAGCGCGCCGTGGCAGAGAGGGAGTACAGAGTGAAGAGGCTCTCAGGAGCCATGAGCACGGAGCGGGATGACACGCGCGTGAACGTGGAGCGGAGACAAGGAATGACGGAGCGGGAGCGGGCGCAGGAGCTGGACAATATCTTCAACGAAGTTGGCATAGCTGAGGAGAATGGCGAGGCCGAGGAGGAGGAAGAGGAGAACGGCGAGGAGAGGATCTATAACCCCCTCAAGCTTCCCCTCGCATGGGATGGCAAGCCGATTCCGTTCTGGCTCTACCGATTGCACGGCCTCGGCGTTGAGTTCCCCTGCGAGATCTGCGGGAACTATGTGTATCGCGGCCGCCGGGCCTTTGACAAGCACTTCAACGAGAGCAGGCACATATACGGCCTCAAGTGCCTGGGAATCTCGAACACGCACCTTTTCCGGGATATTACGGATATCGCGGAGGCGCTGAGGTTGTGGGATAAAATCCAGCGGGACCAGAAGAAGACCAAGGTGGATGATGGCAGTGTTGTACAGATGGAGGATGCCGAGGGGAATGTCATGCCGGAAAAGGTCTACTACGACTTGCAGAAGCAAGGACTGCTCTGATCCCTCGGAGAGGGTTTGAGCGGAATTGGGAGAGGGAAACCACATCTGTACATTATCATAGAGCCATGACGGAATGAGAAGTCCTCATCTTGAAATTACGGCTCACACTTCATATCCGGGCTCACTTACGGGGCATTGGCACCATGATCGTTGGGCAGCCAACCCAGGGTGACTGTTCCATGTGCATACAAACAGAATGAGTTCACCGACCTCGTCCGGTCAAGCAATCAATCAATGCCAGGCAGGACGCCATTGAACGCGACAATATGACTTGCATCAGAGCGGGCGGCCCCTCCAGCCTGGGACAGACTGGGGACTCGAAAATCGAAATGTAGATCTCAGAAATGAAACAGTCGCCGAACGGTGAGAAACCGGCGATAGTGATTAACGAAGGATCCTTTCCCAGTATTTGTTCTGTGAGTTTCTATGACGCCCAAGGGCGGCTCACCACGTGTGCACGCTTCACCAGGATAGAGTCCTTTAGCAATGCTATGGTTAGACACTCATGATTATGAGAAGAGGAGAAGAACCAGAAACGCAAAATTTGCGAGTGGTTTTGATGGTGGGCCGTGGGTGCCAGATATGTCACGTGGCCGGTCACAGGCAAAGTTGATCGTAATTTGCAATTGTCTGATTGGCAGATCTGGGCCGAGGAGCCGAAGCTCAAGTGGTCGCTCACTACCGTTCCGACCGGGACATCCAATGCTCGTCGTCGTCAGACTTCCTTGATCTCATCGGAGCTGCCATCAATTGAGACTTCCCCAACCGGTCCGGACTGCGTACACACACGAATATATCCTCCGGAGGACTAACTCTCAGGCCGCGGGCTGTTCGCAATGATTGCTCAACGGGTTGGCGCAACGGCGCTTCGGCGAGGTATGTCGGAATGATATCATGAAGCAAAATCCTAGGAAACCTCTCTCCCGCTGACACCTAATGTCTCCCGGCCTCCAGTTGCCACCAAGCCTTCAAACGCCTTCTTCACCCAGAACCTCGTTAGAGCCGCACTAGCATCAAACCTCTCGGCCACACAATCCCGGTATGCCTGCCTGCCCCCGAACACCCCCCCTTCCGCCCCCGACCCTACCCACAGAACCACAGATAGCTAACGAGTCCCCTCTCACAGCCCCGTCACAACCCAGAAGCTCACCCCAAACGAGGGGAACACGATCCTGGACCAGCAGCGGCTGCTTCGGCCCGTCAGCCCGCACCTGGAGATCTACGACAAGAAGCAGACCTACTTCGGCGGCTCCATCTGGCAGCGGTTCACGGGCGCCGGGCTGAGCGGGGCGCTGTACGTCTACGCGGCCGCCTACCTGACGGCGCCGCTGTTGGGCTGGCACCTCGAGAGCCAGTCGCTGGTCGCCGCCTTCGCCGCCCTGCCCGTCGCCGCCAAGACGGGCGTCAAGTTCGTCGCCGCCTGGCCGCTCGTCTTCCACTTCTACAACGGCATCAGGCACCTTGTCTACGACCTCGCCATCGGCTTCTCCAAGAAGACCATCATCCAGGGGGGTTACATGATCTGGGGCGCCTCGGTCGTCACCACCGTTGGCTTGCTGTTCCTGTAAGAGGGGCGCGGGAAGGTCGAGAGGGGGAAGTGGTGCAGGCTGGGGAACTGGCTGAAGGGTGGAACGGGGGGGTTATACTGCGTCCATGTGAGGAGTGTTGCCAAACTTGGAGGACCGGGATAGACTACTCGGGCACCCAGGGAGGTTCACAGCGGAATTGGTGGAAAGCCTCAAAATAACTGTGATATATGTACTGCATGCAACCTTTGCAAGTTTGTTCCAGTAGTTCTCGTACTAAATGTAGTACGTTGTTTCGCTGAGTTAACCAACACCCCCCCTTCCCGAACTCAAGCAACTCAAAAACGCCATTCGCCCGAATTGGGTATGCCAGACCAATCATCGTCCCACTGTGCTAGAGCTTGTCGCAGACGTCGACTCCTAATCGAATTGCCTTGCATCCAGGACCTCTCTGTTCAGCGCGTGGTTTCCCAGCCGCGCGACCCCCTCTCCAATGGTGTCGCCCAGGAACTCGGTCAGCTCGGCTGCCTCGCCCGAGGACGTGGTGCCGTTCATGCCATTTGTGACGGCGGCCCCGGTGCCTCCGACCAGGCTGCTGATCGCCTTGAGAATACCGCCGACAAGCACTTCAAATTCCAGAGCGCTGGTCTCTCCCTTTTCTTTCAATGGTTGCAGGATCCCCGAGTCGAAGGTCTTCAGGTTGGGCAGGGCCAGCACCCTTATCGCCTCAGGGCCGCCAGTGGCGGACAGGCCGCTGATCGCGCCAAAGAGCACTGCCGGGGTGCGGGTCGGATCCAGGAAATACTTCAGGCACGTCCTGGTGAGCTTGGGCCGCAGCATCGCGTTCGACTTGCTGTATTTCCTCGCAATTGTACCCAGCAGGCTGGCAGCCATCTCGCGGAGGCGGTACTGCTCTTGGATGGTATCTGTTCCGTCCTCTGTCCCGCCAAGCTTGCGACTCATCAAGCATGTCAGCACCGGCGCTGAGAGGGCGCTGGCATACGGGTCCAGAAAGAGGTTTGGGTTCGCGATGACCGCCTCGGCAAGCTCCATCATCTGACGCAACACGAATATGTCGTCGAGGCGGTGGGTGACTTGGCTGGTGATGAAGTTGACGAAGTAGGGGAGAAGCTGGTGCAAGCCAGGGTCGGATCGGACCGACTCCAGGGCCGCGGCTCGGAGACGGAGCTTCTCTTCGTCGGGGTCGTCGTCCAGAAGCGCTGCCTGTATCTTATCGAAGTAGAGGATGAGTTCTTTCGAGATGACGTGCTTGACTGATGGTCTGAAGGATACATTGTCGTTGCCCGCAAGAGCGGAGAGGGCAGGGTTTGCGCCGGGTCCTTTGGGTAGGAGCTCCTTTGACGAGGTCTCGGCCGTTGTGGGGTTCTGCGGTATGGATGGCTGGACGCCCTCAATGGCGAGCCAATGTGCTAGAAGTAGATGTGTCAGCGCTGGAAGCGCAGTGGCCTGTGACGGGGCGAAATGGAAGTAGATCTTACCAGTAAAGCTAATATCTCGTGGCACCTTTGGCAACGGAGCGTTGATGAGCTTCTCAAAGTCCACCTCTTCGTCTTCGATATAGAATAACGGCTGGCCGGGCCCAAGGCTCGCCTCCCCATACCGAAGCGGCCGTGTCGAATCGTATCCGTACAGCGGCTCGATGTCGAGGACCTTTAGTGCCTGCGAGACGTCCTGGACTGTGAGGGTAGTGCGGTTGCCGGCGCGCATAAAACGGAGAGCCTCCACGATGACTTGTCCGATGCGATATTCGACATCCTGGGAGAGGCAGCGCAGGGCTTCATCGTTCAGCTGAGTGATGCCCACAGACTCGGCGACATCCTTCACGTTCTCCTGATTCCAGAGGAGCTTTGGCACCTCTGGTGCCGGATTTGCCATATTGCACACGCGATGCAGTCGAGCGACGCAATTGCGTGTGTGATGCGAGGCTGAATTCGAGGTTGGCGGGACGGATGAGGCTGAAAATGGCCAAGCAGTATATTTGAATGGGTTTGTCCGGGGCTGGGTCCCCGCGGGCGGGCGCTAAAATGCGAGGGTTCGTTCCTACTCGATTAGTGAATTCCCAGTAATGTATTATGTATGTACTAGGTAGCTTTCGATTCAACGAGACGGAGTTCATTTGACGAGGCCTTCTCGCCTCCCTATTGTCCCAGCTGACAATTGAATCCAATTCGAACAATAGGTAAGCGGTTGGCATAAACAGGGATTCTCAACCTAGAGCATTCCCTGTGCGCTTCCAAACTAGGTAGGTAATAAGTAGGTTTACAGGTCATAAAACCTTCAGATTCTAGTTCGCCACTCTAACTCTAATCCGCTGATGCCGTCGTTTCTAGAGAACAATAAACAACAGATACTTCCTTCCATAGGACGCAATTGGGTAGATCAATTCCTTTACCTATCTCATGACACCCGTAACTGCTCTTCTGATATTGCTGTCCACCTACGGAAACAAGCCCCAGGAGGCCTTGCCCATGCTGTCATGCCTCACACTGTACCCCATGCTCATGCAAAAAGTCGAATGCCTCCAACACGGCCTTCGTGTAGGTGAGCGCCGCGGCGACGACCATGACATGCATGATCTGGTGACTTGCCCCGAAAAGGTCAAACCGCCTGGGGAACCACTTCTCGGGGAACTGCTCACAACCAGCCCCCTGAGTGTCAGCCAGCAACTCCAAACCCCTTTATATAAGAAGAAGGTAAGACGAGGGAAAAGACGCGCAACCCACCTTGGCCATATAAGCCACCGCGCCAACCCCATTACACGCCGCCGTAGCCCCCAGCCACGGCAGCGCGACCCGCCCCGCGACCCGGCGCAGCCCACCGCACAGCACGGCGCCGTGCGCGAGGGGCGCGACGAAGCTCCCGGCCCCAAATGCCGCGAACAGGGCCGCCCTCGCGGCGCCGAGGCGCGGCCCGCTGAGGCTTGGCAGCAGCGTGGCGGCCGAGCAGGCCGCGGCCAGGAGGGTCGTCGCTGCCAGGTGGGCGGCGCGTCGGGGGGTGGCGCCTGGGTCGTCGTTGTCGTCGTTGACAGGCAGGCTGTGGTGGATGAGCGGGACGGTGGCGCTCCACATTAGGAGGAGGACGCCTTGGATGTCGAGCTTCATGCCTAGGAGGTAGAGGCGTTCGGAGTGGGACATGAAGGTGTGGAAGCTGGGAAGGGTTGGGTTGGCATGGTTGGGTGGCTGTCAGGGGGGCAGGGAGGAAAGGGGTTGCTTGGGAGGATCTCTCTCTGGCAACACAGTCTTTCGACGAGGGGCTGACTTACGCGGTCGAAAGGGCGAAGCAGATAGCCACGCCTACAAAGTAAGTGCTGCAGACCGCGACGTCTACCCATGTTGCAATGGCGAAGCGTGGCGGGACCTCAGTGGTGAAGAAATAAAGGGGTAGAGCAAGGAATATACACGCTCCGATGATGTGCGAGTATATGTTGACTGTTGATTTATTTCAGTGAGGACTGAGAACCGGTCGTGGATGATAACGGGGGTTCACTTACCAGTCTCATTATGGATGTAAGTCCAGCTGTGAATGCACGCCCAGACATCGCCGCAAGCTCTCCTGCCCGGACTGATGTTAGTCAAGGTGCCTGCGACCTGACCTGACATGTGGGAAAGACATACCTATACCCAGTATGAATGAGCTCGCTTCCATGTCTATCCACCAACAACTTGCAGTTAGTCGTCTGCCAGCTCTCCATCGAGGCCACCCCTCAGGCACCGCTAAGGAAGGACTCACTGCTGCCATAGGGCTATAATCCAGACAACACTGGTTAGCCGATGCTCCTCAAGCAGAAATATATCGCCAGTCACTCAGTCACCCAGTCCACTCACGCAGATCCGTCCACAGCAACAACCGGACCCCCTTCTCCGCCATCGCGTCATCCTCAGCCGGCAGCTCCCCGGTGCTCCGAACATCGGCGATGCCCCCCCACCTTCGTCTCAGGCCAGCAACGATGCGGTCCGAGCCCGGGACCAGTACTGAAGCCATCGAGAAGACGACCTGGCGATTGCCAACCCAATGTTTTTGCCAGTCCGGTAGCCCGCAGGAGAGAGTCGGACTTCATATAACTCGTCGGCTCCACGGTTCTGGGGGAGGCGGTGGACGTGCCCCGGGCTAGACGTTTGGCTAGACGTTACATACGTCCGAGCCACGGTGTAGTGCAGATCCCGTCCCCGGACCGTCTCATACTGCCCTGCATAGAGCATGGGAAGTGAAGCCCGCATTAGTCATCGACCTCCATCTGTGTTTGTTGATTCTGGTAATTGAAAGTCAAGATCAGCTCACTGGTCCGGCATTCCATAGTGATGTATATCTCTCAAATTTGTGGTCTCTAACTGCTCCTATGAATGAATGCAACCATGAAACATGCCTGGGATATCATATCCAAAAGTCACCCTCTACGGAGTAAAAAAATCCAAATCAGACGCCAGACATGTTCGTTCCCCTAAGTTCCCAAGTACTCCCTGCTTCCAAAATACAAAATCCGTGAGCTGGATGCGTGCGCAGATGCTTAGATATGCAGGAAAAGATCACATGTCGGATACCCTTCGCCACAGCTTTAAATCAACATAGCTCTCTTCAAGGCTTAGAAGATTCGCTCTGCTTCTTCTGCTGTCCGTCTGGCGGAGGGGGGCTCCGGAGCTCGATGGGGCTCTGGGAAAAGTAAGACTGTACGTCCTCGCTGGCAGGCCTCTTCGTGTCGGTGAACCATCTCCTCGTCGGGGTTAGGCTCAGGGTCGGGGTCTGGGACAACTTCCCCTTCCCCCCACCGACATCGCCGCGGGCCACCGCATCCACCGGGTCCTCGCGCTCTTCGGCGGGCGACGCGAACGGCGGGGGTATGTATTCGTCCCCATAGTGTCTGCTCCCCCGCTTGCCATGGACGCCGCCGGGCCCACTCATCCCCCACGGAGATAGCTCCGCGGTGGTGACGGTTATGGACGTCTTGGCCGAGGTGGGCTCGGCGCCCTTGGCGGGAAACACTCTGACGGTTTTCTCCTCTCGCATCACCACCGCTGCTGCTGCTGGTTCCCCTTCCCCCCGCTCGGCGGCGTGCTCCTTCATGACGTCCATGAGGCCCTCGTCGTGCTCGAGTTCCTGCATCAGGTCTCGGTCTCTGGGCTTGAATATGCGTCTTACGGCAGCCAGTGTCAGCTCCAACACGATAGGGGCCAACAGGGCCACAAGCATCGTGAGCCACCATATTGCCTTGCGCCCGAAATTCTGCAGGAAAGCGTCGCGGACGATGTAGGGCCCCGCCGTCGGGGCGTAGATTAGACTCAGCAGGATGTTCCAGAGGAACCAACCCCCCACGGAGAGGATCAACCCCACCAACGATATGATGGTCTGGTTGTGCATCTCGAGGACAAGCATCTTCAAGTTGATGAAGATGATGCAGACAGTGAACGCGAGAGCGCCCATTGCGAAGATGGTCGTGTCGGCGGTGAAGAGAGCAGAGTCGTAGATGCCGTGGATGATGTGATAGATCAGGATGGATTCGCTAGCGGCCAGGAACATCCACCAGAGATATAGCTTGAAGCTGAACGCCAGGTTCTTCTGCCCGAAGGTGTACAGTTCGGGCACCGCCAGCAGCGTTTCGGCGCGGAGATCCTGCTCAAATATACCCAGCAGGATGACCGGCAACGACGTGAACAGCGTGTTGAAGACTGTCAGGCTGGCAGGTTCGAAGAGGGACGTCCCCGTGTAGCCGTTGTACCGCTGGTACTGTGCTTGGACGAGATAGAAGACGACCTCCTTCCAGAAGGTGCCGAGAATGTACTTGCCGGTCCTGATGTAGTTCCAACGTCCGTGGACGAAGAGGAGCCTTTGCAGGAACCTGAACTGCGCGATCGAGTAGTCCGAGATGCGGGCAGCCTGGAGGCCCTCACGGCCAGAGATGCCGATGCCAACGTGCGACGCTTGAATCATGGCGATATCGTTGGCTCCATCGCCGATGGCCAAAGTGAGACTGGAAGGCACCTGCTTGCGGATACATTTCACCAGGGTTGCTTTCTGCGAAGGCGATGCTCGACAGCATATAACCGAGTCGACACGAGCTACAAGATCGTAAAAGAGTATCTTGAGGGACTCGTCCTCCTCGACCACGCCGAGTGTATGCCCATCGATGACAACGACCGAGTGCGGGATCATGCCACGGCCGACGTCGATCAAGGTAGATGCGATCTTCTCCTGCAAATCGCCCTTGGTGGCATCGAGTATGTAGACCTCTGAGAAGGGTTTGCAGATCCTTGCCGAATGTGCGATGTTGATGGCCGTCTCTCGCTTATCACCCGTCAGCATCCAGACCTTGATGTTGGCGCGACGGAGCTTATCGATCGTCTCCGGCACGCCTTTCTGCAGCTTATCCTCGATAGCCGTGACGCCCGCAAGGTCGAAGCCTTGCTCAATCAGCTCAGCTGCAGCCTCGACACGTTCCTGGCGGTTGACCAGACTGGTGGTCGCTTCTTGGTAAATGGGTTTCCACTTCTTGTAGTCGTCCTCTTCCAGGTACCGATAGGCAAAAAGCAGGGTTCGCAGGCCTTCCGAGGCGAAGTCGTCAATGTGTTGGAAGCAGCGCTCAAAGACGGCTCCCTCATTCACAGCCAACCTCTCGTCCACCAGGCCGTCGTACAGATCGTCGCCAGATGTAAAATCGGATGACCGCTTCCCCGCCATGGATGCCCGTGGGGTCTGGTAAGCGTCGTCGTCTCCGGCCAGCTGCTCCATATCTTCATTCTCGAGCCGCGTGAGCCAGGAATCTACCTCGTCCGTGACCAATGACCTCCTGTTCATGCTGGTCGATCGCTTGGCACTCCTCGGGCGGAGTCCGCTCCTTCTGTGACTCAACCCCGACGCTGCGCGAGCGAGGTGGATGCTGTCACGCGTATTCCTCTGCGTGCTCCGCCGCTGGAGCGCCTTCCCTTGCTCCACACTCTTGCGTTTGCTTGCCCGATGCTCGACGGCAGAGGCCTTCTGGGCTGCAAGGCCGCTCAGTTTGAGCCGAGGGAGGATGGCGCTGTCCGCACCCTTGGTAAACATGCATATCCTGCCATCAGGCATGCGGATGATGATGGACATCCGTTTGCGTTTGCTGCTGAACTCGATGACGTCGAGTACCTCGTAGGTCTTGGTGGTGGTCGAGTCGTCAAAATCGCGGAATTGCAGCTTCATGGACTGCGGCGGCCTATCAATGAGGAGATATCCGAGATCTCTGGCAGCCTCGACAAGTGCCAACTCGTCGGGCGATGCGGCCTGGAATGCAACATCTCCGTCTCCGTCTGTCTCGGGGAGACACGTATGGCACAGCGCAATACAGAGAATGAAGTGACGAGCCTTTCGGGAGAAGGTGGTATGGGGCTTGAGACGGAGGTATTGAATGAAATCCTCAGTCTTCAGAATGGGCTGGGCGTGGGTCGGCCTCGCAGTCGACCTCCACTGGGAGGCCGAACTTGTTCGCGGCTGGTTACCTTTGTCTTGGTCCTCAGCGTTGTATCTGGGGTAGCGATCGCCGCCAGTTGCCCGGACTGGGCTCTGTATGGTATGAGTCTCGCCTTCTTGTTTCTGCTTGCCCTTGGTCGTCTCGCTCTCCTCGGCCTCCTGTTTGCGTGCCTTCTCCTCTGCTTCTCTTTGCAGATCCATATCATGCAACCAGGCAGTGCCAGCGACGCTCATTTTCCGAAAGCGCATGACGTTCTCTGTAAGCGTTCCTGTCTTATCAGAGAAGACATAGCTGACCTGCCCCAGATTCTCCAGAATGGTGGTTGTGTTGGCAGCCATTGGAGTATCCGTAACCGGGTCGTACATCTCGACATCGTGGAGGAGAAAGAACTGGCCCAGCTTGATGATTTCGAGGCTGACGTACAATGACAGCGGGATGAGGGTATTAAACGCGATGATGAAGGCGATGATGATTTCCTTGAAAGGCACTCCGGCACCATCAAGATACCAAGCCCGAGGTTTGTAGTCACTCTTCCAGAGCTCGTTGCCGATCGTACAACCGAAGCTAAGCATGATAACGAAGAAGACAAGCAGGAGGACAATGCGGTTGATGATGGACTGTATCACAGGCGCCTTGGCGTGGGCGTTCTTGTGTGCGTTCATGCGGATCTTGCACTCCTCCCCAGAGTTGATGACGAGCCCAATCGCATGGTTGGTATTCCTCAGGGTGGAGCCTCTGTAGACAACTTGGTTCATCGTCAACGGCATCGTCTGTCCGTTGACTGTCGCCCTCCCTTCAAAGTTGTAAAGATCGAGATTCGGATCCTCCGACACAACTGTGGCGCCGCAGGAGGACAAGCCGGACAGCGTCTTGCAGGAGTCGGCCAAGAGCGGACAGGCCTGCTTGCTCTTCAGGTTGGTCTCCCCGTCCAGTGCCATCGTCTCGATGTAGGCCACCCCGTTAGGGCCAGTGGCATGGAGCAGCACAATATCGGCCGGCACATCCTCGTCCCTTCGTAGGCGGATGATGTCGCCGACCCTGATGTCCCGCCACTGTACCTTAGACCACGATCGGGCCTCGTCGCCGGGGCCGCTGATACCCTGCAGCTCCGTCATTTCCGCATCTGCATCCGCATCTGTATCGGGTGTGTCTGATTTTATCCTGAACACCTCCTTCAGCCCTCTCGTTCCTGTTCCGGGAGCGGGTTTGGCCTGTCCATCGGGGTCAAGAACCCATGCATCCTTCCTATTTTCCACCTTGTCGAGCTTGTACCTCCTGTAATCATCATAGCCCTCCTTCCCCATGCTGATTGCCACGAACGCCATCAGCGGCGCGATGGTGGTATATGTCCCAGTTGTGCTCAGGCCCGGGATCATCTGCATGATACCGATGCACAGAAAATAGAAGTTCGCCAGCTTACTAAACTGGAAGAATAGTTGCTTGGGCAAAAAGTTCCAGAGGGTATATCTGCTCGATCGTATGAAATTCGTCACATAAGGCTTCCCCGTCCGCTCGTCCGTTTGGGGGGTTCGGCGTGAAAGTCCGGGTTTGACGAGAACATGCCTCCCATCTTTGCTTGGCGGCAACGGCTTCTGCATCAGCAAGCCCTCGACAATGTAACGCTGGTAGAGGGGTGCAACCCGGGCCTTTATTCTCCAGGTAGGACCGCCCGTCCACCGTCGTTGTCGCTCCCGCTGTCGGGCGAGCCAGTCCCGGTAATTGGCCAGTGTAACGTTGGTCTCGGCCGCATTAAAGAGTGCATCCTTAAAGTTTCTGTCGAAGCTCTCGAGGTGATGGTGGCGTGGATGCTCTGGTGATATCGGTGACTGGTTATAGCTGTCGGCCGCGCTGTATCTGATGTCTTTTGGGCCGGTCGGCCCCGGACTCCTCGATGAAGATGCCTCTGCATGCGCAGCCCCATCTTTCTCCTGTGTTTGGCCGCTCCGTCCCCTCGCCTTCCTGTCGTCCACATTTGATTGGATCGTGTACAGCTGGGAATCTAGATGAAGGGACGCACGCGTTGCATAAGGCCTGCTTGTCGACCAATTCTCTGTCCTTGTGCGAGGGAGCTCTTCGGAGAAGCGGATCCGGCCGCTTGCTCCGTGGGCGTCGTTAGGCGTGAGCCATGCTGAGCCCGCTGTCGACCGGTCTTGCGGTCGCGCAGAGGAAGTAGTCCGTTGTATTGAAGGGCGCGGAGGTTGTGCGTCTTCTTGCTGTAGCTCGAGATGTTCGAGCTGCTCTCGCAGGGTCTCTGCGGCATCGGGGCGACTGTTACCAGCCATGACAAGTCAACGAGTTTCTGTCCTTGATTGAGTTTCAGAGCTGGAAGCTTGTGGAGCACGGGGCAGGATCGTCGTCGGGTCGGGTCGGACTTTCACCGAGACGCAGGCATTGGTGCCGAGTTCTAACCATACTCAGTTCGACAATGCGGAATATCGAGGACGCGTCTGGCCGACGCTGGCCCACCTCAATGAGAAATTGATATTCCCCAGTCCGTAACACTTCGGACAGCCGTCGGTTGCGAGGATAGGTAGGCGACAGGGAAAATGGCAACGGCAATGGTGAGAGAGGGAGAGAGAGAGATACCACATTGTATGACGCCTCTCTGGATATGCCCCTTTGGTACCTGTTTTGCAGGCTCTCAGACAGGCTTATCCACCCAGGAACTTGGATGGTCTCCACTCTTCCAGGTCGACTTTCAGCCGTGGCCACCTATCTTACACTGAGTCGGTCCTACTCTGGTTTAAGCCTAGCGCCAGATAATTCTGCACGTGACCCTGTCTGCCCATGACCAGTTTGTCTCTTTTTCTGTTAGTTTCCTTCGACAGTCTAGCAGGTATACGAAGCTTTCGGCAGGTCTAGTCCTAGGGTGTCGCACCATGAATAAGGAAGGTTTAGCTGAAACTTGTTGCCCACACGCACTCTAGCCTCATCCAGCATTTGATGTCCTCCCCAGACTGTTGGCCACATACGCAGACTTCGGGCCAGAACCTACTGGATACAAATAGTTTCTCTTCCCGTTTGACTGATGAAGATCCAAATAATCACCAAATATACAATCAGCACAACGACCGGTACCTCTTGGGAAACAAGGTAACCAGACAGTCAAAAGTCCACACAGCTACAAGAAGAATCGGGTTCCTAGGGAACGCAAGCTTTGTCTTCCTGTTACTGTACCTAGGTAGGCGAGGGTTTCCTCGAAGGGACTCAACCTCTCAGACCCCAATAATATATGACATATATGTCGTCCTTTCCGGGAACTGCCACCAAAATGTTCTGATGACTCTGCTCTGGTTTACGTTTCTCCAACCAAAAACGTGAAACGGACGCCCAGTGTAGCCCTCACCCCAATCCCAAGTACCTTCATCAAAGACAAGAATAACACTCAGCTATATCGATCCAAAAAGAGAAAAGGGGGGAGAGGGGGAGATAGATATATAAATCCCAAAAAAACAACAAAAAAGACGTATCCCCCCCCCTTACAGCCGCCTGGGCTGACCTCCTTCTTCCTCCCCCCGCAACCAGCAACATCTCTGTTACTTTCATGACTGACAGACCATCCAAATCGGCACCGAGGCGCTTCAGCCTCGAAAAAATACTCAAGAACTAGATATTAAATGGCTTCCGGGGCGGGCGCAATATTATGACCCCAGAATAAGTCGCAAAACAGGCCCAGGTTTGTCGTCAAAACGGAATGCAGAAACAATAAGAAATACGCTTTCTGGAAACAATTGCAATTGTCCGATCGCTGTGCCAGACACGCATAATCGAGGTCCGAAGGATTGCATCGCCATGCAGGTTCGAGGGTTGAGACAGAAGGCAAAAACTGAATGGACAAGTATTCGCCTTCAGCCTCTGGCTCAAAATATGCGAGAACCCCCGGGTGCCGAGATAGGGATGTGTGAGTGACAAAGCCTCGAGGTATATACATCGAAAATCCCCAACGCCGGTCGCAAATGAGTCAAAATCGGCACTCTTCGTATACATGAGAGACACGCCTTGTGGGTATAAAATGAATCATGAACCAGTCCGGGGCCGTCGTCACCCTGCGCAACACAAGGGGCTGCGGATGTGGGATGCTACGGCCAAGTGTCGAAAATCGCACCGGCCGCCGCCGCTCACCACTTCTCAGGGACCTTGGTGTTGAACGCTCTCCGGTGACAGACTTGCGGGGTCGACTGTGTCAAAATGGACGAGCTGATTCATGTCCATTTCGGCCTGGCTGCCATCAACATAGGCAGGCGAATGCGGGTGCATGGGTAGATTGAGTGTATGTTTTGAATACATCTCGTTCAAGCCGCTGCCGTCGTCAGAGATGGCCGAAGAGTCGTGGGCCCTGTAGGCATCGGCAGACGCGCTACGGCCCATCATCGAGAGGGGCGGTGACTGGTCGACAATGGCAGGATCTCCGTGGTTCGTGAAGGACAGAGGTGAGACTGAGGGGGGGACGCCCAACGACGCAGGATTGACCATCGGGGAGAGGAAAGTACTGCTGTACGGAGTGTTGTAGTTCGAGGTCGGCAGCGGCGTGTTCTCCGGACCCTGAGACGCAAAGAAGTTGGGGCTGGAGTAGTCAGATGGCGATGGCGCTGTGGTTGCCGACATTGGGTACTGGTGCATATCCAAGCCGAAGCCAGCCTGAGTATCAATACGCAAGTTGTGGCCAACTGGACCCAGGGCACTTGGTTGTTGAGGGATGGGCGCGTAGATATCGGGGTTGTGCGGGTGGGGTTGGTTCTCGCCAGGGTGTTGGATGCAGAACGAGGGCATGGGCGCCTGGAGCATCGAGAAGTCGACTGCCATTGGGACCGAACGGCTTCGCTGCCTCTTGTGACCAAGACCACGCATGGCCGGGTTGATACCGATGCCCCATTGCTCTTGGAACATGCCGACATGCGGTTGGGCAAGATTGGGCTGCGAAGAAGGCCGACCTGTCGGCGAGACAGGCGCAGAGACTGACATTGGATGAAGCTGGTCAACGAAGGGGTTGGAGGTATGGCGATGAATGAACGACTCAAGTGAGATCAGCTTGGCAAGCTGGCCGCTTAGGACCTTCGGGTTACCGCCCAGGTGGTGGACAAGACAGTGCGACGCTTGTTGATCCTCGGTGAAATCTCTGCACTGGAAGAAGCCGTTTGTGGTGGGAGACGAGTCCATGAAAAAGTTCGGCGGCCGATTCAGCTCGATAACGATACCACCAAGTTTGTTCGGGTCGCCCTCGCTGTTCTCGAGGAATATGTTCTTTATATACGCGAAGGGGTACTCGATCTTGTAACCAGCCTGCTCGTTGTTGATGTAGTAGGTCATGGTGCACTTATCCGGGGAGTAGAAGACGATGAGGTCCATCGTGTTCTGCCCCACTCGTGTCCAGCTCCCGATGTTCAGGGATCGACAGGTAAGATGATGGATCACTGCTCTGGGATTAGACGCCGAACCTCATGAGGATTGCCTGAGACGGTCACACTTACAGACTTTGCCCTGTCCGCCCTGGTCACCACCGAGAAGCATGTTCCCGTGGCCATACGGGAGCAGGCCAGTCCGGGCAAAGAAGCTTCCGCCTAGGCCCTTGCCCGACTCCATTGCCTGCATGGCAAGGTACGTGCGCATAGAATCCGGAATGGAATCCAGATCCTCACCGGTTTCCAGGCTCTTCTTAGCCAGGAGCTTGATCTTGGCGCGTCTATTACAATTGTCAGCCTCCCACTCTCAATCGAGCCTACGGGCTGGACCGGGGAAATATCTGACACCGACTTACCGATTCTGGAACCAGATCTGAACAGACCTTTCGGTCATGTTGATCTCGTCGGCAATCTTGTCTCTGACAGCAGCTGTGGGGGTGGGATTCTTGTTGAACTCCAGCTCCAAGGTGGCCAGTTGATCCTGTGTTGCCCTCTGCCTCTTCTGGTTCTTCTGCTGCTGAGTAAGGGTGCTCTTCCGCGGCGGCCGTCTTGACCCAGCAGACTGGCTGTTGTTCGAAGGCGTGTTTGTATTGGATGGAGACGGTGTTTGAGTCCCATTGCCAGTTCCAGCCGATACTGGCGTCGGGACGGTCGCATTGTTGCCGCTTGGGGCTGGCGTCATGGCCGACGGGGTTGAGCCGTTGGCCCCGGCTTCCACCTTCACCTCTGTCGCCATGTTCCAGCCTACCGAGGCAATCGTAAAATGTATCTCAATCGTCCGAAGGCAACGCACAAGTCCAACTCGATTGATGACTAGACACTTCCAGATGAGCCAGGTGCCAGCTCTTTATCAACCGAACGGGGGCGCGAGATAAAGTATCGAGGGCGTTATGATCGAGATCAGCTAGCGTTTGGACAGGAAGGCAGTCGCGTGCGTAGGGGGCCTGTATAGGTTGAATGAGTGACGGGGAAAATAGGAGAAAATGGTTCCTAATGAGTGTGGTCCTGATCCAAAAGCTGGAGGAGGATGTTCTCTAGATACTCCGTGACGGGATACTCCGAGAGTTCCCAAAAGACGGTGGTGCAAGGTTGAAAGAATGTAAAGGGACCCGAAAAAGAGTGACGGGATCCGGAACGGAGAGAATGGTTAATCCAAGTGAGTGACTGTGGTTAGAACAAAAAGAGTGGCAAGAAGCGGGGGGGAGAAAAGGAGGGATTGTCGGCGGAAGCGACGATGAGCGGTCACGGATGGGCAAAAGAAGGATGGGGAGAAGAGAAGAGGATGGGGGCCAGGAGTAGGTGGTGTATGTATATCTGTACCTACCTTGGCTGGCTACGCCGAGCATGGACGGGAAAAGCCAAGAGAGAAAGGGACACGGAGTGTGGGCCCAAGAAAAAAGGGCGGCCGTCACACTTGGGGGGGCAAAGCCCGGCATGATACGCCCAAGACCGGGTCACCCATCGATGGGTTCTGCGGCGGGAAGTCGGGGGAAATCGCTTTTTGTGTTTTGCTCTTGCTTCTTCTCTGTCTTTTGATTGATTTTTCTATTTTCCATCTTGTCTCTTCTTTCCTCTTTCCGTTACTCTTCTTCGTCCCTTCTTTCGGGGGGGTTTTTTATTTTTCAAACCTCGTCTCCCGCTTTCCCTCCTTTTTTTAGAGTTGGGCATTGCCCGCTCAGGAACAGCCGTCAGGCCGCGCGACGGGTACCTTGCAGCAAAAGTTGCAGCTCCGTCAGCCTGACTGGTTTAGGTGGGCTGCAAGCAACCCACCTGCCGTGCAAGCATTTGCTGCCAATTGGTGGGCGAGAGTGGGCGTTGGGCGCTATGTTTCTCTGGTTCAAGGGTGATACAGCCTCTGAACCTGTGGAGCCACTGAGCTTCTCACACTGTAAGGTCCGCCGGTACAAGGGTGGTACCTGACTGGCCCGAGGAGCCCCAACCATGAAACGCCTGGGAGGTGCGCTGGCGGAGTTCTGACCGACCTCAGGAAGCCAGTCAAGGGAAGCAATTGTTCCCCCAGGTTATTCCGAAGTACCTTCGGGTCATCCCACCGACTCAGTTGACTCGCCCCGAATCGAGTCGGCTAAAGAAGCGGACCAGGAACTTGGAAGACTGGCTCCGCCGGTCATTGGTTCTGATTGGCAGAGATCCATCTGTCGAGGGGAATCCTTTCCGCGTGAGCTTACCTACAAGTCAGAGAACGGACTTGGACAACGAACAGATCGCAGGTAACTTGCAGGCACTGGGACAGGTGTCATTGCTTCAGAAGCTACGAAGAATCCAATGTCCTAGGCAAACTATCTGTCAAGCTGACTTACATAGTATGGTCTACTGGACCTAGGGTGCCTTATCAGAGGTCAAAGAGAGCCATTTTGTCGCGGAGGATCTTTCGCGCCACGATCAGCGGCCATCTCGGCCAGGTTTTGCGACACGAGCGCCTGTGAGCCTCCGCCCTTGACTGGTTCTGGCTCTAGCGGCGGCATCGTCGCTCGGCCCTGCAATGACCTAATCGGGTGTGCATTGTGCGCTAGGTAGGTATTCCAAGGTTCACGGTCGTCGGCAGGCACTGCCTGCTCCATTCATCGTGCCGATCGAGGTAAGCCGGAAAAGTCCGCTTTTACGCAGCATTGACCAGGAAAACACAAATGGATACAACGTGTCTGTAGTGTAGGAAGGTAATAAGCATGCACCAGGCTAGGTGCATCGAACGCACTGCCTACCTAGATTTGCGAGTGGGTTGCGGAGGTACACCCCGTATTCCGTCTCCAGTCTTCTCCTATTTTCCGCTGTTGGTGTTCACACCAGCTTTACAGAATACTGCTGGGGCGCAACGTGCAACCAATCAAGGGGGTTCTATCCACCAATCCACAGCGAGGGGGGGAAGGGGATTCCCACGTTCGCCGCCAGGAAGAGTCACTCGCGCCAGCTGCGCCGTCTAGCCAGTCCATTCTTATCCAACAGATGCATTCTGTGACGTTATTCGCAGTCATGCACGCTTTGTATGCCCCTTCTGTACCTTGGAGAAGGCAATAATTACCTGCTGGTTGCCTTGTTGTTGAGCCTCGCTGCGAGCCCACAAGGCCATTCTATCGGTCTGCTGTGTAAAGTTACACAGCAGTAGCATAAAGACCCCATGCATATCCAGGTACAAACTTCAAATCGCGCTGATCTAATCCGTGGTTGGCACGTTTGGACAGGAGAGACGCGTTGGATTGTAACTTGGACTTGTTACTCGCGATTTTCTGGTAGCAAGTCGTTTGCTCCAATGAGGTGCGCGGGTTACTCTGCCCGCCTTGACTTGCTGCTGCCTGCCCTGCGTGCGTGAGGCCCAGACCAGGCCAGCCGAATCCATGAACCGCGGGAGTTTGCAGGATCAAGTCCATATATTGATACCAACATACCAGCCGCTTCTATTGCAGAAATAGAAACAGAAAGAAAGGCAAAGCATATCATTCCTCGCCCCAGATGCTGCGGTAAAGTTGGCGCACTGTGGGACTTCACACGTGCGCCAGTTGCCTCTTGTGCCTGACTTACCCCTGAACTTCACGTTGGACTAGCCCCACTTCGAGAGATACCCCCTGTGTGTCTGGCATGGAAAAATTCAAGCGTTCGAACGGCGGGCAAGCTGCTAAGACAGTGTAATATGGAAGGAGGATACTGTAATAGACCCTGATCCAACTTCCAAGCCCCCAACCCCACATCAAAAGCGCTTCAAAATGGTTTGGGGCCACACAACACCCACCCGCTCCCAGTCCTTTTCGTCTGAACTTTTTCGAGTTGTACCCCACCTTCGGGCAAATCCTGGCGCATCCCACCTTGTACCTGCATAAAGGGGCCGACGATTGGCACCGGGAGTCACGGGGAATATCATCCATGGAACCCAGGGTTCCAGGTGTCGAACCTGCGAGGCACCGAGTTGTTGCCATTTTAACTTCCAGGCCCCATACGTACAGAACTATGTATGACCTACGAGTACCTAGATGACCCATTCGTCCCACCAAGGGCTGAGCCGCTTGTTTGCTCCCGATGCAAATTCCATCGATTTCCCAGTTCAGGCAGAGGGTTTTCAGGGATGGGCCATTATGCGCGCTGCTCGGAATACAACGTACTTACTGTAAGGAGGAAGAATACCTAGGCCTAAGTCGTCGGCTCAAGTCCAACCTCTCTCTCAACTCGGACCTAAGAGACCAGACTCCGGGATCTCTGCTCGGCGGTATGACTAGGTATTCACTCCACTGTCTGGACTTGCATGAAAGATCGGCGACGACTCAAGCCAACACTTGGCTGTTTCCTCGTCTGGCACAGAAACGCGTAAAATTGGTTAACTGCATGGTCTGCATTGTGGCACGAATGCAGGGCCCAGGAGAGGCACGAGGCCAACATGCTTCTTCGTGAGCACCCGGCACGCCACGCCTCTGCGCCAGCTCTCCCAGATTTACCAATACCTTTCCCCCGGTCGTATAGCTGTGGCTTTAGGGCTCCTTCCCCAGGCTTTCCTCCTTGGCTCGAAGCAACTGTTTTTCAACGTCGAACGCTTCTAGCGCGGAAAAGCAAGCCACTTTCGTAAGTCTGAAACATGGCAGGGTAATTGATGCCCATGTCCATAAGCGCACCTCTTATGATTCTTGGCCAGAGATCTGGCGATAATACTCCGAAGCAGCTCACCCCTTCTAAGCCACGTTGAAATTTATGCGACCTTTCCACGGTTCCATCTGGGCATTGCTCGATTCAAGAATGGGTGGGCGCATGAACGATGCCCTGGACGCTCACGTATACAGATTCTGAGATCCCTGTGCAGAGCGGAAGATCCCAAATGAAGGCAAGCGTGTACATTTCACCAACGACGCTGATGTTCCTGTCAGCCACGATCGGCGCTAGCCTTCATCGAATGTCGTCACTGGTCGGATCTTTGCTAATAGACCCGCAAGGCTGTCCTTATCAGCCGATCTGGCAAGTGCAACCCCTGAGTCCCCTGACCTCACTTGCCAAAAAGGGTATACCCTGCCTTTTCTCCGTCCCCTTTCTCCCGGAATTCCAGGACTGAAGATATTACGAATAAGCGTTCGTTTTCCTGGTTCTCCAAGACAACTTAAAGCCTCATATAGACGATCCTCGAGAGTTTGGGCTCATCGCCTTTCCCGGGGTTGAACACACAAGTTTAACGACCGTCTTCTCATATTCTTAAAGACCTACAGGCTACTCACGTACCCCTGTTCTCGCCGCATCTAGATTACTGTTGCAGCCAAGCCCACCAGCAACCTGTCAGATACGCGGCTACTACCTCATAGCTCCCCGGCCCCTTCGTGATGTATGTACAATACCACGGCGCGGTCCCCCTTCTGGAGCGGAGCATACGTGCTAGGTCCTTGGAATGTTTACGCTTAAATAGCATATCGACCAACTGCCACTCATATATGCAGCCATGTGACTGATGTGAAAAAATCCCCTTGGCGGCTAGCCTCTGCATGACAGGCTTGGGCCAGCCGGTCCGGGTACAGGCACAGTGTTCCCACCAGGATGAGAGAGAGGCCCAGCTTGGCAGCCTTAGAGCCAGCAACATAGCCGAGAGTTGAGATTGGGGGTGCTAAATGTCGGGATCTCAGCAATCGCAGACCCTCAGCTGTGCGATGCTCCTTGGTCCTAGCCGTGCAGGGTAATGTCCGTCGCATACTTGAAGACCTCAAGTTTGTTACGATGGGTGCTAGTGGCAGTACCGCCACTCACGTACCAATATGTGGATATTGACTCTTTGGCCTTGCTTATGACGCCGTCGAGACTGGGGGAAATTGGGACGGAAAACGTGCCTGACATTCCCTGAAGAACGGCGGCCATGTCATGTTCTTCTAGATGTATTATCCCTGGGCCGAACTGGCAACCTTATTGCAGGGTCTCTTTAGAGGTCCTTCATGACCTCCGTAACAGCTTGCTTTGCCATCCTCTTCCGCTGTCCTTCTGGCAAGCCCGCGCTCATATCCCTGACCGCAAGCAACTTTTGCATCATGCCCTCGAGCTTCTGGACGTCGTCTTCCCCCAGAGCCTCATCTCCGTCCTCGCCCCTGTCATCCTGCGCCGTGCCCTTTGGTGCCATGCCCGTTCTGTCCATAAACTCGTCATCATCATCATCATCATCCCTCCTCTGAGCGCTCCAGATTGCTTTCCTCAAGCCGGCAAAGTCTTCCCTGTCGAAGCCAAAGTCGAGGCTCTCGGGGTCGAACTCATCGTTGTCGTCGTCGTCGTCACCGGCCCCATCATCGCCCTTGCCCTGATCCGTTCCCCCTTTCGGGGCACGCACATGGGAGCTCTCTCCACCACCGGCATCGTTCGCTTCCTCCTCCTCGTCAAACTCGGCCTGGGACCAGTCGTTGGCCTGGAGCGCCTCGAGCACACGGGAGATGCCCATTTTCTCTGTGGCTCAGTTAGCAAGTTCTCCTCGAACTGGAAACTCGGTAGAGAATATATTTGAGAAAGCGAGGGAAAAAGAGGGAAGGTCCAGAAAATGGGATACCAGAAACAAGAACAACAACAAGAAGAAGAAGAAGAAAGGGGAAACCCACCGCCATACTCATTCCTCCTCTCCTCGCCGCCAACCCCCCCAGCAGCCGGGACATGCACAAACTCCAACCCCCACTCGGCACACGCATCCTCCCACCGATCAAGCACCTCCTCCCCTTCCCCTACCTCCCCAACCGCCACCCCCAGCCCGACACCATCCCACTCCCACCCGCCAAGACCCTCGCGCACGACCCTCCCGACCTGGCGGACGAGCCCACGCTGCCGCCGTTCCTGCTCCTGCCCCTGCGCCCCCGTAGCAGCAGAAGCAGGGGCAGAAGCGATGGGGAAGACGACGACGACGGCGCCCAGCGCAGAAAGGACCTCGCGGGCCTCGGGGGAGAGGAACGACGTCGCCCATTCCTCCTCCTCCCCCTCCTCCTCCTTTCCGTCCTTGCCGTCACAGACGCCGAGGCCGACGAGGTCGAGCCAAACGGGCACAGAGGCGCGGTAGTACGCCGTCGACAGGTCGAGCTGGTGCGTCGTCCCGGCCAGGGTGGCGTCCGGGGTGGCCGGGGAGGGGGTTGTCCCCGTCAGGTCTGGGGTGGGAGAGAAATTAGTACTCATCCCGGCTCGGGGCCTGGTGCTTCGGCCGGCGAGAAAGAAGGAGAGGTGGCGTCGGTTGCTACGATGCGAGATGGGGGAGGAGGTATTTGCTATACATACCTCTTATGACGTCGCTCAAATGGTGGCTCGAATCGGCTAGCGAGACTGCCAGTATCCGACGAGGATTTGAGATTTCCATCTTTCTCTGTGCTTGTCACGACGATATCGGTGGGCTTCACGGTAGATCGCCGGTTTTAGAATGAAGGTGTGCCCGGGTTCGGTATGAAAACGGTTGGGTCCGAGCCGGAGGTGGCGAAGTTACGTAGGTGTGGCTGAGCTGACGTTTGGATAAAACGGAAAGTGAGTTGGGTTAGACGAGGTTGATGAACAAGACCCTCGGTTTTGATAGCTACATTTCAACGACAATTTGGGTGTCAAAGGTTTAACACTTATGTTTTCTTCTCTTTTGTTCTATGAAATTCAATAACTTAAATCGAAATATACTAAACCCCGCCGCCAGGCGTGGGCTCAGAGAAAACGTTGCCCTGCTTTTTGAACAAGGCCCCACGACAAGGCCAACGCCAATATCAGAAACCCCAGCCTAACAAGAGCCTGCCGCCACCCTATGCTGCTGGAAACTTTATCTCATGTACATTTGCAAAGACTTTATTATATGCACCCTTATCCCCATCGGCGAGTATGATATATAGGAGATGCGCTTCCTTCCACTTTTCACCCGACTCGTAGCTCGTACCAAGTTCAACTGCTGGGGTCTCTTACTTGCTCTGCAAGTCCGCCAAGGAGAGTTTCAACCCGTTCGCCATTCTAAGAACTGGTTGTCGACCCGTCCGCCCCGTTCTGACTGTCGCTTGTGTTCTCCTCCTCATCGTCATCCACATCGACCAGTCTCGTGTCTTTCCAAGCCTTCTTTGCCGCCTTCGCCAACGTGTCGTAATCCCCGGTCATCTCGCACATACTCCGGAACACACTGTCCTTCTTGCGCATCAACTCCCAGGGATGAGCGTACTCAACGACCTCTCCCTTGTCAAGCACGAGAACTTTGTCGTAATCCACAATGGTCTGGAGTCGGTGGGCAATCGTGATGATGGTGCTCTGCAGCTCGCGAATTGTCTCCTGGATCTTGCCGTCGGTGGCGTAGTCGATCGATGCCGTCGCCTCGTCCATGACCAAGACGTTCGGGTTCTTAAGCAGCGCTCGAGCCAGGCACAGGAGCTGCCGCTGACCTTGCGAGAGGTTGCTGCCGGATTCGGCAACCAGGGCTGAGAGGTCGAGGAAGACGTTCTTGTTCGTAGTCGGGGTTGGAGGGTTTTCGCCCTCGGGGGTTGCGATAACTGGCGTCTGGGGAAGGAGGGGTGTATTCGGTTGCGTCGTCGACTCGTTAGGGCCGATGAGCTGCACACGGCGGAGAGCTTCAAATATCTGCTCATCGGTATAGATCTCGAAGGGGTCAAGATTGCTCCGTATCGTGCCCATAAACAACGTAGGTTCCTGCGGCACGATTGTGATAGCCTCGCGCAGGTCCCGCAATCCAATCAATCCGATATCGATGTCGTCGATAAGGATCTTCCCCTGATCGGCTTCCAAAGCCCGGAAGATGGCCAGCGCCAACGAGCTCTTTCCTGCACCCGTGCGGCCAACGATGCCGACCTTCTCCCGCGCCTGGATCTTGAAGCTGAGGTCCCGAAGGACGGGTTCGAGCTCCTTGCGATAGCGCGTAGAGTAGCCGATGAACTCGACCGAGCCCCGGCTGGGCCAGTTCTGCGGAGGGCGGTTCTTCTCAACGATAGCCTCGGCTTCCTGCTCGACATCGAGGTACTCCTTGATGCGCTCCACAGAATTCATGTTCTGCTCGTTCACCGAGTAGAGACGAACAAGCCACAGGATGTTATCGGCAAAGCCGATCGCGTAGCTCAACGAGATACCGGCTGAGCCAGCATCGATCTTTCCAAGGCTGGTGATGACAAATACGCCGGCAAAGAAGGCTACCAGGTCTCCCAGAAGATCTGTTCTGAAGGAGAGCCATCTGTTAGCAGCCCATAGATAGATAAACGGTCGCAGCTGCTTGTTGATTCTCGCCAGATTATCTCGCACGAAGCGCCTCTCGTCACCATAGGCGCGGATGGTTGTGACGCCACTCAAGGTCTCGCCGAACTGCTGGAACAGGGGGCTCCGTTCGACCGATTCCAACCGCTTCAGGTCTCGCGAGCTGTGCAGGTAGAAAGAGCCGAGGAAGCAGTACGCGACGGTGATGAAGAAGCCGGCGATCAGGAAGCCGGGCGTGATAGCCGCAATCAGCACGATGGTGACGATAATGCCGAGGGCGCAGGTCATGACACCGATGGCAATCGGGGCCACTTCCTGGTCGACCGCCTCTAGATCCTTACTAAAGCGATTCATCATCTGACCGAGCGGCGTGACGTCGAAGAACTTGAACCTTGCGCCGGCCACAGCGGTCATTAGGCGGTTGTGAAGCTTCCAAGAAGCATTGAGCGAGCCCAAAAAGATCCAGAGATCTCTGACGAGAGCGGTCAATGCGCCGGCCAGACCGATAACTGCTAGAACAATCAGGTAGTACTGAACGTTCACGTCGACGTCCCCGGTAGCCGCAAACATGGTCGCGTTGCCCCTTGCGTAGTTGGCGATGGACGCAAAGTAGGTAGGCGAGATCGACTGCGCAGAGTAGCTTTGCGAGTTCATGTTGAACTCGATCTTCGAGGTTTCCTCAATCGTATACTGATTGGCCCACTCCTTGATCCAGATATTCGACGCGACACCGCTGAGCTGTTGGACGCCGAAGACCAGGAAGGCAACGGCCCAGAACCACCAGGCACCCATAGATCTCAGGTAGAGCTTCATGACCGGCCATTTGACTGCACCAGTGGCCCTGTCCTCATCCATCGCAGCCTTTGGCTTTTCTGACGTGGAGCTCTTGGGCTTTGTGAGGCGGTCGGTGCCATCGGCCTCGTTGACTAGTGTCTCTCCACTATTCTCCCCAATGCTCGATGGTACCCTTGAGGGGACCCGGGAGACGTGCGAAGATCCGGGCCGAGATCTCTGAATGTCCTCCCCAAACTTGCCAGCGGCAATCAGCTCCTTGGGCGTGCCTCGAGCCGTGATACGGCCGTTGTTCATCGTCAACACGAAGTCCGAAAACGGTACGCACAGCGGGATGTTGTGCGAGACCAGAATGCAGGTTCGGTGCTTCATGAGCGGGCCCATGATGCAATTGTTGAAGATCCATTGACCAGTGTGGGAGTCGACAGCGCTGAGGCAGTCATCAAGGAGCAGGTGCTTGGAGTTCGAGTAGACGGCTCGCGCCAACGAGATTCGCTGTTTCTGTCCTCCGGAAAGCGTGATGCCCTTCTCGCCTACCAATGTCTCGTCTCCATTGTCCAATATCTCCAGGTCTCTCTCTAGGGCGCAGGCCACAATCACATCCTTGTACCGCTTCTGATCGAGGGGCGCAGAGAAGAGAATGTTCTCCCTCACAGTTCCGTTGACCAGCCAGGCTTGTTGCGCAACGTACGCGCATGTCTCTGCAAGCCCGGTTTCGGGATCTGGCCGGACGTCCTCTCGGCTGCGGCCGCCCGGGAGATAGACACGGCCTTCCATCAAGGTCATCTCTCCCAGCAATGCCATCAACAACGACGTCTTACCGGAACCGGTGGGTCCGGTGATGACGTTCAACTTGCCAAGCTTGAAGTAGACGTCAAGATCCAGTAGGCGGAATGCCATCGATCCGTCCTCGGCGACCACATCCCGGCCACCCCAGACGAAGGTTGCGTCTCTGAACCCAATCACACGGTCGCCGTTCTCGTCGATGTTGTCTCGGCCGAGCTGCTCAAACTTCTCCGTCTCTTCCTCGGACAGGAACTCTTCGATACGGTCAATGGAGACCTTGGACTCCTGGACGTGTGCGATCATGTCGCCGAGTTGGTCGAGGGGATACCGGAGGAGCATAAAGAGGGAAATGGCCGTGAAGGCAACCGACGGATAGAGGGGCTTTTTCTCGATAACGGTGTAGACCAGGAACGAGAAGAAGGTAATCAGGATGGGTACGGTATTCCAAACAGCCACGGCACTAGCCCAGATGATAAATCGCTTTCTCAACGCCTCAAGTTCTGCGCGGCGCTTCACGTCAACGTTGTTGCTGAATCGGTGCTCCCAAGCAAAATACTTGATGATCCTGATGTTCTGCAAGATCTCGTTCGTCGTGTGAATGCGTTTATCGGTTGCGGCCATGATTTTCTTCTGGCTGCTGTTGAAGGCCTTTCCGAAAAATATGTTGATCGGAAGAAGCAAGGCCATGACAACGAAGCCCGGGATTGCGCTGAGGCCCATGACCTTATATAGCAAGATGATGGACACGAGGAGTTGAGTGGGCGCAGAGGCGATGAGGAAATGAAGATAGGAGGTGACTTCGGAAACCTTGAAACTGTCCACGGACATGAGATTGATGATGGTTCCAAGGTTGGCTTGTTCGTCCGCTGCGCTGTTGTCTTTCTGGCCTGGGGCGCCTGGAGCGGTGTGAGCCGCAGGCTGGCCATTCTGCTGTTTGGTGTCTTCCTTCGCAAGCCCGAGTGCGCGCTTGGCCCTGGCCAGGAATCCCTTCTTCGCCGGAGATTTGTTGTCCTTGCCGGATCCCAGAACGGAATCATTCCCACTGGAGGCCTTTCGACGGAGAGCCTTGGCGTAGATCTCGCCTACCAGAATAGCCCGAATGTTGATGCAGATTCTGCGGCCTATCCAGAGCGCTTGGGCATCGCCAACTGAACGGACGATGTCGCTCAGTGGTAGGAGGATCACATATAGCCACAAAACGTTCCTCGGGGTCTCTCCAGGGGCCTCGACGTACTCCAAAATCGCCTTCAAGAGCATGGTGGGGGCAAAAGTGAAGATACCTGACATGACGGCCCAGGCAGCTTGGGCGAGAAGCATGGCCTTGAAGTAGCTTAGCAGGTGGAAGGCCAGCTTGGTTGTCTTCTTGAACTGGCGGTAATTGGCAAGAACGGCGGCGGCCTTGTCCTTGGGGAGCAAGTTCCACACCTTCTTCATGTCGAGCTGTTGAGAATAGCCAGCCCACACAATGGGATCAACCCAGGAGAAGGTATAACGAGAGAAGATCGAAGCAAGATTCTCTCGCGATGGCTCGATCCCATCCTCCCACTCCAGCAGGACAGTTTTGTTCCCCTTGCGCGTCGAAATCGCCATGGAAAAGAGGAGAGTGTTTAGCAAGAACTCGATAACCACCAAGGTCCTTGCCAGGGGGGAGATGGCATGGACCAGGACAGAACGGAAGATGGCGATGGTGAACAGCCATTGGAGGCTGTAGATGGCAGCAGTGTGATTCCACAGATGCCGCACGCGCCATTGAGTCTTGCTCAAGAAGAGCCGTAAGGACGTGAGCGTGAGCACATAGAGCCAGACGGACAGGCCGGTAATGGCCGCGATATGGCCGTCCCTGTCGCCGAAGGAGCCCGTGGCCAGTGCAACAACATTAACCGCAACAAGACCAGCAATAGCAAGCTCTTCCACCACGACCAACAGCGTCTGGCCGGTCGGGGTGTCGGCCTGGACTATCGACCCTTTCGTCGTCGTCCTCACCAATGCCAAGCGCCCGCCGATAGCCAAGTCTTCGTCATCGCCACTTTCGCTGACCAGCTCCTCTTCAGGGGGCACGTCGGTGTGGGCGATGGCGGAGTCCTCATTGGGACCGTCGGCGGCGAGTCGCGAGTGTCCGTTGGATTGCCCGAATTTTATCTTGACTACTCGCCAGATGCTGCTTGTGGATAGATGCAGAAAGGAGAGACAGACGACTACTACCGGCAACAGAACCTGCAAATAGCTAAGGTGGAAGAAGGAGGTATTAGTGGCTGAGGGATTGATCTGGGTGGATGTCTGGGGTTGTCACTCACTCCTGTTGGAAGCAGCGCGTGAAGTCGTCGCGCTGCCATACCGGCCATTGACATGACGCAAATCCCATCTTTTGACCCCACGGCCCACGTTCGGCCGACAACGGAGACGAAGCGAGCTGGCCTGTGTCCAAAGGCTGAACGTGCGCCTCGGCAGTTCAGCAACCAAAGACAAGGATGAAGCTCGATGGGATAAAAAAAGAAAAAAAGCAAGGCTCTTTCCCTGGAGATCCGGGTGGGAGGGCAGAAGACAGAGTTGGTTGAAGAAAAGGAACGTAGGGATGGAAGAACAGGCGAAGGGATTGAGGAACTAACCCGTACATTAGACCCGGCTCTTTTTTTTCTGGTCGGTGGATACCGGCCAAGCAGTTAGCGGTGGGGTCACACTCACCGGCCTGGGTCCGGGATCATCTTCACGCCTTTCTGGGGGGGGGCTTATCAGTGGCGTATCTTGCAATTGCAGCCTCCATGCTGCAGCTAATAAGGGTTTAAGGTTTTGGGCTGGGCCTGGGGAAACAGAGGTCCATTCGACATCTACTCTTTTCCTTGCTGAAGATTTCCATGTCTTTAGATGGAAGTGTGACTGTGAGTCAGACCGATTCTCTTCTCTCTCTCTCCCATTTCCTTCCCTGTCAGTCTCTGTGCTATCTCCCCCTCTTTCCCCCACTTCTGCTTCCCTCTTTCCTCTTCTGTCCCAGGCTATTTTACATAGTATGTACGGATTAGAGTATGTGCACGCATGAACCTCTACCTACCTACCTAACCTAAGGTATGTAGTTAATAAAAACGGTGGGGCCTATGTTTCTCTTTCTCCCTCTCTATTCTCTCTTATCAACCAAGAACCTTGGAAGCTTTGAATTAAGTCAACCGAATTAGGGGCTTGGGAAATCCCGAAAAGACGGGAACTGAGTCCCTGCAGTTCGTAACTCTGTGTCTACGAACCTACTAGCGTGATTCCTCAACAGCCACTCAGCTGCCATACCGTAATGACGTTATAAGTCGCCCCACCGCTCCTGGAATTGAAGCCAGCTCTCCAGAAGCTCGTGAAGGGCACGACGCGATGTTGACATTCTTGACGCACTACCTCAGTGATGAGCAAATATTTTAATCTCCTGTCGGCGCCCTAGCCGCGCACCTCCCACAGCGAGCGTCCTAACCCGCTCCACTACTAGCGCGGCTAGGTCCTGCCCCGCCCCAGGCGGCCGCCTCTACCCTCGCTCGAGGCCATGGAGGATGGAGGTATGGCTTTAGCTTCGCCACAGCCCGTCCTTCTTGGCCACGACCTCTTCCCATTAGCCAAGAACTGAGAGGCAGCTTCGCATCTGGGAAGATAAACATTCCTATCCAACTCGAGGGTCGAGGCCCGAGGACCTGAGACAAGTTCTAAGACTACGAAGATTGACCATGATCATATCGGTCATACAGCTTTAGTGCTTAGCCCTTTTTGTGCATATTCTGGGACATCCCTAAGATTGTCCTTCCACAAAACACCACCATGCCATTGGTATCTTCTGAAGGACCTGCATAATGTTCCTGGACCCGTCCATACACCAATCGAGCTCGCCCATGAACAACATGGCCAGTCGAATCTGGAAGAGAGAAGAGGAGAGAAGCGTCGACTCCGCCGTGGACTTCTATAGTCTTGACCCTTTCCAAAGCAGGCCGCACCCATGGCTGGAGGACGTGGAATCATGATTCTTGATATTCTGGCTGTACAGTACAACTTGCTTTCAGGACCAGTCCCAGGCAGCAAGAGCCGCCCAATCTTCGCGGGAAATGCCAAGCTTCCGAGTCCTCATGCATTTTTCCAACCCGCCCTCTCGCTTTTAGCAAAGCCCTCCCTTTATGATATATTTTGTTCTGGTATTACACATGGCGGCGATAGCACTTCTCTCGTTCGCCATTGGCTGCAAGATATTTGAACAAAAGCGGAATGAGACACCAAACGAGTCCGGTATCGGCATCTTAACCCATTATCATGCCCTTCATCCCTGAAAGATCGCCCTCCTTGGCCGCGATCTCAAAGTAGCCGTAGATAATGCTATGAAATTGTCAGTCATCCCTGTCATCCGCTGACGAGCCGGGGTTTTGGAAATGGGTAGGCTTACGTGACGGCGAGTAGAGTACCGGTTCCCGAGCCAAGAGCTCCCATGAGGTCGCTGGCAACGGAGAGAGCTCCGATGCAGGCACCACCGAATGCGGCGGCCGTGGGGATAATGCGCTTTAGCTCCTTGTACATGCTCTGGTCGCGGTGGCCGGCCATGACAAGGCCCTGGTCCTTGAGCTGCTTCGCGACGTCGCGAGGGCTGGAGCCGGAGACCTCGATCCACGTCTTGGAGAAGATAGCACAAGCGGTAAGCATGTAGGCAATGTAGGCGACGGTGTGGAGGGGGTCCAGGAGAGTCTCCTTGAAGTTCAGGGGAGGAGACATGTAGTAGACGAGACCAGAGGTGGCAGAGAGCTGAGACGATCCCTCCTTGGCCTCCCAGACACCGAACAGGCGCACGAGAAGATTCTCCGAGAATCGCGAATACATCATCTGGCTGATCAGGAAGATGTTGGACGAAAGGGCAGACTGCAGCATGATGGGCATGTTCGAGGTGTAGAAGAGGCGGATGGGGTAGGAACCGCGGGCACCACGCTGGCGCGAAGACTTGACGGGGATCTCAACACGGAAGCCCTGGAGGTAGATGACGGCGGCGAAAACCAGAAGAGTGGCCAAGAGGTTCATGATGTTGGGAAGGTTCTGCCTGTAGAAAGCCTCCTGGAGGGCACGCTGCTTGTTGGGCCAGGTCATCAGGAGGTGGAAGAGGGCGATGACGGCACCCTCGTACTCGGGGCCGCGGCCAGTGTTGATGCTGGTCGGGGAGAATGCCTTCCACATGATCGACTCGCAGATGTTGGTAGCAATGAACAGCGAAATGCCGCTTCCGAGGCCGTATCCCTTCTGGAGAAGCTCGTCGAGCAGGATAACAATCATGCCGGCAATGACCAACTGGAGGATGAGGAGGAACACAATTCCAGCACCGAGGTCGGAAGGCGGCCCATAAAGACCAGTGAAGACGTAGACGGTAGCGGTGCCAGCTGACAGGACGAAAGCAAAGAGCTTCTGAGCGGTCTGGTAGAGCTCACGATCCGACTTGAGGTCGAGGTTGACGTCGATCATGTGGGTGCCAGCCAAGAGTTGGAAGACCATGCCAGACGAGATGATAGGGGTGATACCCAGTTCCATCAGTGTTCCTCTGTTACTCGCCATCACCATCCGGAGCCAATACAGCGGGTCGGACGTGTCCGATGACACAATGCCATAGAGGGGCATCTGGCTCATGACCAAGAAGATCAGGAGGGTGAGACCCGTCCACATCATCTTCTGGTTGAAGGGGATCTTGGTCTCCGGCTGCTGAACCTCGGGGAGGAACGGCACGAACGGCTTGACCAAGTCAAGAAATCGTACTGCATCGATGGAATCGCACATGTTAGCATTCTGCAAATCACAACTGCAAATGCGATCTAAGCTGGAGGGCAAACGATGATTCAAGCTGAGAGTTCAGCGAGCTTCGGGCAGAGTTGTTCTCTCGAACGCGAAAACTTACAGGAACTCATGTTGATGGATTATGAGCGCTCAATTAAAGAGGGCGCATTCGAGAGAAGAGAAAGGAAAGGAAAAATGGGAATGAGCAGCAATGGCTCGGCGAGGAAGGTGAAGAGAGGTTGACAAAGTGTCTTAAAAGGAGAAGTGGAAATGGACCGTGGCGGCAGATCTGGCTTCAAAAATGGTCCAAATCTGTGATGTGTCCCCAATTTCACTAGCACCCCGCACGTGACCAGTCTTGGAAATGGAAAGCTGGAAGCTGTGGCCCCCTGTTGGTGTGGAGCCGCAAATATGGGGCATTGCCATACAAGCTTCACCAAGATGACCTACCTATTTCTCCAACAAATCCTTATTGGAGGAATTAAGTCCTGCCACAAAGAGGTTAGGACTCAGGTAGCTTCCTGTGAACTCACCTGTAACTCTCCACAGCGAACATGAATCCCGCCGTTCGCCTTCCGCTTTCCTACTGATGAAACTCCTTGGCTTCTGCCGACAGTTTATTAGTTCAGCCGCAGCTATGGCGCAAAGGAAGCCACCGACGGAACCGCTAGTTGTCATCCTAGGGTCTACTGGAACTGGCAAATCGGACGTATGAAGCAACACCGGATTTTAGATGATAGGATTTGGGTTGACAAGATATACAGCTTGCCGTAGAGCTCGCCGTTCGATACAATGGCGAGATCATCAATGCAGATGCTATGCAAATGTATAGGGGACTTCCCATCATCACCAACAAGATTTCGGAAAAGGAACAACGAGGCATACCTCACCATCTCCTTGGTAACATTGGTCTTGAAGAGGCGACCTGGACCGTTGGTGCTTTCAAGCGCGAGGCCACCAAGACGATACGCGAAATCCGGAGCAGAGGCAGGCTTCCCATCGTCGTGGGCGGGACGCACTACTACACGAATGGGCTGCTCTTCGAGGACAGCCTAGTCGACGACTCTCCAACACCAACTGGGGACGAAGCAGTAAAGTCACAGGACTCTGGCTCAAGGTTCCCAATACTTGACGGCCCCACCGAAGACATGATCAAGGAGCTTCGACAAGTAGACCCCGTCATGGCAGAGCGGTGGCACCCAAACGACAGGCGGAAGATCCGCCGTTCCTTGGAGATTTATCTTACAACGGGGAAACGGGCGTCTGATATATACGCTGAACAGCAAAAACGGAGAGAATCTAAGTTGAATCCCACCGGACCCAGGGAGACCCACGGCTCCCAGTGGCAGTCACTCCTTCTTTGGGTCTATTCGCAGCCGGAGGTGCTCAAAGAACGACTGAACCAGCGAGTGGACAAGATGCTGGACAATGGCCTGCTGGACGAGACCACGGAAGTGTATCGATACCTTCAGGGGAGGTTGGCCGCTGGAGAGGATGTCGACCGCACCACGGGCATCTGGCAATCCATCGGCTTCAAGGAATTCGAGCCGTATCTTCAAGGCGTCGCACACGGAGATCACGAGACGACTGAGCTCGGCAGGCTGAAGCAGGCGGGAGTTGACGATACCAAGACCGCCACCAGGCAATATGCAAATTACCAGGTGAAGTGGATAACCAAGAAGACTCTGCCCCTGTTACGACATGAGCAGGCGTTAGACATGTTATATCTGCTTGACAGTACCGACATCAGCCACTGGGGCGAGGAGGTCTTGACCAAAGGTGCCGAGCTGACCAGGCAATTTCTTGCTGGCGAGCAGCTCCCACTCGCAGCCCATGTCTCGGAAACCGCCAGGGAAGTGCTTTCGTCGAAGATAGAGGTGAGCGAGAAGCGGGAGACTTTTACACCCTGTCAGAGGAAGTGTGACGTATGTGATGTCACGATCATGACAGAAGAACGTTGGGAAAAGCACATCCGAGGGAACCGTCATCGTCGGGCGGTTAAGAGCTCAAGACGGACCGCCCTTGTCCCCAGCCGCCAGGCCGTGACCGATCTAATTGCAGTTGAGCAACCGAGTTCGCTGGAGGAGCGTGGCGCCACTCAGGATCCCGGTGTTGCTTAGAAAATTACGAGTCGGCGAGAATAAAAAAAAAGAATTCGATCAAACGCCCGTTTGAGGCATATCTTATAATCTAGCCCTGCGAGACTCCTGGCCCCATGAGACCTGGATCCCTGGAGCAGCAGCGCAGCACGGCTTACAAGCCGTACTATCTTATATACATACGAAGCGGCAGATATACCTAAACATCTTTAGAAACCGTCTATGACAATGAACTCTGGTGCTTCACCCATTTCCCCAACCCGCCCCGTGCAATGAGATCCTGGACATTCGGCGGCAGCTCGCCGACCTTCTGGCTCCAGGTAGCGCCGCCCTCGCCCTCGGTAACCATGACCTTGCTCCGTCTCACATCCCAGATGAACTTCCATCCCGTGCTCCTCGTAAGGACCCTGTCGTTGCCGAATGTCTCCCGTAGCCGCTGGACAAACTTTGGCACTTCGACGCCCAGAAGAGCGTTATTGATGCTGTTCCTGCTGAAGATGTTTCCGAAGCTTCCAGACACGACTAGCGGGATCTTCTTGGCAAGGATCGCCGTCGCGGCCCGCTCCCGCGAGCTGCCACAGCCAAAGTTGAAGCCCGACCAAGATGTCGCCTTCGCGGACAATGGATCGAAGGACTTGTCATGGCTCTCCATGCAGACCTCGGCCATCTTCTCGACCGCCACATTGTCTGGTAGGTGTACTTACCCGGATAGATGCCGCCAGCCAGAGAGGATGTCCGTCAAGGTCTCCTCCTGACAGGAGGTGCCAGTCAACGGCAATTGAATGGAGCGAATTCCTTCCCGGCAGAAAAAAGAATCGCGGGGCAAAATTCCTACCGAAAGTCATCAAAGCTGAGTTCACCGCCCGAGCCCGAGGTCTCCCGCTCTCGGTTTCGTATTACTAAACATAATCCGCTCGGCGCTAAGCCCGTTCAGGTTGGTGTTGGTGCCTACAGGGTAGCTTTTTAACCTAGTAATAATCCTTGCGTCAAAGACAACCTCTTTCAAACATTGCTCTTGCGACCACGTCCCCCTCCATGCTGCCTGCGTACCTGGCGACATTGGCCGGATCCTCCCCTGGATCGAAACCCCCTTTTGAAGGAATGCCCCGCCCGATACGTCGGTTTGTGGGCTACTCCAGTCTAGTGTTAAAAAAGAATTGAAAAACAATCAAACCAACCAGACCTGTGGCCGCCCAGTCGTCATGGCCTCTTCGTCCACAAGCTCTCACGCCTCGTTTGCCTCCAAGCCGCCCCGCATCCTCGCCTGTGTCCTCTGCCAGAACAGGAAGATCAAATGTGATAGAAACTTCCCATGCTCGAATTGCACCAAAGTACGTGTCTTGTCGTAAAGCTATCTAGTCTCCGCATACAAGTTTGGTTCGGGCTAATCCAGCCAACAGGCCAATATCAAATGCACCCCCAGCACCCCAGCTCCCGCTCGCAAGAGAAGACGGCCAAACCAGGACTTGCAAGAGAGACTAGCTCGATGCGAAGAGTTGCTGAAGGAGTATGTCACAGAGAAACCCGAAAGCTCCGCAACTACACCAGCACCACCATCCTACAACAGCGATCCGTACCGTCAATGGCAGCCCATGGGCAAGCTCGTGAAGGAGGACGGGGCCTTCCGGTTCATGGATAGCGTCATTCTTGGAACGATCTATGATGAGGTTAGCAATGCCCTCCTACCTTGGTGACCGTACCGCCCTAACAGTCGTCAAACCCGGCAGCTCCGAGCTATGAGGCAGATTATTGACACAGAGGATAACGACGAGTCGACGTCGGATACCATGACTCCGGACGATAACTCCGAGATGCTCCTCGGGGCAGACAGTCCATCAGTGGCCACAGAAGACTTGTGGCCAGACCCCGGTCATATCTTCCGCCTCTGGCAGATATATCTCGACCGGGTGAACCCTCTGACCAAGATCATCCATGTGCCGACACTGCAGCCTTATGTGGCTGAGGCCACAACCGGCTGTCAGAACCTGCCGAAAAACATCGAGGCCCTCCTGTTCTCGATTTATCTCATGGCGGTTGTGGCTATGTCTGCCGAGGAGTGCCAGGCTCTCCTGGGGTTCTCCAGGGAGGAAGCCTTGCAAAGGTACTCGTCGGGCGCCCGCATCGCCCTCACCCGGATAGGGTTTCTCAAGTCTTACGATCTAACGACACTACAAGCGCTTGTTATCTACCTGGTATGACGTCGACCTAAGCTTGCGTTGCAGGGGTTCGGTTTGCTAATGCGATTCTCAGGTTTCACTCCAGGGGCGGTACAATCGGCACGCGACCTGGATTTTAAACGGCGTTGTTATACGGATCGCCCAAAAGATGGGCCTTCACCATGACGGCGAAGTTCTTGGTCTGGGTCCTTTCGAGTCAGAGATGAGGAGACGGCTCTGGTGGCAGATCATCATGATAGATGCCAAATATGCGATGCTCACGGGACTCAGCCATTCGTTGCTTCCGAGGAACTGGGACATCAAGGAACCCAAGAACCTCAACGATGCCGACTTATTCCCGTCCGCCACAGAGCCATTCCAGGACCGCGAGGGCCCGACCGAGATGATCTTCTGCTTGATAAGCAACAGGATCGGGAAGTTCCTGGTCGAAACCCCGGGCTTCGAAGTCATGATTATGCTGGTCGAGTGCGGTGTACCGGAAAACGAAAGCTCCCAGATGCAAGAGTTTCGTCGAATGGTCGAGAAACTCGCCGCCGACCTCCTGGAAGTACTCGATAACTACTGCGATCCTTCTGCAGGGCCAGTACACGAGATGGCCGTCGAGATGAGGGCACAGATATTAAATAAACTTAACCAGTTGGTAACGCCACCCGACCATCCGGATTGGGAGGATGAGTTGCACGACTCGAAGGACCATGCCTTCAAGATGGCGCTCTCGGCACTAGAGCACGACGAGCACACCTACAAGGTCACCAAGGACAAAGGGTTCCTCTGGTTCTGGCAGATCCACTTCCAAGTCGACGTTTTCATCTATTTGGCGGGACAACTCTGCCACCGGACAGAAGGCAAGCTCGTGGAGCGGGCGTGGAAGCAAGTTGAAGTGGTCTATCAGTACAACTGTGGACTCCTGGATACGACGAACAAGGCGAACCAAACGCTGGCGCGATTTATCCTCAAGGCGTGGAGCAAAAGAGAAGAGGTCCTCCGCGGTCGACTGGGGCAGGCCCCCGAAGTGCCCGAGTACATAGAGAAGCTGCGGCGTGTCATGCCCACCGAAGACATGAAGGCTGAGCCGCTTCCGCCGCCGCATCTGGCCCCTGATCTCATGATCAGCGCGCAGGCGAACCCCCAAGATCCCCCTTTCGACCAGTTGCTGGGGAATTTCCTCGACGCATCATCCTTGGACTGGGACATGTTTGGCAACATGCCGTCCAATCAGCAAAACATGCCGCCCTTCAGATACGGCATGGGGCCATTTTGAAAGGGGGGCCGCAATGCTGCCAGTTCGATAATTTCCTCCTCTCAGCCTCCTCTCAAAACTCACGCCATAGATTTGACACCATGTAAACTTCGGCGGTGTGCTTTTAGAAGACATCTTCACTCTCGGCTTTGGGCGGCTCGTTGTGTACTATATAGGTAGGGAAGGACGGATGGGTAAGGGGGGTAAGAAGGGATAGAGTATCTACATAAGGCAGGGTGGCATCCCATGGGTGCTCGGTGCTCGGAAAAGCATCGTATTATCGGATTTATCAAACCCCCACAATTTAAATGTCACGGATCTTCTGCATGCAGCATAATGACGACGCCGTCGTGAGAGAAACTCGAGAGTCGAATCGAGTCGAGTGAGTCACAGGGGTCATGCCTCGTGGATCGCATTGGGCATGATACTCATAAAATGTGTTGCCATTTGCTCAACCTCATCCTGAGCTCTTCGTTGTGGGGACCTAGCTGGCGGCTAAGCCCTTCGGGGGTTGAAAAACGCGTGTCCGAGATCCTTCCCTCAAGGAGTCGGGGCAAAATTCTCAGATAAGCCCGGTCCTCGGCGAAGAAAGACACCGACCATGCTCCTTAATGACGTAGTCGGTACTCAATTTGAGCGGTCGGGCCCGAAAACGATTGGCTGGGAGTCCAAGGAGTACATAAACAAAGCACCGGGATTATGTACATTACAGAAGTACCTCGGGGCTGTAGGATGGATCCTTCTAAGTTCTAGATTCATTGCTACACCCGTCGGACGGACTTTAGGTTTGCTCCAGCCGGGCAAGAGGGCCGGGCACACTCATTCTGATACCCTGGCTCGCCTGGGTCCCTAACCAGGAGCTCTAGGTCTTGCAAGCAATTAACTTATAAGTACTGGGGGTCGTAAGCAAGCAAACATGGTCTTCGCCGCTGTTGAGAGGAACCTTGCGAGTTCCCGTCTCCTTCAACCTTTTCACCTGTGACTGCCTTACTTACTGTTAGTTCAACGACACTCACTAGTCTGAGGCCAGGACGGCTCTTCATTAAGGCAACCGGCAAAATGCTGTTCAAGAAAAAGGCGAGGAAGGAGGACACATCAATAAGCTCCCACCCTACTATTCCTTCTCGGGAAGGGCCAGTTATAGAAGATGGCACCGAGACAGATTTGAACGACGACTCCAAGGTGGAGGGCCTCGCGCCGGTAAAATCCACGGCAACAGAGGATATCAAATATCCTTCAGGCTTGAAGCTTGCCTTGCTGATGGTATCGACGTTTCTGAGCATGTTTTTGGTCGCTCTGGCAAGTATTATTATTATTATTATCATTGGCTTACATATAAACAAACCACCCCTGAAGTCGGTCGCATGAATTCGACTAACACAAACACCAGGACCGGCTGATCATCTCCACGGCGATCCCCCGCATTACTGATGATTTCCACTCGGTTACCGACATTGGCTGGTATGGCAGTGCCTACCTCCTCACCAACTGCGCCTTCCAGCTGTTCTTCGGCAAGCTCTATACCTTCTTCAGCGTCAAGGCAACCTTCCTGGCTGCCATCTTCCTGTTCGAAGCTGGATCTGCCATTTGCGGCGCGGCCCCGACCTCGGTGGCCTTCATCATCGGCAGAGCAATCGCCGGAATCGGCTCGGCTGGTATCATGTCCGGCGTCATTGTCGTCATCGTCTACGCGGTACCGTTGCACAAGCGGCCTTTGTATCAGGGACTCTTCGGTGCCGTCTTCGGTCTCTCATCCGTCATCGGGCCCCTTCTCGGAGGTGCCTTCACATCCAAGGTCAGCTGGCGCTGGTGCTTCTACATCAACTTGCCCTTCGGCGGCATCGCCATGGTCGTCATTTTCTTCCTGCTCCAGGTCCCGGACAGAGACACGACGAAGCTCCCTCTTGTGAAGAAGCTCCTGCAGCTTGACGGGCTTGGGACTGCGGCCCTGCTCCCTGGCACGGTCTGCCTGCTGTTGGCACTCCAGTGGGGCGGCATGACGCACCCCGTGAGTAGTTCATCCTTCTGTCGTTGCGTCGCACAGCTAACATGTCGCAGTGGCACGATGGTCGCATCATTGCCCTTCTGGTCCTGGCCGGTGTCCTCCTCATTTCCTTCGTCTTGGTCCAGATCTTCAAACCCGATACGGCTACCGTCCCGCCCCGTATTATTACGCAACGCAGCGTCCTCGCCGGCTTCTGGGCTACCCTATGCATCGGATCGCAAATGATGATCTTCGGTGAGTAGCTGTTTGCCCCCTCCTGCCGATCCTATGTGCATTAGCCCCCTCGTGCAGCCACACTAACGCTTCCCTCCCCCTAGTCTACTTCCTCCCCATCTGGTTCCAGGCCATCAAGGGTGTCTCAGCCATCGACAGCGGTATCCGTCTCCTTCCCATGATCCTCCCCATGGTCTTCGCGTCCATCATTACCGGCATCCTGACTGCCCGCATCGGGTACTACACCCCCTTCATGCTCGTGGGCAACTGCCTCATGGCCGTCGGCGCAGGGCTCCTCACCACGCTGGAGGTCGACACCGGCAAAGGGAAGTGGGTCGGCTACCAGATCCTATACGGCTTCGGGCTGGGCTCCATGTTCCAGGCGCCCAACCTCGCGGCCCAGACGGTCCTGCCCAACCGCGACGTGCCCGTGGGCACGTCGCTCATGTTCTTCAGCCAGCTCCTCGGCGGCGCCATCTTCATCTCGGTGGGGCAGAACGTGCTCAATACCCAGCTCCTCACCCGCCTCAGCGCGCTCCCGGGCTTCAACCCGGACCTGATCTCCGGCAACGGCGCGACGGGGCTGATCCAGCGCCTGCCGGTCGAGGTACGGGCGCAGGTGCTCACGGCGTACAACGAGGCCCTGAGGCGCGTGTTCCAGGTCGCCGTGGCCATGGCGTGCCTCGCCATCTTCGGCGGCCTCGCCATGGAGTGGCGCAGCGTCAAGAAGAACGTGCAGCCCAAGAACCGGTCGGCGGAGTCGGAGGCCGAGGACGGGAAGGCGGCTGCTGTGGATGGTGGGGCGCCGGCGGAGAAGGCTGCGTCTGTGTCCGAGGACAAGAGGGTGAACGCCGCGGATGAGGTGCAGGTTGATAAGAGTGCTTTGGAGAAGGAGCGGGCGAGTTAAACGGGGAGGGCTACTGGTGGAGCCCCCTCCTGTGGTCGGATATCTTGCTTTTATTGGTGTTTTCTTTGGTGATACCCTACTCTGATGGTTTGTCAATATTTAATCCTCCTGATCGGTATAAAAGATGATAGATAGACTCTCTGTATTTCCCTGTATATTATGGCATACAAGGCATGGTGTAATGAGAACCTTTTGTAACTTAGTGCCAGGCAACATGCGATTTTCCAAACAGGTATTGATTAGATTTCTGTGTATATAAGAGAGCTCAGTCGTAAGGTCTCCTGATTTACAAATCCGACTCATTCCAGCATATGCAGGGCTCTCAGTACAACCGCCGCCCCTATTTCAATCTCCAAGACCAAGTAGCATTAGTGAATGAACCTGACGAGAGATGAACCCCCAGATAATTTGAAATTCATGTATCCATCACCAAGATCGTGCCAGGGATACAAAGTATGCCCTCTGTGCCACCAATTCGAGAAGAGCTTACTTCTTCTGCTCTTGCTTTCCTCTACTGCTGCATGATAAATATGTGTCGCACCTAGGTAGTATTACTGTACTGATCTGTATGCCGCCCGCAGCCAAGAGCCCCACTTCAGCCTCAATCGCCCTGCCGCAGTGCCACTGCAGGCGCCACTCAAAACTTTTGAACGCTACTACAGGCTCGATCATCAATATCAACATCTTACCCTCACCCCCAAACCGTAAACCACCACCACAACCACCACAACCCCCGCCACGATGCCTCCAAAACGCATGACAGCCAACCCCATCAAGCCGGCGCGCTACCGCGCCGGCAAGCCGATGGCGCCCGAGTCATCCTCGTCCGAGTCGGAAGACGGCGGCAGCGACGACGAGCAGCAGAAGCGGCCCGCCGCCCCAGCGCGCAAGATCGCCCCGCCGCCTAAGGCGCCCAGCGCGGGCAGGATCATCAGTACCGGCGCCGGCGGGAAGAGGCTCGGCTACGGGGCCGAGGAGGAGGCGCGCCGGGCCGCGGCGGCGAGGGCGCTGGCCGAGGCGGAGAGGAAGGCGAGGGAGGAGGGGTTTGTTACGGAGGATGAGGATGAGGAGGACGAGGACGACGAGAGGGAGCAGAAAGGTGCGGCTGCTGAGAGTGGTAGCTCTGAGGAGGAGGGTTCTGAGGAGGAAGATGAAGAGGATGACGACTCGAGCAGCGAGGAGGAGACCCCGCGGCGGTTGATGATGCGGCCGAAATTCATCCGCAAGAGCGACCGTGACGGCGCAAACGAAACCCCGGCCGGCGGAGCAGCGCCCGACGAGGCGGAGGCGGCGGCGGCGGCGGCGGCGGCCGAGGAGGCGCGCAGGAAGGCGGCGGCCGACGAGCTGGTCGAGGAGCAGATCAAGAAGGACCTCGCGGCGCGGCGGGCGGGCAAAAAGCACTGGGACGACGACGAGGACCCGGAGGACGACGTGGACGACGAGGACGACGTGGACCCCGAGGCCGAGCGCGCGGCGTGGAAGCTGCGGGAGCTGAAGCGGATCCGGCGCGACAGGGAGGCCATCGAGGAGCGCGAGCGCGAGCGCGAGGAGGTCGAGCGGCGGCGAAACCTGACCGAGGACGAGCGGCGCGCCGAGGACGAGGCCTTCCTGGCGGGCCAGAGGGAGGAGAAGGAAGGCCGGGGGAAGATGGGCTTCATGCAGAAGTACTTCCACAAGGGCGCCTTCTACCAGGACGAGGCCAAGGCGGAGGGGCTCGACAAGCGGGACATCATGGGCATGAAGTTCGCCGACGAGATCCAGAACCGCGAGCTCCTGCCCAAGGCCCTGCAGCTGCGGGACATGACGAAGCTGGGGAGGAAGGGCGCGAGCAAGTACAAGGACCTGAAGAGCGAGGACACGGGCCGCTGGGGGGAGCTGGACGACGGGCGCTCCGGGCGGTCGGGCTACGACCGTTTCGGAGACGAAAGATTTCAGCCCGATCGGGATCGGGACTGGAATAGGGACCGGGGCGGAGACGGCGCAAAGGGCGCGAATGCCATCCCGTTGGGAGATCGGAAGCCTGTCCCCGGAGCTCCCGAGGGCCCGAGGAATGACAGATTTCGGGGCGAGGACAGGCACCGTTACCGTGACCGTGAGGGGGACCGTGACAGTGACAGGAGGTCGAGATCACCCCGGAACAACCACCGAGAAGGCGACCGAGACCGTGAGCGAGACGAGTATCGGGATCGGCGGAAAAGGGAGTCCTCACGGGAGCGGGATCGTCACGAGGGTGATAAGCGTCGGCGGGTAGACGCCAGATAAATGGTATCATGAACCGCATACCCTAAGCCCCAAGCACTATTGTAGTAAAATACCAAGCCTTGATACCCGACTCCCCCGAAGTCCACGTCACCATTGTCATATACATACATGTACATCGTAAACCAGAGGCTCAGATCCTCGTAATCTCGACCCTTGCCCTCCCAAATACGTTGTGTCCCATCATGCCTCCACTACTCAAGCTTTGATCGGTCAGTGACGGGGCCTTCAGGATCATCCGGGCGTAGGTGCCAGCCCCCCGTCGCTTGGACAGGTATCCGGGGTTGATGACCAACACGCTTTCCACGACCTGTTTGAAGACATCATATCAGCAAAACCGACTCGCGGGCCCCTTCTTTTTTAAAATCACGGCCTTCTTACCTTTGCAAAGGGCGGTAGCGAGCTCGGCACGACAAGCACATCCGGTCGAACATTTACCATCTCGCCGAGCTTCAGATAGCTCGCGTCGACCGCAGCACCGGCGGGGATCCCGTCCGGGGTGCCGACCTTGGGCAGCTTCTGCCGGTCTGCGGGCGGGAAGAGGGGGAAGAAGTGGCCCTGCTCGATGAGGTAGCGGCTGAGGCGCGACAGCAGGGCCGGGTCGGCGGGGCGGCCGCCGACGAGCTCCTCGTGGCGCAGCTCGAACAGGGCGTCCTGGCTGCTGATGCCCATGACCATCTCGTTGATGCTCAGCGTCATGGGGTTGCCGATGACCTTGGCCGTCTTGGGCAGGCCGAGGTCCTTGCGCGGGAAGCTGTCCTGCGGCCAGGAGACGTGCTTGTCGATGACGTCGCGGACGGACGGGATGAGCAGGATGGTGATGTGCGGGTTGGAGGCGACGAGGCGGTTAAGGGCGGGAGAGATCATGTATTTGAAGACGGTCGACATGGTTGCCGTGTCGGGGTCCACGACGGCTTCGTCTGGGAGGTCGAAGTCGCCAGTGGCAATGAGGGGATGGTTCATGTCGATGAAGGGTCCCGTCAAGATGAGAGCGTCGGCGTATATGTCCGCTGCTCGGGTACAGAGGGCATGAAGCGGTTCGAAATCTAAGTTGTCATCTGCACTATAGGGGCCGGAAGCAAACATGACATTCAGGGGTAATGGCTCTGAATCGGAATCCATGACATCGGGACCACCACGGAGTCGCTCCCGATGGGCTTCGAGAGCGGACGGGGTGGATGCTGCGTTTGGCAAAGGCGGAATAGGGAGTACCTCTCTCACCATGAATTCGCGACCAGACGCATTGCTGCCCTTCAGAGCAACAATCTGTCCGGGAAAGAATTGGTACCTGCCCTTGAGCTGCTCCAGGTTCAACGGTATGCGGAGTCCACCGCCCGTTCGCCTCGATGTTTCCAGTACCAGAGATGCTGCGTTAAGCCTCCCTTCGGCCGAGTCTGAGGCTACCCGACCAAGGGCAACTACGTCGCTCGTGCTCTGACTTGCAGCGCTGCCGAACTCTGATTCATCCACCTTGTGATGCTCCATGACCGGCTTCATGAAGTCGTCTATCCGGTCATCGAGGATCTCGGAAGCTTCACTCAACTTCATGGCCAAGGTCTTGTATCCCAGCTTCTTCTGGTCGGAGGCAGCGGTGAGTTTGATTCGAGACTCGCCGAATGGGGCAATGGGCGGCTCCGCGGCCGGAAGGTGATCGTTGAGGACTTCGATAATCTCGCCGGGGGTTTGGCGGTCATTGAAAGACGACGGGCTAGGATGATGAGAAACCAAGGCATTTGAGGTCACGGGGAAGCGACTTACGGAAGAACGCCGAGGGAGTTGAGATGGTCTTCCAACCTGGAAGGCGACTTATGATCTGGCGAGCTGCCAGGATGTTCACCCTTGACCCTCGAGATCGAAGGCGTGTCTAATTGCCTCTTCTTCGCCGACGCCACCTTGTTGAGCTTCCCTGATCCGGGGGTGTTCGGGACGAGCCCGTCCAACATGCCAAAGACGTCGCCATTCTTGGCAGCCGACGCTCGTGGGGTTGCGCCAATGCGCTTTTCGGGCTTGATGTACGCCTGGGATCGATTGCTGCGCTCAAGCGCACTTTGGAGGTCCTGTTTGAAAGCGCGCAACGTGTCTATTGTAACATTCATGCCATCCATGTCCAGCTTGATCGAGTACGACTCGAACTTGAAGAACAGATCCTGCGGGGAGAGCTGGTGAAGCCGCATGATAGACTGGAGCTCAGCAAGAACATCGGGCTCCAACTCTTTCCCTCCGGTCCCAAAGCGCTCGTTCAACTCTTCCACCACCGGATCGGACATTGTGATATCGTTGGAGGTCCTGGGGCCGTGTCGACGCTGGTCAATTGGTCATAAAGACGGTGACAATCACTGATTTGGGCGGGGTAGTGAGGCAGTGAAAACTAAAGCCAATATGGAATATCGGTCCTTTGGTTTGGAGACGCGACGTGACGCGATTTGGTCGCGTTAAGTGGTTCCCGGTTTCCCCTGTCTTTGGTAAGCTCGGTACCTGCCGAGCCTTCAAGGGTCCCTGCTTTCGCAGGGGTTAACCCCTGGAACGGAGAACAGCCCGATATTGCCGGCCGGGGACATCGAATTATCAAAGTTTAGATTGCTAACTTTACCGGGCACCTTTCAACAATCAATATCCGTACTTCCTAAAAAGCCCCGTGGAATAATCTGAACTTTCCTGAGCTGTGGAGTTCATAGAGTCCCTATCTTGATCTGCAGCCCAAATCTACATCTTTGGCAAATTGTGGCTGACACTAAAACGCCTCGTGTACTCCCTCCTTTATAACTGAGCGGTGTGATTAAATCAAACCTCCCATCCTAAGCTCTCGACAAATCTCAAGCGAAGAGTCAAATAGGAATGGCAACTACTCTGGCTGCCCAATGCAGCACTGCTGAGGCAGACTCCACCATCCAGGAGAAACCAACGGGCCCGGTTATGGTCCCTCTTGCTGCTCCGACATCGACCAGCCGACCGAAGGAACGCGCCCCGTTGACCGCAGATCAGGAGGCCAAATATGACTGGCTTCTGGAGCAGGCCAGAGGCTGGAAGGCGGTCTCCTCAGACAAGGGGAAAGGCGGGCCACTTGCAGACAATGAGCGGATGTGGCTGACTCGCGAGTGCCTCCTCCGCTATCTCCGGGCTACGAAATGGAACCAGAAAGACGCAGAGAAACGGTTGCTGGCCACCCTCGCTTGGCGGAGAGAGTACGGCGTCGAGGAGCTCACCCCGGAGCACATCTCGCCGGAGAACGAGACGGGGAAACAGATCATTCTCGGCTACGACAAGGAGGGCCGCGTCTGCCACTATCTCAACCCGGGCCGCCAAAACACAAACGTCTCTCCCCGCCAGGTCCAGCATCTGGTCTTCATGGTCGAGCGCGTCCTCGACCTCATGCCCCCGCAGCAGGAGACCTTGGCCCTGCTTATCAACTTCAAGGAGGGCAAGAGCAGATCCAACACGGCTCCGGGCATAGGCCAGGGACGAGAGGTCCTGAACATTCTCCAGACTCACTACCCCGAAAGACTAGGCAAAGCCTTGATTATCAACGGTGCGTAGATTAGGGATAGTTCTAGAGACCAGAACGCTAACTAGCTCAGTTCCTTGGGTCGTCTGGGGTTTCTTCAAGCTGATCACGCCCTTCATCGATCCATTGACCCGCGAGAAGCTGAAGTTCAACGAGGACATGCGCCAGTATGTTCCAGAGGAACAGCTATGGACGGAATTCAATGGCGGTCTGGACTTTGAGTATGACCACTCGGTCTATTGGCCGGCGCTGCAGAAGCTATGTGGCGAGAGACGCGAGGAGCAGAGGCGACGATGGGTCGCCGGCGGTAAGCTCATTGGAGAGCACGAAGCTTACCTCGGTGGCCACTCACCGACCGGCGCCGCCGGGGTGCCTCCTAGCAATGCCGAGGACGAGGTGGAGGCTCCCGACTCTGCGGGCGAGGTATCGGCACCTGCCGATGCGGCCAAAGACAAGCCCGAGCAGGCAGCCACGGAAAGTGAAAGAAATAGGTAGCTGAAGTGTTCCGGTTGGGGAGGGGAGGGAAGAGGAGTGAAACTAAGCTTTGCTATTGATGGCAAATGCACTCTTAATCAGATGTAATTAGCCCCCGCTGTGCTCCTAACTGAAGCACCATGTGGGCGGGATGCAATGGAACCGACCTTCCAGACTAATATACCTTAGCCATACACCACACCGATTTTCCGGGTCTTGTCATTGCCAGTATCCCGAGTCATGACATCCTACTTCGCCGGCACTATGAATGGACTTCTGCCTTGGCCTCGAGAGTCGCGACATTGGCTTTTCGCCCGACAGCTTTAAGGCGAGATCTCAAGCACCAAGATCTAGTCGGTACGCGGCCGTTTGTTATCCCCGTCCTCACTCACTCCTTGCCCATTGGCATCATCAGCATCTGCTTCTTCCCTCTCATGGACCCTACCAGCACCCTCTCCGAGTTCACCATTTACCCCGCCCCCTTCGCCAATCCAGTTGCCCTCTCCGTCGAAGTACTCGTGTACATTCTCTGCCGTGATCCATCCCGAGCTACCCGGCAAGGGTGGCGGCAGGCCACCATCAGACGATCCAACAAACACGCCTGAAAAGCCTTCTACGGCGTGGTGATCTCCCTCGAAGACAATTCTGTCTTCTCCGTCCTCGTCTTCCGAGTCATCGACAGGGTCCGGATGAAGGTTCGAACAGTCGGATATCGCTCCAAAAAGCTTCGACGTCTCTGTCTGAGGGTCTACATCGCTATCCGTTGCTGTTGCTGCTGGTTCTTGCCTTGCTGGCGGGACGATGGTCAGCTCGAGAGTATCGAAGGTCTCGTCATCGCCGGCGCCATCGGAGAAGTCGAGCTGAAGATAGACGGATTGGTAGCTCTGATCGCCGGAGCCAAGGTTCTTGATCGCATGGAGGGTGATGGATTGGTACGGGATCGCTATGCCCGACTCGCTATTCGGGCAGAATATGGTAAAAGTCCTGGATCCAGGTTAGGTGACGAAGGGAGGGATTGCGCAACCAGGGGCTTCCAAACTCGGAGGTAACAAATAGGTCTACAGCCTGTTCCACCAGGTCCTCAGACGCCCCGTTTAACACGCTTGACTCTGGGCCTGTGGGCTCCGAAGCGAGGTCTGCTGGGAAGAAGGGGAGGTTGCCCCTTTGTGATTTTGGGATCCAAGCTTTCGCGCCAATCGCATGGTAATGAAGCACTGGATTTCCGCCGTGAAAAGTCTCGGGCGTTTGAGACTGATATTCCGAAAGGGGGGTGTAGTCTGCCACAGAAGGCGGCGACCGGATCGTCGTCGGCATCATCTTGAAAGGGCGAATCTCTGGACTTGTTGTTGATGTCACCTGCAAGTGGGATGTTCTCCAAAAGCTCCAAAAGCAAAATCCAGGTGGGGCCTTTGACGAGGTAACTGCTATGGAGCTTATCGCTTATCGCTTTGTCCTGGCCACCCCGACCACATCCAGCAGGCCCAAAAAAAAAACTCCTGCAAAAAGACCACAAGAAAAAAAACAATGCGTCGGCCGGGAATCGAACCCGGGGCCCACGCATATTGGCTTGCCTATGGCAAGCGTGGATTTTACCACTAAACCACCGACGCTGTTAAATGGCAGAGCCCCTAATTTGGTACCTACATAAGAAAACCTCTCTCTCCCTGAAAATTCCCGTGAGAAACGAGTTACGCCCAAGATTGTACCTATTCCACCTCCACGCAGACAATAAGCATACAAGTTTTCTAAAATGCCATTTGTGCCATCGGCTATGCATATAGGCATAGATAAACCTAGCTTAGACACGTGACGCTTCTTTGTCCACTGAGGCTCTACAAGACACTAGTCCCAATTTGGAAGTAAACAAAATTTGCTCTATAGTGCTATATATGCGCTCGATGAAACATACAGCGTCGGTGGTTTAGTGGTAAAATCCACGCTTGCCATAGGCAAGCCAATATGCGTGGGCCCCGGGTTCGATTCCCGGCCGACGCATTGCTTTTTTTCCTTTTTGCCTGTTCCCCCTTCCCTTCCTTTTTTTCCTTTTTTTCTTCCATTGATTGATCCGTTTGGAATTTGTCAAGTGTCAGCAAATGCAATCTCTGCGTCAAGATCAGTGTAACAGTAGGACTAGATGTTGCCACTACGATATTCGCGGCTGGGAGACTTCGTTTTACCCTGTTTCTAAAGGATCGTTCGTAAAGGCGCTTCGTATATTAGCCAGTGTGGAACTACTTTGCCATTGATTGAATTTTCGCAACCGAACTGGAAGAAAATAGAAGAACAATAGAGAGGGATATCTAGGACGAGGGCATGCTATATTTATCTTGCAGTTGATATCCCGGGTGACCACGGGAGTCCGGCCGGGGAACATGGAAAATCGGGGCTATGGAGGGGTTGGTGGGTCCACAGAACCCGGAGGCCCGAAGTTTGAATTGTCAGTCGAACTGTATCCGTCTTTCTCAACGACCCTATCACCCCTATCAACTATCAACGCTCAACGCTGCCAAAATGCATGACAATTGTAAGCTGGCCCCCTACTCACAATATCTAATATCCCGCTTGCTAACTAACTAATACTAGACTCTCACCCGCTCCTTGAACAGGTGCCCCTCACCGTCTCCCCCTTTATCAACCTCCCCACAGCCACGACCCTCCCATACACATACAAGACCATGCCGTCGACCCTCCCGCCATCCACAACCGGCATCACCTCCACATCAGCTGGCCCGGGTGCCGACAGCAGCGGTAGCGGCGTGCACCCGTCCGCGGGCCCGACGCCGAGCAACAAAGCCAAGTACGTCATCTCGGCGTCGGGCCACGCCGCGCACCCAGACGACATCGTCGCGTCGTGCCGGGCGCTGCAGGCGCACGTGGCGCGCCTGCAGGCCGACGCCGAGGCCGAACTGCGGGCCCTCGACGCGCGCATCCGCGCCCGCGACCTGGCGGAAAGGCGGCGCGTCGCCCCGGGCTGGCTGGACAGCGAGGCGCGACTGCTCGAGCCGGAGAGGAAGGCCAGCGCGGCGGAGGAGCTGCCTCCCGCTACCGAGGCCGGGGCTGGGGATTTCGGCGGGCCGCCTGGTTATGCCGGGGGTGGGCAGCTGTTTGCGGGGCAGCATGTCTGGGGGTCTGGTCATGGGCCTGGAGGGGAGAGCGAGATGGCGGTTCCGGATGAGGGGGAGCAGCTGGATAGGGTTTTTGGGGGCTTGGCGCTAGGGAAGTAGATCACGGCAGGATATCGAGGAGACCATGCTTGTTTTGGGAGTGGGCATCTGAGGACTCTCGGCGTTGGCTTGATATTTGTTTGCATTTCTTGGTGTGCGGGATATCCATTCCATGGACTCGAACGGCGCAGGGACGGCCACAGGCAGAGAGAGGCCCTCGATTCCAAACATGTGACACACCATATGGGAGAATGGCAGGACCTAGACAATACACTAGAGACGGACGGCCGGCTTGAATCAGCCACGGGTTCGAGCTACCGAAGCTGGGATCGAGGTGCCGGATTCTTGCATTTGAAGCTTCGGCAGCCGAATAGGCAATTACATCTACATCCTAATTCGCGCTTACCTTCCACTAGATCTATCCCAGTTATAGAGGCTTGAGAATTGGCATTGATCAAATTGATACCTTTGCACATGGAAATTCTGCCCATCAAATCCTCCTTAAAATCTAAGTGCTGGTAGATAGGTAAGTATATTGCACTATCAATATCTGGTGTTGCCCAAGGACAGTGGCCCCCAGTGACTGCTGCCCGCGTCAGGTACATGTACCTACCTAGGTACCTAGACTGTGCTAGGTTCCATGCATTGCTGGGTTAGGTGTTCGAGACAGCCTTCTGCCACGGCCCTTCTATTGGTCACAGCAGGGGTAGTGAAGATAAATGGCCTGTGCACTCCCAGCTTCCCTCCAAACAGATCCACCAAACAGGTCCAGCCTCGTAATCCATCCTCCAGCTCCAGGCATTCAACAACAATCTTGTGCGCTTGTTAGGTGCCGCTGTGGAGGCTTCTCGAGGAGGATTGGTTAAGGAAAGGACTCATTCCTGCTTCCACCTACACAGCATGCACACATGCCTATGCCCGAATATTTCGTCTCTGCCTCATGCCGATGACTGACGGACCTTCGAAATCATCCCGACGGCGGAAGAAGGACAAATCCTCCTCGCGCCGTAAGAGCAAACAAAAACCCAAAGTTGAGGACGAACTCTATGCCATTAAGGACATAATAGACGAAAAGTACGAGAGAGGGAGAGTCTGGTATAGGATCGACTGGGAAGACGACCCAAACACGGGCGAACAGTTTGACCCCTCCTGGGTATTTATTCCTTTTTATTCTTGCCTGCTAGACAGCACACTGAATGCCTCGTATTTAGGAGCCTGCAGAGAACGCAACTGAAGACGCCATTGCTGCTTGGGAAAAGGCAAAGGGTGAACGTGCTGCAGCTGAGCACACACACGAAGCTCACACCCCGAGTCTCGACACGGACAGCCAGCCTGTGCTTCCGCCCAACGAGAGAACAAAGAATTTCAAGCGTCGACGGGCAGACTCGGGACTTAGCAGCACAGGCGCCAGCCCAGGTGGCAGCCCACAGAAGAAAAGGCGACTTGAGCAACTGACCGCTGGCCCGGGTATTGAAGATACTGGCTTGGAAGAGGAGTCGACCTGGAGCTTTGCGGAACCACTGCCCCAGAAAAGAGGCACATTGGTAGTTGGCGTACCTGCTCGACCGCACTTCGATCCAGCCGAGTACATTCCTGTAGGCCCGTCTTCGAGCTCTCAGAATACCTCCCCTCCCCACCCTCTCCCAAACAGGGATACTGCTCAACGGGAAGCAGAAGTAAGCCAACGGACGATTCCCGATTCACAAGACTTTCCCGAGTCAATTCCATCCCATATAACTGCTACCAGCGGGCTGGTGAGAGATAGCGAGTCGCTCCGAGACTCAGCCATTGGGCCCTCGGACTCTCAATCTCTTCACTCAACCCATCCGGGGGATCGCCAGGACCATACTTCAGAAAACCGTGTCGCAGTTCCTATAGCCACGACAACCACAAGTCAGGAAGCCTCCGAGAAGAGCTCTAAGCCAGCTACCAGCCAAGGGCAATCAGAGCTTTCCGGGGAACCCATCCCCTCGCGTCAGCCAGACAGCCCTCTCCACGACACCCCATCCTTCCAGTCTACCTCTACGAGTGGTCGGGCGGTCCTTGCGGACAGCAATCTTGGCGGAGGCTCAACCGTACCTCCTGAATTTCCGGCGGACACACCATCGCATCATTTGGGCCGTGACCATTCTCCTCCACCTGGGAATTTCCTGTCGCAACCCGACTTTGGCCTGGAAGTCCCGACGTTAGAGAGCTCCTTGCCCAGGCCTTCTGACCGAACCGCAAGCGAGATAACTTCGAGTGGGAATGCAAGTGGAAAGAACCTACTCCTTGGTACTCACGTCAGCCGAAGCGTTATCACAGACACTTCGCCTCATTCTGCCCAAGTCGTACGACCTCTCAGCAGCAACCCTGGAGACATCCGGACCCAAAGCGACGACCAGATCAGTATTGGCGACAACGAGGACCAAGCCGCCGCGGCCACAGAGCATAGCGTGTCTACTGAGCTACCAGACCCTCAGAGTGCCGGCCACCCTTTGTCTAGACTGAACGGAGATATCCCAACTTCAAGTTCCAACATTAACAACCACGAGCCCGCTCCACCTAGTGTAGCAAGAAGCGATCACGGCCCCCCATCGGACCAAGAGGTTATCGCTCAGATTGTTGACCTCGAAGAAGGTTCAGCAGGGCAAGAGTCACAGGCTTCCCCAAGCCCCCTTTCCCGGATCCATTCGCCAAGCACCCCGCCAGCCCGGAACTCGGACAAGTTCTCCGCGTCGCGCCCGCGCCCATCAACCCCTTCGCCACCCGATATGGATCGCTCCTCGCGTGATGCTAGTACCCCGCTCTCGGCGGTCGAGCGATTCAGGAAGCTGCAAGCCGAGGTATTCGGTCAATCCCCTGCGCAATCGTCTGACTCGACTTCCTCCCGGGAGACTGGCACAGGTAGCTCCCAATTCTCACTCTCGCCGGCCGCGCAACCTCAACAGGCTGGGGCATCGAATGTAGTCGCGCCTTCAAGTGGACAGTACACCGCGACAGGTGATTTGGCTGCTAGTCCAGCGCTGCATCCCACGTCCGCCATTGGAGATACTCCAAGCAACGCTCAGTCCCCTCATGTCCAGTATACTCTACCCCATCTCCGAGCCAATTTAGTTGATCGTCATCAGAATGAGGCCATAGTGCCGGCAACTGTTGCTCCCTTGGACCTGGCGCCGGCAGCTGAACCATCGACTATCCAAGATATTGTGGTGCCTGAGGCGACTAGTCATGCCCTATTCGAGGCCAGCACCAGTGAGGAAACCGCGGATGATGTGCTGCCTGGGATAGAGTCGCAGCAGTCTCCCACCGAAATGGAAGACGACTCGTTTCTTGCTGCTGTCGTGAGACCCGTCACCGCTGGCTCCAACGGATATATTGTTACCCTGCCGATGCTAGCCAGCACTCGCGCTCAGTACCTCAAGGCAATCCACGCCAACAAGTCTTCGATGTTGGCATATGGCGATTTCTTCACCACGGACAACGCCAAGATTCCCGACGGTGCCCTTATCTCCACGATGGATTCGATATTCCAGCACCTGTCTGACCTTTGCGACATGCCTGCTTTTGCCGAGAGTCTTCCCGAAATGACGCCCGACGGTAAGAAGAAGCATGCAACTGGCACCAACAGCAAATTCTCGTTTGTCTACGAACTGCTGGAGCAGCTGCAGGACTTGGATACCCGAGTTCTTCTTGTCGCCAGGCCGGGCCGCGTCCTTGAATTCATCGAAGCCGTCGTGGCCACGTCGGGTTTCAGCTATCATCATCTGGGTCAGGGGACTGCTGCTAGCGGCGACTCCGAGAAGCTCGCCGTTATCCTCGCCAGTTCAGACCAAGATCTCACCGGAATCCAGCCAGGAGTTGACGTTGTCATCCTTTTTGACAGCTCTGCTAGGTCTGTAGATCTTCCAGAGTCACTGGCTCGCGACGGGATGGCTCATCCAATCGTCCTATCCCTTGTCGTAACGTGCTCGATTGAACACATCGACCTGCGGCTCTCAGAGAACATGGATCCGCTCTCGAGAAGGAATGCCGTGAACTTCGCATTGGTGGCATCGCAAGAGCTTATCAGAGACCCTAAGCGTTCGGGTTTCATGGAACCGCATGAGGTGGCGCTGCATTTTGCCGAGTTCATCAGAGACCCGGACGCAGACCTAGAATGGGAGCCGCAGGGCATCCCAGATGACTTGTTCGACTTCTACCTGAGCTCCCAAGTTCCGCCAAGGGAGCCACTGGGCGATAGCGCCGGACTGGGAGACGATTCGGCAAGATCAAAGAGTCGCAAGCGTCTAATCGTAGGTGATCCGAGGCCCACTGAGAGGGTAGGCAACCCGCTAATACATACTCCCCTCCAGCAGGATGACGTCGAGGAAGAAACACCCAAGCGGGCCAGAATAGCCGGGACCCAAGAACCGGCGGCAAACCGGACGCCGCCCGCGATGAGCGATCTACTAAAGAAGCTCCTCGCGACCCGTGGTCCTAATAGCAAGGTCTTGGAGCCGACGGTCGAGGTATCGGTGTCGCAACTCGAGTCGTTGGCTTCAAAGGTGAGTTTCAGCATTCGGAGGCCGCCTTGTCGGTTACTGACCGAGATAGATTGCGCTGCTGTCGAGCCGCCTGAGAGATAAGGGCGTCATCGAGACAAAATTAGGAGAACACGTCAAGAGCCTCGAGACGCAGGTCAAATCCCACGAGAAATCCATCAGAGACATCCAACCCAAGTATATGGAGGCTCTCCGGGATAGAGGCGTGTATGAAGTGGAGCAAATCAAGGCCCTTGAAATGGCGGCCAAGATGGCACAGCAACTCGAGACAAGCAAGGCGGAGGACCTGCGCGTCAAGGAGCAGAATATCCTCCTCGAAACAAAGCTTGCCGAGGCTACTACTGCAGTGCTTCGCGGGTCCTCAGACGCCGAGATTTCGAGCCTAGCCTCCTCCTCTGCAAGGGAGCTACAGGAAGCGAAAGCCAAGATCGAGACCCTGGAGAAGAAGTTGGCCACCATCCAAAAGGACATGGACTACAGCCGCGAGGCCTACCAGAGAGCCTCGACCTCGGCCAGCGAACTCGGGCTCGAGAACAGCGAGCTCAAGGAGCGGATCAAGGAGCTGGAGCGTATGGCGGCGGACAACCTGGCCAGGATCCAGCAGATCAATGCCCAGAACGAGAGCCAGGAGTACCAGCGGCAGTGGGAGGAGAGCCGGGCCATCCTCAGGGACAGGGAGCGTGAGCTCGACCGAGTCAGGGAGGAGCTCCGGCAGCTCAAGAGCGGGCGGCGCGAGACCAGGCACCCGAGCGTCCCTCGTAGTCCGAGGACGGGGGTCATGAGCCCGCGCGTGGTCGGCCGGGGAGCGGGCGGCGGCGCCAGTAGCAGAGGCACGAGCCCGGCTGCCTCGGGCGGCATGGATGGCAGCCCGGTGGCCGGTATGACATTCTTCAACCAGGCGCCGGGCAATGGCCGGTGGGGCCACTTGAGAGACTGAGGAGGTTCTAGAGCGAGTGCAAACGTGACCCGTGACCGAGTTTGATTTGCTTTGTCATTGCTGGCAGCTAGCCCTAGCTGACTAGGGAGCTTACCTTCGAACGCATTTATTCATGGCTCGGATAAGGAATAGGGGCTTCGACATCACTTCGACAACCTATTATATCATGTCATCGGAAATGGCAGGGGATTTGCTATTATTGGTGCCTTTTAAGGGCTTGTTGTTTCACTATGGTGGAAAAGAGGCTTGCTAGTGAGGTTGGTAGAGTGCAATCATATGTCCTCGACACTTTTGTCTCTTGTTCCTTTCCGAAGGATTGGACTCCTCCGGTTCGCCTCTCGGTATATATTGTACTTGATTTGGCATGACTGACACAGGAGACCCTGATCCGAGCCGAAACGTGGTAGAGAAGGAGCGGTTATGATCAAGCATCTCTAGGCTGATACCGTGCATTCATGTTAGGCATTTTCTCGGTTGTCAACATAAACACATTGGTATGACAGATTTTGGTCAAAGTGAGTTCAACGTCTTAAGGAAATTGGATTATGCTCTGCTCCCCTCTTACAAGACGACTGTGGCCATAAGTGAACACGCATCGGTTGCGACCCACCTCCTTCCATTGAGCGTTCAACTTTGGCCTCAGGGCCTCCTCTCTTCTTTTCAGGTCTACTAAACATATACAGATTGCCCTCGGATGGGGCTGGGATATCCAACCATTCTCCAGGATCCCGGAGCGGGATTGTCGGATCGAACTTGGACGAGCTCAGCGTACCCAGGCCAGGCCCTCTAGTTGGTCTCCTCGGGGTACAGATCCTCCTTCAGCGTGATGCCCATCTCTTCCCGAAGGGGCTTCAGCTCGTCGAGATACTGCTGGTACTGGCCCTTATTCTCAACCTTTGCCTGGATACCTGCATGCCAAATTTGGTCAGTCTGCACAAGCCTGAATTTGTTCTGCCATATATATCCCGCAAGACTCGTCAAGGGGGAGGGGCTTCTTACCCTCGAAGATCCGGACAGCGGTGGGGAAGTCGTTGACACGTCGTGCAGCTTTCAGGGCGGCGACGACGACCGAGGCGGAAGGTACGAGATCGTAGGCGAAGGCGTTGTTGAGGTTGCGCTGGGGAATTGGGGGAATATCGTGATCAGCTAATTGTGTCCCCACCGCAAGCTTCGGCACCAAATGGAGGTCCTTACCTGGAGCTCGAAAACATCCTGGACGCCCTCGAATTCCTTCTCGTATCTACGAGAACCCGCATATCAGCAATTGAATCTCCAGGCAAGCTTGCCTTGCCGCATTGAGCATCGGGGTCGCCTGGATCCATCCGCTGATGCGTATCACGTCATGACATCTGGCGGGTGAACGGAGGGACCCCCGGTGCCTCCCAGCAGCTGGTGGGGAAAAAGAAAGCTGTCCCTGCTCACCTGGCCGTGAACTCCTCAAATGTCTCCTCCTGGTGTTCTGAGCGCAGGCAGGTGCCGGTGCTGAAGCTGTTGTAGGAGGACGGGAGGGCGAGGAGGCTCGGGATGACGAGACCAGCTCGGGCTGCCAGCGACTGCTGGCGGGCGACGACGTTTGAGCGGAAGAAGGTGCTCGGGGAGCCGCGAGCGGCAACACGGAGGAGAGAGGCGGACATTTGGGGAGAAAGAGCTGCTGCAATTGAGGTTCGCGAGACGAGTTGGGGAGGGAAAGTACAGATGGGTGGGTATCGGGATCGAATGATCTTTCGGCTACGCTTTTTCGCTTCTGGCTGGTGTTTTCGCTCCCTGAGGCACAAGCTTTGCCTGAGGCATTATTTCGCAAGGAAGATTATTGGGTGACCCACGTGTGGAGCTGTGGCTCGCCAACGCAACCGCACCAGCCACATTTTCAGGAGCTAACCATTGAAAATCCATCGGTAAGTCAGCAAACGGCTTTATCCTGATTTCCCATCTGATCTAATCTCCCAAAATCTGTGCAAGCAATTGGAAGAGTACATTGCAGCTGGGAAGGTCCATTGGCACTGGGCTGTGATGTAAACAGTTTCTTAACATGAATATGCATGATACAGCTCTAAATACCTGCTCCCTGGAGGCAGAAATGGACATTTGTTGTCCGAGGCATTCATTGTATTCAGAGCAAGGAGCCTCGGCGGCTCATTGTAATATCCTATCTGTGCGGTTCATTGGCTACAAAAATGCACATGCTGTTGCAGGCATGTGTTAGTGCCACCTTAGGTAACTACCTAACTCCTTTTTGTCAATATTTTCCCGGCAGCCATTCCAGCTTTAAGCTACCGCCAGTCGCCCATCTCAGCCGACCCTTTCAACTCTCCCCGTCATCACCTTCTCCAAACCGAACCTAGGCGCGTACCTGGGCTCCTTTTTTTGGCCATTGTTCCTTTCTTGTCTCTCATTCAGTCCCGTCTCTTTCTTTCCTTGGCGGCGATCTGTCTAGCTTGTCTATCTTGACGCTTAATCTCACTTGCTAATTGTCCGCGGGTTCCGAGCCAGCCTGCAAAAGGGCTCGCGTCAACTCTCCCGTTAATTCAGGTGCGCATCAATGAGACTCGGGCGAAACCATCGGAGGAGAGGTTGCTAACTGGCCCACTAGCTATTTTTTATTCAATTGCGCGCAACAAACTTCAAGATGGCGACCGAATCTTCTCTTTCGCTCTTCGACAAATTTCCCGTTCCCACCCTCGACCGGCCATTCGGCATTCACTTATGGCCCTACTTCAGCAAGGGCTTCGAGTATGTCGTCGGCTATCCCGCTGAGGACTTCAGGTTCATCCCTGGGACTACCCCAATGTCGACCCTGAAGGAGACGGGCCTCTTTGTCATTCTCTATTATACCATCATCTTCGGCGGTCGCGAGATTATGCGCAACCGCGAACCGTTCAAATTGCGGTCCCTCTTCCTGATCCACAACTTCTACTTGACTGCCATTAGCGGCATCTTGTTGGTCCTCTTCATCGAGCAACTCCTAGGGACGGTGGTCCGACGGGGCATCTTCTACGCCATCTGCGACACCGGGGGCGGATGGACTCAACCCCTGGTTGTCCTGTACTACGTGCGTTCCTTGGTCAGGTGTGCTGTTTTTGGAGTAACATGAGGGCTAATATTGTCTTGCAGCTGAACTACCTGACCAAGTACCTCGAGTTGCTAGACACATGCTTCCTGTTCCTCAAGAAGAAGCCCCTGAGTGCGTTATCTACCTCGGTCCAACTTTGGCGAAGGCCTCGGGGTTTCCTCCCTCGTGCTCCTACTGACACTTCCCAGCCTTCCTCCACTGCTATCACCACGGGGCGACTGCCGTTCTCTGTTACACCCAGCTGATTGGTTCGACCGCCGTCTCTTGGGTTCCTATCACCCTTAACTTGACAGTGCACGTGGTCATGTACTGGTACTACTTCCAGAGCGCTCGTGGCATCCGCATCTGGTGGAAGGAGTGGATTACCCGTCTTCAGATCATCCAGTTTGTCATTGATCTTGGTACGTTGAGCTTGTGCGTGATTGTTGAGTTGGGCGATGGCAACTAACAGCTCCCTCCCAGGTTTCGTCTACTTCGCTTCTTGGACATACTTCACCTCGACTTATTTCCAGTGGCTGCCCAGTGCTGGCGAGTGTGCCGGAGAGGAGTTCGCGGCCTTCGCCGGCATCGGCATTCTCAGCTCATATCTGCTCCTCTTCATCTCCTTCTATTTGGCTACATATCGCAAGGATGGAAAGCGACCCAGCGGGCGAAAAGCCACTCGGCGGATGAGCCAGGCCCCGCTTCCCGACCCGCACGATATCATCTACCGCAAGTCGGCGAACAGCGGGGCCAAGTCGACCAGTATGAAGCCCGATGGCTCCGCTCCCCGCTCGCGCAAGGCCTAGGTCGGACATTGTTGGAAAATCCGGTCCCTCGAGTGTCGAGCTTTAGCTATCTATCACATTGTGCCTTCCTGGGCCGTCACCTCGACTGGATACGAACTCGTGACAGCAAACCTTTGGAAGGGAAGGGGGCCACCTGGCGCTTCAACACGCATGGCCACCTCGTCCACTGAGAGCTCCTTGATCTTTCCTCCTTGCGACTAGAGGGAGAAAGACTTTCGATACGGTATTACTTGCATCTCGATATTCATTTTCACGGAGTTTCACGCGGCAAAAATTGTTCCGGGACAACGGCTCGGAATATATTATGACGTATGGCCAGGTGGGATAGGCGAAGGCAGGATACGAGCCAGGCCCTGCGCGTCAGTATAATATGGAGGGGGGGAGGGCATGGTTGTGTATTATGATGGCGTCGGCCAGGACGTGTGTGCATGATGGAACCAAATCACTCTTTGGCGGTACTGGACGGCATCAACAGGTATTCCTTTGGAATCCGACGGGTGACAGGTCGGTTGGCCTTGTCGGTCGGTCTCTGTCTTGTGTGTAGGTTCTGACGAGCTTCGGCTCGGCCTCTTTTTTTTTTTTTTTCCGTCGAGTCTTTTCCCCCCAATTCTCTGTCTGATAAGTTGCTTTTAAACGGGCTTGCCAGTGTGCAGCCTGACTTTGGGCGGGTCGAGAGCCCATAGACAATATTAATACTGCTTCTTCTCGAACTATATCTCTCTAGGCCGCTGGGGGTGATCCTGGGGACTAGCCGAATACGCCTCTGTTCATCGGGGTCATCAGCGTGACACCATCGCCTTGTCCTATAGGGACTATGCATTTAGGGGAACAAAGTTTCCCGGTACCATGGTATGAGCCTCGCGCGGCTACCCACTTGGCCGCCGATTCGCAAAGGTTATGGCGCAATGTGGGAAGCATGGTCTCCCAGGAGCTTGGGTAAGATCTGGCCGTTCCTGTATCCCCCTTGTCCAAGAATAAGAAGCCACCCTGGCCCGTTGCTTGCAGTGGCTTGTGGCTTGTGGCTTGCAGCTTGGTAAGACGTCGCTCCGCAGAATGCGGCAACGGCAGTGTCACTGTCACGAGGGAAACGACCTTGCACCACGTTGCTTGCACGCAGCCAAGAGAAGGCGCTAGCGACAGGATGATGATGCAAGCCACCGCTACCGCCTTGCGAACAACCTGCAGCTTCCATCCCATATGTCGTTTGCGTTATGGTTCCTTTTGCCTCCCCCAACCCTCTCCCCCGCACCAAGGGACGGACCCCTTTCGTTGGTCGCCTCTTCGGAGCCCCTGACCCCGAATGGATCCTCTGGAATAGATCAAGTCCATCCAGCGGGGTCTGCCATTTTCCCCGCCGCGCAGGCAGGGTAGGGCCTAGACGAACTGAGGCTGCGAGTGCAAACGAGCTACAGCCTCGAAACGGCCATTCACGGGGAAAGGAGGAGGAGAAGAAATTGTTTAACTCGCTCTGGTTCGGCCCACCGATTCCTAGGATCGCCTGTTTTTCCGTTCTGGCGGGATCGGTTTGTTGACATCCATCTCTGCGGGTGGCCCTGATGCATCGGGGACATACTCAGGCTTGCTGGTCGGGCTGGGGAACTTGCTTCCCCCCACCTCTTGAGAAGTGCGCAGACAAACAGCGCTGCGTTTGGCAGCGGAGAACCTGCGTCTAGCGGTAGAGAGGGCCGCTGGGGGGGGGGGGGGGGTTAGCTTTGAGTCTAGGCCGTTCGTGGCCGGCAGCAGCAGACGCGTGGGACGCTGGAACAGGACGGGTCTCGACGTGCCAACCACCTACCGCCGCCCTCTGCGGTGAGGAGGCTCTCGGCAGGGGAATTGAGATTGTTAGTCTGCGGCCGCCGCGCGGAGGGCGGCCAAGGGCTCGCGAGGCCGGTCGGGGCCCGCCGAAACCATCGAGGGTGGCGCGCCAACATCGGTTCTATGCCACCACGGGATGACTAGCTAACCCTAGGGGCTATGATTCGGACACTTGTGAACAAGTATTCCCTGCCCAGGGTTGGGGGAAGACAGCGAGCCCACTCCCAATAGGGGCACGCAGTGCGCCATCCCCCTCTCCTGAGGAGCAGGTGGTTGTTCTCCAGGTTGGACCTCATTGGGCAGCCGGCCGGCCGGCCGGCCGAAACAGGCAGTCGCTCCCGAAGCCGTTGTTGTTTATTCTTTCTTCGCCACTTCGCGGGGTTGTTATGGGAGGTGGAGGATGGAGCGGTGAAGACGATTAATACCTTAGGTAGCTTGGTAAGTGAGTATGCGGCCGACAATTGGTGCGAGGCAGCTATCGTGACCTATCACTGGCTTATACCAGAATATAGTTCTACCATTAAGCCTCCCCATCAAGCGAGCTCCGGGAGCATGGTAACGGCTGCACTGAGATCGCTCGACCCAATGATGGGTATTTCGTCCCATGCCGGGCCATATTGGAAACACACCATTTTCCTCCATTCCATGTCGATAACGGAGAGCCCAGGCAGCTGACACAGGCGTCGGTCAGCAGTAGCACAGGATTGCGGCGTTGCTACAAATAGCCTCCATCTACGGGTTCGTCCGGTCTTCTGGGAGGGTTGTCAATGACACAACCTTACCTAACCCTCCTTTCGATGTTACCGTGTCCTCGCTGGCACGACGGCTTGAGATTGCTGCTAGCTCCTACCAGCCTTCCTCCTCTCGTCCTGCCCCTTGGCTGCTGGTCATGGGAATCCCGCCACCCACAGAGCTAACCCCTCCACCAAACGATGTGACTCGGTGGTTGGCCTGGCTACCAATTGGTAGTAGCTCCTCGGCTATCCGTCTGTTGGGGGCTCGCGGGACCGGTAGGCTACCGACCGGCGGGAGGCTAGTAAGCTGGCGATAGCATGACGCTGGATAGTGGCCGCCAACACCGGGGACAGGGCGAGATGCCGGATTGGGAAACCGACTCGGTCCTTTATTCTGCCTATAGTGATATTTTCTTATTCTTCTCCTTCTTCCCTCTCGCCTCTAGCCGCGTGCTGTGAAGCCTTAACGCGGCTGATAAAGGGGTGTGGGATTTGGTGCGGTACCTGCGGATCTCTTACCCATGTACCTCAGTGATACTGGGGTCTGTTTTCTAGAACTGTCAGACAGATGACATGAGGATGGCCCTTCTCAGGAGCTGTTTCTAGACCATGTAGTTTGAGAACCCGTAGATTGCAGCGGCGCGCTAAACGACGTTCTACATTCTAATTCTAGAGGCCACGGTTGGCGGTGTGACTGTCTCGACCGCCCCCTTAGAAGACCCATAGCACGGCCACATATACAGTATGCGGCACTCTTCCTTTTCCGCAGAATACCTACCTACCCTTTTCGCGGGGCAAGGTACGCTAACTGCAGGTTCCCTCTTATGCTGCCTCCCCCCCCCCCCCCCCCAACCCCCCAAGGTGCATGAGCAATGATCGTTCGTGCATGTTAAGCATGAGAGGAGAACCAGATCCGCGTGGGTGGATAGGGGGTCATATTGGCTTTCGGTATGAAAAAAGACAACTTCTCTGCCTTAGCATCTCGACCGGGGATCGTGAGATGGTGATCGTCCACGTCCTCGAGAGCGATGGCGATCAACGAGAAAGAATTGGGATTTCCTGTTCATGCACCCCATCGTCCTTCGTCGCTTCCTCTAAGCAGCTTTTTTCCATCTTGCAGGTGACCCAAGAGGTCGCATGTTCCGATCCTTGTCTGGTTAGAGGCTCTAACTTGACTGCAAGGCCATTAGGTAGTACAACGTAGGTCGGACTAATTCAAGGGGTGATTGGTGGGGGTCTTGGGGGGTTCGAGGGGGCGGGCGGCGTCGAGACCATTGGCGTCAGCGGGCTCGGAGGCAGAACTGGCGGGTGCCCCAGATCCCACAACGGGTCAAGATACAGATTACGGAACCAACAGATTCCACGAAATGGGGGAGTTGCTCTTAGCCGGATGTTGGGTTAAGAAGACAAGGTTAGGTTTGCTTCTTGCTACTCGTTGGACTGCGGAAGCAGTGGTTTGGGCAAGGGATTCGTTGCATGACTTTGAATTCTTCAAGATGGATATTGCCCACAGAACGAACTCGAATACGCCCCAGCAAATCGCTGGTTGGAATCTGCTGCCGACACTTTAGCGCGTGGCTTTTTTTTTCGCAAGTTCCTGCCGATTTGCATAGCAATGAGTGGAGGGAAGGATGCATGATGTTCAGGTGGAAGAGGGCAGCACTGCATCATCGGACACGCTGTCCCCGCTCCACCGCTGCCGCACTGTGGCACGAACTGAGGCATCTGGATGAGTTAGGTTGGCTGCATCACCTCGAAGCAGGTACGCAGTACAAGTGCATGCATTCCAGTTGTGCAGTCGTGTGAGGCCGGGCCCCTGCTGACCCCAGCTTTTTTTTTGCCCAACGTGTGTGTGAAGGGTGCTCTGCTTCGATCATCGATTGCTTCAAGTTCCTGACATCGGACGGGAACCCAAACCTGCGACGAATGGCTTGCCCATCTCCTTCAGCTTTGCTTGCGTAGATATGGACAAGGGTCAGAATTAGCAACCAAAAAGCCAATCGGGAGCCAACCAGGGATCGAGCAGCGGGAGTGAGGTCGCACAGAAGCCAAAGTTCTGAGATCGAGGGGTCGAGTCGAAACATCTTGTCAAACAGATCTGAAAAGGCCTGTGAGCCTGTGACAGCTGCAGTCCTTGCAGATATTACTTTCAGATGCAAAATTGGCATATCATCACTGAGAGGGCAGTTTCTGCTAGTGCTCTGTAGGTAACTCTTGTATTATTGAAAGCAGCTTTCCATGGTATCATTGAGTTCATCGCAAGGTACAACCGCTCTGTAAACTTTCCCTCGTCGGAATCTCAGTAGTCAGGCCATAGATCGTCAATGATCTGGAAATCATTAGGACACATCATAATCCCGTCCAGTAGATCCCCCCAAGCGCCTGCAAAAGGAGTGAATGCCAAACGCCAGGTTCCTCCAAATGTGTGTGCAATGACGAGCCCTTCCTTGCTCAGAAAAACAGCTAACAAACGCCGGTGATGATCTCACCCCTTGTAAACGCCATGCATAATGAAACCCCAGCATGCCCAAGATTAATCTTCCAACTCCGAGGAGTTCATCCCGCGTAATGCAATTATCGTTTCCAGTGATGCTCATCTCATATCAACCTGCCCGTCAACTTGATGCTCCGCCGTCTCGCAGCAAGACCACTCAAGATGCCTCTCTTAGGCCCAGTTGTCGGGGACGCAAGAGGTGACTGTTGCTGATGTGTCGGTGATGGGTGTGGCGGCGAAACCATGGCATTCTTCCTTGCCGCCTTGATGATGTCGTTATATGTGATTGGGGACTGCGGTGATTGTGGCGACTGTGGTAGCTCCGGCGCCCTGCGTGTCTCCTCTTGCACCTCCCGCGGCTGTGTCAAGGAAGGTGCCGGGGAGGTCATATTGTCCCGGGATGCCACGGCAGCAAAGTTATTCAGGAGCGGCCTACTCCTTTTCCTGACCAGGCTGAACGTCCTCGACGCCCCCCTCAGCAGTGCGGTTGGTGTCCTTGGCGTCTTCGGTGCTGCCTCGTCCCCATTATTCTCCTTGAGAATCTCAAGCGAGTAAGTGCTCCCATTCGCATATGGATCGATATTCAGGAAAGGTGGTTTTCGCCTCAACGGCAAGAAGGACGAGACGAGGGTGCTCGTCCTCGTCGGCTGGTGCAATGATGAGATAGACCCCGTCGGTGTCGAGGACCGCTCGATCGCCGAGATGGACGAATACATGCTTGAACGCTTGCTGGAACCAATCGAGTTAGGAGAGATCGACCTTCGCGGCGTTGGGAGCTCTATGATCGAGGGCTTTCCCGAGAACACGACCGACACAGCCCTTGCCATCACCTCGTAGCTTGTCCGTCGAATGGGTGATTGCGGGTCTTCGTTGCTCGAGTCGTAGCCGTAGTTATCGCCATAGTCTGAGAAGTCGTCGGCGGAGGAGGAAACATCTTCTTCCGAAGACAGATACATATCGAGAGGCGTTGCTTGGGGGAGCTCCGTCGAGTCAATCGACGGGCCAAGCTTGAGGCTGATGTCGTCGAGCAACCGCGAAGCCCTCAACGAGCTCCTTTGAGGCAAAGCCGGAGCTTCGGGCGCGGGCTGGGATTTGTCTTCTGTAGAGTAGAAGTTGTCGAATATGGTGTAATCATGGTATTTGTCGTCAGGAGACGAATAGATGTGTTCCTGGGACTCGTCTCGAAGGGACTCGGGATACGACTGTTCCTGATTCTTGTTTGAATGGCCTACTTCCCTTGCCGGAAGGAACTGGTCCACCGCTAACGACATGGCGTCGGTGCAGTTGGGTAATGCCGTTTGGTGATCCTTGGGGGGAAGGGAAATACTCTTCTGCCAGAGAGGAGAGGGTGTCGGAAGACTCAATGGTCAACAGGAATATATGGTATTCTGCAGCTGCCAGAGGAACTCTTCAGCGTTTTTTCAAGGCTGCTCAAGATAGAAGCGAGAGAATCTGGCAAAAAGCACCAGGGGGTGGGTGGGCAACGAGAATCTTTATTAACCAAGGCACCAGGCATGGTGTCTACTCTGTAATATATGGACGCAGTATGTATACGCGAGAAAAAAAGGGTTGGAGAACACCCCTCGACAGGCCCTGGTTAATTTGCTGCAGGGTACCTTGTACCTTCAGATTATGTTCGGAGCTTGATCCTTGCATGACATGGAGGCCTTGCCTGCAACACAAACCCCCGTTAGTCAGGGATGTCACGGCCATGTGGAGATAACTAACACAGTAGGTACGTGTATACATACATTTGGTATGTACACGGTGCAGAAAAGAAGGACAAAAGCAAAGACAAACGGCTATGGGGGACGTTGAACTATTGGTCAAAAGACGCGGTGGTGGTTGGCCCCGAAGCCTGTTTCAGGTAAAACAGACTGAAGACCTTCTTCTCCTTGCCTTCCAGTTCTTTTGGGTGGTTGTTCTATTGAAGCTCCCTGGAAGAGAATTCCAAAACTCTTTCTACTTCCAATAGACCGGTCTCACTCGGCCTGCACTTGGTCGACAAGGAGATTGGGACAGTGATGCGCGATGGGAGCAGAGGGAGGCGAGTGCTTGAAGGATGGGTTAGAACGGGATTGCTATTTTAGCCAGTCAGCCGGGTCGGCGGCCTGCCGATGGGCTCGACGGTGATGGGAAGAGACCTTATAAATGTTAGCAGTCAATACGTCAATACATCATCAATACCTCAGAAGTATCCGTACCTAGGGTTCACAGTCACCACATTCTACGCCGTGTGTATTTCTGTTGGTGTGTAAGCTGCAGTTCAGTCATACCTTCAGTATCCTACAACATTCCCTCCAACTTTCAATGTCGTGGATGCCAGGGCCAGAGAAGGGGCGCAAGGGGGTTGGCTCCGAGTGGGGCCAGGTTCACTTTAGCCAGTCCTGGTTCGACGATTGGGGACGGAGTGAGAGCAGTTGGGAGGCGTGCGAACAGGGCGGCAAAAGGGAGACATCGGATTGGGGAATTCATGCAGGATATCCGTACTTGGGGTGCGCTAGAGAGGAAGAAGGAACAGCATGCAGCACTGCTGTCTTGTCACTCCTACCATCACCATCCGTCTTGATAGTGAGGTTACCATAGTAGAACATCGGTGGAAAAGGATCCACATTGTTTACGTGCATTTTTACCCACAACTTTCATGCATTCTGGGGCTCTCAAGGACGGCCTGAAATAGAGGCTCGGAACCTAACATCCTGTCCCTTATTACCCTGGCAAGATCGACGAGGGATGCCCGAGTCAGTCTACCATCCATGTATGTACATACAATGCGTATGCGTAGATCGATTTCTCGTCCCTGTTTTCTCGGCCAGCATGAATGGTGAGCAGCTGGGAATTTGTTGTGATGCGTGACCAGCAGCTGGACCTGGTCAACCTGGCCTTGACATGGCCGCCGACCTCAGGCCAGTCGACCCGGTAAGAGAATGCCGTGTCCAGTCGAACAAGTCTAGCCTACATATTTACACACAAGTAGGTCAGGCCTTGGTCATGCCGTATCGTCCAAAAGCGAGAGGCCATTGGCCCTAGGAGGCGGTGACAATTGCCACCTCTTGCAGCGAGGTTGAATTGTGTGTGTGGCTTTCCCCCCTCTTGCATGTCTGTCGGCTTGGCCCCTCTGCGTGTCTGTCTGGCGATTCGCTGGATTGCTAGTGATGTTGCACACCATTTCGCTCACAAGACTTGGTCTGATAGGGCAAATCAGAGTTTTGAAAAACACACTTCCCTTCCCCATGGATCTTGTGATGGCTCGTTACCCTGGTGCGTCTCCCAAAAACCCTGCGCACAGTTCCTATGCTCTTACCATCAATAAGTATGTTCCTTGCATGCTTGGGAACCCCCTCCCCTTCCTTCGGGGTTGCCCCGGCAAGGGTGCATCGCTGTTTCGTCTTGCCTTGCCGAGTTCCAGTTTACGGCGGAGGGGTTGTGAAACATGCTGGATTCTCAGACCTCGAGGCCCCAGAGTGCACGGTCGGGCCTCCATCGGCCCCCCATCAAACACTGCTGATGCCTGCAGTGCTTCAAGACCATCAAGAGCCACAACCGGAGACCTGGGACTGCAAACGGAGAGGCGTGCCTTTTGCCACTAAACTGCATCGCCATGCCCAGAGGAGATTGTCAGGGATGTGGCTGTCATCAAGGGGCGCATTTGCCCTGAAGATTGCACCTCATCCCTGCAGAGACACGAGGAGGCTACAGGTTAAGTCAGATAATCAATAGTGCGATTATCACTGGGCACGCCGTCGTGGGTTGGTAAGAATAGAGTTCTTGGTGGAGGGCTGCCTACATGGCGTCATCAACTGAGCAAAAACAAAGTTAAACTATTTTTACTCTCCATCCCACCACGCTAGAGCAGTCCTCCACAGTCCGCACCTGGTTTACCCGACTTCTGGTAGCGGAGGTGGCCAAAGCTTCAGCCACCCGATGCGAAGATCTATTTTCATCAACTACCTACGCTACGTCGTACACTAAAATCTGATTCCACCTGACATCATTCTCGTGTCCCTCGTCCTCCGACTACTGTCATTGAGAACGGTTATTTGTCTAGTGTCAGCCCTGTAGCACACAGCCACCTCTAGGCTTCAGCTGGGGTCAACCACGTTCAGAGCGTCGTGCGGCTGGTGACGATCTCTACATAGGTACCTATGTACTTGAGCCGTTCGACTTCCGGGTCGGCGAGGCTGTTGATTTTCAAGTGATCGGTGAGATCCGCAAAGTACAATGCATTATATTCAACCCAAACGGTCACCAATTGGATTGAGTGCAATCAATCACGTACTGCCTAGCGCACGTACCGCCTAGCGCTGTTGTAGTATCACAAAAGCCGTCTACAAATATGTGGTCTAAAAACACCACGACCTTGAATCTGGGGTTTCAAATTGGAGCAGATGAACAAGGGATATGCCACACTTCCAGAGGCACCTTTCATCTGAACTTTGACAGCCATTTTCCCTCTTGACAGACCAGGATCCTGATTCAAGGACCACCTAGAAGTTTGAGGTTCTAGCTTCCGAAGCACGTGCTCCTCCTCCATCCCAAGGCACTAGAGCCTCATCCCAAGTTTCAACTCGACCTTTTCTCGCTAGGGGGATGTCACTAGTGTGTGTTTCGTTTTCCACTTGATCCCTAATTTCGCCTACCATTCTCCCCTGTCTTTCTATGCTCCCTGGCCTGTCATAGGAATCGACTTTCCTTCGGCAGCTCCCCGATCACCGACAGTCAAGGATTCCACCGCCGGCCGGAGACGCAGAGCAGTGGCAAACGCCTCCCTATTAATCCGTACAACTTCCAGGTTGGAAAATGCAAGCGCAATCCATCACCTGCCTCGCCAGAGAATTCGCCCGTTACATGGTTGGCCCTGATGGTAAGAGCAGCCTGACACTCGGTACACCATGAAGAAGGGAATAGCTGCTCCCGGTCAGTCAATGATTACAGGAATAAAGTTCTCCCGTGCAGGATAGGGGAGAGAACTGGTCAAGCGTCCGTCTCTCGTCATTCGTATGATGGCGCTTGTTGGCCGTGGGCCGGACCGTAGCGATGAGAGTTCGTCTTGAATACATTGGCTACATATACACCCCTGGACCATAGCCGCTCCTCTAATATTGCTGTCCCGGGAAGCTCATCTATCTTCCTGCCCGGTTCTCTCGAGGGTTACGCGTCAAGCGACGTGTCCCGTGATGAGGGCAATTTCCTTCCAACATTCGTGTCATAGCAGCATGGAGACTCGCAGGTTTTGCTCATCATTGCCTCCCAGGGCCAAGGTGTCTTAATTCTCCGCATCCAGACTGCATATCTATGTAAAGGATACTTCTGAGAAGAGGCCACTGCGAAAGACGGGTGTGGCTCCTTTTCCCTGGAAGCGCGGCAATTTTATATTGCTCCCATATTGCCTCCCCAACACCAAGCCCGTTCGTCCCCTGAATACTGAATAGGTTCGGTCCCGCGGCACTCATTTTTATTCATAGTACCCTCCCTACCCGCCAAACTCGTCCCGCAGGGGGGAATCGGCAATCGCCCGGGCAAGATCGCACCGTTGAGAGCTATGCGTAGCGAGAGAAGACCCTCGCGGTTCGGCCCACCTCCTGACCGCCTCATTCCAATGCATTCCAGTGAGGCGCCCCATCCGGCAACGCAAATTACGCGATCAGTTGCACCGTGCATGCGATATCCAATCCCTTCATTCCTCCCGAGTGCCACCCTTGCCTCTTCTCCGCGTCTTCTGCATTCCTGCCCACGTAAGTTCGCGGTGTAGAGGAAACGAAACGATCTCCTATGGCTGCCCTGTCTCCGGTTACGGAGTTATTGAGGTGCGCCCGGGAGCAACCATCGAAGCCCGTTTGACACTTAGGACCCATTATAGAGACACCGTTGAACTCTTAGATATGTTCGGACATTAAAATAGCATGGGAATATCCGCCGTTGCGTTGCTTCCTGCCCAGCACCGCTTAGGTTTGACCTCGAAAGATGAAAACCCTACCACACTCTTCTTGCAGGGCCAAGAAAAGCAATTCCTCCCACGGAACGCTGCAGATAGCAAATTAATCTTGTCAATTACGCCATGTCCTCGTCTCGTCATGAGAGGCGATCTAGTCGTCAACAAGGGCGGTGCGTGGTGGGTATACTAATACACAAAAGAAGCATTTCCGTAACTAGGCCAGCAGCTGCCTGAGCCATTCCAGGGGCCAGCGCAGACCAGACACCATGTAAAATTAAGCTGCCCCTGAGTCCAATCCTCACCTCCATCATGCACATCGGCGCGCCCGGTTCCATGGATTCTCCCCTCCCCCGTTCCCCTTTTTTTCATCCCCAGGTTGATCACGAGAGAAGTGCCAAGGCCGCAGTAGACCCGAGACCGTTCCTTCCCAAGTGCAAGATGGCCAAACTGCCACCTAGACCAAGTAGACCCGAGGCCGTTCCTTCCCAAGTCCAGGATGGCCAAGCCACCTAGACCACCCACCGGCCCATTCCCGCAAGGGAGACATAAGCCGCGCCGATATCACGGGCCCCCCAAAAACAGGAGCCCACCCGTCCGCTCGCCAGGACCCGTCACCGCCACAGGTCCATCCCCTCCCACTTCTTCTCGCCGGCGCTGCTCTTGGGCCTGGGCCACAGCTCCTCGCCCTCGCCACCGCTGCTCACGGAGCCCGACCCGGCGGCCCTACGCCTCCCCGCTCCTCCTCCTCCTCCGCCACCGCTATCGCCGGTCGGCACCTCGAGGAACCCGCCCCCCGCGCCGCCAACGAAGATGCTCCTCCGCGCGCCCGAGCCCGCGTTCCAGCCGCCGGCACTCCCGCCCATGACGTCGGTGCCGAGGCCGTAGCTGCTCGAGGGCCGCCTGGCCGAGCCGGCGCCGCTCTGGTGGCGGTGGTGGCCCCCGACGGGGCCGAGGGCCGAGCCCGGGTTCACCTTGACGAAGGACCAGTCGATCTCGTCGTCGCCCTTGGTGAAGACCTCGAGCATGTGCGGCAGGTTGGCGATGCTCTGCTGCTGCTGCGGGGCCGGGGGAGGCGGCGCGCCGGAGACCATGGACGCGAACGGGTTGTTGCTGCTGAAGCGCGGGTGGTGGCCCGGCTGCCACTGGTTAGGCGGGGACGGGCTCGGCGGGGACCGCCCCTGGCCGGGTCGATTGTTTTGGCCGGGCGATCGACGGCCGTCTGAGGGGCTCAGGAAGGGATTATGGGGCGCCTGCAGGGGCGGGGGTGCGAAGGGGGGTGAGTGTCCTCCCCCGGAGAGGAAGCCTTGCGGCGAGACGGGCGCGAAGGCGGGGGATAAGCTCTGGCTGGAGAACCTGGAAGAGAAAGGGCTGCTCGAGCCGCTTGAGGCCGGACGGACGATTCCTCGATCGGCAAAAGAAGGCATCGGGGGCGGTAGACCGAGCAGTGTGTCCGGGAAATTGGTGTCACGGACGTAGACGGCGCAGAGGTTCGGCAAGCCGCCTGAGAGGAGGGACGAGGCCAGGTAATTGTAATAACTGGCTGTGGTAATGGCGGACGGGAAGGCGCTAGGCGTGATCTCGTAGTGCAACGTCTGTATGCTCATCGACGCTAGGGGAGGCACATTATGCGTGCCTGCTGCTGCCGGCATGGTCGCTGTTACGGTGTCAATTATCGACAAGTGGTTCAGCGCCGGGGTGGCGGCGACCACCTCGTGCAGCGTCCAGGGCTTGACTCCGGTGCGGTTGAGGGTCAACACCTTGAGCGCCTGTTGGGCCTCGGGAAGCATGAGCCATTGCTTTAAGCCATCAGCCGTGACGTAGGGCACGTCGGTCAGGATAAATTCCTCGAGGGGTGGGACCATTGGCAGCAAATCGTTCCAGTATAGCACTTCGTCCGTGAAAGACTGCGTCTCGCTGACCTTGAGCGCACGCAGGTTTCCCAGGCTGGCGAGGACCTGACGCATAAGCGTGGGGTCCAAATTAACCTTTATCAGATCCAGCACCTCCAATCTGGTCCATATTGCACCGCCGGCCAGCATCTGGAGACTGCGCTCGGCCCCGCCCATGTATGTCATCTTTCGGATCCCATGGCAGCGCGCCTGGACCTCTAGCCGTAGTGTTAGAAATGAGGGGTCATCGGTGAACAGACCCTCGGGGAGGTCGACGTATTTGAGGTTCGGCAGGACGGCAATGGTCCGGGCTAAGTCGGCCTGGCAGGACTCCCGGAGCATGTAAGGCGTCTTGAGGAACTGCACCTTGGGACCCAGCCGTGCCGGATCTTCACGCAGGGTCCGGCACAGCAGCTTCAGGCGCGCCTGGGTCGTATCCTCGGGTTCAGCATTGCGGTCGAAGAAGGAGCGGCGCTTGCGCCTCTCGGAGAGGTAGATCTCGCGCTCGCAGTAGTGGACCGTGTCGATGCGGATGCTGTGGTATCTGTTGACAAAAGCGGACATGGTCAGCAAGACGGCCCCCAACCCCATTGAAGCATCGCCAAGCGTGATTTCAAGCACAAATAAACATACAGCAGCTTGAGAGCCTCAGCTCTCCATTTCTTACAGACGGCGACGCAGTGGGCAAGGTCGCGCAAGTCGCAGAGCATGCATGCATCCTCTAGGGAGCTCTGTTCGCACGTCTCGTAGGTCTCGTCCGTGGTGTGGGGGCAGACGAAGGTAAATATCCGCTCGAGAACGGGCGCGGGCAGGTTCACGACGATGGCGGCGGACGAGCGAGTGGCCATGGGCCGGAACCGACTCGTTCGGTGGCCAGAGGTACCTCCTCCAGATGCGTATTGGTCGTGTGGGGAGCTCCCGGAAGGCTGGCGGTATCCAGCGTGTTGGTAACCATTGCTTGACACATAGGCGCCACCCTTGGCGGCGTGGCCGGAGTCATAACCCCGGGAGTCGAAGTTGTCATCCTTTCTCTTTTCCTTTTTCTTGAAGAACTTCATCTTGTCGAAAAGACGAGGGATGGTCTTCATGATGGAAGGGAGAGGAAGGGGGAAGGGGATGTCCTACACGGAATGTTAGCATGTAACGGATAGATTGTAAGCAGTCAGCTAATGTTTAGTGGTGGGTTGCCGCTGCAGCCCAACGCACTGACCGGGGATGGTGGGTACGGGATGCAAGCTCCTTGCTCCAAGACGGCCACTAAAAGTCGACCATGCACCTCGCTAATGGAGCCTCTAGAGGTCTTGACTCTTCACTAGGTACCGCCACAGCTTGAGATCCGCCCGCCGATGTGGAGGTGGAGATGCGTGGCCTAGCTCTGATCTTGATAGGTTGGTCGACGATGAGGACGAGGTAATGAGTGGCAAGAGAAAAAACATAAAAAATGTTACGGTGGCATGAGCCTGGCAGACGGATAAAGACGATCTGATCGAGGGAGGATCAGCCAACGAGGGCAATGCCTGGTCTTGTTTGGGACAGTATTGCAGAGAGTTGAGGTGATTTGAAGCCGCAAAATCTGTGCATCGCAGAGCCCTAGGCAGGCAGTGAGCTCGGGTTTTATTTTTGCTGCCTTGGGATAAGGTTCAACTCCGGGAATTTGAGTCGACGAATAAAAGGATAAAGGTACCAGGTAGGTAGTATCATCCGTCTGGTCTTAGGTACAGTTGAATGACCAAAAACAGTTCCTGATGTCGGCCAGGCCGTGTGCGCCGGCCGGGCAAGGGACATTGAAAAAGGGGACAAACAGAAGATACCGATCGCTCACCGTCAGCTGCGATGTTCTGGGACCAAGAGATATAGGTGCCTCTACTGCGGTATAAAAGACCTAACTTGAAACCTGTTTCTGTTTCCCACCACTGCGGAGGTTCATTGATTGATTGATTGATTGATTGATTGATTATATGCTGTCTTGTACAGTACATACTTCCGTACAGGCGGAAACACTTCACCACTTCGCCCTATTAATAGTGTTTGGGTAAGTAGGTCCCTGGGTCGGTGCGAAGGTGAAAAGATACAGGATATAGGAAAGCTTCCCTGGAAACCCAATCAGGAGTCGGCCAACAAGCCGGCCCAAGCTCTCTCAAAGAAGACGGGGCTCCTGTTAAAGCTCCAGATGAAGGCTCGCTCGCCACTCGATTCCAACTTGAACCATTCTCATGACAAAGGAGGGAAGAGCATGGGAGTCAATACGCAATACACACACAGCATACCCAACCTGAAATTATGCACCCTTTGTCACTTGTCTCACCGTATCGCCCAATAATGCAACGCTCCGCCCGTTTCACCAGCGTTCTGAATGCTCCTGCCTCTGCCTCGATGGCTCTTTGTCTGCCGTCGCCATTAGTAAAAGGACCCTCTCCCATGGACCTCCTATCGACGCTTTCTCGAGAGCCGCATTACGAGTCCGTTGGCGGTTGGGGTTGGCTGGTTCCCCATCGTAGAGTTGTTCAGTTCGGCAGCGGCCAGCAGCTAACTCGAGCCAGAAAGTTTAATTCCCATTGAGCCGAGCCGCTTCAACCGGGCTGCCTGGCCCCGATTGTTTGGTTCTCAGCGTGAGAGGGAAGGGATATTCGTCCGGGTCCTCGTCGTCACCCCTATTTCCTGTTAGTCGGCTTGAGTCTTTCGCAAAGGCTTTCGCGGCAGCACTACTTACGGGAGTTTCCAAGCAACATAGTCTTCAGTGCTGAGACCCTCTCGGCCCTCTTGCAGGCTCCCAAAATCACCAGGCGTCATCATACCAGTCCGGTCACGGGGAGAGCCAGGCACCGAGAAGGGCCGCGAGATCTTCTGCTCCACGCCGGGGATGAAATCCTCTTCCTCGTCACCGCTGAACGAGCCCGGATAAGCCCGTCGGAGGGCCAGCTGGCGAGCCTTGACGTACTCCATGCCCATTCTCTTCCAGTCCAGGAGATCGCTGAGACGCTCAGTGCGGTTTCGTTGGTTGATCCGCTGACGGCGGCTCTTCTGGCAGAACTCAAACATGTACGACGTGAGCTGGTTGACCGAGTCGTCCACTCCCTTGGCGCGGCGGTCCACGATGTAGATGCCGTAATCGCTCGAATTCTCGATCAACTCCTCCATGTAACAGCCAAACCCAGACAAGTTGGTCGTGATACTTGGGACTCCCATCACAGTGCACTCGGCCGGGGTGTAGCCCCACGGCTCGTAGTAGGAGGGGAAAACTCCCAAGTGAGTGCCACGGACAAAGTCGTCGTAATCCAGCGGCAGCACCGGGTTGGCCGAGTTCAAGAACTCTGGATGGAACACGACCTTGACTCGGTCAGAAGGGTGGTTGAACAGCTGGACCCGACGGATCTGATTCAGAATAGGGTCCTCGTTGTCATTGAGCATGTTGTGGGTCACGATGGGGGGTAGCCCATGCCTCTTCATTGCGAAGAGGCGGCGGCGGAGAAGAACTCGATCCTGGCTGGTGATTAGCTCCTTCTCATCCGGCATCGGGTCGCCGTCATGCCACTTGAGCGATCGCTCGAAGATGCGCCGGCCGATGCTTCGCTCAATGACATCGACAGTATCCCTCAGCGACTTGATGACGGCCTGTCCCTTAAGAGCCTCCACAGTCAACGAGGAAGTCTGCGCCGGCATGATGATGAAGGCAACGACCGTCGTCTTACTCCCGGCAGTCTTCAGCCTATGATTCAGGCGGGCAAGGGATTCGACAAACATATCGACTCCCTTGTTCCTGAATTCGTAACGTCCAGCCGTGAAGAAATAGATTGTGTTCTCCGGATCAAAATCGTAGTGGCCGTAGAAGTGGCCACGGACGAAATCGTGAATCTTCTCCTTGGACACCTGGTGCAGATTCTGGAACTCGTGAACGGCAGAGAACTTTGTGACGTTGAGCCCATTGGGCAAGACACCGTCGGGTTTCCGCTTGAGCAGGTGCTCGCTCTCGTAGGCGGTGATATGCGACACGGTCGTGAAGACATCGCACGCGTGTGCGGCGGCTCGCTCGATGCAGTACCGATGGTAGATGCCCCGCTTGCCCGCCTCGGCATCAACATCGAAGTACTGGAGGTTGTTGTAGAAGTCGACCGAGCCAGCACACAGGTACCTACCCAGCAGGGTCGCGTGAGTCGTGAAGATGGTCGTCACGTCTATCCGCCGCTTCTTGGCAAGGGGCAGAGCAACGCCAGCTAGCCACTCGTGGAAGTGGGCAATCACGGCCTTCTTCTTCTCATGGCAGACGAACTAGAGCCAAAGTCAGTCTCGAGATGAACGAGCACATGTGCGCCGCCTAGGCTTAGCTTACCTCGCCAAGAAACCAGGCAACCAGGTACCCAAAGACGATGGCTTCGTTCGTCTCGTCATCATTGGGCGGAGACGGGATGGAGGAGAGGTTCCACAGATCCGTCTTCCATTCATTCATGAAGTGGTATGCCGTCTTGGTGTCGAGCAGCAGAACCCTCGGCGCTCCTTCGATCAACCACCGCCCGTATACCATGCCAATCCCGCGCTCTTTCATCGCGTTCATGGTTGCGGCAAGCTCTGGTATGGTCGGCTCCAGCTCCTCAACCTCGACGGCAGCCTGTAATCGTCAGTAAAGGATCGGGGCCGATAGGGCAGACAGGAATTCCGTACCGACTGGTGGTTGAGAGGCCCGATGAGGGTGTAGCGTTCGCCATACTCGGCGGTCGTCACTGGAGCTTTCGACTTGAGCACGGAGTAGATGCCGCCAACTAAGTCAGGATTAGCCAGGGCTCCAAGGTCGCCAATTGGACGGTGTATCAAAGTCATGATGCCTACCTCGATGGGCGACCTCGGTCGCGATTTCGAAGAGGAGGTGGTTCTTGACATCGCGGGGTTCGCGGTCTGCCTCTTCAGCCATTGTGCAGCTGTTGCGGCTTCTAAGAGCGACTGAGCTTGAGCGACCTATGACAGGTTGCAAATGTGGTAAGCAGCAGGAATAGCTATCAAGAGGATACAAATTGTGCTGTAGACGCTGCTGGCAATCCTTGGAGGTAGGAAGCTGAGGATGGCATGCAACCTAGCAGCTCAAGCTCGGGCGACAGACGGCGGGAGAGCTCTTTGGTACCTTTATGGACAACCTTTCAGAGCCTCAAGCCAGCAGTATCCTTTGGCTATTTTGGACAAGGTTTCTCAATTCGAGATGAGGGCGACGAGGAGATAGAGGATCTGCGGGCGGCGAGGTACAAATAAGTAATGCAATGGGTCTGATGACTCGGGGGGGCAACAGCTAGCGATGTAGTCAATTCCTACTTTGCATACATATTGTTGCAGGGTCCCCCATTCCAGGGAGCTGCATTGAGCTACTGCAACAAAATACTCGCCATTACGTAGGTAGCACTGGCAACGCCTCAGACACCCACCCATTCTTCAATTCAGCTCTCATTTAGCCTACTCAAAACTTGTTGCCGCCCCGAAGATAATCGCTCAATCCACGACCTATCTCTGGACTAGCTTCTTCGTATTCTCAAATCTCGTTGGTTTTTACCAGGTTCCCAAGCTTAAGCGACAAGTAGGAAAATACAATACATGTAAGACGGAAAAAAAACTCAGACGCCAAGTTGGTGGCGAGGTTGTGCTGGACCCTTTTTGACAAAACTCTCTTCGACGAGGCCGCCTAGAACACTCCCGTCCCAATGAAAGATTCCATACCTCGGAAGAGTCATCCGCAGTGTACGATACCAACGAACAGTAAAATAGGTACCATTCATCAGGCACCCAGATCCATGGCTTAGTCAGGATGACGACACCGTCATTGCGGGGTTCCCAATATCGCATCTGACTGGCGCAACTCCGTTTCCCGCCAGGAAGAGCCAAGATGGACAAGATGGACAAGATGGACAAGTTGGACAAAGATGTTCAATTCTCTTACCCAATTAACCCCCAAGAGGCAAGTGTTTTACCTTGGAAACTTGTTCAACATCCACCGAGGGAGGATTGTTGGATGGTTGACGTTATACATGCACATACATAGTATCCGTCGCATCATGACAAGTAATGGCTGGCTGCCTACCTAGGTTGCCTCATGATCTTAAGAAGACGAACTTTAACAATTGGGAAGGTGAGCGTGGTGAATTGGTGAATCCACACCACACACGGGTGAAGTAGCCATGTTCTACAACAAGGGACTTACCTGTCAAAGAGTTTAGGAGTCTAGTGCTTGCCACTGTAGATACTTGTGTAGGTAGATACCTGTAAGTATCTACATTAGGTACCTCATATTTATGCGTACAATCCTGGATGTATGTCACGTGGGATGGTCATATGCTCCATGGTTGGTCCGAGCTTCCTGCATCGTTGCCTACCTGGCTTGCCTATAGACGACTCCGTCACCTTTAACAGAACCCATTTGACAGCCACTTGGTCGCACAACGCATCTTTGCAAGCCAGGAATCGAACCTCTGAACAAAATCCTCATAAACCCGAATCTCCATCCCCGCTTTCACACAATGGCCAACCCCCTCGACACCGACGCTGGTACGGAGCTTTTCAAGCACTACGAAATAGAGTATCAGCTGGTGCAGGCCGATTTAACACAGAAGCTCGAACAGATTGCGGAGCTATCGGGGGAGCCGCGGAAGGCGGCGCTCAGTGCGGCAGAACGGGCGCTAGAAGAAACCAGCGAGCTGCTCGACCAGATGCAGATGGAGAAGCAAAACGTGCCCTCGACAGCGCGCACCTCGATCAACCGGCGGCTCCGTGACTACAACACCGACATCGACGGCTACCGGCGCAAGCTGCAGTCCCTGGCCGGTGACAAGGCCGCGCTGTTCGGCGCGCGGTTCCGCGATGATCCGAGCTCGTCGGCGGACATCCACTTGGAGCAGCGCCAGCAGCTGCTGGCGGGGACGGACCGACTCGACCGCAGCACGCAACGTCTGAAGGCCAGCCAGGCGCTGGCTGCCGAGACCGAGACAGTCGGCGCCAGCACGCTGGCTGAACTGCAGCGGCAGCGTGAAACGATCGACCATACTACACGGATGCTGTACGAGAGCGAGGGCTATGTTGATCGAAGTGTCAAGACATTGAAGGGAATGGCACGCAGGTAATCTATCTGTTCCTTCCTTGAAGAGGAATAGTTATAATAACATAGTCTCTAGGATGGCTACAAATCGGGTGATTACTATTGCTATTATTACGATATTGGTTCTGCTCATCGTTGCGGTTGTCTTCAGCAAGTTCAGATAATTTCGTCAGAATCGGGTGTCAGCTTGTTGACCAATCTGACGTCGAGAGAACCAACGCGGAGAGGGAGAGAGGGAAGTCTAGCAGATGCATGGATCCGGATGACTTGAGAGGGAAGCGATGAACCTTGACTGAGTCCAGGAGAGGAGGCGTTTTAATGGTGATCTCGGAAGATCGAGCAGTTTCACCCAGAGCTTCAACTGGGGTTTGTTTAACTATGTAGATATGGTATGGCTAGCGAACCGGAGTCCCCTTGATTTTGAATAGTACAGAGATATCGTCAGCTCATCCCTCTCATGCCCAGCTATTTGGACGAAGACTAGTAAGGGAATACGAGTAATGAGGAGGATTACTTCGCCCAAGTCGGCGTCAAGGTCAGTTTGAGGCCATTTTAGTGACCAAGGGATAAGAAGGGATATCTCTCTGCAATGCCTGAGAAATATGGTCACGTGATAATTCCAGGCGACCTGCGCTCGATCCCCGCCTCTGCCTGAGGCGTCGAAAATTAGCGAGGGCCAGCCTTTGATGAAGTGGCTGGCTCAGTTCCCCATCAACTTCCTGCTTCACCTTATCTTCTCCTCTACCCGGAGATACTCTACCTTGGCGGATCCATGTCCGCGACACCGCTGATGGCTCTATTTTGTCTTTCGAAGGAGCCCGATTTGGCACTCGTGGTCTGGCAGCACTTGACCGCTTGGGAGGACCAGTGAAGCTGTCCGATTTTGAGAGGCGCTCTATCTCCAAGCTCCATGCTCCAAGTACCCTCCCTCCCTGACCGCCATTCGAATTGCCCTCCTTATTCGATTCACGGCAGCTCAAATGCCACCCAGCAGTGGAAAGTCAACGCGAGAATTTGTAATAGAATAGCACATCTTGGCTCGCATGGCGTTGGGCTTGGATTCCTTGGTGGCAGGTGCTTTTATCCCGGCCAGGCCCTTCTACGGTACATCACACACCGTCATGTGTCTCATTCCCATGAGCATCCTACAGACTGGGCCAAACCCTTACCCTTACGAAGTATCTGATACATTGCTGCACTATCAGCCGCGCAATCTTGGGCAGTGTCATGACCTCGGGTCGCTGGGGGATCGTCAACGAGACCAGGTCCGGGAACAGTCCGGGAGCCATCCTTAGCCATTCGCTCCACCTTGAATGACATCCTGGAGGTCCCGTGGAGGTGTGTCGTGGGATCAGATCTCGCGATCCTTGGACATGGAAACAGTCGGGGGCCAGGTCGCTTCTATGTCCGGCCCTTACTTGGTGGCCCAACGAGGGTGCCCATGAAATGGTGATCGCATCAACCTGTCGTGCTCTGACAAGGTGACGAGGACAGCCTGTCGCTATCTGCCCTGACATTCTCGCTCCCGGCACCGGACATTCTGTTGCTGGCGCGAGCTCCTTACTCTATCGTCAACATTACGCCAACCACCAACCGGCAACGGTCCAATAAAGGGACAATTGATCGGAGGAATCGCAAATGCGTTTTAGGTTAAGGCGGCGGGTATTTTTGGAGACGACCGTCCGCGCTATGGGTTAAAGCCTAAGGGCTATGCAAGACAACAGTTCTTTGGGGATGGAAGACTGGTCTACCTGAGCTTCGGGCAGGGTTGGCTGGCAAGCTGGACGCCTGGGACCGTAAACCGTATCTTGCAGTATATAGTGGCTTCACTTCTTGACTGATGCTCTGCGGTAGTGGCCTGCAGACGGTTGGGTAAGAAGCTGCGCTCGCGGCTGATAAAGGGCCGCGATGGTGTTGGTTATCGCCACCACTACCGTGTAGCAGAGGCAGAGGTGGGCTGGTTGCAGACACGGCATGCCGAGGGAGAAGTCGAGGAAACTCCCTCCAGCAAGTTGCGGTATTTTGCCCGCATCGCTGCGCTCTGTGTCTATCAAGAGCAGAAGGCTGCGAGCTCTGGGCATCGTTTAGGACGCCCCTCTAGCAGCAGCAGCAAACGCAACGGGCCGTCGAGTGTTCACATCACGCCGGCAGCCCGCTCGTCCAGGAATTGCAAAGACTGGTAGGTCCCATCCATTACCCCAACCAACGCGGAGAGCAACACTGAGAACCTCGAAGCCTTGATATTAAGCTCGACAACGCGGTCAAGGTTGGTGAATTTAAACGTTCTATGGGGTTTTGCTCCTCCCTCTCAGTTAACCTTTGTCCCGCACCATTTCTTCAGCATCCCTCAACATCCTCATCTCTCTCGGGTATACCTTGCTTTGACTGGGTGGTTTTTAATTCATATCTGGTCTGGCTCAAGGCTGCTGGCGGGCTACTGAAACCACGTCCATTCCACTTTCCGGGGGGTTGTCACTGCTGGCAACGCGTCTAGCGCCTAGGCCGTGGGCGGGGGGACCCTTGCTCGGCAAACCTACCGCCTTGACCAGCACTAAAACTCAAAATCGCCTCTCGTGCCGCAATGGCAACTTCACCACAATGTCGGACTCGAGATGTTGCAATGCTAGAAACCCACCGCAGCCACGGTGATCACCAACGCAGAGACCCCACCCGAGATGACCGAGGCATGACTGCTTTAAGTAGATCCGCATCGCCTGCTGCCGCTGCCGCTGCCGCTGTTAATCGGTCCCGCGACACCCGCAGAGAGAGCTATCAAGCCAAGCCTCGCGGTCGCTCAGTCGAGAAGCCTCAGCAACCCGGCGGACGACGCCGCCGCAAATCCCGAGGCCGTAGCAAAGACCGCTCCAATCACCACCCATCAGAGCCGTATTGGCCACGTCCGAGACCCGATTCTCGAGACCGCATCAGGCCTCTAGGCCCGCATTCCGACGAACCGCTCTACTCGCGCGATCATCCTCCCCAACGAGAGAAGGGAGGCCCCCAGCAGGACTCCGACAGACAGCGCGCTGCGTCGCGTTCTCCATCCTCGGCAAAACGCCCAAGGAGCTCGAGTCCACCCGTGATTGGATCCCAGTCGTCGAAGAAGACGAGGAGGGACCGCAGTCCTCGGCGACCAGGAAACGGCGCTTCAAAATCTCCGAATCCGACGAAATCCCAACGGGACACCCCATCATCATCTAGACGTCCTCGATCCCCCGAGCGCCGAGAACGCCACCAGAGGCCCCGAGAAAGCTCTGGCCACTCCAAGCTAACGAGCCCAACTCGCCGCGCCTCACCAACGTCTTCAAGTCGACGGAGTCAGAACCACCCTCCACATCCCAAGCGACCGCATCCGAGGCATCGAAGCAGATCTCCTCTCCCCACCTCTCGGCCTTCCTCGAGGTCACGCCATCTAAGTCCCGCATCTCGAAGCAGTCGGCCGCCCACTTCATCCGATACCACCTCCCGAAGGAGACCCACTCCTGATTTCGGTTCATACAGCAGCTCCTATCCTCCACCCCGTTCACCACGAGACCAGAGGGGTCCGAAATCTAGCAAAAAAGGGAAGGGCCGGGATAACCCAGGATCGTCCAAGAAGTTCCAGCCATCGTCTGGAGCAAACAGCATAGAGGTGAACATGTCGGCACGAGGCGGCTACCGCGGAGGCTACAATCCTCCAATGCAACCCGCCTTCCAAGGCCCACACGATTCGCGAGTTTACTCCCAATCTTCTGGGCACGCAACACCCAACTCGTCGTATCACGGATCCCCGCCCTCGCATTCTCCGTACGGCGGAAGTGGCCGGGGCTGGAGCAGCCAGCAGCCATATTCACCCCAACAGTAAGTGAATCGCAATGAATTACCACGAAATGCTCCGCTAATCACTAAAGTAGGCAATATCCACCCCAATATCCGCACGGTGCTTACGGCACTCCGAACGGCGCTCAGGGCCATTTCCAGGGCCATTCACAACCGTACCCCCCCCACGGTCCGGCTTCTCAATACCCCCAAGGGCCATATCGAGGTGGTCATCGGGGAGGGCCAGGCGGCTTCAGGGGGGGGCAGTTCGGCTCTGGCCGTGGCAACCATCGCGGCGGCGGCTTCAAGAACAGTCAGTGGAACTCGAATGTACCCGCCAGTAATGGTCGGGGCCAGCATGGAGTAGGCGACGAAGTTGAGGCGTCGAACCTGAGCGCTCAGCCATCTCCATCCTCAAATCGTGTTGAACAAGAACATAATGATGGGGACACCGGGATGGACGACAGCGAGAACCCATTCCGCCCCTCGAAAGATTTACAAGTTGAAGACACGGTAAAGCCAGAGGCTAGCCAGGAAGAGGACCAGATGCCACCTCCGAACCGACCACCGCCGACCGGGCCGCAATCTTCGTCTAAGTTTAGCTTCGCGTTCAAAGCATCCAAGCCCGCCGTTGCCACTCCCAAACCAGAAATATCTTCAAAGTTCAATGCACCGCCGCCACGGCGAGAGGCTCCTCGGGATAACTCCAGGGACCGCGGCGGCTTGCCCCGAAATGTGCCTACTGAACCCGCTTCGGCACGGCCGCGTGGCGGCGAGCATAGGCAACAACAGGCGGAGCCGACCCCCAGGGTCCGGAAGGTCAAAAAGATAATGAGGCGCCCGAAGCCGAGACCGACGCTCTCCCCGGAAATGGCTACTTCTGACTCGATCTTCTTCCGAAAACCCGGCAACGAGTCCGTCATCGGCTCGGGAACTTATGGCAAGGTCTTCAAGGGCCTAAACGTCTACACCAAGAAGCTCGTTGCCCTGAAGCGAATACGCATGGAAGGAGAGCGAGATGGCTTCCCGGTTACTGCGGTCCGGGAGATCAAGCTTTTGCAATCACTGAAGCATACCAACATCGTCAATCTCCAGGAGGTCATGGTCGAGAAGAACGACTGTTTCATGGTATTCGAGTACCTGTCTCACGACCTCACCGGCCTTCTCAACCACCCCTCTTTCAAGCTCGATGCAGCCCAGAAAAAGCATTTAGCGAAGCAGATGTTCGAGGGGCTGGACTACCTTCACAACCGAGGTGTCCTACACCGTGATATTAAGGCTGCCAATATCCTAGTCAGCAGCGACGGTATCCTCAAGCTGGCTGATTTCGGCCTGGCTAGATTCTACGCGAAACACCACCAGCTCGATTACACCAACCGCGTCATCACCATCTGGTATCGGTCACCCGAGCTGCTGCTCGGAGAGACCCAGTACGGGCCTCCGGTAGACATCTGGAGCGCCGCCTGCGTCATGATGGAGATATTTACACGTCATGCCATATTCCCGGGAGACGGCGGCGAGATCAGCCAGCTGGACAAGATCTACGCTGTTCTCGGAACCCCGAACAAGACAGAGTGGCCGAACCTGATTGAGATGCCGTGGTTCGAGCTGCTGCGGCAAGGCTACCGGAAGCCTAACGTTTTTGAGCAGAAGTACAAAGACCGCCTGCCTCCTGCCGCCTTTGACCTCCTCGCGGCCATGCTACGTTACGACCCAGCAAAGCGCCCGACAGCTGCCGAGGTCTTGGAGCACCCCTACTTTACGACCGAGGAGCCGCCTCCTCGGCAGGCCATCGAGTAAGTCTTCTTTTCCATTCTCACCATACTCTCTCTATCTGCTTTCCCTAGTTTCTTTCAATTGCTGACTCTCATCTCCAGGCTCCAAAACCTTGACGGCGACTGGCATGAGTTTGAGTCCAAGGCGCTACGGCGCGAGAACGAGAGGAGGGATAAGGAAGCAAAGCGGGCCCTGGCGAAGGAGGCCGCGAGTGGCCGTGACAGGGACAGGGACAGGAAGAGGCCAAACGACGAGAGCGAACCTCACCGGAATCCCAAGAAGCCACATGTCAACCCAAAGCCGCCGGCCCAGTCGGACCGGGTGCCTGGACCGAGCTCTGTCGGGGGCTCGTCTGCCAACGTGGCACCGAGCAAGGCATGACACAGCCCGTTTTGCGGGATGGGGGGGGTCCAGCCTCGCTGCATGGGCGTGGCGTTGCCCGATCAGCAGCTGGCGTTAGGCCGGTATAAGGGATGCCAGCGCGCGCGCTCGGCTCTTAATGATGTGTGAATTACAGAGACCAATGGGTCGGATTGGTCGACCCCGGATGCAGCTGGTAGTCCCGGGGCGATTGGGAAGCAAGGCGGACATGGGTGTTAATCGGGGCGAACGGGAATAGAGGCACAAGGGGGCTGCCCCCCCTTTCCGAGGGAAATGGTGGCATTTGTCGTGTACAGTTGAGGCGGGCGCAATATTGCATGAGCGCACAGCCGGGTCCATTAACATATGTTGGCCGTGTAATGTATTTTTCTATGGCCATGGACTCGGGAACATAAAGGCGTGATCATATTATTTCATGGGACGATTGGGGCGACCTTGGGGCCTATTATGTGGGTGGGTATGCTCTACTCTTCCTAATTCTTCCAGCGAAATGGGAGGAAGAAGGGGGTCGCGGTGGTTAGTCTTATCCTTTGACAAGCATGGCCTGAGAGACTCAATTAAGTAGGAAATTCTTATACATACACAACGAACTTTCGTGTCCCTCTGCATATCCATATTCATCGTATCATTTACAAGGGGTGAATCAGTCATCATGGGAGGCGAAATGGAATAACATGCGACAGAGCCTAAAGAAAGGGACGTCGGCAAAGGCGACCTGGGAAGAGGGAAGGCACATCGCCTTCTTCTCCAAATATCCATATCCATATATGTCAGAGGACTATCGGCAGATTTTTTAATGCTGGCAGGATATGAAAACAAGTGTCTGTCTATCTTCTTGAATTCTCGGAGGTCGAAAACGTGCTCTCGTCGGCTACCCTAGAGAACGAAAAAGGGGCGGAAAGAGAGGGAAAGGGAGAAAGGCAACGTGAACTCCGACTCCCAAAAGTGGCGCCCCAGCCACCGCTTCACCCACTCATCCTACTTTTCCGTGAGGGAACACCCGTTTCCCCCGGTCGGCATCCGAAGCCGAGGCCGGGGCTGGCGCCGGACCCGGAGCTGGTGGGACCCAAGCGTTCGACGTGCCGGTCGGCTGGACCTGCGGGAAGACAGAGTTGGCTAATTGGATACTTGAGGCTGGTCAGGGGATGTCAGGAAGGGTGGAGAATATGTGATCATGGGTTGGCTGACAAGAGATAGTGAGGTGGTGTATATCGGTATTGACGGGGTCTAACCAAGCGTGAACAACAGCATGATGATTTAGCCCGAAGACGTCGGCTTTTCCTATGCCTATTTGGTCCTTCAACTTTCTCACTTGTGCTTGCTAGTCCTCCTGATCTCCGTTGAAAACCCTCCAGTCTCGAGATATGTCACCGAGCCCCAACCCAACCTTGCCCTGTATAACCCAGTTGATTTTTGTAATTCCGCTTCCAAGCACAAGAAACACCCGCTGCGCAGAACCTTCGACTGCGCGAGTCAAATTCGCGAAACACTTCGTAGACATCATAAAACGGGGCGTTGATATCGTCAAATCGTCGACAAGAAAATGGGTGAAGTATACAAAAAAAGAGGACCAAGCGAAATTCCTGTCTCGTAACAAGCCACGGGAAAGGAAAGCAAAGGGGGTATATTTCTCAGGAAAGGAAATAAAAAAGGAAAACAGCCGGGTCAGCCTTGTTTCCGGGGCTGGCCATTTGTCCTTCCTCTTTGAACGTCCCATATAGCCCCATAGTCCCACCCCTTTTAATCCGAAACGGTATATTTTTTTGGTTCCTGAAAGAGCGACAAGGTGATACAGCCTTCGAGAGAAACCGAACTGCCTGTCCAACCCGAGAAGTCCCCCCGGATACCACATGCGCGAAACGGCCTCTTCGCCCGCTGGCCAGCCTCAGGGACCTTCCGGCGACTTCCCGACCGGGTCCTCCCGATCGACCGCCTTGCCCTTGTCCATGCCCTTGTCCTTGGCGTCGACTGTCTTCAGCAGCTGGCGGAGACTCCCCTCGGCGTGGCTCGCGCCACCGCCGCCGACGCCTCCTCGCCGGTTCGGCCCCGACGCGCCACCGCTCCGCCACGGAATCCAGGCGCTCCAGCCGGGCACGTAGCCGCCGCTCGCCGACGGCCTGAGGTCCTCCGGGCGGGGCAGCAGGCCGCCGACGACGACGGCATCGGGGCATCGGGGTTCCGCGGACCCGTCATCGGGCGCGGTCCGGATCTCGAGGTGGCCCATCGACGTCTGCGGCAGGGCGGGCTCGCTCACGAGCGTGGCGGCCGACCCGCGCGGCGAGGAGGTGATGGCGGCGGCGGCGGCGGCGGTAGTGGTAGCGGTCGTCATCGTCGCCGCGCCCTTCTTCTTCTTCCTCTGGCCGGCGGGGGTGGTGTGCTGCAGCCGGGTGCTGTCCATGACGGCCGTGGCGAAGGACGCCGACTTCTTCCTGGCGAGGCCCCTCCCGCCCGGCCCCTCCGGCTGCGCAGCTACGGAGCCGCTGGTCCCACCGCTGCTGCCGCTCTTGGAATCCTCGGCCAGCGGCGCCGCGGCCGGAGGGTCCGAGCCCTTGCGCATCGCGCGGCCGCGGACCTCGTCGGCGATCTCGGCGGCCGACTTCTTCTTCTTGGCCTTCTCCTCCTCCGAGGACCGGCTCGAGGACATGATGGTCTCCAGGGTGCCGTACGCGACGCTCCTGCGCCGCGCGCCGCTCCTCCGCTTGCGGTGCGACCGGCCGCCGGCGTTGCCGTTGCCGTTGTTGTCGTCGTCGTCCGAGTTGATGGCCTGGAGCGTGGGGCCGCCCATGCCCATGGGCGCGTGGGTCCCGTTGTTGCCTTTCCTCCTCCCGCCCGCCGCCGCCGCCGACGACGACACCCCCGGGCTCATGAACGCGGAGCCGGAGCCGTGCGGGGCGACGTGGACCTCGTACTGGTTGCTCAGGCTGTACCTCGACCGCGCGCAGATCTCGGCGATGCGGTCGAGGTCGGCACCGATGCTCCCACCGGCCCCGCCGTCCTCGGCCTGGAAGTCGGCCATGAAGCTCTTGAACGAGAAGGCCTCGAGGGGCGGGAGCTTGGCCTCGTCGTGCCCCTGCTGCCCCTGCTGCCCCTGCTGCGGCTGGGCCGACCCCAGCTGCCACTGCCAGGGCAGCTTGCTTTTCTTGGCATGGGCGCGTGGCATGTTGGCTACGTGCTGCCCATGTTTGCCCGCTGAAGGAGGTGCGCCGCCGACGGTTCCCAAACTACCGGCCCCACTTATGGTCGGTTTGGCGGGGCGGCCTCCCGAGAGGTACGAGTGGGCCCGGGCCGGCAGCGGTAGGGGGATCCTCCGCGAGCCGCCGCCTCGGGTCGCGCTCGGCGGCCGGTGGTGGTATGAGTGGGCGCTGTACGAGGCCTGCGAGGGCGAGGGCCCGCTGTAGGTGCGGACGATGACGGGCTGCGAGTAGGTGCTGCTCTGTGCACCGCTCGACTTGGCGTATCGGTGGCGGTGGCGGTTGACTGGTGACGGGTAGTTGCTGTTCAGCTCGCGTAGAGCCGACGTGCGGTGCGCGGCGGTAGAGTCGTCGAGGGGGATCGGCTTACCCTCGGCGGTCGAGGGGACGAGCGAGGCCGACGACGAGTTCGGTGGTTGGAAGAAGAGGGGAGGGAGGGAGAAAGAGAGAGAATGCCTCCTGCTCTTGGAGGGGCGATTGGATATGGCGCCCTTGGCGGTGGAGGAGATATTGGAGGGCCGCCGCGGGAAGGTGGAGGGGCTGGGGGGCGAGTTGAGTTGATGGAGATGGGATGACGAAGAGGCCTGCTCTGTGTTGTTCGTTGTTCCCGTTTCTGCGTCGTCTGGGTCGACGTGTGGCTTATTATATATATACATGGCGTCAGGATGCGGGATTAGACTGGAATCAGGGTAACAGGCTGCACCATGCAGGTGTGTCGTGGTGGCAGCCCGGGCGCGCGCGCGGGAGAGCAAGTCAGCAAGACGGAGGCGAAGGAGGCGAAGGAGGCAGCATGGTGCCCGTCCTGCGTGTCTCAAGATTGATCAACGTGGGCAGGTCAATATGGCGCACATGCAACCCGCTTTTGCATCGCAAGTTCGGGAATCTGTTTGGATCTCGCAATGTCCACGACGGAGAGAAAGAGGGGCAATGCAAGATGTAAGTGCAAAGAGGATTGGAGGCAGGGCAATTTGTCGGCTCTGTTCTTTCCTCTCCGTCCTTTTTAATTTTCCTCAATTGTGAGAGGGGGTAAGGCTGCTCTTTGGTCTGGTCTGGTCTAGGGTGAAGTTTCGGGCGATGCCATTGGACGGCTTGAAGCTGCGAGATGCAAGCAGTCGTGGCTGTCGTTCAAAGGATGGCCAGGCGGCGGGCGAGCAAGGGTCTGCGTGAGAGGCGGGGATCGATTCCCCAGTCGATTTCCCAGCCAGCTTCCGAAGTCCCGTTAGCTGCCTCACGAAACTTGATCCCAGGTCGGCAGATTCCAATGTCGTTCGTCCCGCAACCTTTTGATTCAACTTCCCCCAGATCTTCGCTCTGCTATTTAATATCGGCTACCTCCCCTCCATCCTCTCCCAGTGGGCGGCTCGTTTCCTTGGTCTCGACCTGCGCCGCCTTTCCTACCAGAGCAGCGCGAGCGTCTTTCCTGTGCGGTCTTGGAGCGGGAAGCTTCCACAGCAGCACGTCGACGTGTACACACATGGCAGGCTCGCCTGGCTACCAATATTGAATGCCTATTTCCGTCTTGTGGACCAGAAACCATGCCGTTCGAGGCAATGGGTCCTTTCCCAGTATCTTGTCTTGTCTTGCTTATCTCTCATCTCCGAAGATGTCCCTAGAGGATAAGAATGCGGTATCTATTACTGATTATGGGCTCCTGATAATGGTCACGCCTCAGCCTTGGCAAGGCGTATCTCCCAAGCAGCGTCATGTTGCACAATAACCCGTCCGAAGAACGGCGTGCACTTCGTTATGTCGTAAAACAGGCTTAAACCTCAGCATCATGACTAACAGATAAAAGAGAGTTTTGCGTTTATCATTCAGGAACCGGCACTCATAATTCTTAATGATTCATGCCCGCCCCCTTCCTTCACACCGGGCGTTTCTTTGTCGTCCACTCTCCACTCTCGCATTGGAAGCTCAGCCTCGGCGGCGGCTATTAAGGATGGGTGGGTTGGACGATCGTTCCGTAGCCATGGCCACCAGACTGGACTCTGTCGCTGTAAATTCCCGGGGCCCGTGATGCTGGATGACGGCCCTCCCTCGCCTGCTCTCGACGGTCGTAGTACACCCACTCGAGATAGAACGCGTGTACATGGCCGGGTATATATCTGTTTGCGTGTTCGGGTTAGCAATAGCCGAGAAGAATAATCATTCGCAGCCGAGAATGGCAGGCTTACCCTAGTAGGGTGAGGCAAATGTTGATGAAGAGGTCAACTCCGCAGCCAGAAACTGCAAAGACGCCCAGGGGAGGCACTATCAACGGCAAGTTAGCTCAAATCCGAAAGCTGAACAGGCTGCGACACGGGTTCCGCGACATACAGAAAAGCGTGATGATAATCAAGATGATGGCGGAGGCGACGCCCATATTCTCAAGGTTGCAGCGAGCACTTTTCTTCTTTTTCTTGTGCAAATGGTTATTTGACGCCGAAATAAGCGAGTGATATGTTCGATGAAGGCGGGAGCAGGCAAACTTCCTTTCGTATTATGAGCCGTCACCTTGGGTTATATGTTATATGACAGCTCAGCAAATCGTATGACGTATGTCCAGGTAGCCAACCAAGGTCAAGGACGCGCCACACACGCGCGCCACACTGTTCCTTTTGCCACACAGCCTGCAGGTTGCATGTACCGTACCTCCTAGGTACACTTACCTTTACCTGTCACAACCGATATTCATGAGAAGTGTTTTCAGACGAGGTGCATCTCCATGGAGAGCCCAACATACATCAGATAGCAGTACATATTATGCAGTAGAGTGCATGTAGGTACTTGCAGTTAGCACAACATGTTGTATCAGCTCTGAAAGATGGGATCATGGCCGAATACAATCAGCAAAAAGGAAAAGACCAAAGAATAGGTCGAAACGGTGGCATCGTCGTCGAAAGACACAAACAAAGGCTAGGAACATCCATTCTGGCCCATGGTTTGGGAATACCTATTATTCAAACCTTTATCGTGTCGCCCGGTTTTCGTGGTCTTATCAGTCTGATTCGTGCTCATGTTGGAAGGGTTCCTTTCTGCCGAATTCCCGAAGCAAGTCTTCGTAAGTGTAGGTAGGTAGTTCTTGGCGTTCAGTTGTGGAGCCACTCAGGAACCCCTGGTGTTTAGACTTTTGGGACACGCCAATTCGGATAGAAATCGTCAACAGTCAGGGACAATTGAGACCTACCTGAGGCATCCCTGTCTCTTGATTTCTGGACTGCGAAGTTTGTTCAGTTACTACGCAGGATACCCAATCATGTTGACAGCTAGGAACAATTGACGTATCGGATCACAATAACCGAAGATCGCCATCATGCCGTGGTTTGTTTACATGGAGCTGTCATCCTGGCGTTGAAACTCCCAGAACCATCATCCACTGGGATTTGTTTCGACAGAGGAGAAATGGATCGTTGATCACAGCTTCGGATCTGCAGGCTCGTCGCAGAGACAGGAAACATGAGCCACCGAAGTCCTGCCGGGGTTCGTGGATGGATTCTTGGCTCACACTTCGTAGGACGATGGAGAGGAGGTCCAAACTCGACGAGGATAGACTGATAGCTATCACTATGACCAAGAGCTTGTAAAGGCAATGCAACTACGATTTATCATGCGGCTTTAAGAGCTTGCAGCGGAGTTGCAGATTGTCGTCAGAGCTCCTCCCTTGGACTTAAAAACAACCAGGGTTGGTCATGATGCCACACTGAGCTTGGGGCATTGTTGGCCGGTGGAAATACCTATCTATCGATTCAATTTCAATTCGAAGCGTATGTGAATGCTGCAATTATTAAGCCGTACTCTGGCTGGCGAAGCTAGGGGAGCTTCTTGCTTCCAGACGGCGCGTCTGGGTTTCTCGAAGCACTCAAGAACGAGCTGGAACCCAATTGGGTCCGTGTGAGTGGTCAAGCCAAGACGACCGGGTGGGTGGATCTCCACGGAGGAACAGTGTCGCGTCGCAGGAGGACATGGGAGTGCGTCGCACTGCTGTGATATGGAAGCTTTGTCCATCTCCATCCAGGGGGGCGTGGGGTGACGATTGAAGAACCAACAAGCAGGCGCCGCACTTCTGCAGGAGAGGTACGGATACCTAAGCAAGCTATCGTATGTATTCTGGATATGTATTCGTATGCATTGCCTGCCTTGCCTTCTCGCCAATGGTTCTCGTGAGATGCTAGGAGAGCCTGCAACTAGGTAGCTACCTACCTACTGCATAGTAGACGCTAGGATCCATGGGGGTGATGGCGAGTCGGTTTTGGCTGAAATACGAAGTAGAGCAACCGGGTCGCCTCTTCCGCCAGGAGGGGTGGGCAATAGGAGCTGTTTATTAGAATGGATGGTCGCGCGCATAAGGCGGCGGCACAATTTGCAGCGAAGAGGGTTGTCCATATATTTACGGGTACCTCCCTCTGCCCACGGGTACACGCGGGAGATATACACGTGTAGACTCGAGTAATGAATCGATATCAGCAGATGGAAGGCAAGGAAGGTGTGGGCCGCTCCCGCTTGGCTTCCGTGGTGCCAGGTCTGAACTTTGGTGACGGACGGCGAGAAAACGGGAGATTTGATGGGCCCCAGCTTTTCGATACAGGACAGTGGATGCACTAGGGAGCTCCGCTAATCCCATGTGCAAGTTACAGTGCCAGGGGGGTGCTGCCCCATTCTGAGATGTGAGATCCTGTAGGGGTTTGAAGTATCGGTACCTGGGTCAAATGTGTCGAGCGCCATGAGCCAGGCACCGTGCTGCGTACCTTCCCCGCCAAGCTACCTGCATAAGCGACCTGTGCCGGCAGCAGAATCCATCAAGTCTCCAGGACAGGCAGCGTTAGCTTGGTACCGAATACTTTTCCGTTTCCAATGCCTAGCTGGTGCTTCAAGGATTGTTGCTCTGGTGCTCAGTTGGTATCCATACCCCAAAATTTCAAATCCAGTGCTGCTTCCCCGTCTCAGGCCAACATCCACCTCCATCATCTTTTTTCCTCACTTTCGTCCTGTATCCTGTCTTCTCTCTTTCCTCTTCCCCCCTTTTCCCTTTCTCTACCTTTCACCGAGGCTTGAGAGGGCGTGCAGCACATCACGGAAAGGATCACGCAGACCCGTGCCCTATCCGTCACTTAAGTGCTCACTTTCACCACCACCCCTTAGCCGTTCTCGGTATCTTTGGCTCGACATCCCGCGAACCTTATCTTGCACCTCAACTTTTCCATTGTGTTTGCAAAGGCGGTAAACACCAAGGTTTGCAATCCCCTCGGTATGGTCCCAGCGGAACCGCGACATTGGATGCTGACTCGCATCTCCTTGCACAGAATTGTCTCCGACTCCAGCTCATAACCGCGATTTCCCCGTCACGATTCGACCGACCTTACATGTGTTGGCAGCCATGGCAACCCAACAGTCCCCGCCTCTCAAGATCGACCGATACCTGGTCATCCACGTCGCCACTACCTGCGACGAGCATGGCGTTTATGTCACCAAGGATTCGGCCGAAGTCATAGAGCTAGGGTGGATCCTCCTCGATGCCAACAATCTTGAGGAGGTAAGCATTGGCGGCCCCAAGGGCATAGCACCCCCTATTTGGCAAATTGCTAATTGACTCGTCCCAGCTCCATCGCGAGAGCGTACTGGTCAAGCCAATTAACACTCCGATTACACCTCTATGCAGTAAGTCTCCTTGCCTTCCTCTCTCTCTTAGATTTGCAGGGCCTGTCCGATGAAGTCGCATCAAACTTTCCCGTTATCAAACTTTGAGCTCAGTCGCTGATCAGCTTCGCCATAGCGAGCTTGACGACCCTCACCTGGGAGCATGTTCGGACGGCTGGTACATTCAGGGATGCTATCAATCGATTCGATGCCTTTGCTTCCGAGTTTCTCACCGCCCAGAATCTCGACTTCGTCTTCGTGACCTTGGAGGCTTGGGATCTGCGTGTTCAGCTACCTCGGGAAGCTCGTGACAAGGCGGTTGTCCTCCCTCCTTACCTTCAGCATTCTCGCACCTTCGACCTTCGCACTGAGTATCAGAGATGGCAGCAGCACCACCCCGAATCCCTGCCGTTCGGGCCCTCGTCCCTGGGCAACATCTGTGCTGCCCTGGAGGTTGAGGCTGTGCAGTCCAGCGCTCCCATCAAGCATAACTTGCCTTTCCATCTGCAGGCCCTGGCCCCGGCCTCTCCCCGTCGCGCCATGGAGGAGGCTGTCACCCTTGCTCGTGTCCTGCGTGGGCTGATTCGGAAGTCTCAGCCTCCACACGAGCATCCCGATGTCCTCACCCGCCCAATGGATGCCCGTGCCGATGTTCGTGCCTTCTTATCGGAACGCAGCAAGGTCTTGCACATGTCAGGTTTGCCCCACGATACAACCCAGTCTGAGCTCGAGAGCTGGTTCACTCAATTTGGTGGACGGCCAATTGCCTTCTGGACCCTTCGTACGCCAGAGCAGCACAAGCCAACTGGGACTGGCTTTGCTGTCTTTTCCTCCCATGAAGAGGTATGATCACCTGCCTACCTCTGTGCCTTTCTGATTCCATCAAGAATTTAATTATTCTATCCGCCCCCTCTCTCTCTTTGTTCCATACTCCTCCCTCATATTTTACATCTGCTCGGCCTCGGAACTTGCCGGGAAATTACTTCAGCTAACCCACTTCCCTCCCAGGCCGCCGAGAGTTTGTGTATGAATGGTCGAGCCCTGAATGAGAAGGCGATCGAGGTTTCGCCATCGTCGAGCCGTGTCCTGGACCGCGCCGCCGAGATTCTCACCCCATTCCCTCCTAGCAAGAACAGACCGAGACCCGGTGACTGGACTTGCCCGTCGTGCGGCTTCTCCAACTTCCAGCGGCGCACGGCCTGCTTCCGCTGCTCGTTCCCGGCCGTCAATGCCGGCCCTACGGGGGACATGGGCTACGGTTATGGCTACGGTCCGCCAGCCATGATGGCTCCTCCTCCACATATGGGTGGACACCACGGCCACGGTGGCGGTCATGGGCGGATGGGCGGCAGTGGGGTGGTCCCGTTCCGCGCCGGCGACTGGAAGTGCGGTAACGAGGTCTGCGGCTACCACAACTTCGCCAAGAACGTTTGCTGCCTCCGCTGTGGCGCCAGCCGTGCTGCTGCTGCCGTGGTAGCCGACTCGGGATATCCCTCGCCAATGGATACGCCGTCCTCGTATAACATGAACCAAGGGTCGATGGCCGGGACCCCTGGACCGGGACCCTTTGCTTCGACCGCTGGAGGTTTCCCCTCAGGTGGCGCCTATGGCCAGCACTTTGGAGGGCCGCCGAGCACCTATGCTCTTCCATCCGGGCTGGGAGGCGGCGCCGCTCCCTACCCGTCATTGAACACCCACTTCGGGCCTGCCCCAGGCTCCCATTCCGCTGGACCCTTCGATAGCCGTGCTGCCGAGGCTGCCTTCCAGTCTGCTGGCAACGGCCCGGCCTCTGCCGGTCCGGGCAACAACTTTTACTCTCAGAACGAGAGTGACCCCTTTGCCTTCCTGTCTTCTGGCATCGGCAGCCTCTCGGTTAGCGGCGGAGACGCGCGCCAGAATGGAGGCTCCGCTCCTCCTAGCAAGTCGCCGGCGTAGGATGCTGTCGGAGACGTGTTGATTACACCAGGACCTTGGTCTACTTCGCATGGAGCTTGTTTTACTTTCGCGGCAAGTTTGGGACGAGGACATAGAGCATTTGAGTGGGCAATAACTTGTGGAACTACCTTTGGTTTCGAGAGATGTGGTGGGATTTGGAAGAATACAAATGACACAGGCACACCGGTGTCAAGGGAAGGGGGGAGCGGGTGGAAGGTCACGGTGGGCAAAAATTGCAAACGGCTGGAAAGACAAAACGAATGTCGTATTCTTACAGGAACCCTCGGGGCGGAGTTTTTCAACCGACATTGTATCTGGCTACGGAAAGGTACGGACTGGATGTCATGTCCTCGTTTGGAAGACGGGGTTCCATCTCGACGGCTCGACACACCCGAAACGGACTGGTTGTTCCAAAGAGGACATTGGCTGGAAGGTACGGGGGCGTGCATAGCGAAAGGGAGTGTAAAGGATATATCTGGCCTTTTTGTTCCTCACAGTTTCCGGTTTCCTCTTCGCTCTTGTTTCTTTCCTATTTTCTTCCTTCGTCTTATTTTCCGCAAACATCCTGTCTTTCTATCTATTTCTGCGTCATGTCTCACAGACCGAGTACTTGAACCCTGTGTGTGCGTGTGTCTGTGTGTGTGTGTGTGTGTGTGTGTGTGTGTGTGTGTGTTGTTATCCTTCGACTCGAAATTGCTGGCTGGGCAGCGGGTGGAGTAGGCGGAAGGGGCGAGGTGTTGGTTGGGCCTGGAAGGGAGGATGGTTGTTTTCCCCTTGTTTTTGACAAAAAGCTGCTTCTCTTCCGATGCATTCTCTCCCTGAGACGGAGGACGGCGAAGGTTTATACTACCTCTAACCGCCTCGTCAAGTAGTTGTTAATAATTTCCCCCCTCCCCTTCCCCCTAGGCATTTGCGCTGTTGCATACTGCGAGGACTGGACAAATAAATACAAATGCACAGCTACCAAAATCCTGGGCCTGTTTCCCCTTATTATTCCTATGCTATGCATCTACACGCCGGATTCTGGACTCATCCGCAATGACCTGACCTAGCTAGCATACATACAGCATAATTCGGAGCGCGGAACAGCCTCGAGCCCAAGTGGGAATCCTTTTCTTTATTGTCCTATGTTCTATACTAGTAATCCGTACATGTCAGGGTACCTATCAATTGCCATATTCTTGACGATGGCCCTTCCAGAGTTGGTCAATCCTGCTCCTATGCGTCGTTGCCAGTCATTGCTCTCTCTCTCTCTCTCTCTCTCTCTCTCTAGAGATACTAAAGCGATAAGCCAAGGACGAAGCACTCAGACGTCTATTCCACGCCTAGTCAACCAGAGCACCCCTCCTGCATTAACCCACGACGAAAGACAATATCATATCCCCCATGCGAAACAGAAGGGAGGAAAGCCAACGAAGATAAAAAAAAAAAACACTAGTACTTGCGGTAGTACTTCTTCAGCTTCTCGACCTCGTCCTGGGCGGGGCCCTCCTTGTCCTCCGGGTCGACGGCCCCCATGCTGGGGGTGGGAGACTGGCCGTAGAGGTCCTTGAAGTCTCGGCGGTAGTCGGCCATGAGCTTGTCCCAGTCGATGTTCAGCTCCAGCTCCGAGTAGTCCATGTCGGCGAGCGACTTGAGGTCGTCGTCCATGCGCTTTAGCTCCTCGTCGCTTATGATGGCGGCGAGCGAGCTGGCGACGGCGCTCGAGACGTCCTCCTCCTCCTCCTGCTGCTGCTGCTGCTGGCCGGCGGGTTGATGCTCGTGGTTGTTGCCGCTGCTGCTGTGGTTGTTGTCCGGCTGTCCCTGCTGTTCGTCCGTCGTCTCCGACACGGACGTGTTCAGGGTCAGGCTGCTGAAGTCCAGGGACTCGATGTCGACGATGCCTCCGATGCCGCGTTGCATGGTGATGCCGCCGCCACCGAGGTTGAGAGAGGCGGCGCGGGACGAAGGGGCCGACGAGATAGACTCGTTGGTGGTCGCGGCGGAGAAGGTCGAGGAGCTGACGGTGGTGACGGAGCCGTTGGACACGACCCGGGGGTGCGTGATGGTGGCGGGGGCGTCCGCCATGGTCGCGGGCCTCATCGCCATGGGGATCCTGCCGGCCCCGGCGGCCGGGGGGACGTCAAAGTCGTCCTGGTAGGGCTCGTGGTCGAACTCGGAGTTGTCCTCCCAGGCGAGGCTGCCGCGGATCTCGTCGCGGTCGTCGTCGAGGATGGCGTCGCGCTCGGCGGCGGCCAGGGCGTCCCAGCGCATCTTGCGGGCCAGCTTGGGCGTCCACTCGCGGTAGCGGAAGGGCACGTTGCCGCACCCGCCGTGGATGCCGCGCTCGCCGTCGGGCGCCGCCTCGTCGAGGTCGTCGTCGCTCATGTACATCTCGTCCAGCGTGGGGCCGAGGTCCGAGCCCGTGGACAGGTCGACGCGCCCGTAGGCAACCATGGCCTCAAGGTGGGTGGGCAGCTCCAACTGGCGGCGCGTCGACTCGGCGATGACGAGCTCGTCGGGCCGCAGGAGGTGCTTGGCCCCGCGGCCCCAGCCCTCGAGGTGGCCGATACCGACGCTCTCGACGGGCACGCCGAAGACGGGGAGGCCCGTCTCGGCCTGGTCCGTGGTCAGGGGCATGTTGTAGAGCACCTGCAGCTGCACCACCTCGCGCAGGCTGGTGAAGGCCTTGCCGCGGAGGAAGCGCCACAGCGGGGTGAGACCCGTGCGCTGGCCCAGTAGGGGACGCATCAGCATGCCGGCTCCGGGGCCGAAGATGGGGTCGTTGAGGCGCAGGTAGAGCTTGACGAAGAAGAGCTGCGCGACGTAGATGTCCTCGTCGGTGAACACTTTCTCGTTCTTCATGAGTACCTGGCGCTGGAAGTTGGATGGCATGTCCATGAGCAGCCATAGCTTCTTGAGGACTATGTGCGTCTCAGGGGGGACGCGGTGCCCGCCTCGGGCCAGCGCAGCGAGGATATCACGCACGCGTTTCTCGCGGGCCACGACCATTTGAAGCCAAACCAGGGAGGGGACATATCGGACCCGTCCCGGCATGTTGTCTGTGAAGATGACGTTCGTCGTGTATTCACCCTTGGTGACGACGTGCTCCTCCGTCTCTCCCGGCAGGCTGCCGTGGGAGTGGTACACGTCCGGGTTCTCCAGTCGGCCGGCCGGGTCGAGGACGCAGGTGCCCTTGTAGATCTCGAAGGGGAACGCCTTGGCGCTGGTGGGTGCCATGACCTCGGCCCAGGCGCGCATGCTGCTCGTCAGGAACCCGTTGATGGCGTCGTGGAAGTCCCGGCTGACGCTGTACAGGTTGAGGATGTCCTTGGGTCGGAGATACTTGCCCACCTCGACGGCTAACTCGACCCTGGAGCTGATCGAGCCGATGAGGTCGAAGCTGGCAGACGTGCTGCCCTGGCCGCGATTGCCATTGGTGTCGTGGGCGTCCAGACCAGTCCCATCTTCCAGGCTCAAGACATCCAAGGTGGCATGTAGATTGGCCTGGTTGGTGAAATACTCAGCCAGACGGCCCTGGAAGTGAGCTGGCAGCTCTTGGAACTGGCCATCGAAGTGCTGGAGCCATTTTCCATCGTCCTCGTTGTTCTCAATCTTGCCATCCGCGACATCGGCTTGAACAGATTCCTTGTAGACTTTCTGGACCAGGGCCAGGGCGTCTCCGTTCATCATGCGGGCCTTCTTCCTGGGCGGAGAGGACGAGGCCCCGTCCAACAGGGCCGCAACGGTGGGGCCATCGGCCTGCACTCCCTCCTGCTGGATCTCATTATCGCGGGCACCGGCACGAGCCGCCTGGGCGTCGGCGAGGCGCCACTGAGAGGCGCTGGTGTCGTAGTCTCGTGGGATCTCGAGGGCAATCTCTGCTTGTAACTTGGTCAACACTCCGGCGTCAAGACGCGGGAGTGGAATGACCGGTCGCTGGCCGTGGCCTGGACCGCTACTCGTAGCGGCGAGGGGTGAAGACATTGTGGCGTCTCGTACCGTGACCGGCTTTGAAAAGGCAGAATTTGAGGAAAGGGAAATGAACGGGAAGACAGGAGAGGGCAAGAAACGCGTGGATGCGTAGTCTCTTGAAGGGGGGAGAAGAGAATCAGAACGTGGGGATACTGGCGTTGCTAGGGTGAGAGGTGTAGGGAAGGGAAAGCAGAGGTTGTTTGTTTATATACCTACCTACCTACATGCCCGTATTCTAGAGTACTGAGGTACCTGCCATCTGCCTACCTTTGTTCTGCCTCACAGTAATAGGTAGACAATGGGACAATATGGAATTCAATAGAGCGCCTACTTTCCCACCTAAATGGCATTCACTTCAAGCTTAGGGGTATCCTAGGAGTTCACTAGTCGTTGACGATGCAAATGCACTAGAGAGACTTCATCGAATCGTCCTGTGTCTTCGCTATCAAGATAACTAATAGCCACTCCCCAGACATCACCGTAGTAAGCTAGGGTAGTGACATGACATATGTGCAATGGCCATTTGGCATGGATCCATAGCAAGGAAGAATAGGTACTGTCCAACGTAGCTGGCAGCCTTACCAAAGACCGAGCCTCCGCCTCCCAAGGTACTGAGGAAGATCTGTCTCGTACGAGGGTTTCGGCTTCATCTTAATCTTCATCTTCGTCTTCGATTCCACCACAAGATAGTCCCCATCTTCGGTTCCACTGCTGGCCACAAGATAGTCCTCATCACAGCTGTGACTGCTGGCCTCAAGATCGTCCTCATCACCGCTTCCAATCCCGGTCCGGCTCCGGCTCCTGCTTGTTGTAGTTGCTAGTGCCGGTGCCGGTGCCGCCATCGCTTTCTGGTTTATTTCCGCCCTCGTTCCCCCTATATTTCGACGGCGTCCCACCTAAGAGTCTTGTCCCATCTCGTCGAGAGGCATGTCCTGGTCGTCCTGGCCAACAATCGAATCGGCTACTTTCCAGATCTGGAGCAGGTTGTCTTCCGCGGCGCTGCAGACTAGCCAGGGGTCATTCAGGTTCCAGGTGAAGTCGGCCAAATGGTTTGTGTGGCCACCATGCATGAAGAGCCTATTTCAAGTCATTCAGGTCAGTTTCAAGGAGAAACGCGACAGGGGAGGGGTGTGGATGGCGTACAGTTCCGGTGGACCATCTTCCTGGTCCTCGGGCATCTGTTCCTCGCCCACTCGGCTGAGGTCCCAGAACATGATCCTTCGGTCATAGCTACCACTTCCCAGGATGCTAGACTCCTTAGGATGCCAGGCCAGAGAGGTGACCGCATCGCCATGGCCCACGAGGGTGTGGATCTTCTCCCGTACGTTCCGAATGTCCCAAATCCCGATCGTCTTGTCTGCCGATGCTGTAGCAATGATGAACTCGGACCGAGGATTGAAAGCAAGAGCATTGATGGCGTCAGTATGCCCATTCCGCGCGGTCAAGGCAGACTTGGAGGTCTGCTGCTCTCGAACATCCACGATCTGGAGAGTCAAATCGTCCGACACACTGCCAATGAAATGTTTTACGAAAGGATGATACTGCACATCGTTGACGATGTGTGCGTGGTGCGTATACCGCCGATAAGGCTTGAGCGTCTTGCCAGTGCCCTGCAACATTTTCAAATCCCTGAGAAGCGTCAATGGGCAATCAAAATAATAGCATAATGATGCTGTAGAACATACCACAGACAGACCGTTGTGTCCTCACTACCGGAAACAAGGCAGCCTTCGTCATGTGGACTCCAGTTGAGACCGAACCCTTCCGACTTATGACCAATCAACTCCACTTGGGGAGATGGCGAACCGGTAGGAGTCAGACTGTGCTTGGTCCTGTCGAAGATCAGGACTTTGCCGTCGACGGCGAGAGTGGCGATGATGTCGGGGTTCTGGGGCTGGTAGCGCGCCTTGTTGACCTCGCCCGGGTGATCGATCTTTTGGGTAATGTTGAAGCGGATGGCAGGGGCATCTCCAGAGGAAGTCTTGCTGCCATAGCCACCAATCTCGCCACGCTCCTCGTCGTAATCATTCGGATTGGGCTGAACAGTCTTTGGGATCTCAACCTCTGCAATCTGCAGGTAATTCGGCTTGCCCTCCGCTGTGTGGGTGCCAATCAGGACCCGGTGCACGAGGTAGTTCTTGTCCTTCGGAGCTTTAACATCCGGGAACCACTGGGTCGTGAGAGTTGGCCACTCCAATGCAGTGCTGCAAAGAATAAGTAAGCGAGAGGGGCAATATCATCACAGTGGGCACTTACCTCAGGATCATATCATAGAGGAAGGGGCTGTTCTTCTTCCAAGTTTTGTACTCTGCCGCACTTAGCACAAAGAGCCGAGAAATAATAGTCATCATCATAGCATACCCTCATTGATCAGCTTCTGCTCCTGGTCGTCATCTTCTTCTTGACCCATCTCGACTGTGAGGCTGCATCAGTGTTTGTTTTCTGAAGCAAGAGGCCTAATTGAGGCTTACTGTCCACGTCGTCCACGACCTCAGTTGGCCCCATTGTCACAGGTTCTGGCTCAGTTTTCTTGAAAGGAGAAACGGATTGTGAGTGAGAATTCTAAGGGCCGATGTATTGAATCGGATTATTCCGAGGACTGGCAACCTAGACTTGTCGTTACCTACTCGGGGGTTTAGACTTGGTTGGTTGGCTGGATTGGGGAGGATGAGAGCTGCTCTGCGGCTAAGCGCGACTCTCGTCGCGTTAAGTGGGAATAAAAGGCGGTAGGCGTTGGCAGATGTCAAGCTGCAAGCGTTGCACGGACCAAGAATGGCGACCATACTAGAAGCGGTTAGTGTGGGGCAAAGAGCACCTGGGGGCGAGGCGGATTGCAGCCGCATGTTTTAAACATAGAAACTGCCCGTGCCTTGAGACCCAGTATTTATCAAGGTCTCTCCGATCGCATCGTCTCCCATCCCATCAGGATCATAGTTTTCTATAGTATCCTTGATTTGGGTCTAGAAGGTCTCATAGACTTCAAGTTTCTGTCATCTATACGTTCTACTGCCTCTCAACGGCAGCATATCTCGAGCCGCGCAGTTTCCTGCTCGTGAATTCCTTCGTCACATTCCCAACCACACACAGCCTTCCCTGATGAGAAGACGGTAGAGCAACGCTTTGCCCTTAACTCTTTACTTTTTCGCATCACTCTTCTGCCGCAAATGCCCCCGCGCGACTGACAGGCACGAGAAAATCCATAATACCTACCCGATTGAATTATTAGGAAGCGTTTGTCAACATGGGGTCCGTCGTCGATTTAACTGTCCATGAGGCTATTTTGGTTGCTAACTGATTTGCCCGCAAGTGTTCCCAAGTTCTTCAGATGGCTCTCTGAGCGATATCCTGCCATTTCACAGCTCATTGCTGAGAATCGTATCCCCGAGTTTGACTGCCTCTACGTGCGCTACCTCCCTGATCAACGCAGTCGGCCTTGTGACCTTGCAAACCCCCCGCTAACCGATGGCAGTTGGACATGAATGGCATCATTCACAACTGCACGCACAAAGATTCTGGCGATATCCAGTTCCGCTTGACCGAGGAGGAGATGTTCATTGCGATATTCAATTATATCGAACACCTCTTCGGCAAGATCAAACCGAAAAAGCTATTCTTCATGGCCATAGATGGCGTCGCCCCGCGAGCAAAGATGAACCAGCAACGCGCGCGCCGGTTCCGGACAGCCCTGGACGTCGAGAAGGCAAGAGAAAAGGCTATTCGGGAAGGCAAAGAGCTTCCGAAGGAGGAGCCGTTTGACAGCAACTGCATTACTCCGGGTGAGTCACCTCCGGCCCACTGCGATCCATCCTCTCCACTAACCTAGCCAGGCACCGGATTCATGGCCAAGCTGTCCGTTCAGCTGAGGTACTTCATCAACAAGAAGGTCTCGGAGGACAAGGAATGGCAACAACCCGAGATAGTCCTCTCCGGTCACGAAGTTCCCGGAGAAGGAGAACACAAGATCATGGAGTATATTCGGAATGCCAGGGCCCAATCCGACTACAACCCCAACGTCCGACACTGCCTATACGGGCTCGATGCCGATCTCATCATGCTGGGGCTCCTCAGCCACGACCCGCACTTCTGCCTACTTAGAGAAGAGGTCACATTCGGTCGTCAGTCAAAGTCAAAGTCCAAAGAACTCGAGCATCAAAACTTCTACCTGTTGCACCTGTGTATTGTGCGGGAGTATCTGGAGCTGGAGTTTCAGGAGCTGAAGCAGGATGGTGTGATGAGCTTCTCATTCGATATGGAAAAGGTCATTGACGACTTCATCTTGATGGCATTCTTCGTTGGCAACGATTTCCTCCCGAATCTCCCCCATCTGCATATCAACGAAGGCGCGTTGGCGACCATGTTCAGGATTTACAAGAAGGTCCTTCCGCGGTGCGATGGCTACCTCAACGAAGGCGGAACAGTCAACCTCAAGAGGCTCGGACTGCTTTTGGAGGAGCTTTCTAAAGAAGAAACCCGTTTCTTCGAGCATGAGAATGAGGACGCGAGCTGGCTCCGAGGGAAGAGGATGCTGGAACAGAGCGAAACAGAGAAGGTCAGGGCGAGGACTAAGGGCAAGCTTGTTGTGACCTCGTCTCAAAAGGCTCTCTGGAAACAGAAGATCCGAAAATTCCTGAGCAACCGTGCGCCACAGGCTCTAGACCTTGGGACAGAGCTCAAGGCGGAGGATCGGAGATTTGCCCAGGAACTTGCCGAAGCCATCCGTGTCGAGTGGTCCACGAAGGAGGACGATGAAGGGAACCGGCACTTTATCTTGGCTTTCCCTCAGACGCCAGGCGATGCCGTCGATGCCGACGACGAAGATGAGGAGGCACAGGCGGCTGTGCTTCGGGTCGTTCGAAAATACGACAACGCCCAGGTCATCGACCTCACAGCTGCGGACGCACAAACAGAGATGGAAGCCAAATACAAGCAGAAATTCCAAGAGTGGAAGGACGAGTATTACTCTCAGAAGTTTGATGACTGGACCGATGACAATAAGGAGGACGAGCTCCGGAACCTGGCGGAGAACTACGTCCAAGGTCTCCAGTGGGTGCTCTACTACTACTATCGTGGTATCGCATCGTGGCCGTGGTATTACCGCTATCATTACTCGCCGATGATATCAGACGTCACCAAGGGCCTGAATGCGGATCTAAACTTCCGCCTCGGGCAGCCCTTTAGGCCATTCGAGCAGCTCATGGGTGTGTTGCCAGACCGGAGCAAGAGTATCGTCCCTACGGTCTATTGGGAACTCATGACGGATCCCAAGTCGCCAATCATCGACTTCTACCCGAGAGATTTCGAGCTAGATATGAATGGCAAGAAGATGGAGTGGGAGGCTGTCGTCAAGATCCCCTTCATCGAGGAGAAGCGTCTTTTGGATGCCATGGCCCCGAAGAACGAATTGCTCTCTGACGAAGAGAAAGCGAGGAACGACTTTGGAGTCCCCTTGAAGTTCACTTACTCCAAGGGCGTAGATTTCATCTACCCCACCTCTCTTATTGACGTCTTCCCCGACATCCCCCACTGCCACTGCGTGGAGAACATCTTCGATCTCCCCGTGGTCGAGGGGTTGGACTACCGTGTCGGACTCACGGACGGAGCCCTGCTCAATGTTTCCGCGCTGGCGGGCTTCCCCACTCTAGCCACCCTCCCTTACACTGCTACTCTGGGATTCCACGGCGTCAACGTCTTCCAGCAGGACAGCCGCAATGAGAGCATGGTTGTCACGGTATCCGACTCGGAGATCCGTACCAGCGTCGAGTCCGCTAAAGTCAAGCTGGGCCAGCGCTGCTTCGTCGGCTATCCTTTCTTACAGGAAGCCAAGGTGGCTCGAGTGTCGGACGAGCTCTTCGACTATGTCCTGTCGGACGACGGCTCCAACCAGATTATCCAGAGACACCACACACCGAGAGAGATCGAGGACTGGTCCAAGAAGGCAGGGAAGATTGAGAATTTCTACAGCAAGCGCTTAGGTATCCTTATCAGTCGGGTTGAGTCGATGGTCCACGTCGACATGCTTCGCGGGTTGATGAAGACGGACGAAGGGGCAACGATCAAGGAGTACGGAGATATTCCGGGCATGGAAACCGACTACGCCTCCCAGATCATCGTCGACGAGGTCGTGAACGAGGACGAACGCTTCCTGGAGCAGGCAGCGTTGCCACTAAGCGAAGAATTCCCCGTCGGCTCGCATGCATTCTTCCTCGGGGAATACAACTACGGTCGGCCGTTGGAAGTCATCGGATATGCGGACAAGAAGTTGGAGATCTGGCTCTCTGCCCTCAAGGAGCGTGAGCCCGATTTTGCCCCGTCGATCATAGCAAGGGCCGCGAGGGCCAATCATTACACCCCGTCATATATGGTGGCCAAGCAATTGGACCTGCACCCGCTCGCTCTCAGCAAGATAACCTCGTCGTTCTTCATCTCGACCCTGGGGGATCTTAGGGTGAACCTGGGTCTCAATTTGAAATTTGAGGGAAAGAAACAGAAGGTTCTGGGCTACTCCCGTAAGTCCTCGACCGGCTGGGAGTTTAGCCCGGCAGCCATCCGCATGCTGGTCGACTATATGACTAGATTCCCCGACTTCTTCGCCGCTGTGAAGAGAAATCCTTCAGGTAACGAGGTCAGGGAGACAGATCTCTGGCCAGACGCGGCTGTTGCGTCAGCCAGGGTCAAGGAGATCGGCGCATGGCTGAAGACCCTGAAGACAAGCGAGTTGGAGAGGGTGCCTCTTGATGCCGAACAACTCGACTCGGATGTGGTCATGCAGCTCTCCGAGGCCGCAGACCAGCTGCAGCTGAGCCAGCTGCCCCAGGCGTCTAAGAAGATGAAGGGCGTGCCACGCAATGCCCTTATGCGGCCTGCCGATGCAGAACATCGGCTCGGCAACCAGCGATTCAGCCTGGGCGATCGGGTTGTCTACGTTGCTGCGTCCGGCAAAGTGCCGATCGCAGTTCGAGGAACCGTGGTCGGCATTAGCCGCACGGCTACTGCTAAGCTTCTAGATGTCGTATTCGATATCACGTTCATGAGCGGCACCACGCTTAGCCAGCGTTGCCCGAGCTTCAGGGGCCAGACAGTTCCGTCAACCACCGTCTTGAACATCACGACTAGGCAGGTCGTGGCGGGGTCCAAGGCTACAATGGCACGACAGCCCATAGCTCCTTCACTGACCACCCTGACAAGCCACGGCGGCTATCATACCCCCAACGGCAAGCAATACCGCGACGCACCGGCCCCTGCTCCATTGCGTGGCGGTTGGCGTGGCGCGCTGGACGGGGGCGGCCGGGGCAGGGGTCGCGGCGGCGCCTCACAGGCTCAGCGAGGGAGCTTGAACCTGCTCCCCAGCCACCTGGTGTACCGGCCCTCTCCGCAACAGGCGCAACATGATCAGATGCAGCATGGCGCCGGCTTCCCCAACGGGCCGCGTCACGACCTCAACGGCCAGAGAGGTCGAGGAAGGGCTGCTTTCCGGGGAAACCGGGGAGGGCGTGGAGGAGGCTTTGCCGCCCCGGGAGCGGGGATGGTCGATGATGGCGCGGGCAACTTCCAGCAGGCTGCGCCGCAAGGATTATACAACGCCGTCCCGCCCCCCACCAACCTGGACGCGCGCGGGGGTGGTGGCAGGGGTCGCGGGCGCGGTCGTGCCCGGGGGGAATTCCGCGGGCGCGGGAGAGGCGCCCGAGGCGGCGACAACAATTCTCCCCAGCCGCAGGATCCAACTGCCCAGAATTAGGGATGAGGGCGGACTAGGATGGCTGGCTGGCTGGAAAGGCTGCGGAACCATATTATTTTGCTGCGCGCTACTGCTGCACCCTTCTGTGAGTCCAACAGGAGCGTCAAACTATGATACGGTCGGATACTATAGGTAGGTAGGTAGGTAAGTAGGTGGGAGGATGGGTTAGGTCCATATCTTGTCAGGACCAAAGCAGGACTACCTTCATAGGCAGGTTCCGTGGATTTGCTAGGTAGCTAGTTAGCTTCCATGATGGTCCAGATGGTACCTATATAGGAGCACTCCAGGTAGTCACAGTCTACAACAGGAAAACAAAGATAGCATTCTCGCCAAGAAACCCCGACGTATGCAGTGATAGTATGTAATTTTATTTCTTTTTCTGGCGACCTAGGTAATCATTCCATTTGCCCGGCTCTGCCATCCCTCCCTCGAAACGCCCAACTTGTCGATCGACCGGACCCAAAAACAAGAAGAAAATCCAAAAAGCATAGCCCCCCCTCGGCCCTTATGCCCTCCCCTGGCTCGGCTCTATCGCAGGGCTACTTCTTCCCGGCGTCCTTCTGCTTCACGGCGGGTAGGGCGAACCTCTTGCTCACGCCGCCCTTGACCTTCTTCCACAGGCCGAGGTCCGACTCGAGGTCCCATGTCAGGACCCCGACCCACGGCTGGACGTTGTAGTGCAGCCTGAGGACGAGGTCCTCCGTCTTGGCGATCTTGCCTGACGGATGGACGATCTGGTATTTTGGGCGCTGGTTCTTGAGGGAGAGCTTGCCTCTGTGTTCGGGGGGATTGGGTTAGCAACGCTTGGGGGTTTTTTTGTGTACCGATTTGGACAGAGTGCCGGCTGGGTGTGTGTGTGTGTGTATATACGGAAAAGAGCATCAAAAACTCACCGGCTAGGATCAATGCTCTTCCCCTTGGCGCTCTTGCGCAGCTTCTTGAGGGTCGCGGGGCCGATGTTGGCGAGGTGGTCGGAGCTCGGGCTCGTGATGATGCTGTCCCAGATGACGGCGCTGTCGGTCTCGTTCGCGGGGCCGGCTGGCCACTCGGCGGTCACGTAGACGAAGACGGATTTCGTGTTCCAGTTGAATAGGGTCGACAGATCCGCTTCCATGTTGAACTTCATCACCGCGTACTCCTCCTTCTTGGTGCTGTACATGTGCGGCCGACCGCGGATCCTGCCATCGGGTTGGGGTTAGCGGTCTGGCTTGCTCTACTTTGCTTGGAGGTTCTTTTCGTCCGTGCGGCTTCGAGCGGGAAAGGTTGGAAGGGGTCGCAGGTTGGCTGGAACGGTCGTCCGGCGTGTTCTAGGTGATATGCCTGTTGCTGTGAGGGAGTCGCTGGAGAGGGTTGTACTCACACCTGGAGATTCGTGGTCTTTAGCGTTCCGCTCGGTATCCGCGGCGCAAAGAAGTCCGACGTCGCTATGAATGCCGCGACGACGAAGGCTACGGTCGTGAAGAATCCGAACGCATTCTGTACTCTAACTAGAGATGAATGCATGGTGGTGGTCTAGTGGAAGAGGAACAATCGGGAGGTTCGTTGGACTGGGCCAAGATGTTCGGTGCAAGGCAACCCCAGGGAATCGGTTGACTTGTTGTATCCCTGACTCTTTCTGAGGAGAAATCTTTTGCGACGTCGCTCAACTGTACCGCCTCATATCGTTTTGAGAGTTCGTCGTTATGCTTGGTCGTTGATAGCTGCTGTAGATGCGACATGGTTCAAGCGCGAGTGAGGACACGTTGATATGCATCAATCGATTATTATGCATTTACTAGTCGCGGAGAATAGACCCACTATAGCTTTTTAGGCCAAGGTTGATTCACATGTCGATCTCCCGTCATCTAAGTCACGGGTGCCCCTTGCAGCTTCCCGTGTTCAAAAACTGTACAGATTACACGGTTGTATATTCGTGGTATCATCAGATAATAGTTAAGATAAGAAGACGCGCCATGTCAAGCAGAGCAGTCTAGCTGTCGACCCGGAGTATCCGACCAACCCCATAGGTGCTCCAAACATGGCGACTCAAACGGGGGAAGTCAAAACGGGCAAGGCGTCCGGACCTTGCCTTTCGGCGAGGGTGCGCCGGGGGGGTTCTACTTCCTTTCCCTTCCCCTTGCCAGAGTCCTCCGGGCGTGTCACGGACCGCCGCCTCGAGGATTCGGCCGGCCCTTCCACTTGCTGGCGTGCCAAGTCCTTCCCTTTCGTCAGAGGGCCCTGATCCTTGCCGGTATTCTCAGCCTGGACAACGACGCGCTGAAGCGGCACAGTATGCGTCTCCGACACGGCAGGTTCGAGCCTCTTGTCTAACCTGAGAACCTCCTTGGCCAGGCCCGCGACCCCCGCGGCGATCACCTCGGGCCGTTCCCAGGCCAGCAGTCCCGGCCTCCCCTTCACCCGTTGCGTGTAGACCACGTCGTAACGCGCGTTGCCCCATGTCGGGAAGACGTACCTCTCCCTGGCGTCCTCGCCCTGCTTAAGCTCCGGGAGGACGTCAACCTCGTCATCATCACCCTCCGCGCCAGTAAGTCCCCCACCACCCCCCGCCTCATCCACATCCTCCCCTCCCAAGAAGACAGTTATAGCCACCCTCGGCCTGGAATCTGACGCAACTCTCTTACCCCTCCCCCTGCCCTTCCCCGCCGCCTCCTCCTCCGCCCCGTCGTCGTCGCCCCGCCCCGCCTCGCACCGCGCCCAGAACCGCATCGCGTACTCGGGCCCCGGCAGCCACGCCAGCTCGGCGAGGGTGACGACCTGCTCGCGGGAGAAGCTTCCGCGCCGCTGGCTCGGGCTCGCCCCCAGCGCCCGCAGGCCCAGCATCACGCACACCAGCAGGCCCGTTGGCGAGTCGCAGAGCGCGTACGCCAGGGCGTTGGGGTCGCGCAGCAGCAGGCCCAGGCCCAGGCCCGACGCCAACCCGCCCGGGCCGGCCGACGGTCGGGCCGGTTGTCTTGAGGCGCTGCTCGCGGACGTCGGAGTCGGGGATGATGGTGATGGTGATGACATGTACGCGCGCCGCAGGGCCGCGAAGTCGTCGTCGCTGTAGCCGAGGATCCCCGCGTGGAAGAAGTTGGCGACAGACCACTTTGCCCACTCCCAGGGGGCGTCGCGCGGCCTGGGCGGGGCGAGGGGCGGCGAGATGAGGTGGGCGCCGAGGCAGGTGGCGGCGTGCCGGGTCGCGAGGCTATCGATCAGCCTCCCGTCTATGCCCGCCGGGGACGGGGACGCGGCGCCGGTGTTGGTGACGAGGTAGCTCGGGTACGAGAGGCGGGCCATCAGCGCGTCGAGGAGGTCGGCGGCGGTGGATATGGCGGGCGCGTTGTAGGGGAGCGGGTCGCTGAAGCCGAGGCCCGGGAGGGAGGGGATGACGAGGTGGAAGCGTTGGTGGCTTGCGCTGCCGTCCTCCGGGCTCGTAAACGCCTTTGCGACATGACTCAGGGATAGGTTTGTGAAGGGGAATGGGGGTATCAGGAGCAGCGGGATGGCGTTCGCATGAGGTGAGCGTATGTGGATGAAGTGAATCCTCAGCGGAGACTCCAACGACGGAAGGGCAATGGCCGTGCGAAACTGGGGCAGGGAGTCGTTGAGGATCCGCTCCTGATCCCGCCAAGAGTACTTATCAAGCCTGCGGCGCAACTAACTATCAGACTACACACCCCTCCACAAGATCAGTCAAGGGGCGTCGGAACGAACCAGAAGTCGATGAGCCGCTCGACCTGCGGTTTGGGCTCCCACCAGTCCTCGGGCTTGTGCGTAGACCCCTCGTGAGGAAGACGAGTGAGCTCTAGCTTCCGCTTGGTGAGTTCGAGGTACTTTGTGGATACCTGGATCGCAAGTCAGCTACCTACATTGTAAAAGTACGGATACAGGTGGGTGGACCGAGCTGATGATCTGCACTACTCACATGTATTCTGTACGGCTTTATCTCGTTCCTGTCTGCGTGATCACCGGCATCCGCCATTGCGCCGACTTACATGCCCTGTCTGACAGACGCAGCCGGGCCGACACAATACTGAACCGGCGAGCCAAGACGCCAACGGGAATATAATGGAAGTTGTGACGAGACAAAGAGATGGAAAAGGTGATGATATGAGTAAGGGGTTGGCGAAACTGGAAGGAAGAAGGATGCGGTTGTCAAACGACAGGCCTTGCTGCTGTCCCCTTCACTATTACCAATTATCGCCTACGTTTGCGCCTGGGTGTGCCCTTCTGTCCTCCCGGGGTTCCGGGTTTCGGCTGAACCCAAGGTGGGAAAGACTCCGGTTGGCGAGGAGTCGGGGGGTGTGACAATAGGCCGGGCCAGGGTTCTACGATGAAACAGGTGGCGTGCAATCAAACCTTGAAGGCGGATTCCCGGGGTATTATATACAAGGGCTGGTGTATATTGCAAATCTCCGGCTCTCTGATGACTACTGCTTATTTGCTACATCCAGAGCGACCCCATGCACTGACTTGTATAAGTGGGCTGTTGCAAGGTTACCCTTTAGAGGTCTCCCCATGATAGATCAAACGCCTTTCGCGCCAAGCACCTGTTATACTTCGCTGATATACTAATTCCACAAATGTGTCCGTCCCCTCGAAATGTCGTGATTTGCCCATTGCTAAAACCTCCAAGTGATAAGGCGGGCGGCTCAGCCGGGTCTAGAAGGCGTATCCCCCCCACTAGCGGGAGCCGGTGCACCTCTAAGGTTGATAGACCCGATTCTGGAGACGATATTGCTCCCGACCGCATCCACCGCTCCCCGCGGCGAGGTCAAGGTAGGGCCCTCGGGCGCGGTCTCCTGCACGCGGAAGAGCTTGATCGCCGTGGCGTTCCAGATGCCGATTGTGCCCTTTGCTACCTGCATCTCGCTGCTGAAGATGAAGCTCCAGATGAGAGACTCGTACCATCCAAGGGCTAGAGGCGACCACTCGAACGAGTGTACGCGAATGGGCGATGGCTCAACCCCTACAAGGCGCACCTCTTGGATCTTGCTCAGCATTTCCGAGTGGGGAGCATCGGATGCAATAGCCTGACGCGGGATAAGGGCGGTGAGCTGCTGAATCAGCGTCAAGATGGTATGGAGAGGCAGCTCCGGAAGCCAGCTATCGATCCACTGTGCCGTCGGCTCAAAGGCTCCCATGTGCGACTGGCCCGCAGCGGAATTGCTGCCCAGGCTTGTCGTGCTGTTCTGGCGCGAGAAGCTGTTCGCACCCGCTGGCATCTTGCCCCTAGCCTTCTCCGACATCCCACGGAGTTGCCGTGGGACATCGTCCTCTACTTGTGACGCGACCGAAGAAGCCCGAGACGGGTTTTCGTTCGGGCTGGATGCCGCTGGCGTCGGCCGTTCTTCGTCATCGCTGTCGTCCTCCTCGTCTCCAATGGCAAAAGTCCCATCCTCTTCAGGAACATCGCTCAGAGTTGGCGTCATTGGCTGAGGCGCGGTAGTGCTTCGGAGGCTCTCTACTGAGCTGCGAGTAGATGTAGGTTCGAGAGGATCCAAGGGCCTGCCGGACTCCTTCCTCCGTCGGTTGCGCTTCTCGATCTCTTCTTGCCCGCTTTCCAGGGTGAAAGAGCGCAAGGCTTCGAATCGTTTTCGATTCCTAAGGATCGCATAAACAAACTCGGGATTTTCTGGGACAATGTCAGGGCGCTGAGATGGATGCATTCGGGAGGGGCGGTCGACAATGACTTACTCTTATACTGATGCTCAACAATCGAGTTCATGGATTCAAGGAGCGACCGCAGAAGATCGTGATTGGTTTCATTGGCCAATAAGAAGGACGGCGAAGACATAGAGTTGAAAAGCTGCATGATCTTGGAGCAAGTTTGCGCACTCAACCCTTCCAAATAGGCAGCGATGTTGTTGATGACGGCCAATAGGGCGGGGTATATGGCAGTAAGCTTCCCCTGGCTGGTCGTGATGAGATTGTATATCGACTAGTACGTTGTCAGCAACCACATCCACGTTCCCTCTGGCGGTAGACGCTCACATGTATCAGGAAATCAGCATAGGAGCCTCGAAATCCTACAATCCTGATAGCTGGCGGAAGGGTATCCTGGGCTTTGAATTTCTTGTTCAGGTTCACCCCAAAGTTCTTCTCGACGCTCAGTGTCTGCAAGAGGAAGGCGCACATCCTCACAACCCCTTGCTTCGACGCATCGCCCTTATACTCGAGGGCGTAGAACAGAAGGAGTATGACGAAATCGTGAGCCCTCTCCGTGTCTATGATGAAGGACCGGAAGCGTTTATTGCACTGCGTGACCTCCCAAAACAACATGAGAATCTCGGGAGCGAACTTGACGAATGACTGCGTGCCAGGAATATACGAGGCATTGACGTGCAGTGGTTGGTTCAAGGTCCTTGTCATGCCGTCGACCATGAACTGGAAGTCTTGCGGTCGATGCAACCGCCCAAAGAAGTGGCGGTAGTAGTTCTTCTGCGGAGGTTCTCCGTTTTGCTCCGGTATAGGGTACAGAAGGATGACCAACAGGAACTGGAGGGTATACGTGGTCAAGATCTCTTTTGGATCCTTGAAGACGAGGGTATTGTATGGCACCCTCCAACTCGCTGGGTTGTATTTGAGAGTCGTATTTAATAGCGAGCAGAGGAGTGAGAGGACGACCTGCTTATCTGGACATGTGCAGATGTAGGTGAGGGCCTTGATGCCCCGTTGTGGGAGGATGCTCGGGGATGTGTACATGCTCTGGCTGGCCAGCGTCAAGAGCAGGCGGATGATCTCGCACCGGTTGCTCTCGTACTCCTTTGTTGTCGGGACCGCGGTGTTGCATCCGATGCCGCTTTGCCATATCGCATAGCTGACCTTGGGCTTGCCAGGCGGCTGCTTTGGGACAGTCAGGTCGGAGAAGAAGAGGAGATCAATGAGGGTGTCTATGAGCTCCTCGGCCAACGGTTTGGCATCTTCAAATTCATCGGTTGTTGTTTTCTGTTGGACGTCTTGCGCCTCTTGGGCCTCGTCGAAGAAGACTTCGGGGGTGATAGATGACTTCCTGGTGCGTTTCCTCCGCGCGCCCCAGAAGAACCGCTCTTCCCATGGCTGCAGTGACTCCTTCTCGTAGATGTAGGGGAGGATCCGAGTAAGAACTCGAACGCAGTTCAGCGCATCCCGCTCGGGGGCGAGCTCAGGGTCGGGGAAAGAGGGGTGATGGCGAAGGATGAACAGCCGGGACGTCACGGCGAGGACTAATGTTTCCAGGTTTTCCAGGGCATTGTCGCGAGTCCGCCGAATATCTGCTGGGGTAAAGAGACTGAAGATGTCTTCAGAAGACTCTGGTAGTTCCCAAAACTTCCATGCTTCATTAGCACTTGTGGCGGAGCCAAAGACACGGGACAACTCACCGAAGTCCAGTAGCTTTCGTCTGCGGGAATGTGCCTCTCTTCAGATAGTCTGAAGATGCCTTTCTTGAAGACAAGCTTCGAATCACTTGCACCCATGGCTGCTACTCACTAGCACATGTCTTTCCAGGCTGGTTATACGCTGGTTAGGGGTGAGGCTGGCCAGAAAGAGGGTAGGATAACAGCCAGAGGTTTGTTGTAAGGTAGTTTGGGTGGAGCCGAGGGACGGTCTCTCTCTCTCACACTACCAAGAGACCTACGTAACAGTAACTGGCATAAAACGCTTGGGCCACATATGCACTTCACCCGCACTTGTGATCTCGTACCTACCTACCTACTCTACAGATTACATGTTATGCTAACATTGTAGTAAATGCAGAACAGTATTTTTTGGCTAGCCACGGAAAATACGTACATTGTTGGTGGGATCTGGCCCATTGAACGGCCCTTCGCATCTTGAACCCTGCGGTCTCTCAGACGCCCTGATCCCTGGGACACCAGTATTTGCTCAAGCCAACACTTACGGTAAATGTAGGCCAAGACAACTCCACTCTGGTTCCCTCGAGCCGGAGCTTCCATCTAAAATGCTCCCAGCCATGCCATTTCATACATGTCTTGTCCATTAAAATCTTCACTTCGCATAGCATCATAAGGTATCAAAAGTCAATTACCCCTGCCATCATCTCCAACTTGACCCCTCCGGTCAATGCAAGAATGCGCTGCTTGATGTCCTCCTCCCTTTCTCGTACAGCCACTTATTGTTGAGGCCAACACTGGACCTCTTGCCTCCAGCGGGGCTTGGTGTACCGGGGCTGTCGCCGAACAGGCTTGCTGCCGTACTTGCGCCAAGTGGGCTGGCGGATCCGAACGAAGGTCTCCTAGCTCCGCCCATGCCACCAGTTACTGCCTTCTGCAATAACGGACTGGCAGGTGAATAGGGCGAGCCACCATGCCGTCTTTCCGATGCGGGACTTCCATTGCCAGACAGAGGAGAGCTGTTGTAGCTCTTGTTACTGGCCGCCGACCCTGCCAGGGATGGCGTTCTAGAGTATCGAGGTGGCGTGCTGTAGGCCGAGTTTGGCGTTGGCGGTGCTGAGTTCGGCGGGAGCCCCAGGAGCTTCCTCTGGGCCGGCGTGAGTGGGATGTCGGATAGGTCGTCCTGTCGGCGGGCGAGCGGCAGCAGCGCAAGGGCGATGTTGACAAGGGGGATGGCTTGAAGCAACATATAACCCCAAGAAATGTATGCTTTCAATGACGCATTCAACCTAAGCGCGCCATTAGAACAGGAATCTTAGACATGTGTGTGCTCCGCTATACTCACAGCCCGGACGGCACATTCAGTTTGACTACCAGGCCCAACACCCAGAGAAGAGTCAGAGTTGCGAAATTGTAGGCGATAGTCTTGACATTCTTTTCCGAGAAGACTGTTCTGCCTTGTCGCCTGGTGATCTCTGCTAGTCGAGGGTGTTTCCAGTTGCCAGGGCTGTCCGTCACAACTGGTGCTCGCTTGACGGGAGTGGTGTGCTTCGCCGGTGCCATGGCGAGTTTAGATGGTGGCATCGCAACGAATAGAACGAGAAATTGGGCGATAATTCTGTCGCCGTGGAAAGACCCTTGAGAGAATTGACTTCGTTGGCTCGATCCTCGATAGATGGGCAATCAGCAGCCAGCAGCCAGCAGAACTGCTGGTGTGGTGCTACTAGTAGGTAGAGCGCCCGATGAAAACGAAGAAGAGGAAGAAGAAATAGAAGATTCCCTGCTTATGTTAGTACATCCGAAATGGTGGCCGTTGTGGCCGAAAGCAAGATGCTTCTCTCGGTCGTTGTCGCTGTCGTCGTTGTTGTTAAGTGTTGTTGGAGCCAGGATTATAAACCAGAGTCAACAATGGAGCTTAGGTAACACGAAGTTTTGCCAGGCGACGGCCTTGGCGCCAACTGGGTGGCTGGGTGGCCTAAGCGCCTGACGTGACGCAGGCGGCGGGCAGGTCGACGCCCCAACCCCCCTGCCACCAAACGATAAGAACACAAACGATCGCTAAAGAGCAACAAGCCTACATATTGAGCTTCAGTCGTCGTTCATTATCCGCGCAGGTAAGCATCTCACTCTGGAAGACTATGCCCACCACACACTCACCGTTAGCTCTGAGCAGCATTCTTAGAGTGACTGTTTGGACGGCATCCCACCGCGCGATTCAACGGCTGCCACCAAGATGGGCTTCTTCGATAACGTGATGCTCAGGCTCGACGAGAACATCATCGGGATTTTTGGGCAATGGAACGCTTACTCGAGCCTGCTCGTCACGCTGTTCCTAGGCCTACTGACGTACTCAATCGCAACCCGGCGCGATCCTGATACGCACCCGATGCTTCTCGCCCGACAGGCCGATGCTTCAAGGGTCCGTCAGGAGGGGGAGTCAGCAGTATACCGATCTCATTCGGCCCCCCACGGCATGGAACTCAATGCTGGCCTCAACGTAAAGGACCCCGGTGCCTCTAAGTGGGCAAAGGGCCGAGATGGCGATCTGCGGGATATCTGGCGACAAGCTGTCAACGGCGTGCAAGAAGACGGACCTTCAAAGGGTGCCACTGGCCGGATATTCACGGTGCTGGGCACCGAGAACGTCACCGAGCATAGCCTTGGTGAGTTTCTCTACAGACGTACCGATGATGCGAATTTGCTGACAGTCCTGTAGACGCCATCACTCGCCAGATCAACTTGATTGGACAGCATATCCTCGACCAGGGTGGGAATCGCGTCGCCATCTACCTTCCAAACTCGGTGGAATTCATCGCTACGCTCTTCGCATGTAGCTTCTATAACCTGACGGCCATATTGATTCCATTTGACCAACCCGACGACGCCGTCATCTCGATGCTCAGAAGGTCAGCTGCCGATACCGTCGTTGCAGTGCCAGGGTCTTTCCCGTTCGATAGCGTTGTGAAGTCCTACCCGGCTCTTCGCCAGCTGGTCTGGGTTGTGGACGAAGGCAGCAACCACATGGACTGGAACGAGGTGCCGCAGGGCATGGGAGGCAGTGTTAATGTCTCCACCTGGCAAGATATCGTTAATGAGCCAGGGCAATCCGCTGCGACGGAGTTGCCCCCGGTTGAGGGTCAGAAGGAGCCGCGGGACGTGACCATCTTCTGGGAAGCCAAGCCTGGCGCGATGGAAGAAATGGTCCGATTCACAGCCGCGAACTTGGTCTCCGGTGTTGCGGCACAGCTCTTCGCCATCCCGACTGCCCAGAGAATGGGACCATCGGACTTGTTCCTCCCTGCCGACTCACTGACCCGGACGTACACGCTCGTGCTCACTCTTGGGGCGTTGCACTGCAACGCATCCGTCGCCTTCAATTCAGTGGCTAACAAGGCCCCTGACCTTACTGTCGCTACGAGAGGGATTGCGCCAACCGTCATTGTCGCCACGCCGTCCCAGCTCCTGAAGACCCACGCGGAAGCCAGTCGCTCAACCTCGTCCTTCGTCGCCCGCAACATCCACCGGCTACAGACAAACAGCCTGACCCAGGGCAACGTGATGCCTGCGGTGTCGCTTCTGACGAAATACAACGACAGCCTTCGGCCGTCCGTCGGCACAACACCGGGCAAGCTGCGCGTCGTCTTCACGGCCGACAGAGCAGGAGCAGGCTCGGAGCCGCTACCATCGGCCGTCCTCTCGGATCTGCGCATCTACACCGGTGCCCGCCTGATCTACGCCCTGACCGCCCCGAAGGTGGCTGGCGCTGTCACTCAGACTGGCTTCTACGACTACCGAGTTTTTGAAGACAAGCGCTCCCACTTCGGACCGCCTCTGTCGAGCACTGAGGTCCTCCTGAGAGACACGGCAGAGCATAAGACGACGGATCAAGAGAACCGGGGCGAGGTATGTTTTGAATCCAGTGTGGCGTTTGTGTTGCCTATGCGCTTGCTAATCAATCTCCACATCTAGATCATCGTCAGGGGTCCATGCGTGGCGGGCAACGAGGCTGCCTTGGGAGTGGTGGGCGTCATTCGCGACGACAACACCCTGGCATGCGTTTAGTTGGGCTTTGGGTGCGCAGAATTTGATGACTCTTATGAATTTATTGCAGTCTCCCGAGTCTTATCGTTTCCCGTAATTGGCTTCGATGACAAGAGTCTTGCACCCATCTACTCGTGTTTATAGATTACCCAAGTACCCCATTTCGCAAAGTCGCAAATCTGAAAACCTATTCATCCACTATAATGAATTCTTGACAGTGATTCCCTGCCGTGTACATACAATTGCCTTCATTTTGCGCATGTCTCTGCCTTGCCTCATATCGTCAAATCACCCCATCATCGGAAACCCCCAACGCCGGCAGCAAACCCGTAGTAATTAGTTAACCCCCCTTTCTTCCAAGTCCCAGTTCCAGTCCCGGTTCGTCCAATAACTCATGCACCATTCCTGTACACCTGGGCCCCCTGGTTCCTGAACATGATGGTGTCCCTCCTCTGCAGGATCATCAGCGCCCTGTTGAGCGCCTGCTCGCTGAATCCCTTGCCCTCGACGAGCTCGCGGCGCAGCGTGGCGAGGCTGGTGCTCCAGCCGATGGGCAGGCGGCGGCGGAGCTCCGACTCGACGCGGCCGACCTCCTCGTTGAGCTCGCGGCCGCCCTGGTTGCTGCCCTGGTTGACGGCGTCCATGGTCGAGCAGAGGAAGAGCCGGATGGCCTCGTCAACGTGGTGCTCGTTGGCCACCGGCGACAGCGTCAGCTTCGCCAGGGATTCGGTGATGCGCACAATGGCCTCGAGCTGGCGCACCGTGATGGGGATCGACGACCGCGCGTTGGCCTCAATCTCGGACGCGTGCACCTGCTTGCGGATGGACACAAAGTGCGACGAGAGCTTCTCCGCCGCGGCTTCGCTGAGACGTGGGGCGCATCGGCTGTGGGAGTTGTTAGGAACCAGGGGTGCTACTGGATGTGTGTTTGGAGAGAGAAAACTTACGACTTGCAGTAGCTAAAGTATCGTCTCATCTTCTCTACCGGGATCTCCGACTCTACCTGCTCCTCTACGCCACGTCCACCCATGTGGATGCCCATGACGTGCTTGGCCATCCGCTCATCTTTGGCCCGATCATGCCCGTCCTTGACAATAAAGATCATGTCGAAACGTGACAGGATTGTGGTCTGGAAGTCGATATTCTCGCCGGGGGTCTTCATATCATCGTAACGGCCAAAGATGGGATTGGCCGCCGCAAGAACCGAGGTTCTCGCGTTGAGAATCGTGGTGATGCCGGCCTTTGCAATAGAGATAGTCTGCTGTTCCATGGCTTCGTGGATGGCAACACGGTCCTCATCCCGCATCTTGTCGAACTCGTCGATACAGACAACACCGCCGTCGGCAAGGACCATAGCACCCCCTTCGAGATAGAACTCCCGTGTCGAATGGTCCCGCTGGACTGAGGCTGTCAAACCAGCCGCCGATGAGCCCTTGCCAGAGGTATAGATGGCAATCGGCGCAGCCTTTTCGACGAACTTCAGCAGTTGAGACTTGGCGGTACCAGGGTCTCCGAGCATCAGGACGTTGATATCTCCTCGAAGCCTCATGCCATCCGGGAGGATCTTTTTCGACCCACCAAGCAAGAGACATAATATCGCCTTCTTGATGTCTCTGTTCCCGTAGATGGATGGCGCGATGCAGTCGGCCATGACACTGTAGAGGTCAGGACGCCTGCTGAGCTCAAGGAACTCCTGCTCCTCCTCTTCGGAGAAGATGGCCTGGCCTTTCGCAGTCTGATCGATATCAGTCCGGATCCCCACGGCACGCAGATAAGGTGTTCTAATGGCCACGGCACTAGAAGTCGAGTTCTTGGAGCCCTTGTTTTGGTAGATGGAGAAAATCCCCATGACAGTGCATCTGGATCCTGGCACCACGCGGTTCGTAAGGTAGCGGTCCGCAGAGATGAGCACGTGCCTTGGAAGCTCTCCGACGGGGACTTGGTCGGGCGCCTCTTGGAGCTTGATGATCTGCTGGTCTACAAACGCCGACTTCTCATGCATGACGAAGTAAGGGTCGAGCGGACATTTTGCAGTCGGGTCATTTTGTACTCGTATTCTGCCACACAGCCTCGGGAGTGATACTCCTGAAAATCCGCCAGAAACGTGCATATGCTGCTGGTGGCCGCAATTCCGGCACTGGATCTGCAGGTCCGTGGCCTTTGACGACATGACGGAGGCGCCGATGACGATTCCCGGCACTCTGACCAGCCGAGAGATGGTCAAGGAGTCCAAGTTCCTAATCGATACATCTTCGGCACTCGAGTGCAAAAGAAGTTGGTGGTCGGGAAGGTCGACTTTCGTTTCGTGGGGGAAGACGATTCTGTGCGTGCATCTCTTCAAGGCACCTTCGAACTGGCAATGGCGTTAGTATTGAGAGGAAGGGAGAAAGGCAATCTTCTAGGTCCTGCGTACTAGAGGAATGATTTCTGCGGGTTCGTTCGTCAGGCGATGTGCCAGCTCTTCGTTGAACTTGATGAGGTCGCCGATGTTGACATCGCAGTAGAACTTCTTGAGAAGCGCATTCTCGCGCAGCTGGTCTCTTCGGCCGGTATCAGTTATCCGCCATAAGAGTGTTTCGGGGGGGTAGAGCGCTACCTGTAGATGAAGGCATTGTCCAGTCTGAAATCAAGAATAAACGCTTCCAACTGGGCCTGGACCTGGAGATTTGTGTCCTCGGTCTGGGCAAAGGTTGGGTTATAAAGATGAGTGGAAAACACCGATTGGCGATCCATTGCGAAGGAGAGAGTAGCAGTGTCGAGTCACAACTGGGAATGAAGCAAGAAGTCAAAAACAGAGCGTGAGGGAAAGATTCTGGGCGGGACGCTTGTCAAGGAGGGGCGCATCAAAAAGGAGGTTGAGAGCTAAAGACGCGTCGAGGGCGCGTCAAAGGTTAAAGTGGTTGCAGCGCGCCGCGACGCCAAATTGAGAGCCTTGCCCAATGTGGTAAGGGCGCTCAGTATCACGTGAAAGCTATGCAGCTCTTCCGGTTAAACCTCGGGGTTGGTCATTGCCAGCTGAATGCGGCCCCTTGAGGCTTGAGCGTGGCTGGCCAGTGGTAAGAGAGGTTGGCATCTCCTAGGATTCGTGGCTTTGAGAAGAGATTCGTCATTTAGCAATTGGATATTCAACGTCTGAACTGATACTCGAAATCTGATCCATTGTCCTCGATAAACAAGGGTTCTTTGCTAAGCCACGTCTTAGCTATGCTCCCGCGATAGCCTGCCCATCCGCCGTCACTCCGTACTCCGTCCCATGGTCTGCTAGCTTCAGCTTCGAGCTTCGAGCCTCGCCTCGATGTGTACTCGCCCAGCCCGGAAACGTATTCAAGGCTGGAGAGTCTTTGCAGGACAAAATGTTCTCCAACCCTGGCGCTCGCAAGTCTGTCGATAGCCTCTCTCCAACAACTCCGGTCGGGCCACGCGGGGATTTCCCTTTCCACAGGTACGATGCGCCAAAGCCATGGACATGGTCCTCTTAACCTCCCTGCTGACTTTCTTCCCAGGAGAGCATCTCAAAGTCCACATCGCCCGACACACCGGCGAGGATCGACAGCAAGCTCTATCCAGTCAATAGGTGGATCCTTAGATACCTTGTCGACCCACGTCGTCTTCGAATCGGGCCAGAATGCCATATCGACTCTCCTCCAACCCCCAATAGTCCGAACCGGTTTCCTTCCGCACACATCAGCTCCAGCTTCAAGCGCGCATAAACCTCCGACTGCACGAGACATCCCACCAGTGGTTCTTACCAATATACCCCAGATCGACGTAGAAGAATTCAGGCCCTACCTCTCCCAGGTTGGAGCGTTGTATGAGCAATTGCGAAGGATCAAAGAGAGTGAAGATGAAGGTACAGGCGCATCAAGTCGGCGGAATAGCAAACCAGACGACGCTTCTGATGTGGTTGATGACGGCCATTTGAAGCCGGGAAATCGCCCTGGCTCGATAAGGAAGGCATCAACTGCGTCTATCAGCTCCATAACATCAATCGAAACCCCAGGCCCGAGTCGGCGCGGTTCAGGTCTCAATAGGAGAGCTCCAGCACATGGTCCGCCGCCGTTATCTACGATTCCTAACGTCTACTTCGAAGAGGACTTCCACCTTGAGAACCCACGGACTTTTGATGTTGTGAGCGAGCGGTCTGAAGTGGTTCGGCCTGCACCCGGGACTCTAGACGAGAAGGCTGCTGCTAATGGCCACGCAACTGCGCCCCGAAAGGCACTTGCCACCAATGCCATCTTACAGGAGAAGCTCTCATGGTACATGGACACCATCGAAATGCATCTCATACAATCCATCTCAACAGCATCGACCACCTTCTTTACCGCACTCGGTTCCCTGAGAGAGCTTCATTCGGAGGTGGCAGACTCGGTGGAGAGGATCAAGGCGTTGCGGAAAGAACTCGAAGCTCTCGATGAGGAGATTGCCACCGGTGGCTTGAATATTGTGCAACAACGCCGACGGAGGGAGAATATGCGGCAGCTGCATGATGCGGTTCTGCAGCTCCGAGACATTGTCGACTCGGTTGCAGCCTGCGAAGCCCTCGTCGACGCCGGGGAGACCGACAAAGCACTCGACAGCATTGACTCACTAGAAAAACTTATTGCTGGAGAAAGAGATGCGTCACATGATGCTCGCACAACAATGCAATTAAGAGACCTAAGGGGGGCGACAGCACTGCAGGGCATCAGCAGCGATCTAGATATGTTGAGGGTTCGCATTGGCAGAGCATACGAAGCCAAATTTGTGGAGGTCCTGATGGGCGATATTCGACGTCACACAGAGAATGTGTCAACCCAAGAGGTACTCATGCGTTGGAACAGCGCTTCACTGCGTGCTCGAGGGGGTCATACTCGTGAACCATCGGTATTCCCGTCTTACATGTCCTCGGTCGAGGAGCTCCGTTCCGATCTTCCACAGACCTTGGTTGGTTTGCAACGCGCAAAGCATCTCACTGCTGCGACAAGTGCATACCGGGAAGCTGCCTTGCGCCATATTAGGAGCATCATTAGGCGCCCTTTACCCAGCTCAAACGACGACGACAATGAGTCGATGATGTCTTCTTCTACCATGACCGGGGGACGGCAACGGTCCCAACAGGACAAATCCTCGATATTGGCGAGGAACCTCCGAGCCCTAGAGCCAGAAGACGCAGAAGAGCTCCTAATGAAGATCTACATTGGAGTCACCGAGACTTTACGGAGGCTCTCAACCCAAGCTAAGGTCTTGCTCGATGTTGCAAGCTCGTTAGGAGGCGTCCCCTCATCACCTTCTGGGATGAGATCACCACCAGCTATCAGATCCCCCTCGCTCAGCCCTACCGGCCGACATCCATCCTTGGATGGGTTGGAGGCCCAGGAAGAGATCCACAAGACCCTTGATCTTTCCAACCTTCTTGGCCAGGCAGTTGACATTGCACAAGACAAGATAGTTAAACTTCTCCGAGTGCGCTCTCACCAAAGCACCCACTCAGCTTTGATCTGGTTTCTTCGGTACTTCACCCTCAACCTTCACTTTGCAAACGAGTGCGAGGCTATCTCTGGTCGGAGTGGGACAACGCTGAAGACGGTGGTTAATGGCCACATCAAGGAATTTGTCCAGCAACATGGAGATGCCGCGAAAAAGCAGCTTGCTCAGGGGATGGACTCAGATCAGTGGAATGTCAAGGACTTTGGGGATAATGAGAAAGAACTGCTAGACCAGATCCTAGAAAGCAGCACGAAGGACGCAACAACGTGGACGGAAGGGACCAGGATTTGGGTACCATATTCCGACACGGACGAGAACACCAATGGAACCGACGAGACCGGCCAGGCCAACGGCATGGCAAAGGCAAAAACGCGGAGCGCAGTGATCGAGTCGGAGAGCTTCCTGCTGCCCAATTCGGCCATCCTCTGCATGAATGGCATGGCACATTTCTTGCATCTGATCGTCGGGCTGCAGTCCATGACCATGACCTCGGATGTTTCGACTTCGCTCATATCCTACCTTCACCTCTTCAACTCACGCTGTACCCAGCTGATTCTCGGGGCCGGGGCGACTCGCTCTGCAGGCCTCAAGAACATCACCACCAAGCACCTCGCACTGGCCTCGCAGGCCCTCGCCTTCATCGCCACCATCATCCCCCACGTCCGCGAATTTGTCCGCCGCCACTGTGGCTCTGGCACGGCGGTCTCATCCCTTATGGGGGAGTTTGACAAGGTCAGGAGGCTCTACCAGGAGCATCAGAACAGCATCTACGACAAACTAGTCGAGATCATGAGCGGGCGGGCCTTGGTCGGCTCCAAGAAGATGAAGGCTGTCGATTGGGACAGCACTGACAGTGACACGGCGGTCAACGAATACATGGAGACGCTGACGAAGGAGACAACCATGTTGCATCGAAACCTGACCAAGCATCTGCCCGAGAGCACCGTCCATCTGATCATGGTGCCCGTATTCGAAAGCTACAAGGACACGTTCGGTGGCACCTTGAGAAGTCTCGAGGCTCCCACCGAAGCCGGCCGGGACAGGTATGTTACTTGTTTGCTCGAGATGTCATGTTAGTAAGCCGACTAATCCGATATTATAGCATGCTGCGTGACGTTGAGTTCTTCGAGTCGCGACTGGGAAAGATCGACGGGTTTGAGGATGCCGGCGAGCATCTCACGAATATCATTAAGTCCAAGGAGGTCAAGGAGGTCAAGACTGCTGCCGCGCCTACGCCTGCGCCCGCGGCAGCAGCGACAGCCGATGGAGAGGGGAAACAGTCGAGCGAAGCCAGTAGTGACGCGACTGTGACGGATGCCAACAACGGGACGGCGGGTGCCACAGAAGACACGGCTGCTTAGATGGGGGGTGTGGTGTGTAGAACTGGGAAAGGGGTCTTGAGAGCTGTGCATTCGGGAGATATAGACATCATGCTGTACACCCTCTTCGTGTATAACTTGGTACCAGGCTAGTACTCGACCGGGAGGGGGGGCTGTCATTGCTCCTGAGCAAGCGATTGTCCGGCAGCTTTTCGCTGGTGTGTGTCCGGGGACTAGGGCCCCGAGCACACCAAGAAGAGAGTCGCTGAGGCCTGCAGTAATTAGGTACTCCACTGTTTATAATATTCAGAAATACCCTCATTTCATCATGATTTTCATGATATTGAGCCCACCACGTGCGGTTAAACCCTCAATCTGGAAGACGGGCTGTCATTCCAGGTCGCTCGATAACCAACACCCCGGCATGAATTGATACAGTGAATGCCCTCCAGCTGATGTCAGCCCGGTAGGCAGCGCCCCTTATCGGGAGCCCTGCTATCAACCGGGGTGGGGGGGGGGGGGGGAACAACAAACCAACTTTTTTTTTCAGGGCACCTAACTAGATGTTCATTCCTTGCCCATCCCTTGCCGTTGTGCCGATCCTTCCTTCCATTGCTCCGAGATTTTCTTCGAGAACAAAAACGAAATCAGGGCAAGTAAGGGGCGGGGCGCGGGCGAAATCTGGCCAAGGAACTAGAAAAAAAGGGGGGGGAAGAGAGACAGCTTGTAAGGAACAGATCCCGACCCGATCGTGGGAAGCGGGAGGGGATGCATGCCCGGTCCATGCGACGGGTCGGTGCAGCTCGCGAGGACGAAGCGAAACGAAACGAGAACCCGAAGAAAAACAAAACTTGGGGTTTCGAAACAGATGGGTGGCTTGCCTGGCGTTGCTGTCGTGCTCTAAACCGGAGAACCCCGTGGGGGAAAGACGACCCTCGGGGGGGAAGGGGTTCGACCGATCATCGCCTGGTCGACGACGTCCCCTTTAGCCTATTGAGACACCACGTGCTGACAGAAACAGACACGGTATGGCCCGTGTTGTTTTATTACTGCCTACTATCTATTATATTCGGCTGCGAACTTACCGAAAATATACCATCATCGATCTCGTGCTCGGGCGAAGCCCTATCGGTTGTTAAATGGGGTTGTTATTGGTGGGATATTAGGGACATCTGGAGGACAGCAACCGGGTGCTGCCTACTGGATATAATAATCCGACCGTCTTTAGAATGACCAACCTGGTACGTGCCGAGGAGTCATGGGAAAGAGGCATATTAAGACACCGACAAAAAATGTGCTGGAGAAAATACGAGTCTATATTGTCCTTGGATTGCACCAATAAGGAAAAAATAAGCCTGATAGACCCTAGAATATGTACAAGAGAAGATGAAGTGGTAAATGTTCTGCAAGGCTATCAGCCAGCGACTGTCAAGAATCATTTTTCATGTCCCAAAAAATCCCCAAATGCTCCGGTAAGCCGAAGTCGCCGTTCCTCCGTCCCATTTCATGTCTCTCTAACGAATGACCACACCAAAAACCCCGCCCCCTTGAACTTTGAATTTCGCACCAGAGAGAGGCCAATGGATGCCGCTGGCCGATGCTGCTGTCCGTAGTTCCCGAATAGAAAGCTGGGGGTATCCCGACATGGTCCTTTTTTCCCGTCTAAAAGGGTCGTAACATGGTCGTTACCGCGCCCTGCGCGTCATGGATCTCGTTGGATCTCGTTGTCGTGCTCGTTGTCCCAGCGAGGTAGAAAGAAGAAAGTAGGTCTAGTTCGCCCACCGGCCGACGACGAAATCGCGCTTGAAGCTGGGAGTCTCGACCTCCTCAACGCTACGCCGGGAGTTGCCATTGCCAAGCGTGCAGATGAGGTCGGTTTCCGTGGTCGTCTTGGTCTGGACATCATCCGCAAGGTAGTACGCGTTGTTGCAGGGGAAGACTTCACAGCCAGAGACGGGACTGGCGCCGCCTGCAGGCCACAGCTGCTTGACACCGGAGTGGTCGTTGGGGTTGACAATAGCAGAGACATCGAAGAAGGTGATGCCGTTCCAGCCGTTGAAGGCTACTTCACCGAGCATGCCGGGGACGTTTGAGGCACCGTCAGAGACGGAGTAGAAGTTGCCGATCCAGCCCTGAGGGAAGGTAACCTGCAGAGAGGCGCCGCCTGGGACCTTGACAGGGGAGATCTGAGCGAGACCGGCGTTGGGAGTGAAATAAATAGTGCGGCCGATGTTGTCCAGGGACTGGAAGGTGACGCTATTGGCCGCAGCCAAAGCAGCCGCGGTAAGGAGGGATGCGAGCTTGAAGAATTGCATGTTGATGGTGTTGTTGTTGTTGTCGTTGGTGGTGGTGGTAGTGGTGTTGTTGTTGTTGTTGTTGTACTTGCGACCTTAATGAATGTTGGTACCGGTGCCTGATGAGCTGAGCTGAGCTTCTCGAAGGAGAGTTGTACGACTGTTACAAGCAGGTTGTCGTGTTGACAGTGGAGTATAAGGGTTGACAGTGGAGAATAGAAGGATAGAATTGGGTTGCCTTGAAGTTTAAAGACGAGCCGCCAGGGTCCAGTATTGTCCGTCCGTCTAGGGAGCGAGTAGTTGTTTGTAAAGAACGTGTATGGGCCTAAAAGGAGAGTAGGGGGCGTTGGATAGGGGGGGATAGAAAAGGTGGGCAGGAGGAGGGATGTCGGGCTTCAGCCCAGCTCTTATATACCCTACATAGGACACAGCACACTGCACTGTAGTGGTGGTGATGGTGGTGGGTCGGGCAGCCCAGGAGTTGGTTCCAGGATCAAGGAGTCGACGACAAAGCCAGCTGAAGACAAAGAAGTACTCGAAAGTACCCTCACCAGTGTCCAACCGACCAACTGAGTCGCGGATTCTCAGTCGTGTGGCTCGGGTACGTGCCAACCAGCTCCTGGCGCAGTGTTGAGGGGCTTACTATGTGTACGCGGAAACAAGTCCGGCAGAAGCCCGCGCAGCCTGTTCCCTCGCTAGTTCCTGGGCTAACAGGGATCCCGGCAATCAAGAATAGTCTAGATTTCAGCCATTTTAAGTGCAATCGGCTTTTTCAGGCACCTTTGCTGCGCCATTGGCTGGAAGGCTGCGGGTGTGTCTGGTACCTGACAGCGGCCCACATGTGTCGAGCCCTAACAGGCGGATCAATCCCGATCGATGCCAGCAAGGCCAAGCACCACGGCAGAGAGATCACATTGGAACTCTCGAACAGAAATATCCGCCTGGAAACGATTTTACGGAAATATCATGAGGGAACGGCAGGTTGAGAAATTTGAGCTACCCCTTCAGTACTGACAAAAAAGAATGGCAAGAAAAGGCTGGTGGGGGTAGCGCAGGGAGAACGACCGTGGCCCAGAGATACGCACACGTGAAGGGAGGTAAGGAAGATGTGCCGACTGAGAACAGCAGCTCTGCTGAGTCACTGCCCAGAGCCCAAATGCTCTAGTAGGTAGCCATGATCCATGATGTGTTGTCTCATGGGCAGCCAGTCGAACAGAAAAGGGCAGAGCAGCTCCACCAAGGTAAATGCCGACCTCGGTACAGAGCGTAAAAAAGTGAGGTCTTCACCGCCGACCGAGGATTTAGTCCTCACCTTAGTGTCGCACTGCACTCGATCGAGACTGCAAAGAGAAAGACGAGAGGGATTTTCCATAGATATTGATGGTGGTGTGGAGAAAGTCAAGAGGGGAGGGTCAGACTGGTGAGAGTGTTGTTGAGTAACAGATTCCTCCTTCTTTTCCCACTTTCCCAAAATGGAAGACTTGGCAGAGCGCCAATGAAGTCCAGGCGGTCCAGCACGGACCCGGTTCCCCGGCCCGGAACCTGGTATATTTTCCCGCGCCCTGTTTTGCTCAGATTTTCACCTACCGGTTACAGTAGGCGCCCCGCCGGCGTTAAGTGGTTGCATGAACTGAGGGACGGAAGCCCAGGCGGGCTGATGATTCTCACATGCGTCCAGGCCCGCGCGCACGCCACCGCCGGTAGCGGTGCACAAGACGGTGGCTGCGTGTCGGCTGTAAAGGAAGTATCTCGCAGAGCCCGACGGACCGATTGGCTCCAGGTCTTCGCCAGAGGACATCGTCTGTCCGCCGTGTCCGCCTCATAGGAAAACTCTTCAGGACAATCTCCACCTATGACAAATCCCAAGCCGTTCCCATCAGAATGGTCGGCGGCGGGCACCAGAGCCGATGGCCGTCAGATTTCAGAGCTATATTGCGCTTCTTTGACGACGTGGGCCTCTCCAGGACAATGGGCCGGGACTGAACTACTCGTCAGGCCTATGAATAGTAACAAGCGGTTTCTGACTCGCTCGAGAGCAGATTAGGCCGAGCAGAAATGACCGGATTAGGACAATGAGAATCTCTATTTCTTTGACAGACTCGAAGTTAAGTCTTGTGAGTTGTCATCGGTTTGGGACAAACAAAAAGCTCAACCATAACTGGTAAGCTAAAAGGGGGGGGCAAGAAAAGCATCGTCGACAATGCCTCACGTATCCCACCATTTGATTCAAAAAAGGGTTAATAACTCCGAAGCTACAGAGTACAGCTCGCCGGCTCCTAATCGATACGTATCTTGAGCCAGGTCCGGCTGTTACCGCGCCGCCTTATCGATAACAATGGCATGGATAAAAATAGAGCCAGTGAGCAAAGACCCAGTGGAGAAGTAAGAAAATTCCCACAGAAAAAAAAAAAAAACTATGGTTTCATCTGCTGTTCTTTTTGAAAATAGAGCGGGTAGAAGTGGGTTTTCTTGAGGCTTCGGATACACTACAAGGAAAGTACTCTCCAGTACTCTTTCCATAACCCAGCAGACTGGGAAGATTCGCACGTATGCGGCCCTTCCCTTGTGCTTTCCCCTTCTTCGTTACCCCTCCTTGCTCTTTGGCCTCCCGAAGGCCACTTCCCTGCTCCAAATCCCAACCTGACTCGAGCATCGCAACTGACCGAAGGTGGCTTGCCTAAAGGGACCTCATTGCTCTTCGAGTTCTCTAGGTCCCGTTGCGGTTGCGCCTATAGGACAAAGCCACCACAGACGCCGAGTTTCCTCAATACAAGCCTCTTTCTGTCCTGTGTCATCGATCATCATAACAAGATGCTTAGTCAGATATGCCAAAGCACTGGCCATGGCTGGCATCATCCAAGTATCAAATCAATGCCCTCAGATAAGTTGAATCCGGAATCGTCTTGATTAATTCTCCTTGCAGTTCGTGGAACGTCAAATCAACCATCCAAAGTCGGTCAGCGCTCTTTGGGTTGCACACTTAGACATTGACGTCGGATTTTCCTGGCCCAACCAGTAGTTGGAGTCTCGTATTGTCCAACCACGGAAGTGAAGGGCTTGGTCTCCTCATCCCATCTGATCTGACGTCGCTGCCCACAAGCAACCTACCCACTACTAACCCAAATCCGGTCTAAAGCGAATGGGACCGAGGGGCCGCAAACCAGTTTGGAGATCCCACGGCGAAAGATGGATACGATGCTTTTGAAAGAGCCTCGCTCGACCTGCTTATATCAGATTAGACGTTGAGAATAGCTAATCTTAGCATGTTGGTCCCGTCTAACTACGAGGCCACCCTGATGACGATCTAAGCTATGCCTGAACCGTCGGCTACCAGTTGTGAAGGGCCGTCTGCCAGTGCAGGTTGATACAGGTGTTGATCACCCTCGAGTCCAGTGGGCTCTCACATAGTGCTGTTCGCGGCGTCCTCGATGTTGGTAGTTGCTCGTGATGAAATGGCGATATCCGTGGCTTTCACATGTATTGGCCGCCATGTCCATCCCGCCAGGTCCAAGATCGCCACGCCCCTAGTCGAACCAAGAACACCCCCCTCTTGATAAAAGGGCCCTCGTAACCCGCCCTCGATGTGTTCTTGACATTTCTTCACACTCTCGTTTGCTCACCTCAGACATTATCGTATTGTGGTCGATCGTCTGCCTTCCGGCCACTCCAGACTCACTACTGTTGCTCAGATCTGCAACACACGCTCGCTTCACATATCGATTTATCGCTTTCCCCTTTACAATGAGATTTTCGACCTTGATTGCGCCTGCCCTTGGGCTAGCAGCCTTCGTGGCGGCAGCAGATTTTGAAGACCCAGCTGGAAAGGTAGCTGGAAAGCCAGCTGGAGACCAAGCTGGAGACCGCGTTGGAGACCATGCTGGAGACCTATCTGGAGACCACGCTGGAGACCACGCTGGAGACAACGTTGGAGACCACGCTGGCGACCACGACCACGCTGGAGACAACGTTGGAGACCACGCTGGAGACCGCGACCACGCTGGAGACAACGTTGGAGACCACGCTGGAGACAACGTTGGAGACCACGCTGGAGACAACGTTGGAGACTACGCTGGAAACCATGCTGGAGACAACGTTGGAGACCACGCTGGAGACCATGCTGGAGAACCAGCCGGTGTTATCTGGAAGACAGAAGTTGTTCCAAGTTACATCACATTCTGCCCGGTACGGAACCTCCCCTGGCGTTAATGCATGGGAAGAAGCAGCTCTGACAGTCACCATAGTCTCCCACCACATTCGAGTTCCACAACGTCACTTATTCTGTGACTGAGCCAACCACCCTCACCATCACGAGTAAGCCCACAGAGCAAGATCCGAGCCGGTTGAACCTTGACTAACACATCCAATAGAAGAGTGTCCCTGCACCATTAGCTACACGCAACCCCACACGGTGACCGCCACGTCTACCTTCGTCCCACCACCTCCGCCGCATACCTCTACCGTCGTCCCACCTCCGCCGCCTCCGCCTCCGCCGCATACCTCTACCGTCGTCCCACCTCCGCCGCCTCCCCCTCCGCCGCATACCTCTACCGTCGTCCCACCTCCGCCGCCTCCTCCGCCTCCTCCGCCTCCGCCGCATACCTCTACCGTCATCCCCCCACCCCCACCCCCGCCTCCGCCTCCGCCGCACTCCAACGTCACAACCACCATCATTCCCCCTCCTCCCACGACCCCCATTCCCCCCCCTCCCACCACACTCATCCCGCCCCCTCCCAGCAGCATCCGCCTCAATACGACGGCGGTGGTGACGAGCGTCATCAGCCCACCTCCGGAGTCCCGCCCTGTAACGACACCCATCCCCCCACCCCGTACCCAGACCGAGGTCCCTAGCTCGGCGCCGCCCAAGACTCCCTCCGGGCCGACGACTTCGCCCACACTTCCCCCCGCCAGCGGTGGGCACAGGCTGGCTTCCTCGGCTGGGGCTCTTGCTCTCATGGCTGTCGTGGTGGCCCTCACTCTTTGAGCACGTTAGGGCACCGATTTCTCCGAAAGGAGATGCTTCCCTGAGCGGGTTTTAGAGTCCTCTGTTTGCGATCGGCTTACTGAATTTTTACCCTTCTTTACTCTCTTTTTTACCTTATTTAATCAAAATTTGGGCACGGTATGGTGGAAATTGGGTTATCGGTGGCAGGGCGATTACAAGAGAGACCCCTTATAGACGGTCTTCTCTACTTAATAATACTAATGGTTTTTTTGTTTTTCTTTCGAAGGGCATCCTTCTGAGGACGGACAACTGGACGTCTTTGGAGGGATCTTAGCATCGACAGTCTTTACAGCATATAATAGAATAATCTATAATCTCTACGTTCATTTTCACTGTGAACCAACTAGTCCAAGTGCCCCCGATAGCCATGGCCATTGGCATGTAAGTGCCCTCTCGATGCAGAGCCGAATGCTCACTCAGCCCCTTTCCCAGAGGACGATTGGGAATTGAATGCACGACAGCTAGATCCACCCCAGTCGCCCCGGCAAGGACTATCAGCCTCGTATTCCCGCTCGACGAAGGGGGGCCGGGGAACTGGTGCTTCGTATCTGACTGGAAACTGTCCGCCTTAGCTACTCGGACTAACTGGGGAAATCGAGCGTTGCACAAGGATGTCAATGACGAACGTGGTGGGTTAGGTGAGTTGGACCACCGCAGTGGTGGTTGCAAGGTTGGAGTTTTAGTTTTTGAGACCTCGTATTGCCTTATTTGTCGACCACCGCAAGCGGGATCTTTAAGCTTCTTATCCAAACCATTGCACCGGTACAGATTGGGTTGTGATAAACGCATCAAACCCGTAATTATGCTTCAGCTATGCTTCAATAAAACATTGCTCGAAACTCAAGAGAAACGCCAACAACGAAGACGACAAGTGAGTGGCGATGGGAGCATTCGGTTCAGTTCACAAGGCGCGTCTTTCGCCGCGAGCAGTCGTAATCATGATCATCATGGTTAATTTAAATTTTGACCGGAACCGTCCCCGCACTCCTGACGTGCCCAAATAACGCCTCATAAGACGGACACAAACAATAACACGCTCCCAACCCGGGGTATCTCTCCGCCATCCCATCTAGCGCAGTCGCTCGTAGCAAGGCATGACGACGGCTCTCAGCAAGCACTAGCTCTAGCCAGTGCCCATTATTCATCAACCCGCTCGTGGCTGTAGCCCGTTCGCCGATGTGGCACCACCCACGGCCATCATCCACTGTCGACACCGCGGTCCTGTACGAGGGGATTGGGAGACCGAGCTCATGCGGCTTGAGCAATCGGTTCGGCCGCGCCACCGTCACCGCCATCACCATGAGAGTGGCGCGAGTCGTCGAGGAATAAACAAGCCTCCTAAAAAGATGGCTAATCCATCAGCTTTCATAACCCAGATTCAAGTCCGGCCAGACACCGTCGTCATCCAGTGCCATGTCCATGTCCTCCGGGTTAGGAGCTCCTAGCGTTCCAGCAGACCCTCCATCCTGGAGCGGGCCTCGTGTATAAGCGCCTTTGCTTCCTCGACCTCGACTCCGTCCTGGCAGAGCTCGGTCGCCAGGCGATTGGCCGTCGCATAGTCCTCGTTGCGCATTGCGTATTGCGCCAGCCACATTCGCGCCCTGCTCGTCGCGACCGTCACTCCCGTCCCCTCGTTCCCGCCGCCGCCCCTGTCGCCCCCGTTGTCGCCCTCGTCGTCCGACGTGCCGCCCGGCGACGAGTCGTGATGGATGGCGATGGAGTCTGCGAGGCCCCCGCCGCCGTCGCAGCCTGTGCCCCCATCCTCCTGGGCGACGCATAATTCCATGTACGCCTTGGCTTCCTCCTCCTCCTCTTCCCGGTCGTACATGGTTGCGATCTGTAGTAGGACCTCGGGGTCCATGTGTGCCATGCGGTCGATAGCACCGGTGCTGCCGAAACTGCTGGCGGTCGAGTCGTAGTAGCTGTCTGCAAGCAGGGCCCTCTTCAAGGCCTTGATCCCGTCGCGGTTGCGGCCCATCTTCTCCAGGCATGACCCGACGGCCATCCACATCTTGCCATCCCACGGACGGAGACCGGCGGCCTTCTTGTAATACCAGAGAGCATATGTGTGCATTTCTAACACCTCGTAGGTCTGACCCAGGCCATACCAAGCTCGGTAGTCGCGCCGGTTGACGTCGACTGCTCTGCGGTAGGATTCAATCGCCGCGTGGGTGTTCTTCAGCTCGACATACTCGTGCCCCATCAAGGTCCAAGCTGAGAGGCAGGACCGATCGAGGGTGAGAGCTCGTCGGAAATACTGCACGGCCTTCTCGTGAAGCGACAGAAGAGAGTAGTAGTTGCCAATCACGACACATGACTCTGGTCGGAACTTGTCGATGCTAGAGCAGAGGTGCGCCAGGAAGGCCAATTTCGGCCTCATGTTCAGTACGTACAGGATGTTAGAGTAATGGTCTAAGGAATCAAGTCGGTGTGGGTGTAGGGAGAGCAAATGACTAAAGTCCTGCTCTGCGCCCATTAGGTCCTTGGAGTGGTATGCTAATAGAGACTTGCAGGTGAGAAGGAACGAGGATGTTGGGAATATGTTGAGTAGTTCCTCCAAGGAATGGGCGAGGTTTGGGCCTTGCTGGTACAGTTCCAAGGACGTATGAAGATGGAAGATGTAGGACACGATGTTCTGCGGAAGGTGTGGGGATATTTGGTTGAGCTAATGGGGTCAGCACCTGAATAGAACGCAGCGATTTTGGGACCATGGAACTTACAAGCTCGAGGCGGGTGATGAGGTTTGTCATCTCAAGCCAACAGCCCCAATTCATCGGGAACAGATGAACACTTCTCACCAAGAAATCTAAGGCCGCATTGTCGGTCTTCTCCTTCGCGAGGACCATCCCATAACTTGCAGAGAGTCAGCATTGACAGGCCGGTTAGTTGCGCATATGTAGGTGGTGTTCCTCACAGATACTCTAGAAACCCCTGGCTCCCGGGGACATCTCCATCCTCGGTGGTACGTTCAGCAAACCACCTCTCGAGGAATCGGCCGACTACAAGCAGCTGCTTGTTTACGGTGGAGCCAAGGTCCTGAGGGCCCATAACCATCTCCGAATCTTCGTCTTTGCGTTTCTCTCCAGAGATAACCTTGGCGTATAGGGCTAGGAACAGACTCTTCTGGCTGATCTCCGGCAGGGCGTCATTCGAGGAAGCCAGCGCCAGCGCCGCCGCCGGCGCTTTGCCTTTCCCACGCGGCGATGTAGCGATGTCGTCGGGCTTCGCGGACAGGAGACCAGAGAGCAGGGAGTCTGGCAAGAAGACGGCAGCACAGCGGTCATATTCCTTGCAGTCGAAGAAAGACTTGGCCAAGAGATACTTGTTCAGCTCCCTCGCTTCGAGCACGGCTTCGTTCGGGTCAATGTTGACTGAGAAGGCAGGATGAACATACGCCCCCGACTGTCCGGTTATGTTTGGTTCATTGGGACCGATCATAGATTCGGGAAGAGCGTCGAGAAGCTCGGCAGCCCTAGTCGAAAGCTGTTAGATTCGGCGCACACTGCTGAGGGAGGAGGATATCTTTCGATTTACCATTTGGCCGACTGGTAGAGACATCTTTCAGAGCACTGAACTACCGCGATCTGCAGGGCTTCCTTGAGCTGTAGGCGATCTGTAGCGGTGAGAACCATCGTGCTCTACTGCGTGTAAGTTTGCGCCGCCACTGTTTGGCAAGTTTCTCGGATGTCAATAATGAGAGTACCCGGCCATAACAGGGCAGGTTCGAAAGACGCCGTGAGCCGTTACATTCAGGAAACAACCACTGCGTCTTGCATTCGTTTCGTTCGCCGGCCTGCAGCAGCCCGCGATCCTGACAAGCTTCGGCGTTGGGGAGGTTTATTCGGTGTACTTTACGTTTGGGTTAACCATTCCGTCATCTCGCGTTGGCATCGCGGATTAGCGCGTCCCTGGCATGATGCCGAGGAAAAGAGGACGTGCGTGCTTGTATGGGCAAATTCAATGGAGCCCCGCACCTCAACCCCTCCACAGGTCCACACCCCTATTTTGTCGACAATTCACCTGCCCCGCCAACCAAAAACCTCTAATAACTCCTAACGAACTCCACCTAACTCCTTCCCTCGGGCTCATAAACATTTGGTATAGGCTTCATAGGCATATCTAAGATATCGCGAGTCAATATGGCCCAAAGAACCACTCTCAAGGAGTTCGAGGCCGTCTTCCCGAAGCTCGAGGAGGTGCTTCTGGACTACGCCAAGAAGTACAACCTCCCGGAGAAAGAGCTGGACTGGTATAAGAGGGTGTGTGCTGTTGCTTTCTCTCGGGAGCCAGTGAATGCTGGAGCAGGTCATCATATGGAACAAGTGCTAATGTTGCCATCTCCGATATAGAGTCTCGAAATCAATACCATGGGCGGAAAGTGCAATCGGGGCATGTCGGTGCCCGACTCGGTGTCGCTCCTCCTCGGGGCCCCCCTTACCGAGGAACAGTACTTCCTCGCCGCCACGCTGGGCTGGATGACGGAGCTGCTCCAGGCCTTCTTCCTCGTGTCCGACGACATCATGGATAGCAGCATCACGCGCCGCGGCAAGCCGTGCTGGTACCGCCATGAGGGCGTGGGCATGGTGGCCATCAACGACGCATTCATGCTCGAGGCCGGCATCTACACCCTCCTGAAGAAGTACTTCCGCCAGCACCCCAGCTACGTCGACCTTCTCGAGCTCTTCCACGAGGTCACGTATCAGACCGAGATTGGCCAGCTGTGCGACCTGCTCACCGCCCCGGAGGACGTGATCAACCTGGACAACTTTAGCATGGAGAAGTACCGCTTCATCGTCATCTACAAGACGGCCTACTACAGCTTCTACCTGCCCGTGGCCCTCGCGCTGCACCAGCTCAACATCGCAACGCCCAAGAACCTCAAGCAGGCCGAGGACATCCTCATCCCCCTCGGCGAGTACTTCCAGATCCAGGACGACTACCTCGACAACTTTGGCTTGCCGGAACACATTGGCAAGATCGGGACCGACATCATGGACAACAAGTGCTCATGGCTGGTGAACCAGGCCCTCGCCATCGTGACGCCCGAGCAGAGGAAGGTCCTCGAGGAGAACTACGGCCGGAAGGACAAGGCGGCCGAGGCGGCCGTCAAGAAGCTGTACGACGACCTGCAGCTGGAGCAGCGCTACAAGGACTACGAGGAGAAGAGGGTTGGCGAGATCCGCGAGATGATCGCCAAGGTGGACGAGAGCGAGGGCCTGAAGAAGGAGGTCTTTGAGACCTTCCTGGCGAAGATCTACAAGAGGAGCAAGTAAGCTCGCAGAACCTCCGTCAAGCTGCTCTTTTCGGCGATGTAGGACGGGAGGAAAAGTCAAGTTCTAGATATGCGGCTATGCTCATAGAATTTTTAAGGAGATGACCTACGTATGATGGTCGTGACGAGTTAATGGCACAACAAGAGAGATAATATTACATGACAAGGAACCCGGCAGGAGCCCACAGAGACCCGACAATTAAAAGCCCCGTGCCGCGGTCATATCGACCTGACATCAAGCTACCAGCCCCCTTCTCCACAGAAAAACAAACACGTATATCACGTATATCACGTATGCAAGAAACCCACCCACCCCCTGAGCTCATCATCTAGCCACCCCAGCCTGCAACCCACCCCTAAGCGGCCACCCGTCCTTGGGCCTCGGATCCCTCCCTCTCTCCGACGCCGAGGAAACAGACCTCGGACCAGAAACCCTCCCCCCCGCCGATGACACCCTCCCCCGTCCCACCGCCCCAACCGCAGCAGCTGGTCCACCACCACCACTCCCCCCACAACCACCACCGACGCCCCTCGCGAACGCCCGCGCAGGCACCGGCGGCACCGGCGGCGGCGGCATGTCGGGCGGGCGGCGCACGGGGCCGTGGCTTATAAGCCCTCCGTAGCCGCCGCCGCCAGCGCCGCCTGCTGCTTGTCCCGCCGCAGCTGCAGTCGGCGGCGGCGACGACGACATGGCCGGCGCTGTCCCCGATCCGGATCCAGATCCGGATCCCACGACGACGGCGCGCACGTGGCCGCGGCTGGTGCGGAGCGGCCGCGGGACCAGCGGGTCGTGGTGGCGGTCTGGGCGGAAGCCGCCGCCGGTGGTGCTGGCGCTGGTGGCTAGGTGGTGGTGGTCGAGCATGGCGCCGCCGCCGCCGCCACCGCCGCCGCCTACCTTGGAGTGGTGCGAGTGCGCGCGGTGCGCGGGGCCGGGGCGGCGGTCGCGGGCGGAAGGGGTTGAGGAGGAGGAGGTTGGGGTCGCGGGGGAGGAGGAGCAGGGCGAGGACCAGCCCGCCGGCGTGTGCGGCGGGGTCAGGTCGACGAGCGGGCTGGGCGCGTTGGCCATGCGGCGGCGGTGGTGCGGGCGCAGGAGGGGGTGGTGCTGGTGCGGGTGGTGGGGCCGCCCGAGGAGGTGCAGGTTGGGGGGCCGCGTCGGCGGGGTCTTCTGCGGCGTCGAGCGGCTGCGCTCGCGAGCCGAGTGCTCCAGCGCGGAGGGGAACCAGCCTGGCGGGTCGGGCTTGTTGGGGTCCGATGGCTTCTTCGAGCCCGCCTGCGCGGTCGAGGTTGGCACGTCTGGGGAGGTGCGGGATGGCGGGCTACTGTTGATAAGGGAGGGTCCCGGGGTGAAGGGTCCATCATCGGCTGCGGCTGTGGCGGCGGCGGTGGTGGTGGCAGGGTTTCCCCCTTTCAGAATACCCTTCTTTTCGTGGTCCTTTTGAGCCTGCTTCCGCTGCTCGTAGCCGTCTCCAAGCAGGGCGTTCGCGGCGAAGACGCCGTCGGTTGTGTCCTGTTTCGGCGCCCCTTCCGGCTTCGGGGAAGCAGCCGTCGGGCTCTTCTTCTCCGACAACAGCGCCGACTTGCGCGCGGCGTCTGGGATCCAGTCCTTCCCGAACTCGTCCAGCGGCTTGTCGAACCGCCCGAGGTCGAGCAGGGGCTCGAACGCGCCAATGGCATACGGCGACTCGTCGACCGACACCTTGACCTTGTGGCCGTGGACCTTGACGTGGCCGACCGACTTCTTCGGCTCGCGATTGGTGGGGATGACGATCTGCGGCGGCTTCTCCGACCCGCTCGACCTCTTTTTCTCCTCGATCAGGTCGACGTGGCTCGCCAGGTATTGGCTGCGCCATCCGCGTACAAGCGAGTGGAATGTGTAGGCGAGATCGGGATCGTCGGTGCAGAAGAAGTGGACAAAGTTCTGGCTGTTGACGAAGACAGTCGCCCTTTGCTGGCTCTTGATGGCGAAGCAGTACTTCCTAGGCGGCTTCAGCTGCTTGGTCTGGGACTCGGTGGGCGTGTATACGTCAAAGTCCGAGAGGTGGCAGAGAGCCACGGCGTCCTTCTTGTCGGCGGGGTTCGGGTCGGGCTTCTTGGAGGACAAGATCTGCCCGTTATCCAACAAGGTCATGTAGCGCTTGTTCCATCTCCTGGGCTGCTGCGAATGGTAGAGCTGCAAGACGAAACCCCTGGAGCCCTGTCCGGTTGGCGACACATCTGAGTCGAGGTCCTCGTCGTTCCCGGTAGGGTCGGAGTGCACAACGACAAGACAGTTTCGGGAATTTTGGTCCCACGAGTTCAGTATGTCCCGGATGCGCTCGTAAGGGCGGACACGCCGTTCGAGCCCCAGTTGGTTGTACATCTCGACGACGGCGCTGTTGCTGGTGTTGATCGGAGTCGTCACTTTGGCAGAACAACTAGTCAGGATGTCCAGGGCATTTGTATCACTGCCGACCGTGAGGTTCACGGTAACTCCCCTGCAGCGCACAGAGAGCTCCTGCATGCCATGTTAGCGAAGAGAAACGGTATACAAACCAAGTAAGCTGCTGCGCTTGACTTACCCGCTCGGCGCCATTGCTAGCAGAAACCGGCGCATCTGTCTGAGGCACGATGCTCTTTCCTGCAGGTTCGATGAAGGCCTTTGGAAGGAGCGCCGAGTCGAGGCTGTCGGCGTTGCTGATGTCGGTTGAAGAGCGCATCGAGGAAGCAGTTGGTGACAGGCTTGCGGCGTTTGATTTCCGGCCCCTGGAGAGAATATTGAATATTCCCAGGGCTGGACTCTTGGCCTTGTTCGAGTGCAGACTCGGGGGCGGGCTGGGCACCATCTGGGGCGGAATCCGGCCGGCGAACCTCTGCTTCTCCTTTTCTGCAGGTACCCGACCCGCCTCTGCCTCTACCCGGGCAACGTCCTCAGCCCATCTGGCCGTCTCATCCTCGCGTAACAACTGCTCTTCCCGCCCTTTGCACGCATGCAGGGTGTCGAATGGCGGAGGGGAAACGGCGTGGGGTGGTGTTATTGGGGCAGTAACTGAGCCGTCCAGCATGGAGCGCACCGGCGTGCTGTCGGCTGTAATCTCGACGTGTTCCGTGCGCACAGCTAGCTGGGCTGCCTTGGAGATATGCTTCGATAGCGGCTCGAGCTGCTGCCAATTCTGTTCCACTGACGATGGGGCAGCTAGAGGCGGCGACGTTAGACTTTCTCCGCTCCCAGCGGAAGGCGAAGTGCTTGGCCGTTGCTGGAGGCCCTTGGCTGTTGGTCTGGAGAAAACTGTGGCGATGCTACTCTCGTCGCCTTCGTCCTGCTCGAGTAGCGTTGGCTCAACCACTGTCCAAACCTTGGATACGCTTTTTGCCCTCATGCGCCGGTAAGGAGTGAGTTGCTGCTGCACCGGCGCCGGCATCGTGAGCGTCTGTGTTGGTGCCATTTCCGGTTGAGACGAGCGTCCTGAGCAGAGTTGCGTGGGCTTTCCCTTGGCCAACCTTGGAGAGCCTAGAACGACTAAATCGTCCCTGGCGATGTGCGATGTTGCAATGTTTGTCGGTCGTCGCTAAGATCTCGCTGGTTTTCTTTCCCCTTTCTTTGCCCTTCTTGGGGTACCTACTCTCTGCGGCGATTCAACTCCGATAGTGAAAGATGCAGTGTCAGAAGCATCCTTTCTAGATGGGATAAAGAAGGAAGGGGACAATGGAATGGCCAGAGGCTGGGACGGTGCCGAGAGGGGCAAAGAAGGGATGAAGGGAGACAAGAATGTTCCACAGGGAGGAAAGCCTGCCAAGGGAATGTATTGAGGCCCCTCGAAGGGTCAGATGCATCATCTTGCATTTCATCAGGTATTTCATCAAGGGAATGGAGCGTGGGGATAAGCCAGTCTGGCGCATAGAAGAAGCAAATACGCCGGCTATTTTACCGTGCTGCAGGTCAGCGCGTCAATCGGCCATTCCAGAGGTGGATCGCACACATTCCAGAACAGGTTTTCAGGTGAACGCGTGGAATCACATCTAATCCAATTTGGAGTTATCTAAATCAAGGGAGGAGGGTGTGTTACTCAGACTCCATACATAGTAGGCATGTTATTCCTGATGGCTGGATATTGCTGAGACACTGCAGGATCAGCGAACAGCTCAACCCAATCAATCAATCCCGCGTCACGATGCGTCACGAGAATCCATTTCTGGTCACGAACCAACCCGACTGGAATCGATCAGCAATGGTCCCGCGGCTCCAGCTCTCCCTCATTTTGGAGACATCCGCGACGGATCCTGGACCCCGGTGTCACATTCGGAAGGCTCTGACTTCTCGTCTCCACCAAGATTTGAAATCCTGAGTGGAAATATTGATGCCAAGAGCCTTCAGACCACTTGTCTTGAGGTGGCAGTCGTACGGCCGCTGGACGCTGGCCTTTGGGTCGTTGCCCTCCACGCTGGGGTCTATACGATCTATCGGGAGACCCATGATCTCGCCGAATAGTTGGCAAATCTCGTACTTTGTAAACCTGTCTTCGCTTGAGAACTGAAGTATCCGGGGCAGCGCCTGGCGGTCCTTGGTTCCCAGGTAGTGGACGGCTACATCTAAAGCAGGGAGGCTGGTCAGCCGTGATCGTGCTCGTTTTCCACATGGTCCATCAGCTTGGGCAGCTGCGACGTACCGTGGCAGACGCGACCAACATCTTCAGTGTTAGTCGGAAAGCGGAGCGACCAGTGGTCCATCTTAATCTTGGCTCCCTCATTCTGCGCCTTCCACACCGTGTCCATCAAAACGTTCACGGCGCTCTCTTCGGGGGTCTCAGCATGTCCATAGAGGACTGGCACTCGCAGGACAACGCCTAGCCCCTCCTTGTTGGCGACCTTGTACTCCTCCAAGATTGCGTGCTCACCATCCAGCTTCGTCTGACCGTACAAGTTGGGCGGGCCTGTCGCAGCGTCTGCATCGTATGGAGCCTCACCTTCCTTGCCGGAAAAGACGTAATCAGTCGAAATATAGATGAGCAGGATGGACCGCCCGGCACATAGCTTTGCCAGCGACTTCGAGGCAAGGATATTGAGTGCACGTGCTCCCTCGGGATCCTTGTCCACTTTGTCCGGAAATCGGCTTGCGGCACCTACAGAAAACGTCAGGAAGAAACCCGGGAGGGGGTATATTAGAATGCCGACGAACAGTGAACAACGACCTGAGGTCTGTCTCGGCGTATCAGCAACGAGAGGATTCTACAGCATGACTTTGCGAGGCTGCTGGTGCACGAGACTTACTTGACACGATCGAGAGCTGACTCGACTTCGCCGAGCTTGTTCAGGTCGACCCTGAGTATGGAAACACCATCGGCACGCGAAAGGCCTGTACCTCTGGTGGTCCAGCCGCCTCGGTCGAAGGCTCTCACGACTTCTCTGCCGAGGAGTCCTGTGGCCCCAGTGACGATAACTGTCTTGTTGCTCATCGTGTAGTATTGTTTATCAGAAGCAGAGGCAACAACCTAGTCAGTGGGAGAGTTGTGTTGTTCAGCGACGAAACTCGAATCACGGAGCCAATGTGTAAATGCAAAGCGGGGCATTACCTAATGCGCCTCGGAAGGAAGCTGGAGGAGACATGTTCTGTTTCTTTCAACGCCATTAATCTCATCAATCCTTCCGAGAAGAATCGTCACTGGTGTGGTCTGTGGTCAGCTCGTTTCTAAGCATCAAAGCCCAGAGGAGCCGATCATGACGATTGGTGAGAAGATCCAATCTTAGGCCCTCAATCTTTTTGGCCAAGCTCGTCGGATAACTCAGGCGGAAGCTAATGCTGTGCCCCTCGGGTTCATGCGCGATGGGAGCGAGCCACAGCCTTCGCCTTTATATCAAGCGCATCTATGCAGTCAAGCAGTAAGGCCTATCCGGCTGTCAGTACGGCCTAAAGCTGACACGCTGCGATGGATCGGTTGGCTCCTGCGTACTGCCTCCCTCACGGTCCTGGCCTAAAGTATCGCCATTAATACCACTCAATATGGACACCCAGCCCTTGTTGACCAAGACTGGAATAGTCTTCCTCCAGCTGTGCAACCCAGAGTATCAGGATCTCCTGTATCAGACTTATGAACGTCTGCAGCGAGCTTGACCGGCATGGTTTCTGCCTCGAAGGCTCACATCTCATAAGCCCATGCAGAAAGACGGCAGTTCTGACGGGCCTGGATCGCTCATGAGGATGCTCGATACTTTCTTTTATACATATAGCCTTCCGCCTCCCACTGTTGGCCCGACTTTCCACTTCTGTTTACTCTGGCGTCGTCTTTGAGCATGCCTTGGGGCCTAGCTTGGTCCAGTGTTGCTATTGTGCAGGAACAGCGAACGGGAAATATAAACTGCTAACTTACCTCTAGGGGTGATATCACGGTACGCGGTAAAGGGAGAACAGGATGAGAAATGGACCGATGTATATTATCAAGCATCGCCAGGTTGAGCTATTGCTAGCCGTGCCAATCTAATAAACCATGACAAACCAACCAAGGACGATACTCCCAGACCACGCTCCAAACCATACGATAACCTTTGGGTGGTCACCCCAACCCATCCATAGCCGCGACGGCGGCGAAACAAGCAAGAGGAACAAAACCAGACCCACGCAAAGGCCGCAAAAGCAACCCAAGAATCCCCCTCAGAGCCCGACATCGACGTCCCCATCGGAATCCGTCTCGGGTTCCTCCTCGGACATCTCACGGTCCGTGTCCCGGTACTCGGACTCGGACTCGTGGTTGTTGCCGACCACGGTGTCGGTGTCGTCGTCCTCGTCGTCCTCGTCGTCCTCGTCGTCGGCGTCCGACGCGGCGCCGTACGCGGCCCTCTGCATCTGGGCCAGCGCCGTGGCCGCCATGGCCGCGGCCCGGGCGTCGGCGGGGGCGCTGGACGTCGGCGAGGGTCCGTAGACGACGACGGACTGGGACTGGCGGTGGCGCCGACGAGCAACAGCGGTGGCGGCGGCGGCGGAAGAAGAAGAAGAAGAACCAAAAGCGGAAGACGCCACGGTGGTGGCGCTGCCGGGTGCGCCTGGCTGGGAGGCGTGGCGGGGGGCCGGGGCCCAGGCCGGGGTCGCGGGAGGGTGCGAGGTCGCGGGAGGGTGCGAGGGCCAGGGGACGGCGGGCCCGGGGATGCGTTGCTGCCCGGGATGGTGCGATGGCGTGGCCGGGGTCGCGGGACCGGCGGCGACGGGGGCGGGAGCGGGGGGGAGGATCGCTGGACGCAGTGCCAATGGCGACGGGGGGACATTGTTCGCGAGCACATTGGCCCGGGTGTTTGGTGACATGTTGCCGAGTACCGAGATAGTCTCACGAACAGTCCGCCGAATCCACCACTGCGCGTCCATATGCGACCCGACATCCGCGCCAGGAGTGGCAGTCAGGCTGCCCGTGTTCGGAGGGGTAGGGGTGCCCGAGCCAGGACCGTTCGGCTGGTGGGCAGGCTGAGGTGGCGCTCCCTGGAGGAACCTGGTCCCGGTCCAGTACCCATGCCCTGGGTAGTAGCGAAGCTGCAGGGGTTGGGAAGGCGGAGTGGCACCGGGCCCGGACTGACCTCCAGCTGCCTGGCCAAAGGTATGGCTTGGTCCAGAGGTGTAGGGAGGGGGAGCCATGTAAAAGCTGCTCTGGTTCTGGCCTGCACTCTGGTGCGGTGGTTGAGAATAGCCATTGGCGCCAGTCATAGGGGGCGGAATGGGGGGGCGAGCAGAGGGCATGTTGGCAAAGGCGGCGGGGACCTGGCTGGAAGTGCCACCGAGAGGGTACACGCTGGATGGACCTGGGGCTAGAATACCGCGAAGCAAAGGCATTTGGCCTGGGGTGCCATTGGGGGGAGGCGGGAAAGACGAGGCCGCAGAACCCGAAGAGGACGAAGGTCCAGCTGAGGAAGCCGGGGTAGCTGAACCAGGGAGAGCAAATGAGACGGACTTTCGACCTCCTAAAGGCAATTAATGAGTCAGTATGGCTTCACAAGAGGGGAGGTGTAGCGGGGAGGTGTAGCGGGGAGGTATAGTCATACGCTTCTTGGGAGTCTTATCGGCCATCTCCTGGTCCTCGTCATCCATGCTTGGGCCGGTGCCACGACGCGATCCTAGAAGGGAGGTTAGCAGGCAGAACACAAATATCTCAGAAAATGATGATCAGCTTACCCTGGGGCTGGCGTTCATCCTCAGCCATGCTCTCTATGTATCGCCGAGCATGCTCCTCTGCATGTCGGGAAAATCTCTGCTCATGGACATTCTTGAACCAGTGTTCCACTGTCCAGAGTAGTTATGTTAGAGTAGCTAGAACTGGAGAGCAGTGGGGAAAGGGAACAAGGAAGGGAACAAGGAAGGGAATGGGGATGGGGATGGGGATGGGGATGGGGATGGAGATTGGGATGTGTTCCTACATAGACTGGCAGCGGTATACTGGCGGAGGGCATTCTCGCCCATCATATCTTGCATCGTCTGGGCAAGGGCATGCCAGGGCTGTCCCGGGTTCCTGTCCCTGTCCTTGCCGAGGCGCTTCTCGGAGAGTGGGACGATCACAAACCAGAAGATTTCCTCCTCGGCCGCCGACCAAAGTCTGCCGCCCATGATGGAAGATAAAAGAATGAATGCGTGCGTGGTCTTGTCTAGTTATTTCGAGGAAGATTCTGAGAAACGAACTTGCGAGCCTGGGAAAGAATGCAAGAAGCTGCAAAGAATGCGAGAGACTGTAGTGAGGGAAAGAAAGGAAGAGGGAAAGAGTCGGGTAAGGTAGGAAGAATATCCACGTATTTATACCTGGGTGGGCAGGTAAATTTGTTCAGGTTGGTATTCACCACGGCCCTAGTCGAGGGGATCTGACGAGAAAGCCCGAAGTGAAGGACGACCTTGGACGAAGCCGTTAACCCGAATGGAGAGCAGTGAATGGAGAGCAGCGATGCTTGATGTCTGAATCACAAATCTGAGTCCAAGATATGGTGAACAAGACGTTCTCGGGAGGGGAACAAGATGCTAGGAAGGGAAAAACAGGGCCTGCCAAAGATGCGGTCGCTAGAGACGCGGTTGTTTATGTGGAACATTTATTTAGCACAAGGAAGTGAATAGAACTTCTAGAAAGTGACAAAAGGCTGAGGCGAGGTTTCCTTGACCGCCTTCCATCCATCTTATACCTACACCTGCTCCCAAAAATGGTCTGGCTCACGGTACAAAGTACCTCCTTTTCCCTCCCACAGTCACTCTTCAGGGAGACCAACCACATTCACAGACATGTCCAGGGCCAGAGTAAGAAAGCAATAAAAATGACATTAGTGATTGGGCAAGACCTATGGTAGATCTGACAAAATCAGGCGTGTTTGTGTATCTGTTCACTCGAACGGATTGCTGGGGTCAGAAGGGAAGTATCCGCGGGATATCAGGAAGGGCGCAAGCCTCCTCTCTACCCGTGAGAACTTCGAACAGAGTTAGACTGGCATGACTGGCATGGATTGCAAATCGACAAAAACCAAAGACTCACAATGCTCTTTTCAGGGAGTGGCACCACACCATCCTTAACCCAGATACCCCAGCTTCCCATCATGTTGGCAAGCATCATGTCAGTGCTGAGCCTGTCCCCAATGATAGCAATTTGATGGGGGCTGGTGACTCCTGTCTCGGGATGCTGTCGAAAGTACGACATGATCTCATCCCCACAGCCAGGCTTCTTGATCCGGTGGGAAAGCACAGCGACACCGGTAGACTTCTCGACTTCTGACGCAAGCTTCCTATGGGAATCATAACTGAGGGCGCCAGCCGTATTCGACACCACCACCAGCCGCCTCCCTGGATATGCAGCCCGTAGTGCCTCGAACCGATCCTTGGCCAATTAGCTTGTACTCACGAAAAGACATAAAGGGTAAGGGCAAGACGCTGTGAGAGAAGGAGAAACGAGGAAGGCATATGTGTTTATGTGTGGTGGAATCTACCTTGTATGGGCCATGAACTACATTGCTGTCCGGATAGGCAAAACAGTCGTCCTTGTCAAGGATGACAGCCCTGATGTTTACTTTTCTCCCCTCCTTCTCAAATGCCTTGTCCAGGGGTATCGGCAGGTCATTGAAAGTAGGGACAGTGGCATGTGGGAGGCATAGTGACGGATTTGCAAGCAGTTTAAAGACGTTCAGGGACGCTGAAAGGTTGAGATTCATTTCAATAGATTGCAGTCCAGCATATGATTGTCAAACAGCTGCCAATCTGGAAATGCATGTCCAAAAAACAAAAAGAAACGGTTTGTTGTCTAAGAAGTTCCAAGTTACCATAGCTTGAACATGTGGAAGTCCGAATGTGAACCAGACCCCTGTTCCACAATTTCGAAAATTGTGGGGTCTCGACGTCGTCATTGACTTGGACAGGGATGAGCTAGTTGACCTTCAACCAATAAGAGGCGCCAATTTGACAACCTGCCTGCACTAAAGTTCTACGCAAGCGCGTCAGGCCATGACCGCGTCTAACCAGACCAAGCACGACAAAGATCCCCATTAGACCTCGACACACCCATCCTACCACATAGAGCTGTAGCGCGTTGTTACTAGCCATGGCCCGTCGAAAAACTGTGGCGGCAGAGCCTGCTAAATCTCCAGACGAACGATCTCTTAGAAAACGGGCTGCTCCAAGCCAAGGACACGAAGCCTCCGAGGAGCCGACCGAAACAAAGCGCCGACGAGTCTCAGCTGCCACCAAAACATACAAAACTGCCGATTTGGTCGATGAGCTCCCTATTCACGAATTAGGAGACGGACCACCTGTTGAAGAAGCTGCCCCGATCCTGACGCCAAGGAAGCGAGGAAGGCCGCGAAAATTACAAAATGCTACGGCTACTGGAGAAAACACACCTACTCCTTCCAAGCCCCTGGCCAATGCGACTATAAAGACTCCAGTGAGAACTCCAGTCAAGGCAGGTGCTGTGAACGGTGTGGACACTCCCAGCCGGAGAAATATCGCAGATCGTTCAGCAAGAAGGAAGAGTGCCAGGGCCTTGATCGATCGGGTGGTTGGTGATGCTTCAAGCGACGAGGAAGAAGGCAACGAAGCTATTGCAAGAGAGATATATGAATCCAGTGGCGAGGATGAGGATAGAGGAGAGGAGGGAGAAGGCAGCGATGGCGAGCTGGAAGGGCTGCTCAGCACCACGGGCACTCCGTCAAAGACGCCGAGGGGGAGGAAAAGGAGGGCCACCACTCGAAAGAAATCACCGACACCTCCCCGAGACCTGCCTCCGCATGAACAATATTTCTACCACAATAAGCCTGGCATTGCCAAGACTTCGAATAACGACCTGTCCTCGCTGGATCTTCTGACACATGACGAGTATTTTGCCCTCCTACGCGAGTCCAAGGATCAGCATTCCGAGGATATACAGTTCCTTCAGTCTCTGCATATCGAGTCATTCCCCCAGTGGGCTTTTGAGCTTTCACAGGGGTTTAGTATCTGCCTCTACGGCTATGGATCCAAGCGACAGCTCCTGCGCAAGCTTGCCTCACAGCTCTACTCAATGGCAGACGACCACGGCTCCCACAAGATTGTGGTCGTGAATGGGTACGTACGGGCGACGACGACGCGGGACATCTTGACGACCATCGGGAGCGCCATCGATCCATCCTACAAACTAACATCAGGTAATCATGTTACCATGGTGCAAACCCTTCTATCGTTACTCTCGTCTCGGGAAGTGACGATAATCCTTATCATCAACTCCATCGACGCTCCCCAACTTCGCAAGGCCGGGATTCAATCAATCCTAGCTCAGCTAGCTGCTCATCCGCAGATCAGGCTAGTCTGTTCTGCCGATACCCCAGATGTCTCCTTGCTCTGGGACAGCGGTCTCCGTTCATCCTTCAACTTCCTCTTCCACGACTGCACCACATTCGCACCCTACCTCGCAGAGATGGACGTCGTCGACGAAGTCCATGAACTCCTTGGCCGCAAGGCCCGGCGAGTGGGCGGGAAAGATGGAGTAGCATTTGTGCTCCGCAGTCTACCTGAGAATGCCAAGAACCTGTTCCGGCTCCTCATTAGCGAAGTACTCGTTGCGATGGACGACGAGAGCGGCGCCGGCGGGGACAACCTTGGGATCGAGTATAGGATGCTCTATAACAAGGCTGTCGAGGAATTCATTTGCAGTTCTGAGATGGCTTTCAGGACACTGCTGAAGGAGTAAGTCTGCTCCCTCCATCCTGACCTTCAACCGGATTTTCTCTGCTCTTGTTCATCTCATCGACGCCGTCTGACCTTGCATAGATTCCACGATCATCAGATGATTATAAGCCGAAAGGACATGCTCGGAACAGAACTCCTGAGTCTGCCTTTCAGGAAGGATGAACTGGAAGCAATATTGGAGGACCTCATGTCATGAAACAACCCCAAGAGGCTCTGGGAAATCGACCTACTGCGTATGTGTTCAACCATATATGTACGGACTTTGGTAGCTCCTCTTGGCACCCCACAAGGATGGAAAGCAAGGGATCCCAGGATCCTGGCTTGCCTGGGAAGCTGGCGTGGGTGGCTGCCCCACCTACCCCACCATGCCTGACGTATTGTCCGCAGCTGATGCAGGCAAGCTCAGTGAGGTACTTTGCCTTACGCAGTACCTATGTCTTTAAAACATGGAAGTCTCGCCATACTGTGAATGAATAAATCCACCGATCTTCTCTGGGATAAGAGGCAATCTATCCTCAATTTCTCTACACCTGTGACATGTGCTAGAACCAAAAATGGGAGACTCAAGCGATGACGACCAGAGGTCGGTCGAGGTATGTACATCCCCAAGCTTCCATGGACAGACCTGTACTGATCTGGAATGTCGTCAGGTCATGTTCGACCCGTCCAACCCGTACCGCCGCAAGAGTTCTCTCGTCACCACCGAGACGACCAAACCACACCTCCTCCAGCGCCATCCCAGCAAGACCCAATGCCTCGTCCACCAATTCCTAGAGAGCCAGCAGCCCGGCCGAGGCGCCCGGCCTGGCGGCACCCATGACGACCACGGCCACCACCCACGGGGCTACGGCATGGACGTGTCGAGCGAGCGCGGCCTCAACCGCGTGGTGGAGCCCAAGGGCGCGGGCGCGGGCACGGGCGCGGTCGCGGGCGCGGCACCGAGCCGGTTCGAGATCGTCGACAACGCCAGCGACACGAGCGACGTGGGGCAGGTGGACCAGAAGCACTGGAAGCTGGGCATCGTGAAGCCCAGCCCCGACATGGACAAGGCCGGGTCCGAGGCGCTGCGCAGCCGGCTGCTGACCAAGAAGCAGCTGAGCGACATGGCGTGGGGCGTGCGCGAGCTCAGCAGGCGCTTGGGGAGCATGCGGCTCAAGTCCAGGGTCCAGAACATATTCGTGCTGGCCAAGATCTACGATCGGGACCTGATCCCAAAGGTCAGGGAGCTCACCAAGTGGCTGCTGGGCCGGGAGAGGGACGGCCGGTATACGGTGTACGTGCAGGAGGAGATACGGGACGACAATATGTTCGACAAAGCCGGGCTGATGGTGGAGCTGAGGAAGGAGTACGTCGAGGCCGGGGAGGAGCCCGACAAGGAGATCTCGTCCCGCCTGAGGTGCTGGGACGAGCACATGTGCCGAGCCAGGCCGCACACCTTCGACTTTGTCATCACGCTCGGCGGCGACGGCACCGTGCTGTACGCCAGCTGGCTCTTCCAGCGCATCGTCCCGCCCGTCCTCAGCTTCTCGCTCGGCAGCCTCGGGTTCCTGACAAAATTCGACTTTGAGGACTTCCGAAAGACCCTGGCGGGCGCGTTCAAGGACGGCGTCACTGTCAGCCTGAGGCTGAGGTTCGAGGCGACCATCATGCGGAGCCAGAAGAGGACGAGGCTTGTCACGGACTCGGCCGGCGCGGGCGGCGGGGTCGACGGGGAGAACCTCGATGCGAAGGGGGACCTGGTGGAGGAACTTGTCGGCGAGGAAAGGGACGACGAGCATACCCATCGGCCGGACGGGACATATGAGATATTGAATGAAGTTGTGGTAGATCGTGGCCCAAATCCGAGTAAGTTACTAACCGCGCCCCTAGAATTTTCCACCTGTCTTGCCGCCAATGCTGACGCTATACTTTTTTTCTTTTCTTTCCAAGCCATGTCATTCACCGAGATCTTCGGCGACAACGAGCACATCACATCAGTCCTGGCAGACGGCCTCTGCGTCTCGACGCCGACGGGCTCGACGGCCTACAACCTGGCGGCGGGGGGCTCGCTGTGCCACCCGGAGAACCCGGTGATGCTAGTGACGTCCATCTGCGCTCACACGCTGTCCTTCCGGCCCATCATCCTGCCGGACACGATGGTGCTGCGCATCGGGGTGCCCTACGACGCGCGGACCGGCTCGTGGGCCAGCTTCGACGGCCGCGAGCGCATGGAGCTGCACCCGGGGGACTACGTCACCATCAGCGCCAGCCGGTACCCGTTCGCCTCGGTGCTGACGCAGGGGAAGAGGAGCGAGGACTGGGTCACCAGCATCAGCGCCAAGCTTGGCTGGAACACAAGGCAGAGGCAAAAGGCATTCAAGTAGTGGGGGCGGGATGCATGGGAATCAGACGGATCGAGGATTCTGTTGCGAGGAGGGCATAACGGAAGGGTCAATAGGGGCGTTCGAGTTATAACAAACACCGTTCTTTCTTTTCAATTTTTTTTTTTTTTCAAGCCCAAGAGAAGAGACATTCAGAGTTCTAAGTAATCCTACCCTTAAGCAGATCCATCTTGATTTACTGGCCCAGTCTCTGATTTGTCTCTCCAGGTAAACCCAATTCTAATCTCAAGTAGCTTCCCAAAGTTCAGAAGACCAACCTAAGATAACCGCCCACCTCCCCTTTAACATAGGCATCATTTGGATACAAACTACTCAAAGCAACCATTTGCGCCATATCACAAGAAAAGGGGGGAAATAAGCCCCCTGGTGTATATTATTGGTTCCTGCGGGATTTGAACCCGCTCGGCCATGACAGTCCGGAACTACCAAATGACAACGTTAATACGGGGGTCGCACCCGAGTGTATGTGAAAAATGAGTTGATGACCTTAACGACCATTGTTGGTCGAAATTACCACTTGGTATTTGGGACTATACGACCATCTGGGCTACCATGGGGGAGTGAAGGTGGTCTGGTATGCTGAATGTGCTCTGAGTGAGGCGGGCTTGGCATGACTGCTGTGGCCAGGCCAGCCTCCCACTCGGACTGCAGTACCTTCACATTTAGTTCCCGAAGGTTGACCTCCGAGTAATGTACACTACCACCGGCTTTCTGTTCAAAAGATACGGCATATAGCGCCGTTTCGAGTTGCCCTGAGTGGTAAATATACGATGTTTATATGGTATTGTATGTACCCCCCTAACCGAACCAAGCAGCCATACTCCCGACGACATATTCAGAACGCCCATAATCGCAACGCAGATCACGATGAATATCGTCAGTCCAACCATCGGGGGCTCAGCGGAGTTACATTCCAGATCTAAAACAACCTAATCATCGGAACCCCTCGATATTTTCCTTTATTCTGGGCAGGCCCGGGCCCGCCCTTTCTTCCGCAGCCAAGAGCAAAACGGGTAATAATAAAACGCCGCGCAAAGACCCGTCCGTTTCGGGCTTTCAGTCCTCGTCCTCGTCCTCGTCCTCGTCCTCGTCCCCGGCGAGCTCTTCCACGAACGTCAAGGTGACGCCCTCATCGCCATCGACATTGAGGTTGACGGCGTCGAGGGCATCGCGCGTCGACAGGACAGGTGCCGGGGCGGCGCCCAGGGATGCCGCTAGTGCGCGGGCTTCGTTACTTGAGGGCTGGAGAGCTTAGGAAGCGGGCATGTCAGCATCGTGTTTTGCGCAGGCAGGTCACAGGACCAGGCGGACGGAACACGTTTGGGGCTGAACGGGAACTCACAGGCTGGCACACCCCGGCGGACGTACATGGTTGTCACCTTGGCCCGGACCCTGGAAGCAGAGGCCTCGATGATGTCGCGCTTGGCGGCGGCGCCGCGGGTGGACGGGCTGTTGTCGACGATGATGCCGACGCCGGATCCCTCGGCGCCGGTCCCGAGCTGGACCTTGGGGCCCTTGACCAGGGCGGCCTCGGCGTATTTGAGCGCGCGGTCGAAGCCGGCTAGATCTCGCTTGGCCTTCGGGGCGTCATCGGTTTCGACGCGGGGGGCGATCTCCTTGCCCAGACCTTGAAGTGAAGCGATCTGTCCGGCCTAGTGGTTCGAAAGAGTGTCTGGTTAGTAGGCGGGTCTCGAGAGGGCTTGCTAGTACAGTCGGTACTCACTTGGTCGGATAGAGTCGAGTCCGGGGGGGCAATAGTGATAGGTCCGGATCCTCCCGCCACCGTATTGGTGGCGGCGGCATTGGCAGTGTTGGCCACCCCTGCGCCGGCGGCGGCATTGATCGCAGCACCTTCCAGGGCGTTCATCAAATTTGACACGTCCTGCTTGCCACCGAAGCTGATTTCACCATCACCTGTTGGCCTAGTGAGCAAATATCCTTCTTCTTCGTCCAACACTTGGACGCGGCTGGCCACATGCGTTTAGGGGGATGAGTTCTCGCCGACTAACCAACTACCAAGGCCGGTGAGTAGGCACCGAGGTTGATATTAAGGGGGAGGGCAGCGGCCAGGCCGGCAAAGGCGAAGATCCGGTAGTTGACCATCTTGACTTGCTGGCGTTCTCGACAGGAGCTCGAGATGTGCTAGTTCTTGTGTGTCTTTACGGAGATGGATAAAGGCCGGGAGGTTTGATATTAGAATTGACCGGCGACGACCAGCGCCAGAAGTGAAGCAAAGAAGAGAAAAGAAAGAGAAAAGAAGCACAGGGGAAAGAATGAGACAAGGGATAGATGAGCACAGCTGAATAGTCTGACTCCAAAAGAAGAATCGAGAATGAGAGCAAGAGCGAGGACATTCATATATCTATAAAGCTCGCACCGGCCACTTGAGCTACGATAAACTTACAGGACGACTCCATGACGCCACGATAGCACGGTTATACGCCCCGAGTTCATGAAACGCAGGTGACACTGGTCGACGGCGAGGACAGAGAGGCATTTGGCAGGCAGGCAAGCCAGAGTCACGATGGACATGGCTGTTGATCCCAGTCCAGGCCTCTTTGGCTATGCTGACCAGAGCTGTACGAGAGAGGGGGAGGACATGTTGTTTGGTGGGGGTCGCGCGCAAAGCAGATGTACCGGGGATCCAGCGAAATCAAGCCATTGCCAAGAGTGCTGGGATGGCTTCTCCTTGGCTTGCCAAGAGCCTCACAAGAGTTTTGCCAAGGCTGAGGGCGCGGCGAGCCCCAAAGAGCCAGGTTATTTTTGGCTTCTTCGGCCCCGCTTTTTTGTTCTTTTATGCCGAATCCAGGAAAGCTGCGTGCATCATTGGAGAGCCCATTAAGACCTCCTGCATGTTATAGCTCAGGGCGCGCGGGAGCCCTACAGGGGCCCCATGTCAACAAGCCCCAGGTTCATCAGACACACGCCAGTGAAGCTCCTGATATACACCACCACAGTACTTATAGTTCCGTAAGTAGAGGTTGATGAGGCGATACAGCGATCTCCAAATGCGTTGATGCTCCACATCTCCTTTTCTGGATTCCCTGGATCGCTGGACCAAGCCTTATCAGCGAATCTTAGCAAAGCTTATTGATAATGCGATCTTGTGTCGGTGCCGCCGCCGAGACTGCGGAGTAAACACTGCTCGTTCCTTTTCTATTAACAGCACCGGACCACTTCTTGTTTCCCATCTTGACAGGGGACCCGAGGAACGACGTGGGGGAAGGGTACCGTTCCAGACACGAGCTAAAACCCCCGAACTTGGGCCTAGACCTTCTCATGCGATGTCAAAGGCGGACGGGCCACGGTCTCGAACCTCAGATCAGTTGCATCCCCGTGGTGACAGGGATACTGATAACAGCTCGACCTTGATAGGTAAAAGTAGCTGAGGCGAGAATTGGGGCACGAGACTCAGTTCGCTGAAGCAATGCCAAGAAGGAAACGTCGGAGGTTGCCAAGCTAGCCTACCACGATGCTTATCATTGATCGTGGGAACGTGAGGCTTGGTTTTAACAGCGATGCCCAGCTTGGCAAAAATGCATATTCGGCCATCTAGTTTACCAGCCGCACGGCGGCAGCCCTGTGTTTCGACGAGAGCCATGGACTTCGTCGAGGAGCTTCACTCCAGGCACAGCTCCAGATTCTCTCCCTACGTTCCGGTAGTTCATTTCCGCATTTGTTCGCACACTATCTCACGATGTCTCGGCGTTCCCACAGGCTGTGGATAATAGGTCGATGACCTATTGTCGGCCAAGGCCTATCGATCATGGGCAGTAGTCCTGAGAACTACCGTTCGGCATAACTAGCTTCAGGAGACTGACTCCTCCTCTGAACTGGCATTGGAACGTCGATGAAGGCCAGTGGTGCTCCCAACTCTTGAGCAGCCCCTCAGCGACACACCGAAGGAGGCTCTGAATGCTCATATTTGCACCGCCCCGTTTCCTGGTCAAGGCCCCTGATACCTGATCAAGGCCACAGCACTTGCTCCCTGTCTCTTTCGGAAGCTCTTGTAAAGTTGTGCAGAGTAAATATGAGAGGACTCACCGGCGGACTCCAATGTGCCAGCGCTTCTTGCCAAGGAGCTCTGTACGCGCAAATGGAGGAGAGTTAACTGGTAATTGAACCCTGCTGCTGTAGCTTTGAATACTGAATAGTGCCTCAAGGCAGTTGAGCGTTGTCTAACCGGTGTAAAGAGGGCCATGAACGCGAAAATATGATCCTACAGCACAACGGCGTACTAGCCTCGAGCTCTACACCTCGCGTTTTTCAACCATAAATTTATCGTAGAGCTCTTCGGGTGCTGCACTGTTGGTGTTAGTGGTGATGTTTGGAACTTGGAGTTCTTCAGCACGTGAACCAGACAACGGGTGATCCCGCTCGAGCCAATAAGAGGCCCGTGCACCCAGGCCCGGCAAGTGTTCGTCCTATCAGGTGTAGTGGATTGAACCGTCCCAAATTTTTTGGAAGCTCTAAATTTTCCCATCAGATCAGGAGCTTCGGTTGGTAGAGATCCAGAAGTCTCGTTCATTTTCCCATTATCTCCGCTCATTCCAGTTTACTTTCTCATAATTAACATTCTCAGCCATGTCTGCTTCCTTTAGAACAATTGCCCCGTTTCTACGGACGGCACGGTACGCCCTCCGAAGGCCAGCCAACCCTCTCGTCTCGCTGCAACGCCAGAGCCCGTCACCTGTCCTCAACCTCGCCCGGACGTACGCTGTCTTCGAGAGGACCAAGCCGCACGTTAATATTGGTGAGTAGCAGCGCTTGTCCGGACAACTAGTAGTGCGAAACTGACAGTTGGCTCGTTTCCAGGCACAATTGGTCACGTCGATCATGGCAAGGTTCGTAGAGATGGACTTGCGTGGAGACGAAATCGGGCTATGCTAACACGACTCGGCGTATAGACCACACTGTCAGCAGCCATTACTAAGAGGCAGTCGGAGAGAGGAATGGGAAACTTCCTTGACTACAGCTCCATTGACAAGGCCCCCGAGGAGCGGAGGCGTGGCATTACCATCGCGACTTCGCATCTTGAGTACTCGACCGAGAAGAGGCACTACTCCCACGTCGACTGCCCCGGTCACGCCGACTACATCAAGAACATGATCACGGGTGCCGCCAACATGGACGGCGCCATCATCGTCGTTGCCGCCTCGGACGGACAGATGCCCCAGACCCGAGAGCACCTGCTGCTCGCCCGGCAGGTCGGCGTCCAGCGCATCGTCGTCTTCGTCAACAAGGTCGATGCCATCGACGACCCGGAAATGCTGGAGCTCGTCGAGATGGAGATGCGCGAGCTCCTCAACACGTACGGCTTCGACGGCGATGAGACTCCCGTCATCATGGGTTCGGCACTCTGCGCTCTCGATGGGAAGCGGCCCGAGATCGGCGAGCAGAAGATCGATGAGCTCATGAACGCCGTTGATGAGTGGATCCCGACCCCCGTGCGTGACATGGAGAAGCCCTTCCTCATGTCTGTCGAGGACGTCTTCTCGATTGCCGGCCGTGGAACTGTCGCGTCTGGCCGCGTTGAGCGCGGTGTCTTGAAGAGGGATTCCGAAGTGGAGCTTGTTGGCAAGGGCACCGAGGTCATCAAGACGAAGGTCACCGATATCGAGACCTTCAAGAAGTCGTGCGAGGAGTCCCGCGCCGGTGACAACTCCGGTTTGTTGCTCCGGGGTGTCCGCCGTGAGGATGTCAGGCGAGGCATGGTGATCGTCGCGCCCGGCACCGTCAAGTCCCACACTCAGTTCCTCGTCTCGCTCTACGTCCTCACAAAGGAGGAGGGTGGACGGCACACTGGATTCCACGAGAACTACCGACCGCAGATGTATGTCCGAACCGCCGATGAGAACGTCGCCCTGTTCTTCCCCGAGGGCACCGAGGACGCATCTTCCAAGATGGTCATGCCCGGAGACAACGTCGAGATGGTGGCCACTCTCCACCAGCCTGTTGCCGTCGAGGCGGGCCAGCGGGTCAACATCCGCGAGGGCGGCCGGACTGTCGCAACCGGCCTCGTTACTCGCATCCTCAAGTAAATGGGTCTGTCCGTTGATACAGAAGCTGGTTCCTGGTGAGCTGATGCAGGAGGTATCGCTCGGATATTGGGGGGTCTACGGATTGGGCAGGTCGTACGGAGTTCCCAAAGTCATAAAACTGTACAATTGTAAGATAATGATGTGTACGAGACCCCTGCGTCGGGCACCTGTATATTGGGGCTGGGCTTCTGCATCTCCACTCTTGTTCCTCTTGGCTTTTGTCGTGTAGTTATAGACAAAAGATAGGGCAAATATTAGAGGCTCCAAAATGCAGGCTGTTGTTCACAAGGGTACCTATTTCATCGAGGCGTGTCTCCCAGGCTCCTCCATATGGGCATAATCAGCTTGACGGGATGAAGATGGCTTAGGGGATAACCATCCCGACGAAGAGTAGAATAATTATAGGAGCTTGGGCGCTCCGACATCATGAATTCCACATAACTCACATAGCTTACCTCCACGGATACTAACCCTTCCCTCGAGCTCCTGTAGCTTCAGAAAACATCCACCAGGGACGGTCAGGGCTCCGGCACTGAATTGAATCGCATGCTCACTCGGAGGATTGTCACAGCAGCTGCACCCAACTCGGCACTCGGCACTCGGACCATGATCGCAACGGTCTATTCTTCTGTCGATGCGGATATCTGGCTCTCCTCCACCCATATGCTGAGTTCGCAGACCAGGTCCCCTTTTCCGAAGTCAAACCAATAACTCCATTATGCCACACGACGGCCCAGAATGCTGATTGGAAGTTAAAAGCATGAGGAATGCATCGAGTTCGACCGTCCTCCGCGTCCTCCCATCCTCATCTCCTCCAAACCCCGACGCTCGAATAGACGTTTAACGGTACTGTCAATCCAAAGTTAGTAATGCAATCCTGGGAGTTGTTTTGCCTTTGTTTTCCCCCTCTCCCCTTGGAGACCCCAAAGGCAGACTCCGTGCTGCTGTCTCTCTCTCTCTCTCTCTCTCTCGCTGTAATCGTACCTTGACGAAGCCAATATCGGTGGACTTCTCGCGGAAGCACTGACGGCAGATATCGAGGCCGTACTTGCGGATCAGACCGGCCTTGTGGGCGCAGACCCGGCTATAAAAAAGAGACAAGCAGTTAGTAAACTAGAGGGTTCGAGAGAAAAAAGCCGAGGGCCGTCATATCGTTCCCCTCCCCTCTCCCGGATGCAGTGCGAATTTGTCCATACCATGAGCGGGAGCCCTTGCCGTACTTGCGGGGGCGCGAGTTCCAGACGGATTCGTGAGACATCTTGTGCTGATTTGGCAGATGTGAGGCCTCAGTAGGGATTGGTGTGGTGGTTCGTGTTCTGGGTGAGGAGTCGGTTGGTTGTCGTGGAATTTCGCGGTCAGAGGTTGCAAATTCGCTGATGCGCAAGTGGTTTTTTTTTGTGTGGGTGTCGCTAGCAAGGGTTGACCGAGCCCCAGGTACCTCGGGAACTGGCTGTGGCTTAGTGGGTGGTGACTGTGGCTGGTGGATCATGGAATTCAACCTCTGCAAGCTCAAAGTGAAGGTGGGCTTATCGTTCTAGCGCCATTCCTTATCGCAGCTAGCTGTGAGGTCAGCATCTCACTAGGCCTACGGCTGTGCGCCGCTAATAAAACACCATGGTCTTAGGTGACAGTTAAGTGGCCAGATCAAGGCAAGGACCCGGAGCTCTGACAATTCGGCGAAGGTGGCATCTTTCTCCAATTCCACTGCAAGTCGGTTCTATCTAACCATTTTCCCTGCCATCGAGTGGCAGTCCCTTTGATTAACCGATTTTCCCGCCGTCAATATCGTCTCAACTTCGCCTGTCCAATCCAATTCGATCAATATGGTCCTCCTCAAGAGCTTTGTGCTTGCTGGTCTCGCAGCTGCTGTCTCAGCTAAGTCTGCAGTCCTCGACCTCATCCCCACCAACTTTGACAATGTCGTCGTCAAGTCTGGAAAACCGACCCTAGTGGAGTTCTTTGCCCCATGGTGTGGCCACTGCAAGACCCTCGCCCCTGTGTACGAGGAGCTTGCCCAGCTCTTTGAGTTTGCCAGCGACAAGGTCCAGATTGCCAAGGTCGATGCTGATTCTGAGCGGGATCTGGGCAAGCGATTCGGCGTCCAAGGGTTCCCCACCCTGAAGTGGTTCGATGGCAAGAGCGACAAACCATCCGACTACAGCGGAGGACGGGATCTGGAGAGCCTGTCTGCTTTCATCACCGAGAAGACTGGTGTGAAGGCTAGGCGAAAGGTGGCCCTGCCCAGCAACGTGGTCATGCTTAACGATGCAACCTTTGCGACCGAGATTGGTGGTGACAAGGATGTTATTGTCGCATTCACGGCGCCTTGGTGTGGTCGTATGTGCTCTCCCCTGTCTCTACCTACTTGATCTCAATGGCACTTTCTAAAAGCTCACGTTTTCACAGACTGCAAGACACTTGCGCCAATCTGGGAGACTGTTGCCAACGACTTTGCCAACGAGCCCAATGTTCTTGTCGCAAAGGTGGATGCCGAGGCTGAGAACAGCAAGGCCACTGCCAAAGAGCAAGGAGTGACCTCATACCCAACCATCAAGTTCTTCCCCAAAGGCAGCAAGACCAGCCAAGACTACAGCAGCGGCCGCGATGAGGCTTCCATTGTCACCTTCCTCAACGACAAGGCTGGCACTTTCCGTGCTGTTGGTGGTGGCCTCAACGCCCAGGCTGGCACCGTTGAGTCCCTTGACACTGTTGTTGCAAAGCTTACAGGTGGCACCTCCCTGGTTGAGGCTGTCAAGGAAGCTAAGAAGGCAGCTGGGAGCCTTAAGGAGCAGGCCCAGAAGAAGTACGCCGAGTACTACCTCCGGGTCTTCGAGAAACTGAGCAAGAATAAGGAGTATGCGACCAAGGAGCTGGCTCGTCTGGAGGGCATTATCAAGAAGGGAGGTCTCGCTCCGGTCAAGCTGGACGAGCTCACTGGCAAGACCAACATCCTCCGACGATTCGTCGATAAGGCGACGGGTGAGAAGTCGAAGGACGAGCTGTGAGGGAGGAGGGATGGACTTCTCGGTTTGGGGGCTTGGTTGAATTTGCAGCAGGACAGTGCAGGACAGGACATGCGCGTACTTGCAATAGAAAACTCAGGGCACAGGCATCTTGGCTTTGAAGTTCTGGCGCTGAAAACAAATGACATGGCATGATCATGATACCTCCTCATGACTGAACGAGCCCCTTGGTGAAAGTATGAATTCAGGTGCTTGCCAGCTGTGAGGGACCGCCTTGATATCCCCGGCATATTTCGATCCGTAACTCCAGAAACACCGTTGCCACAAGAACCAAGCAAAAGGCAGTGCAGAATACCGACCTAGCTACCTAGTTGCCTCCTGCACTGCCATCGTTATTTGCCTTCAATTGAGACTCGAGGTTGTCCAAGCGCCTGGACATCTCATCCACTAGAAAAGTGGCTGGTCAGCAATCCCTCGGCGGCGAGCGCCCTGGCTAGAAGCGTAGGAGGGGCAGGAGAACGCGGCTCACTCTTGGCAAAGATCTCGCTCGATACCCCTGAAAATTTGTTGGACAGCGTGTTCAATAGATCCTCGATTTGCGCCGTAAGCTCTGCGCGAGCATCGTCTGAAGTCTGCGATGCGGTGTGAGCCGAAGGGGGGATTCCATTTATGGACATTTGCTCTGTCGCTCATCAACTCACGCTGGCTTGGGAGTCGCCGTTGGAGGACATTGTAACTGTCGGCGGCCCTTAAAAGGCAGAATGGGACTTTGTGGTGAATGTCAGTGGGCGAAGCGCCGAGGTTTCTGACCCTCTGGCTGTCAATTGAAGAGATAAGTTGAAGCTAAAGTGCGCTCTGATCATGGTCTAGAAACACTAATACGTTGCAGTGTAAGGGGGTGTTTGTGTAGTAGAGTTTCAGCCAGACAGTTGACAGCTGATGACATATGATGATCATAGCTAGTGTGTGGCGGCACGCGGCTCTTGTCCCCTAACAGGTGCCAATGTCCAATACCAAGACCTCCCCACTGATTACCACGACATCTTGATTCGAGCTCACTTTCTACCTTTCTGTTACAGACACGGCGAATCCGGTAGCCTAATTAGATATGGCAATAACGAGTCTAAGATGACCGTCACGAACCAAGCTCGACAACCATGCCTCCGCCGCACGAGAACGCTAGGGTCTTCATCCTAATCATCCTCCTGTTCTGGCTCATCTCCTCCCCCGACAATGGGCCCGGCCTGATATCTGTCCCCTCGATCACGTCGGCTCGCCTCGACCGCCAGCGCCGGGCACACGGCGTCCTGAATACCACGAAATGGGGCGACTTTTCCCCGCGGCTCGTCGACACCCCAGAAGGCACCGCCCCCCGATACCTGAACCTGACCGGGTTCAGAGAACGCGACGGCTTTGCGTGGGACGATCTGGGCAGGTTCAAGGACCGGTGCTTGGAGTGGAGCCGGAACGCCAACCCTTCCAGCAGCGGTAAGCAGCTCTGGGATCTGGGTCTGGCCGAACCAACATGGCAGAACGCTACGGGCGTGGTCCACGGAGAGTGGGTGCGGCGCGGAGGCTCGGTCGAAAGGCACCCTGCATCCTACAACCTCAGTGGCGTTACCCCTGGGGTAAGCTGGGTTGGGGTCCATGGGGAATGGGGCAGGAACGTGACGGGGCAGCACGGGAAGATCATCCTTCGGTTGGACGAGAAAGACGGCAGTGTCGAGTACGAGGATCAGGATGGGGACGATCAGCCGAGATCGGGCGGATTGGCTAGAGAGATAGTGGCGACCGTCACGGTGCAGGACGATGGCAACAGAGCAAGCGCTTGGGATATGCGGCTGCACGGGGTCCACTGGCCGAGGCAGGGTGCTGTTCTTCTTAGTTCGACAAGCGAGAAGTTCGCGGGCATTTTCGGTCTCCCCCATCTCACCGCGGCGCCCAACTACTTTCGCTCGAGCCAGAAACTCCTGAACGAGACCCTGGACAAAGTTCTCAGCAGGAAGGAGAGAACCATGTTCTCGGACCCAAGCAACCCCTGGACGTCCACTTTCGAACCCCAGGGGGAGAATTGGAGCTCGGCGCCGCACTGCGAGTATATTGTTTACGCGCAGATCCACCCCCTCGACCCCCAGCGGCTGAAGCCGGCATACTTTGGTGATGATGCTAGGGATAAGCTGGGCCTTCTTGTGCAACACATGGAAGATGAACTTCGCAACCCGACGGGGGCACCGATCCCAACAATCCCGGAACTTCAGCTCTCGGCCGTCATGTGGTCTCCAGATTGTTCGTTCTTTCTGGAATCCAAGGGCCCGCCTTTGTACCCCTCGGCGGACGGACAGCATCTCCTCGGCATGAAGGAGGAGGTATTCCTACACGAGGCAAAGATATGGCTGCTGTCATTCGCCGCCGTAATGGCTGGGCAGATCTACCTCCTGAAGGGTCAGATTAGGGAGTCCAGCACGCCATCCACCATTGGCCGCGTGAGCTTCTATACCGCAGGCATCATGCTCCTTGCCGACGGCCTGATTTTTGCCTCGGCATCAGCCTGGAGCCTTTCCGCCTCGACGACGCATCTCCCATCGCTGCTGTTGACCTTTACCGCTTTCATGTCTATGGCAATAGGGGGCGCCTTTCTTTCGGAGGTTTACAAGATTCAGGAGCCGGAGAGGAGAAATCGCGAACGAGAACAAGGCGCAACCAGCTCAAACACGACAGCCCCGCCGCCAACGCCGGCGGCTGCGGCGGCTGCTGCGGCCACAGCCAGGGCCGCGGCAACCGTTTCGGAACTGCCTCGACCCGTCACTGCGGGTCCGGCCCCGCCCCCGACCCCGCCATCGCCGCCGATAATCATCCCATCGGACCAGGACATCGACGCCGAAATCGCGGAGAACGCGGCCATGGGCGCCGCCGCTGTCCCCACGCCGGGAACAGCAGCAGCGGCGACGACCACGACGACGACCACCACTGCCACTACCGCAGGGTCCATCGCGCAACAGGTGCGCGCCACCACCTTCTCCTCCATCACGGGGCGCTTCATCCTCCTCGGCACCTGCCTCCTCTTCCTGAGCCTCGCCGCGACGTCGTGGCCGGCGCCCGTCCGCGCCGTCTACGTCAATCTGATCGCCTTCGCCTACCTGTCGCTCTGGGTGCCGCAGATCTGGCGCAACATCCAGCGCAACAGCCGTCGCGCCTACAGCTGGCGCTTCACCATCGGGCAGTCGGCGCTGCGCCTCCTGCCGTTCGCCTACTTCTACCTGCGCGAGAACAACATCGTCTTCGCCGAGCCCGACCCCTTCGGCTTCGCCCTCCTGGCCGCCTGGGTCTGGGTCCAGCTCTGGGCCCTCGCCTTCCAGGACGTGCTGGGCCCGCGCTTCGGCGTCCCCAAGGGCTGGGCCCCCGAGGCCTGGGACTACCACCCCGTCCTGAGGGAGGATAACCTCGAGGCCGGCGGCCTGCCCATCGGCCTCGCCGGCCCTCCCGCCGCCGCCGCCGACTACGACGATCTCGACGCCCCCCACGGAGACAGGTCCCACAGGCGGTCATCGTCGTCGACGTCGTCCACCGCCGCCGTCGCCGCCGCCACGGCGGGCTCGGCGAAGAACAAGCGGCGCGGATCAAGCCACGGCCGCCGCCCGCACTCGCGATCCATGGACTGCGCCATCTGCTGCGAGGTGCTCGAGGTGCCCGTCGTGCCGGCGGGCGCGGACCCGGACGCCGTGGGCGCTGGGTCGGGCGTCGCGGCCGTCCTGGCCCGCCGCGCCTACATGGTCACGCCGTGCAGGCACATCTTCCACGCCGCGTGCCTCGAGGGGTGGCTGCGCTTCAGGCTGCAGTGCCCCATCTGTCGGGAGGAGCTGCCGCCTTTGTGAGGGGTCGGGGCTGTTGCTTTGTTTTGTGCGTTTGATGGGAGGTGGGGCGGGGGGGGTTCGTGGATTCGAGGTTGATATATTTCTGTTGCTTTGGCATTCATGATGAGAAATGGCGGGAGGATCGGCTTGTAGATATAAGGTAGGTAGATCACGATGCATTCGCTGTAGGTGCTGATGTATTGTTACATGTATGAACATTCTTTAGCTTTGAGGGCTTTGCGAGCGTGAGCGTCAACAATGATGAACTGGCCTGTCCGAGGCCCGTAACTTGAGGGCATAACCTCCTTGACGAGAGGACAAAGTATGTCAACATGTAAGTCACTAGGTCAGCCATGGTAGGCAGGCGGAAACGGCCAGTTACAGTAAGGGTCCTCACGACGCCAGTATGTTTTACACATGATATGGGATTGCTTGTGGTTGCACTATGAAGCTCCTCCAGAGCAAGTTCCATACTAATTTGTTTCCTACCACGACGTATTGCGTTTCCAACCGTCATTCAGCCCCTCAGCCCCGGCTCCGTAACTCCGGGGGCGAGGTTTTTTTTCCTGAAAGGGAAAGAACAAGATATCCTAAAAGAATATCAGGCAAGAGTGCATCTTAGACGTCCAGTCCAGCAAGGGTCCAAGGTGGGCAAAGTAGACGTCTCGCTCTCCGATTCCTGATCGAGTGCGTTTGAGATCGCCAAAGAAGAAAAAATATAAAGACAATACGAATAGCATCCAGGCCGCTTCATACATGGCCAATACATGTTCCAACGCTCCAACGCCGTCCGGGTATTTGAGAATCAGGCCGAAGAATGCAAGCAGAACGCTGTGAAAGAAGAAAGTCAAATAAAACCAAGACGGAAAGGAAAGCAAGGCAGTTCACCACTCGATCCGCTTTACCCGTGTCTTCAGATCGGGCGCACCCGAAGGCAGTCCTCGAGTGCCGAGTTGGATAGTCGCAAATCGCTCCCGGAGGTCGAACTGGACAGCCTTGATCATGACGCGCCTCTCAGCAGGTATCGGACCCCTCTGCGCCCTGGCCATGTAGCCGCCCCGGCTTCCCCTCTGGGCATCGTATCTCGCATTTCCGCCCGGGCCGAGCGGGACGCCTTCCCAATAATCACCGGAGCCACTATGCCTCGAGGTAGAAGAGCTGCTGATGGACTGGTGCGACCAATCCGTGGTCCCCAGTTCCTCGGCAGCAGCCACAGGGTCTTCTTGCTCCTCGATGCTGGCAATCCAAGCGCCGATGCGGGCTGCCAGTTCGCTGTCCCACATGCCTTCTCGCCTCGAACTGCTTTTGAGCAGCTGGATGGCCTGTCTCCGGAGCACAAAATCCCGGCACTTGGTGGCGACGACGAACAGCGGCGGGACAATGCCGAGGTCTGCGCTGAAACTTGGTTTGATGTGCCGGGCAGCATACTCGTACTCTCCAAACATGTTACTCCAATCGTCGATAGGGTGCTGGCAAGACTGGAGGTCGGGGCACCGCTTTGCAGCAGCCCGCCTTTCCTCGTCTCCGACCACCTCGAGTGCAAGATCGACAATGGCCTTGAAGTGAGGGGTGAAGGCGTCAAATTGCACTTCGCTGTCGCTGAAGGTCATCAGAAAGAGGACCTGGCTCATGATCTGGGCCATCTTGAGCGCGGCAATGGCTGTCTTCTCTTGGCTGCTGACGCCGGGTGCGGTCCTAGAGGCGAGGATGTGCTCGTACGCGTTGGACCAAGCTTCTATCTGGTTTCCGAAACCGGCCCCGTGCTTTTTCAGGACCAACGGCAAAACACCCATCGGCCCGTTTGACACATGTGAGAACATGGTCTCGGTGAATCTGAATATACGCTCGACGAGAGCATCCCATGCTAAGCGAGCCTCCTTGGAGGAAAGGAACCGCTCCGGTATAGGGTCATGGTGTAAGGAGACTGGCGAGGAGCCTTCAGACGATGGCGAAGTGGCATCGGCACCTCGAGGAGCCTCATTGAGGCGGATGACATAGGGGTGAGGGAAGTGAAAGGCCATGTCGTAGGATTTAGCCTGAATCGCAAGCCTAGTAAACATCTGAATGATTTCCTCCTCGACGGGCTCCTCAGGCTTTGACAAGAACGCGCGCCTCCGCTCTACGCGAAGTTGTTCCAGCAGGCCGAGGCCAGTCTGGATCTGCCTGATGGCTTGCCTATGATCGCCGATGAAGGAGTCAAAACACGCGAGAAGCACGCTTCCCATCAGTCTCGTCCGATCCGTGATCTGCGAACCGGGAGCGCACAGTTCCTGGCAAGCGTGCGAGTATTTCTTGACCGCCATTTCCCAATGCTTAAGAGGGGTGTCGATGGGGTTTGAGTGGTGGGTTGTAGTGGGAGAACCCGGAGGCGATTCACACGTCTTCTCCAGAGTCCTATATAATGCGCCGAGCGCAACTACCGCGTGTCGGATGGCGGCCTCGGAATAACACTCCTGGAGGACACCCCGGGACCAGAAAAGGCTATCGAAGAAGCCCGAAAGCTCGCTTGCTGTGCGCTCCTGGAACAGCTGATAATAAAGACCCTCCTGCTGATTGAAGGGCAGATTCATCGACGGCGTGTAGAGCATCACGGGGCCGCTGCTCACACTGCTCACACTGCCCACTCTTGGGGTCTTTGGAGGGCTCGCGAGGGCGATCTCGCGGTTCTGCCTTTCCTTATCGCGCTTCCTGTACTTCTCCACCTGCCTCGCCGACGGCGCAGGCATAGACGGCCCGGCAGCATTGTCCCAAACGGGACTCGGTTTCGGCGCAATTCTGACCTCTTCAGACGGTCTTGCGCTCCTGCTCGGCGGAGGATAGCCGGTACATATTTTCTTGGAGCGAACGCAATTGCTGCACGACGGGCGATTCTCGTCGCACTTGATCCTTCGTTGTCTAGGATTCGCGCACAAGTTAGCATGGCGATGAGCGCGTCATAGCTAGCGGGGAGCCGAAATGCCACATCCTCCCCCACACTGAGCCTGCAAGGCAACTTACTTGCAGTTATTGCACCCCGTCTTAACTTTTGGTTTGCTCGTCCTAGCCCGCCTCGGTCTCGGGGCGCCGTCGCCGGTGTAGCTGCCGGCGGAGTCTCTAGACAGCGTGACGGGAGTCCCCGTCGCGGGAAAGAGCCCAGAGGACATGTGGAAGAGCGTCCTACGGTCTAATTAGGATTCTCCGAGGTTGGTCGAATCGGAGCCTGCGAATACTCCCATAGCAAATGAATGCGAGGCGACAAGGCGAATTGGTGGCAAACGGGTTCCTGGGCGCGACAGGGCGGATTGCGGGTTGTCCTTGCAGCGCTGTTCACCTGGGCGCCATGTGGATACCGATAGGTTAGTATAGAGATAGGTACCTACCCTAAAAGTATTGGGGGAGAATTCATGAGCTATGGTAAGGATCGCGCGTTCCTTCCCGGGGATGAAAAAAGGAGGTAGGGTCAGGTCAAGCCGAGAGGGGGTTTAAAGGGGATTTTCGCTTGGAGCTCGGTGGGGGTATTTTTCCCACCCCCCCCTCGTTCGGTGATGATGATTGTCCTTTGTACGACGCACCGTTTAGGTGTAGTGCCAAGAGTATGGCCTCCCTTAACTTACCATGGGACGGGAAGTGTTGGGGGGTGCATGCGACGATCTCTTTAATTAGAGTCGGTATTTTTTATTATTTTTTTACTTCTCCTTCTGACACCGACCGACATACATACATAGAATAGGTACCAGCATTCACAACAGCCCGGCTCCCGTGTATTACCTCGATATTCTAAATCGTGGGACAGGATATACGGGACGTACGCGATCAACGGGCATGTATATACCTCTAGTGCCGACAAAGACCTCGGTAGGTATGTACACACTGGATGAACTCATCATACACACGTCACACGGGTTGGTCGGATCCCGGGTAGAACAGGGCAGTCCCTTCCGAAGCTCCCTCTCTTTTACTCCCTCACGGTCTCACTCTCGCGAGCCAGTGCCAAGTTGACGGGTGGTGCTGGTGCAGGCAGCACTCATGCACTTGGTGTTGCTGGGCTACCTACCTAATAAGGTCGCTGGTGGGTGAGGGCTGGATAAGCCACACAACCTGCAGAGCCGAGATATTTGCTGCAAATCTCTGGTCTCCTCTCCTTTAGGCGTGACGACGTTGCTTTGGAGAACCCCAATTTGGGGCATCTGCCTCCCTGTAGCACCGTTCCACTGTTACAGGTAGTTACCTGACAGGTACCGGGGGAAGATCCAGACCAGCCGTGAACGCTCGGATCAATAGTCACTAGACCGCAATTGCAACCTGGCATGCAAAGTCACTCACAATATCGGCGAGCAAGCAGCGAGCACAAGTTCCAACTATCCCAATAGCCCACCCCTTTTGACTTCCCCCTCCGGCGATGACTCTTCCCACATCTGTCATCAATGATTCGGCCCGTGGTAACGTTGGAACGTGGGAGCCTGTCGTCGTTGGACGGCTAGTATTCAACAAGCCGGCCGCTCCACTCTACCCACCCTCCATCTCAGCCCTACGATCGTCGAGCATGAGCGTCATCCGAGGTCTTCCTGCCGGCGGTCATTGGCCATCTGCTGCCCAATGCAGACCATCTACAGACGTCAACGACAGCCACTTATTTGTCCAAGAAGCCACCAGTCAGGAGAGTCACATTCCTCCTAATGGCTGCTTGAGACATCCCTACCATGGCCTTCATTGTCCTCCGTATAATCGGGCTGGCACTTGAGACATTTATGGGAGAGATCGGTCTGCCGAGTGCGGACCAACTGGACCAAGTGGGGAAGCTCACTTCACTAAAGAAAGTCCCGTCTGCCAAGAGATTACCGCAAAGCTTTGGCGACCTTGGCTGCTTGGCCATTACCCTGGCGGCCTCCCTTGCCCCTGATTTTGCCCCTATTTCAATTTACACTAAGAAGACTACTAGGACCCCATTTTCAACCGCACTCACCCCCTCCACTGCACCTCGGGTAACATCTAAAGTAAGAATCCCCCGGCTCGTTTACGCGCTCCCGGAGAAGCGCCGTGGAAATTTGGGGGCGACAGAATGGAAGGAGCAGGAAAGTTGGGGCGATACGACCAACTGCTCTCAATTGCGCCCGGATTGGAAGTATTCTAGAAAGTGGCTGCGCCTCGCCCACGCCCGTTCCGGCCCTTCCCCCAAGCATGTTACCTACCTATTCATCTGCGGATAGGGTGGCAGTGGCAGCAAGTCGGAGGCAGCAGCGAACGCCGCCACACTGCCTATCAGTCAACGGCTCAACGTAGCAATGGGGCTTGCTGTTGTGGACGGATGGCACTGTCGCCCGCATGGTGGATGACGCCAGAGCCCTACCCGAGCCTCGGGGCCGCCGATTTGAGCGGCACTTTACAGTGGGCCCAGGCACCATCCACTGCGCCACGGCGATATTACCGATTCCCCGGCTCCTTTTACGCCGTGTAAGTGTGTCGTCCTGCGCGGGGTTGAGATTTCCGATATGCACAGATGAACTCTCCCCGGAATCACTTCAGCTGGCTCATATGGCATCCGAGACACTGCCCAGATCCTGGTAACCACTCACATTGTATCCCACTGGTCATCCTCGGTGTATCCAAATGGTGTGCAACCCCAGGCTGGGGTGCCTTTCCGCTCACAACTGTCCTTCCCCAATTGCTGTCGTGTCTTTGAGAGACTTGACAATAGGCCCGAAGCCCACATGTTTGGGCTTTCGTTCATCTACTGGAAGGTACTTTGGCTTGCAGCCAAATCCAGGCCCATGTTGTTCAGTCACGTGATATCGCAGTGTAAAATTCCGTGATAGAGAGCTCAAGCCTCAAGGTAAATAGGTATCCTATCCAAGTGCCTCGGATACCCGTTCAACCGTAACTCGGAAGGTACCGTATATCTAATATAGATGCCATATACGGTCTTGAGTCCCTTGATCTCTTAAAAATTGTGGTCAAGTTGCGTAGGGTCGGAACCGAGTCCCTGGTCTATGGCCCCGCCAACATTGTCTGACTTGGTCTTCTCGGAGCAAGCCAACCACAACTTCTCTAGGATTCTGGGCGACCTGAAGCGGGCAAACCTGTCCATACCCAACCGGCTCCGATCCATCCAGCAAGATGCACGGTTCGTCGAGCAGGTTGCCTCCACCTACGGGCTCCCACTCGTAGCCAACGAGCGCTGCGGCAGCTGGTATATCGACCCGAGCCTCAAGGCCGCGTCGGCCTACTTCAAGAGCACGGATGGCCACACGGGCCAGTGGAAATTCAGCACGCGACGGCTCAATCTACACCTGCTCGATCTAATTGGCCGCCATGACGGGTTGTGCCCTCTTAGGTTATCTATACAGACGGACATGCTGACTGATTCCTAAGGTGTATCATTGTGGACTCGACAAGGCGCGGGAAAAGTAAATCCCTCCCCGGCACAGCACCTCCTTCGAGGTCTTGCTGACAGACAAAACCCCCTAGGTATGCCGGACGCGCTTAGCAAGACCGTCCCCATCTGGTGCTGCGTGTTGAACAGGGCCCTGTTCCCCGACAACCCAGACAGCCACGGCCTCCACATCCCTCCCAACGTAGTCTCCGACTCGGAGAAGAGCCAGATCGAGGCCAGGATCCCAGACTTCGTAGCGTCCTTCAAGCTCCTCGACCTCGACCTGCACTCCTTCCGGGCGAAGCTCACAAAGCCCCTCAGACCAGCCTGGACAGTCCAGGACGCCGCCTACTACTCCGTCCCAGACCTCGAATCCCCCTCCTCCCACCACCCCATCGTCTGCTGCACCAGCTCCCGCCGCGTCGCCGGCGCGGAGCTGAGCGAGGCCGGCTACGTCCAGGGCGCCGGCGACGACACCGAGAACTGGGCCCTCGGCCTCACGGCCCCTCTCTTCTGGGCCCACGCCGACGACCTCCTGTCCGCGTCCGAGGCAGACCTCCCGGGGCTCATCGCCCTCCTTGTCGCGGGCGCGGGCGCGGACACGCAGGGTGGTGGTGGTGGTGGGGCGCTCCGCCTTACGCCGCACATCTCCGTGTGTCCGCTGCCGATCGGTGGTGAGGATAAGCACGCGAACGCGTGTCTCGTCAGCATCGTGCCGGCGGCGGCCACGGAGGATTCGGAGTGGGAGAAGTCCAGGTCCGAGCTGGAGGTCGGCATCGGCAGGGGGAAGCTCGCGAGCCGCGGCCTGCGCCGGGCCCTGCCGGTCATCTGCGACTTTGTGTCGCGGTTCCTGCAGGCCGAGCCCGGCGGCGTCGTCCTGGTCGGGTGCGAATCCGGCAGGGACCTGTCGGTGGGGGTGGCGCTGGCGCTGGACTGCCGGTGCTTCGGCGACGACGGGGAGGTCAGGCGCGGGGGCGAGGACGCCCCGGGCTTCACCAAGGACGGCATCCGGGTAAGGCTCGGGCGCATCATGACGGCGATGCCCGAGGCGAACCCTAGCAGGGCTACGTTGCAAAGTGTCAACAGTTTTCTGATGGATTGGCGGAAATGGTTTGGATATCCTCCCCGCGTGCTTCTATCAAGGGTACATAGGGTTCTAACACTCTCTCTAAGACAGGGTTTCTTTCATGCGCTAAAGTCCGGCATCACCGATGCCCTCCCGATCCCCCTCTTCCTGACGGCCTGTTCGAAAACAGCAGAAAGATTTCTTGCCCCGGATCTCACGGCTGGCTAGCGGGTTTACGAGCTCCCGTTCTCAATCTTCTCGAGGCAGGACTCGAACTCGCTCCAGTCCTGCATGATGACGGAGGCGCCGGCATCCCTCAGCACCTTCTCCATCTCGGGCCTCCTCTCCTCCTCGTACGGACCGACGTAGCCGATCACCTTGATCCCCGCGCGGGCGGCGCTGGTGGTGCCGCTCTTGCTGTCCTCGACGGCGACGCACTCGTCTGCGTTCTTGCCGAGGACCTTCATGGAGTGCAGGTAGATGGCCGGGTCGGGCTTGCTGGTGGGCTTTGGCAGGCTGTTTGCGGCGGAGAAGACGTGCTCGCCGTTGAAGAACTTGTCGTGGCCGACCTTCTCGATGCTGGCCTGGACGCGGCGCAGGGCCGAGCTGGACACGACGGCGAGGTGGTACCGGCGGTGCTCGGCCAGCTTCTCGAGCTCGGCGTCGACGCCCGGGCAGGGCCGCAGGGCGGCCCGCAGGCGCGCGATGACGACGTCCTCCTCGCGCCGCACGTAGTCGTCCAGCTCCTCGGGCGTCAGGTCGAAGCCGTAGCGCGCCTGGAGGCTCGTCACCATGCCGCGGAAGTTCTGCCCCACGAACTCGACGATCAGCGCTGGGCCGGTGAACTGCTGCTCCAGCCGGACCCCCTTGGCCGCGCAGATCTCGTTGAGGAGCTCCGCGCACCCCTCGAAGGCGAGCTCCTCCGAGAGGACGAGCGTGTTGTCGCAGTCGAAGAGGAGGGTCGTGATCTTTGCTTTGGGGTTAGCCTGGGTCTCGATACGGTTACAATTTCTTTTTTCCCCTTTGTGAAGGATAATCGGAGGTCGGCACAAGAGTGGTTGGTTGGTTGGATTGGTTAGAGGGGTGGTTGTTTGCTTGGATTTACATACCTTAGGCATCTTTGACGGTGGTGTGTGTCGACGGGACAGTTGTACAGTTCAGGCGATTGAAGGGTCCAAGGAACAAGAAAGATAGACTAGAGATTTCAACTAGAATCTAATTTTCTTTCCCGTACAAAGAAAGATCTGCGTCCTTCGGCTTTCTATTTGTATGTCCCTTCCTCATGGAGGAGGAAGACGGCCCACCCTTCTCCCTTGGAAATGGAGTCCATCAACCCCTCCATGTGTCGTCATAGGTGGGGCGCCAGGGAGGCCATGCTCTAATAAGAAGTCGCGAATAAGAATAGCTATGGGTAACCAAACAGAATCTTCAAACCTACCGAGATACAATTTACGATATCCCCCGACTGCTTGCGGGATAATATGCAGTATGCAGGGCTTTTCAAAAGCTGCACTAATTAAAGTTGTTTCCTGCCGCTCGGCGGCCCGCAGAAGAGGCTGCACGACCAGCCATGATCCCCCCCTTATCCACGTTGACACGCACAGTGGACACGCAGCCAAGCAGGTCTACTAGGTATTGACTCGAGAGTTGGAAGTTACCGCGGTAGATATGCTACTTGACAGGGAGGAGGAGCTTCCTTCGATAACCTCAGCGAACGGTGTTATTTTGGAAGCGGAAAGGAATGTTTCATGGCTGCCTTCGGACCGACTCTGGCTCGGAAGGGCATGCAAATGGGAGCGGCTGTTTCTTGGTGGTACGGGTATATGTGTTGCAGATTCTCCAAGCCCCCCGGCCCCCAAGCCCGCTAATCTGCAGATCTGGAGGAATGTATGAAAACATTACCGCCCACGCCACCTAACCAATGCTCCCATTCCTAGATTTGGAATACCGCCTGATGTTTCTGGGGGTGGTCCGTATATGTCACGTCCATGACTCTCGGGTTCCGCATCCGGTCCTCGGCCAACAACCCATATACCGACGGATCGCACGACGGCGTCGAGGGCGTCGTTCGCTGGTCACGTCTGTGCCGGGGGCCCGCTCGACGGGGCCGAGGGCCATGACGCTGGGCGTCTTCTGGAAGCGACGGATGAAGCGCACGTTCTCGACCTGGATGAGCGCGTCGACCGGGTTGATGAAAGTGTTGTAGTCCAGCACCGGGTCCGCGTAGATGTCCGCCGGGTCCAGCAGGATCGTGCCCCGGCTGACCTCCTTTGTCAGCTCCATGACCCCCAAACCCGTCGTCTGGATAGGGAAATCGAGTCGGGTAGGATCGCCCGCTGGGCTTCGTAGCCCTTACTCCTTGGCGTCCTGACCGCGGTACGTCTCCACCATGGTTTCCCACCGGTCCGGGCTGACTACCTTCGGGGGATCAGTCCGGCCGTGTTCCTTGTCGTTTGGGACATGGGGCCTGGGATGTGTGCGTAAGCATGTCTGGTCTGCGCGGGCAAGATGCCGGGCTCAATGGCGTCTGGCATATCTGATGTGTTCTCGGTCCACTCTTGTTGCTGCCACGCCAAGAACGTGCCGTTGGTGGAAGAGCTTGACGGATTCGACGAGACATCCGTATGGTCTGCATCTGGTCAGCCAAGTTATCCTTGCAGCCACCGGTCCCCTTTTTTACTTACACCGGAAAGACACATGCCCGACAGGGTGGTCTTGAAGGTTACTTCCCACGCCCGGGAGGTCGACGAGGACGAAGATGTTTGCCTTCTCCAGGAGCCATGATGGCCCGATGCCGCTGTGCAACGACTTCGCCGTCAGGAGGATCTCTCTCGTCGCCCTCACGGTCGTCAGTTGATCAGGCCCTCCGTTAGGAGTTCTCCCTCTGTTGCATCTTGATGCCGGTGGCATCCTTGTCATCATCGAACTGTACGTCGTTCACCCGCCAGCCCGTCAGGATCTGGAGATTTGTCCGGTTCTGCACGGGGTCTTAGTGCTGGGGAGCTGAAGTCAGATTATACATGTCCCTGCCTTAGGTAGCGAGTGGCGCTCTGGGGCTGCAGCATCTTTGTCGAATTGTCGAAGTAGCCATATTCGACGATAAGGACAGTGGCTTTTGGCATGGTTTAGCAAACACTCTCTTGTCCAGATGTTCGGACCAAACCACTCACCATTGGAATCCTCAGAGAGCCTGTTGGCAACGATGAGGCCTGCTGCCCGGCTCCAACTACGATATAGTCGTATGAGTCCCGGACCTCGCGGGCATTGATTCTCCTCTTATGGAGCTCTCCCTGATGATGGGGGTAGCACGAAGCAAGGGAGCAAAGACGAGGAGCCCCTTGACGAGGCTCGTCAGCATCTTGGCGGAAGCAGGCATCCTGAAGACTTGATTGTTCCTTGGCAGCGGCTAGCAGCTGAAGAAGTGCAATACCAAGCTCTCACGTTCCGACCAGCGTCTCATGGATCCTAGACCTGGGGAAGCACCCCTTTCGGACGAGGGATTGTGAATCGTCTAGTTGGTGTTTTGCCGTGGCTATTCTCTTCGATTTCGACATAGGGGGGCTCACGAGAGCTGGGCTTCTAGTTAAATACAGTGTTGATCTTTTCCGGCTGCTCGACTGCTCCGATCCAGGAACTGGCTGCTGCAAGTGGATTGGGGCTACTTGATTGCGCTTGGAATCAGGTCGGTTCTCGGATAGATCCAAGCCTTGGAAGGCAGAGATGACTGGATCATCCAACTACCTTGGTAATGCTGCCATGCCATGCGGTAGATACCGAAGAAACCGAGGAAACCGAAGAAACACGGATAATAATCGTTACACTATGTAGCTTGCAAGAGTCGAGACGCATATTCGAACTCGTCCTGCAATCGTCACCCATCGCCATCATTCGAGCGTCCCTACGTCGTCGTCAAAATCAACCTTGTGCTATTTCCCCCTTAAAGTGTGACACGCAACAAAAGAAAAAAGAAAAAAAGTCTTGGTCAATTGACCCCATTGCCATGCAATGTTTCGAAAATCCCCTTGCGGACCTGGTTTAGATGAAAGTCGCCATACCAAAGCCCCTGAGAGGTTGCCATGTCTCACGTCGTCTCTAACCAAAAATCCCTCCATCCCCCTTCCAACTCTCCCAAATGTACATCATCCCTCTTCCCGAGCCCACAACGATAATACCGTGTCTCCAAACCGACGCCCTTGCTCGGCTCAGTCATCCATCGGCGGATCCACGAGCGTGACACCGTGACTACCAGGATTCTCCTGTCCAGCCGATGGTGCGGTGAGGGTGACGCGCCTCCCGCCGACGAAGCGCGCACCACTGCGGCCCAGGCTGTTCCGCTTCTCGACCAGGTTCTCCGAGTCGGCCCTCACGGCCGCCACATCGCCGCCGCCGCTGCTGAGGCCGCTGCCGTCGTGGGACTGGGACGGGAGGCCGTCGCCGTCGCCGGGGACCTCGAGGCTGGTGCGCTTCGGCAGGATGGGGCCCAGGCTCTGCCTGTGGCTCCGATCCGCCGCCCCGGGGCTGCTGACCGTCTGGATGGGGAAACGCGTCTCGGGCCCGCCGATGCTCCGCTCCCTGCGGTGGCCGGTCCCGCGGGGACTGGGGGCGGGGGATGTGGCGCGGGAGCGGCTGCCGGAGGCCTTCTCGAGGAGCGCGCGGTTGCGCTCCTCCATGTGCGCCTTGCGGTTGCTCTCGTCGGTGGAGATTGCGCGTGGTCGGTGCGGGGCGGCCGTTACGGATACCGAGTGGCTTAGCGTCGACATGCGCTTTAGTTCACTGAAGATGGCGTCCTTGTGGGCGAAGAGGTCCCGAATGAGGCGGTAAGCGTGCTTCTCTTCCAGAGTGAGCGAGGTCTCAGTGCGGGGACGGAGAACGCAGGGTGCAAGGGAGGTGGCTAGCTTGGTAACGTAGTCCTCGTCGGCGGAGGTGAGGTCGATAAGGCGCGTGAAGTGGTTCATGCACGCATCCAACGTCGCGATGTTAGTCAGTCGCAACTGGGATAGAGTCTGCTGGAGGACCGAGACCCGTGCCGCCTCGGTGGTATCGGCCGCTGGCGTCGAGTAGATTGTACGGATGATTTCGTAGACGTGGGATGAGACGAGAGAATCTTCGGCTCGATGTCAGTAACAAGCGCAAGCTGCAGGGCAGTAAGTAGGTATGGGGGTAAGTCTTACCGGGAAGCTCGAGGAGATACAGTTTTAACAAATTCGCAACGGTGGGTATATCGAATTCAGCAAACACCTCCATCGACGGCGCCCTGCCATCGTTGACCCTGGCCCTGAGCTTGTGAACCTGGGCAAGTGAGACATCGTGGAGCCACACCCCCCGGCGGGCCTCGTCGCCCTCCAGATCCGGATAGTGGTGGTCAAGATAGGTCAGGAGGCTGGTGATGATGACCGGCACACGCTTCTTATCCGCGCGTGCTCGGGCCTCGAGGTCAACCCCGAACGATTGATCGTCGACCTTGTTATAGTAGTTTTCGTAGACCACTACCTTCGGGGTGAAACTGCCCGTGCGATAATTCTCCAGAAGATAGCGCAAATCTCCGAGGGGCTGTACCGTCTCCTGGTACAGCATCATGTTGTCGACGGCGGCCTGGAGGCTGGGAATTACATTACTAATGGCTCCCGAGAAATCCAGGATAACTGTCTTGATAGCCTTGAGGCGGTCGAGCTCGCATCGTTCGAGGAATCTGAGGTGGGCGTAGATGGCTTCCTCGAGCTCGCACCGCATCTGGTCTAGTTTCCGTACCGCTGCCTTGTACCTGTCATCCGACTCTTTAGCTTCACGGCGCAGCCGCTCCGGTGGAGTCTCGTTGGGGCGGGAGGTGTTGAGAACGTTCCAGTTGGACAAGTACTCGCTGACAGTCCCGACAACTGGAGAATCGCTGCCGTCCGCTCCAGTCGCCGGGAGGGAGAAGGTTCTCGAGAGTGGCGCCTTCTTCTCAGGAATGCCGGACATCTCGAAAGCCTTGGGCCGCCATTGGTAAAACATCTTGGAGCTGTTGACGAAGGAATTGCCGACATTGCCGATCAAGCGAAGGAGACCGTTGGAGATGAGATCCTGGCCAATCCTCTCCGAGTAGCTTATACTCGTCGTGCCCATGTGGCGTTGCAGGTACTCGACAATATCAGACCCCGACGAGGTGTTCAGGTAGACTCCGAGGATGGGAACCTTGGTCTCCCCGATCTTGATATTATTTAGCATATGGGCGACGATTTTCTTCACTTGGTCCCGCGTATATGTCTCGTCGCCGATTTCGTAGGGCTCGTCGTCATCCTCCGCTTCTTCCTGGACCTTGATCTCAGGGATCGGGGCCACGGGGTGCTTCGATTTCGGGCTCGTCTCTGGGTCTTGGAAAGCAAGCTTATTCTCTTCTTCCAGGTCCTCCACCAGGCGGCACTTGTTGAAATAGTTGCTCCTCAGCTTCGTGACCACTTCCGCCTGCCTATCGTGCTCCTTGATTCTTGATTGTAATTCGTCCTGGGAATCCTGGATTCGAGACTCGTGTGCGTCGGACCATCGCGAGAAAGGGTTCACGACCAGATCCCGAATGTTCTGCGCGATCTTCTTGTGGTTCCTGGCCGCATCCTCCATCTCGGTCCGGACGCCATCGTATGCCTGCCAAGCTCAGTCAGCAACTCTGCGGTTGGTATATCGACCGGTACCTCAACCCACCTTTCGCACGCTGGCGCCATCGTCACCGGAGAAGCCACCTTGCACCTTGTCAACTGTCGGCGCGATCTCGGACAAGCGTAGGCCGTAGGTCTCTTCTGCTTCGGCGCGCAACCGGGCAATGGTCAAGATCTGGCGGTTTTCGATTACGCCCTGTTGGAGCTTGCCAAACAGGACCCCAAGTCCTAGGCCTTTGTCAGTGCCTGGACGAGCTTGCAAATCCTACCAAACGAGCTTGACCTACCTGCAGCATAGTCCTGGGACCAGAAAGACTCTGCGAAACCTGGCATCTTGAAAACAAAGCAGGTCGACTAGCGGCCAGGCCGGCAGACACTCTATCTTGCTTGTCCGAGAGGCTGTTCTGAACAATTGCTAGAGAGAAATGTGCGTGGTTGAAGAAGGCATTCGCAAGGGTCTATGGACGCGGGCTGGGCGAAGCAAGCTGACAGCTTGGCTGAAGCGCAAGCCACTTTCAGGGAGTAATATCAGCTGGCTAGGCGGCCGACTTTAGGATCTGCTAGGTGGCAAGGCAGGGGGCAGTTGACGCTTTCAAGCCGGCAAAAAGAGTAGAGAATATAAAAGGTAGCGAAAGTCGTGAGAAGATGAACCCGGGACAATTGCAGATACCAGAGCTGCAAACCATGGAACTTGAAAGGCTCATGGCTAGAATGGAAAGATATCCAAAACGGCGGTGCACCCTGACGCAAGGGCGGGCCATTTCTCATTGGATGGCGAGGCTCAGCCCCGGGTCCCGACCGCTGATGGACCAACAACGGGGCTGAGGAGGTCACCTATCGAATGTGAACTGTAGGGGCGTGCTAATTAGTTAACAAGGTACACACACATATAATGGTTGATGAATACTGATTACTCCGGACATATCTTGCAATAGGCATGCCTGATCACCCAGTCATTATTTCCCGGTTTTCATACATTTTGTATCAACTGTGATGGCCTGTTTCCATGTTCCTTGAGAGCCAGCCCAGCCGCTAGTGGAGAGCCAGGTTAGGTATGTACAGTAGGTACCTAGGTATATTTCACCTGCTCTCTGAGTTGCGAATCATCCATATGATTGGTCATCTGCTATCTTCGATTCCTCAACCAATTCATCCTGTCTCGGAGACTGAGAGCTACCTATTCATCTACCTACGTAATATCAGACCAGACCAGAGCAGTTCTCTGGCTCTGTCTAGCTCCAGGGGACCATGAAGTCTACTGGAGGAGCCTTGATTCCAACGGGGACAGCGAGTGCGCCGCCCAATTGCCGAGCAACCTTGGTGAAGAAGACGGTAGCTCTGCTGCTTCTGTCGGCCCTCTTGCTCTGCGTTTTGACGAAGACGTCGCTTCATGGCATTGGGAACTGTTTCCGACCAGAGCCGAGGAGTATCGAGCAGCGTGTAAAGAAGATACTCACAGAAACCCCACTGATTGGTATTTCCAACTATTTCCAACTCGGACATCTTCGCCCAAGGTGTAGCTTCTGACCCTCTGTATGTGTAGATGGCCACAACGATCTGGCTATCCTGGTGAGATATGTCTACAAAAACCACATCTACAACGAGAGCTTCGCGAAGCCCTTTAAAGATGGCGGGCTGAATGGCCATGTCGACCTGCCGAGACTGAGATCCGGAATGAACGGCGGAGCCTTCTGGAGCGTATTTTGGCCATGCCCAGAGAACGGGACGGATTACTCTGACGAGGCCTATGCATCATGTCAGTCATTCTCCCACTTCTCTCAAAGGGAGAATTGGCGCTGATTTGTACCAGCGGTCCAGGCGACCCTCCAACAGATCGATCTCATGTCTAGGCTGAAGGAAGCTTATCCCAACGACTTCTCCCCCAGTGTGGACAGCAGCTCCGCCCTGGAGGCCTTCAGGAAGGGACAGCTGATATCCCCGCTCGGCATCGAGGGTCTCCACCAGATCGGCAACTCGGCCGCCAACCTCCGCCGGTTCTACGATCTCGGGGTCCGCTACGCCACGCTGACGCACAACTGCGGGAACAGGTACGCCGACGCCGCCCTCTGGGAGGCGCCGCTGCGCAAGGCCCCGGCCCAGTGGGGAGGGGTGAGTCCCGAGGGCCGCAGGCTGGTCAACGAGATGAACCGCATCGGCATGATCGTCGACCTCTCGCACACGAGCGTCGACACGATGCTGGACGTGCTGGGTGCCGGCCGGGCCGGCTGGCGCGGGAGCAGGGCCCCCGTCATCTTCAGCCACAGCTCCGCGCACGCCGTTTGCCCGCACCCGCGCAACGTGCCGGACCGCGTGCTCGAGCTGGTGAAGGGGCGCGGCTCGCTGGTCATGGTCAACTTCGCACCGGACTTTGTGTCGTGCGTCGACGCGCCCCCCGGCCGCGATAACGGCCTGCCGGATTTCTACCCGCCGAACTCGACCCTGTCCCACGTCGTGGACCACATCCTCTACATCGGCAACCTCGTTGGCTTTGACCATGTCGGCTTTGGGAGCGACTTTGACGGCATTGCGTCGACGCCCGAGGGGCTGGAGGACGTGTCTAAGTATCCCGACCTGGTCGCCGAGTTGTTGAGACGTGGCGTTAGCGACGAGGACGCCGCCAAGGTGGTTGGGGGGAACATCCTCCGCGTGTGGAAGGATGTTGATGCCGTTGCTGCCAAGCTGCAAAAGGAGAACGAGCCAGTGCTCGAGGATGACCTGCCCGATCTGTGAAGTGCTTGATGTTCTCGAGGGTCCTCAAAGTGGGCCACGTATTTCCATTAACTGCAGTGCGTCTGCGAGAACCAGACTCCCTGCTGCAGTCTGTCGAAGGATATATGTAATATCGACACGCTATATATGTCGTTCAAGTTTTGTACATTCACATTTACATACCGAGCCGATCCGTCATGCCTCCATGGCGGATGTGGCATCAAGCTAGACAAATGTAGCTCCAGGTGCATCAGCCACCATCCCAGCCAAAACCAAAACGAATGGGTCTACCACGTTCTGCCCCATCGTAGCATACCCTCCCAGCTCCAGAATCTACTCCAGAAACCGGGACTCTCCACCCACAAAGCTCAAATCCCACCCTGGATCAACATCAACCCTTGCGCTCAACCTGGTTAAGTTTCCTCGCGTTCTCGATCTGGTTCCTCGTCCGCTGTCCGCGCACTGGCAGGCCCATGGCGTGCCTCCTGCCCCGGTACGTGCCGATGTCCCTCAGCCGCTTGATGTTGTCCTGGACGATCTTCCGCGCGTCGTTCTCGATCGTCATCGCCGACAGCTCGGCTGTCAGCGCCGTGATCGTCCGCTGCGGCAGCCCGCCCATCTTGGTCCGCGGGTGCACGCAGTGCTTGGCCAGCACCCGCGTCGATATCTGCGGGCCGATCGCGTAGAAGGACTCGAGCGCTTTCTGGAAGGGAATTGCAGTGTTAGGGGAGGGCTGGAGAGGAGAGGGCGGCGGGCGGGTTCCGGGGGGAGGGGGAGGGGGCACTTACCTTGACAAGCTTCTGCTCGTGGAAGTTGACTCCCAGAATGAAAACCTGGATTGGAGTTAGCCTTGGTGAGCTACGATTAGGAGGGGCGGGTTATGAACTAACCATGTTCGCTGATTCGTATTCCAGTTACCTTGCGGTACAGATCATATCTAGGTTGGCAGACCCGCTGTAGCAACAATCTCCGGGGAGCGATTGTTCGGCCGTCGACAATGTTGGAAGTCCCGAGATCGAGAAGTGCGTCCGAGATTCTCGCCAAGCCGGCCAGTCGGTCCCGACTATGATTGGTCAACGATGGGGTATGAATAGCGCTTTTATAGTGACACCCCAAACCATACAACTTATATCCACCCATCACCCATCACGTGACACCTCCTGGAGGTGTAAAAACTTTAGAGGGAAACTGATACACCTGAAGCCGTGACTTATGCATACTGTCCGATCTCCATCTCATCCCATCGCCACATTCTCCAGAATGACTGGGGAAGAGTCGCCATGTCGGATCCTGGTCATGGCCTCTGGCTTTGGCTCGAACTTCCAGGCTCTCATAGATGCTATATCTACGGGTCAGCTTCGAAATAGCCGCATCATATCTCTCATCACAAACCGGAGAAATGCACACGCAACTGTTCGAGCAGATGAAGCAGGTAGGAGCTCTCCCATGGGCGTGTAAACAGCATGCAACTAATTCACGACCAGGCATTCCTTGGGATTACTTCAATCTAATTAGTAACGGGTTCTTGGGGAAGGGAGAAACAGACGAACAGAAAGTAGCTGAGGGCCGTCAAAGATATGATGCTGCATTGGCCGCGAGGATTCTATCAACAGATAAGGAAAGGCCTGAGTTGATTATTCTCGCTGGTTGGATGCATGTCTTCTCAGTTGCCTTCCTAGAACCTATCGAAAGGGCAGGGGTGCGGATAATCAACATCCATCCGGCACTACCGCGTAAGTTCTAAAAGATCATACTGGGTCTGGCTACTCACAATTTGCACAGGGGAGTTCGATGGAGCTATGGCGATTGAGCGAGCTTTCGAAGAGTTTAAGGCTGGGCGACTAACACGCACGGGTATTATGGCCCACTACGTAATTGATGAGGTGGATAGGGGTGCTCCTATCGTGGTTAAAGAGGTTGAGTGGAAGGGAGAGGAGCTGGAAGAGTTCAAGGAGAGGATGCATGTCCATGAGCACGAGCTGATCGTGAAGGCAACGGCGAAGGTGGTGCAGGAGATAGTGGAGGGCAGGGGAGCGTAAGCCCCGAGACGCCCCAAAATCCTTGAGCTGTAGGTATATGTTACTGCAACAACCTTCGTTATGAAATTAACATGCCCCTTATAGGAGAATATGGTCTGAGATGTTGTCTGTGGGGTGGTGGTTGTGTAATACGGGTTTCTGGTTTTTGGGGCCCTTATCCTTGGGCAGCACCAAAGAGGCCAAAGTGTATATGTCTAACTGAGGTGTACACAAGCTATAAGCCCCCCCCAATGCCGTTCGATAGATACGTCGGCCACGCGATCATTGCGTCACAAACATTGTTGCGTGATCACATCGTCTGGATCGCAGGATGGGAAGGGCCTTTAGAATTCGCCCTGACCTTGACGATAGCACTGATAAGGGCGAGAGGTCGACAGCCGCATAATCACGTGGCTAGGCCTACACCTACACCTCAGGCACCGGCACCACCGTTAGTGCGACCCCCTTGCTGCAGCATGGTAAATTGTACTCGTCTTGGCCTCAAAATTTCCACATCTGTCCAAAAAGGAGGCTGTTGTCACTCTCTATTTCCGAGATGAGGCCAGAAAAACCTCTCCCTATCAGTGATGAGTTTTCCTCGGCGGAAGAATACGTCGAAGAAATTCTTCGGTTTGCGAGCAATTCGGACATCTTTCAGTTGCTATGTGGTGGAGTCCATATTCTAGATTTCTTCACCAACGAACCAGGCCTGTTCTACACGGCTCTGCCGCAAGAATGGCAAGAATACCTGTTACAGTGCGAGCCCATGGTCCTGTTGGACGTGCTCATGCGAGATGACTTGGAATCACTCCCCTCCGGTCCCGGAAGGCCGCCAGAGTCTCTCATCCAATATGTCAAGGACATACGGAGGCTCTCCCTGCGGAGGACTTTCTCGCCGAGGAAATACAAGCTGTCCGCCCTCCCACAACGTGTCGCTATGGGGATGAAGCTGAAGAAGATCCACGAAGTCGCCAACTTCGCGGGCTACGTCGACTCGCTCGCGGACGGGTTCGCGCAGAGGACCGGCAAGGAGCTGACCCATTTCGTAGACTTTGGGAGCGGCCAGAATTACCTCGGGCGAGCCCTGGCCGGCGATCCCTACAATAGGCATATAGTAGCTGTCGAAGGCAGGGAGTCAAACATCGACGGCGCAAGACGTCTAGATGTGTTAACCGGGGTGGCGGAAAAGGAGAAGGTGATGCGGAACAAGAAGCTCTACATGCGGGCTCTAGAGAGCCTAGATCCCGCCCGGAAAAAAGATGGGGAGGCGTTGAAGAAGGCTGCCGAAGCCCTCAACTTTACCCCCGAAGAGATCACGGCCACGGACCTGAGACCCACCAAGGAGCTGCAGCTCACGTATACGCCCGAAGAAGGCAAGGGCTCCATCCGCTACGTGATCGGCCAGCTAGAGAACGCGGATCTGAAGGACGTGGTGGCCCAACTACGAGAGCCCGGTGGCGGCGCCGGCGGTGAGGAGAGAGACCTCCGCATCATGGCCATGTCCATCCACTCGTGCGGCAACCTCTCCCACTACGGCATCCGCTCGCTAATCCTGAACCCGTGCATCCGGGCGGTGGCCATCGTCGGCTGCTGCTACAACCTCATGACCGAGAAGCTGGGCCCGCCCGCGTACAAGACGGCCGTCAACCGGCCCAGCCTGCAAGCCGTCAACGGCCGGGTGGTGCGCGAGTCGGAACGCCGCGACCCGCAAGGCTTCCCCATGAGTGAGCGGTTCTCGTCGTACGGCGGCCATGGGATAAGGCTGAACATCACGGCTCGGATGATGGCTTGCCAGGCACCGCTGAACTGGGGGGAAAGGGACAGCGACGAGTTCTTCGCGCGGCACTTCTACCGCGCGGTGCTGCAGAAGATCTTCCTGGACAAGGGGGTCATCTCCAGGGTCTACCACGGCGGCGTGGGGGAGAACGGCTCGTCGTCGGCCCCGTCACCGCCAGCCACGGGAGAGGACGACAGCCCGTTCAACTCGAGCACCAACCCAGTCATCATCGGGTCGCTGCGCAAGTCGTGCTACGGCTCCCTCGGGGCGTACGTCCGCGGCGCCATCGCGAAGCTGACGACCAACACCGACTACGGCCAGTACAGCACCGTCGTGGCACGGAAGATGGGCGACATGTCGGACGCCGAGATAGACGGGTACGAGGAGCGATTCCAGTCGCGAAAGAGGGAGCTCAGCGCCGTCTGGAGCCTGATGGCCTTCAGCGCCTGTGTTGTTGAGTCGCTCGTCGTCACGGACCGCTGGGCATTCCTCCGGGAGCACCAGGACACGGTCGCGGACGCATGGGTCGAGGCAGTGTTCGACTACAAGGAGAGCCCACGGAACTTGGTCGTCGTGGGGATCAAGAAGTAGGGTGGTGGCAGGCGCAGGATGGGGAACTGGGGTGGATGTCATGCGTCTTCTTCATTTTAGAGACCCAATAGGCAACTTTCTCCCACCTTCACAGACACCTTCATAGACACTTGCACAGAGACTTGGTGCCTAACCTCGTCGGGGCCGAGGACTGCTCCTCAGAGGTGCTTTGCCTGCCGAGAACAGCCGGAGACCTGGTGCATAGGGAGGGCCATGGGGGGAAGTAGGATTAGGTTGGATGGCCCACGTCGCACCGAGCATCGAATATCGAGCCCGTGGGGGTACCATAACTCGGGCCCAAGCTTGGGGGGGCACCCTTCGAAATACCAGGATTTGGGTGACACCAGGCTTCCCCTGCCGCAGGGATAGGGTATCGCCGGCTCTAGCTATCCAGCCTTTGGAATTCAGCAAGGCGACAAAAGGACTTTCACCTCCCCCCTCCCCCCTCCGAAAGACAAGCCTTGATGTCATGCATGAAGCGGCGTGTGGGGTAGATGTGTTGCCGCGCTACGTTGATCTAGCGCATCTCCGGATCTAATTTAGCAGCTGGAGCTCCGATAAGGATAGCGCCGCGGCAGTGGAACTTACCTCCTAACAGCCCAATGAGCAGTTCTAATATGCATAATCCACGTTTACGTGAGACCGATTGCAAGATAAGGACCAGACATTAATACCATTGTAATGTCAGCTGGTCAGAGAAACCCGGCTTCTATGCTGTCCTCGAAGCAATCCAGATCGGCCCGAGGGCCTGCTCTCTCAGCCGACAACTCGCGCAGCCCAGTTTTAGTTCAGCCACCTCAATCAAGGAGAGATCAAATCAGAGATGTGATGGGTAGCACCTTGGACCGGTACGTACTGAGTAGCCCCCGGTCCACTTGCCACCTCGGAGTCATCTTGTTGGACAATACCCATGGTGGTGCCAGCCCTGTGGTTGTTGGGTGGTGGTTGCAGGTACATACATCCCTAGGTAGGTATCTATCTACCTAGTCAACTAGGTATGTGTGGGGTCAACGGTGATAGAGCAATCCAGCCCTTTTTAAGTGACGCCTCTTCGTCAAACCTCGGGTGACGGAGCTGCAAGTGTCTGGATGAGGGAATTAGAAATCGCTTTCCCACCTTTGGGGGGTGGACATGAAGGTCATGCGACTCGGGATAGAGACGCTGGATATATCTCCTAAAGCCTGCAAAAGGAACCGGAGAAGCCGCATCGGGGAAAGAGGGATCGTCATCGAGCATTTCAATGGCCTTTCTTCAACTGTAGCCAAAGCAACAATAACCTATAGTAAGAAACCCCCACGATCCTTGCTCCACCATACCACATGCATGAAAGCTGCAGGCAAGACCTAAAGATCTCTAGCGGGGCATCCCCTTGACGGCATTCTATCTTGCAGATGGGTGGGAGGGGAGACGCTGAATACTCCACTGGTAGATACCACAGTAGAGTAATAAGACGCCATTATTATATATCCTGTTGTGCTTCCCACCTATCCCAGGTCTCTGCTGTACATACGTATACCTCCACCTCGCAGACACCCACACCCACACCCACACCCACGCCCACACATACATGCGCACACAGAGTACCTGGATAGCCCGTCTCCAAACTTGAGAATCACAAGGACTCCCCTACCTGACTGCTAGTCTTGGCCACCACCTCGTTTCGGGTTGCCGAGGGTGTGTTGCCTTGCAGCTTAAACAAACACCTGGAGAAGGGACGGACTCCGCAGAGCATTGGACATCAGACGCCTCGACATAGGGTTTCCCTGTTTTGAGCCATCGGGTCCAGTGTAAACTACCTGGTCATCTCTGGTATTGGTCATGCCGCAACTCTACTCGTGAGCCAGCTGTGTGAGTGGGTGTGTGTGTCAGCTAGTAATCGTCTTCTCGATTCTGCACCATCCATATTCTGCACCACGCAAGAGAACTTTCTGGTCACCTTCTCCCTGTCCACCTTGTGGCAGGACTTTCCAGGTTACTGCTTTCTGACCTGCCTCTTCTTAAAACTTCATTGCCTCCCCTAACAAGCTCCCTGCCCCCACCCAGGCAAAGACCATTGAACTGCAAATACCTGCTGCAGGAACAGAAAACAAAAAGCTTTGCCCAGTCCCCACAATAGATCTATTCAGAACATAGGTATTCAGCACAGGCAGGAAATGCTGGCTTGCAGGCTACTTTGGGCGACTGTGCTTTTCCAGGAGAATCTGAGGCCATCATGAATGCCCAAATATCATTCCTGGTGAGTAAAAAGCCCGCCTTGTTCAAGTTGCCCCCAGCCCCTTTTGGACAGCTTCGTCCCCCATTGCTCCCGCCCCGGCCCATCTCGGGAACCCGCTTGACTACCTGAGCCACCGACGACGGGACCCACTCCGGCCCTCACTCCCGCCCCTAACTTGGCCGTGGAGAAGGCCGGTGGCCGGTGGCCGTTTCTGTGGGCCGCAGATGCGGGCCTCCTTGACACAAGGCACTTGCTGACTGGGAGTTATAGGACGGGACTTACTCTCTCATCCACATCCCACTCAACCTCTACCCCCTCCTCCTCCAGCCGATACTGCAGATCCTCCTCCCTGCTAGCCAGGGCCTTCCCGAGCCCGAACTAGAGAGCAGCGTCACGGTCGACGACAGCCAGCACGGCTTCCTGAACATCAGCGTCACCCCCGTCGAGTGCTCCGTGGTCTGCCACAGCTCCTGGGCCAAGTCGGTGTTCGAGCCCGCCATCTCGCGGCTCCCGGGCGCCGCCGCCGGCACCGTGACGATATCCGAGGACTCGTACACCGTCTTCTCCGTCACCAGCGCCGGCATGGACGCCGGTTCGCGCGTCGTCGACCTGACCCTGCCCCTCGCCCTCGCCGGCATCCCCATCTTCTTCATCACCACCTACTACTGCGACTTCATCCTCGTACCCGCCAAGGACAGGGACGTCGTCGACCAGGCCCTGGTCGACCGTGGCTTCGAGCTCTCGGAGGACCACTCCTCGCTCAGGTCGCCGGCCGGCGGCCTCATCCACCGCACCAGGAGCATCACCCCGAGCCGGACCCCCGGCGGCGGCGGCGGGCATGCGCCACCGTCCCCGCCGCCGTCCGAGGCCGGCGAGCTGCAGGACGGGACCTTTGAGCTGCTCAAGCGGCGCAACGTGGTCCCGCGCGTCGAGCCCGGCCTGCGCCTGGTCCAGTGCTCGGGGAGGGAGAAGTCCGCGGCCGCGGCCGCAGCCGAGTACGAAAACCTCCTCCTCCACCACCACCAGCAGCAGCGGCAGCAACAGACGCGGCCGTCGATCAGGCGGAGCCAGACGGCGGGCGATACCCCGGGGGGCGGGCGGCCGCGGAGCTGGGTGGACCGGGTGGACACGCGCCTGTACGCGGGGCTGGTGTCGGCGCTGGCGTCGCGGCCGCGGTTCCTGTCGGTGACGCTCGCGCAGGGGGACCCGCCGTCGCTGCTGCTGGACCGGTCGCTGCTGGGGGCCTTCTTCGGCGACTCGCTCGTCGGCGACACGGACGGCGAGCTGGTGCCCGTGTTCCTGGACCTCGTCAACCTGTCGTTCGAGGCCACGGGGATAGTGTCCGGCGTGGCGGGGAAGCTGGTCGAGGAGATGCAGGGCCGCGACGGCGGCGTCCAGCTGTCGTACCTATCCACCGCGCGCGCTGGCGCTGTCATACTGTCCTCGGAGCGGTCGGCCCGGGCGCTGGAGATACTTGGGCCGTTGTTGTCGAAGGAGTGAGTGGGTTCCTTGTGCATTTGCGGGGAGCTAAAGGGGGACGATAGTCTTGTTGTGCTTGGGAAGGAAGAATGAGTTATCCGAGGTTGTGAATTCCCAACAGTGACGAACGGTCTGGAAAAGTGGTTTCAGGAGTCTTGATTTGCAGAGGTCTGCCAAAAGTTCTGGGCATCATCTGGACAAAAATCAGAGTCGTTGGTCGAATTGGCGTTTGACAATGGCGGCCAGATGTTTTTTGATACTAGATACCCAACCAGCCAGAGGCGAGCAATGGAGCTTTCTCGAGTGGATGAGGGACCCGGTACTTCTGCGGCGAGGCAGATACCATATTGAGTGATGAATCTTGGAACAAAGCCCCAGTCGAATCAACTCTTGCCATGGCCTTTCTTCTTCGTGGCGGGTTCCGTCACCAGTCCGGCCTTCACAAAGGCGTCTCGGGCAGCGGTATTGATTAGAGCAAACCGGCGGGGGCCGAGTTTCTGCCCGCCGTACCAACGAGTGACGACGACCATGGTGTCCCAGAGTTCCATTAGCTGCATCAGGTGGAGCAGCCTCCCCCCTGCCGCGGTCTCGCCGTCGTCGTCACAATCCTGGAAGGACGTGCCGTTGGGCCCCCTGATGCGCCAGGCGGTGATGTTGTGAGTGGCGGAGCGCACCCTCTTATCGGAGGTCAGGAGATGCTGGACGAAGAGGGCGGCTTCGTCGGGAGAGGAGACGGCGGCGCAGCGGGCAATGAAGGTGGACCTCAATTCAACGACGGGGTCTGAGAGTACCCAGGGAGGTTCCTGGATCGAGAGCGTGGGGGGCGAGGGCACATCATCGACCTCATCTCCATTCTCCTCTTCTACATTTCCCGCTTGCTGAAGACCTGCGTCGAAGCCCGACTCCTCCTCCAGAAGCTCCTTAAGCTTCTCGACCGCGTCGAACAGACAGACTTGGCCGGGCTGGTAGACGGCTGCGACGGCGTCGCGGAAGAGGCCGAGATCGCGGGCTGCGACGCCGCGCCTCCCGTGTTCGCCGGAGCTGTGAGTCCCTAGCACGGCGGGCGGCGCATCCGGGTACATCGCCGGGAACTGCAGCTGGAGAGACGACGTCTCGTCGGGAAGACTGAGGATGTAGATGTTCGGGTCTTGGTCCGACCTGACGAGGCAGCCGTCCCCGTAGATCGAATTGATCGCCTCGACCTCGTCGTTCAATTCCTCCGACATTGCTAAGATGTGCTGAGTAGGGATAATAAGGTGGTTTCTGCGGGGTCTCTTGAGACTCTGGGAATTCCGAAAGAAATTCGAAATCTACCTACCTGCCTAGAGCCAAGACGACAAAGTGGGCCCTCACAACTCACACAAGCCTCGCCCGCCGGGAGTTACTCTCAAGGCCAAATTGCCTACTCACGATATATCGTGCCAATTCTAAACGGGTTGTTCAGTTCATTGAGCCCAGTTAGTTCTGAACAACTTCATAGGCTCACTTATGAATGCCAACACCGCGATTTACCAAGTAAGATGACGGCAAACTGAAGTGCCACATTCAATACCCGGGACATAAGGCATGCAGAGCACGCTGAAAGAACACCTTTTAAACTCTGGTGTTTCCCGCGAGTTACCACACCCAAGCTTGACCCCGGGTGGATGAGTCACGTGACGATATGTGCAGCTGCTCGGTTTCGGCATTGTGCAGTAACGTCGGAGTTGATGGAGAGCTCTGTCGTCACGACTTGCATTGCGAGCGAGGGGAAAACAGGCCGCGGCCACGCGCGAAGGCGACTAACATGGAATCCTAAGCCCCGCCAGGAGTATATGTTACCCCTAGGAGGCGAAGGCCTGCATACAACCACGACCTCGCCGCCGCCAAGGCGGGAAAACGCATTCCCGTGCACCGCCCCCGGGCCGTGGGCCCGATCTCTCCTCTTCCTCCTCCTCCAACCTCCTCCTCCAACAAGTGTTCGAGTGGCACACCCGGGGGCCCACATCGTCGATCACGTCCTCGGTCTGGAGAGGAAGAAGGAGAATGCCGGCCAGGCGGCGGCATGGAACGCGGCGAGCACGACGTCGTGCAATCACTGGCACCTGATCGGGGGTTCCAGGTGGACTTCTAGACATCTGGAGCCCTGCATTTCAATCAGTCTCCTGGGGCTATGCACTGGCACCTGCGTCTCTTTTGCCTCAAAGGCGCATTCGATTGGCTCTCAGGCGATCGGTGTCCAAACGATCGCGTTATGGGCCGATTGAGACCAGCCACTCGGGAGACCTCAATTGCCGCCAGCATGGGCTCGCTATAATTGGCCTATCTCCACTCATCTCATGGCTTGTCGCAGTTTCATACATTTCCATGTGCTGCTATCCGGCACAATCAGATGGATTCTGAAGAACTTGGCTAGACCAGAAGAGCTAGGTAACTTGATCTGATGACTACATATTTAACAGAGCCGATCTCCAGTTGAGCGGTTATTTTTAAATGAAGAAGTCTTCATCGAATTTTGTCATTTGTAGTGTCCAGGCTAGGACAGAGGATGAAACCATGAAACAGCTGGAGAAGTGTATTTTGAGAAAGTATGACAAGTCATTGGCGCTTAAGCAAGGCCCCGCGGCTATGGCACCACCATGCAGGTCTCAATCTTGGACCTGCATGCTCTCCTCTGGGCAGGATTGCTCTCCTTCCTGGACTCCTTTGCTTCTTATATCTGAGGGTCGGCCCAGTCTTGGTCTGCCAACTCCCACCCTCTTCTTTTCACATGTATTGCCTCTCTAGTCCAGGGAAGCCAGGCTTGATGCTGGGCTGGATCTAGTTCCAATGGTCTTCCGGTTCAGTCCGGACCCCTCCAAACGCCAAGATGTTCAGCATCCTGAACCTTGGAGTGGTGACGCTTCCACGGACCTAGCCGAAAAGAAGATAACCTATTCGAATCCGACCCTCTCTTTCGATCGAGAGGGTCCACAGACTACAACAGGTAAGTCTTTTTCTTTCGATATTCTTTTGGCTGGCGAGTAAGGCTGAAAATAAGTAGCAGGATGGAGACCCTACACAATGCGGGCACCAGTCCTGGTTCCGTTCATTCTTGTCTCGCTCTTTTTGGCCGCAATCATCGAGCTTTTGGCCCAGAAAAGTAAAAGGGAAGGTGGCCTCTCACTCTCCCCAGATCCGGATGAATCACCAGCCGTGATATTCTACAGCCGATACGCGCCGACAATTGTTGCCGTCGTCTACAGCTTATGGTGGACATGGATCGACCTCGATATCCGGAGAATGCAGCCATGGCTCGATCTATCCCGTCCGGCCGGCGCTCCGGCCGAATCCACGCTGTTCCTTGATTACCCCTTCGAGTTTCTGGCTTTCATTCCTTATAGAGCTGGCAAGAGAAAGTATAGTTTGCTCATTCTTGTCGGAGATGACGAGACTGACTTGGTGTCGTAGGCACTGGTTAGTATTCCTTGCTGGAACGATCATGATGGTCATTTTTTGGGCCATTACACCTCTTCAGAGCGCTGTTTTTGGAATTCAGCCGGTTATTTTGAAGGAACATGAGCTCATGGGAGAGAGTGCGCAACTGGCGAATCTCAGCCAGCAACTGGACGCTATGGACGCCTCAATTCTCAACGACGCCTATGCGACTACGTGGCTTGGGCAGCCACTTCCCAAGTTCACGACTTCCCAGCATGTTTTTCTGCCACTGAGGCCAGTGAAAAAGAGAGAATCATCCCTACCTGATGAGACCTGGACGACAACAGCTACGGCTCTGAGCACCGAACTTGAGTGTTGGCCAGCGATCGTGGACAAGACAGAGCTCCAGAATACCTTCGAGTTCGACAATGGCCAAGGCTGCAAAGCTAATATCAGTCTATTCTCCAGTTCTCGGGCTGATATGAACAGCAGCGTGGGCTACTCGGTTATTTACGTCGGTTATCATATGGAGGCACACCTTGACTGGTTTTTGCAGGGTCCTGACTGCAGTCAAGAAGCATCGCACCAGTTTCTGGCTGTGTGGGGACGACGGCCCAAGGACTCGAATGTTGAAGCTGTGACGGGTCTTTTCTGTGAACCTCATTACTGGAAACAAAATGTGTCAGTCACCATTTCTGCCCGAGACCAGCGACCGATCGAAAGCTCCGTTGTCCCCGTGGATCGACTTGAACGTCTAGAGGAGACGGAATTCAACGCAACTGCTTTCGAATATCTTCTTGGCACCGGGGTCTCGCCGAAGGAGTTCCGTCGTGATTATCCCAGAGACAGAGTGCCCGACCAATACGCGGCCTTGTTCAAGACAAATATCATTTGGCCAGTCACTAACATGGTGGGCTTTGCAGTCGGGGACATGAACTATTCATTGGCAGATCTTCAGAGCTCTGCAGCTCTGCATGAGGTCTTCTCCAACGCACACAAGAAGCTCTTCTCTACCGCCATCCCGGCAATGCTCAACGCGGCTGAACACCTGGCATCAGAGAGGTCCGGCACAATCCAATATACCCTTTATGGCATCGTGGTGAGCAGGCCCATCGCTCTAACTTTGGAGATTCTCCACATTCTCGTCGGTGTACTCGTCGGTGTCGTCCTCGTCTCGAGCTCTCAGGCACGAAGCAATCTCATCAAGGACCCGACAGGTATCGGTTCTTTGTTGGGAATATTCAGGGAGAGCGACTCACTTTTGAAGGATTATGCCTCCAAGGACCGTTATGACGAAACCACCTTACGCAAAAGTGCCCACGAATATCGTTACGGTCTCGTACGTCACGACACACTCCGAGGGAGCAGCTTGCGGATCGAGTTATCGACGTCTGTGACAAGCGACGATCCTAATCGGGATACCGTCAAAGACGAGGCTTGCCATCCAACACGCCACACAGCATTGCAACCTTTAAGCGGGGTGGTGTTTGTTGGGTCCCTTGTGGCTGGCATGGTGGTGCTCCTCTATCTGAAGAGAAAAGAGCAGCTTCTTGGCGGTTCGTCTTATCCGGGCCTCCCATGAGAAGCCAAGCTGACTGATTTTAGGTCTTCCGCGACCAACCGAGAATTTTGAGGTCCTGCAACTGCTCGAAAACTACGTCCCTACTGTGTTTGCTACTTTGGTAGAACCGTTCTTGGTTCTGCTGAACCGCCTCCGTTGCATCTTGCAGCCATTCCATGACTTGCGCAAGGGGAACAAGTCGGCCGAAAAGACTCTGGAAACCCCGTACACATCTCTCCCTCCACAGTTCACCCTCTGGAATGCACTGAAATCAGGCCACCTGATGTTAGCCAGTCTATGCGCTCTGTCTTTGCTAGCGAATATCTTTGCTGTGGCTCTCGGTGCCATTTTTAACGAGCTACCGATAGCGGCAGGTTATCCCACGGCGCTTCGACAAACACAACTGCCGGTTTGGGGACGCTCAATATTCATCGACACTCCTCACATTCCTCAGGATCACTTCTATGTCACAAAGGCCAACCTCTCTTTGGGAACACGACTCCCGGCGTGGACGGATCCGAAGTTCGGCTATTTGCCGTTCGCTGAACTCGCTCAGAAGGACGACAATAGCTCTTCGACCTATCGAGCACAGACGAGGGGCTTTGGCGTCGAGTTCAACTGCTCACGTCTTTCCACATCTCCTGATTCAAACCCCTACGTTAACTATACCCTCCAAGACGATGGCCTCCAGGATCTTGTCGTGCGATACGCGACCGAGAATGGGTCGATTGCCCACTGCTCCACATTCAAAGGGATCAAGGGGACCCCGGCACTTAACATCAGTCTCGGTGCCGCTCCTGGATATTTGGCCCTGGAGCTTGTCACTCCTCTAGTTCCTCTGCAGGTGCTTAACAAAGACAAGAGCCGATCGGAGGTTACCGAGGACTGGGACATGTGCAAGCGGAAACTGCTCCTGAGCTGGTGGAGGGTCGATCCGACCGACAGGAATGCCAGTTTGAGCGCCGTTCACCTCCAGTGTGTTCCCGTCTTTCAGACCGCGGTCTTTGACGTCGTCGTGGACTCGTCTGGCTACGTTTTGGAGTCCGCCAGAGTCGGGGATTTCGACAACATCAGCAGCCTTGACTGGGATCAGACGCAAGATCTTCTTGCCGACGGGGTCAATATCATTGGACAAGGCGCATCGATCGCGAGCGACTCGACTTCCCTTAGCCGGGCCGACGCGTCATGGCACAACGACACACTGACGAGGGACTGGGTGAACTATCTGCTGAAAGTTGCCATGAATACTTCGAGACTGGTCGATCCCGACGAGGCCGTTCCCGACCCGGCATCGATCATCGTGGCAGTCCAGGACCTATACCAGCGCTTCTTCAGCAACTTGCTGGGCCGAGACCCGACCCTGTTCAAGACCGCGACAGCACCGGTGGAGATAACGGGGACGAGGACGGTCCTCGAGACGAGGATCTTCATGGATCAGACGGCCTTCGTCATCACCATCATCATCCTCTGTCTGAACATCATCGTGGCGACGATGCTGTACATCCAGGAAAGGAAGCCGTTCCTCCCACGGCTGCCGGCAACCATTGGCTCCATCTTGGCCTACGTGGCGGCCAGCACAGCCGTGAGGGAATATGTCGAACCAGGAGAGAGAAGGATAAATGCTGGGCGTCGGAGGCCCGTCGTCTCGACCTACGGTTTTGGAAAATATGTCGGCGTCGACGGGAAGAATCATGTGGGTATAGAGGCGCATCCTTTTGTCGTGCCCTTAGACTGGGAGACCAAGCTATCAAGCAAGGAGCCGTTCAGCTTGAGGAAATGGTTCAGACGTTTCGGCCACCCCAGGAGACATTTTGCGCTTGGGAAACGGTGAACTCGCGGGTTGCTTATGAATTAACTGGGTATCGATTTATTTCAATATTTATCATTCGTGTATTCGCCTAGGCTGTGTATAAGCAGTGACAATGTGCTCAACGTGAACCTCTGCTGTGTGTCTTGACCTCGGCCATCCGGAACAAGCCAAATGGGACAAATAACCTTTCGGATTCAGTGTCAGACTTTCCAGCAACCCTCGTCTGCCTGTATACAGCGTGCTAGAACTTGCCAATAAATTGCGTGGAAACAGCCGAAGTCTGTGGCCATGAATGAATGGGTGCCTTGGGAGTGGTTACAAAGCTAAAATGTAAGTTCTTATCTGACATGCCCAACTCACATCAAACTCGCAAACTCCCCTCCGTCAACTAGACCACCACGTCGGTTAAAATAAGCAATCCTACCTAATTAGCAACGGAGTTAGAATGCAAGACAGAATGTCAAGAGAGGGCGATGATAACAGGCACAGCGCCTTCTTTTATGGTACGCGACGGCCCCCTCTTGTCCCCGGCTAAATACGAATCTATGCGATCCATGATACTAACATGCAGTCTAGGCACTCTGGTAAGACAAGGACCGACCCGGTTTTCGAGGCCCCGTTAATTTAAAATGGTATTAATTGGATCTGCGACTATGGTAGATGGCCCCAGAGGTGTTTTACTCCGTCTGCTATGGCGACAAGGATGTGCACCCGTCTATCGCGGAGCTTCACAGCTTCCACCCCGCCGTCCTGCACGGGTACTGCCGCCGCCGAGTCCGGTGGGCCGACTACCCAGGGGTTATCGAGGATGCGAACCACCAGGTGTTTGGGACGTATGCTACAGGCTTGACAGACGCGAACATGCAGAAGCTAGACACCTTCGAGGGCAGCGAGTACGTACGGCGCAAGGTTAAGGTGAGGCTGCTGGCCAAGGTCGGCAACGCCAAGGGGGAAGGCAACGTCGAGGGCGAGGAGAGGGAGGCCGAGGTCTACGTCTTCATTCGCGAGAACGAGCTCGTGGACAGGGAATGGGACTTTGAGGAGTTCCGCCGGGAGAGATTGGGACTCTGGACCCGGGGGGTTAGAGATTAGGACTTCGGGACGAACATCTCGGTGTACTTGCGACAACGATGTCCAAGTGGAAACTCAGAAGCCATGCAAATTAACCGGCAGCTTGGCGTCAAGGAGAACCACCGACACAACTTGGAGTAGAATTAACTGCGGAGTAGATATCTACCTAATCCTACACTAGATATTAGACCAGGGAAGCGGTGCAACGTGTCTTGACACTTCATTCTCTCAGTGTCCTCCTCCCACGACCCATGCTACGTGGAGTGCTTGCCTCGACAGGGGGAGCCTGGCGGCCTCTTCCCGAAAGAAGAGGAAGGAAAGAGAGAGAGAAAGAAATAACCTAGAATGCAGGGGAACCTGTGAATGTAATGTAGGGATACATAAGGCAGCAAAACGTATTGACCACCCGCTCTTGCCGATTCTGATCGTGACAATGACAGCAAACCTCGGTGCCCTCTGAGGCTGTACCCAACCCATGCCAATAATGGTTAAGTTGCACGTGCGACCCAGCTTTCTCCCATCTCCCCGTATTGTTGCCGGCGGCCGCAAAGGACCGATCCCGGTTGAAGATCATGAATGTAGATCATGATAGAAACGGCACTGCGCCACGACCCCTCGGCCCCTTCATTACCAAAGCTCGGCCAAAAATAAAGATTACCTATGCGAACTTCATGCTTGGCTTTCAAAATGCGGAAAACTGTGGTTGCATGGCATGGGGCAGTACCTTTACCGCCGCTCGGTTACGACGTACAGCAACCCTGAAAGGGTTCTCCATTGCGAGCCAATCCAACCCAGAAGGAGCACTCATGCTTCAAACGGCTGAGCGTGAGAGTCGGCCCAAATCAACCAGAATCAGCCATGCCAGCATCCGACGTCACTTCTAGATCAGCCGGTCGCAGAACCGGCCGCAGGAAACAACAGCTGGCGAGGAAACATTGGGTCTAACGATAATCCGGAAGACCAATGATGGAAGAGCGTCAATACGCAAACCAATAGACAGCACAACACGAGTCATTTCTGCAATCGGCTCTTGGTTTCGCGCCCAGGCGATCTAAATCCGCTGGCTCTGGTTGTTCCTGAATCGCTTCAAAAAATCTTAGTCCACTAGCACACTGGCGTCTTCTCCATTGGTAAATGCCCAGAGGTAACATTGCTGGCAAAATGGAGATGACTGGTGCAGGCACGTCAGATGAAACAAGTCCCCTTGTTAGGCTCGTTTCACTAGCTCAATAGACGATCCACTCGGCTATCCCAGCTGGGGGCAAAAGAAGAGAAAAAGATGCTTGTCAACGCCACTCACACCTGTGTGACAGCTGTAAGGCGAGTGGCGCCACTTGACTCGTCCCAACTTGCCAGCTAGTTTTCTGACCCTGCACTAGTTGTGGAGTCAACACCACCATTTCGCCAAACTCTGAAGCACTTTTCATCATCACCATCTGACGCGACTCAGCCAGTTGGTTTTCTAAGAGTCTTCCAACCCCAGGCTTTCCGGGTCCAGACCCAAGGAACGCTAACCCCGAAAACTAACTATCCACTTTTTGTCAGAACAAGCTTTTTTTTCTGGGGATAGACGGTGGCTTTGCGAGTCAGTCTTGTCATTGTGAGGAATTCGGTGTGGCACGGAGGCTGAGGTTTTCAGAGGAATCCCATGCCTGCCCGGATTCCATTGTTGGCGTAACCCCTGGTTGGGATGCAAGTGGAGGTAACCCGCAACCTCGACCCCGCCTTCCCAATGCCGTAGCCTGACCCTCGTAGCCTGACCCTTGAAAACCCTTGTCACCCGGACCTCCTTTTTCACCCCTGACTCCTTAGCGCACTTTTATCAAAGGCAGCGTCGTAACTAGGCGTGCGCCACATGAGAAGCCAGCCTTAGCGAGGCACCGTTCCCATGGCACTGACGGCCGTCATTGGCGGCCGCTGCCCCAGCTCGGAAACGTCATGTTGGTACTTCTCTGAAGAAAAAAAAACGAAAAAAAGAAAAAAACTCACAAATCGCCTCCGAAAAAATGGGAAAAAATTATGGACCTTGTCACCGCATCGTTTGCCTGGAAGGCCATGTCCTACGGGAATCAAGCACTTTTTCTACTGAATTCCGGATAGGGGCAGTGCTTAGAGTCTGTGTCTTGAGCGTTCGTCCACATACAAACTTGCGGTCAAGGCATTTTTCCGTCTCCCCATCAGCCGCTTCGTAGCTCTCTCCCTGCAAAGTCGTCGTGTGGTTTGCAGGGTAGGGGGCGTGGCTTCTCCGCTTGATCCTCCGCGCGGGCTTCCCAAGTCGAGTCTAGTCAGGGGCAAATGCAGCTTCTTTCCGTAGCTCGTCCCGCCCATTGCGCAACGCCCAAGCGAGTGATGCAAGGGAACCATGTCCTATCATCCCTCTTTCTTTTTTCCTCTCCCTACCTACCCAAAGACAGTTGTTGCCATCGTGGCCCACCACGACAGTCGAAACATAGCAGCGAGAGTCATGTCAGCCTATCATCCCCGACCGTCTGACATCCCCATCCTCTTCCTTGCTAGTCTCGCCCGAGTCATCCCATCCACATTACTCGGACCTGGTTGCGCTGAATGTGATGAACCATGCCTAGTGGCTACTGCCCACGCTCCTTGATGTCCAAGTGGGTGTCCCAAGTGGGTGTCCATGTGGACCTCCCGATGCTTGTTCGACTCGCTCCCTCTTCTATCCAATCAATATTGGATCGTCGTCTGTTCCTGCAGCGATCCCTTCCAAGCTCCGGATCCACGCCGGGGACGTGGCTACCTGCCCCTTGACTAGCTTGGCTCCCTTTTTTGGTCCTCCTCTCAGACTCTGATCGCCCTTGGCCATCCAGTATAAGAGGCATGCTCGATCCCTTCCAAGACATCTCCTTTCGTTTCCTCACACTCACCATCTTTGCGACAACTTGAGCTGCCCTCACTCCTTCAAGGCTAGACCTCACTTTTCTTCGCTGTTGCTTGCACCGCCTGGAGCAGTACCTTCCTTTCAGAAGCAACTTGGAATAAGCATCTTGCTTAATCAATCTTCGACTTACCGCAAGTCAAACACCTCAGTCTCGACGACTACATTGCAGCTCAAGGCTTGACCTTACCACCGAGGATTTTTCGTCTGGAACGATTAGAATCTCAACCCGCAGTTTATCCATCAATATGTTCTTCCAGAAGACTTACACCGCCATCTGCGGCTTTGCCGCCGTGTCGAGCGCACACATTGTCCTGTCATCCCCCAAGCCGTTCGCGGGTACCATCAGCTCTCCCCTCGATGCGTCTGGCAGCAACTTCCCTTGCCAAATGGCCTCGCACTCCGGAGAGGCCGCCACCATGTCCCTCGGCTCCTCGCAGGAGCTGGCCTTCATCGGCTCGGCTGTTCATGGCGGAGGGTCTTGCCAGGTGTCGATCACCTACGACACGAACCCGACCAAGGACAGCGTTTGGAAGGTGATTCATTCCATCGAGGGAGGATGTCCCGCCCAAGGCGCGGCGGGTAACCTTGGCAACGACCCCACCCAGCCTGTCCCTTTCACGTACAACTACACCCTTCCCGCGGACATTCCTTCCGGTAGTGCCACCATTGGTTGGACCTGGCTCAACAGGATCGGCAACCGCGAGTTCTACATGAACTGCGCTGCTGTCAGCCTCACCGGCAGCGGTGGATCGCAGTCCAACTACGAGGCCTTGCCCGACATGGTTGTCGCCAACATCCCCTCGATCAACTCTTGCAACAATGCCAACCTCGAGGGCAAGGACTACCTGTACCCGAACCCCGGCAACTCCGTCGAGAAGCACCCCTTCACCGCCAACAACCTGGCTCCCTTGGACGGAGACTGTGGCCCCAGTGGCTCCAGTGGCTCCAGTGGCTCTAACGGCAGCTCAGGGTCTGCGCCCCCTGCCTCCGCCGCTGGCAGTGATTCTCCAAGCACTACCTCCAGCGTTGCCGCTGGCACAGGTCTTCCGGGTGCTGTCTTCATCACCCGCCCCAACAGTGCCGCTGCCTCCCAGCCACCTGCCGTCTCGACACCGTCGGTTGATGCCCCCTCGGCTGCGGCCCCCGCCTCGACTCCCAGCGTCTCTGTTGAGAACCAGGCGGCTGCCCCGCCTGCTGCCACCGCATCCTCTGCTGGCAGCTCGTCCGGCTCAAGCACTGGTGCTCAGACAGCCGGCTCTGCCTGCAGCCCAGAGGGCCTCTGGAACTGCGTCGACGGCAAGTCATACCAGCAGTGCGGCAGCGGTGTCTGGACTCCCGTCATGCCACTCGCTGCCGGCACCACTTGCACCGGCGGCCAGGGATCCAACATCAACATCTTCGCCGCCAACGGCAAGACTCGCCGCTCGATGCGCTTCCGGTCTTAAAGCCCGCAGCCTGTTGGGGTGACCATGTCAGGGCTGCCGCCTCTGTTTGGATATGAGGATTGGCATACCCTTGTGACGTTCTTCTCTGTACATATATGGATGTTTTGAACTGTCCAATCTTTCTTGTCTTCTGATCTTGTACAAATATTAGAATGGGACGGCCTCTTAGGTCAAGGATGGTGTTTTTTGTTGGGCTTGGGATAAGCCCCCTTCCATGGTCTGGTAGACAAACCACGAATCTACAAAAAGCCTTGTGCTACTATGATACATCTTCAATCTGCATACTGTCACAGAATATTTTAATCATGACTTGTGATATCTGATGGCTGCTGAGGAGTCGCAATGAACAGGATGTGTTTGTCGGGATCCTTTCGACCAGGTTGCTTGTCTTGCCTAAGACTGAGACACTGTTCATACTTGTGAAACACTTGTAAGAGATTTATTCTAGCCCAATTGCCATTCTCTTCTTCTAAGACATGGCCTGTGAGACTCACTGCTTTGGAGATGATAGAATCTTGGGAAGATTCCTGGCCTCACTCACAGAGGATGAAGAAAGTAGATTAGATTAGATAAGATTAAGGTTGTCCAATCATCTGCCTGCAATATTTTTGACTGGGAAGAGTGCACGGAAAATTGATGATCCCGCCCCTAGCGTAATTTGAATTGGCAACAGCAGTCCCCAGCTCCCTGGCCTGTCTGTCGCGCTCTGCGATTTTTTGATTCGACGTGTGGTGCTTGAGGCTGCGACTTTCCATTTTCGAGTCAACCCACCTTTTGACTTCCCTTTTTCCCCTTACCTTCCTCAATTCCAGTCCTCAACACTCATTTACTCTGTACACTTGCTCAAAGTGTTGGTGTGAATCGACCACTTATCTCTCATGCCCATCCGTGGGCCAGTTGTACAAGCTGGTCGACGAGGGGACTCACGGCTCTGGCCCTAAAAGCTCCAAAGCTCCGAAGCTCCTTGGTCCCTACCTACTTACCTGCCCTCTTCCACTCTCCCAGACTCTCCTACCGAAATCCACACCGGGCGCCATTCCGACAAATACACATGAATACCTAGGCGCCCATTGGATAAGTGGTAGATGTTGCAGCCATGTCAGGCAACACCATTGAGGATGTGGTCAAAAGGCTGAGCACGCCTGAGACAGGTAAGGCTTGTTTTCTCTCTCTGCCGTCTGCCCAAAGTTTCGCTCTCGGATCCTGACATATCCTCTAGAACTCCGGGTCAAGGCAGAAGCTGCGACAACACTGCGCGACAGTCTTGACCACTATGTCACCGGCCAGACCTACCCACTCTTCCTCAAGAGGATGATGCCCATCTTCCTCAACATTCTGAGAGGGCCATGCGTTTTCCACACGAAGCCACTAGACCAGGCGAACCTCCAGAAGCTGCGCAATTGCATCCTGGATATCCTCCACCGATTACCGACGAGTCCCAGCCCTCCCGAGCCCTTTGAACCGTTTGCCGAGGAGGTCGTGGACCTTCTCATGGATCTGGTCAGAAATGACAATGAAGACAACGCAATCCTTTGTGTGAAGATTGTATCGGATATCATGCGACACCAGCATAAGGTGCTGGCCGGCAAGGTGCAACCGTTCTTGAATTTGATTCAGGAACTATTTGATCAAGCGGGCCGAGTGGTGCGTGAGCAGCTTGACAACACCCCAGCCACGGGGAATCTGGCTGGGAATCTTCCCGGGGCACCATCCACCCCTGGGAGTTCTCAGACTACCTTCCTGCAGCACCAGCAGTCCCCTCGGCCGGGTTCTCCTGTGGTCCCAGGCCAGGACTTCGCCCCAGAGACTGGCCAGCAGCCTGGCCGGCCCCTGCTGAAAGGAATGCAATCCTTCAAGGTCCTGTCAGAATGCCCCATCATCGTGGTGTCTATCTTTCAGGTCTACCGGAACACGGTCAACCACAATGTCAAATTATTTGTGCCTTTGATCAAGTCTGTCCTTCAACTTCAGGCTACGGCCCAGGAGCAGGCACACAAGGATGCCGCAGCCAGGGGCACCATCTTCACCGGGGTCAGCCCAAACATTAAGAATCGGGCAGCCTTTGGGGAGCTTATCACTGCCCAGGTTAAGACTATGAGCTTTCTGGCCTATCTGCTCCGCCAATACTCCCAACAACTAAGCGACTTCCTCCAATACCTCCCCGATATTGTGGTGCGACTTCTGAAGGATTGCCCACGAGAAAAATCGACCGCCCGGAAGGAGTTGCTCGTTGCTATCCGCCACATCATAAACTTCAACTTCCGGAGGATTTTCCTGCCAAAGATCAACGAGCTTCTAGATGAGAGAATCCTGATCGGAGATGGCCTCACCGTCCATGAGACTATGCGGCCGCTAGCCTATAGTATGCTAGCGGACCTGATTCACCACGTCCGGGACAGACTTGAACCCGATCAGATCCGAAAAACGGTTGAAGTCTACACGAAGAATCTGCAGGACAACTTCCCGGGGACGAGCTTTCAGACGATGAGCGCAAAACTCCTCCTTAACATGGCGGACTGCATCGCGAAGCTGCCGAATAAGGTGGACGCTCGCCATCACCTGATCATGATACTAAACGCCATCGGCGACAAATTTGCCGCGATGAATCGACAGTACTCGAACGCTGTGAAGCTCTCCAAGCTGCACAGCCAGCAGGCTGACGCGGCACCTGAATCTTACCTGGCGGATAAGGATCATCTCCCCGAGTGGGACGAGATCGACATCTTCACAGCGATGCCCATCAAGACTTCGAACCCACGGGATAGGGGGGCGGGCCCAGTCTTTGAGAACAAGTTCCTGTTTAAGAACCTTATGAGCGGTCTTAAGAGCACCTTCTACCAGCTGAAGACTTGCAATCCTGCACCTCCTATCGATCCCCAGAATGCCCCAGCTCATTGGCAAGATGTGTCGTACGGCTTTACCGCCGAAGAAGTCCAGGTCATCATCAAGCTCTTCCGAGAGGGTGCCTACGTCTTTCGATACTACGAAATCGAGAAGCCCGCGGCCGACTCGCAATATGCGTCGCCCGTCGAGTATATGGCTAACTTCTACATGGTCTCGAGCAGCAAGGAGGAGAAGGACTTGCTCGAGACATTCGCGACTGTCTTCCACTGCGTTGACCCGGCAACCTTCCACGAAGTGTTTCAGCAGGAGATCCCACGACTTTACGACATGATCCATGAGCATACGGGACTACTACACATACCCCAATTCTTCCTTGCGAGCGAGGCAACGTCGCCCAGTTTCTGCGGCATGCTCTTGCGCTTCTTGATGGAGCGTATTGAAGACGTGGGATCCGCGGACGTGAAGAAGTCGTCCATTCTCCTACGCCTCTTCAAACTAGCCTTCATGGCTGTGACCCTTTTCGCCAGCCAGAACGAGCAGGTTCTGCTGCCCCACGTGGTTGACATCGTCACAAAGTCTATTGAGCTTTCCACCAAGGCTGAGGAGCCGATGAACTACTTCCTCCTGCTCCGTTCTTTGTTTAGGAGCATCGGAGGGGGCAAGTTTGAGCACCTATACAAGCAGATACTCCCCCTGCTGGAGATGCTGTTGGATGTGCTCAACAACCTGCTGATGGCCGCCCGAAAGCCCGCAGAGAGAGACTTGTACGTCGAGCTCTGTCTCACCGTCCCGGCGCGGCTCAGCAACCTCTTGCCACATCTGAGCTTCCTGATGAGGCCGCTTGTTGTCGCTTTGAGAGCAGGCACCGACTTGGTCGGCCAGGGACTTCGAACTCTCGAACTTTGCGTCGACAACTTGACTGCTGATTACCTGGATCCTATCATGGCCCCGGTTATCGACGAGCTCATGACGGCGCTGTTTGACCACCTGAAACCGCATCCATACAGCCACTTCCACGCGCATACAACCATGAGGATCCTCGGCAAGCTTGGAGGCCGGAACCGAAAGTTCATGACCGATGCAACCCCCGTCTCCTTCCAGACCTACGCCGACGAGTGCTCAAGCTTCGACGTTCGGCTGATTGGGTCCAAACGGGACCGCGCATTTCCTGCACACATCGGCATCGACTTGGCGATTCAGAAGCTGATGGAGGCCCCCAGGGCCACTAAGGGTGTTCTGCCGAAACAATACGATCCATACTACAAGAAGCAAGCCCTGAATCTGATCAAGGCACAGGTGAAGCTGCGCATCGGTTTCGATACTCTGCCGGAAGACCTCCCTCGGTTAATCCGCCTCCAGGCCCAAGACCTGGTTGCCCGGAAGTCGGATGCCGACTTTTCCCTCTTTGAGACCTCGGACAAGCAACGCTCGATCGCGAAGAAAGCCGACGAAGAGGGCGTACTGAAGCGACTCATCAAGGCCGTCATGTTCGCGCAGTCAATCCCCGAATTCAAGGACGAAGCGGAAGCGATGATGTCGGGGCTCGCCCGCCACTTCACCATCATCGAAGTCGGGCGGGGTTTGGTCGACTTGAAGCGCGGCTCTAGCCCATTCAATGTCAAGGCTGGGGAAGGACCGCTGTACCTCGACACGCGGATCTTTTCAGACGCCCTCCTCGAGTGTCTCGCCTCCGACAATCCCGACGTGCGTGATGGGGCCGAGCGGACGATAAAGGAAATCCACAGCACGGCTGTGACAATTTTCGGCTCTCCCAACTACGTGTCACGGCTCGCCTTCTTCAGCAGCCTGGCCTCGACCTTCTGCCACGGCTGTTACGAGGAAGAATGGTTCACCAAGACTGGAGGAAGCCTCGGCATCAAGATACTCCTCACCGACGTGGACCTCGGAGATGTATGGGTTGCCACGAAGCAGATGGAGTTTATCCGGGCTCTGATGTATGTCATCAAGGACATGCCCCAGGACCTCCCTGAGAAGACTCGGAGATCGGCTCAGACCACGTTGGAGATCCTTCTCACGCGGATCACGAAGAACGCCAAGAAGGAGGATGCCCTGGCAACACCGGCCCAGCCGGGGCAGCAGCCGCAGAAGCAACCGCGCCTCGCCCAGCTATGCATGCTGCTAAACGGCGAACTTGCACACATGAACCGTCACGTTCGTGCCACAGCGAAGCGATCTCTCGAGCTCATCGCGAAAGCCACGGGGGCGGAGATATGGGAACTCGTTGAGCCCTACAAGGATCGGCTGCTGACTCCGATCTATGCCAAGCCGCTACGAGCCCTCCCTTTCCCCATCCAGATCGGGTACATCGACGCGATCACGTATTACATGTCGTTGAAGCCGGATTTTGTGGCCTTTGACGAGCACCTCAACCGGCTCTTGATGGAATCGCTGGCTCTCGCCGACGCCAGTGACGAGTCGTTGGCGGGAAAGAACCTCGAGTTTAGGACCCACGAGTTCATCGTGAACCTGCGGGTGTCATGCATCAAGATCCTGAGCACTGCCATGGGATTCGAAGGGTTCATGTACGGGCAGGCGAATCCGACCCGGAGCAAGATCGTGTCGGTCTTCTTCAAATGCCTCTACTCGGAGTCGAAACCAACCATCGAGGCAGCCAACGACGCCCTCAAGGCTGTCCTGTCCCACACGACTAAGCTTCCGAGGGACCTCCTTCAGGCTGGCCTCAGGCCCGTCCTTGCGAGCCTCCAAGACGCCAAGCGTCTCAGCACCCACGGCCTGGACAACCTCGCTCGCCTGCTTCGCCTGCTCACGACCTACTTTAAGGTAGAGATCGGCTCGCGGTTGCTTGACCACGTCAAGGTCATAGCCGAGCCAAATGTCCTGCAACAGATCTCGTTCACCTTCTTTGAGCAGAACCAGCAGATGAAGGTCATCGCTGCCGTCTTCAACATATTCCATCTTCTGCCTGATCAAGCGAGGCAGTTCAAGGAGCGGGTGATCGACGCAGTCTTGGACCTGGAGGAGAAGCTCCGAAGGACTCACCACAGCCCGTTCCGTATTCCGCTCTACAAATATCTCAACCGGTACCCGCCCGATATTTGGGCATTCCTCCTGAGTAAAATCGAGGAGCCGAAATATGGCCGCTTCCTCGCCCAGGTCTTGCGCCACCCAGACAGCCAGCCGCTCAGGGACTACGGGGCTGCCAACGTGGAGATCCTGGTCAAGGCCTGCAGCGAGGTCTTGGACAAGGACACCAAGTTCGCCGCTATCATTAACACCATCAACATCCTGCACGCCCTTTGCCAGTATCCCAACATAGAGATCAAGGAGCACGTCGACTGGTTGAAACAAGTCGGCAGGGATCTCGAGCGGAATCTGAAGGCACACACCCTGCCCCCGCCCCTGCGACTTGCCGCCAACCAAGCTGCGGAACAGCTCATGTTCATCTTTACAAAGTCTTTCGAGCGGAATCCTGAGGACCTGGATCCCCTCTTCAGCCTGGTTGAGTCGATCACCGCGGATGACTTGCGAGCCACGCCGGACCTTTTCTCGTATCTCTACCGGAACATCATCTGCAGCGAGTCTATCGACTTTTGGAGGACCACAGTACTTCGGTGCCTCGATGTCTATGCTGGGAAGAGCGCCAGCCAGAAGACCAAGTGTTTCTTGCTGCACAACATCGTCAACCCGATCGTGGCAATGGACGTGATGCGCCATTGGAACCGGCCGGTGCAGCATCAGCGGCTTCTGGACAAGACGGTCATCGACTCCATCAACACCAAGATCTGGAGGGCGAATCTGTCCGACCCCCAGGAAGACCTTCTCCAGCCTGGCATCGATCACACGCGGATGGAGGTCCTTCAGCTCTCCGCCATGCTTGTCAAGTACTACCACCTTATCTTGGCAGACGCTCGTAAGGACTTCATCAAGTTTGGCTGGACTTACATCCGCCTTGACGACGTCATCAACAAGCATGCGGCGTATGTGGTGATAGGGTACTTCATCGCCCACTATGATACTCCGGCGAAGATCGTGACCCAGATTTACTTCTCGCTCCTCAAGACGAATCATAACGAAGGCCGTGCCCTGATCTCGCAGGCCCTGGAATTGATCGCGCCCGTCCTCCCGAGCCGCTGCTCTGGCCCTCCCAACGAGAGGAATCCCGTCTGGGCGGTGGCGCCTCGCCGAATCCTGGCAGAAGAGAGCCAGAACGTCCAGCAGATGACCAACATATTCCACTTCCTTGTCAAGCACCCGGACCTGTTCTATGACTCTCGCGACAAGTTCGCCATGTTCATCATCACGTGTCTCCGCAAAGTCTCTTCTCCCCCGAATCCTTCCAATGAAAGCAAGAAGCTGGCATTGCACATGATGTGGTTGATCTGGAAATGGGAACAGCGTCGTGTCGAGGGCAAGCGCAGCGAGCCCGACCGCGGAGCTTCCGAATCGCCGGCCAGCAAGAAGCGCAAGCTCGACGACGCAAAGGCTGCGTCCCCGTCCTCGGCGAGACAGGTTGCCCCGGCAGAGAGGCCCGACTTCCAGATCCCGGCGATTGGCAGGCAAAAGATGATCAAGTATCTCGTCGAATTCATCGCCCAGCTGAACGAGCGGTACCAGCTCCCATCCGCGAAGGTGAAGGAGGCGGCGTCAGGGGCTGGGCCGGCTCTCATGCACCAGCCCTCTCACGAACTCTGCTCTCGGGCCATGACCCTGCTCTATAATCTCCTGCAGCCCCAGTACTGGGGTGACCTTGACGTCGACCTGTTTCCCAACGTCACCGACGTCGTCTTGGCCAGTGACAAGACCACTGCGGTTCTTGCGGCCGATCCTTCCGACAAGGAGAAGTACGATGACAAGTTCATCACCAACATCATCAATACTCTGCAGGTCGTGCGCATCATTCTCAATTTCAAGTCCGATGAGTGGGTGCTCCGGAACGTGCCGCAGATCCAGAAGATCCTGGAGAAGTGTCTCAAGTCGGAGAACCCCGAGTTGCAGGACTGCCTGCACACCGCCGACAAGGAACTCGACGGTGGCCGCGACCTGAAGCCGACTGTCATGCGGATCCTGGATGCGGTTCCAGAAGATGTGCCCATGGAAGATGCCGATGCCGAGGGGGAACCGGAGGCACCGACTTCCGAGATCATCACCTTCCTGTCCGGCATCGCCACGGAGAGCATGAATGCCGGCAACTACGTCTCGGGCATCAACCTCCTCTGGTCCTTGGGGCTCCGCAGGTCCACCGTCATCGACCAGCACGTCCCCGCGATAATGAAGTCGCTGCAGGCGAAGCTTGCGCGCGACCATGTGTCGTACTACGCAACCCTGGCACAGCAGGGGAACCCTGCGGCTAGGCCGCCGCAAGACCCGAATGCTCCGGCTGAGATGAATCCGTACGACCTGGAAATCCAGACGGGCCTGATCATGAAAGCAATCGAAGTCACCGCCCTCCGGATGGAGATTCTCGGCGACAACCGCCGGCCTTTCCTGAGCGTGCTCGCAACCCTCGTGGAGAAGTCGCTGCACATCCCTCTGTGCGAGAAGATCCTCGACATGGTCGAAGGCTGGGTGTTCCGCTCCGAGGGGACGTGGCCGACTCTCAAGGAGAAGACGGCCGTGCTGCACAAGATGCTGTCCTTCGAACATCGGCAGGATCCCACGATGCTGATGAAGTTCCTCGATCTTGTGATTAGGATTTATGAGGACCCCAAGATCGCACGAACCGAACTCACCGTCCGGATGGAGCACGCTTTCCTGATCGGCACGAGAGCCCAAGACGTCGAGATGCGGAACAGGTTTATGGCAATCTTCGACAGCAGCCTGTCCAAGACTGCGCGCGCCAGACTCGCCTACGTGATCGTGTCTCAGAACTGGGACACCCTGGCCGACTCGTATTGGCTTGCCCAGGCATCACAGCTTCTCCTCGCCACGGTGGAGGCGAACACCGCCATCCAGATGCATCACGAGGACTTCAAAATGCTCCCGGCTTCACAGCTCTTCGGCACCCACGCCAAGGACTCGCGGGAGCCGAGCAACATGGCCGATGACAAGTTCGACGCCATGATGGCCGGTCACCGTCGGTTCGTCGGCGACCTTGGCGATGTCAGGGTTCGCGACATCATCGAACCCCTATCGCAGCTCCAGCACACCGACTCCAACCTGGCGCACGAGATCTGGGTCGTGTTGTTCCCCATGTTTTGGTCAGCGACCGCCCGCGAGGACCGAGGCGATCTCGAACGTGGCATGGTGACGTTGCTTACGAAGGACTATCACGCCCGCCAGCTGGACAAGCGGCCCAACGTGGTGCAGTCTCTCCTCGCAGGTGCTGCCATGGCCTGGCCGGATTGCAAAATCCCACCTCACGTCCTCAAGTTCGAGGCCAAGACGTACGATGCCTGGTACACCGCCCTCGTACAACTCGAGAAGGCCGCCATAACGCCGGAGATCGACTCGGCGAACGTCCGGGAGAGCAACTTGGATGCCCTCGTCGACCTCTACGCATCGCTGTCGGAAGAAGACCTGTTTTACGGCACTTGGCGGCGGCGCTGCCAGTTTGTCGAGACCAACGCGGCCCTGTCGTTTGAGCAGAATGGCATGTGGGACAAGGCGCAGAAGATGTGGGAGGCGGCACAGGTTAAAGCTCGCACCGGCGCCATCCCCTTCTCCCAGGGCGAGTACATGCTCTGGGAGGACCAGTGGGTGATCTGCGCGCAGAAACTCCAGCAATGGGAGATCCTGCAGGACTTTGCCAAGCACGAGAACTTTCAAGATCTGCTTCTCGAGTGCGCCTGGCGAAACACGGAGATGTGGCAGACGCAGGAGCACAGGGAGCAGCTGGACACGCTGATCAAGGGCGTCATGGATGCGCCAACTCCGAGGCGGTCCTTCTTCCAATCTTTCATGTCGCTCCTCAAGTTCCACAACAAGCAAGAGCCCATCCAGGACTTCAACAGGGTGGTGGACGAGTCGATCCAGCTGTCCATCCGCAAGTGGCATCAGCTCCCGAGGCGCCTCACCCAGGCCCACATACCGCTTCTTCAGAACTTCCAGCAGCTAGTCGAGCTTCACGACGCCAGCGTCATCTGCAACAGCCTAGCCTCGACCAACCAGGGGAACCTGGACGTCAAGTCCGGAGAGCTCAAGCTGCTGCTGGGCGCCTGGCGAGACCGCCTCCCCAACACGTGGGACGACATCGTGGCATGGCAGGACCTGGTGACCTGGAGGCAGCACATATTTGGCCTCATCAACAACACCTATCTCCAGCTGCTGCCACCGCAGGGCCAGAATGCCGGTGGCGCGTCGTTCGCCTATCGCGGCTATCACGAGACGGCCTGGATCATCAACCGCTTCGCCCATGTCGCGAGAAAGCACAGCCTCCCGGACGTCTGCATCAGCCAACTGAGCCGCATCTACACGCTCCCCAACATTGAGATACAAGAAGCTTTCCTGAAGCTAAGGGAGCAGGCTAAGTGCCACTACCAGAACCCCGACGAGCTGACTAGCGGGCTGGACGTCATCAACAACACCAACCTCAACTACTTCAGCGCCCCGCAGAAGGCCGAGTTCTACACGCTGAAGGGCATGTTCCTGGAGAAGCTCAAGCAGAAGGATGAGGCCGACGCCGCCTACGGGACTGCCCTGTACTTCGACATCACCGCCGCGAAGGCCTGGGCCGAGTGGGGCCACTTCAACGACCGCAAGTTCAAGGAGGATCCTTCGGATCCGACGACGGCGAAGCAGGCCCTCACGTCATACCTGCAGGCCGCCGCGAGCTACAAGAACCACAAATCGAGGAAGCTCATCGCGCGCATCCTGTGGCTCCTGAGCCTGGACGATGCCAACGGCACCATCGCCTCCGGATTCGACGACTTCAAGGGCGACATTCCTGTGTGGTATTGGGTCACGTACATACCCCAGCTCCTGACCGGCCTCAGCCACAAGGAGGCGCCTCGAGTCCACAGCATCCTCCTGAAGATCGCTAAGAGCTACCCCCAGGCGCTCTACTTCCAGCTGAGAACCAACCGGGAGGACATGCTGGCCATCAAGAAGAACCAGGAGGCCAAGGCGAAGATGCGGCAGCGGGCGCAGTCGGCGGCATCCGGCGGCAAGCCGAGCAGCTCGCCGCAGCAGCCAAGACAGGAGACGCCGGCCGCCAAGACTGCCGAGGGCTCGTCGAGGCCCGCGACGGCCAACGGAGAAGGTACGCCGCAGGTGAAGAACGAGGGCGCCGATGCCAGCGCCGCGCCAGCCGCCTCCGCTACGCCTACCGCACCCGGTGGTGCTCCTCAAGGCGACCAGCCCGGGACCGCCGCACAGAAGAAGTATCCGTGGGACCTGGCCGAGGAGATCATGAGCGTCCTCAAGACTGCTTTCCCTCTACTTGCCTTGTCCATGGAGACCATGGTCGATCAGATACAGAAGAATTTCAAGTGCCCGCCGGACGAGGATGCGTACCGACTCATCGTCGCCTTGCTGAACGACGGCCTGGCATACGTCAGCCGCATGCCCACCTCGTACGCCAAAGACGTCAAGCTGCCCTCGGCGACCGAGACGAACATCACCCGCTTCGCCGAGACGATCCTGCCAACACACATCCGGAAGACGTTCGAGGTCGATTTCGTCGAGGTCAAGCCGACAATGTACGAGTACATCCACAAGCTACGCAAGTGGCGCGACAAGTTCGAGGAGAAGCTCGACCGGCGCCGCTCCCCCGTCCCGTTGGAGAGCTACTCTCCACACCTCAGCGAGTTCCGATACCACAAGTTCGACGAGGTCGAAATCCCGGGCCAGTACCTGCAGCTGAAGGACAAGAACCAGGACTTCATCCGGATCGACAGGTTCCTACCCAACGTGGACCTCGTCCGCACCATCGGCGGTTCCCATCGGCGGCTGAGGATTCGCGGCCATGATGGCAGCGTCCATGCCTTTGCGGTCCAACATCCGGCGGTCAGGCAATGTCGTCGTGAAGAGAGGATCCTCCAGCTGTTCAGACAGCTCAATCAGACCTTGAGCAGCAAGAAGGAGAGTCGCCGCCGGGATCTCCAGTTCACTCTCCCGTTGATGGTGCCTCTCGCGCCCCATATCCGGATCGTGCAGGATGACAGCTCGTACATCACCCTCCAGGGCGTGTACGAAGACTACTGCCGGCGCAACAACGTGGCCAAGGATGAGCCGGTGTTGTTCACCATGGACAAGCTGAGGGGTCTTGTAGAACATAAGGGAATGGTAAGCTCTACCCATACGACAGGCAGAAATGCCGTGATGTGGACCGTGGCTGACATTTGTTTCCAGAAACCCGGCGACCAGAACGTGACTGCCCGCCTGGAAGTGCTCTCGGCCATTGCGGAGAAATGGGTCAATCACATGGCGGTGTTGGAGTACTTCCAGCAGACCCATCCCCAGTTTGCCGACTTCTGGCTCTTCAGACGGCGCTTCTCGTACCAGCTCGCGGCGTTGACCTTTATGACGTACATTCTGCATATCGACAAGCGGTACCCGCACAAGATGCACATCGCGCGCGGGTCAGGCAATATTTGGGGCTCGGAACTCGTGGCTTCCATGGCGCAGAACAGGCCGTTCTTCCATAACCAGGAGCCGGTGCCGTTCCGTCTCACGCCGAACCTCCAGACCCTGATGGGACCCCTGGCGACAGAGGGCATCTACAGCTGCTCGATCATGGCGATCGCGCGCTGCCTGACGGATCCCGAGTTCCAGCTGGAGCACGCGCTCACGCTCTTTGTGCGCGACGAGATGATGCACTGGTTCACGAGCAGCCACCGGGCGCTCAACATCAGCGAGAACCAGCTGCGGGAGGCGGTGCAGACGAACAGCGAGATGATCGTTAAGAAGGCCGTCTCACTGGCAAAGGCACCGGTCGGCAACCTGCCGGCCAACCAGACGGTCATCGACCTCATCTCCAAGGCCGTCAACCCGATGAACCTTGCCATGTGCGACGCGCTCTGGATGCCGTATCTCTGATTATCACATGGGGTGTTTTATTATTCTTGTTTGTCTTATGTTTTGGTCTTTTTTGTTGCGAGGAGTTCGGAAAATAGGGGGTGGGGGGATTCTGCCCCTGGTGCTTACCCCGTAATAGCACCAGATTGCATTGGAAGGATTCGCAAGGGACGGCATCTTTGATGAGAAGGGCTCAAGGCGTCCAGGAGTCCCCGGCGCATACATGAGGCTAATTCGCTGCTAATAGACAGCGCGGGGGGCTAGTTTGATGTTTTATGAATATCTGTACTATACAATTACAACTGCTCAATAGGGGCTTCGTCCACATTTTAGGGCAGCAGCCCAGCACATAAACAATAAAAATGGCTGGCGGTCAATGAACTGTTTGCTCCCTCGGCCCGTGACGCAAACTCAGTTTCTTTGGCTTCTTCACTCAGATGCCGATCCGGAATCGGGTCGGCATGTGCCCACAATCCCGGACCGACGGCAAACCCCGCATCGGAGGTTGGTCATTTCCCCAATCCGGATTCCTCCACCCCGCATGTTCGGTTGGTCGTGAAGGTGTCTGTCTGGTTCTCTAGTTCAACTCTTCAGTAATAAAAGGCCGCTGGGTAAGAACCTGGTTCCTGGAATTCTCAGTGCAGTTAGATCTTGCCAGCACCCTCCTACCAACCAACCAACCAGCCAATCAAAACACTTAGATCCATCCATCCCTCTCCCAGAGTTAAAGCAAGGGATCACCGCCACCGAAACCACAAACTTACAGCAAAGATGGTCTCCAGGGAGATACCGCGTAAACTCTGGGAGCACCCAGACCCGGAGAGCACGCCGATGTGGGAATTCATGCAGGGAGTAAACAAGAAGCATAACCTCCAGCTCAAGGTATGAGCCTCCCTCCCTCCTATCCTATCCCATCCCATCCAATCCCATCCTATCCTACCTTGCTTTTTTTTTGGTTCAAATCCGGGGAAGCCCTCACGAAAACCCCCCCAACAGAGCTTACAAGCCTAATACCCCCCCCAAAAAAGACCTTCCAAGACCTCCACGCCTACTCCCTAGCCCACAGGTCCCAGTTCTGGACCGACGTCTTCGCGGCCGCCGACTTCGTCTATTCCGGCGGCGAGTCGCTTGCCGGCGCCGTCGACGAGTCCGCGCCCATCGACGCCGTGCCGCGCTGGTTCGGGGGCGTGGAGCTCAACTTTGCCGAGAACCTGCTGTTTCCTCCCCCGTTCCGCAGCAGCTCCTCCTCCTCTTCTTCCACGGCCGCGACGACGGCGGTGACGGAGGTCCGCGAGGGCGGCGGCGAGGTGAGGCATGTATCGTGGGGTGAGCTGCGGGCGCGGGCGGGGAGGGCGGCTGCTGCGATGAGGGCGAGGGGGGTGGGGAGGGGGGATAGGGTCGTCGCCGTTGGGGGAAATGGGGTCGGGACGTTGGTCGTTTGGCTTGCTGCTGCGTGGGTGGGGGCCGTGTTCTGTAGCTGCTCGGCGGATATGGGGGTTGGGGGGATATTGCAGCGGGCGGTGCAGGTTGATCCGAAGGTGGGTGGCCGTTTTTTTCCTTCTTTTTTTTTCGTTTTCCCCTTTCTGTTGTCATGTCTGGAGGATGGTGATCTGTCCAAGTTGGGGCACGGGGAACAGGTTTGCCTATGTGAATCGACTGACTGACTGACTGGCTTCTCCTCAGCTGCTCTTCTTCGACGATGCCGCCGTCTACAACGGCAAGAGGATCGACCTCCGAGTCAAGATGGCCGAGGTCGTCGACGGGCTGAGAGAGTGCAGCGAGTTCGACGGCGTCGTGGTCCTGCCGCGGTTCCCCGAGCCGCTGGATATCTCGGGAGTGGTGCCCCGGTCCGAGACGTGGGACGCGTTCGTCTCCCGCGCGGACGGGCTGCCGGACCCGGGGTTCGTCCGCATCCCCTTCCACGAGCCGTTCCTCATCTGCTACTCGTCCGGCACGACGGGCATGCCCAAGGCCATCGTGCACTCGGTCGGCGGGGCGCTGATCAACTACTTCAAGGAGGGCGGGTTGCACGAGGGCAGCGGGCCCGACAGCGTGGCGCTGCAGTACACCACCGTGGGCTGGATCATGTACTTTGCCAGCGTCGGCGTGCTCCTGTTTGGCGGCCGCGCCGTCTTGTACGATGGCTCGCCGTTCCAGCCCGACCCAAAGGTGCTGATCCGCATCGCCGAGGAGCAGAGGGTCACCAAGCTGGGCATCAGCCCGCGGTGGATGTTCGAGGTGGCCAAGAATGGCATCTCGCCTCGCGAGGTGGCCGACCTGTCGAGCCTCCGTATCGTCACCTGTACCGGCATGGTCCTCTCGGATCAGCTGTTCGAGTGGTTCTATGACAGGGGTTTCCCACCGAATGTCCACTTGGCTAACATATCTGGTGGTACGGACATTGTGAGTGCTCGCCCCGCTGCATGCATGGTCGTACCTCTTGTTTCCGCTGACACCACAGCCCAGGCTGGCTGCTTCGGCCTCATGAACCCCCTCACTCCAGTCTACGTTGGCGGGACCCAAGGCCCCTCCCTCGGCATCCACGTCGCCATCTACGACTCCCTCCTCCCAGACGGCCCGGGAAAGGAGGTCGAGCACGGAACTCCCGGGGAACTCGTGGCCGTATCCGCCTTCCCCAACGTCCCCTGCTGCTTCTGGGGCGACAAGACGCCCGTGGCGTGCCGCGGCTCAAAGTACCACTCGGCCTACTTCGCGCGCTTCGACGGCGTCTGGGCGCACGGCGACTTCTGCTGCGTCCACCCGGTCACGGGGAACATCTACTTCCTCGGCCGCGCTGACGGCGTGCTGAACCCTTCGGGCGTGCGCTTCGGCTCCGCTGAGATCTACTCGGTTGTCGAGGAGCGGTTCGCGGACCGCGTCGCGGACTCGCTTTGCGTCGGCCAGAGGCGGCCGGGCGACCATGACGAGAGCGTCATGCTGTTCTTGCTGATGAGGCCGGGGCATAGGTTTGATCGGAGGCTGGTGAATGAGGTTAAGGAGGCGATCAGGAAGGACCTCTCCAAGAGGCACGTGCCCAGATATGTCTTTGAGACGCCTGAGATTCCGGTGAGTGGCTACCTGGCTCTGTTTGCCGCAGGGGTTGAGACCGATCGTTTGGTTACGCCGTGGCTGACAGCAATGTTTGAAGACGACGGTCAATCTGAAGAAGGTCGAATTGCCCGTGAAGCAGATAGTCTCGGGGCAGAAGATCAAGCCCAGTGGGACATTGGCGAACCCGCGGAGCCTGGAGTATTACTACCAGTTTGCAAGGGTCGAGGATCTCATTGGTGCAAAGGAGAAGCTTTGAAACCAGGTGTTGTTGTAACCCAGTAGAATGTGCTCTTCACTCGTTCTACCATAGCATACAGCAGTGTGGAAAGGGGTTGCCAGCAAAACGGAAAGTGGTACATGACCGCCTAGCGATACTGCGTAAGGCAACCCCGGGGAATATAATGGCTATACGCCATAAATCAGCAGAATATGGTATAGGCAACGAAGCATTGGAGTTAGAGAAATAAGGAGCCCCTGATCCAGGATAGGGGTCATGGTCGCGCACTGTGACAACTACTCTTTACCTCAATCTGGTAAGGCAGCTTTCACTGGCAACGCATTAAATAGGTGCCTGCATTCATCACTCGTAGCAATCGCTAAATAATCGTGAAGGAAATAAGTTTCAGGTTAGGGGAGGAGGATGACTGAGAGTATGTTATCATGAAGAATGACGCTATGCTCTTTTGCCCCCAGATATTGTTAAGTAATGATGCTCGTATGGTTGGTTGGATTAGCGAGGCGCCAAGCTTCCCCCAGGGCATTTTGATGATGTCACTCTAAATCCGGGGTCGTTGAAGATGCTCATGACATTTCAGTGTCATATCTACCTCAGTGCTTTTCCCCGCAAGCGTGTGGTTGTCAGGAACTGGAACGGTAGTCCAGTCACTGCTCGTGGCCGTCATCGACCAGACCCCCCCTGAGACCTTGAGACAGGCTTGCAGTGATTCGTGTAGGCCATGCTGGACCGTGACTGGTAGCTCATGATCTTGGTTTCCCTACCTGCATGGCGTCGCCTTTCCTTGACCAATTACTAATACCACCTCTTTGAGGGGGCAATAAATACTGCCCATATAAGGAGTGGGCATCGCCGAGCCTATTTCCGGAGAGGGGATATAACTATCGATGACTTTGGCTCGCTCTGTCGCGTTATCAACCCTGAGACGTTCATACAATCGCCATTCTATCGGGTGGTCTCGGGTTCGAAATCTAAGCAATATGGCACCGGCCACTGGGACAGCGTATCAAGTCCACATCACGCCGCAGAATAGTGGGCTGTGGGAGTTTAAACAGACTGAAGAAACAGCGAAGAAAGCTTCAGAGCTCTTACAAAAAGATCTCCAAGTGAGTCGAGGAGCCCTGAACTTTGATTATATTTGAACTGACCATCAACCAGGAACACCACGTCTTCTTCAACGAAGACGGCTTCCACAATCACGTATGTTATGTGTCCGCCACTTATAAGAACGCTTTCTGAGACAGCGTCAAGATTCCCCATCACATTCTAGCTCTCTACGGTACCGGAGCAGGTGCCGAAGCTCTCCAGAAAGGCTACGATGCGAATACCGGGTACCAGCGGCCGGTCCTGCCGCCTCATGGCGGAGTCATAGAGGACCTCAAGGACTGGGACCACGCAAAGAAGTATCTCGGCAAGGAGAAATACTATCCCGATTTCCTCCGCTTCTTCCAGAAGGAGATCGACAAGAAGGGGTGGGAGAATGTGATGAACGAGTATGTCTTCAAGGGCGATGAGGCCGCCGATGACGTATTTGGGAGACTCTTTGCAGGTCCGTAGAAGCAGGGCTAGAATGTTTGGGGAACGGAACAGAGACAACTAAACCGCCCCTTAGGTTTCCTCCATCCCATCATCCAGCTGATGTACGGCATGGAATGGGCCCAACCGGCCATCGTAGCCGAAGCACTTGCGCAAACAAGTGTCCACGGCAACGATCTCAACCCCTTCCTCTTCGAAGCCGAGAAGGAAGCAGCACAGTCCTCCGCCGGCGACATGCCCTCGATCGTGTCCCTCTACAAGGCGGTGCACGATAACGACAAGCTGGCCAACTCGGTGCGGATGGAGGACTCGAACAAGGTCCGCGACGGCGTGCTCGTCCGCGCCCGCGCCGAGATGCTGAAGGTCGCGAGCCGCGTGAAGGTCAGGCCGGAACAGCTGGAGGAGAAGACGGCCGAGATGTTCCACTCGGCTCTGTACATGGCGGCTGCGGCGGCGATCCACCCACCGAAGCATCCAAAGTTTGACTTCTTCTTCATGTGAGAACCCCGAACTATTCTCCCATCTCCCCTCGGCGCAATTGGCAAACAGACGCTGACCCCCCACCGCAAAAAGCCACCACGTCAACTCGGCGCCCATCTTCCTCACCATCAACGCCCAGCCGTGGATCTCGACCGAGGTCAAGGTCCGCATCCTGGAGTGGAAGATCCGCATGGACCTCGTACAGTACGCCGCCAGGGCCGTGCCGCCGCTCTCGCTCGACTCCATCACGTTGTACAGGCCCCGGGACGAATCCGGGAAGATGCCCGCAGGTATTTCACCCCCCCTTTCTCTCCACCCGCCAGACGTAAAGAGAGAGAGAGAGAGAATAGGCTGACAATTTTTGCCTTCTTCCACCCGTAGACGTCGTCTCTAGGTTGCATCTATTCGACGACGACGGCCACGCCATCAAGCTCGGCCGCGCAGCCGGGATATGCCAGGAGCTCTCTACCAAGTACCAAGGCAAGGACTGGACCGTCATCCGGGGCGACGACGTCTGGATGAAGGTCCACCGCCTGATCGTCGATTCGGTCGAGGCCCCGGGGCCGCACTGGGTCCGGACAACCGGCCTTGATGAGGCGTGGGAGGTATGTCATTGCACTGAAAATTCCGACCGACAATTTACTTGGTCGTGCTAACCATCATCTTTGGGAACAGAACGTGCCTGATGCTCCTGATGCCAAGCTGTGAGACATAAATGTATATGGTCCTTCGGAGGAAACGACGAACGGCGTTGGTTTCACGGACTATGCTAAACGGAAATGGGAACCGCAGTGGGGCGGTGTTTTGGATCAGAATGTACAGTACATAACGAATAAACACGCAAGCCTCTAGTTCTAATCTAATCCGATCCACTCATCCTCGCCAACCACGACAGGTGCCTGGACTACATCATCCACACCCAAGCCCTTTTCCTTTCCGGTCAGCAGCTTGGTGCCGAACGCTTTAGACAAATCCCACTCCAGCGACTTCGTTTCTTCCTGCTTGTCACTACTGCTAGCCTGACCCAGCAGGTAGTCGACCATGTAGACGTTTTCGTCCGCAAGCCGCCTGACCTCATCCCTCATCTTGGACACGGCCCTCGCCACCACCCGGAGCTCCACGTCGACCTTGCTCCTGTTCGCGGTCAACCAGGGGCCGTGCTTGTCGACCAGCGCCTTGATCCACAGCAGGCAGAACTCGATGTGCGGCGACTGCTCGGTCTGCGCCGCGACGAAGCGCAGCAGGCGGGGGACGTAGACGGTGGGGAAGTGCCCGACCACGAGCACGATGTCGGTGTGCGGGATGGCCTCGAATACGCGCTTGACCAGGCCTGCTTCGTTCAGGCGGAAAGCCATCACGAGGGCCTTCAGGTAGTCCTTTTCCTGGTCCAGGACGGCGAGGGTGGACGCCGGGGTGATCTCCATGTTGAGGTCGAAGGGGTCGAACTGGAGCGTGTTGTCGAGGCTGTAAACGAGCAGGCCTTCTGTCGACGCAGCGCAGAACGCGGTCCCCGTCGGCGAGAACGCGATGCCGTTGACACGTACTGCGGCCATTCTCTTTCGTGCTGATGGGTCTCCGCGTTTGGACCCCGGCAGCGACCGATCTATCCGGTCTTCTCGATCCGATGCCTCCCCCTGGTCGTCGATGAGGCCCTCCGGCCCTGCCTCTGTAAGCAACTTGCTGTTCAAGAACTCTTGTGTTCCCGATAGCGAGAGGTTCACGCTGACGGTGAACTTCTTGAGAAGCACCATCGTGGTGACCGAGTACAGGCAGATATATTTGCTGTTCCCACCAGCAACGAGGCAGCTTCCATCTGTGCTGTATCGTATGGTATTGAAGCTCTTCGTTCCTGCAACGTTCGCCGCAGTCCTCCGATCGGTGATCTTCCGGCCACCGGAGACATCGCGACGGCCATCGATGCCCGAGGTCTGCTCTGCCTCCGACACGGACCAGAAGGATAGCTGTCCATCAAGGGTAGACACGGCGACTTGCAGGGAATCTGGCCTAAAGGCAATGTCCAGCACATCTGCCTGTAATTGCAACGGCTCGCTCGTTTGGGTCCGATTAAATATTGACCATATCCGAGCCGTCCGATCCCAGCTTCCACTAACCAGTAAGCCGCCATTTGGTGCAAATGCCAGCGCGGAAACCGGCCCCTCGTGGCCGGAAAGCTGGTCGAGGAGTTGCCCGGTCTGAACAGACCAGATATGAATGTCGAAGGAGTCAATCGAGCCGGCGGCAACTACTTCCCCGCTCGGATCAACCGCCATACAGGAGAAGGACAGCCTTGTCGGCGCCGTAAACGTCCTGAAATTCCTGTACCGTATCAAATCCCAGGCTCGGATTGACCCATCGAGACTTGCCGTAAACAGGACATTTCCTTTCTTGGCAAATTCGCAGGCTGTGACTCCGCTGGTATGCTCTGTGAACGTCACAATACAGAAGCCAGACTCGATATCCCACACCTTGATCTTCCCATCGTCGGCTGTGGTGATGATCCTTTGTCCGTCTGGCGAGTAGACGAGCGAGTTCATCGAGTCAAAATGACCCTGCTGTTTCAAGATATAGGATTCCGACTGCCACTCCCACACCAGCAACTGGCCCAGCTTGGAGGCCCCGAAAGCCAGCCACTCCCCGCTTTTGTTTATGGTAACGAAGTCGATTTCGTTTTGAGATATGCTTAGGCTGTGGATCATGTTGAAGTCGGGCATCTCGTACAGGCCGAATATCCCGTTTGAAAACCCTGCAACCAGCAGATTGGAAGCAGGATGGTATGCGGCGCACCTCAGGTGAGCGCCATGTTGGAGAAAGTAGTGCCTGTTGACTATCCTCCACCGCATGTCTGAGTCTTCAACGTCGCGCATCTCATCCTCGTCCCGCTTCGGCGGCCCTGTATATTGCCAGTCGAAGACTGCGCCATCTTTGCTGACAGTATAGATCGTCTCTTGATCCTGGGAGAACCAAGCGCCGACAACGGCTTGCCTGTGGCCTGACAGAACTGTGGGGGTGAATCCTTCTTCCGGGTTCAAGCTCCATATCCTCGCTGTGAGATCCTTTGATGTGCTTAGGAAGAAGCGCGAATCGGTTGACCACTCGATGTGTCGAACGTCGTCGAAATGGCCGGTATGGGTGTGGTATCGCACAAAAGGCGCAAACTCGAGTTCGCCTTCAGCATTTGAGTCGGGGGTCGAGGGGACATGCCAGAGTTCCAGCTTCCGCCCTAGTCCCACGGCGAAGTAGCGCCCGGATGGGGAAAACGACAGGGCGGTGGCACGGGCTCGGAACGAGAAGTGATAGAGCGCAACCCGTCGCGGAACGTTGGTTAAAATGGCATGGCCATCTTCGTCAATCGAGAGTAGGAGGTTGCCCTGGGGGGTGAGGCCAATCCTTGAGATGTTCTTACGGTGGGCAAATGGGAGGGTATAGGATTTGTTGCTGAGATGGAGTTAGCAAGATCGGCAACATTGACATTGTGGGCTGAAGGTGGAATTGACGAGTCCACTCACTCGACAAGGTTGAAGACTGTCACTCTGTTGCCCACAGGAGAGAATAAGTGTGTTCCATCTGGACTGAACAGAAGGTTACCCTGACAATATACTGTTCCAAGCAAGTTGGAGAACTAGAGAAAGCGAGTGTTAACCATACTGACTAGTATGCTCAATTGGAGGGGTACAAAGGGTACATACTCTGAAATCTGTCTTCATTATCACCGAACGTCCATCTCTGGTGGCCAAACAATCGCTGAACTTTGCAGTTTCTCGCGGTCTTGCACTGCTGGAGGTGGGATGCGCTTCCTGGTTGCTGCTCCAAAATTTCCAAAATTTTGGCGGGGTCGGAGATTCTTTCCTCCACTTGCCGGGACACTAGTGCATTAAGAGAAAGGCGCAGTTTACCCCTGGGAACTGGGGAGCAACCAGAAAAGGGGATGGCCCAACCTGCCTTTTTGACCTGCCACTTTCCATATTGACCCCAGGTGCTCCGTGCGCCTGGAAATTTGACCAGCGGTGGAACTTTCTCTCCCCTGAAACCACAAGAGCTCCCCAGACTTTCAACCCGGTGTCAAAACATCAAACAAACCCTCGACCGCCTCTCTCAATTGTAGTCTCACCGTCACCACCAACGGTTTTTGACAGAAAATTACCCCCCTTTCGACCTCTATTCACACGTCCGACCTGACTTTGTGTACACAATGGCACCTGCCACCGCCGAAAGCGCCTCGCCGATTGGCATTGCCAACCTCCCCAACCAGCGACACAAGATCGTTGCAAAGAGGGGCGCGGCTTTTACTATTATGGTGCGGCCTTGTCAATGAGCTATGTCCTTTGAAGATTCCCTAATGACCTTTTAGGTTGCTGGCGAATCCGGCCTCGGCAAGACGACTTTCATCAACACGCTCTTCTCCACCACCATCAAGAACTATGCCGACCACAAGCGCCGCCATCAGAAGCAGGTCGACAAGACTGTTGAGATTGAGATCACCAAGGCCGAGCTCGAGGAGAAGTTTTTCAAGGGTACGATGCCACAAGATATTATATGTATACGCATGTTTACATGGCAACTGACAATCATCAAAAGTCCGATTGACGGTCATCGACACCCCAGGCTTTGGCGACTATGTCAACAACCGCGACTCGTGGATGCCTATCATCGAGTTCCTGGATGACCAGCACGAATCCTACATGCTCCAGGAGCAGCAGCCGCGCCGCCAGGACAAGATCGACCTGCGTGTACATGCCTGCCTGTACTTCATCCGCCCCACTGGCCACACCCTCAAGCCCCTCGACATTGAGGTTATGAAGAGGCTCTGCTCTAGGGTGAACCTGATTCCGGTCATCGCAAAGGCAGACACCCTCAGCCCCGCCGACCTCGCCAAGTTCAAGCAGAGGGTAAGAGCTCAATTTCTCCGACAACTTTGGGAACCGCAAAGTGCTAATTAGCCTGTGAAGATCCGGGCCGTCATCGAGGAGCAGAGCATCAAGATCTACCAGCCGCCGATTGAGGAGGATGATGAGTCTGCTGCCGCGCACGCCCGAGGCCTGATGGCTGCCATGCCTTTCGCCGTCATCGGCTCGGAGAAGGACGTCAAGACGAGCGATGGCCGCATCGTCAAGGGCCGTCAGTACTCGTGGGGCGTTGCCGAGGTCGAGAACGAAGACCACTGCGATTTCAAGAAGGTGCGGTCCATCCTGATCCGCACCCACATGCTCGACCTCATCCACACCACCGAGGAGCTTCACTACGAGGCCTACCGGGCGCAGCAAATGGAGACCCGCAAGTTTGGCGAGGCGCGCCCCAGAAAGCTGGACAACCCCAAGTTCAAGGAGGAGGAGGAGGCCCTGCGCAAGCGTTTTACCGAGCAGGTCAAGATCGAGGAGCAGCGTTTCCGACAATGGGAGCAGAAGCTCATTGCCGAGCGCGACCGCCTCAACAAGGATCTCGAGCAGACCCACGCTCAGATCAAGCAGCTCGAGGGCGAGCTGGAGCAGATGCAGGGGAGCGCCGTCCGCAGCCACGGCCGTCGTTAAAGGGGACTCGTGTGCGCTTATTTCCCCTCTCGTTTTCTCGTTCCGCATATGAAATAGCCGGATCTTCTTGGAGTGCTGCTTCCCCCCCGCGGGGCTGCTCTGGAGTTGGACCAAGAATACCCGTGAGGACGGCGAATCTGTGGATACGCCGAATGTCGTGGTGGTGATGGTGATGGTGGCGGTGGTGGTGGTGGTGGTGGTGGTGATGCGATTTTCTAGCTTCCATGGTTGAACATCTGTTTGCGTGTTTGAAGCCCCTCTCGCCTTCCTCCCTGTCTTCTAATCGATCCGGAAGTCTAAAAAGGTTCAAGGGTTTTCAGCTACTACAGACGGGGAACCCAGAAGCCCTCTCTCGAGGCTCCAAGAGGGGCTCCATTTTTCATCTCCTTACAACCTCCCCTTTTTCACTACCCCCTTTCGAACTAGTTACTTTTAGTCACGATGTAATTCGGCCTCGTTTTCAATGATACCAGATAATGAGAATGCCTGACATTTTCCTAAGCAAAATACGTAATGGCGGGGGTCATCCCACCGCGTGAGGTTGGTGAGGCTGGTGGCGGTTGCTACATCTATTTCATGCGGGATAAACCTCGTGGAACCGACGTAGTTTCTTAGCCCGCGAGTCTAAGTCGATATATGTTCAGTTGGCTAGACCGCGTCCATGCTTGCCCGTGTCGTCAACTGCTCATTCTTGTTCCCCAGCTTCGATATCTGCAGGAACACGTCCACGCCGTAGCCCTCGAGGCTGTGCAACGCCAAGCTTCCGGCCCAATACTCCGCGTACACCCTGCTCAGGGGCAATCCCATGCCCAGTCTCAGGTTCGGTAGCCGGCTCGAGAGCGACGCCAGCGAGCTACCGTGCCTCGAGGCCCCCGTCTCGGGGGCCGCATCCTCCTGGGCCTGGTGCTCGACTAGCAACTCCTGCATCGTGGCGGCCATCTTGGGCACCTTCCCTAGGTTCTCCAGGAGGCGGGCGCTGGCGGGCCCTTTGCTGAATGACCACAGGTATGGCATGACCTCGCGGGGGATGCCGCCGCCCTGGTCTGAGACGCGGATTATGACGTGCTGCGGGCTCTCGCAGATTGTGACTTCGATGTCCGGAGGGGGTTTCCCGTCCTTGTTCTTGCCTTGCTGGCGCTGGTGTGTCTCCACAACACCCTGGACGGAGTTGCGGAGGAGCTCGCCTATGATGTACTCGAGATGGCTGAGGATGTAGGGGAAGCTCGCCTCGAGGTGGCCCTCGATCTTGATATTGGGGATGGGCACGTCTGGGCCGTAGACGCTTTGCGATATGCTGCGGATGGCTTTGCCGCAGCGCTCGATGGCGTCCTTAGCGACGCATTTGAGGAAAACCTCGCCGATGAACTCGGTCTCGGAGAGTTTCGCGCCGGGGGAGAACCAGGGCGCCTGGAAGGTCTCGGTCAGGGCGAGGTGTTGTTCGGCGATGACACGGCGGGATATACGCTACGGAGAAAACGCGAATGTGAGCACACTGCCTGCCACATGTCCGGCGCAAGTCTACAAGGTCAACTTACAGAACGTAGGATGGTATTCATGAACTTGTCCAGCTCTTTGGGGTCCATCAGCCCACTGCATTCTAAGACGCCCATAGCGAGTTTCGGAATGACGGTCAGATGCGCTCGCAGCATGGAGCTGATCGTCTTGCAAAACCGGTCATTGTCCTCCAGAGTCTTGACCTCGGGCACTTTGCGGAAGGTATCGAAGGCATGATAGTATAAGTCGTAGACTTCGCTGAAATGGGGATTTGTGACAACGACGTATGGCAACTGTTGCATGTCGCGGATGCGATGTGCTAATCTGGAGGGGAAGAGGAAGTTAGCAGGCGCTGGCAAGTCTGGTAAGGGGGCACAGCTAAGCATCTACCTCGCGGGAAGCTCAGTCCGGACGTAGTTGGCCGAACTGATGAGCCGGGACTCTGTTAGGGACCGCCCAAACACCATGAGCTGGCGTAGACTGATGGGACGGGCCTCCTTTGCGACCCATCTAGAACAATTGTGAGCTCCAGGTAGCAACCTAGATTGAGCTTAGAAAGTTTTGCTGCACTCACTCATCAAGGACAGTGAAGGGCCGCCATCTTGGAGTGTGGCTGCTGTGTGAAGATCGGGATCGAGACGCAAGAGAAAGCCGCCGTGGTGGCACATGCAGGCACTCCCCCGCAAACAAGAGGCGGCTACCAGTTCTCAGCCATAAGGGCGCAGTGGGATTCTGCGAGAGTCGACGCATTCCAGCGGTTCCATGCGAGACAACGGCCGAAAATCGAAGCTGGCAGCAAGAAGTGCTCGATAGGAGGCGTAATCCTTACATAGATAGGGCAGTTCTATGTAACACCTTTGGAAGGAGCGATTTTGGTTGTGGCTGTCGCGGGGAAGGAGCTTTGAATCATACTCAGTTTGACTCAGAGTCTAGGTACAGGTATCTATGATTCCGATTTCTGCTGACAAGCATGTGCTTGTTACCCCACACGGGAGCGGGAGGATAATTGAAGCTTGCTTGTAGAGGGTCCCGGCATCCGGAAATGATATATTACCAGCGACCCTGAGGTGAGAACAGGCCAGGTACGGGAGAGTCGAGGCCGATCCGCTCAGGTCGAGTATTTCTAGATATATATCGGTGATAACTGATCAACTCACGGGTGTTTCGCTGCCTCGGCCCCCGGAACTTACAAGGGGCCGGCTGCGGGCCAAATAGTGCAGGTCGAGGCACCGATGGCAGGAGCCCCCCAACCCACCAACCTACCTACCTACCTAACCTCCACTGGGTACCTACCTGGGCAGCAGGCAGCCGAATGATAATGACGGCCGGTGCCTACTGCATTCAATTGCGGAGGTACGAGGCTGGTTGTAATGCTGACGCGCGCATCGAAACTTGGCTTGAAGAAGGGCAGGCTGGCGATCAAATGGCGGGAGACTCGCTCATCTTTGATCATCTACCTATCTGGTCATGGGCGGGCTTGGCCCACGGTGTTTAAAACGTCATTGGAGGGGTCCCTGCTCGAGGCAGCTGAGGCGTTGAAAATAAGAAAAGTCTTGCACCTGGGAAATTGATAAAGTAATACACCTTCTATTTGCACAAACCTGGTAGTCATCGCCTTGCCCCGCCTCAGAAACAGGTACTGCACTGACAGACCAGAGCTTGGAAGTACCCGACACCACTGCGCCTCGGTGGAACTGCTAGGCAGTGTAGACTCACATTCAGGATCCTCTGCCACTGGCCCAAAGATTTTATTCCGCTGCGTACTCCGGTTTTGCACCTCAAGCAACCCCCTCCACAGTTAACCCTCCGCGTGCTCGATATCTTAGCGCAAGAGCAGCTGGCTACATATTTCCTACAACGGCGCCTCTAAAACAGGCCAAAATCACATTTTGGGACTGCGAGTGGTTGATTAAGACGCGATCCTGCCTTGGATCGTTCCTTACGGCTGGAGCTCTTCGCTGCTAGTTTCGCGCTTCCATCCGCGACTTCCCTTGGATACCTGCATAATGGTAAGTCCATCCTCCACACCTCCCGGCTGCCGGCATTGTGCCTTTGTCTTGAATTGCACCCTCGGATAGGTACCTACCTATCTGCCTGGCCCTACCTGTCCTACATACCCGGGCACCTATCCATACCACGCTTCTTGTCTTCTACCCTGTCGCTTCACCGCACCTATACCCCGCCTACGAGGTGGCTAATAATCTGTCTCTCGTCCAGGAGGCCGATCATCCCGAGATGCCGTCGCCGAATGCCATGGTGGTCGACCAGACCGCCGAGCACGTGGTCGAGCCCAACGGCATCGAGACCGACAGTCTCGCCATCATCAACCCCGACGAGACTGACCAGGTCCTGCCTGATGCTAGCGATTGTAGGTGGAACCGGGCTCCTGCCCCTCCATTCTTCTGCGTCGCCTCACTGCTGACATAGCTTGCTAGATGAGGCTTTGAAAGAAATCGTTCTCCCCCCACTGATCGAGGAACCTCGGATACTGGAAGATGTGGTTGACACATGGACCGTTGAGTCTTGGAGAGCGCTGGCTAAGAAAGAGCATGGCCCAGTTTTTCAGGCCGGTGGTTTCCCATGGTATGACTGACTTCCAATCTTCTCTGTAATACTCTGGCATCCGTTCTTACATGCTTTGTACAGGCGCATCCTACTATTCCCCTCGGGCAACAATGTCGACCAGTGCTCGATATACTTGGAACATGGCTTCGAGCCGAATAACGTGCCCGAAGACTGGAGCTGCTGTGTCCAGTTCGCATTAGTCCTATGGAACGCCAAGGACCCTACAATATACACGCACCACTCTGCCCACCATCGCTTTACCAAGGAGGAGAGTGATTGGGGATTCACAAGGTTCCTGGAGCTCAGGAAGATGTTCAATGTTCCTTGGGAAGGCTCGGATAGACCGCTTGTCGAAAACGACACTGCCAACATCACAGCCTATGTCCGGGTTGTGGAGGACGAAACAGGGGTTTTATGGCACAACTTCAGCAACTACGACTCGAAGAAGGAGACGGGATACGTGGGCCTGAAGAATCAAGGCGCCACATGTTACCTGAACTCGCTTTTGCAGTCGCTCTACTTCACCAACGCCTTCCGAAAGGTAACCGCGCTCCCACTCATCATTGCCAATTCCTGATTATCCCCCAAACGCCCCGGTGCTGACACCTGCTAGGCTATCTACCAGATCCCCACACAACACGACGAGAGCATGAGCAACAGCGCCTACACATTGCAGAGGTTATTCTATCAACTTCAGACCTCGGATGCCGCTGTCAGCACAAATGAGCTCACGAAGTCCTTTGGTTGGGAGACGCGGCACATATTTGAACAACAGGACGTCCAAGAGCTCTCTCGTAAGCTAATGGAGCGGATGGAGGATAAGATGAAGGGCACCGAGTATGAGAAGGCTCTGCCACAGATGTTCAGTGGCAAGATCAAGACGTATATCTCATGCATCAACGTCCCCTACGAATCGAGCCGGATAGAAGATTTCTGGGATGTCCAGCTGAATGTCAGCGGAAACAAGAGCCTGCTGGAAAGTTTCCAGGACTACATCCAGGTGGAAAAGCTGGACGGGGAGAACCAGTATTTCGCCGGCGACGAGTACAAGCTTCAGGACGCGAACAAAGGGGTCATCTTCCAGAGCTTCCCCGAGGTTCTCAACCTGCAGTTGAAGCGCTTCGAATACGACATTCAACGAGACACCATGATGAAGATCAACGATAGATACGAATTCCCCGAGGAGTTCGATGCATCGCCCTTCCTCGACAAGGATGTTGACATGTCGGAATCCTGGGAGTACCAACTTCATGGCGTGTTGGTCCACAGTGGGGATCTCAATGCAGGCCATTATTATGCATTCTTGAAACCCAACACGGAGGGATGGTGGTATAAGTACGATGATGATAAGGTCACCAAGGCGACGAGGCGCGAGGTCCTCGAAGAGAACTTTGGTGGCGAGTTCCGCTTCCCAAATGACCATGTGCGCCCCGTCATACAGAAGAAGACCCCCGTCATGAGGCCCAATAGTGCCTACATGCTGGTGTACATCCGGAAATCCAGGCTCGACAAGATCCTCACTCCCGTTAAGGCGGACGATACCCCAAAACACCTTCGTAGGCCTCCCAGAGACTTTTCCGTATGAGGACGATAAGCTGACTCTTGAGCAGAACAACGACTCGAGGAGGAAATAGCTGCCAGAGAAGCTAGGAAGAAGGAGAAGGACGAGCAGCACCTGTATCTAGGTGTCAAGGCCATAACAGAGGAGACCTTCCGACATCATGGCGGGACTGACATGGGCACATTCGACCCCTATGCCGATCAGGATCCAGCAGCCCCGCGATTCTACCGAATCCTGCGTGCCGCAACGATGGCCGAGGTAGTTCGCACCATCGCCGATGATATCGGGCAAGATCCGCGACGGGTGCGCCTGTGGATCATGGTGAACCGTCAAAACAAGACCATCCGTCCCGACCAACCGGTGATGGATCTGAGACCAACCGTCGAGGAAACGTATAGCCGCACTGCGGCTCATCGAGATCAGGCCTTGAGGGTATGGGTCGAGGTTGCCGAGGAAGTGAATGCTGATGGCGAAGCGATCTGGCCGACATACCAAGGCCAGACCAACGGGGTCGTCGTCAAGAACGACCTCATCTTGCTGTTCCTAAAGTGGTTTGATGTCGAGTCCCAGTGCCTCAAGGGTGCCGGTCACGTCTATATCAGTAAGGAGAAGAAGATAGAAGACCTGGTGCCGACCATTACGAGGAAAATGGGCTGGGGCGACAAACTTCCTTCAGACGAGAAGATCATGTTATGGGAGGTGAGTTTCGAGAGCCCATCCCCCGAGTTCGCATTGGAGAGCGCATGTTCTGACTGAGGTGCAGGAAATTAAACCCAGCATGATCGACGGCCTCAAGGCCAAGCAATCTCTCAAGGCAGCAGAGCTCCAAGATGGCGACATTGTCTGCTTCCAGCGCGTGCATGAGCGCAGGTCGAGACTAGGCCTTGGCGACAACAAATCCTCCGAGGAAGCCAACAAGGCCTCGGACCGGTTTGAAGACGCACGGGAGTACTACGATTTTCTCTTGAACAAGAAGACGGTCAAGTTCCATGCTCATCCTGCGAAATGCGATCCGACAAAGTACCCGCCCTTCGAGATAGTGCTGAACTCGAGGATGAGTTACGATCGGTTATCAGAGAAGATTGGCGAGCGACTAGGCGTCGAGCCGACGCACCTCCGTTTCTATACCGTCAATGCGAGCTCCGGCAACCCCCGAGCGGCGGTAAAGCGAGGCCCAAATCAAACACTCAATACCATATTGAGCCCCGGCGGCTATGGGCAGCTGAATATGAACCAGCGGGGCGATGCTTTGTACTTCGAGGTCCTGGACATGAGCCTAGCAGAGATGGATACAAAGAAGAACATCAAGCTCACGTACCTTAGCGAAGGGATCACGAAGGAGGTATGGACATGTAAACCCCCCAACCCTACCAGCAGCAGACGCTAACAACCCTACCCAGGATGCCTACGATGTCCTTGTCACAAAGAGCGGCAACGTCGAAGACCTCATCCAGGCTCTTATCAAGAAAGCCAAGATGCCGAGCGAGGAGGAAGGCGGGAAGATACGGATCTATGAGACGAGTGGTCACAAGTTCTTCCGAGAACTCGATCGCAATTACCCCGTCATCAGCATCAACGACTATACAAACGTTGTCGCCGAGCGTATACCGGAGGAAGAGCTCGATGTTAGCGACAGTAGTGCTTTCATCTCGGCCTTCCACTTCCAGGCCGAGCCCAGCCGGGCCCATGGCATGCCTTTCAGGTTTCTACTGAAGGAGGTATGATGGTGTCAGGGTGCCATGATTGATGCCTGTCCGTTGGCTAATATAGTAAATCCAGGGCGAAAAGTTCTCCGACACCAAGAAGCGTCTAGAAAAGCGAACCGGACTGAAAGGGAAGAGCTTTGAAAAGATCAAGTTCTACGTCGTCCGCAGGTCGCACTTCTCAAGGCCACAAGCGCTAGAAGATGGTATGTCCAACTTCTCCTCACCCCTTTGGTCAACGCCTCGGATTCTGACATGAAACAGACGACATTCTCTGGGACGTCGCGGCTAGTGAAGATGACTTCCTTGGTATGGATCATGTAGACAGGTCAAGGTCATTGCGCAACGGTGTTGGGGATCTCTTTCTCAAAGGTTAGACGGGCGTGCCGGTTATCTTTGAAGAAAGACCTGCGCTGTACCTTTGATTTGTGGCTGGCTGTTTCTCCTCCCTCTGGCCTGCCACTGTATGGATAGGAGGTTCGTTAAAAACGGTACGCCCAGGTTTGTTTGGGGGTTTTTGCCTTCGTCTCATACAGGTTAGTACGGCATTGGGCATAGGAACGGCACGAACCCAGCACATCTTTTGGAAGTTGGCGTGGATTTATTTTTATCTTCAGAGACGTCTGTCTCCTCCCGGCCACGCATTGCGAACAAATAAAGATACGAACATAGGTATGCAAAGGATTAGGGTGTGTGGCCTTCATTGCGCCCCATCATGCCTACCCGTGTTACCGGATTGATCTGAATTACAACGGCGCGGCTGGCTGGTCGACCTTTGGTGATTACCTATACAGCTCGGGGGAATCAACAGATGTCGGGAAGACCAGGAGAGTGGCCAATTTTCTGGTGTACAGCTCGGGAGAACTAGAGAAAAGTTCCGGAGGGTGAGAAAGGTCCAATTTCGCCACCTTCCTTAGTCTTGCTGAACTTTTCTCTGGTACTGCCGAGTTGTACTCTATGCCCAGTACTAATTCGGGTTCTGGCTGGCCGTGGTGCGCAGCAAGTCTTGTATCCTTGGCTCTCACTCTTTGTATTTGTTCCCTACCAGCCTACCTCAAGGCCAAAGCATGTGGTTGTAGCTCGGCTTGGGTCAAATTAGTGGATCCTGCCTTGAATGGGGCGACGAACTATTAGGGCGGTATCGGACGGCACAAAAGTTTGGATAACCCGGAAGACTGGTTACTCTCAACCATCAGTTCCATATCATAACCCGTGAGAGAAGTTGTTATCGGCCTCGCGTTATCACAATGAATACCCCAGCAGGCGGCGCGCCCGGCGCACAACAGTACGACCCTAATGACCCCAACGTAAAATGGGTAAGCCTCTCCCGTCATGACCCTGCGCGAACCCTCTCTGCCTCGTAGTAAAATCGCGGCCTTCGCTAACAGGATAATAGCTCAGCAACCTGACGGAGTCATGCTATGCGAAGACCGCCATGGCAGGCGTGGCGGGGTTCGGTCTGGGCGGCATGTTCGGCCTCTTCATGGCATCGGTAAGTCCACCCCATTGTCTCATGCGGCCCTCTCTCCTTCGTCCCGACCAGCATCACTAACCGCTCCCACTCCTCTCTGCGCAGATGGCCTACGACACACCCTTCCATACTGCTAATACTGCCCCTGCCACCGCAACCGCCGCCTCTGCCACCGCCGCGGCGACGACATCCACATCCACACCCGCCCCGGCAGCGGCAGCAGCCGGCGCCAAGCCCGTCGCCAAGCCCATCACCGCCGGCGCCGGCTCGATAACAGCGGCAGCGGCTCCGACTGCTACCGTCTCGGCCGCCTCGATTCCGACGCCCGGCTCTGCCGCGGCGACGGCGGCGGCGGCCACCGGCCCGACGCCGGTGACGTCGGTCCCGCTGCGCCGGCAGCTGGCGCACGGGTTCAAGGACATGGGGACGCGGTCGTATTCGACGGCCAAGAACTTCGGGGCGGTCGGCGCGCTGTTTTCGGGGATCGAGTGCGGCATCGAGGGCCTGCGGGCCAAGAACGACCTCGCCAACGGCGTGGCGGCGGGGTGCCTGACGGGCGCGATCCTGGCGCGCAACGCGGGCCCACAGGCCGCCGCCGTGGGGTGCGCGGGCTTCGCGGCGTTCAGTGCTGCTATTGATACGTGGCTGAGGATGCCGAAGGATGAGTGAGGCGGGGGTCCTTTTTTGGCTTTTTACACCCCCCGGAGATCCCCCCCTCCCTCGTGGTCCTCCCGATCGAGAGGCCGCATGGTGGAACTCCTGCTAGACTTCCTTTTGCTTTTCTTCGCTGCGGCGGCGTTTCCGGCTTCTTTTTCTTCTATTTATTTTCTCGCTCAAACAGGAGGAGAATCTCTCATCAAGACTCCTGGCATGGCATGGGCGTGGCATCATACAACGGTATAGACGGGGCTTTGTCTTGTATAAATAAGTACACATCATCTCCTCTTCCTGCGGATATAGTCTCGCAGTGTACGAATAGGAGCGAAACTATTAGTTGGCATATCTGAAAACGTTGAACGCAAATAGACCCATTGAGGTGTTAGATTATTATGAGATTCCCATTAAATGACCAACACATCTACAATCTTCCTGCCCAGCGCCACGCTGAAAACCCTTTTTCGGGACCAATATATTAACTAACTATCGGAAGTCGCCGTCCAAGCCCCGTATATATCAAGCTGCGGTGTAGACCTTGAAGTCGCCAAACTCCCAGAAGGCGTCGACGAATGCCGAGGGGTTGTTGGCCACGAAATCGGTACAATTGCTTGGACCTGTTGGATTCAAGAGTCAGTGGAAGGGAGAAAAAGTAACAGAAAGATGATTCAGAATTGGGGAACAGATGACCATGAGGGTTTAAAGTCAAGCTAGCTTCGAGAACTATGCCCGTCTATGATAGGAGGTAGGTAACCAAGAAAAAGGGAGCCAAAAAAAAAACTCACATCCCGAATCGCCATACGTCGCGAGCGTCAGGTCCCCGCACAGGTCGATATTGGCGATGATGCTCTGGTTGCGGAAGTGGTTCCCGATGTCGCACTTGGTGTCGGGGAAGTCGGCCACGGCCGTGCCCCAGGAGCTGGGATCGGGCGCGGCGCCGCCGGTGCCGGCGACGTCGGCGGGGATGGCGTCGCGCGGGAACTGCCACATGCGGATCCCCTCGCGGCGCAGCTCGACGGCCATGACGCCGCCGCCGGCGCCGTTGAAGGAGGCGCCGTACGAGGCCGGGGACGGGCCCGAGACGGTGCAGCCCGTGTTGTGGTTCGTCGCGTTGTTGCAGTCCGTCTGGCCGGCGGACCCGGTCATCAGCCGCCGGGCCGACATCTCGCACCCCGAGGTGGTGTGCAGGGCCATCGAGTTGCCGGACGTGGCTTTGTTGGTCGCCTCCATGATGTCGATCTCACCGTTCATGGGCCAGTGGCTGGGTTCGGGGCTGTGCGAGGTCTTAGTCTTGCGGGACGAGGATGGGGGGATTTGTCAATAGGGGGGAAAGGGAGGGGGATGTTTACTCAGCGAGCCAGAGAGCCGGCCATGTGCCGCAGCCGAATGGGGTATGCTTCACGTCGAAGATAAAGAGGCCTGTGTTGTACTGCCTCTTAGACTCGACACGGACGGAGAAGCGTCCCGTGGAGGCATCCGGCACAGAACCAGGGCCGACAGTTGTGTCGACCTTGAGGATGGCACTGGACTCTGATGCGGGTGTCAGGTTCTGGAAGCTATCTTTAGCGAACTGAGGTCATCATTTGGTTCTGTCAGGTCCTGCATACCAGCTGCGCGGCCATCTCCCGGGGGACATAATGGACAAGTCCGTGGGCTATCGTGATCAGTCAGTATTTGAGCGGCTGTAGGGTGAACCTGCACGAGAAACGGTTTCACACCTGGATCATAGCCGGTGAAGTAGTTAAAGTTGTCAAAGAATGTTGCGCCTGAGTCTGAAAGTTGTGAGTTGGGTGTGTTCGTAGATTGCTTAAAGGCAGGTCTTGTCACTTACATGTGTCGGTGAGGGTGTAATTGAGCTTCGTGTAGTCCGGATATGAATTATTTTGCTTGTTCTTCGTCACAACCACAGGAACAACGATAACGATGACGAGGACCACAACTATTGTCGATACAACAAGCGCCCATGTCCTTTTCTGCCAGTACCTCGGTTTGTACCAGGGCGCAGACGGCTCTTCGTAGAATCGGGCCATGGCTTCCTAGGTTCGGGGTCGAGTTCTGAAGATCGGCGCGGGCTGGCGGTGCGGACTGCTGATCACCCGGAGGGCATCCAACCCCGTCTGACGGTGCGGTTTATATATTACTTTCCTCGCCTGCCGATAGAGATTGACTGTGGCCGCGAAATTCAGCTATTCCTCCCTTTTCTATTTTGCTCAGTCAACACGAATAGGTAACCATGAAACTGTTCAGGCTGAAGAGGGTTCAGTCAAAGTTCTGAGAGAATGAACAACAAGCCACAGCAAGAGGGGAGTGTAAGGGTCGACAGAGTAGAGCACCATCCCGGGTGTTCCATCTCGCCGAATTTCCAAGGATGCGATTCCTGCAGCCCTGCTGCGCCGCACCAATACGAAGGGCCGGCCTGCAGTGACTGACGGGTTTTCATTCCTCGTGGTGTGGGTGGGGTTGATTTCCCACTAGGTCGAAGCTTGATGCGATACGAGGGAGACTTCCCAGTTCGCTGGTGTCTGGCGTGATCTTTTTGTTTCCTAGCAACGGATTCTTACCAGTGGATTTCCCTTGGCCGGGAAGGAGTGTCAAGGAGAGAGGGTCGTTTGGCGCCCTAATTGATGCAGTTAATTATAGCAGTCGGCGTGATGGACTCAGGGGTTGTTGGTTCAATTGCCCGGATTGCCGAGTAGTACCTGTGAGTGAGGTCTAGTGCCTAGGAAGGATAAACGACGGGAAGCCCCTGGATTGCGTGGCAGAGCCAGCAGTGGGGGCTAGGAATGCTGTCATTCGCAGATCCATATTATCGCCTGTGCCCTGGCATAGAAGCAAAACCCACCCTGATGTATTTTACTTGTAAGAGCCAAAGTACCGTACAGTTATTTTAGTCATCGTCCTCATCCATCCGAGCCCGCTTCGATTGTCTCGAATCTTCGTCTTGTTGTAGCCCGTACCCTCCCCTCTTGGATGATGAGCTCTGCTCCACCTCTGATAGGAACTTGTCCACGTTGAATGGATCTGTCGCATCCTTCTCGAACTGGACCGGCCCCTCCCGCGCCTCCCCCTCGTCGGTGCCCTTGAAGGTCCCTCGGCCCAGGGCTTCGCCGAACCTACTGGTCCTTTGGATCTTGGACATTTCCCTCTCTCCGTCTGCCTCGTCGTCGTCATCTTCGGCGTTCGCCCGCGGTCTGTAGATGCTGCTGATTGCCTCCTGAGCGGCAAAGAGCGGTTTGTCGTATGGGTTGTCCTCGTTGAATCCACTGTCGAAGCCGCTCGATTGGTTGAACAGTCGCGAATCGTACATGGCCTCCGAGGACTGCGTCGGCTTCGCGATTCCAAGCGCCACCTTCTCGGATATGTCGCGGTTTTGTTCGCGAGCCATAACTTGAACTCTCCTCTCTGCACCCATCCTCGACTGTCTCAATTTACGCTCCTCATCCCGCCGCTTATCGCGCCGGGCAGCCTCTCGCTCGCGGACTGCCGAGTCGTCGCTTTCGGAGCCCGACTCGGAACCACTGCTGCCAGATCGAGATCGCCGCCTTCCACCTGCTCTCTCCTCCCGAGCCTGCTGTGCAAGCATGCGTAGATGCTCCTCCTTCTTTGCCTTCTCCTTCTCGGCAAGCCTCTGTTGCATTGCCGCTCGCTGCCTGACCTCCTCTCGAGCGTGTCTGTCTGCCATAAATAGCGCTTCCGAGAATTGTGCAAACTTGTCGTTGATTTCAACATCTTGGAGTCCCCGTCCGTCTGCAGCCAATCTCTTGTCCAGCGGAACGGTATAACCCTTTGGATTCTTCCAGTTCGATACGGGGGGAGGAATCCTCCATGCCTCTTGATCCTCGGCTGTAAGCTTGCGTGGTGGCGAATGCATCACTGGAGGCGGGGGACTGGGGGGTCCTCGCGGGATCTTCTTGTGCTTGAACTTGGGAGGCTCCATGGGATCCTTCTGCCGTTCCACAATTTTCATAATGCGGTCCTGCTTCTTCGAGTTGTCGCCCATCTGGTTCGACGGAGTGTATCGCACAAACGTAGGGTCCCTTCGCCCGCCAACGTTTACATTCTTGGGTTTCTGGGCAGCAACGGCGCCGCTGATGAGCACGGCCAGAGCGTTCTTGGTCCTCTCCGCAGTGGCAGATACTTCCTCCTCACTCGGACGCTCGAAACTGATTTCGCCGGCATCCGCACGCTGCCGCAGGGGGATCAAATCCTTGAAGGACGTGTGGATGATTCTGCCCTCACCGTGGCCCTGTCGCGCAATCGCATCGAACTGCACTTTCCCCTCTCCATCAACTTGGACGGCCAGGGCGTTGCTGCTTGTCGACGACTTTTTACCCATGTCAAGGGGATACTGAGCGACGGGGATCTCTGGAAAGGCACCACCATCTCCGAAATCTTCGGGGCCGCGCGGTCTCCATCCTGCTCTTTGTCCATATGGAGGGGGTCCTGATCTCTGTAGAGTGGTACAATTGTTAGCTCTCCGCTTGATGAGGACCAGTAATGAATGAAGTGAATCAGTAATGAATGAAGCATGACTGACCTTCAACACGAGCTGGGTCTCGTCCAGCTCCCCACGGCCAACAATCCTTGGGCCTTTCTGCCGGGCGTGCGACGGCAAGTCCTCACCCTCGCCAGTATATTGAGGCTTCGGAAGTGCTCGCGCAAGGCCCGCCGCTATTGAGGTCATCGTGACTGGATTTGACCGTGAAGTTGGTGCTTTGTAGAATTGGACCTTTTGCTGCCTCGAGAAATGTCACTGGCCATTTGGGATTGATACTGGATGCTAGTGCTCACTAGCGCGCCTGCAAAAAGTGTGGCGCACAGCAGTGGTGCGCCACAATCGCGCTTGAGCCTTGCTGCCAGCTATGCAGATTCCCCTGACCTTGGCATCGACAAAGAGCATGGCAACAGCTGACTTTTAAAGTCTGGGAGAACTGAATGCCATGGTATTTATATCGTGAGCTGCATTATGTGGCCATTTCCCCTATAACTTAATTCATCCGTTCGCCGGCATCTAAGCTAGTCTCAGGAAAGGCTTAAGTCGAGCCTCGGCCATGGACTGCCAGGGTATTCAAGTTGGCGTTAGGCCTTGGACCTCACCAGGTGATACCTCATTTGGTCGAACACTGGTTTCCACCCATGCGGAATAAGTCCATTGTCTTGTCTACCGACGGTCCATCCTTCGCCAAAACCTGAATGGGCCCCTATTATACAGGAAATGCTAGAAACCGTGCCAGCCCGTGCTGTGCGCGCTGGAAAGTCGATAAGAAGCCAGGCATGCCATTCAAACGTAACCCTTCCTTGCGCCCTGCATGTCTTGTTAATATGACACCGACGCTCTTGGACTATGCTCATTTATCGGGTGGACTTACCTGGAAGAAAAATCTGACGATGAACACCTGTAGGGCTCCCATGCAGATAACGAGGCCACACTGAATCAAGCTGAAGTTGACGATGCGGCCCTCCGTGCTCCGTACCGTGCTGAAGTTTCGGTTCTCGCGGGTGCGGAAGTACTTCTGGTTACGTGTAATGGTTGAAAGCTGCCCAGAGAGCTTGTACAGCGATTCTTCGAGTTTCGATGTCAGGGCCGGATCGCTCCCTTGCTTGGCAGGAAGATTGACGTGTGACTCGTTCTCGACCTGTAGACTCGCCATATCAGCAACCAATGTCTGGACATAAGGAGTAAGCCGAGGGTACGAACCGCAATCTCGAAGTCAACAGTCTTCTCGGCGAAGGTGCTCATCTCATTGTTGAAGCAGAACCTGTATTCGCCCACTTCTTGGGCAGTGAAGACAAAGTCGCCCTGACGCTCTTTCTCCCCGTCCATGATCACCTTGCCCCCGGGACCCAGGACATCGTAGTCCACATCGAAAGAGCCTCCTGATTGTACCTGGGAGCCATTGTTAGGATTCAAGTCCAGCCTAGTCCATCGAACAAGTGAAAGGGTGGTCAATGTGTACCGCAAAGTAGAAGGCAATCTTTTCCCCCTTAACCTTTGTTCCTGTGTAGAAACAAGCTTTCTCATTCGCTGTAAGTTTGTAGGTCAACGCGGTTGCGGAAACCTGGGCAACCAGGCAGGCCAGAAAACCGCATGCTAGTATCGGCAGTTGCATTCTGAGATGTGTTGCTGGGGTATCATGTGCTGAGAGTCGTGGGTGGAAGCCAGTCGCGAACACGACCTTCAATTGCTCTAGCCCGAAGGTGCCACGATGGACTTTTGGTAATGGGCGGAATATGCAAAATTCCTGCCCCGATGGCTCCACTACTCGGGTGGCCCATGCGTTAGCTTCAGGCTACCCGTCCGGTCAGGTCTGATTAGGCCCCCGCACGGACTCCAATCACGGTCAACGCGTCCGGGGCCAACCAGCGTTTAAATGATGTCAGCGCCAATCATGGCACCGTCATGGAGCTCGAGCTCTACTGCCTAGGTAGGTAATATAGCCCAAGCCGCGACTCTGTAGATAAAGTACCATCCATCAAGCTTTCTTCTCTCCTTCCTTCCTTCTGTCAAGTACGCGATTCTTGCCTAGTTTCCCATGTGAGAGTAGCATCCCAGTTTCCTCGCGAAACCCGTACAACTGTTCCGCTCGATGCTATTGTTCCTAGAGAAGCAATCGTAAGCTGTCTCGAGAGTTAGAACAAGCATGGCTCTAGTTCAGACCAAGATCGCGCGCGCGTCGTCAATTTTACTGAGACTCGTCAGCTATTTGTTTCTTCGATGGGTAAGTCCAACATCAAAGCAATACCGCTCTAAAATCGAAAGTGCCCCTGACTGTTGGTCTGACATGCATCTAGGCTCTTGTTCCTGTAAGTCCGCCCTTTCACCAAGCCGTCTTCGACAATACCCTAACCCAGGTGCTAGTTCTTCCCAGAAATAGCTTTTACGCTGTTCGCAGTCTATGTTCCGTCCTTCATCGCAAGCTACCGTAAGGAGTCGGAGTACCAGATAGTCGACGAGATTGACGTGGAGGTAACCGAGACTACGTTGAAAGACGAGGGATCTACTGAGAATGGGGGTCCCTCAGGCGATGACTCCTGTCCGGTTCTGGCCGAGGAGGTTGAGATCGAAGAGACCGTTTCTCTGGAGGAGCGTCCCTTGGCGCCACTGAAGACCCTGCTTCTCGGGGCTCCAAACCCCCGAAGCCTATTGCTCTCTAGCGCAACTTTCCTCGTCAACCTCCTTTGTGTCGGTATGGTTGCCGACCGGCTCTTCCGGGAGCATTCTCACACGGCCAAGGATCTCTCTTTCGTCAGGCTCGGCTACGTGTCCGATTCGGAGGCCAAGCTGCTGATCAGGGAGCCCGATCAGTCGAAGATGCCCGTCACCGTCGAAATTCACATTAAGGATCCCGTATCCCCCTTCGACAATCCTCTCTGGCAGACGGCTGGTGGGATCAGGTGGACAACAAACGAAACCGACTATACCACAGTCCTGGCCGTTCCCTTGACGCATTCAAAGCAACGCACTTATGAGTGGAGAACTTCCAACAACCATTCGGGGGAGTTCACAGCTCCACCAAAAGCCGGTCACACAACGGAACTCCAGGACGGACAATTCACGTTTCTTTCGACGTCTTGCATCGTGCACCAGTTACCATACAATCCCTTCGATCATCCTCTTGCCATTCCTGGTCTGAGGCATCTTGCCAAGGTCCTGCCAACGCTTAGGGCGCAGTTCATGTTGTTCCTCGGCGATTTCATCTATGTTGATGTCCCACGATGGTGGGGCAAGGAAATCGAGGACTATCGTGCCAAGTATCGTCAAGTCTATGCCTCCCCTGACTGGGCTGCCGTAGGCCAGAATTTGAGCTGGATCCACGTCCTGGATGACCACGAGATCTCGAACGACTGGTCCTCCAACACCACCGGTGTCTACAAGACGGCCATTGACCCCTGGGATCACTATCAAAAGGCAGCAAACCCGCCCCCGGCAAAGCAGGCTGGCTCCTGGACAGCGCGTCGCACCGCAACCTACTTCGACTTCACCCAGGGCCCGGCAAGCTTTTTCCTGCTCGACACGCGCACGTATCGCTCGAGCAACTCTCTCCCGGCAAACGACACGGAGAAAACCATGCTGGGCGCCGAGCAGCTAGAAGATTTCCTCGCATGGCTAAACCGCCCCGAACCAAAGGGCATCAAGTGGAAGATCATAGCCTCCTCGGTCCCATTCACCAAGAACTGGCCGGTCAACGTCGAGGACACGTGGGGGGGCTTCCTCTCGGAGCGGCGGGAGATCCTCGAGGCCATGTGGGATGCGGGCGGCCGCGGGGTCGGCGTCGTCGTCCTGTCGGGCGACAGGCACGAGTTCGCGGCCACGAAGTTCCCGCCGCCCGCCGCGTCCCGCTGGCCCGAGTCGGCCACGGTGCATGAGTTCTCCGCCAGCCCGCTGAGCCAGTTCTACTTCCCGTACCCGACGTACAAGCAGACAGATGGCGAGGATGTCATGATCAAGTGAGTTGTTGGCCCCCCCCAAACCCCCCCGGACGCGCTGATATTGATGTACGGTGGCTGACAATGATGTAGGTATATCTACAAGGGGAACTCCAAGTTTGGCGCCATCACCATCGAGACTCTCGAACAGGGCGACCAGAGCAGCCTCAAGTACCGCCTGTTCATTGACGGGGTCGAAACGTGGAACACGGTGGTGCTCTCACCACCTACGGGGGAGAGGAAGGCGGGTTCGTTTTGGGATAGGCTTAGGGGCATCTAGGCTAGGCCCATTTGTCCACGAAGGACTGGATGGTCAGAATAGATAGAACTGGGACCCGGAGCAGTGTCTTAGATGAGTTCTTCGGGACGGAGTATTTGACTTAGTATATAAGGGGATCATGGCGTCAGGCTTGATCAGGGATTCTGGTCTGTATGGTTGATTAGGCAGCTCCTAGAACGAGCTCTATTTTTGTTTATGGTGATTTGTTTCCGACACTTTCTATTATATCCATCCTAACATCGCGCCTGGCGACCACCTCCGCGCTTCCTTTGTGTCTGGTTTCTAGCCGCCTGGTTTCCGAGTGTGACTGGACGGTCCAGGTATTGTTCTGGCTCGGGTACCGGCTGTGCTGTCTAAATTTGTGAATCGCCGAGGTCCTCGGGTGATGGCCAAGATCTGGATGACATTTTGCAAGTAAAACTGGCATGGGCCGAGCTGCAATTTGGGCTGGTGGGAATGTGAACTCAGGTATCGCAGTATTATATTAGATTCTGCCTTAACAACTTATACATATTTCTTTCGAACATGAACGCTGGTTGTTGCACCTCCTTAACTCTATTCCAAGCTTAGATCCATCCGACACCCTGGCTACAATGCAATTCCCCCATAATTAGCCAAAGAGGCAATCCGATCCCTCTTCGATGTCGAAATCCCAAGTCTGAGACCTCATTCCTTTAGGCTGGACGCAAGAGAGGTAGTTAGAGGTCAAAAGAAACCTGGCCGTCCGTTGCTGTCCCCAGGCCGTGTGGAAGCGAAATTAGACAGAGGAACGAAAGTTGGGGGCGGCCTCGAGATCGTCGCCGCCCGATAAATATCTTGATCTTCCCAGGTGGCGTATGAAAGGGGTGTTGCCGGGAGCTCGACCGGAGAGAGAGTTTCGAGAAATGGTGGGTAGGCGGCCGCCGTCTTCCCTCCGGCAACCGACGACCGGTCCAGGTATGTCATTTCTTTCGATTCCTTCGGCTCGGGCCCCCATTTTTGCGCCTCGATGTTCCCTGGCCATATCGGTGCCGTCGATCCAACGCTGCCTGGAGCTGTTGGTGGGGGATGATAGATTTGGCGTGGTAAGGATGGGGTAGAGCGCCTCTTGTCGAAGAAGCTCTTGAGCTTGCCCCTTTTTATCCAGACGAAAACGAGCAGCCCAATGACGGATGCGGTGCCGGCAACGACAGAGCCTGCAATAATGCCTCTGTTCCCGCTCCCTCCTGATGCGGCTGATGCTACCGGGTTGATGTCCGCAGTGGTTGGAGTAGGAGTGGCGGAAGTAGGTGCGTCTGTGAAGGAGGACACGGTGATGGAAATTGGTGTTGGTTTAGCACTTGACGACGTTGAGATAAGAGACGTATATACGGTCTGATCCTCGTTCAACGCGCATCTGGTGGTGCCCCCGGATGTCTCGCATTCGTAGCCCAAGGGACAGCAGGTGTCGACGCCATCTCCATCCTGGCCACAGGTAGGAAGTGACGCCCCTAAAGCGGTTGTGAATACTGGGGCCTCTGGATCGGCTGTTGCGTTCTGTAGCTGAATTTCGCAGGTGATGGGGAATATCTCGTCACATGAGAACCCCTTCGGACAGCAAAGTGCAGTGGTATTAGCGGCGAGTGGCAGACAGTGGGTGGTATCTGGACAACAGAAGTTGAGGGGGAGACCATGACCGCAGGCCGTAAAATTTGATGCTGGACATGAAAGTGAGATGACAGCTGCATTTCTTTGGGGAAACATGTTGGATTACATTTGCCCCCGCAGCAATTATGTCCAAAGTGTGCGGACCTGGCACAAAAAGGGGTGAAAGACGGAGGAGAGAACGGCGAAGAACAGGCCAGAAGCTCAGGAGAGAAATGGAGTTACACAATCAACAGGCTGGATTCAAACCCAGAACATGTGAAGGGTATATATGGCACTGGCCATAGTACCACCTGGAAACCGAGGGCAATGCAATGGGAACCCCGACCCTGTGGGAACCAGTTCAAATAGGCCATTTGCCGCCCAGGCGGCATCCGCTTAGATTTTGGAGACATTGGAGACGGAGCAGATTCAATGATACCGACAATGTTTTGAAACCAATCGACATGGGGGTAAATCTGCCTCGATAGCTGGTCCCGACAGCCTGGAACCGCGATTAGAGACGAGCCATGATTCGCGAGCGGATGTTAGTTGGTGGTGGTGACGCCACAAATCCCTGGAGGAAGATCAGATCATGCGGGGGACTGCAGGTAAGCGCCCTGTGCAGTTCGGTTGCTAGGCACTTGCAAGATATGAAGCACAATTGGCCACGATGATCGAGTTTGGTTCCGCCTTCTTTCGGAAAGTCTGTCTGAGAATCAGAGAGGGAATGATGATGGTTGCGATGCTAAATTTGGCACTATATGTGGGGTTCTAACCAAGCACAGCACCCCAATACCACCCACCAATCCCCCCGCCTCGGCCTCCCGTTGCCGAGGGATGGAGAAGTTCAACATCTCCAACCATCGTATGACCTAGATGTTAACGACTTTGAAGTTCGGAAGTAAAGTTAAAAAAGGACTGGACTTTTACCAACGCCTGCTGTATGGGCTCGTGGAGGATCATCATGCGTCCCCTGTTCGCGGCTCGATCACACATCGCAACCTTGAGGTAGGAAGCCCAGATAAAAATACATGTATGAGCAGGTGGACTGACTTCGTTCAAAGGCCCACAGCCCAAGTTGCTCCAAATGTGTTGTGTCGTCTCCAAAGCTCCCATGCTGCTAGTTTTGCGACAACAGCGAGGCGGTCCCGAGGCCCCATCGAGAAGCTCGAGATCGTGAATGGCGGCATCGCTATCAAACCAGCCGCCGGAACAATCGCCAAGCGCCATGTGCTGTACGCCTGCTCTTTGTTTTCCATCTTCAGTCTTCCGACTTGCCCACAAATCTTTCTTGTGCTCTTAGCTTGCCTCGCACAGTTCTCTTGCTAATCCAGCAAAACCCTTATTTAGCCCAGGTTTATGGCTACGGTTAGTTATTTCCCCCTTTCCATCAGAGTCACCGAAGCTCATCATGTTCAGAGACAATTGCCGATGTTCATCTTGTGTGAATCAGGACACAATGCAGCGGAATTTCAACACCTTTGATGTATGTATCCTCGATGCCTAATCGTGGGTTCAAAGCTCGGCAGTTACTGAGCCGGGACCCATCTGGTGATAGATACCACGCAACATCCGGCCGGAAAAAGTCGAGCCGACCGAGGTCGGAATTGGCGTCACTTGTGAGAAGCCCGATTTCATATGCGTTAGAACAGAACTCACTCCTTCATAGGGGCTGATGGCCACCGGAGCGAGTATCCCTGGAGTTTCCTCCAGTTTTACCAGAACTCGAATCACCGGGAACCGGAGCCGCTTCAGTGAGTAAAGTAGCCACTGTATCCTCTTTGGCTTCGTTTAACATTGTGCGGCAGGCGGCACTACTGGGGTGCCGAGGCTTCGGATAAGCCTCCCACGGTGGCATATGACAAAGTCATGTTGCCAGACGACTCGGGGGTGGCGGAGCTGACTGCTAAGATTGTCAGTTACCGCTCCTCCGACTTGGAGATATAACAGCTCTAACAGGCAGGGCAGAAAGAGCATGGGTTTGCCTTCGTCGAGGGCACCCCATACGACGACCCAGAAGACACGCGAGTGCTTCTTGAACGCATTGCCTTCATCAGGCTGACCCATTACGGGGGATTCTACGACTTCACCCCTAATCTAGCAATGGCAGACACGGCTTACACAAACATTGCACTTCCTGCCCACACAGATACGACTTATTTCACCGATCCAGCAGGCTTGCAGTCCTTTCACCTCCTATCGCACCAAAATGCGCCGGGAGTATCATCGGACGATGCGGCCGCTGGGGGGAAGTCTCTGCTCGTCGACGGATTCAACGCTGCCAGGATTTTGAAGACGCAAGACCCCAAGTCATACGACATTCTCAGCAAAGTTCGTCTTCCCTGGCATGCGAGTGGCAACGAGGGGATCACAATAGCCCCTGATAAGCGTTACCCCGTATTGGAACTCGACCAAGAAACCGGGGAGCTGCACCGAGTGCGGTGGAACAACGATGATCGAGGCGTGGTACCCTTTACAGAGGAGTACTCACCGGATAAGTGGTACGATGCTGCACGCAAGTGGGATTCTATCCTAAGAAGAAAGGATGTCGAGTGCTGGGTCCAGCTCGAGCCCGGCAAGCCTCTGAGTGAGACAACCGAAGCAAAGAAACCAAATGGTTGCAGCCATGTTTCGCTAACATTTTTCAGTCTTTGACAACTGGAGAGTGCTCCATGGCCGAAGTGCCTTCTCTGGCATCAGGAGGATCTGCGGGGCTTATAGTATGTGCCATGCGTCCCCCTTGCTGGGCAATCTGACCCCCATCACCTGTAATGCTAACCCGTCCTATCAGTTACCAGAGACGACTATATATCAAGGTGGAGGAACACTAACTTCCCACGGTCGGATATCCTGGAGAGGATCATTGGTTAGCTCCATACGTTTCGCACATGGCATATGAAGTCAGACAGCTATAATATCGGTAGCAATAATATCGGCGACGCCGGTATCTAGGTACCTAGGTACCTAGGTTGGGTCGAGACATCTTGCAGCTCCTCTAGGCATGTTCATAGGCCCTCCTTCCGTGTGTGGCTCGCTGCATTCGTCGTCGCTTCCCGTCGGGGTTTCTGTTGTCAGCTGCAATGCAATGCCAATATGTGCAGTGTGCCCCTCATTTGCCCCGCCATGTCAGCTCACCATTTGGACCCCTTCTATCCTTCCACAAAGTGATCAACAGGGTCGTCGTTGCAGAATACATAGTGCTTCATGGATTCTATTCCTGGTGCTGGCGCGGGATTGGTGAAACCGAAAACGCTGATTTCCGGAGGTGGGACCTGGCGGTCAAAGAGGCTCGACAATGATCGACAGGTCGTCTCACCCTAATCGCCAAGTTTGCCAACAGAATTAGGCCTTGTTTGCTGCGGTTGAAGGCTACTCATGCAAGGAACCCGCCGGCGTTGTTAGAGGGTCGATAAACGGGCTGTTCATCAGCCAGTTAATGCCCTGGAAATACTGGGTCGAGAGTGATGGTCCCATCAACGGGCTCCACTGACAGATAATCTTCATCCACTCCAAGACATTCGTAACTTTTCGTTTCGGGTAGCAGGTAGGTACACAGTAGACCTCAGTAGCGAACCTACCTAGGTTGTCCGCGTGGCACGTCTTTCTTGGAAGGATGGATCCATCAAGGTGGGTTACATCTTCCTCCAGCCCGCTCTTAAGCATTAAGAAGAAGCCACACCCACCCTTTCCCCCCTCCCTAAACCCCCACACACCAGATCCGACTGTTCTATCGCACCGTCAAGATGGCTGAAACTATGAAGGACGGCAAGTTCCCTCACGGATCCACGGAGGCCCCGAAGGCGGGTCGCATCCTCCCACTGTTCTCCCTAAAGGATCGGACCGCCATCGTCTCGGGCGCGGGCGCGGGCATCGGGCTGGCCATTGCCCACGGTTTCGCCGAGGCCGGCGCGAACGTCGCCATCTGGTACAATAGCAACAAGAATGCCATCGACAGGGCCGCCGAGATCGAGAAGACCTACGGCGTAAAGTGTACGTGGCCACGGCCTATTTCTCTTCTCAAACCTTTGGTGGGCGAGTACTAAGACTCCAGGGCAAATGCAGGCAAGGCGTACCAAGTCAACATCACATCGTACGACGCCGTCAAGGAAGCCGTAGATGCTGCCGTGAAGGAATTCAACGGCCGACTCGACGTGTTCGTGGCCAACTCAGGAATTGCATGGGAGCAGGGTCCGATGCTGGACGGAGGGCTCGACCACTTCAAGCAAGTGTCCACCACGAACATCGACGGCACCTTCTACTGCGCTCGTGCCGCCGGCCTCCACTTCCGGCGGCAGAAGAGGGAGGGCACGACCATCGACGGCCAGAAGCTCGAGGGGTACACGTACGGTAGCTTCATCGCAACCGCGAGCATGAGCGGGCACATTGCCAACATCCCACAGCTGCAATCGGCGTACAACGCGTCAAAGGCTGGCGTTATCCACCTGTGTAAGTGGAAACTGGGGGCCAGCGCAAGCCCTATGCGAGAAAGCTGGACCTGTCGAGACTGACTGACTCTGGGAAATTCAGGCAAATCGCTGGCTATCGAGTGGGTTGGCTTCGCGAGGGCGAACTCGGTATCTCCAGGCTACATCAACACCGAGATCTCGTCTTTCGTCTCCAAGGAGATCAAGAATGTGTGGAAAGACAAGATCCCCATGGGGTGAGTGCTGACATCCGACTGCCATATCCCGCCGAATGATGCTGATGCTTCTCTCCCTCCCCAACAGCCGCGAAGGCGAGGCGCACGAGCTCGCCGGCGCATATCTGTACCTTGCCTCTGATGCCTCGTCTTACACCACTGGCTCAGATCTTGTAGTTGACGGCGGGTATACTGCCCCGTAAGGCCCGGTTATGGGATTTTAAGGTGGGCTGAGAGATCCGCCACGAGTTTTGACGACGAACATAGGTACTTTTGGAGTTCTTAGAACGGATAGAGTTGAGTATGGGAATATACTTAAGACTGATTAGATTCCAAAAAAAAAAAGAAATGAGAAGCAGAAGGCGTTGCTCTTTCGTGTAGGAGCTGCTGTGAGTCTTGCCTCAGCCTTGTTTAGGATCTATGGCCAACATCTGCTAACAGCTGGTAAGAAATGACAAGCTGGTGCTGTCAGCTGCCTGGTGGGGATCGATGAAGTCATCAACTGGAAATTGTGGACATGGTGGTACCTAGGCACCCGTGGACAACCTGAACGACGGGACCCTGAATCAAACTCAGGCCCGAAGCTCAGGGACATAGGCCTACTACTAAGTATGCTCCCGCGTAGAAATCACCTACCAAGCTTAACTGAGTAGCTGCCAAGTGCTCGGCTCATTCTAATATCTAAAACAGAGTTCCTGACCAACCTTGAAGCCCATGATTCGCACAGTCAGCAAAGCTGATTACCCACTCCACAATCCCGTACTATTTTACCCTAATACGAAAGGGCCCCTGTAGCCCCTGTAACATTGCGTGGAGGCGCAAAAATCTAGGCCTCCCCTGAAGCTCCCCTCATTCTCAGTGAATCATACCAAGTATCTTTCGTACCTTCTTCCACACTTTTTTTGACCGCCTCAGTGATTGCGGGCAACTTAACACTCCCCTGACCTGTGCTTGTACTCCCGCTCACCCTCGGGTACTTCCTGGTACACGAATTCCACCCCAGTCGCAATTGCTCTCAGCCTGACATCCGCCCAACTTCCCATTCCCGCCCCTCAGCCCTACTGCTGCGTCCTGATTTTGCTTCCTCCTGTCATATTCACTCTCAAGGCATTCATTCGCCCGCCAGATCCCTCAGGTCTAGCGACAGTATCACATTCAAACCTTTTGCTCCGAAAGACTTGCTTCACGTCATTATCTGCTCTGGTAGCCTTGCTCTCTCCTCAACTCTAGCTCCGCCCTTCCGTCTCCCGCGTCCCGCCATCGACTATGGACACCGACGGTGGCTCCAGCGCGCCGGATCCGCGCAATGTGCAGGTCGACAATGCTATTCGCGCCATCCGCGAGAAGAAACCTCTTCCCCAGATTGACTTCAGCATCCATGAAATGGAAGATGGCACCCAAGTGAGCACTCTCGAGCGGGTGTGCAAAGGTAGCCCCCCACCTCCCCCTCCCCCCTCCCCCCCTCCAAAGTCGCCACTCCCCCTCATTTGCAACTATTCCCGGACACGGCTGACCGTGATTGCCCTTGCGATCCGTAGATGTCCAGGCGCCCGCCATGTCCAAGCCCACCGACGAACAATTCTTCGAGGACGAGACCCGCCAGAAGCCGGATATCGCCTTCCTCAAGCAGCACTTCTGTCGCGAAGGCCGCCTCACAGACGAGCAAGCCTTGTGGATCCTCAAGCAGGGCACTGAACTCCTCCGGGCCGAGCCCAATCTCCTCGAGATGGATGCGCCCATCACCGTCTGCGGCGACGTCCATGGCCAGTACTATGACCTCATGAAGCTCTTCGAAGTCGGCGGCGACCCGGCTGAGACGAGGTATCTGTTCCTTGGCGACTACGTGGATAGGGGCTATTTCAGTATAGAATGTGTCCTCTACCTGTGGGCGTTGAAGATACATTACCCAAATACCCTCTGGCTGCTGCGCGGAAATCACGAATGTCGCCATCTTACCGACTACTTCACCTTCAAGCTGGAATGCAGGCACAAATATTCCGAGGCCATCTATGAGGCTTGTATGGAGTCGTTCTGCTCCCTGCCCTTGGCTGCCGTTATGAACAAGCAGTTCCTCTGCATCCACGGCGGGTTGAGCCCGGAGTTGCACACATTGGACGACCTGAAGAGTGTTAGTCTTCCAACTCAGCCTTACTGCACACACAATGATTGATCGCATGACTGATGGGATTACAGATCGATAGGTTCAGAGAGCCGCCAACGCAGGGGTTGATGTGCGACATACTCTGGGCGGATCCTCTGGAGGACTTTGGCCAAGAAAAGACTACGGATTATTTCCTCCATAACCACGTCCGGGGCTGTTCCTACTTCTTCTCGTACCACGCAGCTTGCGCCTTTTTGGAGAAGAACAATCTCCTTTCCGTCATCCGAGCCCACGAGGCCCAGGATGCGGGCTACCGCATGTACCGTAAGACTCGTACCACCGGTTTCCCGAGCGTCATGACTATATTCTCCGCGCCCAACTATCTCGACGTTTATAACAACAAGGCTGCGGTCCTCAAGTACGAGAACAATGTCATGAACATCCGTCAGTTCAACTGCACACCGCACCCATACTGGCTCCCCAACTTCATGGACGTTTTCACCTGGTCGCTGCCATTTGTTGGCGAGAAGATCACGGATATGCTAATCGCAATCCTGAGCACGTGTTCCGAGGAGGAGCTCCGGGAGGAGTCGGCGGCGACCTCTCCGGGCCCGGTCTCTCCTGTTGGGACATCGGCACCAAGCCAGGATCCCGAGTCGATCGAATTCAAGAGGAGAGCGATCAAGAACAAGATCCTCGCCATAGGGCGGCTATCCCGCGTGTTCCAGGTCCTTCGAGAGGAGTCTGAGAGAGTCACGGAGCTCAAGACCGTCTCGGGAGGGCGCCTGCCTGCAGGGACGCTCATGCTCGGCGCCGAGGGCATCAAGAACGCCATCAGCAGCTTCGAGGACGCACGCAAGGTGGATATACAGAACGAGAGACTACCGCCCAGCCATGAGGAGGTTGCGAGACAGGCCGGCGAGGAGCGGCAGCAGGCCCTGGAGAGAGCCGCCAAGGAGGCGGACAACGATAAGAAGCTCCAGTCTCTGTCGCGGAGGCTAAGCACGTGAGTTCAATGCCGAGGGTTGCCCATCCCCGAAAATAGATGGAGCTGGTGCTGACACCTAGATCCACGAGCAGTGATCGCAAGCGGTGATGAACACAAACGAAAGGGGGCGGGGGGTGGCGGGAGGAAAACTGTAAAAGTAGTGCGGTTGCAGGCATATACGACGGCAGCATATACCACAGTGATATCTTTTGGGAATTCCTGTGATGGGAATCCCACAAGTGGGGAGCTGGTCTTCGTCCGCCTTTGGTCTTTTATTCTTCTTCTTTCTCTCTCTCACTCTCACTCTCTCACGCATACGCACACACACACTTGCAGTTGCTCTCCTCCTTGCCAGAGACGAACAGCCTGACGGGTATGAATTCAACCTATCTGGGAAGCTGCCGGAACGTGCCGCATTGCCATGTAATTGGGCACATAGGCTCGGAGCCATGATGTGACGCAAGTTGATAGACCGATGGAGATGGAGACACAGCGTGCAATTGGAAGGGGCCTGGGGCTTTGCTTGATGAAGCGAAGTGTGAGCAGTTTGATAGCTTTGCACAATAGCGTTGCCTAGTAGCCTCACTTAGAAGCCCCCATTAGATAGAAAAATATGTCTTGTCTTCAACATCTTGTCTCGAGTGATTAGCTTTCTCTACGCCGGGTTTCTTGATGATAGATAGGTAGACAATGGCGGGGCTTCCACCGGGACAAATTCGGCCGAGCCGAGAAGGTGGGGCCGATCTGAGCTGAAAGTGTCGATCCGAAACCACCGACCTACCTAAGGTATCTACATAGAAAGTATGTAGGGTCAGTCATATAAGTCTCTAACCACTCATTATCGAGAGGTGAAAAGAAGCTACGTCCCAAAATCCCCGCTAAAGCGCCTACCGTAATAGAAAAGGAAACCAAAGCAGACAAAAGCCTCGGGAAATGGCGCAAACGCCCGCTGCTCCGGGCCGCCTCGGCGGCCCGACCGGCGAGGAGCGGACGACAGATGAGGAGACAGGGGCCGGCACCACCGCCGCCGCCGCCGAGACCACCCCGCTCCTGGGCGATCGCAGCGGCAGCAGTGGCAACGGCAGCGGCAATGAAGAAGGGGACGGCGAGGTGACGGTCCTAGCGGACGAGGCCCGGGGGACGCGGCTCGCGCTGACGCTGGGCACGGCGTACGTGGGCGTGTTCCTGGGGGCCGTGGACGGCAGCATCATGGCGACGCTGTCGGGCCCCGTGGCATCCGAGTTCAGGTCGCTCAGCCTGCTGTCGTGGCTGGCGACGGCGTACCTGGTGGCCAACGCGGCGTGCCAGCCGCTGAGCGGGCGCCTGACGGACGTGTTCGGCAGGGGCCCCGGGCTGGTGTTCAGCAACGCGCTGTTCGCGGCCGGGAACCTTATCTGTGGCCTTGCGGGCGGGGAGAGGGTCATGATCCTTGGGAGGGTCGTTGCTGGGGTTGGGGGCGGGGGGTTGATGAGTATCTCGACGTTTTTGGCGTCGGATTTGGTGCCGTTGAGGAAGAGGGGGGTTGTGCAGGGGATTGGGAATATTGCTTATGGGTGAGGCTCCTCTTCCTTCTTCTTCTTCTTCTTTCCCTCCGGCCCGCCCATCGACTCTGCTTACATGCGTTTCCAGTTCGGGCGCCATGCTAGGAGGCGTCTTCGGCGGCCTCGTGAACGACACGTCCGCTTGGGGGTGGCGGCTGGCGTTCCTTGTCCAAGTTCCCGTCTCGTTGGTATCGGCCATCCTCGTCCTCCTTCTCGTCAGAGTTCCCCCCAAGTTGTCGAACAAGTCGCTGGTCTCGCGCATCGACTTCACCGGCGCCCTGCTGATCGTTTCCTTCCTCGTGCTCCTTCTCCTCGGCCTCAACGCGGGCGGCAACGTCGTCCCCTGGACGCACCCGCTCGTCCTCTCCACGCTGCCGCTGTCGCTCGCCATCCTCGCCGGGCTCGTGTGGTGGGAATCCCGGGCGCGCCAGCCCATCATCCCCGTGCGTCTGCTCGCGCACCGCACCGTCCTGGCCGCCTGCGTCGCCAACTTGACCTGCACCATGGTCATCATGATGACCGTCTTCTACATCCCGCTGTACATGCAGGTGCTGGGCCACTCGGCGACGCAGGCGGCGCTGCGGATCCTAGGCTCCCCGCTCGGCGTTTCCGTCGCCTCGGTCGGATCGGGCTACTTGATGAAGCGGACGGGCAGGTACGTCGGCCTCGGCGTCGGCGTCGTCCTCCTCCTGGCGGCCGGGGTCGTGGCCCTGACGTTCCTGGGCGAGCGGTCGCACCCGTGGCTGCCGTTCGCGGGCATGGCGCTCGTCGGCGCCGGGTACGGCGGCATGCTCACCGTCACGCTGCTGGCGTGCATCGCGGCCGTCGACCACTCACAGCAGGCCGTCATCACATCGGCGACGTACGCCTTCCGCTCCGTCGGCGCCACCGTCGGCATCACCGCCGCGTCGGCGGTCTACCAGAATGTCCTCCTGGTCGGGCTGCGCCGCCGCTTCGGCCACCTGCCCGGCGCGGCGGAGGAGATCGCGAGGATCAGGGATGACCTCGCCGAGCTGGGTCGCCTGCCCGACGGGTGGAGGGATGGCGTCGTCGCGTCGTTTATGGAGGCGTTCCGTGGCGTCTGGCTGACCGCTCTTGCCATGGCCATCGTGGGGCTGGTTTCTATCTCGCTGATGAGGCAGCACAAGCTGCATTCGAACCTGGCGCGGCAGGGGGATTAGCTAACGTGCATGCGGGAAGGGAAGAGGACGGGGCTGCTGCTGCTTCTGGATTGCTTGTTAGTTGTCGCCTACCTAATAATCTGTACTGGTATCAGGAGAGGATAAATGGTGTTTGGTAGAACGTCATGGAGGGGAAGGGGAAGGGCGTAGGTGATATGTATTGATAGATAATAGATTTAACGCGAGTTGACCTTGAAATTGGTGTCGAACTCCTGAGATATGGTTGGGGAACATAGTCGCCCTCGTTCACGGGTAATGGGGAGGTTCAACAGGGTTTGATGCTGGCAAGTGGTTCTGTAAAGGAGACTATAGAAGATCAAGCCCGCTCCGTTTCGTGGGTCTTTCTGGGGGAGTTGAAGCAGGAAAGACTTGATGGTGGACAAGAGAGGACAATCAATAACACAAGGCTGGGGCTCTACGAGGAGAATGACATAGCGGTGTGAAGTTTCTTCTCAGTACCTAGGCTTGCCATAATATTAACCTTCGCACGGAGCACATGTATGTACACCGTAACAGATATAGTCAGCTCGCATCCTTTCCCCTATTGGCAAGACGAGGCTCCAGTTGGAAAGTACACCGAGTCCCCGGCAAGGTGTGAGTGTAGTGTACATAATCGACCGGGATAGGAGCGCCTGACCGGACAACCGGTCGGTTCGCCAGGAGATGGTTCGCCCGAACTATGACCCCCATGTTAAGGCGACGAGCTTTAGATGCAGGTCCAACATGCAGGGGTTAGAAGGACCCGTTGACCAGGGTCGGGATGAGGCTCTGCGATGCGAAACGACGTCGAAGCCTCCTCCACCGCTCAGACTTAGCCCAACCCTCAGGATGAGCCCTCAGATTTCAGAGGTGTACACGATGGCTTCCTCACAAAGTAAATAGCCCCTTGTCATGTTTGCTCAGACACTGAAGATACCACCAACTTGAAGCCCAGACCACGTACAATATTAGGGGGAGATAGCGATGTCAGCTAGGTAGTCACATGAGCTAAGAGCCGCCAGGGCAGAACGTACCGGACAGTCTGTCATCTTTCCCTCACCTTGCTGTAGACCAAACTATATAGTCAAGGCCAAGCAATACCCATACAACAACCAAATCACGGCCCGATTGTGTAATGGTATTACCTGGGGGGTGTCGCAGTAAGAATCACGTCCCCCCTACCCCGGGAACTAGGATATGCGAAAGCGCAGAAAGTCGGCCAAGTTATACCCAGGTACCCGATTCGACTCCGGGATCGGGCGTTTATTTTTTATTTTTTATTTATATTTTTTACATCCCCTTTTATTGTTTACATTCGGGTTTCTTTCCTTTTTCTTTTCTTTTCTTAGTTTTTCCTGTCCTTTCTGTTTTCTCTCTCCCTTCGTAATTTTTGCCTCTCTTATTTATTAATCTTGCGGTACACAGGTAGCTAGGTCCCTGGTGACGCAGAGCGATATAGCATGGGTGAACGTGGAGGGAAGGCAATCAATACGTTTAATTAACATATTACACCATTTCATGGGCTTATTTATTGCAGGATTGTCTCCATCGCCAAGGTTCTTAGCAGTCAGCCGCAACCTTAACGTCAGGTACTGGTAGACTGGTAGGGGGGGTAAAGTCTATTTTAGGGGAAATGTAAACAATACTTAAGCCGCCCCGTCTCCCCCCTTTCCTTCTCCCTGCTCCTATCCTTGTACATATTATCGAATATCAAATTAGATTGCAGGTCGCTCCCACATCCCATCCTCAACTTATATCGCCCCCTATTCCTCCTCCCTAGACTTTATGCCAACGTAGCTAAGCAGCCTCGTCACCCTGCTTCTGACTGACAACCCCCTCAATCTTCTTCTCAGCATCGTTCTCCTGCTCCGTGCGCTGTGCGAATTCACCGCGCACCCTGCTCTCCCTCTCCAGCTTCTTGCGCGTCACGAAGCTCCACAGATACGCCCCATTGACAACCTCGTGGCCGCCGTTCTCCTTGAGCCAGACATTGCCCAGGAAGGTCGTCACCACGACGCACAGCCACATGAAGGGTATGAGGGCGACGAACGCCCACATGATGCCGCTCCGGGGGTCCTCATGGCCCGGGCCGCTCTTGTTGTTGAAGACGGTGGACATGAGCGTGAGCGACACGGAGCCGCCAAAGGGCACCGCGAAGCCCACCAGGCAGGTGATGGGCGCCGTCATGGCGGGGAAGTAGGCCAGCCCGTGCAGGGCCCCCGGGTTCATCCGGATGCCGACGCCGTGGCCCGTCAGCGCCATCATGCCGTAGATGATGGCCGTCTCGCCCTTGTGCGTCGCCCACGCGAGCACGCTGATCCCGACGGCGGACGTGACGCTGCCCAGGAGGAGGGCCGGGAGGGTCTGTCGTGGCCAGACGTTGGAAAGGAACATGGCCATGTAGGCACCCGCTGCGTTGCACGGTAGTGTTAGTCGCATGGCCGCCAGGACCGGTATACGGGAGGGGAAAAGAGAAGAGACGACTCACCTCCAAGACCAGGCAGGAAAAATAGCAACGCAACACCAGCCTTGCTAGGGCTTTTCCCCTCCACCAACGCAAAGTATAAGTCCATGAAATACATCACAGCAAACATAGCCATTCCAACGCCAAAGTTGATGAAGAACAACAACCCAATATCTCGCTGCGATAGCAATTCCCACGGCATCATGGGCCTCTGAGAGGGGAAGACCTTGGACATGACGTGCGGTGGTGCCATCAGGTACTCGTACACCACCCAGAAAACAGCCAGAACAGCTCCGATGACAAGAGGAGCCAGAACGTAGGCGGTGTCCCAGGCATATGTGCCGCCCGCCCAGGTAAACGCGAGGATCAGCAGGCCGAGGCCGAAGAGGAAGAGGAACTGGCCGACGTAGTCGATGGTGCCGAGGCGGATCAGGAAGCGCACGCGCCGGCTCTCGAGGCTGCGGCTGTCGTGGGCCTCCAGCTCGGGCAGGGGCTGGGGCCCGAGGAGCTCCTTGCGCAGCAGGACGACGGCGAGGACGACGGCGACGGCGGCGACGGGCAGGTTGATGGCGAAGCACCAGCGCCAGCTGGCCTGGGTCAGGTAGCCGCCGATGACGGGCCCCACGCTGAAGGCGGCGGCCGAGATCAGGGCGAAGAGCGTCCAGTTGAGGGCGTAGTCGCTCAGCGAGACGCGGTCCGCCAGGATAATGCGCACGCTGATGTTGACGCCCGCGGCGCCGATGCCCTGTAGGGCGCGCCCGAGGAGCAGCACGGCGAACTTGTCGGTCGGCGCGCCCGTGCAGACGGCCGAGCCCACGGCCATGATGATGATGGTGGCCTGCATGGTGGCGTGGCGGCCGAAGATGTCGGCGATCTGCGCCCAGAAAGGCAGGAAGGCGGCCGAGGTCAGGTTGAAGACAGAGATGATCCAGTTCAGCTGTGAGATCTGGTCTTTGGTGGTGGGTAGAGAGGGAACTGGTTAGTCGGATTGACGAGCTTATCCCGTGGCTTGCACTTACTGAAATCCTGGGCAATGAAGGGCAGAGCAGATGCGATTATGGTGGTGTCTAGGGACTGGAGGGCAAAAGGGGCAACGAGGCCGAACAGGATCTTCCATCGGTATTTCCACATCCTCTTCTTCTCAGCAATCGCTTCGGGGGATTCCTCCTTTTTGGCCACTACCTCGCCGACTGGAGAACTGGAAGCCCCAGGTCGCTCATCTTCGCCTGGAGTCGCTCCTCCTTCCATGCGCTCCTTGCGCTCCTTGCGCTCCCTGTACTTCTTCTTGACATATCTTACTGTGACAATCATTGTGTCCGTGGGCTCACCGGAGTATTAGTCAAGAGAGAGCAAGCACTTCAAGGGTGAGAAACATCTGCAGAGTTGAAACTGAGCTCCCTCTAATGATTTCCACCTGGGCAGTCATCAGTGTAAATATATTATAAGCCATCTCACTGGGAGGCCTGGCACGAGCCAATGACCACAAAACGTGTCCATTAATGGTAAATGCAACGATTTCAGACCCTGTGTAGGTGTCTAGGGTGTGTTTTGGCGCTGTCAACCGGGAATCGGCATGCCTGTTTAGAGGTCGTCTTACGACTGACCAGCCCAAAATGGCTTAGCTGCAGTGTACACGTAATTGATGCGTCCTCATCTTACCGTTCTCGCTCCCCAGCGGTGCAATTACGGTCGTTATTACACCCTTTGCAGCCCTCACACTGGTCGTCGTTTTCGCTTTCGCTCCCTTCCAGGCACTATGTCGCGATCCTATGTCATGCGACAATTTTTCTGCAGCACGAGGCTAAGCCACGGTGAGGCATACACGCCGAATCTCCACAGCGCCTGCCTAGCCAGGGCTTGCTCCCAGATATCATTATCTTCGAGTGTGGGAGGTAGCTCAGTGCAATATGTTGACGTCCAAGGACACCCGGCATGCGCTTGTCGGCAGGCATGGCATAGCACAGGGGATCTGCCCAGAGGTTGGTTCAATGCACGAAAATCTTCGGTGAGGTGCTGTTATTCTGACGGTTCGGGCGCCGACGTGTTCATCAGTTCCTCGAGGTGAATATAACCTACTGGGTTCCGTCTTATGCTATGGTGTTTGTCTCTCTGCCTTAAGGCCAGCCGTTCTTCGGCACTAATATCGACATGCTTCGCATGCTAGGAAAAGGATACCGTCGTCTATATTCTGCCTACGATCAAGCGCGAGCTTGGAGGAAAGTGGACGTTCCTAGAGTATAAAGCGTCACTTGATAAAAGCAGATGCTTGCATATCGAACTAATCTTTCCAGTTAGAGTGTGTGCGCCTACAACCTCACCGCCATGTGGTTTCCCAGATAGAGATGTGGTAAATGGTCCCCATAGGAATTTAGTGCCTGGTAAAATCGTAGGGCTGAGCCAAGCAACAGGGGTCTACGGCATAGTAAGGATCCACTCACAGGGTGTCTACAGTACATATGCAGCCAGGGGTCTATAACTAGGGGTTGAACCACTAAACAACAAGTTGCATTTCTATCTTCACCGACATTTCCTCCTCAACTACCTTTGGATATTGCGGCGAAAACAAACAGGATGAAGAGACAGAGGTTGGAGTTAAGAGATGGTACTTTTGGGGGGGCTTCAAACAAACAAACAACAAAGAAGCAAAGCGGGAAACGAAGAAAAGGAGAAACGAAAGAAACCCAAGAAACGGGGGAAACGAGACTGGCTCAATCAACCAGGAAATGCCATCTGAGCAAGCACAGACGCAAGGACCGCGACGTAGGCCGAGACGACCATCATGGGCTCCCGGAACTTCGTCTCGGGGTTCTTCGTCAGCACCGTCGCCGCCCCAAACAGAGAGACGGCGAGCAGGACGACCAGAAACGACTTGACCTTGGTCAGTTCACCCAGGAACATGACCGCGATCGGTCCCAGAAGCGTGGACACGCAGAAGAAGGTGAGGACCACGCCCACTACCCAGTTGTTGACCCGCGTCTGCGCCCTCCACGTGCCGGTCGCCTCGTCGAGGGGTAGGAACTTCTCAAGCACCCATCCAAACTTGCCATAGAACAACTTGCGGAGGTAGAGCGAGTGCTCCTCCGGCGGTCGGGTGGTGACAAAATCGTCCGGCACGTTGGTGAAGAGTAGCGCCTCGTCGTCCAACATGCCTCTTTTCTTCAAGCTCGCGTAGAGGCCCATAACCTCATACGTCGGAGGACTGCGGAGCCCCTGGATCTCCCGGTCATAACGCAGGACGCGATCTAGTCAATGTTGCGTTAGCTTCTCCATTCATCGAGGAGGTCAAAGGACCGAAGGGGCCAGGAACGTCTAACCATATCGATCAAACTCCTGATATATCTCATCCATGATGAGGTCACATTCGTCCGGTTTGTATTTTTCTCCCACTCTTCGTCTTTGTCCCGCAGACAAACTCTTCGCGTGTGTGTCCGAAGCCATATCAAACTCCGAGAGCTGCTCTGAGAGGTTGGTTATGCGTCCCTCGATATACCGGGCCAATCTCTTGGAGAGGTATGAGAAGCCCCGGAAGCAAGAGCCGTTTTCGTCGTTGTTTTGTTCTGCGGCGAGCCTCGCCCAGCCATCGCGGAAAAGATGCACTAGTGTGGCATGTTGTCAACTGGAGTTTCCAAAGTCAAAAAGGGTTAGACATGGTCACTCACCATGATGCTCCAATCTCATCTTGTTCGTGCCCTGGGTGATTGCGAAGTCGATGTCTGCTCCGTCAGCACCCTGTCTCCAAGTCCCCCAGTGGATACTCACCATCGCTCGGAAGTGTCCCATCAGCACTCTCAATTGTAGAGGCATCTGTCATCGTCATTGGAGAGCATGAGCAAGACTTGCCGTGTGAAGATTGGCTGTCGAGGCCAGTAGCCGACCTCTCCGCAACTCCTCTTTCTGCGGTGTTCTCGTCGGATGCAAAGGACATTGTCATAGTTGGTACTTATCAGGTCTGAGTTTCCTTAGCCTGCTGTCTCATCTTCCTTCCCCCTTTCTCCGGGATATCGCTCGATTATTTATACCCACAGACCAGAGGTCGTCGGGTCCTGGCTACCCTCTCGGTTTCGCTCTCTGCCATTCCATCCAGGCCTCGCGACTTGTAACCCGACCACACCACGAACGAGCTCTCAGACCGCTACTATGCCCCTCTGCCTAAACGTCGAGTTGTCGTGCTTCCAGGGCGAGGCTCGGCCCTCATGGCGAGCGGAAAGGGGGCTGTCAACGAGGTCACACCTCCGACGAGTTCAACCGTCTTATCATCCAGACGAATTGCAGGCCGAGCCCAGTCGCAGAGCCTCCGACCGCCATTTCGCATTATGCACAGAGTATGTGTTGTCGTTCATCGGTCGAATAGGGGGGCTCTAAGTCGACGTCGACACGGTGTCGGGGGAGGAGGAAAGGGGTGTGCGGCTCCAGACGTTGATGGGTTGGGACTGCCCGATTTGCATCGTTAGGCTCCTGATCCAGCGGCTCAGCAACGGGTATAAGGAGAGATCGTTAGAGGGGGGCCGTTGTCGAGGGTTGGACCGTCGTCGCAATTGACGCGCGGTGGCCCGTGAATGGCCCGATGAGGAAACTTCATCCTGTGGATAATCAAGGTGCCAAGCCGGATTCCAGCCCTACAATCGCCAGCAGCTCGGTCATCTAGAAGGCGGTCAAGGGCCCAACCCCGGAGAAGGCTCTGCTCGACCGACGTGTACCAAGACAAGGAGGCAAACATTTTGCGGCGGAGGGGTTGCAGCTTCCATGGTTGGAGGTTCGCGCATCACCCGTGGAGTTCCCCATCCCCTCATTGGCCAACTGGCAAAGAAGCCCATCAGCTGGGCAGGAAAGAACTACCTTACCGTCTAGTGTAATGGGGTATGTACCCTCCATACTTGGCTCAAGGAGCCTTCTTTTTCTCCGAGCCCAACCCATGGAACCTTCGTGGTCGATGCGTGGAAGATGTCTTGCATAGCCTCGATTGTCTTCTGTCTCGGGCATCACGGGGTGCAAAAGGAGGCCAAGCTTCTGAGAGGGCTGGTTAGGTGCCTATCTAGATCGAGGAAGTCTCATTCACGGCGGTGGGAGAGCAGACCTTCCGAGCCTCGTCAATATTACGGATATACATGGCAGTGGGACTACGCTGATTGCGACATCTACAACATTTACCACAGAGTAGGCAGTGGAACATAACCCGCCCCTCGGCCCAACCCCCCCTGAGATGTGGCATATTTAGATCCTCCTTTTGTCCATGGCCATCTCGTGACAGTCAACCGGAAGAAAATGACTGCTTAGGGCCAAGATACAGGCTGTCCCCATTCTCTTTGAGGGCCCGAGTCTCTACCCCTTTCCAAGGTATTCAAGCGGGCCGCTCTAGTTAGGCGCGTCGAAGGATCGCGGATACCCGAGAGCAATTCGAGAGTATGGAGACTCCATAAAACGTAGAAGCCACGGCTGGCGACGAGGATGGGCGCAGGATGTCGGTTGGAAGTGAAAGGATGGGCGCAGAGTTGCGGCGTACAACTCCATCCCATCTGTCCCCTGTAAAGCTTTTCGCCAGTAAGCAAGAGCATCAAGTATCGGAGCTTACCTAGTATTCTAGTATTTGAATCAGACATGTTCCTAGGGGATGACCGCGGGATTTCGGTGAGTGCAAAGGAGGTTGTGTTGTCAATCAACTCTTGTCGGCCCTCGACGCCTGTCACACTGAAGGTATCGATCGATGTCTGTACCTAACCCGGGTCGGGGCCCAATTCATGGCATGAATCGTCATTGGGACGACAGCTGCAGCTCAACGAGCATGTTGTTGATGGCTCTGCATAATAGGGGGTCCTGGTTCACGGATGTTTGATATAGCTAGGGCTACGTCCCTGAAGGCCCTAAGGGGTCGGACAAACGTTGCAACGAACTCCTAGACGATAAGGTAGTGGCTTGGCCCCTGGCGACTGCTTGTATCGATGACGAGGGAGAGGCAGAATAATATATGCTTCCTACGGGACAATGGAAAAGGTGGTTATGCAGACAGATTAGACCACATATTCTGCTACGTTCTAGCAAGCAGTGAAAGCAGTGGTTGCATCCTTCAGAGTTCTACTTGCAGGGTAAATGGGATATTGATTGATGTACTTGCAGGTAGTACGCATAGATGTCGCATGGAACGTGGGAACGAATTACGTATACATAATTAGGTCACGTCCGTTCTTCCAACGGGTTGGAGGGGATGTCCAGGTACACAAGAAGTATTTATTACCCGACGTGCCTCCCCTCTCCTTTTCCAGACTTTTACTGCCGCTAACGCCGCCAACTTAAGTCATGTCCTTGGTAAGCTCACTGTCGATGTCGATGGCTCACTCTTAATAGCTCACTCTTGATAGCTCACTCTTGATAGTTTACTCTTGATAGCTCACTCTCGATAGCTCACTCTCGATAGCTCACTCTCGATAGGTAGTCAAACACCTTGCCACTGAGGCCCATCCGATCGATTTTCCAAGCCTTTCAATCCCCTGCTTTGCTGCTTGCAGGTGTCTTTTACCCGAATTCTCCATCGGCGGAAATGACTAGTCTTCGAACAGTGTTCCAAGCTCTGTCAAGCTGGACTGTAGTTAGCAGTCGGGCAGCTGTTGGGCGCTGCACAGAGGCAGGAGTCCCCAACTATATTGGGAAGCCGGGGTAGACGCACAAACCGTGCTTTCGCCCGCGTGGGGGTGGAGGGACCGTGGGGAAGACGGTTGGGGTAGTGGGGGTAATATCCCAACCCGGCTCCTGCCGGTTTCCAGTTTCCGGTTTCCTCCGGCTTGATCCTGAGATGTTTATCGGCGATGTTTGAGATGCAGGACGATTTCAATTCGAAGGGTCACGCACGCGGTTGTCGTCTCCTCCGTCCGATGGCCAGCACCAACTTGGGAAGCCCCAAGTTCTCACTCCCCGTCCGGGACCGGCGGCCGGAAACCGGTTGGCACGGTTGCCACTGGATGCAGTTGCTGATGCTTTGGTTTGATACCGGTCCAGCAGTACGTCACCCTGGAAGTTGGGACTAAAAGACTCTAAACACCGAGCTTTCATCCGGGCGGGCAACAGAGGTCTGGCCAAGATCGCCGCCATCTCTAGACCAGACCGTGGATTTTCCCAAACATTGCTCCATTCTATCATTGTTACCTTACACATGAGATCCTAACACAACCTACCCTTGTTGGCCGTTTAGGGGCTCGTCGCACCCCTGTCAACTGAGGCGAAAATGACAGGCAGCCTGCTCAGCGAGTGCCCGACCTTATTTGGTGGACGAGGGCCAGCAGCCCTACTTCCTACCCTCAGAACTCATAACAATGTCACTGATTAGCACTTTCCGGGGTGCAAATTTCCTTCCATCATCCTTCCCAAATGCAAGCCCAAAGACAAGGCCAGCCTACCGAAATCCCCTTGAACACTCAGGTTCCTGCGAGCGTGGTGTCTTCGAAAATGGAGACCGGTAAACAGTATGAATACCATACCCCACTCACCTTTTTCGGGCCCTCGATCAGTCAAGGCGAATCCTGATTGTAACATCTGTCCAGGAATAATCGTGACTCCAAGGGTCGGCGCATCGTGTTTTATCCGAAGAAACGGCATGGGTACGGCAAACTCTGGGAGAAATTGAGGTCAAAGGGCAGCGAGCAAGGTCATGGTCACAAGAGCAGCAAGCAGGGTGATGGGCAGAAGAGCTAGGTTGCTAGGGTCCCCAGGAAGTTGGAAACGGGGCGGGATTCTCGCGACATTTGTCTCCACTTCCGTCGCTACATTTCTTTCCTCATGGAACATTAGAGTCTAGACACAAGATGCAACGCAAACAGTCTGAACTCATCTTGCCAATTTTGCTTGCTATGGCGGTTCTTGCGTCCAGTGCTTACACTGGGTACTACATTATACCCCGATGGAACGCAATACTAGCGATCCGCTTCGAAGGTCTCGCTCAAATTTGAACTGCTGGTCCTTTTGCCTACCCAGCTCACTGCTTTCGGATGAGTGCCCAAGCTACCATAACACATCTTCTAATCGCCTGCCTCCGTCACCGTTATTACTGATGGAGACAAGTCAGGAATACCGACGCGCTCACAACGAAGAGTTTGTGATGCTCTCTCGACCTCAGCCTCACGCCCGTGCAGAGCACGATGTCTGTCCCTTCCCCTCCCGTCCCCTTTGGTGCATGCTAACAGGTGCCGTCTTTATAGGGTGATCCAGCCAAATGGATGCCGCACCCGAAAGATCGAATAGCGACCACCGATGCTACCGATGCTCCACCCCGAGACCCACAGCGCAAACAAGTCTAGAACGAGTGTCGAATCCAGACTCACGACGAGCTTCAGGTCCCCCTCAATCTCCTCCACCTACAAGCGACATGGAGAGTGCCAACAAAACAAGCAAGGTTCTTGACCCAAGGACAACCCCCCGAACGGGTAGCTCCCCGCCAACCTGCAACTCCCCTCCGCTTTATGTTCATAGGCAACAGATCCAAGTAAGCCGTGCTGGTCCAAGCCCCGACGAAATGAATGCCTTGGCCGGAAACAATAATTAGAGGTTACAACGTCTCGGCGGTACAGCGGAAGGATCTCTCTCGGTTGGTAACGCGAGTTTAAGGTCCCACATTACACTAGCCAAAGCCTGCTGCCCGACGGTGGACACCTTTATTCCGCTACAGTGTCGGCATTCCCGTAACATACAAATAACCCATCTCCGCTTTTGATGTCTTTGACCGCTGCCTCTCCGGAATCAACAAGGGCCAGCTCTACGACGTGCTCATATCAGGCAGCTTTCGACCGTGCTCAACCAAGGCTGACTTGCCACGGCTCCTGGAGCACTGATGGGTCATCCCGGCATGGCAGATAGAAGTTGCGTTCCGACAAGATCAGAAACAAACCGTATAGTCCATGAGCTAGTCCCGTCTACTGGACAGGCTATCCCGTGTACCAGGTTCACCAGTTCTCTGAACAATTGCTATCTATGCCGAACAGCCCGGGGCCTGCCTCTTCCCCCCCCTCCCCCCTCCCCCCAATAGGATGCCAACACTGGCTATGGATATCTTCCCTAAAACCCAAAACCCAAAACCGGGTACACCATATAGCTCTAGCTAACTGCGGCAGGCGGCTCTGATGGGGGGCAGACCTCCAACCGACCCATGGCTATTCGCAACTCCTCAACCCTCGGTGACCCGGCGTACACCAGGGCACTTTCCCACATGGATATTCCCAACCCAGACAAAGATGCGGGCAGCCCGAGGAGAATGTAAAGTCCCAAGGGCCCTTCACGAAGGAACTCGCATTTTCTCCCATCAGAAAGGCAGTCCCCCTCGCCGAAGCGCGAGAGAGGCTGCCAGCGTGGATGTCAACCGAGGTAGCATTATCTGTCCACCATTCACGGGGTGTAAAACGGCGATATAGGAAACCGAAAAGGAATACCAGTATTCCGTCGTGTACGGATTAGCTGTTGTCGAGTCGCGAATCATTTGTGTTGTTGATTGGATGACGATCGGAGATCACGTGGAAAGGGGAAAAGGGGCTGGTGATACAGGCGAGGGACACTTGAGACCCTATGGGGTCGTTCATGTTGTTTCCCCCGGTCTATGGGCGTGGACTGATTCTTCCACTACAATTGGCTGTTGTCTCAGCCGCTTCAAGCAGCCTTAGCAATCCTTCGTGAGGTAGGTTTAAGGTACATTTGACATGAAGCAATCTAGGCCTGATCCTTGTTGCCTGAAGAACGACTCGTTCTGCCTTAACTAGCGCGGCCAATGGCGTTTCGACTTCGCAGCAGAATACGCGCAGAAACACAGGCAAACCCTTTGTATCGCAGGCTTTGCGATCGGAATCAAATAAGAATGCCCTCAGATCCCCTTGAGAGATAATAGACTTCTTCCTCAGCCGGAAGATACTCGTCGCAGAGGTAGTGATATCATGGAAGGTGAGTTTGAGTGACGTGGTTGGACAATGGACAAGGTCATCACGAGGGAAGGAAGACTCGAATGATCGAAACTCGTAAGGGTTTTGCCCCAAGTTCGCTCTAGATGAGGATACCAGGCTCTAGTACCAAGCCAGATGGTCAAATAGGTGGTGATACCGAGAGCTGGAGAGAACAAGATCGCTGAAACATACGGACACGACACAGCCTGAGGCATACTAGAATGGCAGGTGGTAAGACAGGTGGTAGCCAAGACAAGGCCACGTGAGAAATTAGCCAGAGCGACGGAAGTGGCGGGTCCTCAGAGCTGGAACCCCACGGGAACATGAGGGACTGTTCAATATGCTGTGCAACATGAGGGTATGATATCAGAATAGGGTTATATCGGGGGCAACTTCGTTAGCAGTATCCTTGTCCTGGAGGGGAGATCAACGTGTACCACTAACCTGAGGGGGAAAAAAGGGTGAAGCATCGTCCTCAACAGAGTAATCAGAATTGAAGGATACCCATCTCTGAGACTCGCCCGGAGACTCGTCCCAGAGAAGAATACGCTGCGTATCGCACTCAAATGCCTTGTTGACACAAGCTTCGCAACGGCCCTCCCATGGGAAAGCTGGACTACACCCGTCTTCCCCTTGCGGGTATGCACGGGGCAGACAGCTCCCGCTTTTCTGATGCCAATTGCAAGCACCATATGATGCCAAGCCTTCACGGGCAGACCCGTCCCAGCCCGCGCAGGACGTGGGCTGGGACTGAGGTGGAAGTTGAAGCGTTCTCCGAATTTCTCACATGCAAAAGCAGTATTTGCTCGGGGTTACCAAGCTCGAGAAATCACTTGCGCGATCTCTCCGTTTGTAGCATGGAAACGCAGCGTTGAAGAGGACGATGCTTGGGGGAGAGAGAGGAAGGTTGAAGAGTTTTGCGGCTTTGGGTGGTTTTAATGCCCGAGTTGAAAGGCCCCACATTTGGACTAGCGCACAGCACAGGCCAGCAGGCACAGTTCAGGCCAGTCCAACTCGAGACACAACTGAGGTTAATGTTTGGCACCTAGATACCATGGAAACTAGGTACCCAGCTCAATAAGAGGCACACACCCCTCGTCAAATGTGGACTCCCCGACTCGAGATACCCATCTTCGGGCCGGCGTCCGCCTCGCCAGCCGTCTCCCTGGGAGCGGCGCGCCTGGAGCTCAATGCCGCCGGCTCCTACCCCCTCGGCGGGACCACGCCGTCAGCCTCGGAGCTCGGCGACACCGCGGCGGCAGCAGCACTGGCAGGGTCCTCCTCCTCCCCGGCGGCGTCTGCGACGCTGAGGGTCATGATCCGGCCCCGCGGCCCGCCCGCGGACGGGTCGCCAGATTTTCTGTACGCGTCGGGCGAGCTTGCCGAGATGCGGGAGGCCATCGTCGGGTTCGGGCGGTCGGGCTTGCTGGACCCGGAGAGGGGTGACGGGTTCGTGTTTGGTGTGCTGAGGCGAGCCGGTGGCGGGGGAGGAGGGGTGGTTGTGGATGTCGAAAGGAATGCCGAGCTGGTTCGCCTGGCATGGCCATTCAAGTGTGTGTTCCATCGAGCCTTTGACGATGTTGTCGGCAGCGTTGCTCGTCTGGGCCAAGGGGGTGGTGATGGGCAGCACCAGACGACAACCGAGGTGTGGAAGGCTGCCCTCGAGGACGTCATTGACTGCGGTTTCAGCGGGGTATTAACGTCCGGGGGACCGGGTACTGCACCAGGAAATGCCCTCGTCCTGAACGGTATCGTTGCTGGCGCGAAGGAACGGATCGAAGTTGTTGTTGGAGGTGGAGTCAGGAGCACGAATGTGCGGGACTTGGCCTTGGCTATCCGCCATGACACCTCGCCAGTTTGGTTTCACTCGTCCTGCCTGACGTCTAAAGATGGAGGCGAGGAAGTTGATGGCGAGGAGGTTAGATATATTTCACGGGAATTGGGACTTCTACAGGGTGAAGGTAGCAAGTCGAAATGAGTGATACCCCAGGAGGAGTCGGAATGAACCCGAAGGTGGACAGTGAGCCCCTGAGATCAAAACCCGTGCTCTGTGTGAGCTTGCAAAATCCATTGCCAACAGGCCAAGGGCTGAAAATTTGCTCTATAACCTAGACGAATCATTTCCAAATCACAGTACAGGCTGTTCCAATTCAACATTGCAGAGGAGCTGCTCCATTCTGATTCCATTTCCTTGCCCGTCAGGGGGTCCTTTGGGATGTCGAGAGTGGGGCTCCGGCAGTCTGTGCTCCCCCAACCACGAGGTAGCACCCGACCAACCCTTGGCGCCGCGTCACGAATCGTGACAATGGGCACGTAGCTCTTCCACAGTTGAGAGCACACCGGCCCCATCGGCTCTCCCCTTGTGCTCTCAAATATTTACTCGCTGGTGGTTACACTCCATTTCCGACTTCACCTAGCCTATCGGGCCGCCCTATCAGCGACAGATCGTCGCAGATCGCTTGCACGCCCTCAAACGAATTACCTGCAACAATGGGCTCTACTCTCTCCGTAGTAAAGGTAAATCCTTCCGATAACCCAAACCCCCAGCCAAGATGCCACGACTACCTATACTGACTACCACACCTTCCTCCCCAGACGCTGATCGTCCCGGCGCTGATCTCGCTCATCATCTTCCTCGCGACGACCTACGCCTTCATCCCGCTCTGGCAGCGCTACCGGAGCCGGTACAGCCAATACCTCCCTCTCGAAACCATCTCCACGCAGACGTCCTCGCTCGGGGCGCGCCTGCAGGCCCGACTGGGCCGCGTTCTGGTGCCGTCGTCGTGGCGGACGAGGCTGCACGACCGGCTGGTCATCGGCCGGGCTGAGGAAGCTTCGGACGGCGGCTACGACTCGGAGGAGGGCGAGGAGCTCGGGGAGGTCGTTGACGGCGCGGGCGCGAGGGGGGTGGGCGAGCAGAGGCACGGCGTTGATGATGCGAGGAGGTTGAGCAGGGAGTTGAGTTTCCCCCGGTCCCGTTGCCCCGTTGAAAGCCGGGTTTTGGGATGGCGGCTAACAGAGATTGTGGTACAGCCTTGAGGAAGGATTTAGAGACGACAGCGACGAGGAGAGAGAGATAACAGCACCGAGGCGTTAAGGCTTGTTTTTAGGTTTTCATGATGTGAATGACGAAAGATATCCATATACGATATACCCACTTGCTAGAACTATCGGAAGCGTTTACCAGCCCGGTGAGGACCGACCTTCTAAGGGGAAGATGCAGCTCTTCAAAATTCCCGGCCTCTGTTCAGTGCTCAAACCTAGGATCTCGATTCGGGATCACTACTATGGGTCTGCCCTTGACACGATACTAAGCTAAGTTGCCCGGACTGAACCCACTTGCGGCCCAACTAGATCGGCCCCGCCTCTTGGGAAACACCAATCTCCAGTTCCCAGTGAAAGGGTATGAAAAGGCATGCAAATACGATGCCTCCCCTCAGGCCAGGATCTGGGTGGCTTCCTCGGGCCAACCATAGGTCGAGAATTTTCAGCCCCAGAGCCTTGCGTCGTGTGGTCTTCTCGAGGCCCTCCCAAAATGCGATGTGGTTCAGATCATCGTCGGTGACACATCTTGGCGCTCTGGCGAAACCTAAGTGCCGGTATTATGTTATTATGTCCGGCTGTGATGAGGAAAGGAGGCTTGCTCGAGCTTGCCGTTGGTGATTCTGCAGGGCATGTTGGCCTGGTCAAGGGCGGTATGAGTTCCCGGAGGTTGTCCTGAATGGGAATTTGGCCGAGGATTTGGTTGCCTCGAAGGCAGAGTTATCTTTCTCCATGAGGCTGTTGGCATAATTATGCACAGATCCCCACGTATGCTTGTTCTCACTTCTTCTCGTCAAACTTCGAGAAATGTCGGGTGGGCTGTGAGCCCAGTCGGTCATATAATTCGTGTTTACTTGGAAATAAAAAACCATGGCTCTGTTCGGGCCAGTCGTCCACTCCTTGTTCTTGGTGACAGCCTGGACAGCCGCCATACGAGGCATCGTCACCACGACCATCGTCACTACCATCACCATTGTCTCAGTTGAAGGCACTGCAACCATCATCACCACCGCACCTTCCAATGACCAGAATCACGTTGCATATCCGTCCGCCAAGGAGGAAGACCAAGCGGCTCTACACCGCTGCCCCGATGACTACTATTCCATCTCAGGAAGCTGTTGTCCAAGCTAAGCCACATCGCCACTCCCGGGACCCTGCATAGACACAGGCCTCCTCAGTTTCCTGCTCTGGAGGGCTGGAAGGAACGCCGGTCGGGGGCACTTCCTGGATGGCTGCCAGGGCGGCGGCGAGAGGTAGCGGGAGCGGTAGCCCATATGGGCCGGGCAGTTATCGGGCCTCGCCTCCTGGGATCCCTGTCTACCCGGCCGCGAGTTACGGTCATGGGGATGTGTACCAGCAGGCGGGGGCCGGTGATGGATCCTCCGTCCCTGTACCAGCAGCAGCGCCAGTACTCTACCCACGGCCCCCGCGAGGTAGGTGAACGAGATGGAGTGTTCGGGACGAATGAATATGACCATGGTGGTATCCAGCATGATGGCCCGGGGCTGCAACAATACTAGGTGCTAGTTCGAGCTTTTTCCAAGGTTGAAGAGTTGGCGGCCCGTCGATAATCGATATCTCGCCCTACAAAATGAAGAAGGCAGAGCAAGGTTGGAAAAGCAAAACTGATGGCCGAGACCATTACCGACGCCCCTAGATTTAATCGCCGCTCTTTTGTTTCCGCACTGCCTCACATAATAAACTCATGGCAATGTTGTTTGGACGTAGTCAGAAGCCTGAACCACCGGTGAACCCTAGCCCCAACTTTACCCGATAATGATCGGGTTCAAATCTAGTTGTCGGCCTTCTCTGTGATGCCTAGGAGTGGCTGTCACCTCAAGCACTCATCTGCCCCTAGAACCCATTTCCCGATACAGGCATGTCGTCCATGAGGATTTTTCCACGGAATGCCACTGATAACCAAGCAAGTGGAAGCCTATGGCTCACTGGATAGCGCCTGGAAGGAGTCCTTTTGACTGAACAGGTCACCGGGAGCTGGGAATGCCTCGAAGCATTACCCAGAAACGTGTGAGTAAGCCAAACCCTCAGAACACGTGTTGGACAAGTTCGACGACGTCAAAGAATGCCTCTCTAGGAATGTCGACGTTTCGCAGACCTAGACCAAGGACAAGCGTCCTCCGATCTTCCGGGTTCCGTAACGTGAGCTGGCTCGCAATTTGGGCGGCAAGAAGCTGCCCCAGTGTGTCGCGATGCTCACCCCCACCCCCAAGCAGCGTTTTGGGTGTCAGGTGGGTTGAAGGCAGAGCGCCAAGGCCTGTGGACGGGAGAGCCATGTCCACCAGGGCTGGCGATGGGGCGGAGAGAGGGACTTGGACCTTGACCTTCAATCAACACTTCGTGTTAAACAGATTGAGAATAGAGTTCCACAAACCCATTGTGACAGGCAGCCCTCTTGAGAGAGAGTGACTACGATCTTGTTTGAGAAAGCCATCGAAGTGACTTCGGTCGTCACCCCGTTGACCAAGCCGGTGGTTTGTTTAGTTCGAGCCGGGAAAGGCTCCTCCCTCACGTCAATCTCGGACATGATTAAGGGATTATCAAAATGAACCGATTTGCTGTGATAATTCTAGAGGTCACTCTGATTAGTAAAGAGCCCGAGTCTGCAAGTTGAGAGTCTACAATGGGTACGGAGTACCTAGGCATCAGAAGCCCCACTTACGGGATACGTTTGCTAAGTCTCAACCTGATTGGTCTATTTTCTGCCAGGCGGTCGCATTTTTATCTGGATATCTCCTGCAGATTTCCATGTTAGTCCAACGGTCACTGGAAAAGACGAAATATGGCAGTATAGAGGATTCATAGTCGCCAAAGGACCCGAAGAACAGGGCAAGTATGGTGAAGAAGTTTGTTCCCCGTCAGAGGAAGCAGAAAGCGCTTGCTCGAGAAAGGGCGCAGGAGAACGGGACCCACCCAGACTCGAACGTCGAGGAGATCATCCCTCTCGGAAAATCTGAATTGGAGGAGAAGAAGTCACAGCTCAAGAAGGAACTGCGCCAAGATGGTGTAAAAATCAGCGGCAAGAAAGCCAAGCGGCTTGAGAAATACATTGAGAACAAGTTAAAGAAGGACGAAAACCGTGAGCTGCTGGCCAAGTTAGCTGCCAACAAGATCGACACCAGTCTATTTGCAAGCAGCCGGTCCCTTGGACAGACCAAGGAGACTAAAAGGGAGGCGTTCAGCCGAGCTCTCAGGGAGCAACAAGCCGGCCTACCCAATGATGCCTCAAGAGACGAGGTGCTTTATGAGAGACGCCGAGACGCGGGAGCTGAGTCCAGCGAGGATGATGGCGAGGAAGGCGTACGGCCTGGAAAGAGTCTGGACTCGAGGAACCTACGAAGGACTGAGCCTGAGGCCGCGACGGCTTTGCCAACCACGTCCCAGGCCATGAACACAACTGGATCCGGACTCAAACGCCCCCTGGAAAAGGACGACGAAGGGAGGCCTATCCTAGCAAAAAGGCGGAAGAGAGGCGGAGTCAGGTCGAAAGTCTCTCTCGCCCAGCCCGAGCACGTAGCTCCCGAAGCTCCCGAATCAGATGAGTGGAGTGGCCTCAGCAGCGACGAGGAATCTGATATTGGTCTGGACAGCCCCTCAGAGGTGCACTCAGAGGCTCAGAGCTCAGATGCGTCAGAGGCCGAAGGCGATAACTCGGACGAATCCAACGAAGACGAAGAGGGGTCGGAAATCGACGAGTCTGAGGCCGATTCTGAGCAAGATGATGACTCGACGAGGAGAGAGAGGTCCTCTGCCTTCAAAGCGTGGGCGAATCAACAGAGAAACGAGGCCTTAGGCTACGACCCTGTTGAATCGGAGCCAACCATCCTCGACATACCGAGACCTGCAAACTTCAAACCCCGTTCTTTAGAACAGGACCCGCTACCTCTTGAGCTGCAGGTCACTACGAACACGAGCCGCAAGGTTTTCAGTGTGACCGTGGCGAGAGATCCAGATATACAGGAAGCTCGACTGAAGCTGCCCGTCGTGGCAGACGAACAAAAAATCATGGAGGCCATTCACAACCACGATATTGTCGTCGTCTGCGGTGCTACTGGATCCGGAAAGACAACACAGGTACCCCAGTTCCTATTCGAAGCTGGATATGGCTCCCCTGATTCTCCGACCCCTGGGATGGTTGGTGTTACTCAGCCAAGGCGTGTAGCCGCCGTCAGCATGGCGAAGAGGGTGGGTCAGGAACTTGGTGATCACTCCCATACTGTGGCATATCAGATCCGCTTCGAGGGAACTGTTGATCCGAATACCGCGATCAAGTTTATGACAGACGGTGTCCTGTTGCGTGAAGTCGCACAGGATATTGCGCTTTGGAAATATTCGGCCATCATCGTCGACGAGGCACACGAGAGAAGCGTCAACACGGACATCTTGGTCGGCATGCTGAGCAGAGTCATTAAACTGAGAGCGGATCTTGCGAAAGAGGATCCTACCGTGAAGCCCCTGAAGCTTATTATCATGTCGGCAACCCTCCGGATCCAGGATCTCACAATGAACTCAGTTCTATTTCCAAATCCTCCTCCGGTCATTGAAGTCGAGGGAAGACAATACCCGGTGACGGTCCACTTCGCTCGCAAAACCAATCATGACTACGTTGAAGAAGCATTTCGGAAGATCAGCAGGGGTCACAAGAAACTGCCGCCTGGCGGGTTCCTCGTGTTCCTCACTGGGCAGAACGAGATAACGCAACTGAGCAAGCGCCTGAGATCTGCTTTCGGTGGCCTCAGCTCAGCAACCAGCGGGGCCAAAGTTCGTATTTCTGCGAGCGAGGCTCCAATCGAGGCCGAGGATATCGACTTTGGAGAAGTGGATGACCGAAACGCCAACGACATGGATGATGACATGCTTGTGGACCAGTACGAGGACGATGAGGACGAGGATGAGGATGCCGACTTCGACATCGAAGACGAAGAGGCTGGAACTGGTCCATTAAAGATGCAGATTCTCCCCCTTTACTCCCTCCTTCCCACAAAAGACCAGATGAAAGTCTTTGAGCCGCCGCCGGAAAGCTCGCGTCAAGTTATCTTGGCCACTAACGTGGCTGAAACGAGTCTGACGATACCCGGGATACGATATGTGTTCGACTGTGGCAGGTCGAAGGAGCGCCGTTTCGACCGACTCAGCGGCGTCCAGAGCTTCGAGATCGGGTGGATCAGCAAAGCCAGCGCGAACCAACGATCTGGTCGAGCCGGGCGTACCGGACCGGGCCACTGCTATCGGCTCTACTCCTCAGCCGTTTATGAGAGAGACTTCCCCGAATTCGCAGATCCGGAACTCCTGAGGATGCCGATTGAGGGTGTCGTGCTTCAACTCAAGGCCATGAACTTGCAGCATGTAGTCAACTTCCCTTTCCCCACACCTCCGGACAGGCGGAGTCTTGCAAAGGCTGAAAAGCTCCTGGCTTATTTATCTGCGGTATCGGCTGGCGGCCAGGTGACCCAGATCGGGTCGACCATGTCTATCTTCCCTATATCGCCTCGCTTCGCGCGGATCCTCCTTGTTGGCCATCTGCACGACTGCCTACCTTATACCATAGCCCTCGTTGCCGGTCTCTCGGCCCCCGAAGTTTTCATCCCAGAGAGCCAGGCGATTCCCGCAATAGCAACCCAAACAGGGGATGACTCTATCCGCACCAACGACGACGTCCTTGCCGAGAATCGGCAGGCAAGCGCGAGGCGGGCGTACAACAGCGTCCACAAGAACTTCTGCTTCTTAGATGACAAATCCGACGCCATCAAGCTCCTCCAGGTGGTTGGCGAGTTCGCGCACGAGCCGACAGAGGAGTGGTGCCGGAGCCACTTCGTCCGCTTCAAGATGCTCAAGGAGATCCAGCAGCTGCGCCACCAGCTCGTCGACCTGCTGCGGACCAACATCCCGGGCTTCGCCAACCTCCGGGTCGAGGACCGGCTGGACCCGCCGACCCCGAAGCAGGTCCAGGCCCTGAAGCAGATGGTGGCCGCTGGCTTCATCGACCAGGTCGCCATCCGGGCCGACAAGTCGCCGAACCCGCCCGAGGCGTACAGGAAGCCCCGGCGCGCCATCGACGTGCCCTACCTGCCGCTGATGCCGCTCGACGACGGCGGCGACGTCGCCGACCGCATGGTGTATGTGCACCCGTCGTCGCCGCTCGCGCACCTGAGCGTGTCGGAGTGCCCCGAGTACGTCGTCTACTCGCACCTCCAGCGGGCCGGCAACGTGCTGGTGGGCGAGAAGAGGCCCAAGACGCGGATGCACGCCCTGACGGACGTGACGGGCGGGCAGCTCGCGTCGCTGGCCAGGGGCACGCCGCTCGTCAGCTACGGGAAGCCGATCAAGGAGGTGAGGGCCGAGTCCGAGGCCGAGGGCGGCGGGGGCAGGACGAGAGAGGTCTGGGCCGTGCCGTATCTCAGGGCGGAGGCGACGGGGGGCATGGGGTGGCCGCTGCCGGCGCGGAAGGTTACGCAGAGGAAGGTGGCTGGGAAGGGTTGGGTGGTGGAATGATTGCAGGTTCGATAAATAGCACATAGATCTGAGGCTAATGGCCATGAATAACTTCGTCCTGCTGAGACCCGAGTACTGTGACGGCGACTTGCAGGTGATATTGTGGTCAACTGCCTTACTACATCATCGAGGCCCCCTCTTACAGGTTGCGTCGAGGGGGACGCCGTCTTTCAGAGGAATTTACCAATAATGCAAGAGATTAACAGAGGTTCAATGGCCTGCAAAGTTTGCCAGGATGGTATTTATTTGTTTCAGATACCCTAAGGCCAGAATGACTATGGCAAGGGCACCACAGGTATTGGAGCCCTCAGCTATTAGTTCTTTCCATAAAATCAAGCACATCCATTCCATGTCAACGCCAACCTCGAGCCCATGCCTCCGGGTATCTACCTATACTGAATGCTAGAGAGAGAAAAAAAGGGAAAGGCGGAAAGTTAAGGCCGCGCCACTGCCGTGAAACTCACGCGCGACACATCTCGGACCAGAGAGGACGCAAATCACGACGGCGTAGTCGTGCCGCCCTTGCTCTTCCTCCGCCTGGGCTTCGGCGCCGCGCCGGTCCTGGGGCTCTTTGTCTCCTTCCCGTTGCGGGCGAGCGGGTTCTCGGCCGCAACTTTGGTATTCAGCGCGGGCAGCGGCGGCGCCGTCCCGTCGCGCTTGATACTACCCCCGCCCAGGGGCTGCGGCGGCGGTGCCGCGAGCTTGTCCTTGCGGCCTGTTGAGGACAGGTGGAAGCTGCCCGGCTGGCCGGTGATGGGGTTCTCGTCCATGTATTCGCCGCCGTAGCGGAGGTGGATTGCTAGGGATTCCTCGGCGAGCCGCGAGTCTGGCGCTGTCTTGCTGCCCGCCTTCTGGTTGGTCGAAGATCCCTTGCCTAGGCCGTCGGGCATGGGAGTCGCCTCCTTCGATTCCAGCCCCTTGGGTCGACTTGTGGCGGTTGGAGTGGGGTTCTTGTAGACTCGACCCGATGCTGGCGACCAATTCTGCACGTTGTCTGCGGCGGGGAAGATGTTGCTTATGGCTGATGAGATGGTGGCCTAGACAGACAAGACAGGTCTGGTCAGAGCTGGGAGCATGCAGTGGACAAGAGATCATCTAGGTCTTCCAACTCACGATTCTCGAGCTCATAACATCCGCCAGTGTGGGGGCCATGTAGATGTTCTCCCCGACGACGAAATACGTCGCATGCACGGTGATCTCGTCCTCGCTGCCGGCCCTCTTGCGACGCGTCTGCTTGCGGATGACCCACACGCCGGTACCCGTGCCTGGGGCCATGTCGGCGGGCTCCTGGGCGACGACGAACTCGAGGCCGGACATGCTCTTGAGGCGGCCCTCGAAGGCCTCACGCGTCTCGAGAAGCCTCTGCATGCTCTGGTTGCTGAGACCCTGGTTGATGACCACGGCGTTGTTGGACGTCTGGTCGAAGAAGGGCGAGTCCGAGAAGTACCACAGCACCGAGTTCGAGTGGATGCCCTGCGGCGCGGGGCCGCGCCACTGGATCTCGTCCAGCGGCGGAGCTTGTCGCGAGGCCATCGATGTTAGCTTGGTTGCCAATCGGGCATCCGGAGAGGAGACGATGGTTATACGGGAGGAATGGAGCTCGGCCGCGGCAAGGAACTTTGCATTGACGAAGATTCGAGGTTGTTGGGAGCTCGATAACTAATAGTACCTAGGTAGGTTTAGTGGCCGCGCTTATGTAATATTCACTTAACTATACGCTAATGCGACCCAATGATGTAAGGACCTAGAATCCCAGCCTCATTTTCTGGCCCTGCTCATCACCCTCAGCATCACCGTCAGGCCTTTCGTCTCACAACAACCTTACGAGTTAATTAAAAACCACGCCTGCCGACATCGTCGCGAAGCACGACACAGGCGTGATACACTCGACCCGCTTGCTTTTATTCCCCTCGCTCCCTACCTACGCGAGGATGGATCTCCTATCGACCGTGCGAAAATCTGGGTCGCGTGGCGGTGTCAACTTTAGCTGGGACGATGTCGCCACCTCGGCACACCGCGAGAACTATCTCGGCCACAGCCTCAAAGCCCCTGTGGGCCGCTGGCAACAGGGGCGCGACCTGGCATGGTACGCCAGGGGCGATTCCAAGGGCGATGACCCCAACGAGACCGATGACCAGAGGCGGGAGCGGGAGCGGCGCGAGGAGATCCGGAAGGTCAAGGAAGTCGAGGAGGACGCCATCGCGAAGGCGCTGGGCCTGCCGATACCACAGCGCGATACCTCGGGTGCCAATGCCATCGAGGTGACCGGATCGAGGGTTCCAGCCAGGGAGGCTGTCGAGGAGCCCACAGCGAAACCGCGACCTTCAGCCCGGGAGCGGGATGAGCCGAGAGATGGCCCTTCACGGAAGTCGCGGGACCCTGAGCGGCATCGGAGGAGACACAGGAGCCGGGACAGGGACAGGGACAGGGACAGGGACAGGGATGGGGATGGGGATAGGGACAGGCCCAGGGACAGAGATCGTATTCGCGATCGGGAAAGAAGACAGGTCAGGTCACGGGAAGGACGGCATTGGGACGACGGCGCCAGGCGGCGAAGTAGGAGCCGTGACCACGATCGCCATGCGCAGGAGAGGAGGCACAGAAAGGACTACGCGCGAAGCCGGAGCCGGGATCGCGACAGGCGGGACAGAAGGAAAAGGAGTTTAAGTAGAGATCGGGTTAGGGCCAGATCTTCTGAGCGACGCCGAAGTGGAAGCCCGCTCCGACATCGTGAGAGGTAATCGAACGAGGCGTACCGCAGGGGTTGACCAGCTTCTGGTCATCGGCCACGATCAAATTCGATGTGCGGGCGATTGAGGCCTAAATCTGTACATATGTAGGTTGACGACCGAAATGCGCATATCTTAGCATGCGCCCATCAGTTCTAAGGTCTAAGCTGGACGTCCAAGACTTGTAATACCCACGGTTGACAGTCAGTATGTTGCTTCGTATGTTGCAGGTCAGTGCTTCTTGCTCGAAGGTGTGGCATAGTTCGCGGCTATGGCCGGATATAACGGGTTTTGCACCTCCATCAAAGGACCCTTGTTTCCAATGAATCGCAGGCATTCATTGTGGAACCCTCGACGAGGCAAGGCAGCCTTGGACTTCGCGCATCCATTTAAACCCATTGGAAGGTTTGTGGACGGCATGATTTCCGCCATCGACTATACTGAGTTTACGGCTCGGTAAGCAGCGAGGCAGGTCCGACGGACATCGAGATATCTTTCCCCCGTTATCGATTATAAATACGACCGTCCCCCTTCCCCGGAAACCGGACCCGTCTCAGCCTTGCTCCCTGACATTGCCACGACGAAGTGATCGCGGCCTATCAGAGCACATTTCAAGAAACGATACACGAGATTCGGGTTATATCCCGTAGCCTTCCTCTCGGAAGTCCCATGTTTCCTGTTGCAGGAACCTGTTGGGACGAAACATACTTGGGCTCTGCGGGTTGATCTTCGACAATGGATTACTCGCGGCTCCGCGCCACGGCGCTGAGGGACGGCGAGGACGAGGAGGCAGTCACTGTCGATACAAGAGCTTTGATAGACAAGGTGCTTGCTAGGTACTCGGGAGAATGGACAACACTGCGGGAACTCATCCAGAATGCCGCCGATGCCCAAGCAACATCAGTCCAGATCAAGTGGGAAACCATGCCTTCGACCCAAGTGCCGCTGCCGCAGACGACAGACCGCTCCGAGTTACTGAAGCATATCATATCCCACCACACGTTGCGCCGGCTGCTCGTGCAGAACAACGGCCAGCCTTTCACCAAGACCGATTGGGGGAGGTTAAAGCGCATTGCCGAAGGCAACCCAGACGAGACAAAGATAGGCGCCTTTGGTGTCGGTTTCTACAGCGTCTTTGCTGATTGCGAAGAACCGTTCGTCAGCTCCGGGAACGAGGCCATGGCGTTCTACTGGAAGGGGAATGCCCTCTTCACTCGGAAACTCCACCTCCCCCCTGGGGAGGGTTCCGGGGATACGACCTTCGTTTTGGACTACCGGAACACGACGACGCCTTTGCCGAATCTCCTCTCCGTCAGCCAGTTCCTGGCCACCAGCCTGACCTTTGTGGCTCTTCAGAACATCGAATTCTGGATAGACGACTACAAGGTTCTGGCCCTACACAAGAAATCCTCGCCAAGCGTCGGTGTACCCATCCCCAGGGATTTGGAAACAAGGACCAAGGAGGGCCTTATGAAGCTCTCCACGGTAGACCGGACAAGCGCCCAGATTGATGCAACGTTCATGAGTGCCGTGGGTTGGAAGCCCCGAACGTCGACGTCCACGAACAGGAACGATGCCTACTCCTTCGGTTCTTCCGCATCAGAAATGCCGTCCTTGAGGACCTTTTTCTCGAGGCTTACCTCCAGTTCTTCTCAATCAGGATCTCGCGGAAAGGCGGTAAAGGAGGAGAAGGTCGCACAGGAAGCCATTGCGGAAGACCTGACCGCCACCTCCGCCTCGAGCATCTTCCTACGAGTAACCTCAGCATCTATCCAGACATATGTCTCAGCCTCCTTTGCTACAGAGTTGGAAAGGGCAACGAAGAAGCCCCCGCCGAAAACCACCAAGCTCGCCATTCTGACGTCTTCGTATGACGAGACCGTCGCATCTGAGGACTCGTCCGCGTCAAGCAAGGCGGCTAAGGCTGCTGACATCTTCTCGTCTGTTCTGCCGAGCAAGAAACCGGGAGGGAGAGTATTCATCGGGTTCCCCACGACGCAGACGACAGGTGCCGGGATGCACATATCTGCGCCGTCTGTTATCCCTACCGTGGAGCGTGAGGCTATTGACCTCAACGCGCGCTGGGTCCGAACCTGGAACATCGAGATGCTTCGGATTGCCGGCATCATGACCCGCCTAGCGTTCGCGAACGAGATGTCGGATTTGCACGACAAGCTGAAGCGGGAGTTGGAATCCGCAGGCAAGGGCCCTGCTATTTCCCAGGCAGCTGTCGAGAGGTTCATCCCGGAGGCTCTTCACATTCTGAAGACGTATACTTTCACGGATTCCACACCTAGTGGTCATGTAGCCCAGATCATCGAGGAAGCATTCTGGACGGCCTTCAAGCGGCCGACTATCGAAGTGTATTCATCTCGAGGCGTGATGCCAAGTGATAAGGTGCGCACCGGGTCGGAGGAGCTGTCCAAGTTTGTAGATGGCATACCTGTCATCTTACATGCCATGAGGGAGGCACCCTTCATCAAGAAACTCTTCGACTTCGGCCTGATCACGGATATCTCGGTGCATGACGTGCATCAAGAACTGGAAACAAAGGCCTTGAACAAAGAACAGCTCCAGCATTTCATCGCCTGGGTTGGGAAACGCGCTGGTTCGGGTGAGCTTAGCCATGCGAACAGGCAAAGCCTCCTCGACGTTGCAGTGGCTACGGTCAGCGAAAGCGGAGATCAGGGTGATATAATTGCCCTCGGGACGATCAAGAATTACCTGAACCCCAACGAGATTCCCCCGACGCTCCCCGTCCCCCCAACGACGCTTCCCTTCGCTTTCACGACTTCCGTCCCTGTTCTCCAGCTGAAGGCTCTAGGGTGGGAGCCCCTGGAAATTGTGCCCTGGCTGCGGTTCTTGATTGAATCGGGTCCCAACAAGGACGACGATCAGAACCTGACGAAATCGCCAAAGTTTGCGGCGCAGGTACTTGCTGTTTTGTCAAAGAACTGGGATACCCTATTGCAGAACAATAAGAATTCGGTGGTATCTGCACTCCAGAATATTACGGCAATACCAACCAAATCGGGCATGAGGAAGCCGGCGGAGTCCTTCTTCCCGTCGGTCAAGCTGTTCGACGATCTCCCAACGGTTCAATGCCAGGGCGTGAAGGACAAGTTCCTGACCGCTCTCGGTGTCCGGAAGACAGTCGACCTCGAGACCATTTTCACCAGACTGCTGAACCCATCGCAAGCCGCTGAGCAAGATGGCCGCAAGAGGTGGAGCCACATGGAACTGATCAAGTACCTTGCGTCGGTGAAGGACGACATTCCCGAAGATGATATGAGGAAGCTCAAAGAATCCCGGCTGTGCCCGGCTGAGGCAGGGCCGCTGGGATTAGAGCCAACCAGGGGTACCACCGATCTATTCAAGATTTCGCAACTCTTCGAGCCGAAGGATTCCCTCCGCACCCTGAAGCTACCCATCCTTCAGTGGCCTGGACCTCCGGGAAGTTTCAGACCGGGCAGCCTTGAGGCACGTTTCCTCTACTCCCTGGGCCTGCGGCAATTTCCGTCGGCGCCTGAACTCGTGGAGATGATGGCTGGCCCCGATCCCACCTTGCGACGCAATGCAATGGCGTACTTCATTGGGAATCACCATACCAATGGGTACGCAGCCTTCAACCTCGCGGCCACCGACAAGGCCATCCTTCCCATCCAAGGGAACGAGAACCAGCTCGTCCCGCCCTCGGCCTGCTATACAAATGAAGATGCCTCTGTGCTTGGGTATAATATCCTCAAAAAGGAGCTGCACCAGCATGCGAACAAGTTTGGTGTTGCAAGTGATCCCCCTATCACAGGCTGCATTGCCGGGCTGATCTCCAACCCCCCATCGAATCGCAAGATGGCTGTGACCTTGTTCGAATACTTCACGACTCGTCTGGCCGACCTTAAGGAGAACAGCCTGGCCAAGTTGAGGGACGCACCAATTGTGCCTGTCGTCAGACGGAAGCAGCAGTTGGCGGGGACGGGGGCGTCCAAAGAAGCCGAAACTGGCCTGGTCCACATTCGCCCACCGCACTGTTATCTTGGGAGCTCATCCACGTACGGCGACATCTTCGACTTCGTCGACTTTGGCTCCAGCGCCAATACTTTCCTCTTCAAATGCGGAGCTAAGAACGAGCCAACCAAGATAGAGATTGCCAGGCTCGCTTGCGGAGAACCCGCGCGGCTCCTGAGCGTGCTGCAGAGCTCAGAGAGATATCTCAACCTGCTGAGGACTCTGGCCGACGACTTGCCGATCTTGAAGAGAGATCACGAGCTATTTAAGAAGATGAAGTCGTCACCATTTCTTCTCGGGTCGAGGGAGATATCTTCGGGCAAGGATAGAGGGACCGAGGCCTACGACGAAGAGGAAGCGCCAATCAGGCAGTATCAACTGGCGGCCCCGAACCAGATCGTCGTCCTTGACGATTACATCAGTTATCGGCTATTCAAGGACTCCTTGATCTGCGCCCCCGAAGAAGATGCTCTAGAAGCCTTCTACATGGCCCTGGGTTCTCAAACGCTTGGTAGCTTGGTGCAAGAAGACATCAAGATCGGGCCACATACCCAGAACCAAGCCGCTGCTGCCCGGCTGCGGAAGCACGTCCTAGAGAGGTCAAAGATCTTCCTCTACGAGTATTCAAAGTACAAGCGGGACTCCATCAAGCATGACGCGAAGTGGCTGGAGAAAAACCTGACGGTGGAGGTCGTCCGGTCGGTGGCCCTTCGCCGGTCTCTGCGCGGGCAGGACCAGTCCCACACCGAGAACCGGTCGGCGGCGAGCGCGCGCACAAACGGCGGCTATATCCTCTACGTCGCCGCCGAAGGCCGGCCGGATATGTATCAGGTCGGACAGGCCGTCTGCCAGCTGCTCCTGAACCGCCCTAGCCAGCAGGCGTACTTCTTCTTCGAGCCGTTCCTGAAGCTCGACCTCCTCGACCTCCGGGCCCGCGGCTACAATGTGGACCGCATCCTCCGCGCCAAGGCGGCGGAGGCGAGGATCGCCGAGGAGGAGAGGCGGAAGGCCCTCGAGGCGGAGCAAAAGCAGATCCAGGAGCGGGAGCAGGAGTGGACGCGACAGACCCAGGTCGCGGAGGTGACGGCCAGAGGGGCCGTCACGACCCCGGAAAGGTCACCCCGGATGCCGGGCTCGTTTGGCGACTCGCCGGAGGAAGATCCTGCCCAGACTTCTCTGACATCTCAGCGGCATCATCGTGGGCCTAAGGGGTTCTTCACGAACTTGACCCGCCGCTTGGGATTCGAGGACCGCGAGGATGCGCAGAAACAACTGGAGAATTTCCTCCCCCAGCCGGAGGATAACAACAAGGGATCCGAGGGCTCGGGCCCCCCTGCTCAGGGCCAGCGTCCGAAGGATGACGGCCGAGTGACGTCCCCGGCGGTGGTGCACCAGAACCTGCTCAACGCCATCCAGTCGACGCGGGCGCACGACTCGACGCACCTGTTCTCGCCGCCGAAGCAGAACGAGGTCAAGGAGCAGACGACGTACTGCGACTCGAAGCCGGCGCACAACATCAACTTCGCGGCCGAGGCGCCCGGGGGGATGCGCGTCTTCGTGGCCAAGGACCTGTCGATGGAGCCGGCGCGGTTCCTAACGTCGCACGCCGGGCCGATCGGGCAGTTCGAGGCGGTGCTGAGGGAGGCCGGCGGTGTGTACGGGCTGGCGACGACGTCGCTGCACATCTTCTACGACGAGACGGGCGGCACCATCGCGTTCAACAGCAACGGGAGCATATTCTGCAACCTGCGCTTCTTCATGCAGCTGCACGCCGGCAAGATGAAGAGGGGCGCCGGGGGAAGGGAGGCCAGGATGGAGGCTACGTCATGGTGGTGGGTTGTGCTCGCCCACGAGCTGGCGCATAACCTTGTCTCGGTCCACAACTCGGATCACAGCTATTACACGTAAGTGCCCCCGCTGAAATGTTGCAACAATGTTTGATGCAGCAGGTGTATGTGGAGAGAGAGAGAGAGAGAGAGAGAGACTGACGAGATTTTAAACAGCGAGTCTTTCATCCAGCAGTATTTCCCGAAGATGGTGGCAAAGGCGGCGTCCTGGACTCAGGCTCCAGCGCCCCCCGCTGCCGCGGCCGTCGACGCGGAGGCTCAGGGACAGCTGCCGCCGGCGCTACCACCGCCGTACGAGAGAGCTTCGGGGTCATCGCGGTATCAGAGCTTGCCTAACTGAGGCGATTAGAGGGCCGAGAATGAGTATTGTGCGTTCTTTTTTTTTTTTTTTTTTTTTTTTTTTTTTTTTTTTTTTTTTTTTTTGGGGGGGGGGGGGGGGGGGGGGGGGGGTTGGGGTTGGTGGTTTGTTTTTTTG